GTATAACTTTCTAAAAATTTAATATTACAAATTTCACATGGAGAAATTAGAGAAATTTTATTAACTACCAATTTTGATGGATCGAGTAGCTTGCTCTCAAAATTACCATCAAGGTAAAATGACAAAAACAAATATTCAAAAATGAAACTACTTTAATTACCATAATCTTTTTAATGAAACCTGAGTCATAAATATAAATTTACGATTTCTTACTTATATAGTCGATGAAGAATGTTTTTGAACGTTATTTTTCAAAACAATTAAGGATAGTTTTGGTCATTCGATCTTAATGAACAGTGATCATTTTTGTAACTATCTCTAAAATGTATGGTATTTGTGTGAAACCGCGGTTAGGATCTATATATGTATAATTTTCATAAAATGCAATAAACATTCTGTTGAGTATTGACAACAAAAATTGAAGCAAACATTCAATCTATAAAAAAAAAGAAACAGAAGTCACATGAAAAATGTAAAGAAGCCCCAAAATCTTTGAGATAGGATCCTGAGAATCTCTAGTAAAAGTCTAAAATTTTCAATCTGTGGTTGAAGTTGAAAAAAATAAACAGAACAGAAAATAAAATAAAAAAGAATCAAGATAAGGTACATGTTGTTGTGAGTCATTCTTGAGATATCTCGTGTTGTCTTATTGGGGGGGGGGGGGGGGGGGGGTTGGTCTAAAACATAGAGATATTTCAATTTCTTTAATCAGAAGCCATTTTCTACTTTACTGAATTTCATTGTTTGTTTGAAATTTGAAAACAAAATCTAAATAATAATTATTATACAATTAGAATAAATCTGAAAATAAATATTATATAATTTGGAAGAAGTTATAAAACACCAGTCTATATATATGTATGTAACAAACAAAATTATAAAAACTCATATTATTGTAAATTGGAGTCTCTAATGAATGAAAACGTTACATTTTCTGTATATCACTGGTTAGGTGGATCATATTTGTTTTACTTCACACCTAAATATATAACACAACATATGCATATTTTATGTGCCCAGCAGCACCATTGAATACGTACGTTGGGTATACATTTGTCACCGTCATCTTTCTTAAACACTTCTTCTTCTATTTTTTTCATCTTCTTGATCACTTCTTGTGATCATCCGGTGGACAAGATGTTCTTGATCCTGTCGAGATCGTGTGTGTGTGGCAAGATTGTTCAGGAGACGACGGGCTGAGCCAGACGAGGAGGAAGATAGGTTTACCATCGACAGTTTTGACGGTAAGGTTGATGATGATGGGCTCGTGGGTCAACGGATCTAAGCCCTTTCTCTCGAGTCTTTTCTTAAGACAATTGTTGGATTTGGCATCCGCTTCGATATGGATGCATGCCACGTGCATTTCAGCAACAACTTAATTTTGTTATTATTATTTTTTACCTTATTAATTAAGACAAAAATGCATGTGGTTTTTATAGTTTCTCTGTAAAAGGGTGTCTAAATAACGTGATGTAAGATCTAATCAAATGAAATTATTATTTGGATTACTATTATTACGTGGTTAGTAACTTAAGTATAGAAACTGAAATGGATATGCAGAAATATGGAGATGATGTAAGATAAAATAATAAATATGTAAACATGTGTATATATATGCTAATAATAAAAATAGGTGATGAAATATCAAATAAATATCATTCTAGAGCAAGAAATGAAATGTGTAAATTAACATAAATCTAATACATAAATATTAATTACTTTAACTAAAAATAATATTATAACACTTAAAAACATTTTTTACCAATTAGAAATCAAACAAATTAATCTTTCTTTTTGAATACCGTGGCATGAAAGTTCTGAACCGATACTCATGGTACGTTTTTATGGGTTGTAACTGTACTCGTGATAACACCTGTATATAGCATATATTAGTCCTTCCAAAGAGGATAGAATCCATGGAATCAAGATGAATTAATATATATGTATTATATTCTTTTGAACTTATGTGCTATTGGATAAAAAAAATTATTGTATTAATTTGCTAATTATGATATTTTTATGCAGTTTTGATATAGGTAATGCTAGACTAAAAAATAAACAAAAATATTGGCGATGATAAAATTTGATGATGACCATTAGTACTAATTAAGTTATTGTAAAAGATGTTAACAAAGATATCTGAATTGATATCTACTCTGTTGGATTCGAATTAATAATCTAATTTTTGTTTTATTTCTCTATAAAGTTCTTTGAGTTACTTTTTTCTTTCTAAATACAATTGTTTACAGGGATATAATATATTCGGAAATATTAATCTTGTGGGGTTTGAAAACATTATAAAAACAAATAACTAGTATTTTGTTAAATTAAAGTAGCAGAATCGCTGCATGTGCTAATTAATTTCGTGGGGTTTGAAAACCAAAAAAGGTGGGGTGCGTGGCACTGAAGATATCATTATCACTATAGTATTCCAAGCCAGATAATAAATGGGTAGACTTTATTCAAGGAGTATAATTTATCTACGATATGTAATTGTACAAGAAATAATACGTACGTCTAATCTTTATGAATTATTCCAATATGGTTAATAATATGTATTTGAAAATATCCATTAACAACTTAATACCAATAAAATAACATAATTTGTACTAGTAGTAATGAATATTTTCAAATTTCTATCGTTTTAATTGGAGTATTAAATCTCAAAAAACATATCTAAAGATGTCTATCATTTAAAATAATTCTTATAAATTATTAAATCAAGTAGAAAAAATGAAGTTTTTTCATGTTTGTCCAGAATATGCTGTAGTATTTGTATTTTAACGACTATTTAAAAATATCATGTATTCATAAAATTTTCATATTATTACCATTTACCTCATTGACAGTTTTCATTGTATTCTACTGTGTTTGTTTAAATTGATTGAGTTTGTCGTTTTATTTTTCTTATTATCAAGTGCGCTCCACTTCTTTCGGACAAATATAATCACTACTCGAAAGTTGTTGTTTGAAACTTCTACAATAGCAACAAAAACACTTTGACAATGGTGTTACCGTTCAGTCACGTTGATGTCTTCAATAATTTAAGTAAACTTATTAATTTGCGACCACATTATATATCCAAAAGTTTGATTAGGTATTACGTGGTTGTGACTCTTGTGACGACTACAAATTAAATATGATATTAATCACGCTACAATCCCTTTGGTATAAAGTTTTGATCAAAAGTAATCATAGAGATTAGAGAACCAAGTCTTTATACATGGAGTATAAAAGGTAATACTAATACTATACTACCTAACTACGCCTGACTAAACCACAGGTACGATACGCCTGACTACGCTATATCTACTACATTCTCATAAATTGTATTACATCATTTAATATGTTTTAAGCAAAATCTATGTTGTGAAATGGAAACAAAAAACAACAACTTCTTGATATTGCTTTTTGTAATTAAAAACCAAAGAACGGCACCAAAGGGAAATTAATTTCCCTCCAACTAAGAAGAATGGGAAAGGAATAATGGTAAGTGTCTCTGCGCTTATTTCTTTGTTTCTCTAAGTTATATGGTTTTTTCCCCTTAAAAGATAAAATGAACCCCCATCTAGAGTAATTTCAATGATAATAATCTGGATTACCAAAAAGATCCGTGATCTAATCACAAAACTTTTTATATTTTGATTCGATACATCATCATCACTTCCATCATTTGCTATTTTTAGATTTATTACCAGTAAATTTGATAAAGTGGGAATTTCTTTTGAATATTACATCATCGTTATAGAGCATAGTAGTATAAAGTATGACAATTTTATTTTGGAAAATATTATAAAAACTTTAAAGATGAATAAATCGAATGATGATATTTGGGATAGTTTGATCATATATATTATATGTTATAGTTTTGGTATGGAGATGTACGAATTTTAGCATAGAACATTTCAAGTTTGAACTACAAAATACACTACAAAGAAAAGATTTGTAAAACAATGTCACTGACAAGATATTATCTTGTCTTTTTTTGGTTTCCCACTTGATAGTTGAAGCTTGATGCCGCGTATCGTCGTTGTCACGGTTTCCATATAAAAAATCCATGATTTCTTAATTGACACGTGCTTAAATCACTTATTCGGTAAATTTAACGTGCTTATGAAAAACAATGATTTGTCTCATTTTAGGAGTAAATAGTTTGATACGAAGTTTCACACATGTTTTATGTACCTTCACTTCACTACTGATGATAAAAGTTATAAAACTATGAGGTTCTCAAAATCATCATCTGAAGTGGGATGCTCATAGTCTATGCATGCTACTAAATTAAGTAAATATGTAAAGTCACTTTCTTTTTGGAGAAATCACGTATTTATCTGAATTTTTTTCCTTCCTTATATATTTTGTGGTTGAAACTGAATTAAAAAAAAACAAGGGGACGATAAGATCGATGTTGTCGTCAGCCTCTTGAGACCTTTCACACGGAGCAACGCGATTGGTCAGAGATATAGATAATTCAATTTCCTCAATCAAAAAGGTTTCTTTTAACAAAATATCACCTAAAAAACATTTTACTCCAAACGTGTCGAGGACAAACCGAGATACAGTCAATAGATTTGCCGAAAAGGGTGAAAAAGATAGGGTCTACCGAAAAAAGAAAATTTTCGTCTTTAAAGAAATAGAGATGATGGTGTTGCTGTTAATCTTATGAATTGGTTTTAGAGTTTGGTTAATCCCACTTGGTTCAACTGTTTTCTTTTTAGGTTAAGTTGCATGGGTTGTATAAACACCGTTCTCCTGTCTTTCATTAGTTTAATTTTCACAATTTACCCATTTGATTTAAAATTGTGGGAATCAGTTTAGTATTACATGGCAAACGGGGCACGGATATCTTCAAAGTGTTCAACATGATAAAATAAAAATTACTGAATTTGATTTCAAATTCAACCTAAGATTTTCTCCAAGAAAAAGAGAGAAAAAAAACAACGACAATGTAAAATGTTAAAAAGCCAGAAGAATCCTAGAGGCTAAATAATATACTATTAGTCAGAATCAGAACCTGAAGATAGAATTTGGACAGCATCTTTAGGTTCGTTATCAGTGATCGAAGTAGGAACCTCTTCACCTTCTGCATTCTTCCTTCGCTGTTCTCTCTTTCTCTCTTTCTTCTTCTCCTCTTCCTGTAAAACAATCATCAATCTTTCTTAATAAGGGTTTATGCCGAAATTGAGATATCTATATACATATCATCCGCTAGAGAATCATTTGAATGTGTTACGTTATTGTCTGATTGATTTGATGATGGCTGATCTGTCTGAACAGTTTGTTGTGTAGAACGACTTCTCATCCACCAAACATTGCCTGCAGATAACAAAGCTCCTAGAAGCAACGTAGGTCCCATTCTTGGATCTGTTAGGTAGTCTTTGATTCTGTTCCACATGCTCAACACTTTCTGTGTTGCTTTTACACTTTTCGGGACTCCTGATCTCATCGGTTCAGCGCTTTCTGGAACCAGTTCTGGAGTTTTTGCTCTCTGTAAGTGAAAGCGAAAGGATCAAAGGAGAGAATGTGATAATAGTACAATGCAAATAACGAAAAAGGGTTGCTGCTTACATAAAAAGGCAAGTTTTTGTTGTCACCGTCTTCAACCATATTGGATAGCCACTTAATGATCTACAAAAAGAGAGTAACAAGCAATGTGACAAAGTCAATACCAGAAACTTATGAAGATCTGTGAATCATAAAAGTTTTCTTTTTTCAATACTGTATGTACCTCGGGAGTTTCAGCTGGTCCGTCATAGCTAACAACAAGTTGTGCAGCGGGATCTACATCGTCAGCTTCGGATTGCCATACAGTTTTGGGCCAGTTACTTGATTTCTTCTCTGCATTAGCACTTTCTGTAGCATTTCTATGGTACCGAATGATCAATATCCTAGGGACATCAACTGGTGCTCTCCTAGTTCCACACGTGTCATAGCTGGTTTCCGATTGAACATAGAAGAAACAGTATTTCTGAACGAAAGATCATGAAAGAGTCAGTTTCTTGTAAGTAACAGATCTTAACATCTAGACGTGGGATTTTAAGAAATCCTAATAGATTAAGGAAACATAACAGATTCTGGCGAGAATACTTACACTCTGGACTTCTCCATCGAGCCACGCAAATGAAAGTCGCTTAGTTCTGTGTGCAGAAGCTGCTGGAGCTACTGATGCATCCTTGGAAGCCTCATCTGATTCATCATAATTTGACAAAGTATGTTGTACCCTGCACATGGTCTACAAGCTTGTAAGATTTAACACATTTCTAATCAGGAAGGGGACGAGAACTTCAAGTTATAAATGGACGATTTTGTGAAAAAGACTTTACTCACTTCCCTCATCTTATTGAGTTCCACGCTCTGTCTTCCAACAAGGACGGCACAGTACCACGTCGCTCTATCGAAACCAGCTCGAGAATATCCTCGTGCATCACAACCGAGTTCCATTGACGTTGTGCTTCTTAGTTGAGGAAGCTCTTTAGACGAAAAATGATCAGAAACCAATTAAAACCATTCATCTACAAGACTGCAAACTGACAAGAAAGAGAAAAGCACATGCAGAAACCAAATGTACTGAACATATTAACGAGTAGAAGCACATGGATTACCTAACTGCTTGTTCTGCTCCAATGTCTCCAGGAACCATGTACTATTGCCAGATCCTGCAATATGGAATTATCTAATACAATTAGTTGCCTAACCGTGCATCATTAGTAAGCCAATCACTCGGTTCAAGAAAGTGAAAGACCATGATGAATAACAGGTTTTAAACCAGGATCCTTCATAATCACCATGGCAGGTGCAGATTCCACCTCAAACCTATTACAGGAGAGAAATTATGAGATGAGCAGATGTCTAATCACGTGGTGGGAGTATCTAAGGGTTACAACTCAAACAGATATATTTTGATAAGAGATCTTTCGCAGAAGCAATAGACAACAGCGCGGAAAAAAACAGAATTAGAAGTGCAATGACATACGCATTCCACCAAAAGGATGCATCCTCTTCTCTCCAAAGCACATAAGATAAAGAGGCAAAATTCCAATAATCTTTTGCAGCTTGGCGTACAGAAGGAGTGGCTCGTTCCCCTGTTTGTGAGAATAAAATGATTTTCACCTAGAGTATGGGAAAATCAGAGAAAGGATGAAATCAGTAAATAGGTTTAGTGTTTAGATGTGATGCAGAAAACTATCTACATGTTTGCTTAATATGTTATTTATAAGTTACATAGGATGGGAAAACTCTTGATGAAGGAAAAATCCTAAAGAGAAACTTTTTTTTAAGAAAGTTAAACAAACAAACCTTATTAGGTGGAACTTTGGAGAGAAATTTGGGTACCTGTATGAAAAAAAAATATTTCCAATTATTACTAAAAAGCATATTTCTAATTACCGAAAAAAGTAAGGAAGCAGTCCATATATCCCACATGTGCCAACATATCACCACAGAACCTCGCCAAACAAAATTCTAGAATATCTTGCAGCACACAGCAGCTAAAAGAATAAAACATTAAACATGTAAACAAAAACGGTCTTCACTTTTACGGTCCATGACAAGGAAGAATCTAAATGATTAAGATGCTATATGGTCTGCAGCTTTGCAGATCAACGTTTCCCAATGGAAGTTCCTAACATGGTTAGACTTAGACCTAAAACCCTCTACCCAAAACCACTGACTTTTCTGTTACTAGGATGTTAAAGCAAAGGCATCTGGTTGGACTACAACTTCTCAAGGCACTGAAGAAGGAAAGAATACCAACTAAGTAGGACATTCCAGTCAGATACGGGTCCTCTTAAACTCACTTTATCTGCAACCAAATTCCAACTTCAGCAATAAGATGGCGTTAAGGGATTTTATATGTACCAGTGTTTCTTTTGTATGATAGAATACTCGAGGCAACTCCAGCACATTGGTTGCAAACCAATCAGTAACTGCGTCTGTTGACAACTCTCCTTCAAACCTAACAAGAAGATTTAAATTATTATTATTACGAACAAGGAAAATGAAGCAAAATTCCTCTAACGACTAGTCTATTAGAAAATATCATAACCCCATAAAGCCTTTCCTGATAAACAAAAGGGTTTAGTCAGTGTGGAACCTGATAAGACAATCTGCAGTTTTGCAATGTGGAGGGAAAGCGACAATTGAAGGAAGGCCTGCATGCATAATTGTTGAGGTTATAACAGAAGAAAAAAGCCATGCATCTTATGGTAACTCATGAAAGCTCTTGTACGAACCCAAGGCATGAACAATCATTACAGCTTTATGAAATATAAACCATAGCCATAATAGAACGAGTCTGTATGCATACAAGAAACTGTATACTAAAGTTCAAAAGAGCCCAAACCTACTGGATGTAATATACTTCCTTAGTACAAAGTACAAACACAATCCTAGAAACAGTTTAAGCAGATCCTCTCTAAGATTTTTTCAATGGGTCCTCCCTCACTTCAGTCTACTTTATACTGTCTTTTGCGCCTCTGCATCTCATTTTTCTGGTCTAGGTTCTTGGCAGGATGGGTAAAATGATAACTTACCTTCTCTAAAAAATACTTGTCCTGTTGGTTTTTTCTCAGCAAGGTAGGTCACAAGTCGAACGTCGCCAAGCTCTAACATCGCATTGTTAGCAACCCCATCCAACAAATCAACTGCAATTATACAAGAAAGCTGATCGTGACGAGATGATTGATAAAATAATTCCATTCACTCTAAAGCATGTCAACACTATTGTTAGCTATTAATTTAGTGTACTCCTACTTGTTAAAACATATATTTTCATATCTGGTTCGTATCATTGTAACACGTGCTTTGTAGATCAAAGACACCATATTTCTTTCCTGAAAACTAAACACTGTCTACTGCAGATACTTCAACTTCCCCTCGTCATATGCACTGTTCTAGCTCCTTCAATCTATATAATTCAATTGTCTTTAACTAAGGCTGGCAAGACAATTTCAGTATAAAAATACTACAAAAAGAGAAATCGCACCAATCCTTCTCCAAGTCGAGGAGAACTGAGCAGAGCTGTTGCTACCAGAAGAATACACCTACAAATATGAAGGTAAATTACATCTGATGTAGCATTGCAAAAATAAAAAATGCAGTAATATTCCAGTAGACGCCAAAATGTAAAGGTTTTCGAGCTTTAAGATAACGAGAAGCACAACAATGCACCACATCACTTTGTAGCATGAAGGGATTCCAAGAGAAGATGGTTACACGCATGGGCAACAGTTACTTATCAACATGTATAAGTTTTTTGCATCTTAAACATGTATATATCAAGATGCTAGAATTTCTTGTATCTATGGTAAGAGAGGTTTCAAACGCATGCTATGTAATACTCCAGTATTAGTTTATAGACAAATGTTCATACCCATGTCCCTGCTCTAACAATCTAGAAGAGTTTATACCTGAATGAGCCATGGCTTGGAGTCTTGGAGCTTGAGCGCAAAGTCTTGAGACGTAATTGCCATAAAACCTTCACGTTCAGGCTCTAAAAAAGATTCAAGAGCTAACAAGTTGGCATCCAAAACAGATATATAAAACGAATTCAAGAAATAGAAATGGAAATATCAAAGAGGCCTGTCAGTTAACTGACCACAAGAAACAACTTCCAGCAGGGGAAGTTTTATTTTTGCAAAATCTTCCACAGCGTATTGTTTTTCAAGCTCCTCTATAATATGCTGCAACCATTTAAGAAAGCAATTGATTTTCAAATAAATAAAAAGGTCAGAAGAAATCTTCCTCCTATGTGTACATAAATAAGAACTTACTACTGATTCATCAATGCCGTAAAGGTCATAGTCCCGTTTCCATACTAGATTTGTTAACAGCTCATAGGCGTATTGTATCTGCATAATATTAAGTATCACTTGTAGTTTTAGCAAAGAACCTAAAGTGCAACAAACGGCTGGCAGATTTAGCACACACAACAAAAATCGACCAACCTTTACAAAATCAGCTGGACGAGCATCTCCTGAATCAGAATCCCTGTGTCGATCAATTTTTCAAAAAAAAAAAAAATGAGGACAAAGGGTTGTTTAAGTGTGTCTGCAACATACCTTCTACTTACAGGACACAAAATCTCTAGTTTTCAAATTCAATTGGGGATACATTCCAATCTTCACATGCCTAGCCAACATAACCTAACAGCACTGAATTGTCTTAGATACGAGTTCAAAGAGAAGTTCTTGCTCTATCAATTAGAACATTGCAACGCTGGTGAGATAAAAGGAAAGCTTATACAATCAAGTCTCAATATCAATATACTTGGACAGTGAAGTATACAGGCTTAGTTCTGAAAAAATCAATTGCATACAAACACACATACTACTTCCTGGACTACCCTAAAATCGATCGAAGGCAGAATAACGGGACTAGATTCGAATTCAAGGTTAAGAAAAAGAAAGAAAAAAAGTCCTCAGATCGAGAAAAATTACCACTTAGAAGCAATACTCTCGTACGCATCTCTCACGTCATCCACTGGACTGGACATCTTCAGACCCAAAACTAAGAAATCAAAAAGAAACAAGGAAAAGACCAAATCAAATGATAAACTAGGAAGGCAGTTTTCAGTACAGTCGAGAGAGATAGTGCGCAGACAAAACGAGGGAGAGAGATGATACCGTCGTAGTGAGAAGGAGGAAAGGAGCGAGGAAGAAGGAAAAGCTGGAAGAACATAGCGAGGACGAAAATCAAAATAGGAGCCGCGTAGGCTCTGAGGACGGAGGACAATGACGACGACGACGGAGTTACCTTCGCCATCGCTTTTTGGCAAACTCCGATCAAAGAGACTTTCTTTTGATGTGCTAAAATTAAATCTCATTAGGATATTTTTCCGCGTATATATTCGTAATTATGGATCGACTTTTTATGGTTAAGAACTTAAAATTAGAATCGCATCTTGATCTCAACATTAATACAGTTTATCTCCTTTAAAAAAATTAATAATTATTACAAGATATATATATACATAGGTTAAGATTGCAGGATTAAAAATTTACTTCAAAAGGCCATGGCAATCTTTCTGCATCTCTTTTATGTTTCAACTGAATGGTGTTGGTTCTTGTTGGTAAACTATTGTCTCCCTATTAGTAGAGTGTCTTTCCGACAATGCTATCATCTCTTAAGGTTCGGTCGGTTTTTCAGTTGTTTTGCTGAAGTTCCCAGTGAATGTAAAGGGGACTAGCGATTGTCTCCGTATCAAGTTTCTCCGTATATTGACTGAAAGTGACAGAAAAACATCTATGCAAAAAAGATTTTTGGCAGACAACGAAGCAGAAAAGGAACAAGTGAAGTACAGAACAAATGGCAGTTAGGTTTGTGAGTATTCCTTTTTTTAATCTTAACATTTCCTGAAGTCTCAATGAAACTCACTCCTTGGGTTTTCCTAGCTCTATGGTTTGGTTTCCACGTGTGTTGTTGTTGTTCTTCTACGTATATCGAACTTGTCTACAAACTCCAAAGGAGATACCGTCTCGTTTCTGATCCTCTTAACCTTGGTGCTCAACAGTCCCCTGTGGCTAAACCCATACAGCTTGAGCACTTGGTTATCTGCAAAGTTAAAAGCCCTCTCCATGCTCTTGAAGCACCTCTCCTCTGCGTAATCCGCGTAGCTCCCACACGGTTTGCACCCAACAAAGTGTGTCACGAAAGGCCACCTCTCATCGCCCAACCCCGGATGGTTCTTCTCCATCATCTCTTCATACCTATCAACCAAACCTTCCCAAAACCCGTGCAAGTAGTACTGGTTCTCAACGTAAGCCTTCTCCATCCATCTATCCTTCTGTGTAAGCAGGAGATATATCAACGCAGACTGATCATCTGCCTCAAACTCCGGCCGACCTTTCAGATAAGCCGTCAGTACTTTCCCAGCTTCGTCGCGGATAAGCCCTTTGGGACCCATCGGAGCCCAAGCATCTAGCAGATCAAGTGACCACTGACAATTCCTCAACAGGAACACGCCCGTGTTCAACGCAACCCATGACTTTTGGTCGAACAGCAAGTCCGGATAGCCGTGTATCACAAGGTTATGCTTCTCGTACCGAGACAAGGGGATCTCAAAGAGTACATCAGTGAACAAAGCATCACTGTCCATCCACCAAACCCATTCTACTTCCGGATGAGACAGCATCAACCTCCTGATCATAGGCAGTTTCGTCCAGTACCCTGAGAGCTCCTCGTCCAGATTCGCCATGTTATACACAATCTCCATCCCGTGGAGCCTACAGTAGTCAATCTTGTTCTTCACTGATTTCAACAGATAATAGTCTCCGACCGGTTTATCGCAGGGTCCCGGGGGAGACCCGGTAAGAAGCAAGATTCGAGCTTTGCCATTGACAGTACTAGGAAACTCAGGGTTCTGTTTCAGCCATACCTTGCGTTGACTGTCCCAGTTCGTGACCCTGGGGCCTAGGGTGTACGTCACATTAGGATGAATCTCAGCTTTTGGCGGTTCATACAAGTCGGTTGGATTCGAATCAGATGGGCTCTCTGCAAGAATCGGCTCTGTTTCTTTGATGAGACTCTGATTGACAGAGTCGGCGTTGGAGCTTCCAAGGTTACCAATACTAATTGTGGCAAGTAGGACGAGGATGGTCACAAAGCCGCAGAGAATCATGATCTTGATGTTGGTTAAGGTATTGACCTGCCAACCGCTGAACAAACCACGGCCTCTCCCTCCGCCACCCGATACAGCCGTTGTTGTCGGAAGTCCACCGCCACTTCCGGATGTTCCCAATCCATCCTGACCCATTTCACCTCTCTAGATGTCACTCACAGAGAGAGAGAGAGAGAGAGAGAGGACCTGAAGACGCCACTTGAAACTGTACAAGGTCTTAACTAATAACCATAATCAGTGATGGTTGTCTTTGTAGTAGTCTCTATTTCTCTTTCTCTCTCGTTCTGAACTACACGGCTTTGAAATTTTCAGATTATTAGCAGGACCCGATGGAGGAAGAGGTCGAAAAGATGATGGAGATTGACAATCTGATTATTAAAGAATATTATATTAGATAATGGAGAAATGTGGTCGTAATTAAATAAACATTTGGTGCTGGAGAAAATGCTCCGCTCGATCCAACATTTAGCATCTTCAACATATGAATAATTATGCCGGATTGCTTGGATATTTTGTAGGATGAGGTTTCAAAAGCATGCTATTACTATGTTTATGTATCTCTCTACTAACTAAATTAAAATTAGTAACCATGTTCATAATTATAAAATATGAAACTGAGTGAAGATGTATTGTATCTGGTGATGTTAATTAGCAGGAAAGTAACACATTTACAATCAACCGACCTTAATAAAATCACATTTACAAACATCTCCTGAACCGGAATGGCGGAATCCCTGTCATGGCCGGTCAATTTAAGAATATAGGATCGACTGAAACAAGAAATCAAGAATTTTACACCAAACAACAACAATTCCGGTTCGGTTTATGTTTTAATTTACTTAAACCGAATTTAATTGACCTTCCCGATTCAGAATTCCAAATTCGAGAGAGTGAGAGAGGGGACGCGAGATCGATGGGGTCCTCTACCTCCGTTCCTTCATACTCGGCCTCCTTTTCTAACTCCACCACCGCCTATTCTCCTCCGTCGCCACCCTCGCCGCCGTCTCGCTCAAATGGAAAGTCTGACGGCGAAGAGAGGCCTCGCTTCTTCGATTCTAAGGCGAAGAACAAGTGCTGGGCTAATGCTGACATCGTGCCTGGCCGACATCCCGAGAGGTGGCGTAAAGACGCTGCCGGAAACGTGGTCTGCAAACGCTTCGGGAATTGCAGCGGCTGTCTCTGTTTCGAGTACGATCACATTGTTCCTTACTCCAAAGGTTTGATTCTCTCATCTCTCACTGCTTCACCCGTCGTGACATTTGAATTTAAAAAGTTATGGATTTTCCACAATTGTAAAATCTTAGTCTTGATTGTTGATTCTGGGTGTAGGTGGAGAATCGACGGCGGAGAATTGCCAGATTCTCCAAACTAGAGTTAACAGATTAAAAGCAGCTCAAGAAAAGGTGGATGCAACCACACTTAAGGGATATTCATGTGGCCTGCAATTTACGGGTACGTTTCCGGCGTTAGCTTCTTCTCTTTATTACATCTGATGATGAATCATAGATTTGTTTTGGGTTACTCATCTGCTAGATTCGACCATTCATTGTTGGCTTTACTTTTCATTGTTCAGTGAGTGTTATGTATAGGAAATATTATCATTTGCAAGATGGGACAAAGGTTGAATGTGATTTACAGTTGATCATGCTGAGATCATGTATAGTTTTAAGATCTTGAAGGGTATATATATACATTGTTCGTTCTGCTATATAACTTTGTTGCGCAATGGGTTTTCTCTCGATCTTCTTCGTTTAGTGTTGAGTTGATTAGCTTGTTCGTTAGAAGTTATGCCAATCTCATTCATGTGAGAGCTGCTTTTGCTTTATATCTTCCTTCTCTTTTCTCTGTTGGGGTTTTCTATGATTATATAACTTGGAATCTTCTTTAACCGCAAAAGCAATGCACAGAATTGTTCTAGGTTTTGCTAGATTAGGTTTTACATGTGAGTGAAGTAAAGTGTAAATGCTCTTGGAAAATGCATATTCTTTCTGCTAATGTAAAACATACAGACAAGGAGCTCGATGTCATCGAAATGGCGGTTTATGGAGACGTGTTACGACCTGGAAAAGAATGTCGCTGCAAAACCGTAGCCGAGCTGCTTGGTCAGTCCAAGTCCAAAGATGGTAAAGCCGCATGCGAATTACCATCATAGAAAGTAATCAAACCATGTCATAGTAAAGCTTTGATTCGACACTTATGCTCTAACATTGAAGATTATATGTTGGATTCATCTGAATCTTTTCACTCATTGGGAAACCATTGTTTGCGAGGGGTCGTGATGCTCCTACACAATTCTCCTTTGTATTTTATCGTAGATTTTAATTGGAACCAATATTCAGCTTGTACTGGTACCTAACTGTGAAAGTCAACAAATGGATTGTTCATATATCGACCACCTAATTTCACTATTGTACTCAAGTAATAATAGTGACTGTTACAGTAGATTTTATGGTTTGGTCATGGAGACAAAAAAATATCAAAATACGGGAAAAAGTGCGCAATAATGTGAGCTATTAAAGAAAGATGTCTGCCGGAAAGTTAAAGTCAACACATTTCTCCTTTTACTTTTTTGTTTTTCTTACTCTCTTTATTTAAATGTTTTTATAGTTTCATATTTTTCCTTCTATATTTGAACAGTGAAGTTTTTATGAAAAATATAGTGGAATTTAAAATTCAACCAAAAAGCTTTCATTTATTGATACCTACATAAAATAAAAATTTCAAAAACTAGTTGTTGAGGTGGATTCGAATTTCGGCTCTGAACAATAAATGCTGCTCCCACATACACGTATAGGCTGGTTGAAAATTCAGTTAGTATATAAAGTCACATGATATATCCAACAATAGTTCAAGAATTTAATGAAGCTCAAATCCCAAAGAATTATTTTACTACATTCAAAAAGTATACATTTAAATCTCCATACGCATTTTAGTACCACCAAGGCACCAATGAAGTTATTAAACGAATAGATTCTGAATCGATTCATATGCATTTACTAATACTATATATAAAAAAAGAAATCATATAATAGTATACACAATAAGACTAATACAATTACTAAAAAACATGTTATCGCGTAATCATCAAGTCTACACATGACAATTTCATATCCAAACTATACGTTTTAAGAATATAAAAAGAAATGGCCAAACTAGTCAACAACGACCCACCACCGCTTTTGGCCGTATTAGCTCAATCTCATACTGCCCACTAGTCAAACTCGTTACATTGCATAATAATAATTGGTTATGCACTGTTCCTATATAAAAACTCGATTTTTAACCGTGTATTATATAATTCATCAAAAGATGTTTAAAATTATAAAATCGTAGAGTACTTTAGTCACTACTATATAGGGAAAAATCAGTGCCTAAAAAGAGCTAACACGTTAAGAGTGATCGATCAACTCATCAGTCATCATTTGTCGAATCAAAAATCATCCCGTGGATTTCGCGTAAATATTTTCATTTTTAATTTCGCGACATTTTTAAATTATAAAAGGACCGTCGTCTTCCGCAATTCACGCCAAAATGAAAAAGTGAAAAAGCCGTGAAAACATTCTCTTAAATGTTCTCTGTGTAATATAGTATATAAAGAAGAATAACGGAACCTCAATAGTTTCACTACTCTCTGGAGGATATTCACTCCGATCGGATCCAGCACAGTTACTACGGTTTTAAACCGGTGCCGGAAAAAAAGAGGCGGAGGAGATAATCTTCCGGTAATACACATGTGGTGACGCGTCGGAGCGAAAATTCTGGGATGGGTTGCGTCAGCTCGAAGCAGACCGTCTCTGTTACGCCGGCGATCGATCACTCGGGAGTGTTCAGGGACAATGCGTGTTCCGGTTCAGGTCGAATTGTGGTCGAGGAACCTTCTCCTGCGGTTGAGAAGAAGCTCGCGTCGTGGAGGAGCAAGAGCGGGAAGAAGAGCAGCAAGAAGAGCGGAAGTGAGTTCGGGAGCGAGTTGAGCGAGTCCGGTCGAGCGAGTTCGAATTGCAGGAGTGAGTCGCTGAGTTTCCGGCTCGGTAACCTAAGCAAGTACTTGGAAGCTGAGCAAGTCGCCGCTGGTTGGCCTGCGTGGCTGAGCAACGTCGCCGGCGAAGCTATCCATGGTTGGGTCCCGTTTCGATCTGATGCCTTCGAAAAGCTTGAAAAGGTTATATTTTCAATACTCACAATTACAATTCCCTGCATATTATTATTATCCATACATTTTGAATATTGCTGTATCTTGTATCTGAATTTGTTAGCTTTTTTTGTTTTCATGGTGGTTCTGAAGATTGGACAAGGAACTTATAGTAGTGTGTTCCGTGCAAGAGAGACCGAAACCGGGAGGATAGTGGCTTTGAAGAAGGTTAGATTCGACAATTTCGAGCCAGAGAGTGTTAGATTCATGGCAAGAGAGATTTTGATACTTAGGAGACTCAATCATCCGAACATTATCAAACTACAAGGTTTGGTTACTTCGAAACTATCTTGCAACATACATCTCGTGTTCGAGTACATGGAGCATGATCTCACTGGTCTTCTTTCTAGCCCTGACATCAACTTCACAACTCCACAGGTCAGTCCACGAGCATCATATTTTTTGCTGTACTGAGAGATTTTGTCCGGATTTTTTGTAGTACAATGAATGACTGTTGCTCTGTCTGGTCTTGCAGATTAAGTGCTACATGAAACAATTGTTGTCTGGACTTGATCACTGTCACGCACGAGGTGTGATGCACAGAGACATAAAGGGTTCGAATCTTTTGGTTAACAATGAAGGAGTTTTGAAGGTGGCTGATTTTGGGCTAGCAAACTTTTGCAATGCTCCTGGGAATAAACAACCTCTGACCAGTCGAGTTGTGACTCTGTGGTATCGTCCGCCTGAACTTTTGCTTGGGGCGACAGATTATGGAGCTTCTGTTGATTTGTGGAGTGTTGGCTGTGTTTTCGCTGAACTTCTTCTCGGGAAACCGGTTCTGCAGGGAAGAACCGAGGTAAACCACAAACAAAATGTGTTTGTCTTGTAAATATATGTTGCTCTGTTTTCTTACTCGGGGACTCTAAGGGTGCTGTTTCTTGAAATGTATGCTACAGGTGGAGCAACTGCACAAGATATTCAAACTTTGTGGATCTCCACCTGCAGATTACTGGAAAAAGTCCAAACTTCCTCACGCAATGCTTTTCAAACCACAGCAGCATTATGATGGTTGTCTCCGAGAAACCTTGAAAGATTTGTCCGACGTTGACATCACTCTTATAGAGACCCTTCTCTCTGTAGAGCCCCACAGACGTGGGACTGCGTCTACCGCCCTTGTTTCCCAGGTAACCATTTTATCTTTCAGCATCGACTTTGATGTCCGGGAAGAGATTGTTTCTTTGTCTTGTCACATCTTTTCAAAAAGACACTTTACCTCTATTTTTTGTTTTTTCAGTATTTCACTGCAAAGCCTCTTGCTTGTGATCCTTCAAGCTTGCCTGTATACTCGCCTAGCAAGGAGATTGATGCAAAGCATCGAGAAGAAGCAACAAGGTCTGAATTTTTATTTATTACCATCAGCTTTGATCAGAAGAAAGCACAGTGGGAACACACAAGTGTCAGTCGTGTGGAAGCATTTATTCATTATCCTCATGTGTTATATTCGAATTCCAGAAAAAAAATCTGCGGGAATGGGAGACGTGGTACAGAATCTAGGAAGCCTACACGAAAGCCCCCTGCATTTGCTAAAATGGCACCAGCTGAGGTAACTATTCTCTTGTTTACATATTATTATCTGCATCTTTGGGAAGCGAAAAGAAACCTAAAACTTGCCATCTGCTTGCAGGATGTGAGGCACACTTCCAAATCTTTTCAGAAACGTAATGGTCATTCAGGTCATAGCTCGATTGATAGTGATGCTACTCTATATGGGAAGCTGCAAAAGCCATCGGATCATGAAAAAGAAGAAGCTTCTCATGTCAAGAACGCGTCACAAGGAGATGTGCCTTTCTCAGGGCCTTTGCAAGTCTCTGTATCAAGCGGTTTTGCATGGGCGAAGCGACGAAAAGATGACAGTTGTGTCAGATCACGGAATAGATCTCTCTCAAGAGGTCACATTCCTAACCTGTTGGGGCCTTCTCCTGCTTTCAGCGAGAACACTGACGTTGAGTCTAAGATAACAGAGAATGAAAAGGAAGAGAAACATGGGGCAAAAACAGATTCACAAGACCGTGAGTCATATGAGATGTTGAAGATTTCAATGCTGAAGAAGTGGAGACAACTTGAACGTCCAGATTCTTTTGATGCTTCGGACGAGTATCATTCACAGGAACTATCATTGGCACTTTATCAGAGAGAAGAGAAGGCAGCAAAACTGAGTCATTTGGTACGTCAGTAGATAACAGAGGCAATAGCATCCCGTTATATATTCCATAGTATCTAAATTCTAGATGACATAGTAGACTAGATGAAAATTTAAGAACCCTTCACTTTTTTCTATGCCAACCTCAACTTACATAAATCCAAAGTTATGCTATTGGCAATTGTCTTGATATTGATGTGTGAGACCATAAAAAATGAGTAGAAAGAGATACAGATTGCTATTTGGCTGAGTGTAGCTTTATTGCTTTAAGTTCTTTTGTCTCTTTCAAACGTTTTTTTTTATTTTCACCCAAAGGAAAAAGTAGAACATGCATGATTTGCTTTGTCTTCTTTTAGGACATGTTGAAAAACATACTCAATTATGCTAATGAGTTAAGACCTTGACAGGGTTACGAAGACAATGATGACAAAATCGAGTTCTCAGGCCCATTGTTGTCCAAATCTTATGGAGTCGATGAGCTTCTGGAGCGCCATGAACGCCAGATTCGCCAGTTAGTTCGAAGATCTTGGTTCCAGAAAGGTATAACATGATGCTAATAAGTAACATGAAAGAGAGATTATGCCTTTTGATCTACTGTGATATAGAGCACAAGAATAGCCTATACTGATATTGTGGGCTTCTGATTTAGCCCGTTTTGTTTCTTACTTTATACTAATAAGATGAAGATATTAAGACATGATGAGCAACAAGTGTATGGCTTTCTGAAATTGCAGGTAAGAAACAAGGGAAATGACTCCGTTTAAACTTGTCTGTGTCATGAAAAGCTTCCCAAGTGGATCCAGATGGGGAGCTCCAAGAACTCACTATGCATTTTGAAGGTCTGAGAAACACAACGTTAGCAAGATCTTCAGAAACTGTGATGATCAAGCAAATATGGAGAAAGCCATGATTCGCTTTTTTGTTAATGTTACTTATAAGTTATAACTTAATCTTCTTTAGTAACTTTAAATTTTGAGAGTATATTAAATATAGCGGTTTCCAGGCATAATGTATAGAGCTAGAGCAGTAATAATAAGCATATTTCTACACATCTGCAATTTTGCATAACATAATATATAGAAGAATATCCAGTTATATAAAAGATTTGGATATTTGTTACAGGATTTTACTGATTCATTTCAAAGTTGCATGATGGTGATGTGTGGTGGTTATGGCACTTAATGAGGCCTCGTGACAATGGCGTATGTGAGGCAATGCTGTATTATGATTGTGAGCCATCAGGATGTGACGTTGTATTTATATAATTTGCGATTTGGTACAATTTGACAGGTTGATTTAAAACAATTTGTCACCTTTCCCCCTAACCTTTTAGATTTGACAAGACAGTACTAAATTACCAAACTGTATATATTTTCAAGAATCTTCAATTTTTTTTTGCAGTTGCAACATGAATAATATGGTAATTTGGTTACAGTACACTCGGCAAAAAAATCAACAACAATGGATAGACCAAGGATGATAATGATCCTACAAGGATCTCTTATCTTATGTATTCCTTTAATAAGTCGTGTTTTTGTCAACTTTCTTATGAGCAGATCCCAAGTTTATCTGTGTCGTTTACTCGGGTATATGGTGCCGGTTCATTGCATTCTGCATCCTCGCTCTACTGATCGAAGATATATCAACCCGCGCCTTATTCTCTGCAACAAAGAGTTTTTCAACAATCAAAAGAAATGAATCGATAAAATCTAATATCGAGCAATCTTAAGCAAAGTGATATGTACCTCTCCAGTATCTTGAAGCCGAAGTAGTTCCAATCTTTCTGAAGGTCTCCTATCTGTCAATGTAGCAAGCTGACGCCAAAAAAGAAGAAGAAGCCATTGAGCAACAAAGTATATATGGCAAGAGTTGTGTCCATCTTTAGAGAGTGCTTTGTTTGTAAATGAACAACATTACCCAGAAACTGAAGCGTTCGGGATCTTGAGGTGTAGGTATCATAGATTCAACATTTAAAAGTACTTCAAGTCTTCTTCTGTCTGCAGAAAAGAAAAGAAAAAAAGGGAATGACTGGTTCATGTCTGCAATACTAAGAGTGTACAAGTCACACAAATGATCAATTTCTCAGCTTAATATGAATAGTTCATTACCTCCCTGTCTAGCTGCTTCCTTTGCTCTCTCTAGCCATGACCGAGCAAATGATGCTGCACTAGTCGTCAGTTCCCGCAGCTGTAAGAAGTCACAAAGAAAGGTCAGGGAAAAAAAGAGAAAGGAAATAAACTCACTGTAGCAAAGACAGAGAAGTATTGAAGTGGCATAGCACAAGAGATATGATGCTGTTGAGAGTTTCGGTAATCATACATCTGCTTTCTCTTGGTCGCTTTGTGGTGGTATATCTGTCACCCATTCAACCTCTGCAACACGATACCTGCATGATGAAACATGCATGGAAACAAAGTTAGACAACCATGTTTAATCATCACACATGTTGAAAAATAATGGAACATTGCGATGCAGGAACATGTACATATCACACTCTAACACGAATAAAAAGACTATGTCAGAACACTATGACAAAGCTTACCCATCTTGATCCCAAGCTTTTACAATGCGACACCTTCTATGGCTTTCCAGCTGAAAAAAAGCAGATACGAAGTTGATCATTTGACAACTTACACATGAAATAAAGCCACCAAATAAGTAATAATATTCACCTCCAGGACAAAACGTCCATCCGGCAGAGGATCACACCTGTGTAATTCCAAAACATTAGAAGACTCTGTGTGAGTAATCGCAATATAAAATCATAAAAACATTATATATCATCAGAAAGAATGAAGCAACAGACTCTGTGATTTCAACTTCGCAAGCAACATCCACTGGAGAACCTGTCGCAGAATCAAGAGCTACCTATGAACATCGGAATAGGCAGACCTAACTAGTCAGGAACCTTTTGTGAACGTCTAATGAAGAAGAAAGAAGAAAAAAGACACAACACCCACCATTCCCATCCGATGATTTCCCTCCATAATTCTTCTCACCTGTTTCAGTTAACACATATTAATCAAAGTACATGATAGAGGAGAGATTCAGGAAAAAAAAATCTGAATGCAAAGAGCAATACTACTGCAAGCTAGAGTGAGTTTTAATCTATTATCGCTTATTTAGAGACCCCTTTATCTTGTCTTCACTTGACTTGGGACTTTTTCCCCCTAAAATTCATATGTTTTTACAGACTTTTACAACAACTAATACGGTCTAAGATCATTTAAGATTTTTGTGTCAGCGCGCCAGAAACGAACTAAATGAGCGTCCTGTCGCTGCAAAGCTACTTAAGTTCTACAATGTACAGAGCCGTATAATAAATTGAAAGAACTCACCATAAGCCGATATCGCGGTTCGAATATGTGAAGAGACAACTTCTGACAGGGGATGATCACATCCATGACAAAAAGAGGCATACTCTCATTGCCTAAGTGAACCAGAGTGTCTTGCTCAGATTTTCTTTCAGCATACTCCTCTGGAAAGTTTTTTTGTATGATGTTATTCAATGTCACACTGCCAACACATAATTGCTTCAGTAGAAGAATTTTGAAGCATAAGCGTCCAAGACACTAATACATGATATGTCCTTGAGCTATACAGAGAATAGAGAGGATTGCAAATATGTTTACCTGACAGCGCATGTTCTTGGAGTCATAAAAATGACAGTTCGACATAGTGGACATTTGTTCCCTATATTCCACAAAACGCTAATAAGCAACAGAATACTAAAAGAAGAAAATTTCAGGAGTAAAACAACAATCAACCATATAAACCCACCGCGATCCATCGACTGAAAGAGACATGATCGGCAGAATGTATGCCCACATGGCGTTGTAGCAGGTTCATACAGCAATTTCAGACAAACAGTGCAATCAAAGTCATCAGACCGCTCAGCCTTTACATGGGTCTTTCTCATCGAAGTAGGCACAACCTTCTCCAGTTCCTGAAGATTGGACCGGAGAGGATCGCTTCATGCGATCAGAAAAAAAAAAAAAAAAAACAAACTTTAAAAACGACACATTTGATTAGGCATCAATTCAGTCAGTAATGGCACACATAGACTACCGTACCTAAAGGGATCAATCTGTAGACCTGAGAGGATAGTGTCTCGTGCAACCTCATATCTTTCTAGCTACATAATTAAAAAAAATTTGACACATGTGACATGAAGTAGACCGGGAAAGATTTGTTGACGAAAACAAAAGAATAAGTCAGCACATACCAACATGAGGGCACAAGCCTTTGTAGTATATGACTTCACAGAACTGCTCTGAAGATTCATTAGCTTATCAGCATCCTTAAGAGCAAGCTGTAGAAATATCAAGTTTTACAGGGTGAGTCAGAGTCGATGAATTCTACAAACTGCTAGTAACAGGTCAAGCAAGTAGAATACATACTTCCCCAAGCATCGACATATCAAAACCATTCAGAGGTCTATATTCAGAAATTGATGCAGATCTCTGCTTCAAATATTGGCCAAATCTAAAAAAGAAAAGATTGGGAGATGGAGAGAGATAAGAATATGTCAGCACGGTGTAATATTTATGAACGAGAATATGGACAAAAAATAGCTACACAATCCAAGATAATCGTTTATCATCATAACAGCAAGACAACTCCACTGGAAGTTAATAAAAAAAAAATGAAACGGGGTTTTATGAAAGCTTAACCTTATATAAGCAGCACTTCTATTGCCAAGAACAATAGGGTCAAGATGCTTAATAGAATTGGCTTTTGAATAACTGCTAATCGCCTGGAAAAAAAAACACGTTATTGACAAGAACAGAAGATTTGTCTATACTCATTTGAGCTTCAGCATCAAAGCTTCAAACTACCACGAGGTTTTATCACTAGTGCTACTATCAATATCATGATCACCAAGAAGCTACAAGAAATCCAATAGAGACCAAATGAATTTGCTATTAAAGGATCTAACAATTTACTCTTTCGTTTCAGGCAATTCCCAATAAGAAGAGCAAGAAAAAAAAAATCAAAAGAAATAGATTCACCTCTTCAAAGCGAGATTCTTTGAATGCTTGGTTTCCCTTCTCTACAAGTTGAAAAACTTGATTGTGTATGTCTAAAGGTAACGAATTGTCAGCTTCACTGACCTGGGAAAAATCAAGGACAAAATTCAACATTGATCAAACATTATGAACAACCCCTAAAAGGCAATAGAGAATCAAACAATCCGAAATTAGAACATGCATTGTGTTGGCAATAATCCGAAGATATCGAATAATCGGAGAACTCACCAGACCATAGTTTTCGACATCATCCAAACCGAAGAAGGAGAATGCCGGAAGAGAGTCTTCGTTCGACATGGAGCTGATTGATCAATCCAAGGAAGAAATCCCAGAAAATGGGAAAGCAAACTAAAAACTGGGGCGAGAAATTATGATGGCAAAGAAAGTGAAAGGAAGAGTATCGTGTACACTTGTGAGTCCTTCGTTTGTAACCACGGACTAGAATCCTCTTACGTGGTTATTCTCTCTCCAAGCTTCTTCTTTTCTTCTTCTTCTCTCTCTCTCTCTCAGTAAAGGTGAATCCTTTGTGTTTGTGTATCTTCCTCCCGATTGTTTGGGCCGGAAAACAAATTGAATTAACTTGTTTTGGTGAAATCGAATCGAACAAATAATTAGTTTACGCTTTTATAGAGTCAAAACAAACTCTTGGGTAAATATAAAATCTGGTCAAACTAAACAAAAATGTTTTTTTTCGGAAAGCTAAAAACATAAAATATGGAAAATCAAAATCACTAAAATTGTAAATTTTCTATTTACTTATATGTATCACATTGACGTACGTGTGTTCTGAGAGATTGATTGAGCTATATATAGTATCAGACTGAAGATTTAACAGTGTCAGATGCAGCATCTTTCTCAACATATAGTTGTGACTTGTGAGGCACAACACTTGTAGTTGTACGGTCTACTAAAAACACTTGCTTTAAAAACTATCATCATCAATATTCTTATGCTTCATAAGAAAATTAATCTTTTGATCCTCCTATTCTAGCAATTGAAAGTTGTGAACTTTCTATGGAGTCGTTGATTGATGCTTACTGTTAACTGGAATCAGAAAAATCCAACGAGTACAAAGGGAATGAGTAATCCACCGTTCAATGTGAAATGTAGAAAGCATCCAACGGCAATATAAGAATCTGGGTGGTTGTCATCATAAATACGTCAATTATTTTTATTTTTCTCTAGATGAAAATTGTTAAAAGAAAATGAAAAATGTCTTCAAGAAAAGTGTTTTTGGATGGAGCTATGGAACTAGTAGTAATAATGCAAGACTTTTTTTCTTCTTTTTTAACAAAAGGGGAGTATTAGTTTTCCCATTTTTCCAGAGAGTATTTAATTAACCCAAAATTTTCCAGTACAATACCAACTAAACTTGTTAGGAGTAGAGTAGAGAGACTGTGTAAGTATTAACCTCTAATAAGACATCATTGTTCTGCAGGATCTAAGCAAAAAGCCTCTCTTTTTTCACTGTCTTCAATGCAGTCTCTCTTTCTCTCTCTTACTCACAACTCTTTTGATAGCTTCAAAACTTTCTCAGTCTCTTCCATTCTCTCTCTTCTCTCTTTCTCTCTCTCTCCCTCTCTGCAACAAGCTGCATCCGAATCCGGCGCTTAGCTCTAGTGCAACGCCATGGCAGTTGTTGTTCTTGCTGTGATTTTGTTGGCTATGGCTGGTCACTCAAGTAAGACAATTTCTCTGTTCAATTCCTGAAAAGTTGAAATAAAATAACCCTTCTCTTCTCACATGGATCCTCTTTTTTTTTTGCTGGGAAAAAGATTCTTTTGTTTTTTGTTTTCCTTTTTCTTTCTCAAATGCAACAAACCACTCTTGTTTTATTTCAAAACAGTCTCAATCAATTTCTTAGTTCTCACAGTTTGAATGAAATTTCCTAAAAAGAAGGACTCTTTCTTGCTTTGCTCATACCTATTTCATAAAAAAAGCTGTTACCTTTATGTCTGTGGTGTACAACAATCTTGTGCCCTCTTGAATTACACATTTAGGTTTCATTTCACACATTACCAGTGAATTAAGAGCTGAAGAAAAATATGTGTGGTCATGAAAGTGTTGTGGCTGTGTGTATAGGTGGGACATGGTGTGTGTGCAGAGAAGGATTAAGCGAGGCAATGCTGCAGAAGACACTGGACTACGCATGTGGTGCAGGAGCTGATTGTGGACCTATTCACCAGAACGGACCTTGCTTTAGCCCTAACACCGTCAAGTCTCACTGCTCCTACGCCGTCAACAGTTTCTTTCAGAAGAAAGGTCAGTCTCAGGGCACTTGTGACTTCGCCGGCACAGCCACCGTGTCAGCCTCTGATCCCAGTGAGTCTCTCTCCCACCAACCTCTATGCCTTCATTCATTAGATTTAACTCCAATTTCCAAAGCAAATGTGTTGAGACCATCTAATTCACATTTGGTAACCCAAATAGGTAAGTAGAGTAGAGTATTCAATTAACCCAACTTGATAGCAAATCAGAGAGGATAGTTTTATATTATCAAATCTAAACTTCACATGTTTCAATGTGAATGATAAATATCCATTATCTTAATATAAATTAGCACACCTCAAGATTCTCTACACAGTTATTAGAAGATATAATTTGTTAGTAACTGTTGTCTCTTTGTGGTCTTATTCTTATGATAGGCTACACTTCTTGTCCTTTCCCTGCAAGTGCCAGGTACACAACCTTTCTTTCATTCTTGCTTGCTTGTAAGTGTTTCGAAACAAGAATTAGCTTTGATATGATAAAGAGGATCTTGGCTAACAGGACAATCTCTAGATCTTTGTTTAAAGTTGCATTAGCTGATAATCTCTCTGGAGATTTTGAGCTGTGTTTGTTTTTGTTGTTGTGTGCCCCATTTGATGATGTAGTGGTAGTGGGACCACGACACCAGTGACGACAACACCTTCGACAAGAATCCCTACGACAACCAATACAAGACCCTACACAGTCACACCTTCAGCAGGAGGAGGATTGGGCATTCCGTCTGGAACTGGGGGGTTTAACCCAGATTACACAGATCCATCCTTTGGATTCAGACTCCAAAACCCAAGAGCTACTCTGTTTTTGTCTGCATTCGTAGTCTTCACCTTCTCACCGTTCTACTTGTTGGGCTAGCTGACCGACAACTAAGTGATGTCCTTGCATAATTTGGATATGTGGATCATGTGAGTGTGGGTCTCTCTCTCTACTGTAATGATGGAATCTTTGGAGAGAGAGAGAGAGACATTTGGGTGGACTTGTTATGTTCCATCCATCTTTGTCTGATCTTCTTTTAGCTGTTTCCCACTTGGCTCTGAAAAATTGTACATTTTGATTTCAAAGTAAGGAGGAGTTAAGGTTTTCTTCACCGGAATCGTTAAAAAAAACTAGATACTTGGGCAAATCTAATTTTGCAGTGAGAAAATGGTCTGAGAAAACTTTATCGATTTGGTTTTTACGAGTTTTTTTCTTCTTCTCAAACGACGAGTCTGTCTCGATTTCGCCGCCGATTGACCAAAACTTTGTGAACCGAAACGATTTTAAGAAAAAACACTTTTAAAGGATAAAAGCGTCATTCTGGCGGCTTGAATGCTTGATCTCAGATTAATTAAGGGCAAAATTGTCATTTAACGATTAATACTTCCACCAACCAACTCACTCTCGTCTCAGTGACTTTTTTTTTTCTTTTTTTGATTAATCGATCCTACAACCAGCAGCTGAAGACGACCGCCGGCGATTTTTCCGGTGCAGATCTCTGTTCCCGATCTTACGTCGTCAACCTTTGCTTGCTTTCGGGTTTTAATGGATTTGTGGATTTGTTTCTTCTTAATCAGCGATTTTTGATAGATTTGTTCCCTCTTTTCACCTGGAATGTTAAAATCTACAAAGCATTGCATCGAAACACGTTTCCTTTACATTTTAGCTCTTTCAACGTCTTAATGTGTTGATGGAAGCTATATGAGTTTGCTGGTGTATATGAGTTATAGAATGATTCTCTATTAGATCTCTATAGTTTGATTGTCCATGCCCATGATTCAGAATATGTCTTTTTTGGTTTTTCTGCTCTTACACAGTGACGTGAAAGGCCGAATCGAACGTCAGACTTATTGCAAACTGTTGTTGTCTCTCTTGTGGTTTGCAGCTCCAAAGTTTAATGGAAGCATTGATAACTTCAAGGGTTGTTCCAGTTCAGGTTCCTTGTAGAAAGCTCTCAACACTTTCTGCTAATTCTTCTTGTCTTGAGTTAAGGAGATTTCCTTGTAGAGGTCGTGTCTCGTTCATGAACCATCCCAAATTGCTCCGTCAAGTGACTGCTTCTGTGCAGCCACAGGAGTTGTCGGCTTTGGGGCACGAAGGCAACACTGTTCCTTCTAAAGGTTATTTACTCGTTACATTATAATCTGTTGTGTTTGGTTTTAGGGAATAACATATGGGTACATGGTTGTGCAATATGTTGGCCTGAGCTGCTTTGTGCTAGGAGATATGATGAGAAAGAGTGATGAATTGAATAAGAAACTGATTAAAGTTTTTGAATTGCTTATAGTTATATAGTTTTGGAATGAGTTTTGCATCTGAATTTGTAGTTTTGGTTGTTGGTTTTTGGGAAATTGCTAGAAATTCTTGATCTTTGGAGAAGTGCTGAAGCGGTATGCTTCGATGTGGATAGCACGGTTTGTGTGGATGAAGGCATTGATGAGCTTGCAGAGTTTTGTGGAGCTGGAAAGGCTGTTGCTGAATGGACTGTCAGGTTTGTGGTGGTGGTCCATCTTTAAGGCAAATATATAATAGAGTTCTGATGATTTTGCGTTGGCTTTTTGACCTGATCAAATTGGGTATTGCTTTGTTAGAGCAATGGGTGGATCTGTTCCATTTGAAGAAGCTCTAGCCGCAAGACTTTCTTTGTTCAAGCCTTCCCTTTCGAAAGTTGAGGAATTTCTCGAAAAGAGACCCCCGAGGTACTGATTTTGTTTACAGTTACCGAAATTTTTGATTCTTTAATATGATTGCGAGCTGTTTCCCCTTTGATTCACTCTGCTTCAAGAAATCATTTCGTATACAAAGATCGAACTTACCTGTTGGTGTTGAAATTTGCCCCCAAGCTCTTGTCTTGAAATATAGTCTTTGACCTTAACATCTAGCTTGCTTGATTGTCTGTCTGCACAAGATATGTGGAACAATTTTATTAACTGTACTTTGTTTCCTTGGTTTGTGTAGACTGTCCCCTGGCATTGAAGAGTTGGTCAAGAAGCTCAGAGCCAACAAAATTGATGTCTATCTGATTTCAGGAGGTTTTCGACAGATGATCAATGTACTCTCTCTCTCTCTCACTTCATTGCACTTGTTTCTTTCATGTTCTTTATTTACTATGGCCTTTTTGCATCAATTCTTGTGTAGACTACTACTACTACAATCATAGTGATAAGGTTTTGAATGAATATAATGTTCACTGCAGCCTGTAGCATCGATTCTCGGCATCCCTCGAGAAAATATATTTGCCAACAACCTTGTATTTGGTAACTCTGGCGAGTTTCAAGGCTTTGATGAGAACGAACCTACATCAAGAAGCGGAGGCAAGGCCAAGGCAGTGCAACAAATACGAAAGGTTCACCGTACTTTTCTTACTTTGCAATCTCCATACCTGTTTGTTGGAACTCAACATTATGTACCAAGGAGACTTTGTTCTTTTTTCAGGGTCGTCTCTACAAGACTATGGCCATGATTGGAGATGGTGCTACTGATCTCGAAGTAAAGATGATTTTACTAGTTGATGATTTACAGATAATAACGAGATCTCAGATGAGCAGCTAACTAAATGTATTCACTTGCAGGCACGTAAACCTGGTGGCGCGGATTTGTTCATATGCTACGCGGGAGTTCAGCTTCGTGAAGCCGTTGCAGCAAAAGCAGACTGGCTTATCTTCAAGTTTGAGCCTCTCATAAACTCGTTGGACTAAAAAAGCCTCTTTATTGTGATTATTTCTCATTGATTTTTTAAACTCATTATTCATATCTCAAAGCTCGTGACTCTTTTTATTTTATTTGAATGTGTGAAACTCCATTGAATCAACAAAACGATTTTGCCAACTTTAGCCGCTTCATCTGTTTGTTTAACCTTCACCGAACATTGTTATAACAAAATATTGGTCTTCATGAAGAGAGAAAAAATTCAAATCGCAGACTAATCAATCTCGGTAGTAGACATTTCTGGACTGCCAGTTAACGAACAAAGCTATAGCCACCACGGCCGAAGCCACCACGGCCGAAGCCACCACGGCCGAAGCCACCACGGCCGAATCCATCACGACCACGACCACCACCATAACCTCCTCTTCTACCACCACCGCCTCCTGAATCAGCTTGGCTCACTCCAATTATTCGCCCATCAAGTTCCTGGTAAAGCAAGAACTCTTATCAGACAAAACCAAGCAAATAAAGAAAAGACAATCCCATTGGTGCCTGAAGCAGCAAGGCAGTACCAAAACATTAATCTGTTTGCCAAAGAGAAAATGAGATAAAACAAATGATTTTCACTTCACAATATCAAGCTGGAAATTATCTTATCGACAAACGGGAGATACAGGACTAGCATTTACAAGCTTAGATGATATAATACACAAACTGGTGTACTAGAAACTAATCTCACAAAGCCAAAAGAAGCTGGAAATTTGGCATCACCTGTTCATTCATATATTGAATTGCTTTATTAGCAGCATCGATGGAATCATATGTTACGTAACCAAATCCCCTCGATACACCAGTTTCACGGTCCGAAACCACTACCGCTGTGATGAACAAAGTATATATTAGTCAGCAACTTTTGAGGAATACAAAACCAATGGAAAAATGATTCAGCTGCTGGCTACCATTAACAATTTTTCCAAATTTGCCAAAGACTTCTTGCAAGACATCTACATCAGTGGTTGGTGAAAGACCTGCAAAGAAGCAACATACTAAGACAATCAAACAGAAAACCCTCAAAAGAGAAAACTCTCTCTCAAAACAGATGATATTATAAGTTTTCTGAGTCTAACCTCCAACAAAGAGTTTAGATGGAGTCAAAGAAAGATTGCCCTGTAAGATAGCGTTTGAGGCCTGCAACGCTCTAGGCTGCCTAAATATGTTTCCAGCTTTACTAAACAAACCCATGTAATGCATCTTCTTCAATCTGTAACCCAATTTCAACCAAGACCAAAATCAAACCCCAGAATGTAGAGAGATTGGTGATCACAAAGTGGAAAAATCATTAATGGATCTGTGTTTCTGACATTTATTTATTTCCAGCTAGAATCACACGGCAGTATATATAAGATTTGAGTCAAAAGCTCACAAATTCAACTCTAATCCCGTTTCTGATGAATCCATACATTGCATCACTCAGAACAGAGAAATGAAACACACATGTAGGATCCAAATCAAATCCCTTGAGTTGGGAAGAGAGGTATAGACAAGGAATTGAGGGAAAAGAAGCAACCAGAAAGAGAAAGATCTAAGCAAGGATGTAGCTTTCAGCAAATACGATCGAAATCCGATTTACTAGAGAAATTCAAACCTGAAAGCAAATGATTCTACGCACCTTTTGGGTTTCTCTGTTAATGATGATAATCTCTGGAAGCGTCTCTAGCAGCTCGCTGGTAGTGAGAAAACCCCCAACGTCTTTCAGTTCTAAGCTTAATCGTGAGAAGAAGAAAAAAACCCGACTAGTAAAGAGTCCGATTCGTGATGGGACGATCTAGTCCGTTGATTAATGTTTGAGTTGATCTTCACCGTTGGAGTCTGCTGATCGGCGACGAACCCAAAAGTTGTTGTGTTTTTGTTAAACCCTTAAAACTAGTACCGGGCAATTTGATAAAACCAGATCGAACCGAATTAAAATAAAATATATTGTTTGATTAATATAAGCCCAAAATGTTGTATGGTTTGTTAGTATAAGCCCAAAATTTTATATAATCTCAATTCACTAAAAGAGATAATCTACAAATAATTAATAAATTAGCCTAACTGTGTTTTTGTTTAGTATATCTTCCACAAATAAAAGAGAAAAAAATGTAAGAAATAGTATTTTTCAAAAACTATAGGTTATTTTTAGTTTACTATTGTTTAAAGAAAATTGTGTTTTGTTTATCATTTTTGTATTTAGATATATTTATATTTATGTAAGAGTTTTTTAGTTAAAATTTTATAATATACATTATGTTCTCATTTTGTAATTGGTCTCGAGCATCCAAAACTATGAGTGCTCCTGCTCAATTGTCTCAGCGGATCACATGTATGCATAATCAGCTCTTGATTCATATAATTGTAACAAATAGCAAGTTTATGGATTCCATAGATGCTTAAAACTTGTATTGCAAGTAAATATTGGATGTTACCGTTAAATTGTAACAAGTAACAAGTCTACCGGATTTTGTTGACCTGGTAAGTTGGGACAGAAGTTCGTGGAAAATTTCTTGGTTCACAACTCATGATAGTTTGAGTATAGATGCAGGCTCATTTAAATTGGACAAAAAAAATTGATATTGCATGTTACAATGGAATTGTGCAGCTGTTTTTGGACTCTTGTTTTCTTGTGTGCTTGTGCTTCCAGACAAGGCAATAGACTTGCTTGACATTGCATGTGCCAATGTTAGCATGAAAAAAGGAGCTCAGAAGAAGAGATTCATAGCTTTTTTGTAATCTATGGCTTGTATCAACTGGACTCACTGATTGATCATCTTAGAGTTCTAATGAATTTGGATGACACAACAGTTGATCATTGCACTTAGAACATAATCACTGATTGATAGCTCTCCGGATGGTTTTGTTAGGTACCTTGGACATAGCAACGGTATTGAAACTGTGAGTAAACAGCCAGCGTTGTTGCTACTCATCTTTTTGAGCATGTTTATCGGTTGAGATTGAGCTCAAAAAAGCATTAAAACAACACGTTTGAATAATCTTTCCACATCTTAAACATATTGGTGAAAGACGTCCATCTTTTGTGCAATTAAGAAAATATAAAGTTTCCAAAAAACTAATGATGACATCGATTTAGGTGTAGAGCACATGATTTTTTGGTTGTACAATGTGTAGCACAAAAAATTAGATGTTCCAAAAATATTGTTGGTATAAGCCTCATTTCCTTAGATTTGTTTTCATTGCCAAAAGAGTCAGGAGAATACGAAGAGGAGCTGCAAAGTGTAGAAGAATCCAATGAGAGCGTTGTTCTCTTTCTTGATGATCTTCACACACTTATTGGATGTAGCAGCGAAGAAACTATCAAGTGATGTCACATTGGATGAAACTATCAACATCCTTAGAGGATTGAATGAGAAGTAAGAGCAGAACCATAATACAAACATTGAAGACGAGGCACTCATTGTTGCTGCTCAATTGTCTAACCGGTATATCATATCACAGGTATGCATAATAAGCTCTTGATTCACATAATTGTATAGCAAGTTTATTGGATTCTATAGATGCTTGAAATTTGTATTGCAAGTAAATATTGGATGTTACCGTTAAATTGTAACAGTTTAATTGAATTTGTTATCTGCTGAAGTTGGGACATACACAGAAAGAAAGAGAGAATCATATACACAGGACTTTTGACTTGTATTATTAATATATATACGGCTTTAGAATACAGAGAATGAAAGAAAGAGCATACGGATCAGTATCTACTTATCCGCGAAAAACATTCTTCATCTCCCTGAATTTGCTTGCAGCCGACCAATCTCACCATGCACGATCTCACTCACCAGATCCTTGAAAATAAGCCTCTCTAAGTGAAGCACTAAACTAGGGATTACATCATCAAACTCTGTCCATTTCCCAGATCGAATCGCCATATCTTCATCCAACATACATTTTACGAAGTCCTCTTCTTGCTCCTCAAACAACAACAAGTCATCTGATCTTTTCTTGGCTTGATTTTGCACTGTTTCTATCTCTGAACATAGTTCTTTCAAGAGTTGTTGCGCACTTAAGACCCTCTTCTTCGCTTTAGCTGACTTCATCCATGGATCTGCAGATCCCTCAACAAAAGCTAACTTTTTCACGAGCCTTTCATTAACAGCATCGAACACAAGTTTGCGGTTGAGCTTCTCGTTGCTGCTGCTGCTGCTTCCTTTAGTTTGCTCAAGAACGAGGAATAGCTCAGGATTGATAGGGTGGCCTGAAGGGTGCAGCTGAAACGTCGTTAATTCTGAGCCTAGGTCTCTCAGGAGAAGACCCGAGGCTAACAGAATCTCGGAAATGTATCTGTGATCAGTGTTAGGATCATTGTTCTCGCATAGTGATGCAATGTAATCTTGGCTGGCTTCGTCATGGCTAGAGTTGAGTCTTTTTAGCTTTTGAACCAAATGCTCAACATTCTGAAGCTTCTTTCGGTTTATCTCTGGCGAAAAGCTGGTTGTTGTCTCTGAGAAGCTGTAAGCTGGATTCCACTGGTCTTCTTCGCAATTACCACCTGTTACATAATCAGTTCTCAATCACACATCGAAGAAGGAAAGTCAAAGTTGCAATAAAGATGTATATAGAGAAGTCTTCTGCCTTTACTGGCTTGCACATTCACAGGAGATGGTTTGATCTCTCTGTAGATTGATGCACTGAGAACAGACACTGGACTTGGATGTTCCGATGATCCATCTTCACTAAACTCTGGACTGGCTTTCTGAAAAAAACACACACAAACAAACAAACAAACAAAAAGGTTTGGAAAATTAGCTGCTGAAACTTGTTATGACCAAACAATTCAGCAAAAGCATGAGAAACAACAACTCACTTTCTGCATTAAGTTAGAGACTACGGCTTTGGCTTCCTCTATTACAGATGGACTCTTTTCATTATCTTGTTCGATAGTCATGGTGGCCTCTGTTTCAGTCCTAGATCCATTACTCTTTTGGCGACTTTGCTCATCATTTTGCGGCAAGATCCTCTGAGCCCTGGATCTATTTCGCCTACCACCAGGAGAAGTAGTAGGTTCTTCAGGTTGTCGGTTTGTTTGTCTTCTTGATTTGCTTGAATCAGATGGAGTCGTTGGTGGGCGAGAACGCTTCTCCTTCTCATGCTTCTTCACATGATGCAATCTTGGACTTACAGATCCTGAATTCTTTGGAGTGCTTTCTTTGGAAACCTGAGAAGACCTCACGTTTCCGCTGCTACAGTTGTTACCAACAGAGCCAGGATCTTTTGCCGCCTTCCTACTAGTTGTATCTCTTTTAACATTTGCAGATTCTTCTCCGCAGGTCGCATTAAGACTGTGAATGGGAATCAGAGATGATGAAGGAATACCAGATTTCTCAACAAGCCTGGCTGGTTTCATGATCACTATTGGCCCTCTCATCACCTGGTTTTGTAGGGGTCTTGATTCTCCCATTTTATAATCTCTTTGAGGTTCCAAGTTTAAGCATTGTGGCTGCTTTCGAGTATCAAATACACCTTTTGATTTCATTGCCTCTAATATCTCTTTAATAGCTGTGAGATCCCTTCCCGAATGCTTAAACTCGAGATCTTTCACTCTTCCCTCCATTGAACGAGACAGAGCTTTCACAGGCCTGCAAGCTTGCTTTTGCGAAAACCGGTTTCTATCAGTTTGCTTCCATGGAGCTGTTTCAATGGGAAACCTCAGATTTGATAAGGGTTTCATAACAAACTCAGAGCTTCTCCATCTTGGAGAAGAAGAAGAAGAAGAAGCCTGGTCCTTCCCCAAGCTGCTCGGTGAGCTAGGAGAAAACCGGATAGTACGGTTAAGACGATTTTCCCTCAGTGACCTTGAGAAGGGATCACTGTTATCATCAAACATGTTGATTCTGTCTCTGCTCAATGGAGAACCCGGTAAAGTTTCCAAACCCATCAGCTTCGCAACAACACTAGGAGGCCGTTTCGGGCTACCTGAGACTTTGTTCATGCTAGAGCTTCTACTGAAACTTTCAGAAATCTTATTACCTGATATTAGATCAACGTGGTCTCTACTGTCCAATGAAAGCCTAGGGAACTCTTTCAGCTTCTTACCGGATTTCAACTTGTTGTGAGAATCAACATAGTAACGGGATGCATCTTTCAGGTCAACCTCATTGTAATAATGCTGAGATGTCTTTCTAAGCTTGGCTAGAGCTCTGCAGGATTCATTGAAATCGACTGGCGTGGATTGCTTCAAACCATAGGGTCTTGGAGAATCCTCTCTTCTCTTGTGTTTACATACTTCAGAAAGCCCTCTAGCTTCTCTGTACATAGAGTCTCTAACAACATCTCTAAGGTCAAGTCCCACATGTCCTTGGCTCATCACTGGATCACTCGTAGGAGATTCTGGAAAAATGACCCGGTCATACGCTGAAATTTCAGGTTGAGCTTCTCTGTTGATCTCAGAAGACAACGGGGAGGATGATGAACACGACGATGAGAAAGAAACCCTCGAAGATTCTGTTGAAACCTTTCTTAGTTTCTCGCTCGTCGCATCTCCGCTTATAGTGTTTGAGTCCTGAAACTGAAATGCAGAGTCTCCTTCAAAATTGATACTATTGACATGTGATGCATTACCTGCAACAAGACAAATCATCAAAAAAGTTTTGAGTATCATATCAAAGTTCTCTTTGTCAATAAATCCTAAACATTAAAGAGTCTAAAAGGTTAAGAGAAGTCAAAATCTACCAAAAACAAGCCAAATTAAATCTAACAAAAGAAACAGACATTTCACAAACTAGAAGCAATTCCTTCTCAGGAAATGTCAAGATAAGATCCAGCCGAGAAAGCACAGACCTTTTAGTCCTCACAGAAGAATCTAACAAGACCCTTTAGTTCATGAAGAAACAGAGCATAAGAAAAGAAGAAGAACATGGAAAAGGACATTAGTTAAGAACGTTTTAAACATATGACCATGTACAAAGTCAACGACTACGAGACACGATCTAGAACACCAAGGAACATATATTTATTGCTTAGTGGTATGAATTATGATTACCTAAAGTAAGACTTTTACGCCGGCTTGTGAGAACATGGTGACGATCAAAGATTTGGAAAATCCCATTCATACATCCGATTTTCTTCTGCAGATCCGAGTTTTCATCTGCCAATGTATGCAGAAGCTTCGCAGCCATGTGAATAGCAGAGAAGTTTAGGACAGCACTTGTAAACAGTAATAAAAAGGAGAGATGTTGAACTCTCTTTTTTCTATCTTTTGATTCGGAAACTTGACTGTGTGTAGTCTTTTTCGTCCCTACTTTAAGCTTTCGTTATTTCTCCATCAACAGCAACCACCATGGAACCATAACGAGAATGACGCACTTTCCATATTTTCATATTATTCCAAAAAAGTTCAGCTTTTTATCAGTTTAGATTCCAATAGAATTGGCCCAGACAAAGCTCAATGTGAACGCCATTGCTCTCCAGCTAATTACACCTTAAATTCCCTATCAACGACAAAAAAATGAAACAATCACATTATTTCTAGTAAATGGTAAATTAGAAAGAAGAAGAATCATTGGCATCTTTGTCTCTACGCATAGCAGAAGTTCAAAACTTAACCACTTGACGTATTGATCTTCGATCCGAATTCAGAGTCAAATTTTAAAGTCTCACGGTAACAAAAAGATTATTGGATCTCTATTTTCCACACCTTGATTCCCAAATCCCACCGGAGAGGACGAAGAGAAAAGAGACGAACCCTGAATGATCTCATCGACACTATAAAAGCTCTGTTATTACAGAACAGAAGAGGGTCTTTGTCTAACAATCACCCTGAAGAAGACTCAGAAAACGTACATTGAAGAATCTCACAAAACCAAGAAGATAAGACAGAAACTTTCAGATACTTGGAAACTGATAAAGCCAAGAAGAAGAAGCAGAAGCAGAGGAAACAAAGGAATCTCTGCCACTAGTGTTCCCCTGTTTTTTTACTCTCAGGTTCTCTGCTCAGAGAACAAACATAACATTTTCTATGTTTTCTGATGAATAATAGAAATAGAAATCAAAGAGATTAGGGAGAGAGAGAGAGAGAGAGGAAGTGGGGTTGTGGCAAGTGGATGTGGTTTGTTAAAACTCTGTTTTTTAGATGTCTCCCTCTGCATGTGACTTATGTCTTCTCGTTAAGATATCCCCACAATGTTATCTTCTTTTCTCCTTACCAGCATTTCTAATGTATATTTAACTCTTTATATAGTTGGAGAATTTAATGGAAGCTAATAAGGTTTCTTTTCTCTCTGTGGATTACATGTAAATTATTAATTATTAAAACTGTTGTCTTTTCAATACTCAAAATGATTTAGTTAGACATTAGAAAATTTGAAGCCAAAAGAGAGATTCACATGCTAATAAACAACGAAATTAGTTGTAAACGGAAACGCATGCTTTAGTAGTTAGATCACCAGCTAAGAAGAGTTGAGTTTGACTTTCCTTCTACGTTATCTCCACATTTTAGTGTCATATCACACAATATTTTTTTGTTTCCACTTGATTAGTGATTACCTTCTTTTGTTTCTTACTATTGGGAAATATTAAAACGCATAATCATTATACCATTACGTCAATTTTACAAACCTTAAAAGGAATGGTACAAGTTAAACTTGTTTGAATAGGGAGTCTAGTCTTTGATGAAACACGAGAGATTAATAGGAATTTTACAAGTTTGATGAATTGAAGTACAAGATTCGACCAGTAAAAGTTTTCTCCATAACTAACTTAAGCTATTTGTGCATGAACATTGATCACTTGCGATCAAGGAGCAATTAAATAGTAAGGACTTACTTATAGTCAAAATTCCCCTGGATCGATTTATGTGCCTTGACGACCTTAGAGTAGAAATCCCATGATTGGTGTGTCTCAGTTATGGCAGTCTGACCAATTGGATTCTCCTCTACAAATTTCTGAACGTTCTCCGCATCCACTAACCTTTCTAGGTACTTCCTTAGCTCACCATCAGGTCCTGTTCTCAAGATTGTGAATTAATTATTAGAAACCGCAGAAGATAGCTCTGGAATGGTGGTATCTTTCTTTGCAAAATTGATTGAAAGAGAATATAAGGGAACAATGTGATTCTCCAATAACTCTTTCTGTTTGATATTGCATTGATGTTGAGTAGTTAAGAAGGGAAAGACTCACCCAATGCACAATCTTTAAGGTCTGTGTACTGGTACGGGAAAGGAAAGATTCCAGTGTGCGGCTACAAGAGAGTAAGAACAATACCAACCAATGTTGATGTTTTAAGAAAATGTGAGATCGCAGACATTGAATACATAAAGCCTGACTAATTGCAAGTGTTCGAGTACTTACAGGATTACACAAGGCCTTGTCAGGTGAATCGTCAACAAGCAAAGTGTTTGTCTCATCATACTTTCGTTTTCCACAATTGAGACATGCCCCAAAACGGTCCCATACTCTTCTTAGATCCTTGAGGAACAAAGGTTTTGAGCTGTTCTCCAGAGTTTTGAAGCCTGTTGTAATGCATATACTCTGATCCTGTGTAATATATGAAAACCGGAAAAAAAAATGAATTAGAAAAAGCTCTGCTCATATGTAGATTGCATATCTCCTAGTCAAAGAAATACAATTTATATAGCTCATAGAAACTGTAGACTTATATTTCTCTAACTTTCAATGTGAACTGCATTTCTCAGAGAGAGTTTGTAGAGATCACTTACGAAACAAAACAGCAGATTTTTCCCATAGTTTCCCATGACAACGTTGGTCATATAATCCAATCCACTGTAAAAGGAGAAGGAAAGACGGAGATAATAGAGGGATTAATCTTAGCAAGTAACTTTATATTTTAAGACATATGACTAAGAAAAACAAAGTTTAAATACTGAATCAGTTGAAGACACTTACATGAGCCTGGAAGACCATATCCCAACATTAAATCTCTCAAAGCAGAAATCAATAAAACTTGTAACAAAAGGTCTCCTAAAAACTATAGAGAAGAACAAAAAGCATTACTCTAGAGACAAAGAAGCATGTAAGAACTTACAAGTGGCCGCACACTGAAATTGATTCTTTATTTACCTGATCTGGCTGATATTTTACCATCTGGAACAAATTGACCTGTATGCCCCCGAGCAATGTCTACAAGGATTCCATTCAAATCAAATACAACCAACTTTCTGGTACTTTTACCTTCGCATGAGCATCTAGGTATATCTCCAGTTTCTGGTGAAGCAACACCTTGAGCCACATTATTGAGTATTAAGACAGAAGTTGACAGAGATGTTTCAAGCTTTTCCTCGGCAGATTCTAGTTCTTCCTCATTTCTAGGTTCAGAAACATCATCCTTCTTCTCATCCATATTATCAGTTTCGTAATCTTCACAAGACTTTTTCTTCTTATCGCTCTTTTTTCGCTTCCTCTTTTGTTTAGAATCACCAATTTCATCTTTTCTCTGTTCTTTGCATGTTCCACGATACTGGAGTTCACGTATCTCTTCCGTTGCGGATTTTCCAGTTCTACTTGTCCCATCCTCGCCCAAAAACTCTTGTGCAGCATTCCTATCACAATTTTCCAAAACTTCCTTGTTTGAATGATCCAACAAACAGTCTACAGATCCACTTTCTACGGTGGCTAATAAGGCATTTCCTGATGGATCGCAGACCTCCATATCTGCAGTACTCCGATCTGTCGATGACCTTTTCTTCTTCTTGCTCTTCCGTTTTTTGCTCCTTACATCACACACACCTGCAGTTTCCATACACTCTACTGACCCGCTTTTCATGGAGGTTGCTACAGCATTTACTAATGTGTCGCAGACCGCCATTGTTTTGTTTGTTCTCCTCTTCTTTTTCTTGCGTTTAGGATTTTGAATTTGGGACACCGTATCATTGGCTTTGACATCTGCGCCCATTTGTTGTTCCACTGTAACATCCTTCGATTTCAGACGACCAATGATCACAACATCAGCAGCACTTTTGTCCTCAATACTCATCAATTTCGATCCTTCAGCTTCAGAATCGTGCCTAGCATCACATATCGTAGCAACCTCTGAATTTGTTTCAACACCACTTTCTCTTTCTTCTTTGTCTCTCTTTCTTTTTCTTCTTTGCCTCTTTCTCCCACAACAAGTCATGTTAATAGCATCTGGCTGTGAATCTTCTCGGGTTGACAAAGCTGGGTCTGAAAGAAGTTGTGCAGCCTCAGGCTTTTCACATGAATCCTGAGCTTGTTGGCATAAATCTTCACCCAACATTTTCTCTCCACACAAAGCATCCTCTTTCTTCTTCTTTCTTCTCCTTGGTTTTTTTCTATTAGAACCATTCCTATTAGCAACTGGTACCGAATCCTCTTTCGTTGATAAAATTGGGTCTATAGTAACTAGTGTAACTCCAGACTCCTCGCGTGAGACTGAAGCTCGTTGGCATGAAGCTATAGGTAATGTAGACAAACAATTCCCGGAAAACTGAACTTGAACTTCACTGGTGGTTTTCTCTGTTTCCCCCTCCTTTCTCTCTTCAAATGAAGCGGCCTCATCCGCCTTCCCAGTTTGGTTATTGATATGAGAATCATTGCTCTTCGGCTTATTTTTCTTCTTCCTCGATTTCTTCTTCTTTTTCCCCGATCTATTCTTCTGCTTATCACTCAACTCAAGATTCGGCTGGCACTCGTTTGAGTTCGAAACAGTAGCTTCTGTAGTTGTTTCCAACGAAACAGTCTCCATGGTTCCTTTTGTTTTTACTCAGATGTTGCCTTCTTCAAAGACGCTGCAGATATAAAACTATCCAGGGAAACGTTTCTTGAGTTTAGCACAAGGGTGAGACAAGAAAGAAAACAGTGATTCAAAACTTTAGTGCTACAAAAAAAAGACTACACAGAGCTCCATCAATCTCTAGTGAAGAGAACAGTGATTCAAAAACTGAGCCAAAGATTATGCATTCGATGTGAATCAAACAATCCAACCAAAACACTTCATAAGAGATGCAAATCGTCTAGAAAAATACGCAAATTCTAATACGATTGTTCTTGAAAACATGATTGGCACCAAAAGCCAATGCTTTAGCAAAATCCGTCAAACTAGAGTAAATTAGATTCAAGCATACGAGATTCAATCGACCTGAGGATACGACAAACATTTAACATACATATCGGCAACTCAACCCCCAATAATGGCTTAAACCATAAACCCAGAAGTTTTGCGTAAATCGGCAACCTTGTTCCTTCAGAGATGGGTCGAAACTTAAATCTCAAATTGAAAACATAAATCAAACTCGAAGAAGAGACGGATAATAGCAAGGTATCAAGCTCACACTCTTTTTTCTACACAGAAACAGAAGAAAAAGGCTAATGTCTCTAAAAAAACGATAATCGCATCAGAGAATTTTTCCGGCGACGGCACAAAACCACGTCAACAGTTTCTACCAAAAGCAATGAACGATGAATAGGGAAATAACGGAAGACGTTTCGTACATAAGAGCAGCAAAAGAAAGATAACCTGAAAAAAAATTCCAATTCAAAAGGCAAAGAGTATCTCTGAGCAAGACGAACACGTTCACGGCGAATTCGAGTGCAAGGGCAAACTGAAGAAGCTTCATCAATGCGTGCTACTGCTCCGTTTCGGTTTAAATTAAAAACCATAAAGTTATCAAGAACCAAACCGGTTTACAAAAATGTCTCCAAATACCAGATATTAACCATCTTTTAAATCATTTATTTAAGCGAGTCCGTAGTGCAATGACGAATTAACCCTTGAACTTCTGTTCAGTTTCACAACATAATTTCTTTGGAGAAAAAGAAGCAGAACAGACAAAATTCAGTAACTGTGAAGAAAGAAGCATTACATTGCTTGCAAATTTAATTAACCAGATTGAAAAGCAAAACAAAAAAACCTAACTCAGAGTTAGCCTGTTCTCATCCTCACCATAGTCACCACCAAAATCTGAACTTAGATTCTAAATTAAACCCATGCTATCTCCAGGCTAATGTACAGGAAAAGAAATGATGTTTGTAGCTGTGACTGTGTTCCTCTGTGTATAGCGCTGAATCTCTCTTCTGCAAATCAGTTGTTCAAAGGAACAAAGTTAGACCCAAAATGATTGTAGATGCAATGGCTTCACCTGTTGTTGTGTAATCTAGTGGTTCAGTCAAAAAAGGACTTAAAAGACGTTTCCCCACCTTTGTCTTTCTGTAGCCTATGACTCTCCAGGTCCGGTCTTAGTAGCTCCAACATCAATCGATATCGCATTTCTAGATTCTAAAGACGATTCATCTGTCTGAGCAACTGAAGATGGAGCTGTATCCACAGTGACCTGCACAAAGAATTCAGTATTTTGCAGTAAATAAAAAAGCATAGTCATGCATGTCAAGAGTAAGGAATGTTCTTGAGGATATGCTATATAAAATCACCATATCGAGCTGAGTTACATCAGATGTAACGATAGCAGTTTCTGTTTGGTGTGGTACCACTGCTGCTGCTGTGTTTACATTAACATCCACGCCGTTTGATGGAGTACATTTGGCTTCAGTAGCATCAGCTTGATGATTGCTCCAAGTTCTTGACATCTTTGATCTGTTATCTTCATCGCCGTTCGACATAGCTGGCCTCTTTCTGCACAACACATAGATTGTTCACATTCAATGCACCCAGCAGAAAAGAAAAAGAAAAACCTGAAAAGAAGAAACTAATTGAACCACTCGCCTACTAAAGCTTTGATCAGTCGCCAGAACGGAGTTGTGCTTGGTTGAAAACAAAACGCCACGAAGCACTTTTCCATCTATCATTGTTTCTATACTGTAACCAACAGGGAAACTCTCGGTTAACCTGGCTTGAAACATCATCTTCCCTTGCTCAAATTGGCCAGTGTTCAAACCGAAACTCTCTATCCCTACAGTTAAAGCACAGGTTAGTGATTTCCTGCTACAGAAAAATGCATACTTTTAAATGTTTCAGTCTAATCTTGACACAGACCTTGATGATCCATATTGATTCTGACAAGAGAATTATCGTATAAGGAACTTGCTTGACTTTGTTCTTGGCACTTTAATTTCAGTTGCTTCTTTAGAGACATCTTCCCTAAATTCTGATCAAACCTTGCATCATATCCAAGTCCTATTAACCAAAAAAGTAGAAAACGATTAGTAAGGAGATGCCTCGTGATTTGGCAACTAGCAAGTTGAAGAGAGGAGGTTTGTGGAAACCTGTGTGTAAGTAGAACATGTCATCCAGTGCCTCGAGATTCCTATTGCAGCCACCAACGATGACGAGAAATCCAGCTTTGTGAGGATCTAAACAAGCCCCTGCAGAAGAGAACCTGGCAGATGGCCCTTCTCCTATGGTGAGAACCTTTGACCACACACACGTATCTACACGTAAGAACGACGAAGAAACAATTAACAAACAATGTGAATATGCGTAATCATCCGTCTCAGAGACACAGAAACCAATATGACACTAATACACTGTAGAAAGCATGCAAGTTGATACGATGGCTCATCCAAAACCCTTTGCCTCAACAGCTTTATTCCGGACAAGAAAATACAGAGAGGAAGGACCAAAGCCAATCTGCCCCACAAGTACTAAACTTTGCTATTGAATGATTGTCTCAGTTTACATACCGACATCAAGCACATAGAGATCATCGTAAAGATTCTGAGCATCCGTAAACCCTCCAAACACATATAAGTTCCTCCCAAGTGAAACAGTAACGTGACCAGCTCGAGGTGTCAACAACTGGCCTGAAGTATTCAGCTCCTTCCACATGAATGTATCTGAAATTCAAGGTTAAAAGAACATAACTTTAAGAAATGCTTTTGCACCTGTATCAAGGATAACCTTCAGACAGAAGACATACAGTAGTAAGGTTAAAAGAACAGGAATTTAAGAAATGCTTTTGCACCTGTATCAAGGATATGAACATCGGACAGATAATAGTCATGTCCATCTTCACCACCTATAACGACGATTTTGTTCTTCCACGACGAACAAGTGTGGCTATCTCGCGCAGATGGAGGATTCCCAAACGTAACGGCACGTTTCCACACATAAGTCTCTACACAACCGTAAAGCTGATTAAATTACTTGTTGCATCCAAGAATGAGCACAAAAAAGGTATTTTAAAACCTCGATATTAAGGCAAGAAACATTATGGTTTACAGTTTTTGTTTCGGAGTAAGTTAATCTACGTAAGATTTCTTATCAACGCATAAGAGAGTGTGATATGGAAAGATTCACATGCCAATTGAATAAAGCCATGCCTAAAACAGTACCTGTATTAAGTATGTAAAGGTCATTATAATAGATTTCGTCATTAACATCAGAAGATTTCCCACAGCCACCAAATACGAAAAGCCGTTTACCAACCAGCGTGGCGCTATGACCTTCTCTTGCCTCAGGCCCCTCTCCCCTAACACTCTGACATCTCCAAGTATGTGAAGCTGAAACCACAAACGGAAACAACAAACCAAACTGAGAATGACTTCTTGAAACAGGATGAAGTGAAGGCTTGAAATACACAAAGAAAAAAAGCTTACAAGTATCTAGAATGTACAAATCCTTGAGAGGTTTTATCCCATCAGTGCCACCAAACACGAAAAGGTTGTCGCCGACTGTTGTACAGCTGTGACTGTCCCTAGGAGGAGGAGGTGTGCCACTGATTATTGGCTGAGTCCATATCTGCTTTGCTGCAACAAAGATCATCACTGTGAGAGCAAGTAAACCACAATAGACAAGCTCAAAATCATATTAATACAAAACACTTACTCAAAAGGGGCCAAACCAAAATCATTCAAGTACGACGAAATATAATGGATTAAAGGACAAAAGCTTTCAATATAAAATGTGCATATAAGAAAATATGGTTATTTCTCATACCAAAATCAGACGGATTAAAAACTCATTGAGGGTGTAATTTCCTACATTGAAGCACAACATGCAAGATGAACAAAAATTCACAGGTGCAAATCAATCTCTAGATGATTGACAGAATCGTGACAGAGATCAAACGATAGAGAGAGAGAGAGAGAGAGCAAATAAAACAAAGATTCAGACATTCTGCAAATCCAAAATGGGAATCAACCTAAATCCGAAATGTTTAATAAAGAACTAACCTGCGTCGAAAACATGGACTTGATTGGTTTGGCAATTATCTCTGCCATAGCCACCGAATACGTAGAGAAAGCTACCGCCTTTAATGGCGTTACAAGTGTGTCCCCACCTCTTTCCGGGCCCGGAACAAGACTCACCGAGACCCACTTGTTGATGTTGTTGTCGGACCCTTTCCCACCTCATTTTCCGGGCGAGAAAATTCCTTGCTGGGTGAGAAAGTGCGGGAAAAATGAAAGGGTTTTTTGAGGAAGATGAGATAATCCGAAATCCAAATATTTCTTATGCCGATTACAGATGACAAAGGTGCTTCCTTTGTTGCTTAGGTTTTTTTTTGTCCTTTTTTTTGCTAACAATGGTTATCGCAAAAAAAAAGAGAGAAAAATGAAAAATTTTGGCGAGGAGAATAATACAAAAAGGAAGAAAATCTTGCAGATTAGTTTACAAAGCGCGAGCTTCCTTACTTTTCGTATTACGTGGCACATTCTTATGACGTGTCGATTAATAACTGGTAGATTTTAGTCTCCTAAAATAGTGAAATGGGCCCCCGAGGGTCAAGGAAATACGTTACAAGGATCTTCTTTGGGTTTTTTTTTAAAACAAAATTATGTGATTCGAATAATGTTTGAAAAGAAATATAAATAACCTACACTAGATACTTTAAGGAATAAGAAGGATAATGTTTTATAGCGATTTTGCATAAATAACTCTGTTAATCGACCTAATATTATCAGTAACATTATCTACAAAACTGTTAAATAAATAACTTCTTAAGAATATTTATATACCCTTATAACATGTTGTTAAAGAATTATGAGGAGATTATTTTTGGATAAACCAACTCGAATATTAGTGATATATTGAGACAAACACATCAGTACATCAACTCGAATACACTTTTCAATTATTGGATAAACTATTATTTTATGCTTCAATTTATAAATTTACAAAAAAAAAATTTAATTGTGATTGACATTAAAAGGTTTGTAATCTACACCTACAAAAATGGGTGGTAGTTTTATTAAAAAAAATAGTAATGGTTTGATATTAATTCATAATATTGAGGAACATTAATAGCAATTTAAGGTAAAAACAAATGATGAGACTAAAAAATGCAAAAGGCAATGTCTTTTGAAGATATGATCATAAGATTTTTTATACTTCTTCCATTTTTAATTATTGTTTTAATCTTTTTTTTTTTAAATTATCGTTTTGATTTTTTAATACAGATTTATGATAATATTTTTAGTTTTATCTCTATTTTAGTTTATTAATCATTCATATTAAACAAAATAATATATTAATTAGAAGTACAACCGAGAAAATAATTTTCTTAATTTATGTAAAATAATCTAAAACTACAACTAAAACAAAACAAATGAAATATTTATTTATCTGTGATTTATAAACTAAAAAGTATAGAAAATGACACAATCGATCAACTATTTAATAGAGCTGACAATCATGTTGGATAAGGTTATTAATTTACATAAACCAGACTTTTTTACAAAACGACATAACCAATCTACTATTCAGATTGACAAACATATTAGATTAGATTTGTTAACTTTTGTGTTACTATGATGATAATATATCGTAAAAAACCAAAAAAACAAAACTTTATATGAGGAACAAAAAATATAAAAATAATAAATATATTAATAATATAAAATATAGCAAACATGTAACAATAAAAAATCTAAACCTTAAATAAATAACCATGAACATACACTTGTTGAACATTTTTTCAAACATAACTAAAAAATGTTTCTAGAAATATGACAATTTTTTTTTACCATAGTTTTTTGAAATTCCTAATTTATGTAAACTGTGATAACTTTCTAGTATATTCTACCCTAAAAATATTATCAAGAGTCTAATTCTCAGGGTAAACACATTATTATAAACACTGTTCAAATTCTATAAACTTGAATAGTCATTCAAGATGAAACAGTTAAGCATATTACAGCCAGAAACGAGTTATATCTTCCGATTCCTCTAATAATTACTTTCGTTTGTTTTTTTAGTACTGAAAATTTCGTATCTAAGAATGTAAATATAATGAACAAATTAGTTTTGTCTGTGTATTCCAAGTGGCTGGCAAGATTATTAACATTTCACCATTTCTTTTTATCTAGACTCCAAACAATTTGGTCTACCGATGAGTGTAAGTGTGTCGGTTTGTGTCATATTGTTATTCTAATCAGAAAACAATTCCATACTTTTTCACTTACCCATATTTAGATTAGAGTTTTTCACTAACCCATATTTTAATTTAGACGGAAAAAAGAGTACTACATTGACAAACAAATATAATTAGGATTGCTGTTCCAAATCAGTCTAAAAGACAGACCAAATTGCTTTTGCCTTGAGATAAATAGGAATGGTAAAATCTAATAATCTTGTGAGCCAAGCACAATATGGTCTCAAAGGTTTCTTCTCTAAGATGACCAGAACCAAGCAAGGTCAGGTCAAAAGGTTTAGTAACGGAAGCGACCTCTCCTAATCCGAGCCCAAGCAATGGCTGCAACTGCAGCTCCTCCCAAGTGAGCCGAACCTGATATGTTACTGTTCCCCTGCAGTGTCCAAATTTTGTGATGTTTGTTTAAGAATCATCATCAGATTTTTCCCAACAAGTTTGAATCTTTGCAATGTCTTAATAGATTCTCAGACAAACTAAAAATTACCTCTGTTATCCTTAAAATGTCTTTTCCTATGAGGAAGATTCCCTGAAAGATAAAGAAAGGTGGGTTTTAGTTGACTTGAGAAGAGAAGCTTTAAGCTGACATGATTAATCCAATGTATAGAGTAGCTAAGAACTTACAAGCAACATTGCTGGAACCGGAATGATAAAGTCGAAGTATAGAGTAGCTGTTGGATGCAGGAAGATATCGAGCAGCATGATGGCATTCACGGCTCCACTAGCACCCTTTCATGCAACACACACACAAAAAGGAAAATTTCAATTCATTCTGCCTTGCCTCCAACAAATACAGAACATTGGATTATAGGATCATAGAACATTAGCTCAAGAATCAAAAGTTTCAGAGGCTTGATATCCAAATCAAAAGATTTTCAATGCTCAATATAAAACCATGAGATTCAAACATACCAGTCCCGGGGTTCTCGATGGATCCCTCACGAAAGCTCCTTGTCCCTGTCCACCGCATATGATTAGTCGCCCAACAAGAAAAAGGTAAAGCCTCTCCACACAAAAATTATAATCTAAGTGCAAAGCTATCTTACTTGAGGACCTAGCATGATTTGAGATAAAGGAAACTATCTAAACAATTTTATGCTGGTTGCTCTATACCTTGGGCGATGACGCAGCCATATAAGCATGGTGAATCAGGTAGAAAACAGAGCCACCAAGCGCTCCAGCAACGTACAGCTTCAAAAGGAACTGAGGGCCAAAGTTTCTTGCGATCTAGCAAGAGAAGGATGAAGAAGTAAGCAATCAAAGAAACCAATTTACTATCTCTAGCAAAACTAAAATCTAGCTGTGACAGACTCAACAGTGCTCCACTCAACAAATACAAAACATAAGACTGTAAGAGAAAAGAACTCTACACTGGTTCCAAAGAAGTAGAGTCCAATCATGTTTGAGATGATATGTCCAACATCGATATGACTGAATGCTGAAGTTATCAGAGTGTGTATACGTCCGCTCGTGAAATTGTCCAGCGATATCTGACCAAAGATCAATCAATAAGCATCTACAAGTAAAAAGAAGTCACTGATTCGCGAATGGTAAAAGGCCATTATCAAGTATCACTCATGATATATCACCAGCGTTTCATATAAAAGACATCTACTTCCCATTTCCTCACGTCAGGAATCAGAACAAGCATGTACTGAAACGAAAATCTCTCTATAAAGTTGTAAAAGCTTTGAGGTCTGACCATGAAATTATTCATCATGAATTGTTTGTCGAAGACTCGCCACATCACAAACACAGCAGCGTTAGCTGCTACTAACCCAAGAACAACGTCATTAGCTGATAACCCTTGAAGCCAGTGCTTCCTGTTAAAGGTAGAAACACAAAATGAAACCAGAAATCGATTTTTTTTTTTTTTACTTCTCTCATGAGAGAATCTCAATTCAGGTAGTAAGGATGATGAGGGACAATACCATTCACGCCTTTGAGACCCAGAAAACCCCTGGAATTCAAAACCCTTTTTGGGAAACTGAGAACCGAAGAACCCAGCTCTGGATTCCACGAGATTTCCCGATTTCGCAGCTTTGTTCCCTGAAGCGCTCGCGAAAACCCAACGAATTTTCGCCGATCGCCATAGCAGAGAAGGGTCGAAGCGGCTCGCGGGAGGAGAAGGCGGGCTCTGAGGAAGGTAGTGGCTCCGAAAATGGCGGTTCTGGGTCGGCCTATAGAGCGAAGTGAAGGACTGATGATTCGGGTGAGTGTGAGTTGTTGGGTTCGTGAGCAATTTGGTGAGACGCGCAGATGAGTCGACGACGACTTTACGAGAGAAAATCGAATTCATTTTTTTAACTTCTGAATAGTAGCAAATTTGCTCGATTAGCGAAATGCAAAAAAAGGCGAGACCTTTCGCTTAAGAAAGAAAGAAAAAGAAAAAGATCAAATTTTGATGGGAAGCGATGCACCGAGAATTTGTGATTTGCGCTCTTAATACCCAAGTGCTGGATTTGGACTACTGGGTATTGTTCAATAGTCTCTGTTCGATTTTGCTTTTACACATAGGGAGAGAGGAATCATCGCTATGTGCAGAGCAATTTGTAGCAGCTTTGATGCTTTCGGTAAAAACGTTCTTAATGCTTTGGAATTACAGACTTCCAGTTTTGTCGTTTTTACTGTTTGCTAGTTAATTTTGTCTTATCAAAAGGACAAAAATTGTTACTTTTGGAAATAGAAACTAATTTCACCGCAAGCATTGAGAAAACAAAAGTAGCAACTACAATTATATTTGCAGTTTTTTTAAAACATACACCATACCATACATCTAATATTTCATGCTACATTTTGAACAAAACAATACTGTAGATTGAACAAAAAGCAACACACAAAATTGGTGGTATTTTCTTCACATGAGTCAAGTTTATTCTCTTATTAGAATATTTACATGTTATTTTTAACCAAACAACACTCCATCTCTCTGTATAATACAAAATGCAGAGCGATTGTTCTTGTCCAAAAACATCATTAGATTTTGCTTATACCAATATCGCCAGATTGTTATCGTCCCAGCCAGTTTCTAGAATGATTCAATTTAGTAAATCAAAATTGTTTACATAATTACAAGTGATATGTTTCTTCTACGCACGTCAAAGACACTAACTTTGCTTAAACAATTTTTAAATGACAAGTTTCTTCTCTTTGGCTCTTGGTGCAAAACAGAGCTTGCTCTGTTTTTTTTCTTATTGGTTTCTGCATATTAATTTGGTATGTATGACCATTAGGAAAAAACGATACCTATTATAGTGATAAACACGCTCAACAAAAATAGTAACTCTTCCAACGGAAACTAACAAAATCAACTTATAAACCAGCATAAGGATCAGAAGATTCAGACAGTCATAGCTTGAAAACAGAAAGATCATTCACGGTGCTGAAGAAAGAAAACCAGTTCCTTTAAACTTCTCCTCCATCAAGCCATCAAGACGAGCCACCATCTCCGGAGTCAAATAATTCTGCCAATCCCCAACTTTCCCTTTCCTGAAATAAGCACTGTTGGCATAAACAGCAGGACGATCCTCTCTATCTTTCTCCCCTTTGTTAGCTTCAAGATTCTTCAAATTCTCAAAGCTACAAAGCTTCACAACTTTCTCAACAACGTTTTCTTCCTCTTCCTTCTCCGTGAATCCGTAACCCATAAACTCGGCCAACCTCTTCACGTACGGCAATGGATCAGCTCTCATCGTCTCGTACTTGAGAAACAACATCTGATCTGGGTTTGCCTCGTGAGCCTTCCAATACCCTAAAACATGATCAAGATAAGGACCGTACGCAGATAAACCTTGACAGTACTTATCAAAAGCCTCCTCAATGCCAATGACATCTCCTTGCTGTGACCTCTCCTTGTGAGCAAATGTCCACATGGAGACAAATGTGTCCTTTGGGTCTCTCCATATGTAAACCATCTTGCAACCGGATTCAACGATCGATTCGGGTAAGAGATCGTAAGGGATATGAGTCGAGAAGAGCGTGTTTCCTTCGTCGTTAAGAACATCGACGCTTGGGAAAAACGGGAAATCGATTTCGATGTAAGGCACGAACTCGTGTGGGTTGCGTTTGAGAAGTGGGTTTGTGGAATCGTCGAACTTGGAGCGATTCGCGATTGCGAAAGTTAAAGCTTTGAGCCAAGTGGTGCCGGTTTTCGGGTAGCTGCAGACGAAGAAATCGTTGGGTCGAGCTTTGAAGAATTTCTGGGCGTGGAGTAAGCCTTCGAGGAGAGGCTGTAGCCACCAGTGACCACCGTACTCGACGAACGGATCTTTTGGTCGCCACCCACTTTCGTGAGGAAGCGTGGCGATGATTTCTTGGTAATGTTTCTGGTTCTTCTCGAATTCGGACGGTGATGATGCTGTTTCCGTTGAGTCGGGGGGATTCGACTCTGGTGCAACGACGCCGTTTACGGATTTGGATTCCATAATAGATATATATGTTGCTAATGTAAATCGAGTGAGTGATGAGATTACTCGTTCGTTATGATATGCTTATAATATATAGTTTGTTGTGAGGCATTACTATATAAGTAGGTTGGTGGTTAGGAGGATTTTATTTACCAACAACGTGTTATATATGTGATTCACAGTTGCTGGTTTGGTGACTATGTTATTGCTTTTTTTTCTTTCGTTTGTAAGTAATACTGTAATAGCATGTTTTTAGTTGCATATATTTGTTTAATAGATTTTGATAATTGGTTTGTTTAATAGATTTTGATAATTGGTTTGTTGTGATGCTATTGACATCATTTTTTCGTACAAATGTACTATTTTCTCTTTTGTTATAGCCGATGGAACAAAAACATTAAATTGTTATAAGGCTTGATGATATGGAAAAAGAAATCTCAGTAGCCACAGAGTATTCTACAGCTTGAAAAAATAAATTAAATCATCCTTGATAAATAAAAATAAAAACTCGCCAAAAATAAGTATCCCTGTAATCTACTGAACCATAAGTACATCATTATGGACCCTCTAGTGTGTGATTATAAATTTTCTCTTCAGACCATAAGAAGAGAGCAACAGTCTTTAAGAGAAAACCTGAATCTGACAAACTTTCTGAGATCTACAATATTCCCCCCAAAACAAAAAAGAATTTTCAAAGTGTATAAGAGATCAAGAATCTTCAGATATGGATTAGTCTCAACTCTCGAGAGCCTTTTACTTTAAGCTGTGACACAATCTTGTAAATAAGGATGGCTCGAGTTCAAAAACCTTAACCAGAAAGGTTTATACCTACCAATGGCCAGCTTTAGCCAAGGCTTCATGTTGCCATTATAGTGTATAACAGCCGCGGTTTCGATCAAACGATTATCGATGTTCACATCGTAACCTAAACCCAAGACATGCCATCTTCTGTCTAGTGGCTCGGTGAGACCATAGAAAGCCAACAGACCTGGAGGGAGAGTCCCGAGTTTCCAAAGCGTTCGGTCTATGTTCTGCTCTTGCCAGTAATGGTACCGAGAAGTCACATTCGCTTTCCTCCATGCGATAAGATCGAAAACGTTCATACCGAAAGCCCATCCACATGCTTGTGGGTCGAACTTGGAGCTGATGAGTGGGTTTGAGAAATTCAGATACTTGTAATAACGGTGAAAGGCTTCAAGACATGTTTCCACAGCTCCATTGACGTTGTTGTGCAGATCCAAGGAGAAGAGTGGAGTCAAATCTTTCTGAACAACAACATCGTCGTCTAGGAAAACAATCTTTTCTAGCTGCGGATAGATCTCGGGGATGTAGAATCTGAGATGGTTCAGTAACGACAAGTACTTTGGGTTCCTCACTTTTGGCTCGGAATTCGTTTCTTGACTTGTCTGGTCCCCGAAATAGTAAGCTCTTGAATCTGTATCCAGCAGTTGCTTAACAACAGGAGAATATGAAGCATTCAACCAAGTAAACTCTTCTATGCTCCTAATCTCTATAGCTGATCCCTTGAAGTCATTACTTAGAAACCAAGCCTGCATAGCTTTGTAGCTCACTCGATTCGTGACTATGTGGAAAACAAGCTGTTTCGGGTGATCGGCGTTGGAGACGGTTGAGTTAACAACAACCGAGGCGGCTATCACGTTATCCGTGAAGATACAGAAATGGTAGAGGTTGTTGTCAACAAGTCTGGGTGAGTTTCTGTTCTCATCTGCTAGTTCATGGCGTGATGGTTGAGTTAACCAATCAGATGTGAGTTTGATCATCAAGCAGTGGAGGCTCTTTGGCAGTGCCTCGGCAACCGATTGCCCAAATATCGTGGTTTGAACGGTCGCTGCGTTTGCACGCTCTTCAAGGGACTGGATGTGAGATTTCATGGTCATCATAGTGGTGGCTATGTCATAATGCGCATCTTGTGCCTTGTAGATAAGAGCTGATAGACCACTAATAATCGGTTTTGCCTCATCTACTGAAATAGGTTGACCTCTCATTGCTGCTTTTGAGAGCAAAAGCTGACACCTTCTGATCTTAGAACTCAGTTCCCAAGCTAAATGAAGATTATTGTGCTCTTTGGCTATAAAAACATAAGCCTTGGCGAGCGTCATCTGCTCTGCTAACTGCCTAGAGAAGGAGGAAGCACTTGTTACCTCTTCCGTGAAGTTTAAACGAGGAGGAGATACGTTCTCGATTTTTGCGTCTCTCTCCTATCAAACACAAGAAGATCAGAGTGAGTTCTCCAAAGACACAAACATCAAAGAAACGATCTTTCATATAATGAAGATCAGAGTGAGTTCTCCAGAGACACAAACATCAAAGAAACTATCTTTCATATAATGAAGATCAGAGTGTCCATATTCCCCTTTCCTATATAAACCTTGTGAAAGAAAACGCTATGTTCTCAAGTTCAGGCCTGCCTAAAAATGCTCAACAAACTTCTTCTAATTAAATTGTCTCCCCTGTAGCATTTCCAAATCAAGGAATACGTATTGTGCTTATGTTCCCCTCAAATGTTTTTTTATGTTTTAGGAACTTGGACAAAATCAATTATGAAAACTCATCCAACAAGAATAAATCTTTACATCACCAATTTTTCTATAATAAACTACTGCATGTCTTTTTAACAGGAGAACTTAATATAAAAGGTAACCAACTTTCTTGTATTCAGATTGACCATCAACACAAAAACCTAAAGGTAATAAATATTATCAAGAAATTTCAGTCATGCAAGAGATTATTTTACAAATCGGACATAAAAATGCTCTGTTTTTATGAACTTATGCACTCACAAATCACAATAAGAATAAGAACGTATTAAACCCAAAACAAAACAAAAAAAAAATGTCAATTAGAACTACAATAGCCACCATATATTCTCAGGCAAGTAATTTATGAAACACCCAAGTGAAAATTTGCACCTTACAGTAAAGACCAGTAACCAAACATGAAAAGCTTTCCCTAAGTTTTGAAAACAGAGGTCCACATCAAATAGGTAGCTAAACTAACATTCGGTTATGGGTTCCTTTGTGAGCACATAAAATCATTTTCAATTGAAAAAAAAAAAAAAAGACTTCAATTCAGCAACTTCACTTATTCCACAGTTTAGAGCTTGATCGTATAAGGATTATCAGCACGATGAAATTTTTTGTCAGCACAAGAAAGATCCGCAATTTTTCCATGAGGGATGATCATAAGAGCGAAAAACAAATCTCAGCAACCAATCCATTTTGCTTTCAAGGAAGAGTAAAAAAAAAGGGAATAAGGAGAAGATGAGAGAAAGACATACAACTATAAGCTGAGGTGGATCTTGTTGATGATGATGATGCTGAACCATGAAGAGAACCAATCCAGCGACAGAGAAGGAACCAAGGAGAAGCCATATCCAACTCGATAATCTCCTTCTAGCTAGCCGCCGGTAATCCGCCGGCCGCCGCCTCATCGTTCGCTACTCCAAGCCGCCGAATCCTCCACGGTTTCTCCTTCCTCACCAGATTCTGAATCGATTTTTTTACACTAAATCCAGATTCGAGAAGAACACCCAAGGAATTCGAAAATCTGCCGACAGAGAGATCCAGAGGAAGAATCGAGAAGGAAGTGAATCTCTCTATAAGAGAGTGAAGAAGCGAGTTTACGATTGTGATCTGGCTTTCGCTTTATTTTCGCGTTTCTTTGAGTGCATCGAATGATTTTCTTCTTCACTGTCCAACAAAAGTTTATTTCTCCAGATCTAATTTTATTGGCTACACTGCTGTATTTGAGTGGAGATAAAAAAATAAAAAAATCGTTTTGGCTAAACTTTTTCTCATATTTCCCAAATTAGTGAATGAAAAATAATTTTGTTAACAAATGAGACCGTAATAAATAGATAAAACGTCTATAAACACCCTATATCACTCGGTCTGTGGTAGATATATAGATTTTGTGTTTGTCCAGAAACAAAAGAAAAGTATGCTGTAATAGAAGACGTATTTATTTTGTTTCTTTTTAAGCCAGCTACAAATTTATAGTCAAATCTTTAAATTCTCTAAAAATTATGTCTGGAAACAAATGGGCCGGTAGGCACGCTAAGTTATTTTATTTTTTCATAATCTCGCGATTTGGACTTTGGGCTTTTCTTTCCAAATAAGGAATCAACTGGCTGATGTAGAAATAGAAAGGACTGTATACTGACAAGTGGCGGCAACGTGATACGAAAGGTAGTGTTGTTATTGTGACATTATCTGGATAATATTAATGCATGAACAAATATAAACAGACGAAAATCATCAAAACAAGAGGTTGTAAGAGTCTTTGTTTAATAAATTTGGGGGATGTTTTAATCCCCTGACTTATACCAAAAAAAAAGAGGTTGTTGTTGCTCTGCAAGAATTCAATTATGTTTTAAATATAAAACTTTTATTATAATTACCCCAGCAAACAAAAACTATTGTATCGTTAATTAATTGCTTGTCCTGTTATGATTTAGCATCTGTAGTCGACGTTCATAAAAGTAAATAAATACAAATTCATAATTTGCATTGGTTTTTCAAATTATACAAATCAATAATGATTAATATCAATTTTTGTAAACTAACATATAACAAAGTTGATATCAATTATTGAATCCATGTTAAATTAGTATATCATATTTTCGTGTCATTTACTAACAAGTCGTTTAGTGTCGTTTCTTTTTAAAATAAACTTTAAATCGTTGATGGTAGACGTTACTTTTTTGTAGTGGAAGCAATCACACAGCTTTAAATTTTTATTTTTAATTATCACCAGAAATGTTGTACTTTAAATGGACACTCAATTTATGTTAAACAACTGGGAAAAAAGTTGGAGAACATAGAAGCAATTTAGCTTTGACGAAGCCATTGGATGGTGATTGCACCTTTTCATCAGATCGCATATTCTTTTATATTCCTGCCAAATTATATAACAGTAGTACCGACCAATTCAGCAACTTTTCAATGCAATCAGAAAAGAGTAATCGCATTTTAACTTTTATATATATATATATATATATGGTATGTGCTTAGGCATAGGTTATTGGAAATCTGAAACATCTATTCTATATCATATAGGTTATATGTGTGTTCCAGTTAAGTACCAACCAGTCAGGTTTGTAGACAAACTATATTTGAACGTTAAATGTCCGACACCACGTTCTCAAATGGTACAAAATCGTTGAACAATAAGCGTTTAGTGAAATGTTGTGGTCTATATAGGTTTGTCTTGTAATTAAGATTTTATGTAAATTAATTTAATAAAAATAATTAAAAGTATTTCAATTATGGTCAAGTTGGTCACTGAGTCCGAGTTGGACAGGGAAACATCACGAGCATATCTCGAGGGCATATTTCTATAGTTTCAAACACATTTTAAATATACTTTATATATATATATATATAGGTTTGAATAGAAAAAAATAATGTCAAATGAAAAGGAGCCAACCTTGAAAGTTTTTGATTTGATGAATAAAGTAATACATTTTTGTTTGTTCAAAAAAAAAGTAATACATTTTTGATAAAGTGATGAATTAAATAATATATACATGCATGCATGGTTAGTCCACTATTATAGATTGTTTGGTGCCACTGTTACCGCTACGTCATTGTCCTTTTAAATGTTAAGAGTCAAAAGCAAGAATGTGGCACTACGATAGAGTGCGAACTGCCAAGACCGGCAATGACTTGTGACGACCCACCACACATGCTATTGCATTATTTAAAATAAATTATATAAAATAATAATAATAATAATAATGCAATTTTAAAATATTTATCCAGACACTAACCTTTTATATCGAGTATCAGATAAAAAGTTGAGGATTAAAGGAGAAAAAGAAAATTAGGCCGCCCGGTTGATTACGTAGTGTACAAGATCATACAAGTTGTTGAAAAGACTTGTATATCGATCATTCCCGGAAGCAACCCTCGGTGTGTACTTTTATTTGGACATGAATAAATAGGATTATCTTATATATACACACCCTATATGTTATTTATTGTGTGGGCAGCTTTCCAGTAATCTGCGTCGACAGGTTTTTTTGGTTCTTTGACTTTTATTGCATCGTTAATCCTTTTTTGGCGTGTGTGTTTTAGGATGAATCAACGTCAAGAAACAAATGAATATGAGTAATCATCTCCAATGTTGGTATGTGTTTTCGAAAATATTAAGACATCGACATGCAAGTTAGAAAAATTAAATTGGATCACGCGGCTGTTATCAAGCTTCGAAACTAAACATTGGGCCAAAAGCCTAGGTAGACATACCATTTTCATATAACATATTACTTTTTCAAACCAGAAAAGACCAGTTGATAATTTAATCAGAATTTGCTAATTTTATTATATATGAATTGTTCTGGAGATACTATTTAGTGTTTTTTAATTTCTTATGCCACTTTATCGTATATATATAGAAAACAATGTCTTATAAAAGCAAAATCATTTAACTTTTTTATAAAACAAAATTTTATTAAACAAATCTCAGCTTTTACTTTTGTTTCCTGCATGCTGCTTTAAAAGGATGCAATGATCGATATATACTATAATGCATTTCTTTTTTTTTTTTTTGGTCGAAATACTATAATGCATTTCTTTTTTTTTTTTGGTCGAAATACTATAATGCATTTCTTCTTATCTTTAATCCTTGGAATGTTCAAAGAATGGCCCACTTGCTTTATGTCGGTCTCATGCCTCGGTAGAGAGTGGCATATTAAATTTAAGCTATACAATATACAAAAGTGGTTGAAACAATTTCAAATTTCTACAAATCGGATATTTTTATTAATTGGAACCAATATATTTTCGGGACGAAACTTCATATTACGTCAAACTGTTGAATGGATTTGTTTTCTTTAGGATAACTTGAGTATTTTTGGTTGGTTGGCAACTCGGAATAGAAAAAGCAAATAGAATTTTTTACTAGCATGCTCACTCCACTCCTCGCAGCGGTATTGCCACATAATGAAATATATAACATTTTTTCGTAATGACATGCCCTTATTTTGTCTTTCCTATGATAAATTTTTCAAATTTGGTGCTTTTTGATCTCCAGTGGTTAGTAGTCGATATGTGACCTTTGATGAGTCAGACAAATCCCAGGTGACAGACGTAATGCGCAGATGCTAGATGGATAATGATGTTCTGAAACACTAACATGCATGGTCAGTACAATGTTTGGCAAGTCATACAGAAATATTTTTCGGACGATGCTTAAAGTTAGATCGATCGGGACCATAAAACTTGTGGAAATGTCCAGAATCGGGGATAAAAGAGATGCATCGTTTGAAGCTAGCTAGGTCAGAAGACTAATTTGTAACATAGTATGTTGATCTTTGGAAGACAAGGAAGATATATATATATATAAGAAATTATCCTTTCGAAAGGAGGTGTGATGCTCCTGGAATTATAAGATCATATGTAATGGGAAAAAAATAAATTATATGCTCATATTATCAACCTTCACGATGCATGATGCATTAGTCTTATTAGGCTAGCCCTGGGCAATAGTGTAAGACAACCCATGAGAAGTAAATAATAGTAGTTATGTCAAAATAACGTAAATCTCATGTTCTGATCGCTACTTTGTCAAGAGAGATTGATAACTCTTTTGCACGTTTGCAATCTATGAATACTAATATAGTAGTATAAACTCATTATACTGATAATCAGGGCTAAAGCCTATAAAGCAAAGGTTTTAGGCGTCAAATTATATATATGATTTCACTGGTATGTCAACTTAATAGTAGAATAGTGGAATATCTGAATAATAAACTAGCGAAATCAATAGGATGAATAAATTGAAAATTGAATAAACTCAAAATACTAAAAATCTAGTATCCATTAGATGAATGAATTTTTTTCTAAACTAATTATAAAATTAAAACGTACGGAATAGTTAAAAAATAGCGTGTCACTTTCACTTTTTATTATATATTTAGTGGAATCACGTTTTCAAAACGTGAAAACGTGAAAACATGAAAAAGCTACATACCATTCAACCCTATAGTCAAGTTAGAGACATCACAATTAATAAATTGCTTTGGTGTAGTGGTTTCAGTTGGTGTGATGTTTCCTCTAGGTTTCAGGTTCGATGTCTCTGATAAATTAAACTCGAAACCTATGAAGCATCACACCATCTGAAACTATTACACCAAATGAATTTTCTTTTATAAATGACAAACAAAAATACACATAAGGGCAAACGTACAAATGAATCAAAACAAGAAACATACAAAAAATTATAAATGACAAACAAAAACACACTTAAGGCAAACGTACAAAAGAATCAAAACAAGAAACACACAAAAAAAACATTTATATAATATATGACATTACAAGCTACATGCATGGCTCATCACCATCGTTATTATTATTTATTATCATCATCATCATCATGGTAACATATCTATTGACATGGTATATATATATGATCATTTTGAAATGATCATGTGGGGTTCATCAGAAGATTGGCTCATGCAAAATAGTTATCAATCTCTTGAAAGATGTCTTCATGTTCATAAAGCGCCGTCACCTCGGTGACATCATTTTCATCCTCCTGAAGAAACCTCGTAAGTTCTTTCATGAACTCAGTGTTCCCAACAGTAGACTCTTCCAACATCATAAAATCTTCATCACTCAGAAGTCTTGAGAATCCGATATTATCATCGCTATTACAATACATCAAAGGATCGTTTACGGAGGAATCAGAGAGCATGGACGAAGACGGCGTAACGTTACCGTTGCCGTCAACGGCCATCTGGCAGGGAAGATTCGAGGTTGGTGTGAAGGAAGAGCTCGTTGACTTATCTGATTCGGAGTCAACGGAAACACTTGTAGTGGTAGTACTGTGACTATTAGTAGTTAGTGGGCCACCACTTCCGATAATTTCAGACAGAACACTCTGGTTGATTCTCTTTCCGAACCTATTAGCTACTCTGTTCAAGAATCCAGCCGATGATAAGCCTGATTTCTTGTTGTTATTCTTCGCGTTGTGATCATTATCAAGATCATCAGCACTCGTTATTGTCTGAATAACGTTTTGTTTCTCCGGAGCCTCCGAGACGTTTCCTGCTTTGCCGGTGCCGGAGATCAAGCTCTTGTGTGTAACCGGATCGACACCTTTCTTGATCAAACGTTTTTTGATATGAGTGTTCCAGTAGTTCTTGATTTCGTTATCCGTTCTTCCTGGTAATCCACGAGCTATAGCAGACCATCTGAATAAAAACCATAAGATTAACACTTCATATTAGTGATGCTCACATACAATATACAAATATATGCATTCAAACCCAATATATTTTGGTTTAGTTGCTTTTTTGTTTTGTGCTGAGTTCGTTTCGTTTTTATTTTATTTTTAAACACATATACTTTCACTCTTTTTGGCAAACATTATTATTTGTAAAATATAAGCGTAAAAGCGTTCATTTCTTTTAATTACAATCTATAAACGTGCAAAAAGATTTTACTCCCCCTTAATTACAATTTTCAAAAAATGTTTGATAGAGATACTAAAATGTTTGCTGTTGTAGTTAAAAACACAGCCATTAATTTAAGTTATATTCCAAACGAAAATGGAGAAACGATGGGACAATATATATTAAGATAGAGAGAGGGAGACTAACTTGTTGCCGTGAAGGGCGTGAAGAGAGATGATAGAACGTTCTTCGTCTTCAGTGAACTCTCCTCTTTTGATGTCAGGTCTTAGATAATTGGCCCATCTCAATCTGCAGCTTTTTCCGCATCTCTTTAGCCCTATACCATTTGAAACGTTATTATTAGTATTATTTTAAAAGAGTAGTAATCACCAGAAAATACCAAATTATTGAATATTCAAACAAGACGGTATAAAAATAATAATTAAAAACAAATACCAGCTTTTTCCGGGAGAGTTCGCCATCCACCTTCACCGTGACGGTTTACGTAAGAGGTAAGCTTTTGATCTTCCTCGGGAGTCCAAGCTCCTTTCTTCAACCCTAATTCAGCTTTGCAACATGGTGTCCGCACCATTCTTGATTCTTGATTCTTGATTCTTGAAAGAATCTCAGCTTTCTCGATTCTTCAAAGAATCTCAGCTTTCTTGATCTAATGCTTATCTTCGATAGAACTCGAAGGGGGTTGTTCTCATGTGTAAACAGAGAACAAGGAGGAAAAAAACGAGAACCTGAGAGTTGAAACAAAGTGTGAAATGGGGGCGTGTGATCATAGAGATTGAGCACATGATCTTTTGATTAAAGAATTCAGACATCTGTAGATCTTTCGTATAGACATCTTCCTCTTTTTCGATACTCGAGATCGTTTTACCATAGAATTAACAAAGAACGCAAACAATAGGGAGGGGTCTCTTTGCTCTGTTTCCTTACCACAAGAGAGAGATTTTAAAAGAGAACCTTTTTTTTTCTTTCGAAGAGTTGTTTGTTTCACTTGCAAAGTGAGAAACTTTGAGGAAGAGGCACCATCTCTATTTATGCGTGCTTTTGGTTTGGCTGTACGTGTGGCTGCCGCCAACGACGTCGTTTCAAAGTGATTGACACTTGGCTCGGTTTCATTCCTTGCTCAAGATTTTTCTTTTGTAGTATTTTTATTATTAAAAAATATGCTAACTTTGTTAGTGGAATTCGAGATAGACGTCTGATCTTTCATAAAATATAAATATAATCCCGTTCTTTCATTTTATTGTCAACAAATAATAATCATGAGACAGCTATTATATAATTATATTATTTATCCCATGCATAAAAAGACCGCCATTTCTGATATCATATTTTCTCCGGTTTTTTTAAAAACAGATGTTTAGAAAGTTTGTTTTACAAAAAAATAAAGTTTCCAATTCTTTTAGTATAAATTTAGTGCTCTTTTTTTTTTGTTTAACTGATGATCCATATCAATCATATAGAACAACCTATCTAAACTAATATTAGTAATTTTTTTAACTAATCGAAAAGAATTTTATTTGATATGCAAGTAAATTGAAGGTGTGAAAATTTCAAAATAGATCAATCATTTTATAATATGAAAAATATATAATATGTTTCTCTCCAATGGAGAAAGAATTGATGTACCATTTCAATAGTAATGATAATTGATAATTGAAGAGAAATATAAATTATATAAGTCGATTTTTTTGAAGATTACTTTATGGTGTATTCTTTTTCAAACAAATATATAACGTATTTTTAAGTAAGCAAAAACGTATATATGAATGTAACATTATCATTAGCAATCCTGGATGAATAGATTCAGTAAAAATTTTACACATGCCAAGATCTACATTTTATTCAAGAGTTATATAATACGGCGCCGAAAGATTTGGAACACTAATAAATAATAGTCCTGTTGAATTTTCTGTTAGATCTTTGGAAATATTTGCTTTGACTAAATAAGTCGGTCAAGTAAATAAAGAAATAACATTTGATCCAATATGGATATACTAAAATTATCGAAAGAGTTAAAAAGAAGAAGAAAACATTTCACTGAATTGGGGAAACAAATAACTTTTTTATTTCGTATACTACATTATAAAAAATGTTTTTAATTTGAATAAATGAATCACGGCACAATGTATACAAGTTTACGATAAATAATTTATCTCTCAACACTTATGATATATCATCACGATGAATACCTATATTTACGTTATACATAAGTTTCCAATAAATTCTTTTTTTTTATCCAAAAAAAAATTTGCAAGTTTTATTAAAGAAAATGAACCTTTTAAACGTAATAGCAAATGTTAATAAATAACTGTATCAAAGAGCTTCAGCAAAAATAAAAAGAACTTAACCAGTATGAGAAGGGCAACGAATAAAAAAAAGGTAAGTGTCGTTGTCAGAATGAATTTAATTCAACTGTAAAAGATGGAGTGCGAGACTTTTCTAAGTACGACTGAAATCTTAACAAGTTATTTTTGATAAATGCAAGATATTTTAAAAATCATTAGACGACAAATTTTCAAAAGAAACAATAGGCAAACGAACGAGAACACACAGAATTGAAAATTCGAGGAAGGTAGCAAGTAAGTATACAAAAGAAGTCGTATTTGAATTAGATAAACTAAGCAACAACTTGGTCACTCAAACACTGGACTTGGACTTATCGATTCATCATTCGTGCCGAGAACGACGAAGAGCCACCAAAGTGATAATATTTTTTAGATTTCGTACAATTAGTTTCCACTCTTTTCATTAGACAAAACCCCCATTAGTTAGTCAATAATGTGTGTTTTGTTTTCCAGCGAATTTGTAAAAGAGTTGGTCTAGTCTAATGTTACCATTACCAATCTGATTCACTAGATGGGGTGTTACATTCGGTCTTTGATTTGTTTATATTTAAGTTTTTTTTTTTTTTTTTTTTTGCTAATTAAGCATATTGTGAAATATCGAAATCAAAATACAATTTCGTGCTTTCAACGAAAATATAATTTATATTTGAATATTTGTTTTTTGTTTTGTTTTGAGTTAGTTGTTTTTAGATGTATACGGCTTACAGCTTATTCCAAATATAGAAAAAATAAAGTCGAGTCAATAAAGGAAACTTGCTAAAACATTATACAAACATCGAAATTCATAACGGAGCCACCATGTCTTCTTCTTGGTATCATAGTTGGTCACCACCACTAGGCAAAATTGTAGATGTTACGTGTACAAGGGGTTTCATAGACTTGGAAACATATGTTAACGGTTTCAGATGAACTTTAACGGTATTAATTGGTTCAACCGAATTGAGCCCTATTACATTTTTTTTCCCTGTTTTCTTCTGTTTCTTTAACAAATCATACGGTAACAACAATTAACAAGCTTGGTTTTCACTAACCCAACTCTTCAACAATGCTTGATCATCCTAAGAAGTGATACATAAACTGGTCTTTACAAAATCTCCACCACTAAGCAAAATTACATACACAACTAAAAATTACAGTTTATCTCTTCATTACAAACAGTTTAAAACAATCTCACTACTTGTGTTGATTATTGTCTAGACCTCCGGCAGAGCTATCGGCGGCCACGGTGGCAGCTAACTCCATTAACCGCTCATAGTCGATCTCAGTTGTCTTGAACTTGAGTTTCAAACCAGCTTCAATCCATGATCTGATACAAAGAACAGATCGTGTGCTATCATGCGGCATGCAATACTTTTGCTTATCAATCTCTTCACCTTTACTGCAAAATATCTCTTCCGGTGCAGCGGAAGTCGCCTGCACCGCGAGGAAATCCCGAGCCATGTGGGAAAGTCGAGGGTATCTTCCGCTGTTTACCTTCCACCAATCCAACACATAGGTCTGCATCGGTACTATGGACTCTGACAAGTATTGAGTCAGTTCATCAGCAACACTGTTACTCATACTTCCCCTTCTTTTCCTTCTAGCGATTTCCTCTGCAAATGAGATAATTCCTCCTCCTCCTCCACCTCCTTCGTCAATGTCTTGAGGACGGTACCCGCTGGTCAGAGAAGATGTGAAATGAGGAGAAGAATAGTTACGGATGAAATGGGCTCTCGCTTCGTCTATATAGCTCTCGAGGTTGATCGTCTCTGGAATGTACTCTGTTTTGATGCGCGGGTCAAGAATGGCTGTGATGTAAGTGAATACGTTACAAACCTGAGTGTTGTAGCTTCTTGCCTTCTGGGACATGTTTTCAGCACAGGCTCTTAGCCAGTCTGGGTTGTGGCACGATTTCTGGCAAGTCGTGATCATCTCGGATATATTATCCATGAAGAGCAGAGCTAGACCGACGGTGAGATCCTTGTTGGTGCACATATCGTTAGTCGTTTTGTGAAACGAATCCAAATCCAAGTAATTGTGGACAATGGTCACAGCGTTCTTCTCCGCGGAACTCAACATCAATCTGTTCTCGAGAGCATCCTCGTTTTTCCTAATCACCGAGTCCAAGGACTTGCCAGCCTGCACCAGTATAAGCAGCCTATCACGCTACAGAAACCACAGGGCTTGATGACTTAAAAGGGTGAAAAAAAATGATCGAAAGCTCACCTTGCACAAGATGTTGAGCATCTGGTAATTGCCACTCCAACGAGACGAAGCATCGATCGGGAGTTTCCAGTTGCCTTCTTGATAAGCCGTTGTCAGCTGAATGAAGTCACCTGATAGCTCCACGGAGGCGTTTAACTCCCGAGTGAATTCTCTGATCTTTGAGATGATAGGCTTTATAGTAGCTAACCCGTCATCTATGATATCGTTCAGAGTTTGAGCAGCACATGGAATGTAGCAGAAAGGAAAGGCCTTTTGACCATCCAGGTACTCCTTCAGGCTATGACAGGCGAGAACAGCGTTTTCGCTGTTGTCATGTGTACAACATAGAACCCTGTCTTCAACTGCATATATCTTGAGGACTTTTGAAAGGGAGCTATAGATCTCAGAGCCTCCAGAGGGATAAGGAATCCGGCAAATGTCGAGCAGCAATCTATGAGAGCACCAGTTTTCGTCAATCCATTGGCCCGTTACGCTCATATAGAAAATGTTTTCAAATGAGCTCCAGAAACTTAATGTGACCGAGACTTTAGAATGAATGTGTTCCAACGAAGTCTTCACATCTCCCTGCATGCTTCTGAAAACCTCATGGAGTACGGCTTTGTATTTTTCAGCCGACCATAACTGGACGGCTGGGTTAAGAAACTTGAAGGAGTTTCCCAACCATCTCTCGTCTACGGTAGAAGGAGGAAGCGATGACAAGGCGAGCCACTTGAGAACTAGCCAGTTAAGGTGATCATAATCGAGCTGCAGTGGTGCTTTCACCTGGGGCTGCGACGGTTTTACAACAACCGGTGGTGTCTGTGGTACTACTGAGCTGGTGACAGCGTCTGCTGCAGCCTTATCATAGCCTGGATGTCGATTATTCAGATGCCTTCCAAGATTACCTTTAACAGATAAAGGAAAACACTTAAATATAGAACCAAGCTTAAGAAATGAGAATGGAGACTGAAACACTTTAGAAGATATGACAGTACCAGTGGCTGTCGCAATCGAATAGCTTTGTCCGCAGAATTTGCATTTCCGAGTTTTGCTGTCTGGCGCAGTCTCGAAATATTTAAGATAAACCGATGTCATCGTCTTCTTGCGTTTAGGGGGAGCAGTATTTGCCTTTTCAGAAGAGCCTAATCCGATGTCAATGGGATCAGGGTGTGGAACAATTGTCATATCCATCATGGCTTTCGGTTCCAATTCTACATCAAGGAAGCAGCCACAAAGAAATGAACATAAGTGGGTTGTACTATTCTCAATTAGCTTAGCAAGACATTATTAGATTGATGATAGTGATACAGAGTTTTCCATTACCTTTGTAGGTTTTGAATGCATTGTTTACATTCCACTCCATCTGATTCAGAGCTTCTTTGAAACCCACCAGGTAGATTTCAGAGAGGGAGAGAGACTACTATGAACCCAAAACGATCCGTGGAGGGAAAAGCGGTTGCAAGAGAGGGGATTGGTTTTTTTTTGGAGGGAAAGTAGAAATAGCCGCCACAGAGAGGGAGGATCGGCGCTGGATCTCTGAGCCGATTTAAGGAGATAGAGAGAGAAGCGGATCTGAGCTTCGGTAGATCTGCGAGTCGGAAGTCCGCCGATCTGAGAGATCCGTTACGGCGGCGGATCCGGTCGATATCGTCGGCGAATTTGACGGAGGAGCGGAGCTAGGGGAGATAGGCTGGCTCTGTTTCTTTCTCGCTCGGCTGGTCTAGGGAAGAGAGAAGTTAAGAGTCAGGCTCAGCTAAAATGACTCCAGCCAATGGCTCGGTCTGGTTTTGTTTCGGCTTTCTTCGGTTTGTTTTTTTCTTTCGGCTAATATTATCTTTTTACATTTTTATTTAATTAATAAAATATCAGTTAACCACACACAAAAAAAGAAATTATCCTCACTAAGAATGGGTTGAAATAATTTTGTAATGATATTATTTAGTCAATATTATCTTCTGTTTACCAAAAAAAAAAAAATTTATACAAATGAAACCAAAGTGTCAATCTTTCCTATTTACTTTGCAGCTTTAGAATGTAGTGAAGACATAATCAAACCATAATTATACCAAACCAAAACGGAAAAACCCAAATACTCTCACTTGATAAAAAAAATATTGAAAAAATCAATGCTGCCTCTCGTGCCACGCTGTCACTTATATATCTTTTTTAAAGTAATAAATTAATAAATTAAACTGGGCCCCCCAAAGCTCAAATATCGGGCTGACAAAGCAATTTTTGACCGTTACATACATTTTCAAATAAAAATAAAAAAATATTTTTCATTTTCTTTCTTCTTCGATTGGAAGAATATCCAACAGCAAGAGTGAAAATAGCAACTTTTCTTACACTCTGAAAGCTTTAGCTTTGACCAACGCTGTACTCCTCCAGTCTAATCTCAACGGCGATTGAGATCACTCATAAATTTTAACTCTGAAGATCACACACACAAGAACAAGATCTTATTTCTTTCTCCTTCTTCTACAATTTTATTTTTTCTGGGTTTTGTGTTTAGCATAGTGAGATATAATCTTAGATTCTGAGGACAAAAAAGGAAAGAGAAGAAAATGCCGGTATCGACCCGATCCAAGGTGATGAATCAGGAGCAAAATGGGCAAGGAAGCTCAAATCTGAATCTTCCGTCGAGAAATCCGCATCAAGGGCTCAAGGAAAAGATGAAAGCTTTGACTCTCTTGTACGAGCAGCAAAAGAGAGCCTCTTTCTCCCTCAGGAACCCTAATCAGTCTCCGAAACCCCAAGATCCGAGGTTTAAGACTCACGAGCTGCTCGATTCCTGCAAGAAAGGAGAGAGATTTCATCGCCAAGACGGTAAAGGTTCAAACTTTGCTGACGAAGAAACCAAAGAGAACAATGTAGCCGACGCAGATCGAATTTTCGGGATTAACTCGGTTCCGGTTAAGCCTAGCGGTTCTTCTTCCACTGTGATTAGAAAGCTCTCAATGGGGAATGGAGCTAGAAACGTCACAGAAGCTGAAAAGTGTGAGAGTCTCGATGCTTGTGGGAGTCGGATTTTGGTGTTTGTTAGGCTTAGACCAATGGGGAAAAAGGAAAGAGAGAATGGGTCACGATGCTGTGTCAAGGTTTTGAACAAAAGAGATGTTTATCTAACGGAGTTTACCAATGATAACGACTACCTAAGGCTTAAGAGGCTCCGTGTTCGTCATTTCACTTTTGACTCTTCTTTTCCCGAAACAACAACACAACGAGAAGTCTATTCCACCACGTAAGTCTCTATTCCATAAATGATGAATCCTTTCATTAGCATTGTTGGAAAAGTAACAAGCAATTGGAATCAAAATGCTGCGAGTTCTTAGATGTATTCCCCCATTGGTTTATTCAGAACAGGAGATCTTGTTGAAGCAGTTCTTGAAGGAAGAAATGGTTCGGTTTTCTGCTATGGTGCTACAGGAGCAGGCAAGACTTACACAATGCTAGGGACGATGGAGAATCCAGGTGTAATGGTTTTAGCAATCAAAGATTTGTTTGCTAAGGTTAGACAAAGAAGCTTAGATGGGAACCATGTTGTTCACCTTTCTTATCTCGAGGTTTATAATGAAACTGTTCGAGATTTGCTTTCACCTGGTAGACCTCTCATACTCCGTGAAGATAAACAGGTAAACATAAAACTGAAGTTACCTTTTTTGTTGTGGCCTCTTTTAGTTTTGGATATGAACACACTGGTTTCATTCATTTGATTTTCTTTGAATGTGATCATAATTAGGGAATTGTGGCTGCTGGTCTCACCCAATATAGAGCTTATTCCACGGATGAGGTTTCTTATTCTAATCTATACATTTTGTGATTTTGAAAGATCTCCAGGAGAATCAAAAGCTAAGCTAAGCTAAGCTTTTTCGTTATGATGTATTGCAGGTTATGGCTTTGCTCCAAAGGGGAAACCAAAACAGAACTACCGAGCCAACTCGTTGCAATGAAACATCTTCTCGCTCACACGCCATCCTTCAGGTTAAAATTCATCTCACTCAAATTCAGATAGCTCTAATTTTAATGCCTGAAAGTGTCTTAAGTTGATCTCTTGTTGGGAGTCTTTAGGTCATCGTGGAGTATAAGACTAGAGATGCATCCATGAATATCATCAGCCGAATTGGGAAGCTATCTCTCATCGATCTTGCGGGCTCGGAAAGAGCGTTAGCAACTGATCAAAGGACGCTTAGATCCCTTGAAGGAGCCAACATAAACAGGTCACTTCTTGCGTTAAGTAGTTGCATTAACGCGCTTGTGGAAGGCAAGAAACATATTCCTTACAGAAACTCAAAGCTCACACAGCTGCTCAAAGACTCACTAGGCGGATCCTGCAACACGGTGATGATTGCTAATATAAGTCCAAGCAGTCATTCGTTTGGTGAAACTCAGAACACTCTCCACTGGGCAGATCGAGCCAAGGAGATTCGCGTGAAGGGATGTGAAGTGAATGAAGAAATGGTTCAAGTGGGTGAACAAGAAGGGCCTGATCAGGCCAAGCTCTTGTTAGAGCTCCAGGAAGAGAACCGTGAGTTGCGTGTCCAGCTCGCGAAACAGCAGCAGAAGCTTTTGACTCTTCAAGCAGAGACCACGGCAGCTGCCAATAACAACAACATTTCTCAGACACCTCCATCAATCTCATCTCTAATGACTCCACCGTCTGCATTAACAGCTCAGCAGAAGAAGAAACCGAGGCATTCGCTGTTGTCGGGAACATGTTTCACACCAGAATCATCCAAAAAGAGAAAAGCAGAAGAAGCTGTGAAGGAGCTTCAGCTAACTGTGAAGGCATTGAAGATGGAGATGGAGAGAATGAAGAGGGAACATGGGTTGCAGATGAAGAAGCAAAAAGATGAACTAACGAAAGAACTTTGTAGTAAAAAGAGCGAGAAAACTCCAGAAAGAAGCAAAGAAACAAGGAGGATGGTCACAAGAGGGAGCTTGAGACCAAAGGAGAAGGAGCTGAAAAGCCCGAGTCATCGGTTTGCATCACCAGCTGCAACAGCTAAAAAGAGAAGCTTTTGGGACATATCCGTAGCTAATAGCCCTTCGTTGGATAGAAGGAAAACGAGAAGCCATGTTCCTGTTCATCAAGAAGCTCCTTCAATGCTGCTTCAGGTAACAGTGATCAATGCTGCTCACTCTAAAACAGTGAAGTGGTTCAACAAGATTCTGTGTCTTAACATATATATATACACTCACTAATATATGTTTGTTTGGTGCAGCCGGGATTTGCTCGTCCAAGGACAACAACACACATGAAGCATTAACAAGTCTGAAGACTGATTAGATTTCTGATGTTATTTTCTTATTACCAGAGGTTTCATTTTTGTTTTGTCTGTTTTCCCCACTGTTTGCTAACATCTGTATTCTCTGTAGGAATTACATGACAATAACACAATTATTTGTCCCTTTTGACTAATTTTATTTGTACAATTTTTTTCATCGTTTGTATTATATAATTCTTTTGCCTTGTGCTTTTGCTTGGTGTTCTGCATTATGTTTTTCTTATGGTCATGTTAACTCAACCAAAAAAAAAAAAAGTGGTCATGTTTGAGAGTGATGCTAAAGTATTTACAAGTGAGATAAATGAAACAAGAAGATGATTTTTTTATCCGACCCTCTTTCATATATTTAAAAGTAAAGATAGCTTCACTCCTTGTAGTTGGTTGCATCGAGCAACAATGCTCGACTTGTGTGTATGTATCATTTAATATCATAAGCATATAGTTTAGCAAAAAATAAAGAGCAGATTTACATAGAGGCCCATAATTAGTTTTTTTCCAACTCATAAAAGGCCCATTGGAATTTTAACAGAGGTCCATTAGGTTTTTATATCGCTGCCATCGTCCTTGTATTTAAGAACTACAGACTCCCGAATTAGGGTTTACGCCACTGAGAGTTTGTCACAGACAAGAGAAGAAAAGAGAAGATGCCGGCGGCGAAGCAGAGAACCCCGAAAGTGAGCCGAAACCCCGATCTTATCAGGGGGGTCGGCAAATACTCTCGCTCTCAAATGTACCACAAGAGGGGTTTGTGGGCAATTAAGGCCAAAAATGGCGGCGTTTTCCCCCGTCACGACGCTAAGTCCAAGGTCGAAGCTCCGGTAGAGAAGCTGGCCAAGTTTTATCCAGCCGAAGACGTAAAGAAACCGCTCGCCAACAGGCGTAAGCCAAAGCCTACCAAGCTAAAGTAAATCCCATCTTCTTCGATTTGCTTATTTATTTTTCAAACTAAGTGTATTTGTGCGTTTGATTCCTTCTTAGAATACTTTTTTTTGGCTGGTTTGTTTGGAATATAAGTTAGATCGTTGAAATCGAGAACTTATTAGTGTAATTTTTAGAAGAATTTGTTGAAATGTAGGATTCAAAATGTGGGATTCATGGATATTTAAAAATTTCTTCTAGCTATGATAATTAATGCTCTGTGTTACGAATATAAATCCGGTGTTGTTATGTCTGTATTGCAGAGCAAGCATCACTCCAGGAACTGTGTTGATCATCCTTGCCGGTAGATTCAAGGGGAAGAGAGTTGTCTTTCTCAAGCAGCTTCCTTCTGGTTTGCTTTTGGTAACAGGTGAGCTCTTATCTCCGCTATTAAGAATCTGATCTTTGTTTGAACGTGTTTCAATTTCGAAACTTAGTTAATCTATTCTGGCTTTGTTGATTGATTCCAGGACCCTTCAAGATCAATGGTGTTCCATTGAGACGTGTGAACCAGGCCTACGTCATTGGAACTTCCACAAAGGTTGACATTTCTGGGGTCAACACTGAGAAATTCGATGACAAGTACTTTGGCAAGGTTGCTGAGAAGAAGAAGACTAAAACTGAAGGCGAGTTCTTTGAGGCAGAGAAAGAGGTATATACACACTTTTAGCAACAACAACCATAGATTGAATTTTGAGGCATTGTGTTACACATTTGGTTACCTTCGCTTGTTCGAAAACGATGGTTAATCTCTAATCGTTTCTTGGTATCTTCAGGAGAAGAAGGAGATCCCACAAGAGAAGAAAGAAGATCAGAAAACCGTTGACTCAGCTGTGATCAAAGCCATTGAAGCAGTGCCGGAGCTCAAGACTTACCTCGGCGCCAGGTTCTCGTTGAAACAAGGAATGAAACCCCATGAGCTTGTCTTTTAGATTTCATATCGTTTTGTTTCCCCTCAAATTTCAAGAATATCTTTGTTTTCCCTGAGTTTTTGTCCTCAATCGTCCATGGATCTTGAAAGACACTATTTTCTCTTAATTCTATATATCATGCATCATCATTTCTAAGCTTAAAACTCGTTTGTTAAAAAAATGAAAAATGGTAATAAGAATTATAATGATGATCACGAATTTATTTTTAATCCGAAATAATCAACAGCAGATTTTGCCATAATAGAAGCAAATTCACCGAAGCTTATAACACCATCACCGTTTGTATCAGCTTCTTTGATCATCTCCGTTAGTTCTCTATACGTCAACGGTTGTCCCATCTTGGCCATTGCTCCAGCCAATTCGGCCGCGCTGATGAATCCGTTACCATCTCTATCGAACGATTTGAAAATGTCGAGTAGCTGTTCGGAATTGATTAGGATCTCTTCGTTCAGGTCTGGAAGAATCGTGCCTACGAGCTCTTCGAATTCGACAAAACCGTTGCCGTTTGAGTCCATACTTGCTAACAGAACGTGGATTTGGTCTCCCGATGGTTTCAGACCGAGTGACCGGAGAAGCGCCGCGAGTTCTAAGATCGTTAAGCTTCCGTCTGCGTCCATGTCGAACCGATCGAAAATGTCTTTTAATTGTCTTAGCTGATCCTCCATTGTTTCTCTTTTTCCTCAATATCAAAATCGATTTTTTTTTCCTTTGGGAAGACAATATCAAACTCGATTAATCAATGTCGACGAGAAATATTGATGAGATGAGAGATTTACAATGATTAACGAGGAGATTAAAATCGATTTTTTTTTCTCTCTTGGTGAATTTAAAATTGGAATTCCGAATTTGTTTTGATGTTTTTTGTTTTCTTTGTGGATTTTGTTAATTGTTACTGATAAAAATAGGAAAAAATCAAGACTCTTTTTTGTATATACTTGGAAGTTGGAAGATAAAATAATATATGAATGGTACAAGTAGAATAATTTTAGATTGATTATGATAGTTGTCTAGCAACTAGTAAAAACATGGCATTGTCTTAAGAAACCAATGCATAATTTACTGATGTCACAAGTTAAAAATGTTTGGATAATTAGTAAGTATATACGAAATACGAATGGTGCGAGTAAATTCATGATGATTGGTTGGAAACAAACTTGACATTGTCCTAAGAAACCAGAAGATAATTAACTTAAAACAAACAAACACAAAAACTAAGAAAAGAAAAAAAACACAAATGAAAATAAAGTCTGATCAGGCAGAATCCCTTTTCCTAGCCGTCCGATTGTTACGACGAGCACAGCAACCGCAAGAATAGACGGTGATGAGGAGGACGAGGAGACAGATGTTGAAAACCAAAAGATTCCTCCACTTCTCTCTTATGTTCGCTAACACACCCGCTTTGCATGCGTTGCAGTTAAAGCATAACTCCGTTTGCACGTTACTCCACGCATCGCAATCGCCATTGTTGGCCGCAACCGCCGTTTCATTTTTTCTCGGCGGTATCCAAAACGTCGCGTTTCTGAACTGGAAGTTGCAATCTGACGGTGGCTTACAACAACCCGACTGCTCAACACAACAACAAAAAAAGCATTTAAAAGGATTAATCAACGGATAAATAACAAATATCTTCTTATACTTGTGTTTTTATAAAGCGCATTTATAGAAAAATACTATTATGGATAGCAAAATTGATTTTTAAGAAATTATGATGTTTGAAATCCAAAAAGAAAACCATCACTAGATCAAACATATTTAAAAAAAAAACTAAACTTTAACTGGTCGGATGTTTTAAGGTGTTTTCTTAAATCAAACTTACAAGAACTATAAAAACGAACCAAAACTTTTCTTAGCATATTTTAACATAAAACAAAGTAAGAACCAACACCAAAACAATACAAAATCCATGCAAGCCAATAAAGAAGCCAAACTCCTGAAACATAGGCTTTAAATTATAGACAAATGAAAAAACCTGGATTGGAGACAAGTTCTTGTGATAAAAGGCATCAGCGATCTGACTAACAGGACCATCACTCAAATCATCACAAACACTAGCCTCAGCCAAACAAGATCTTATCCCAACCCATCTCTTCCCACCAACAAAACCATTAAGCCAAGTCGAGAAATCCACCGTCCGGTACTCTCTGTACCCTCGACCGGAGACCACACGACCGACTCCTTTGTTGGTCACAAAGAAGAGAAATATCGAGAAAGCCATCAACGCAACAATGCCCGCGAACAATATGACCAAGTAGGAGACCATTGCGACATTCTCCTTGAAGCAAGATCCTATCACTCCGATCAACGACACCACGAAGAGGACGATACCGGTCGTGAGAAGTGGTGCCCGAATCGCTGATTCACAGTCGGTCACACCTTGGTGAACGAACATGTAAATCGAGTAACCAATGGCCGATGCGCCCACTAACATCACCAACGTGTTGGCTAGACCCACAACGAAATTGCTTACTCGAAACATTTTTTTTTTTTGTGATTTCTTTCTTCTCGCTCTCTGGTGTATCTTATAGAAATCGTTATTTGAATTTGATAGTTTGGTTCTTTAACGTTTTAGTGTGTTTTTAAGTGTGGTGGAGTCGTGGTTATTGGGGGAAGGAGGGAACGGTTGATTTTTGGGTAGTGGGGGGGATATTAGTGGAGATTATTGGCCACTGTGTTTAGTGTCTAATTACCGGTTTATGCCACTAGAGTTAGAGAACGTGTGGGGGTTAAGAAGATCCTTTAGTTTAGAGAGAGCAGTTAAATTAGATTTTGACTATGTCTAATTGCCACGTCACTCACACTATGTAAACTGTCTTTTAAACTATGAAAATTTATAAGGGTTTATTGAATCCGAGAATGTTGGGAAAGTTAAGAAAAAGAAAGAGCAAACAATGAACTATCATATTCATTAGAAAGCTAAAGAATGTTAAATAATCCAATGTAGTAAAAAAGATGTTATCACCAACATTGGGATTGATTTATTTTAGTTTTCTTTTAGGTTTAAGAAAATCAAAAATGATTCTAAAATTTGTTTGATTATTTCTAAATATAGAGATGTAAATTATATAAATAACATATAGCAACACAAACTCTTTTGACATGCAACTTTGCTAAACAACATGCAAACTTTGAAACTCACGTTATTACCGAACTATGTACCTAGAAAAAAAAGCCTAACTTGTGTCTGAGCCGAATAGATTTTTATTCAGGCAGGGACTTTGTTGTTTTGAGAAGGGATTTTTGCAGGGGAGTTTTCTTTGAAGTCGAGCATTTTGTTCAAAGCTCCCACATAAGCTTTGACGCTCGACACCACAATGTCCATTCCTGCTCCGATTCCACTGCCAAAGGCAAGACAAAACAGCTCGTTAACTTACTACTACTACTCCAGCAAGATTCAACAAAATAACTATATTGCTAGATTTCAATGAGAATATGAGGGAAAAAGATATATACCTAAAGGTCCTTTGCACTTCTTCACCGGTTATTGCGTTTGTAGATGAGTAACTGTTGTTTCCGCGGATGAGAACTCGTGTGGTTGCGATGGCATCGATGCCTTCTGTTACTGCATTCATTGAGTACTCAAGCAGAGTCGCCGGTTCCTATAAAGCGGGAGAGAAATATTCAAGATTAGCCTTTGTCCATATATATGAGAGCCTCAACTGTATAAAAACAAAAAAAAGTACCTTGACGATAAGATCGACTGCCTTGTAAGCTGAATCGACAGGCCCAGTTCCCATAGAACAAGCGGTATGCTCTTTGCCATCAACTCCAGCAAGTTTAACAGTTGCTGTTGAAAGCCCGAGAGTCCCACAAGTTATCTGCATCCCACTCTCGAGTCAAATGAGAATTGACTAAACACAATGAACAATGCATAAAAAGTAATAAAAGATCATCTTGATCCCTATTTCACCTGAATGTCCAGGAGTTTCCACACCGCTTCTGGCTGGAAAACTTCATCGGATACCAAAGCTATTATGTCCGCATCGGTAACTCTCTGCATCAGCAAGGGAAAACATACGATCAGGAGACATTACATAAACCCCTCACGAACACTAAAATAATAGAAAGATCAATCCTCTTCCATCTCCTTCTAATATGCAGGAAACAAAGTACAAATGGATTCATGAAGTTTGATAAATGGCTGCAAAGCTCATTATTTGGAATTGAAATCGCAAGCTAAACGTTTGAGTAAATAACACGATAACCATAAGCAGTTACCTTTTTTCGCTCAGCCACAGATTTGAAGCGCCAGAAAATGGTACTTAGCTGTTCTTCATCTAGTTCATAACCAAGCTGGAAAAGTAGATAATATGAGAGGAAATTAGTGTCTCCCACAAAGATGGCAATACCAGAGTACGGGTATGGGTAAGATTGCTGTTGTGTACCTCAGTCAAACGGTCTTTCAGCGCATGACGTCCACTGCATAACATTATATCCAAGCAAAAAGTAGAAACCCACAGTTAGACTTCAGGTTTCAACCACATATGTAGTGAACACTAGATCATGAATTAGTATATTGTCAATAAAATCAAACGCCTAATAATGTCCGGATATATTCAACGTCACAGGCGACTTATCCTAACTGTAGAGAATATCCACCGATTACAGGCTTGTTGCATCGTCTGAACTAGACAAAGAAAATTTGGGAGTTTACATGCAAAACGGACTAAACAAGAAAAACTTCCATACCTAAGCTTCCCCAAAACAATGCCAGCATCATTTGATCGTTCAAGTCCGATTTCTTCGGGGCATATAATTTCATATGTACCCTTGTGTTTCAGCATTCCATCCTAAAAGAAGCATGAACAGCCATTATTACACAACTGGAAAAACAATCATGAAGAAACAGTACACTTTTGCAGAAGACTGAAATCGTGAACGTGCAAATCAAATGAGTTTAGACCTTAGTCATCTATTAATTCATTCTGTTCGTAGTCAGGCAATCGATGTTAAGGGATGGGAACATAAGCATACTGAGTAAAAGACTACAGCTTACAGGGGAAGCTATACTTTGCAAAGAGGAAAAAAAAACAGAGATAACCTTTGCTGTTTCTCAAAAAAGAGTAATCTCGTCACAGAAATTATCAAAATACGTGTAGCAAAGATGACACATATCAACTGACCTGATGAATACCACTTTCATGAGCAAACGCATTCGCACCTACGATAGCCTTATGGGGCTGTGTCTGCATTCCGGTGTAATCTTCAACCTGAGAAAACAAGTCACGAGATATGAGACACCTTATATGGGAATCTACAAACTCTTTACCCTTCATGAGAAAATTAAAATTCGTTTACAAATAAATTTCGAAAGTGTACCATCTTGCTTGTCATAACGATGTGCCGAGTATCAATTCCAGTATATAAACCTCCTAATACATGATCTCCACGGCATTTTATGGCCATCACAACCTACACTTACACGAAAATCATCAGGTAAGGATTAAGTATCCCACTGCAGCGCAGCAAGAAGATAAACTAAAAGTTTATAATTGATAACGCCTTCCCTGAGACAAAATATCCAAGTAGCCAAAATAGAAAATAGCCAACTTTAATTGTAGCCAAGGCTATACTAAGACACCTTACTTAGACATATCATTCCTTACTTGGTTCTCACTGCTAATGATTAAGACAAACTCCTTACTTGGTTCTACTCAATTATCTTGCCTCGCAATATGTGCCTCCTACACTAAGGTTTGCATGTCTTCACAAAACTAATGAAAACCTGACCTCTTCGAGTGAAGCGTTTCCAGCTCTTTCACCAATTCCATTGATGGTCACTTCCACCTGCCTGGCACCTGCATGTGCCCCCTGAAATTCAAAAAAGGTTTATCACATATATCTACAACGATTTCAATTAGCTAAGTTGTTCCTAGTAAAGTAAAAAGGACATACAGATAGAGTGTTGGCCGTAGAGAGTCCAAGATCATTCTGACAATGTGTTGAGATGATAACGTTTTCGATCCCTGGAGTATTGGCCTTTAAATCAGTAATCAACTGACCAAACTCAACAGGCAAAGTTATACCAACAGTATCTGGTATGTTGAGTGTTGTCGCTCCAGCTTTTATGACTTCACCAAGAATCTCGTACAGGAACTCTCTCTCGGATCTGCACAACCAAAAGAAAAGAAAGAAGAAAAAGCAAAAGATAAAAGATGAATCTTCGCCAAGGAATACAAAAATCCAGAATAACGTATTCCACTATCTTAGCTTAAAGAATTAAGCAACACAACAATTAAAATAATGATTTTTAATGGGCCACAAAAGTAAATCGAACCTTCCGGCATCTTCAGGACTAAACTCGACGTCCTCGCAGCCCAAGCTCCTCGCGAACTTAACCATGTTCCTGGCGATCTCGATGACCTCCGCCTTGCTCTTCTTCAGTTTATACTCCAAGTGAATGTCGCTGGTGGCGATAAAAGTGTGGATCCTTGGCCGTTTGGCGTATTTCACGGCCTCCCAAGCCGTCTCGATGTCTTTCTTATTGCATCTGGAGAGCCCACAGATGACAGGGACATACCCGTTTTCATCGACGGCGTTTCCGACTGTTTCCGCTATCGTCTTCACCGCTTCGAAATCGTCCTTGGACGCGGCGGGAAATCCGGCCTCGATGATGTCGACGCCGAGCTTAGCCAGCTGACGCGCGATGTCCAGTTTCTCCTTGGAGGTCAGAGTCGCGCCGGGAGACTGTTCGCCGTCGCGGAGAGTCGTGTCGAAGACGCGGACGTAGTTGGGATCGGAAATGCGGTTTGGGATGTATTCGGGGCGGCGGGGGCGGATGGAATGAGGTGGAAGAGGGGAATGATCCGAGACGGAACAAGAGAGACGGAGGGATTGGCCGCGGAGGGAGGTGGAACGGTGACGGCATGGTGGGAAACGGAACGAAGCAGGTGCGGGTTTTGAGGAGAAGGCGGGAAGAGAAGGGGTGGTGATTGTTGTTGAGGAGATATTAGGGCTTCTGAGAAGTGAAGACGCCATTATTGCAGGGGAGAGTTTAGAATGGTAAAACCTAAAGGACCGAAAGAGAGAAGCAGAAGAAGAGAAGGTTTCACGTGGCGGCGGCGGCGGCAGCTAACTTTGATTCAGCACTATCATCTATTCATCTCCTCGTCACTCTTCTTTTCTTAATAGATAAAAACAAATTCTTTTTTTTCCTTTTGGTCCCACTTTGAAAATGTGCTGGCAAAATCATATCAGATCAAATGGGATCTATAACGAATTTTTACGGCCATCGTGTTCTGATTTTACCGCCATCGTTACTTGCGAGGAAGAAGAATGAATAAACAAATAACCAAAACCAAGAGACTCTTGTTATGGTGAATGTTGCCTCATTTCGGATGAAATGACAAAATGTGCCTACCACGATTTACAACAAACCTAATGACTGTCCGACTCAGTCCTTTGAAAGTTGAAACAAAAGTGACGCTTGTTATGTTGAATGCTGCCTCATTTCCGATATATTGCTTGCATTCGTGTGGATGGGACATGGACCGATCAAAGAGTTCATCTTTAATCTGAAATCGTACTGATATATATATCTTCTCCATAAATATATCTTGGAATGATACAAGAGTGATCTACTTAGCTACAAAACCAACACCAAACAAAAAACCTAGACCCGAATAGTTGGACCGGTATATGATCCGGGACGCATGTGAAGCTCATCGGGTGTGTCGATCTGCACAAGCCACGCGTATTCGTCTTCCTTCCCTTCCACGGCCTTCATTCCTTCCTCCAATGCTATAAACATTTTAATCCAAAGAGAAACAACGTTGAATGAAAACAGAGTAACATAAATGAGAGTAGTATAGAAAGAGAAAGCTTGCATACCGAAAGTGGAGAAAGGATAGTCCATGTAATAACTGCAACTCCTGCCAACGCTTTCTTTGTAAGGAGGAGTGAGAATGTCGAGCACCGCACATGGAGACAGCGCAGTGAAACAATGGAGATTTCCTCCAGTCTTTGGGTACAACACAGGGATCTCAGACTGAGGCGTTATGACTTTGTCACTCACCAATCTCGCCAGTCTCGCTGCTACAAGTTGTTGCAAGAGCTCTTAGCTATCTCAATCACACAGGAGACCAAAACTAGACATAGATAGATGAGAAAGAAAAAAAGACAATATAACCTGGTAGAAAACCGGGGGCGGCTTTGTCTTGTGTGATAATACATGGAGGTTCGACCCAATCGTAAGCTTTCACATGAAGTGATCCGTAAAGGACTTTGCTAAACACAGTCATCTCTGGATGGTCATGCAGTGGAATCACTGAAGATGTTGGGAAGCAGAAAATGCACATCTGAAGACGAACAAGTAAAAACACTTGGGCTTTTTAGATTTCTTGATTGATCTCACCAGAAAGACTTCAGTAATCAATATCAAAAGACTTACTGTGAAAGTATCACATTCATGAATGTCTAAGAATGTTATCGGTTGTGCCCATCGTCCTACTCTGTTGAAACGGCTAACCCCAGAAACTCCATAGCCTCGATCATCGTCTTGAGCTTCCTCTTCAAGCCCAACATCTGCAGGACTAACTGAATCTGCACACAAGAATGACCAAAACCCAATTTCACACCTCTGCTTATAAATTACATAACCAAAACATTCCCAAATTTCTAGCTTCAGCTCTCACTAGTCACCACAATGAACTCTATAGTATATGATCGTAATTGTCCCTTATATGTACAATAGATTGATGTATCTCTCCTCTAAACCATAAATTTCATTAACGAGTGAAGAAGAGCTTCGCATCCACAGAGAGCCCACAAGAGAAGCCACATAATCCTCAGCGAGCTCTGACGATCTCAAATTGTGAATCTGCAATTGCCCAGATTTGGTGGGATTCGCAATCAAATGAGACCTTCTTGAGAGCTATCCACATTATTTCAAATCCATCGAAAACAACCTCAAGCCTTTTTTACCAACTAAATCCTTCTAAATCGCCTCAAATATTTCAATGATTCTATCCAAAACCGGCCAAAAATTGCAAACCCTATCGCAGAAATCAGACGGAGAAAAAGAGAATGGGAAACAAAAATTACCCAGCAGAGAGCAGAGTTTTTGGACAGCCATGGAAGCAGGAGAAGGAGCTTTCCCAGTGAAAGTCTCCTTGCAGAGGTCGTAAAGCTGTTGCACTTTGGGAGAATTATCCATATTCCTCGACGCCATGTGAAGCTCTTTCTTGCTAACCAGATTCAACAAAACCTTTTCACCTGCCTTGAACAATCTCGACAACATTTTCTTTTTTCCTTGAAAGTTTTGTGCGTCGGTAAATTGTTCGAATGTTCTTATCCGGGACTGATTAACACTACTCTCAGTTAAGCCTTTAAACTTAACTCAATTCCATTAACGCTTTTTACACTGTATTATTTTGTAAGCTTCATCACAAATTTAAATATTTAGTTTTTTATATTTTGTCGTTTTAGTTTTTATAATCTTTTCTACTTACTCTACCATTTGGTATATACTGATCAAAACCGTTAATCGTTCATATTCATACACAATATTCTAAATAAATAAAAACAATAAATCAATTATTCTTTTTTTTTTTTTTTTTGCTAACTGTCATTTTCTATTTAATCAATTATTCTTTCATAAACCCAAAAATCTATAAATGTAAAACCAAATCAAATATTAAAAAGCGTTAACATTTTAACATTAATCCCAAAACGTCAAATTACAAGACAAGTTAAGGAAAAATAGTACGACAAGATAAAGTAGACACGAGGTTCGAATTTCCCAACCATCTCTCCGCAACATACTCTTTCACTTTATCCTCATCATCTCCAAACACATTACACATCGCCTTCACATAGTAAGATGGAAATTTTCCGGTTATCCTCACATAAAACATGACCGCACGAGCCGTGTCTCTGCATAGCTCATCCGCAAAAGAGATGAAATACATTGGCGTCTTGGGTTCGAGTGAAGAGCTGGGACTGGGAGGATGCGACCTGTCGATGTTTCTTCTTATGCAAGTTTCCTCGGGGCTTAAAGAGGCAGCAGAAATGGCGAGGAAGGTCGCACAGAAGAAGACAACAACGATTCTCATGCAAGTCTTCATTTTTTTCGGTCTTCTCTTGCTCTTTCTGTGCAGATAGAATACATACATTTACTATATATAGTAGTGACTTAAAACTCTTTTCGCAGTAAAGAAAAGTTTCAGTTTTGTATGTAAAACTTAAAACTGGTGTTACAAATGTTTCACCAGTTTCATTTGGTCTGCATCCGTTTGGTTAAATAACAAAGAAAAAACAAGTAAAAGCTAAACATCAATGTACATATATGGCCTAATCTATAAGTATATATTCATCTCATCCAGATATGTGAAGACATATACCAATCTTTGTGGAAGGAGAGATGTCTCTCCATTTCACTGATCTGAATCTGTCTTTACAAGTGTGATTACCGTCCTAATCACCAGTAGTCTCCACAAGAACAAAACCCATTCTTGAAGTGATGAAATCTTTTATTGTCTCTCACAACTATTTCCCTTTCCGTGACCTTGGAGATCAACTTCGCCGCATTGTGACAGTCCACACAAATCCTGAGGTTCTTGTAAACTCTAAGTGTTGTTCCTTTTAAAGTTTTGATCAACCCGTAGGTAATGGCAAGCTTCTCGCTGTGTCTCCTTAACTGCTCAATCTTCTCCTCTTCACTTAGATCATGTTGTACTGAACTTGTGTCCGGTCTGTATCCCATCTTCCATATCTCTGTCTCCAGTATACTCCAAAGACTTTGGATTTCCCCAAACCCATCTAAGGAACTTTCACCAGCAACAAAGCTAAATACCTTCCCGTTTAGTTCGATCCAGGAGCATCCGACATCCTTCCGCAAACTCATCTCCTTCATTCTCTGCCCCACTTCTCTCACATCATCCCATTTCCCCAATCCTGCATATAAGTTGGAAAGCAGAACATAATTCTCAGGCTTCTCTGGTTCTAACACAAGTAACTTATCAGCAATTTTCTCTCCCATTTCTAGATTTTGATGGATTCTGCACGAGCTCAGCAGAGAATTCCAAATTCCCACGTCAGGTTCCTCAGACATCTCTTCTTCGGTAATCTTTAAAGCCTCGTCTAGTTGCCCAGCTCGGCCTAACATGTCAATGACACAAGCATAATGCTTCAAATTTGGCTTCAGCCCAGAAGAATGCTTCATTGCATCCAGATATCTCAGCCCTTCTTGGACCTGACCGCTGTGGTTGCAAGCCGTTAGAACACCTAAGAATGTTAACTCATCAGGACTATGACCCGCTCTTTGCATCTCTTCAAACAATTTGATAGCTTCTTTTGCTCGCCCATGCATTCCATATCCCATTATCATTGCATTCCACGATGCTGCGCTTTTCTCCTTCAACCCATTAAAAACCTTCAGTGATTGCGTTAAAGAACCGTTCTTGGCATACATATCAATTATAGAACAGCCGATAAACGCATTTTCCTGGAGGAGGCGTTTCAAAGCATAAGCATGTGCTTCTCTTCCCAGCCGAAGGGAAGGTAACAGTGAACACGCACCAAACACACTCATAATAGATATCTCACAAGGTTCGATTCCATACACAACCATTTGTCTAAAGAGACCCAAAGCTCTCTCAGGAAACCCATTCTGAAGGTAACCACCGACCACAATATTCCAAGATACTAAGCTTTTATCTTCCACTGCATCAAATAATACATGTGCAGTGCATAGCTCCCCACAATGAATATACAGTGAGAGTACTGATATATAAACAAACGAGTCTCTATCTAACCGGTTTCGGATTATAAACCCATGCACTTCCTTTCCCAACCGCAGGGATTTTAGTTGAGAACAAGCTGAAAGAAGACTACAAACAGTAAACATATCAGGTCGCAATCCAGAATTCTTCATCTGCAAATAAGCATCTATAGACAACCTAGGATCACTGCTCTGAGAATAGCCACCGATCAAAGCATTCCAAGAGTTCACCGTTTTACTCCTTATGCTACTAAACACACGCTGGCCATAACTCAGCGAGCCACATTTTGCATAAGCAGCAACAAACGCATTGGCTACTAACTCATCATGTATAAACTCTTGTTTCAAGGAGTAACAATGAAGTTCCTTCAAGCTCGGTAAGACTGATTCATCGAAACAAACTGACAATGCATTTAGAATGGTTACCTCATCCGCTTTGCTCCCTGCCAGCATCTGTCTCAGAAGATCAAAAGTCCCATGTACATCCCCCTCTGCTGAGAAACCTCCTATCATTGTATTCCAAGAAATCACATTCTTGTGATTGTTCAACTTAAAGATAACCTTTGCATCGTTTATGCAACCACATTTGGAGTACATGTCCATTAAGGCATTGTTAACGACTAGTTCTTTGTCCAAACTCAGCTTTACCGCCCACCCATGAACGCCTTTTCCCACTTCAATTTCTCTTTCTCTCCCACAAACCGGCAACACTGTAACAAGTGTAGCAACATCCGGCATAAGCGCATCATCATCATCCTCCATCATTTCTCCAAGAAGCAAGAAACTTTCATCTGAGAGACCATTATCAGAGAACACTCGAATCATGGAGTTCCAGGAAACCAAGTTTTTGTCAGGCATTATATCGAACAGCTTCAAGGCGTCAGAAACAAAACCATGCGTTCCATAGAAAGACACTAATGCGTTACCCACAAAAACGTCCTCTATCAATCCGATCTTCACTACCAATCCATGAACCGCAAGTCCAACCCCAACTTCAGAAATCCCAGCACAAGCCTTGATCACACATGGGAAAGTGAAATTATCCGGTGAGAGATCAGTCTCCGAGATCATCTCGATAAACAACTCTAAAACGTCGTTGTAAAGCTCGTTTCTTGAGAAAGAGCTGATAACAGCATTCCACTGGAAGAGGTTCTTCCTCCGCAGGGAATCAAAAACAGCCCGAGAATCATCAGGAGAGCCACACATGGCGTACATGGTGATAATTCGGGTGCAGAGAACATCGTCGTTTCTTAACCGGGTCGACCCAGAAACCAGCTGGTGGATCTTTCTCCCTATTCCAATGTCGTTTCTTTTCCCGGAAGCCTGTAAGAGAAGCCCGAGAGCTTCCCGGAGAAGATGAAACGCATCGGACGATTTCTCGTCCCCGGCGAATTCCTCGACGGCCCGAAAGGACTCGTGGAGGTTTCCGGTTTCACACAAACTGGAAATCCGACGAAGGATATGGTGGGCATTGGAAGAAATAGCGCCGGAATTGTAAACGGCGCGAGGAATGGTCGACACTTTACGGCTCCGGCGATAGCCGAACAAAGTGGACAAATGTGGTAGTGGCAGCAGTACAGAAGCCATCAGACAAGCTTCCTTATCCGAACACGTATTCAGAATCTATTTGGTTCCTCTCAGACAGTAGATTTCTTGTCCGAGAGTGATTTGATTACATCATCTCGCGCCAAGTAAAGAGTTGAATCACACTTTTGAATAAACCGGACATCACTACATTTCTACAAACATTGTCAAACTTTCTGATAATTGAAACCACAATTAATGCTAGAGCAGAAGAATCTGCTGATGATCATACAAAGAATCCGCTAATGCTTTGCAAAAGACATCATCAATCATCTAAATCGGAGATTATCAACTGAGAAAAAAGTAGTTGAAGACCATACAATCTATAGCCAAACCCAAATACGTATGTTGCTTGTACCAGCTAAACACGTTCCGCAGCAAGTTGACGTCAAAGTAGTTGAAAGTGTGTCAGTTTGACAAAAAGATAGAGTTGTGTCAGTATTATTGCAACCATTTCAATACCGTCAACGCTCTATTGTTGTTAGTACTTGTTAATCCTCAATTATGAAGGTTGTTTGTATTCCCTAATTTATTCTCTATTTTTAGACCATTGGTCACGATTATAAAATGTTTTAAGCCGTTTTCTTCTGCATTTTCGTGATTTGTGAGATTCAGTGAAATTTGTTTACCCCACACATTAAAAATAGATGGCTACAAATCGAATTTAGCAGATAATTAAATGCAATTGTTTTGTTTCATACAAGTCACAATTATAAAGCTTCCGTGTGTTTAAAATAAACTGCGTGTTTGTTATGTTTTTATTAACCCTATACATTTGGATAAGTCACGACTTGCAAAGCAATAAAATGAAATAAAAATGTTAAAGGAGCGTGAGACATCGTGTTAATGCGGGGCCTATCATTTAATGGGTATTTTAAATGTTTTGATGTTTTTGTCTACCCTACTAAATTGAGGTTTTTATTTCAAATTCGCAAATACTGAACAAAATAAGCGAACGCTCTGACTTTTTTAAAACTTATTCTAAATTATTCTAGAGATATTTATTGTAAGTTTCAATTTTTTAGTTTATGATACTGAAAATATAGTTCAATTTCGAATAATAAAAATGAAAACTACCTCAACCAAACATTTTATAAGAAAAAGAAACTATGTCAACCAAACTAAAATTTAGTTTTAGTTTGCAATATTTATCTTGTATTCACCGGAACTTTTTTTTTTTAATATGACTTTATAAAAGAGAGGTTACTTAAATCCTTACATATAGAGAATCCATTACTTTTCATTTGTTTTTACATCAGAATCCATTAAATACGTTAATGCGGTTACCAAACTTGACATAAAGCTCTTGTTTCCCTTATTAATTGAGAGGTCCATTCTTATACACGCTTAACTATGATTTATAAAAGATAATTAATACACTAGTTAACGAAAGTGACGTTAGGCGCGTTTGCGTTTCAATTATGGCGTGTAAGCAAAGCTAAAAAATACTATCTAGAGAGAGAGAGAAAGTAAAAGGAATCCGAAGAGCAATAATGGTTTTGTTTGTTTTTGTTGCAAATAGAAAATAAAATAAAGAAAAACGACGCGGAACAGAGAGAGAAGAAAAGGAAGGAGAAGAAGCAGAGGGGTCCATTAAAACATTTGCAGCATTTCTCGAATGGCGTTTTCTCCAATTACTCGACTTTAGAGAGAGAGAGAAAGATAAATTGAAAGAGAGAGATTCTGAGATTTTCATTGACATGGATTCAAAGCCAGAAATTCTTCATTAGAGAGAGAGAGAGAGAGAGAGAGAGAGAGAGAGAGAGAGAGAGAGAGAGAGAGAGATAGGGATGAGTTGTAGGAGAGTGCTGAAGTCGATACAAGCCTTGGCGGCTCATAGCTTACTCTTCTGTTTCACGCTCTTGTTGGTGCTTAAGCTTGATCACACCGTCTCTTGCTCATGGTGGTTAGTCTCTCTCTCTCTCTCTCTCATCTTCATATCCACGACGCTCTTTAGTCTCAATTCTCTGAAATTGGGTGCATGAATCAATTTTTTTTCCTGGTATCCGATTTTTTCGATTTCGATTGATATTCTGGGGATTTGAATTGAGGACCCTTTTTGTAAATTGCCCCGTTGAATTTTGCAGCGAGAGATATCGTCTCTCTCGAATCGAAATGACGGTTTCTCTACCGAAAGTATCAGTTTTTATTTGTTCGCAGGCTTAGTATCTTCGAGAGGATTGAAAAAAATCATTTCTTTTCCCCTAAAAACAGTTTCCGATTCCTTGTCTCTATTCGCCGTTACTAGTATACAAAAACAAAAGCAACACTTTCTACTGAATAAAGTTGTTGCAGTTTATGGAAACTGATGTATGTTTGCATTTTGTATCGATGCCGGTAAAATTACATCCTTTTTGTGAGGTATGCGTTTACTTTACTAATGACTCAGTTTTATCTCAAGAAACCAAAAGAGCTCCACTGAGGATTGCAACAATTTTGATATCTGAAGGCCTATTATTCTATTTAGGGATCTAATCAGTGAATCTCTATTTCCTTATTCTGTTACAAACTTTGATAAAATCGATTCTGTCTTTTGGGGTTATGTAGGATGGTGTTTTTCCCGCTGTGGGCTTTTCATGCTGTTGTTGCAAGAGGAAGGTTCTCCCTTCCTGCTCCCGTTGCTCCTCGTAATCGTCATGTATGTCCTTTTTTTTTTTTCATTTTCTTACCTCTTTTAGCAAAACATTACTCAAAGTCGTTTCTTCGGTTTTTTCCCGCTAAATTGTATGTTTATGATCCCATTTTGTGTACAGTGGGCTCCATGCCATGCTGTTGTCGCGACACCGTTGCTTGTTGCATTCGAATTGCTCCTCTGTATATACCTTGAGAGTTCTTATGGTAAATAACCTCTTCCTCTAGTAGTGATCTACTAGTTTCTTGGCATGGGAACAGATTGATATATGTAGATAACTTGACAAAAACTGATGGCTCAAGTTTCATCTTGCTGCCGTTTGGTTTCATTTCCATCACAAAAGTAGTTTCATCTTGTGACCTCTTCTATCTTATATGGCAGCTAGTTGGCCACCAGCTGTGAGTTTGAAGATTGCATCCTTGCCGTTGTTGGCATTTGAAGTTACGATACTGATAGACAATTTGAGGTATTGAAGCATTGCATTGTTTAATTACTCTACTTATATAACTTCTCAAACAAAGACATTCGTTGTGTATGTGTCTTTTGAACGCATAACAAACTGAATCATATCAATTTTTAAATTCCTAATTTCTGCAAGCTTTATCTTCAGAATGTGTCGAGCATTGATGCCAGGAGACGACGACAGCGTTAATGATGAAGCAATATGGGAGGCACTTCCTGTAAGTCCACGTGTGTTGCGTGAATTGTTCTGAGGGCTGGTACTCAAAATAAACATTTAGATGCTTTTTTTTTTCTTGTTACCTGCAGCATTTCTGGGTTGCTATTTCCATGGTGTTCACGTTGGCTGCTACGTTCTTTACCCTCCTAAAGCTTTCTGGTAATATTGTGTCTCTTGAATTCTTGCCTTAATAGCTGTCTTTCTTGATCCCCTGTCTTCTGAAATGCTATCTTCCACATATCATGCTATTGATGGAGTTATTCCTTCTTATCGGTCCCTCCTTGTTTTTTATTTTAAATTCACAGGCGATGTAGCTGCTCTCAGCTGGTGGGATTTATTTATAAATATTGGGTACGCTTTCTCTTTCTTTATTTAAAAAGTACTCGTGCGGTTGGTGGAAATGATCATGAAAGTAGTATATATGTGAAAATCTTTTGCTTGCAGAATTGCCGAGTGCTTTGCTTTTCTTGTTTGTACAAAATGGTCCAACCCAGTGATCCATAGAAGCTCACGCGCCCGAGAAACGGGGTCATCCTCTACCGCTATTAGATATCTTGACTGGAACAGTGGCCTTGTAGTTGCTTCAGAAGAGGATAGACACCAAGATAGATTGTGTGGTCTACAAGATATTGGTGGTCACATGCTGAAAATTCCCTTCATTGTATTTCAAGTTGTCCTTTGCATGCATCTAGAGGTATACACCACACGCCTCTATATATCTTAAGCCCATATTGTCTTTGGACATTACCAAAAAAAGCTGATGGTTTGGACTTTCAGGGGACTCCTGAAAGAGCTAAGGATCTATCTATTCCAGTCCTGTTCTCTCCATTATTCCTATTGCAAGGCCTCGGTGTTCTCTTTGCTGCATCTAAACTAATAGAGAAGATCGTCGTCTTGCTGCGTGGGGAAGCTGGTCCGGGATTGTATTTTAGAGTTTCATCAAGAGCCCATGATTGCTTGGGTTTCTTGCACCATGGTTCCAGGTGACAAACACGTTTGTCTGTTTTTCCCCAAAAGGGTTTTGATTTACTAAATATTATACTAACAAAATTCAATCGATGCTCCTACTTGCTCAGGCTATTAGGTTGGTGGTCGATTGATGAAGGAAGCCGGGAGGAACAAGCTCGTCTTTACAATGATCGAGAATCAGGGTTAGTTAGTATAATCCAACCTTCTGTATGCTGTTAACAAAAATTGTTATGGAACCTTTGCTGAAGATTCATGATTATATGCTTGTGCAGTTACAATACCTTCAGTGGCCATCCGCCTGAGATAGTCAAGAAAATGCCAAAGGAAGATCTTGCTGAAGAGGTAACTTTACTTGTCTTTCTTGCATTTGTCTTATCCAACTCAGCGCTGATATTAGTTTTAGGTTCTCTTTGCTGTCGAGTCTTGCATCTTCTAGTTGCAGTGTTGTTTGGATTTGATCTAATAATTTGATGCCCTCTAGGTGTGGAGACTTCAAGCAGCTCTGGGTGAACAAACCGAAATCACAAAGTTCAGCCAGCAGGAATATGAAAGACTGCAAAACGTAAATGTTCTCCTTCCTCCATGCTGGTTTTTAACCTTTTCGGTAGTTTCCTCAATCGATTTTGCTTCTCTTAGTCCTGTTTCTAATTTGTGTGTCTTTCCTCCAGGAGAAAGTGCTGTGTAGGGTTTGCTTTGAAAAAGAAATCAGTTTGGTACTGCTACCATGTAGACACCGTGTTCTCTGCAGGTATGATGCTTAATCCATATTATACTTACCAAATTTGCATTTGTCACTCGATTCGTTTGAAGATACCAGATAAAAAAATTAGGAATCTATGAGGTCCTATCGATTGAGGTCCGATCGATATAATTAGATATCATGCAGTCATATTAGCTGGCTCAATGTCATGTTCATATATGTTTCTGTGCCATGTTTGTTGTTGTTGCAGAATCTGTTCAGACAAGTGTAAAAAGTGTCCAATATGTCGTGTAGTCATTGAAGAACGACTACCTGTATACGACGTTTGACTGTGTCTAACTCTCTGGCCCATGTTCAAGAGTAGGATTTGAGGTTGATGCTCCAAACAATCATTCCTTTTTTCACCATACTGTGTTCCCAAAACTTTTGATGCGTTTTTGCTGAATCTTTTTATTTGTCTGAATCAGCAGTAAGTATAAAAAATATATAGGTGGTATACATATGTGTTTTTTGTAGAAATCTCATTACATACAATCTCTTACTCACTTTAGCTGTAACATATAAAGTTTGTATAATATCCATCTCTCCCTTTTTGCATCTATTGTCTACTTTTCTTTGGGTGGATAATCATAATTCATGAGTGAACGACTTCAATCACTTGTAATATGGAAAGTGACACTCACATAAAATAGAATACAGAAAAAAACATACCTGTATATACACTGTTCTAAGCCAATTCTCATGAACATAAAAGCATTACAAACAAGACAGCAGACACTCTCTATAAAAAGCCTATTTTTTTGTAGTTCATAGTTGAGATTTGGCTGTTTCCATTTTCTTCTTCAGCTTCATCCCCTTCTTAAAAACCGGCCGAGTCTGTGTCGGCTCCACTAACAGCAACCGAGACATAACATAAGCCAAAAGCTCTTCTCGGTGAGAGAAGGTAAAATCCAAATGAGCATACTCAAACTCTCTGTAAGAAACATCAACAGGCCCTGCATCTCTCATCACCCTGTAATGTTTCCTAACCATTGATGGTCTAATGACTGTATCTTTCTTTCCGGCTACTAAGTCCACAGGGACATCGATCAAACCGTAAAACTCTCCAAGATCAAGCGGCTCAGGAGACCCGTAAACCTCCATATTCGCTTGAACGCTACCATAGTCAAACATTCTAAATTTACGGCAGCGTTTAATCTGAGCAAGATGCAGAGCCACGCGGAAGGACACACCAGGCATATCGTTCATGTTATAGTGAGGCAGACCCATGACTCCGAGCCAGTTCGAGCTATCTCCACCAACTACATAACTCATCAGTGTCTGGACCAATCCACCAACGGCAGGATAGTTGTGGAAATCTCGAGCTAGCTTGTTGACAAGCATCCGGAAGAACCTAGTGGGGATGTAGAAAGCGGGAACAATCCGGGATAGCACCGGACCAAAGAGAAGGAACGTGTGCTCTATTAGCGTGAAGAACAAGTTGGAGTCTTCGTGAAACCCGGCAGGCGAGAGCAGGATCAGCCTAGAGAGCCTGTGCGGTTTCTCTTCGATTTTGCGGGTGACAACATACATGAGAACCGCAGCACCGCCTAGGCTGTGAGAGAGAACGCAGAGCTTGTAAGGCTGCTCCTCGTTTACTGCCTCTTCGATGTTAGGCTGGTACAGTTTGAGCTCCGCCGTTTTGATTTCGTGAACCTTCTCAATCATTGCAGGGATATCCTCTCTTGCATGCTCATTGATGGAGTAACTCCAGAAACTGCATTTTGGTTTTGAGGATCTATCAGTAAAGAATTTATACAAGAAATCAAATCCATAGTGAAGCAGTTTACTCTCTATCTATACAACAACTCACTCTCTTGAGGAAATGTTTTTGTTCACATGATCTCTTGAAACTAAACCGCGGAAGTTCCCTAAGTAAACATCGTAGCCTGAAAGACAAGAAACAACAAAAGTAAAACATATGGTAAGCGAATCTTTACTACATATTTATCATTAAGCTGTCTAGAGAGATTAATTTTTTTTTGAGTGCGGACCTTGATCATAAGCAGCAAAAGCCGGAGATCCAACAACCCCATTTGATACCCATCTGAAAGATTAAGGAACAGATGAGATACAGAGGCTAAAAAATGTATGACATAGACTTGTGAAACTGAAACTCACCCCATTGAAGAATCCAAAACACCATGCTGCAAGAAGACAGCTTTCCTCGCATCTCGTCTGGAAAAGCCCATAAGAGGAGATTAATGTTGACATCTTAAAGAATCTTACAGACAAACCATAAGAGAGTATATACCTTGGTATCCTTTCCAAGAGAAGACCATATCCATCAGATGTAACAACACGAATAGCTTCATATGGATACCTATCAATATTTTAAGTTCCCAAAAAGTTTAATCAAATAACAAAAGAAGTGAAAAACAAAAAAAGCAACGAAGCATCTTATACGCATACCCAAGCTCTGTTATGACATCTTGACAAGTTCGAGTATCTGTATTGTATAAGCTCGTCATTGTGGTTCTTTCCGTAGGTGATGCATCGTTACATCCAAGAGTGGCGGTCTGAACGGTTTCATCATCCGAAACGTCATCGTAGTTTCCTTTAGAGCCGTGGCTGTGATCGGAGGAAGACAACAATGACAGCATTATCCCAAAAGCCTCTGATGGAGAAAGAAGAAGATGTGCAACCTTGTGGAAAAAATCAAATACTGCTTCTATAAAGATCTCGATACCAAGCTGAAGATCCTGCAATATTCATACAACATGAGAAATGAAAAAATTCAAGAACAAGTGATTAGTGGTATATAGTATGTTTCCATCCACACAAACCTCAATGACTCCACGTCTTCTATCAGTGGTTCGGTTAGGGACATCATGCTCTTTCCCTGGCCTAGCTTTGCTAAAGTAAGGTCTTGAAGAATGTCTGTACCTTCCTGGGCTCAGCGTCGACACTCTTGAGTTTCGTCTACCAAAGAGATAAAACGGCACCCATAGAAGGATCCGGGCCGGTAGCAAAACCCACCAGACTATGGACGTTATCCAGTCTGTCCAGTGGCTTTCGTAGTTTGCAGGAAGAACAGCCCAAGACCGGAGTGAGCTTTGAGAGAGCGGTGATGGAGGCGTCGACATGCCATCACTATCATCTTCACCAGAGGAATAATCCAAGCTCGAGGTGTCAGAATCCACAGAGAGCTCGTGGATGAATTGGTTGAAAGAAGAGACTCCACTGTTAGAAAATCAAGAGAGAGTGGATTACATTACTGTCATTGGGGCAGAGATGAAGAAAGTGTTGAGAGATTTTGATATACTTATGCATCCAGCGAGGTAAGCGAGGTCCACGTAATGTAGGCCTTAGTTCCCATCCATGGAGGCCTTCAAGAACATTGGCCTTTCCGGGAATAAGAGTCAAGAGAAGTGCAGAAACTCCATTTATGAACCTTGCAATGTTGTTCAAAGACTCATAAGTCAAAGTTTTCACCGACCTGCACTAAAACCCAAAATCATAGTTAGCCTTTAAGTATCATACAATTAACACCAAAAGCAAACGGACAAGCTCTGAATAATAAAGAATAACTAACCACCAATACAAAAAGAACCACTGTAACTATTATAGGAGTAGGACTAAGTACATCAGATTACTCAAAAGATGTTATCCCTCCCCAGATCAGTAACTATTAACCACTAAATTTCAAGCATAATGTAAAAAAATCAGAAGCTGGAAGATATTAGTCTTAGCTCCACTATAGAGACCACTGGCTCAATAGTGGCATGATCCATATCTTTTGGACTTTAATCAAAGAAGAAAATTATATTCAACATGATCAAAATCAAATCTATCATCAGACCAGAAGTACATCCAAAATTCAAGAACGGCAACATTCAAATGATTTGAAACGTATCTCAAATCAGAGATCACTAAACGTGCATACTTAATCAAATCAGAGATCACACTTAACATTCAGTGACGAATCGAACAGAGAGAGGAACTCACTCTTTCGTTACAGCGAGAGCGTTGTCAACGAGGCTCTGCATGATTTAGTTACCCAGACGAACAAAAAAACTCGAAATTTCTGGCAAAAACGGATTTTTTCTTGTCGTTAACAAAAACAATTTCCAGTAAAATAAGCAAGGAAAAAAAACGAGAGATACACAAATTCAAATGCAGCAATCGAGGATAAAAAAAAATGCTAAACTTTTTTTCTGATTGAATCCGATAAATAAATAAGGGAGAATCTTGCCGTCCACAAGAAGAAGGTCGGTAAAACGTTATTTAGACAGACGTGACAGAGAGTGACACGTGGGTGTAAATTATTGGATGGCCAGGAATGTGTCATCTAATGGATTGTGCATGCGGATCTGGAGACATGACACGTAAGTCTGTAGTGGCGGAGAAGTTACGCCGATTTGTCTTTTTTTTCTGACATACTTACATATATAATTAAATAAGCTCGTGAGTTACGAGTATCAATAACATTAATTTAAATATAATACTTTGGGTGGCTGGAATATTTTCATATTTTCATATTTGCTATATCAAAAGCATTTTTTTTCAAAGACAGGAATTTTATAATTTAAAAGTCATTCATTAGTCATTAGCATTCTGAGTAACACGCGGCTGGTTTAATACTCGCAACAAAAGGTAAGGCAAAATATCAAAATGATGAACCATGAAATGCACACAGCAGCTTAGTTTTCAAGGGGACTTCCTCTGAATATAAGAAGCGCCATGTTCCTCGTACCTATATCATTCACATCAAAGCTCAGGTGTAAGCAGAGAAACTAAAAAAAGTTTTTCTTTGCTGAAGCACATGCATAAACATTACATTAAGGATCAATCAATGATTTGGGAACTATCACATCCAAGATCAATTGTTAATATATAGTTTCACCAAATTTAACTAGGGAATTAAGAGTTGAAATTGATTGTTATTTTACCAGTATGCTACATGCTTTCTCTTGAAAGAGTATCAGCAAAAGAAATGGACCAATGCAAAACTCAGGTAAATTGGCTCAAAAGACATACTATAACAGTGTAAAAACACAGTTTAACTTACTTTTGATTCCTTTACTCTCCTCCAAGCATTTTAGCAAGCAGCCAGTGAGAAATTTCCCAACAGCCTGTGAGTAAAAAACGGCATGGTCAACAATCGGAGAATTAAGAAATCAGCAGACAATAATAAACTACATCAATGCGCATTGTAAAAGTAAAACTAGTCAAAAACAGTTCACATGGGTGAGAAAATTAAAACTTGTTACGTTTTTTCCATTGGGAAGACAAAAGGGTGTCTCGAATCGGTAAGCAAATGAAGAAGTGCAAAGAAAATAAAACAAACACCAAAGGATGGAACTTTGAAAATTGCTTCTCATCTGCAACTCTCTCTCTCTCTCTCTCTCTCTCTCTCTCTCTAGCGCGGTTTCCTTTTAAGCAAATCGATTCGTCATTTCTGTTAGTCAATACCATTTTTTTCTTACCGACCTAAAACCGGAGAAAGGAGGCGCGATTCTACCGAGAAAACATCTCGTCATGGCCGCCGCCACCGCCGCCGTCACCGTTGTATTCATCATCGACGGCGGCGAGCGGTGCAAAAACCGGACTGCTAATGCTCAATGAAGATCCCATTTCTCTACAGTGATGTGTGTGAGAGAGACAACGACTGAGAGAGATTGGGGAAAATGTCTTTGCTGTGTGAGAAAAGGCAGACAGGTTGGAGCCAGGCAAATCTATTATCATCTTTTAATATTTTTGAAAGCAACAAAAAAACACCTAATTTCAAAGCCTTTTTTCTGGTATTTTCTGGATTTTTTTTTTTTTTTTTTTTTTTTTGGAATGGGGAAGAAGAAGATAGATACAGGCAATGGGTATAGAGTTTGTCGTTGAAAGAGAGGAAGAGGAAGATGAAGAGAAGATCTAGCTTTTATTTCTTGAATTTATATACTCGAAATGTGAAATCTTTATGAACCCATTTTTCAGCAGATTATGTTAATCATCAATTCTGCGACTAACATGAGATAGATCTATAAAATTACTAAATTTCTTTATGTTCATGTCTCTCCCACCCTATGCGCTACTATTTATCGGTAATAAAAAAACTACTCTCAATGATTTTAGTATGATATGGTGTTGCAGTCGTTAAAAGACAAATTAGAAACAGGGAATGTTAGGCTTCTAGGGTTCTTCACAACTATCAAAGAATCATCGTTTCTCAGAAAATCCAAAGCAATTTTATTAGCACCACATGTCGACTCCATTGTGCTAGGACTCGAAGCAATTTTTATTACTATTATTCTATCAACTCTTCTATAAAGCTTAAGAGAGTTATTTTTAGAAGTGTCCTAACTTCTCCACAAGCTTCTTCTCTATTTCCATCCTCTTCTTCATCAACAAGCCGTAGGAGGAAGCCACATTCTCGTCTCCTGCTTTTACCTTGAGCTTGCAGTTCAGAGACGTCTTCTCCAGTTTCCCCTCGTAGAGATATGAAATGGGCACAAAGCTTCCTTTTTTGTTGCAGAGCCAGCCATGAGCAGCTCTCAGTGCAGCTCCAAGCGATGCTGAATCTGTGCACACCAATACAATTTGTTCAATCCATAAGAATATCAGCTAAAAGTAAGCTAAGAGGTCTGCAACTTGTTTGTATGTGCAAGTGTTACCAGGCCTTTGGACAGTATATACATCACATCCGAAGATTGCAGAGATCAGACACAGAATATTGTCGTTAGCTGATGCACCTCCCGTGGCTATTATTCGGATCGGAGGGGAAGGCATACCAAATCTCTCGGCATGAGCCCGCTTTGACAGAAACTGACCTTCAACCAATGCTCTTACCTGACAAGAAAGATTACATTTTGAATGAAATCAATATAAGTGCCTCATGGGCTCTGCACAGAACAGTGGATGAGTGTCTGTGCATTGCTTACCTCTGAGGGAGAGTCGAACGTATCCACCTCTCGTTCCTTTGCACCCTCAATGGATGTTGGAGAGAAGTCCTCAAGAATGTAACGGTGAGAGCCGGCTACGCATTGAGAAAAAAACATTAGTAAAAGAAGCTTATAGCGTGTGGCCGAGATCAATTGAACGGAAAGGAGAACACAACTTAAGAACATACCGGGAAGTGGGGGAAGAATTTCATTTTCAGTGTAGTAGAAGCCGAGTTTCCCATCTAATGGATCCAGTTGAGTTTTGAGACAAAACATGAGCATGAAGATATTATAGCAATATGGAATAGCAACTTACCATTTAGTGGATGTGTTTGCTCCAAATACTTGTTAAAAATATCCCAAGAACCCTCAGCGCAACGGTCACGAATTTCTGAAACAGAAACGCACATATTCTAATTTCTATCTGAGAATCAACAAAGCAAGCTTAATAACAGAGGTGAAAGTGGGAGTTTGCACCTTCACGGGTGAGAGAAGCATTCTTGTAAACCAACATTACCATGTAACTCTCAGGGTCCACGGGGTTGGGAAACACATGGCCCTCAAGACTGGGTTGATGTTCTTTGGTAATCCCAAATACCTGTCAGAGTTTATAATGTTTGGCATCGGAAATGGTTAAAATAATATGTCTGTTTCTGGATTAACTAGAAAGCTCGACATGAATCAAAAGAACTTGCCGTGTCGCTGGTCCCAAGACTGATCGCCAGATCTCCAGGAGTACTAAGAGTCAGACCTGCAGATCATTACAGAACATGGTTCATCAACACCTTGTATTTCATACACGAAACACATACAAGATTCTAGCCCTAAGATACACTTTTCATTTCATCAAAATCGTTGCAGATGCAAAAACATGGCGCAACTTTGTGTTGGTGAATCTGTACCTGCCAAGCTATTAGGATTATCTCCTGACCACTGCACCACCACGCAGCTCTTTTCGAAACCGAACCTGCATCACAACCAAAATATTTCTCAATCTGACATTGAAAACTGCAAGAAGCTTCAAGACAAATTTGAAATGCATATGTAAACTTCTTTTAACAAGTTTATATATTCGGTTTAGAAGACACAAACGTGATCACAGTCGAGATACTAACCTCTGAACAAAATACTGAGAAATGGAACCAGCAGTAGCATAAGCGGGCGCTAACTTTCCAAGCTTTTCCTCCAAACCCGTAGCTGTAGCCTGCAGATGAAAAAGCCTATTAGGAAACACACCCATTATGGTTTTTAACTATAAACTCAAAACCAATCACTACAAACCTCTAACGCAGCTTTAGACCAACATCGCTTCTTTATATCCATCAAATTCATCCCAGCTCCATCAGTTTCATCAATGGAAGCATAATCTCCAATCAGCAAAGACGCCATGAAGGAGCTAACAAGAGATATTCGCTCCGTGCTCTTATACAAATCAGCCTCCGTGGTAAAAAGCTTCCGTATCTGTGGGCCAGTGAACCGCTCGTAAGCACGGGAGCCAGTGATCTCTGACAACTCCATGGCTCCTCCCACAGCATTCTCAATCTCTTTGCACTGCGCCGTGGTGCTGCTGTCCATCCATATAGGAGACTCCTTGACCGAGAAAGCGTCTTCAAGCTGATCCTTCAAGGATCTATTGGAATCCAAAGATCTCAAAATCTGAGAACCACCTTTTTGCCAGTAGACACTGCCGTGTTGCTGGCCGCTTCCTGAAACCGCGATGACTTTCCCGAAATCGAACTTCGCCTCGGAGAGCTTCTGGAGGAGGAGATCCAGTGCCTCCACCCACATGAGAGTGGGGGACACGATTCTGCCATTTACGTTGGGGTCTCTGTACACTCCATCTTTGGTTTTGTAATGGGGAAGGTCGGAATCAAAATGAACAAACTCGCTCGTGACAATATTCAGGCCTGAGTCTAACACTGTTGCTTTCAAAGACCTTCATGGCAACAGAAAAACCAAGAATTCAGATCGAAATCTATGAGTTGATAAACGCGGAATTTTTGTGAAATTGATGATCGAACTAACGAATTCCAAAATGATCGTACATGCATTGTGATCAAAGATTGTTTGAGAAAAAGAAAAAAGAAAAAAAAACAATTTCACTGAGAAAGCAAATGATATCACTTTTTGGTCTTTGAGGTAACGAAAAGTGAGGATGTACGAAAAAGACATAGGAATAAGGAAGAAGACATACTGGGTAGAGCTGTCGAATCCGAGGAAAAGAGAATCTGGAGGAAGAGAGAGATCCGCCATAGTTGATCCAAGTTTCGCAGGTCTAGCAGACATACAAGTATATTCAACATAATCAAAATCAAAATTTTCCGACCAGAGTGAATTTGAAAAGTATTTCAAATCACAGATCACTAAACGCGCAGTGACGACGAATCAAATCGAGAGAGGAACTCACTCTTTCGTTACAGCGAAAGCGTCGTCGACGATGCTCTGCATGATTTAGTTACCCAGAAGAAGAACAAATAAAAACTCGAAATTTGAAAAGAAAAATGAAACCCAAATTCAAATGCCGCAATAGAGAACTAAAAAAAAAAACTAAACTTTTTAGATTGAATCGGATAAATAAATAAGCGAGATTCTTGCCGTCCACAAGAAGATCGGTAAAACGTTTATTTGACAGAGAGTGACACGTGGGTGTATATTATTGGATGACGAGGAATGTGTCATCTATATCTATTGGGTTGTGCATGCGGATCTGGAGAACACGTCAGTCTGTAGCGGCGGAGAAGTTGTTACATAGCAATTAGATAAGCTCGTGACTTAGCTATGGATATCAAAAATATATTCAAAGACGGGATTTTGTAATTTTAAAGTCATTCATTCATTACTCATTAGTCTCATTAGCACATTGAGTAAAATGATAAAGCTGGTGGTTAATGTCTAACTCGCAACACAAGGAAAGGCAAAATATCCAATTGATGAACCATGAAATGAACACATCAGCTTAGTTTTCAAGTTTTGGTCTTTTTAGGTTCCACAGAAACTGAAGCTGCTTCAAGGGCACTTCCTCTGAATGTAAGAAGCGCCATGTTCCTCGTACCTATCATTCACACCAAAGCTCAGGTGTAAGCAGAGAAACTAAAAACAGTTTTCTTTGCTGCTCAAATGAGAAGAAGCAAAACAGAGACTTACTCAGATTTGGAGAACCACATCTGTTGAAATGAGCCTAGCGATGCCAATATACTCCCTCCTATCCACACACTGCACATGCATAAACATTTACATTAAGGATCCATCAATGATTTGGGAACTACTACAACTGTATTAAGCAACGAGATGTAGAGGAGGAAGTGAACTATATATATCCTACCTGAATCTTCTTTCTGTAGTGTTACCGCTCGCCAACACTTTAACTCGAGCCGAGTGAGGAGACTCCTGAAACGAAAGATAAGAGGATGATGACGAACCATTTTCTCGCCAAGGAAAGTTTACAAGCGACGAGAGGAAAAGAGAGAGAGAGGGAGAGAGCACAATACTTCTATCAAGTCCTTTTCGAGACGTTCTTTCAACTGTTGCATTGATGATGTGCCACCAGCAAGCTGGCATAATGCGAGAAGAAAAGTAATGAATAATATCATCCACATCCAAGATAAACTACAGGGATTGTTAATATATAGTCCAAGAAATGTAACTAGGGATTTAAGAGTTGAATTTGATTGTTATTTTACCAGTATGCTACTGTACAGCTCTCTCCGGATATCCACATCACATTTGTTGATGCTTTCCATGACCTGTACAAGTAAACAAATAAATAAAAAAGGAGTGGAGTTAGACAAAGTAAAGCGAAGAAAGCTTTGCAGTGACTAAAGACTACGCATTTACCATGTGTGGCAACCCACGAACTGAAGGGATCATGTCTGCATATTTCTCCATTCCAGGAATTGTCTGCCAGATTCCAGTAAACACGGAGAGTCACTATAGAAATTCTTTAACAAACAATACGAGGAGAGAAAAACAAATTGTCTTCAGAAGACACAATCCATGATGCCGAGTTTTGTACCTGAACTATGGACGGGTTGAACATCACATCAGGAACTTTGAACTTATCAGCACCAATCTCGAGCGTCCTACAGCAGACATGTTTAATAAGATATTGAGACAGACTAAAATTAGCAATGTTGCAGATTCCATGCAGGTTTCCAAAAGCTGTGTCTGACTCTACTAAACTTTTCTTCCGATGGCTTTAACGACTCGGATCCAACTAAGAACTTAATTTTCAGTTTAGACAAAGTTCGAAATAGTCATGAAATTTTTTCTAGAAACCAGCCACAAACTAATACATGGAAAGCAAAAGCAATTGTAGAATGTACATTTGAGACACGAAAATAAAAACGAAGCAGACATATAAAATGGAGCTTACTGGCCATCAGGAAGCTCGTACGACGTAGTCGGGATGTTTGAGTATGATTTGTCTGCAGATAAAAGCATCACGTCAGGAACACTAAGGCTACAAGATTAATGAACATTTAAAGATAAAATGTACCTAACGTTGACCTCTCAAACCACTTTAAACTTTGAAGAAAAACAAATCTATCAAACCAGTGAAAGACAGAAGAACATAACATACCGTCATAGGGAGTATCAGGAACCCGACAAATAGAATCCTTGATATCACCCACTATCATCCTCTGTCGAGAAAAAAAAATGACCAAGTTAGTAAAACATCAAAAAAAAAAAAAAAGTCAAAAGAGGTATCTGTCATTACTAATTACAGACCTGACAGAAGAGCCTGTAGCTTTCCGTGGTGTCAGGAAGATGTACATCTTCAACCTGCAAGGATTCGAAGGCAAAAAATAAGAGACTATTACACTCCAACGATGAGAAAAGCAATTTGCTAGTGTTAGCTTTCCTAATTGAAATGAGACAGATCCTACATTTGCTGTCTCATTGCCCAGTATAAAATTTAACACCTACTATGTCAAGAACACAAAATCAATTTTCAAAAACCTCTCGCGTTTTTTCTCTCAAAAAGTACATATTACTCAAATTGTAGATTCAAATATGCACCTGGAATTCCCCTGCTCGTACTTCCTTTCTCTTGAAAGAGTATCTGGGTCTTATCTGCAAAAGAAATGACCAATGCAAAACTCAGGTAAATTGGCTCAAAAATAGTATAGAAATGACCAATACAGTAAGTGGAACTATTTTTTACTACAACGGTGTAAACAGTAGTTCCTCTTACTTTGATTCCTTTACTCTCCAAGCTTTTTAGTAAGCAGTCAGTGAGAAATTCCCCTCCAAGTGGAGATGATACAACAGCCTGTGAATAAAACCATGGTCAACAATCGGAGAATAAGAAATCAGTATATAGTCTACATCAATGCTGAATAAGTAAAACTAGTCAAAACTCAAATAAATGAGAATTTATATCAGCCACAGATGACACTTAAGAAACTAAAGACAGAAAACTTTCTCCTGCAGCAGAAAATCTAAACTCAGAGAAACAGCATCACAAAGCTTGAATTCTGATCAAATCGAGTTATACAGTTACCTTTTGAAGAACATAACCCTCATGCACCGGTGCAATAGTTGTGGATCCTCCGCCGCTGGAAGACAATAAAGTATGAAAAAAGTGCCATCAGTGCCTCTTAGATTAATCACATCAAACACAAACAAGGTAAACTTTCACAGCATATAGGACAGAAGTCGAACATTAGTTGTTTCTAGCGAAAATTTTGATAATTCTGGAAGTACAAAAGTCTTACCAGTCAACAACCAATGAAGTAGCTCGCCCAGTAGCAAAAGACGTGAGAACCTAGCACCAAAAAACGCCATAGTCATGTAGATAGTTAGACATCTGATTTCACAAGAGTGGGCAGGAGACCAATGACACAAGGTACATGGAAGATACAGGATTCTTAGCCATAAACAATGCTGGAACTTTGTATTTTTCAAACATTAGCTCAGCCGCCCTGACAAGCATATATGATTTTGAGAAAATCAGTAACACACTTCAAGATGAATAAATACAGAAAGAAAGATATCTATAAGCAGATAAATCGGACTTCTCTCTCTGCTGTTGAGTGTTTAAAGGAGGCTCAGCTAGCAGCATGGGGTGCTCCTTAGGATCAATCATCAGACAACTCCTTCAGACATAAAGAATATCTTAGAGACGACATCAAACAACAATTAAGAGAGAAAAAAACTAATGCTTTACACCGCTTACTTGAAAGCATGTTCCCATATGTTGTCCACCAAATCCCAATCAGAAACTACGCCATCTTTGATGGGCGACAATACCTGGTGACAGAAAATGCAACTTGTACTTCACTAATCCATTTGCAAAATTAAGAACATTAACCAAAGAGAGAAAAAACTAACCTCCATATGATCCCGACGGTAACTCAAGGCTTGAGATCCTACATAAAGCTTGCGTTTTCCCTTTTCTTTATCAGACTCGTTGGTCTTTGAATCCTCGGAATTTGAATTTGTCTTTGTAGAATCAACATCCATATCCATTGCCTCTATTCCATCTACTGCCCCAACAACCTTATAGACACATCAGAAAAATAAAACCCTGAGACTCTGAGAGCAATTCATATGTCTACGAGGGACTTAACGCAAATCTGTCACTAACAGCGTGAAGCTTAAAAAGAGCTCCGGCGACATCAAAATGCTAGAATCATGCCAATAGAAGCGCCAAAAGATCCAAAATGGAGATTAGAGGAGTAGAAAGAGGTGAGCTTACGGAAGGGAAAACGGCTTTGGGGGCATCTTCGCCGGCGTAACCAGCTTTGCAAGTGTGCGAACCCAAGTCAACCACTATAGCTGACACTTCATCTGTGGAACAAACCCCACCACGGGGGGGAAAAATCAGACTTGAACGAGAATATCCCCAGGGAGAGGAAAAAGATGAACGAGAAAGCAATTCAAGGGTTCGAAGAGAAACCCACCTCCGCCGTACATGGCTGCCGGGGCTCGTCGGAGGGCTTAAATACGGAACGGGGTTCTCTGCAATCTCGGGGACAACCAAAAGGGGTCGAATTGATAACTGTACTGAGCTCGATTTTTGTCTAGACTTAGAGAGAGAAAGACTCGAATCCTCTCTCACTGAAGAACCTTCGTAAGGTAAAATAAACTAATAGTAATATAAAAGTGATCCAATAAATTTAGAGAACACCATTTTTCATTTTTGCATCTCAAAATTGCGAATCTCGGAAAGATGAATAATTTAAATTTAGAGAACACCATTTTTCATTTTTGCATCTCAAAATTACGAATCTCGGAAAGATGAATAATTTAAATTTAACCCTTGCCTTCGAGATGAATTAGATAAATGTTGATTAAATTCTTGATAAATTAAATAAATTTTATTAAAATTAAGAGCAATTATGACAAGCTCATAAATCTGGTTTTCTTCTGATATACAATTTGCTCGAAGGGAACATGAATGGATCAAAAATAAATTAACAATGAATCGGCTTGAAAACTCTGCAGATGTTTTATATGTTGATGAAACAATCACTCTTTTTAACTGAGCTGCTCCATAGACTTTTGAGTGTTGACAAAGGTTGCACTTTTGTTGAACCCTTCAAGCAGCATAATCCTGACTGCCTCTAACCCGGTTTGAAATGTATAATCCAACTGCAAAACCAGAAACAGTCAGGGCTTTTTATCTTTCTTAAACCGATTGATATACAATTATAAAGTTGGGATTTATCTTCCTCTAACCTCTTCCTGTTCTTGTTTATTGAACTGGCGAAGAACATAATTTGCTGTATCCATCTTCCCTGGAGGCCGTCCGATCCCTGAAATGAAACATTTAACAACAGTTTGCAAAAATGCAAGAAGCAAAACAAAAACTGGAGGAAAATGAAAACTTTACCTATTCGTAGACGAGGAAAATCGCGGCTCCCTTTGAGACGATCTATAATGCTTCTCATCCTGCACGTACATCACCAAAACAATTTCATCAATGCTGTTATTACCACAACTGCTTCAAGAGTTTCTCTATGATTTGATAGTGAAAATAGTCACAACTAGAAAAAAACATCGCTAAACAGATGCTTAGAGTGAAAAAGCTTCGTACCCATTGTGCCCTCCGTGACCACCTTTTGGCAATAAACGAAGTTTACCAAAGGGCAAATCCAAATCATCGTAAACCTGTAAGAGGCACGGAAAAGTTCTTTAAGGCCGCATATGCACTCTAAATTCACAATTTGGAGAGCGAGAGAGAGAGAATGCAATGTATACCACAAGTACTTGCTTCAGCGGAATCTTGTAAAAGGAAACAATTTGTGCAACCTTCAAACAATGCCAGCAATCATAATCAGAAAGCATTGAATTACAAAAGTTACAATATATACAGAGATTGGTTGACTATCATATATAAACCAAAGTTCTTATCCGACGAGCTCACTTACAGACTCACCACTGGCGTTCATGAAAGTTTGAGGTTTCGCCAACATTATCGGTATATTTCCAATCACGCCTATGATAGACAAACCAATAGCCAAAGTTAGTAACCATCCAAAAAGGGCTGTTTCAATCTCTCTGCTAAAACAATTGTAAAACTAGGAAGCTGCTTTACAGACTAATTATGTAGATCAAATAGGACTATGAAACGAGAATCTGTTACGCACACTGAATTCTCAAAACACAGGTTTCAATCCCTCTTATCAAATCATTAGAAACAACAAAATTTGAATGCAAAAATTCACACTTTGAGAGAGAAAAAAATTATTAAAAGTTGAAAATTTCACAATGGAGAATGAAAAGAGAACCTTTGCCAAACAAGGCCTTGAAGTTCACGGTGTTCATGGGTATCCCTTCTGCATAAGCCAAAGCGTCGACCATCTCAAAACCAACCTGCAATAAACATCGAATGTTAGCGAACTGAAAAGGAGAGAAGAGAATGGAAGATGCAGAGAGAGATATATATATATATATATATATATATATATATATATACATACATTGTGTCGAGTGCCCTGATACTTCTTGCCGGGATTACCCAGACCGACTATGAGCCATGGGAACTGTGGAGGCGGAGATTTTGGCTTCGGAGAAGATAATTGAACCTGAGCTAACTCTGATTCTGGTTGAGGGGTGAACGAAGTCGATAGAGATGAAAATAACTGAGACGATGACGTTTGGGACATCAAGCCTTCAATACCCTTTCTTCTTCTCGTCAGCTTCCGACAAGGAGTCGATACCGGGGAAGATAATGCCGGCGACAGAAACGTAGCCGGTGATCGGAAGTATAGAGCGCAACGGCCTGAAGGCAAGCTTAGATTTGCGAATTTAGAGGGAAAAGAAGCAGCTTTCATCTTTTTCGGGGATTTAGGGTTTAGTTATCCCCAATTTGATTGGATTTGTTCACTCGATGTCAACCGAAAAACATACAAAGAAAAGAACAGTGAAGGGGCAAAAAAAAGGAAAATTTCCCGAAGAAGGGGACGAACATATAAACTTAAAAGATAGAAATGTTAATCGCCGTTGCCGGGGATCGAACCCGGGTCACCCGCGTGACAGGCGGGAATACTCACCACTATACTACAACGACCTTGTTGATATGTGTAATAGTAAACCCCACAAACCTATAAAATCCCAAAATTAAGGGATGAAAATGCAAACTCTGAAAAAATATACGCCGTTGCCGGGGATCGAACCCGGGTCACCCGCGTGACAGGCGGGAATACTTACCACTATACTACAACGACTCAGTTGCTTATTAATTCAGAAACAACATTATTAAACTATTAAACAAAAAGGTTTACAGACATCGCCGGAGCCAATCGAGGATGTGGTGGATCTTCATTACTCAGGCAGTAGCCTCTTTGAAATTCGCTTTTTCGCACAGGTCATCGTACGCATTCACGAGATTATCCAGCCTCGCGACGAATTCTATCAGTAGCGAGGCGAACGTAGCTAGAGACAGAGCACTCGCGCTCTCGAGCATCCTCGTCGCCTCATCGTCGCGTGGTTGTAACATACTTCCCGGCGTCAGAGAGACCCGGCTAGGCCACGAAGGCTGTTTCTGTATCACCGTCCTTGATTGTTGGTTGTGGGCTGTCGCCGAGTTCGGGTTCTTAGCAGTAGTTACAGCATCCCAGTTCTTGGGCGGACGAAGTGTGGCTTCACTCTGGGATTTATGAGCCAGGATCCGACTTAGATCCTCGTCGAGATTCGAGATTTTGAGTTCATCGGTCAGATCCGTAGACCGATTCCCGATTTCCCAGTTCTCGGCGTTCACGAGAAGGTACGATTTCTTGTCGATTTTGCTCTGAAGTTCCTCGGCTGCTTGGTGAATCTCGTGGAGAATGTCTTCTAGAGGGTTTATTCTCTCCATCTTCTTCAGCTTTTCCCCAATGAATCTCAGAACTTTTGCTCCTTCGACTCCGACCCTTTGAAGCTCATTACGAAAGACTTGTCTTTTATCCTCTGCAGCCTGCATTACATTGCTCTCTTGAGATTTGAAGATTCTGACTTGAGATTGGAAGAGAGGGGGAACAAGCTAATGTACCTGAATCTCAGAGAGAATGCAGCCATGTAATGCCATGACCATAAAAGCACAATGCCTCAATGCACCACCTACTTTCACATACATCCTCCATGGATATCTAAAGGATTTGTACGGACCGTGTGGTGGCTCCCATGACGCAAACCCCATCTTCACAGTCACATCAACCAACCACAAAATAGAACCAAGACGTGAGATTATGAAGTAAGTTGGTGTTTTGAAATTTGTTGCTGCTGCTTCTTATGTGTTTGATGAGTGAAATGAATCCTTACCAGAGTGTCTTCTTGGCTTGTAGATTGAACGGCTGATCTGTAACCACTGTACACTGGATCGTCCGTGACAGCTTCATAGACCAGAATCCTCGATGGGATCGTATCATATGCTACGCAGTCAAGATATCCTTTCACGCAACCTGCTCAAGAAACGTTTTCTATGGATTGGATTTGACAAGTAATCAGGCTAAGCTTTTCAACCGAATTGAGAGGGAAAGAGTAATAAACCTTCCAAAGAAGTCGCAACATTCACAAAGTTCTTGGCGACCAAGTTATGGAGATCATCACCAGCCCATATGGGATAAATGCAAGTGTTCACAAGGAGGCCAACGCAGGCACCAAGTGCTATCATAAGGAACCTTGAAACAGCTGTTTCCATGAATTCCCCTGTTCTGTATCCGGACACTATCACGTAGCAATAGGTCAGCAAGAACACCCTGAATCCGTACTCATACGGCTTCATCGTTGGGTATAGCTTTGCATAAGTCCCCAAAAAGGCTGATACAAGAACAGGCACACAATATTGCCAGAAATCAGAATGAGATTCAAAGGTGGAAGCTTTGAGTTTAGACCAGATGATCTACCTACTACGAAGATGCTAACAGAATTGAAAAGCTCTGCCCAATTTCCAGTCATTTCGGATATTTTAGCCATGCCAAGCGCCAATCCTCCTGCAGATAACGTTCCTAGTCCCCGGTTCAACCCTTTGCTAAAGGTGGCTCCTACACAGAGAAGAGAGGGTTTCACATCAGTTATTGAATTCGTTAGAATGTTCAAGTTTGATGTGTTAAGTCTGTTGCATTCACCTATACTGAACTCGAAGACAACAACTATTGTGAGAATTGCCCAGAGATAGTGGTTGCTGAGCTCTGATCCTGGGAGCTTAAAGAAGATGAGAATGGAGACGAGTGTCAGAGCCAAACCCATCTTCGCTGAGAATATTATCTTCCTCGGGTCCGATGTTCCCATCTCCCACGCTGTAACCAAAACATCCTGTGTTTTCTTCACAAACCCAGTGATCTTGTCGGAGAAGTACCTGCAAACAACATTCATAGCATTTTCAAGGCTAACCATTTGAGATTGTTGTTACACAATTGAGATTGGATTCCAAGAGGCAGCAGATTCAATGAAACGGCTTCGAAAGTATCTGGTCAATAGAGTTTCTAGAAAGGGGAGATTGTATGTAGATGTTATAACCTGTAGGAGCAGCAACGGACGGGAGTTCTGTTGTCAGCGATATAGGAATAGTCTCTTGTGTGTTGTGGCATAAGCCTATCTCTTAAGCTTTGTCTAAACGAACCATCGAACATGCTACTCCGCCTGAAAGATACGTCAAACATGCTGCCCCGCCTGAAAGATTCCAGCTTTGGTGCCGCCATTTCTGGTTCTTGGTTCTGATGATCGCACAAGGGAGAGAGAGGTGTAAACAGAGACAGGAGATCTTGGAAGAAGAGATTCTATATCTTGTGCATTGTGATTTTAAAGAGGAGGAACACCCATGAGGATTTGTATCAAATACACGATGGTGTCATTGTGAATGAAAAACCCAGATTCCAAATTTGGAGCTTTCTCGATTTTGTAATGAAATGGTATGCAAATCTTGTATGTTTGCTACGCACGTCTTCGAGCACGTTTTCGTGTCTATCTAATTACAGATTATTATTATCACAAACATAATCTCAACAATGTTTATTATAATAATAACGGTCAAACGGTCAAATTTATATAACATGAGAATTTTTCAAGTGTTGCACAGAAGAATACACACACATCGTGCATGATAAGATAAGTGATTCCTTTTTTTCCAAATCATATAAAATTTCAGTTGCACAACAAACCCATTGAATCCCACCTTAAATACCGGTATCTTCTATAAACCCTGAAAATCTCCTATCGTTAAAAAGAAAGAAGAAGGAACTTATTTTCCAAGTACTTGTCAAGACACAACTACACAAAAATGGCATCTTCAAGTCTCTTTATCACTGTCTTAATCTCCTTGGTTCCAGTCTTCCTCCAACCAGGTCTCGCTCAAGGTCCGAGTCCTCCAGCTTCTTGTGCTTCCTTACTGCTAGCTCTGGCTCCATGTGGTCCATTCGTGCAGGGCTTTGTCCAGATCCCGGCTCAGCCATGCTGCAACAGCCTGAACCAGATCTACAGCCAACAACCGACCTGTCTATGTCTCTTGCTTAACAACAATTCTACTTTATCCTCTGCTTTTCCCATCAATCAAACACTCGCTTTGCAATTACCTCAGCTTTGTAGCATTCCCGCCAATACATCTGTTTGCTCCTCAGGTATGTAATTCTTCCATTCGCATCTTACACACACACAAACAAAACTTAATTTTGATATCTATTGCTTTTGTGAAACTTATAACAACATTTTCTTTTTATTTTCTTGTTGAAAGGGGCTTCCTCTGTTTCTCCACCATCTACTAACTCAACCGGTACTCAAGTCTCTCTGAGTCCAAAGAACAATTCTGTTGTTGCAGGTAAGTCTCTCTGAAACTCATATATTAACGACGAAGAATGATGTTAATGAATGAATCATTTTTTTAAAAAAGGTTACACTTCATTTGGTAACTGAAGATGCTTTGATTTATAAAGCCTCATTAGGGCTCTTGACGAACCTAGTTTTCATTTTCAGTGACCCCAGTTGCTCAAGTGGCACCAAAACCAACCAGCATGATGGGAGTGGGTTATGATCTGAGATCCTCTGGTCCGAAGTCTAAGTTTCAGCTGACAATCTTTGTGATCACAGCGATTCTAACCGGAACATTTTTCCCTGTCTAACTTCATCTGCGTATTACCACTATGATTCCCGTCTAGTTACACTCTCCTCTTTTAGCTTTTCTCTTTGAACTCAGAACAACTACAAATTTCTATAGTTTGACGTATTGTAATGTTTTCTTGAAACCAAAACAGAACAATGAGACAACGGTGATGCACTCGAATTTGTTACTATCTTGTTGTGTAAAGTAAAACCACAAGTACTTGCTTAAGCGGGATCAGAAGTATCAAATTTACAAAGTGATGTCCCTCGTCAAGCCTTAAAGACATTAAACCAAATTGGAAATGAAAGAATCACACTTTGAGAAAACACACCATTAAAAGATTAAACTCATTTTAGAGAAGGTAAGAGACCAAAAAGAGCAACTTTGCCCAATCAGGGCTTTCTAGTTAATGGTGTTAACGATCTCAAAACCAACCTGCAAGTCAACAACTCTGGTGAAAAGGGACTAAAAACTAAAATCACAAAGGTAAGGGACTAGAATTTTAATCTAAAAGCATGTTAAGGGGCTAAAGTCAGAACATCAGCAACAAAGAAAGTTATGAAAAAATAAACGGTCAAACGGTCTTTAACAAATATATAACTCAAAATTATACATCAACGGACAAACGGTTATATGAACCCTGCAAAAGTTTTTTACACTTAACAAAAAGATAACATCTCACACCAATTTACTATTTTACTCTCCTTCATGCAATATTTTTTTGTACTCCAAATGCACATCATGATTTGCATGAGTGCCAAAAGCACTTGTTTCTGACTCTTATTTGATTGCAATTGAATTTTGTATAAGAACTTATGCTGGATGTTCAATGCTGCAAATATGTTTTTACTCCTCTCTTGACAACTATTTTGAAGATACTCCTAGATGGAGACAACAAGTACAAATGTGATATACATGGTCTTGAGGTTGGATAGCATATTATCTGATAATATAGAAAGTTTATATTATAGTTTGTCATTCTTAATTTTAATTTTGATTTATTGTTTTTCTAGCGGCAAATAAAAGCATTTTATTCAATGCTTTACCTCCGGTTTTTCACCTTCAACTCAGTAGAACTTTTGATGGTACAACAAAAGTAAGTTTTCAAAGATAATTTGATATCACCGCGTGTACTTTATTTTTTTCTTTTCAATTTGATCTTCATAAATAGAATCGAGATACCTTTTCAACTTAATCTTGATAGACAGAATCTGAAGTACTTCTCCATTGATTCAGACAAGAGTGTCAACAATTTTTACACACTCCACATGTATGTCTCCTTACATTTTCGAGTTAATACATAATCTTGACTTCAACCAATTATTTTTTTTGTGATAATTTATATCTTTTTTTTGTATGTAGTGTTTTGGTCCATAAGAGACTAGAGGCAGCATTGGGCATTATTATGCTGTCATTATATCTGAACTTCGATTCTAGAGGGTGCTTGATTTCACTGATATCCGAATTAGGGTTAGGAAAACATAAAACTTGCGTTAAGAAAAAGAAAGCTCAAAAAAGTATTGATGAAAAAAACTTACTTGGAATTATGAGCGAGTTTGAGAGAGAGAGAAAGCAGCAACAAACGACGGTCAAGCTTTATAGGCTATACAGATTGACCTAAAGTTCTGATTTCAATTATTACCTTCCTTTTGTGTATATATTATCAAAGCTTTAGCTAAATCTGTAATAACCAGAACCATTGGATATAATCTGTAAGAACCCAAAAAATAGAGGGGCTAGATAAAGTTAAAACTCAGAAGTAAAGGGACTTAAATTAAAATCCGACCCGACCCGACCCGCTGTATAAAACGATTGGAGGGGGAAACAGGGATACTCGCGCTTCTTCCTACATTCGCGCTACAGCTTAAAAAAAAAAAAAAAAAAGTCGAAGAATTTAATTTTTTTTAATGAAGGAAAAATAAAGAAGCACGAAAACTCTTTGACGCGACTAAACCACGTCTCGTTTCTCCGTCTCCATGATTTCTCGCAGGTTGGACTTCCCTCACCGAGAAAATCTCCTCCGATAATTTTCCAGGTTAGGCACGCGCGCGAGAGAAAATTTCCAAAAATGGTTGATGATCAATTCCTCTTTTACATTTTGTTTGTTTTGTTTTCCATGATCCGATTTTCTGATGGTGATTTGTACTGTGTGTTTTTGACTTAGTTTTCCCAATGCCGATCTTCTCTTGTTGCACCAATGTGAAATTCTGTTCCTCTCCAGGTAGGTTCGTCTCTGCAGCTATTTTCTTTTTATTCGCATTGTCCCAACTTTGAAAAAAAAAATGCTTGTTTCATCGTATTTCTCTGGAGATTTATTAGCTAGATCCATTGTGAATTCGATTCTTCTGAAAATTGGAAAAAGGAAAAAAAAAAACATAATTTGCATTGCGATCTGGTGATTAGCTACACTCTACACATAGTAGATCGAGCTTATGCTTGTTAATAAGGTTCGTTTGTGGGATTTGGTCTAATGCTTCTTAATATAAAAGCAATCGTGTTTCAGGGCGTTGTTGATAGAGAATGAAGGAGTTGTGGCATAGTCAAGTGTTTCCATAAGTTTGCTTTGAACATCGATGCCTTTTGGTGATTGATGATGCATTCTCTCACTGATCAATCAGGCAGCTCTCATGGAGGTTCAACTCCACGCAGTCCCTTCTCTCCTTTATCTCCAAGGCAGAAAGCTCTCGCCGATACCAAATCTCCTCGTCCCCTCCCCAATTCTTCCCCGTTAGGTACCTTAATGTATAATGTAATTTTAAGAAAGGACTCTTTACATTTGTAGTAGCTTAGTGAGGTTGATTTTGAAAATGGTTTCTTTTGTCTACAACAGACCCATCGTCCCCTGGATCAATGCTCCATGGAGGGCACAAGTTCCACGAGGCTTTCCAAATGAAACAGGGGCGTTTTGATCTCCATGCTGCAAAGATTTCTGAGATGATGAAATCTAATAATTTAGATGTATCTCCCTTGAACACTTTTTACTATATTATTAACAGTTGTTTCTTTTCATAATATAGTATAGCTTTATGCTTGTGTTGGATGCAGAATGCTCCCACGCAGTCACTTTTAAGTATCGCCAATGGGATTCTTGATGACAGTATTGAGAGAAAGAATGGTGAACTCCCTCAGGTACTTGATCCTAATCATTTAACAACTCTGATCGTACGTATGTTTCATGCAAAAGAAAATGCATGCACACACATCGGTCGCATGCGCTCTTACGAAATCTAATGTCCAGCGTGTAGCATGTCTGCTGAGAAAAGTCGTGCTGGAAATCGAGCGACGTATTTCAACTCAATCTGAGCATCTAAGAACGGTATCTCTTGTTTTCTAGGAGGAAATAGTAACTTAAGCTCAATTGTTTTAGGGATGTTCTGAATTTTTCTTTTTCTTTGTGCAGCAAAACAGTGTGTTTAAAGCTCGTGAGGAGAAGTATCAGTCAAGGATCAAAGTTCTCGAAACCTTAGCTTCAGGAACTAGTGAAGAAAATGAGGTATCGTAAAGAACTTAGGCCCTTACATATATTCACTAAATGTGTTACTCTGCTGATCAACTTATATCTCACCAGATTGCTACTAAACAACTTCGACGGATTAAGGTAATGCTCATCTGTCCATTGTAATTATTTAAAAATCTCTTATTAAAATTTGGCGTGTGATAAACTTGATTCTATAGTGAGATGTTTATTTGCTTGAGATATGACACTATGATGTAGACAGAAAAGTCCAAGTTGGAAGAAAAGAAGAAAACCAAGGAAGAGGATATGTTTAGGATAGAGAAAGAAAATGGTCAATACAATCTTGAAATTTCCACGTTAAGACGAGAACTGGAGACAACCAAGAAAGCATATGAACAACAATGCTCGCAAATGGAAAGCCAGACAGAGGTCGCAACAGAAGGTATCGAGGACAGGGTAAAGGAGCTTGAACAGATGAGAAAGGATGCAAGCATTGCAAAAATTGCCCTTGAGGATAGGGTTAAGGAGCTTGAAAAGATTGCAAACGATGCAAATACTGCTAAAACGACTCTTGAGGGAAAAGTGAAGGAGCTTCAACAGTTCAGAAAAGAGACACTACGTGTTAATACAAGCCTTGAAGCGAAAAATCAAGAGCTTGTAAAGATGGGAAAAGAAGCAAATGATGCTAAAACGGCTCTTGAGGAAAAGGTGAAGGAGCTTCAACAATTTAAAATAGAGACAATAATTGTTAATACAAGCCTTGAAGCCAAAAGTCGAGAGCTTGAAAAGATGGGAAAAGAAGCAAATGATGCTAAAACGGCTCTTGAGGAAAAGGTAAAGGAACTTCAACAATTGAAAATAGAAACAATAACTGTTAGTACAAGCCTTGAAGCCAAAAATAGAGAGCTTGAACAAAATCTGATCCACTGGAAGAGTAAAGCCAAAGAAATGGAAGAAAATTCAGACTTGAAGAATCGGAGTTGGAGTCAGAAAGAGCTTTCGTATAGAAAGTTTATCAATTTCCAGTTCAAGGCGCTACAAGTATGCTTACATATACACCATTGACTAGAATCAATCATTGTTTTAGCCTACAGTCACCTAAACCTGCTAATTTTACAGGAGTTGAGGTTCTATTCTAAGTCCATCAAACAAGAAATACTAAAAGTTCAAGATAACTTTACAGAAGAGTTTAGTCAATTAGGTGAGTGAGTTCGAACACATGCTTTTTTAAAATAACTCAGTATGATATAGTTTTGTGACTTATAAGTTTGGTTGTGTTCAGGAAAGAAATTGCTTGAACTTGGAGAGGCTGCCGAAAACTATCACGCTGTCCTAACTGAAAACCAAAAGCTCTTCAATGAACTTCAGGAGCTCAAAGGTAACGTGGATATTTTTGTTTTTGTTTTGTTTTTACTATTCAGATTTATAGATTTCCATCTTCCATATGAATCCTATAAGCTCTCTAGTAATGATGGCTTGCAGGAAACATTAGAGTGTACTGTCGGGTGAGGCCTTTCTTGCGTGGGCAAGGTGAATCAAACACTGTGGTAGAACACATTGGTGACCATGGGGAGTTGGTTGTTCTCAATCCCACAAAACCTGGGAAAGAGGGTCTTCGCAAATTTAGGTTCAATAAGGTCTATAGTCCAGCCTCTACTCAAGGTGTTCTTTTGTTACCCTTTCCACCTCTATTTCTATTTGATCGGTGTTCTTAATCAAGGCATCTGCTAAGAATTATGAAAGTTTCTTTATACAGATCTCAATTTCAATATATCTTTTCGATTCTTGTAGCTGAGGTGTTTTCAGATATAAGACCCCTTATTCGATCGGTTCTTGATGGGTACAATGTTTGTATATTTGCTTATGGTCAGACAGGATCAGGAAAAACTTACACAATGGTATTCATTCACTACTGTATTTTTAATAAAGATATAAAGATGCCAAGGTGAATGATGTCTTTGCATTCTTACCATCATTATATTTTGTTTGCTCAGACTGGTCCAGATGGAGCAAGCGAAGAAGAGTGGGGAGTAAACTATCGTGCTCTTAATGACCTCTTCAAAATCTCTCAATCCCGAAAAAGCAACATAACGTATGGGGTCGGGGTGCAAATGGTGGAGATCTACAATGAACAAGTTCGCGACTTACTCTCTGGTGACAGTGCTCAAAAGAAATATCCTTTTTCTGCTTTTCTACATATCTCTTTCAAACTTTGTTCCTACATATTACTTCTTTCCTGCTTGTGTTTGTTGTCATTCTTTTGTCCTCCTTGACTTTCACACACTAGGGATTCTTTCTACAGCTCAAGAGAACGGTCTTGCTGTACCTGATGCAAGCATGTATCCCGTGACATCCACCTCGGATGTTCTTGAATTTATGAGCGTTGGGCTACAAAACAGAGCTGTTAGCTCAACTGCCTTGAATGAAAGAAGTAGCCGGTCTCACAGGTACGCATATTGATACACTGAGACAAACATGCGTTTGTCTTTCATCATTCTCTGGATAGTTTAGGTTAGGTCTCTTAACTTGGACAGATGATTCCTTGTGCAGTATTGTCACTGTTCATGTTCGTGGCAAGGACTTAAAGACCGGTTCTACGCTGTATGGAAACCTACATTTGGTGGATCTGGCGGGTAGTGAGAGAATTGATCGCTCTGAAGTTACAGGAGATAGGCTTAAAGAAGCACAACATATAAACAAGTCACTCTCAGCGCTAGGAGATGTGATATTCTCTCTTGCTTCAAAGAGTTCTCATGTGCCATACAGAAACAGCAAACTAACTCAGCTTCTCCAAAGCTCTCTAGGTTAAATCAAAATTGTTTGCTCTGTTTTTAGGTCATGAACCTAGATTAGCTAACTTCTCTCTATGTACTCTAACATCGCAGGTGGGAGAGCAAAGACCCTGATGTTTGTGCAACTCAATCCTGATATTATTTCATATTCAGAGTCAATGAGTACTTTGAAATTCGCAGAGCGTGTCTCTGGAGTTGAGTTAGGTGCTGCAAAGAGTAGTAAAGATGGTAGAGATGTTAGAGAGTTAATGGAACAGGTAAAAAAAAAAAGAAACTTAAAACACACTCTATGTTCTCATGTCTTCTCTTATATAGATTGCAATTATATTATATATAATAGCTCAAGATATTACTAAACACTTAAGAACTGTTACAGTTAGGGTCGCTTAAGGACACAATAGCAAGAAAAGACGATGAGATAGAGCGGCTTCATTTGCTTAAGGACATTAATTACCCAAATAGACTGCAGAGAAAGGGCTTAGCACAATCCGATGAGCTTAATTCAGAAACTAGACATCCGCAGTTATCTATAGAAGTAGACTCAAGATTCCAACAAGACTATCTTAGACAATCACAACACTCTGTCACAGACAATGAAACCTTAGATTCCCCCATTGATGATGAGTACGATGAGAGGCTCGATGATCACTCAGAAGGATCCATTGGTGTTTCTCGTGCAGCAGAAGGGAGAAAGCCATTGAAGGTTTCAGACAAGTAAGGTTTTTTTTTTTCTTTTTCTTCCTTTCTTGCTTCGAAATGAAACTAATTGCGCCTGAACGTTATTTTAATGGTGAATACGAAATTTGCAGAACTAAGCCGGTGACTCCAAGGACTCCAAGGACTCCAACGACAACACGGCCACTTGATAAACTCAAGCAAGTCGCTGCGAGGACGACAACCATTGCGAAAGCCACGTCAGGTTTGACATCACCAGGTAAGCAACCAAAACTTATGGAGCCTTAGCTTTAGATTCTAAATCCAAGAGATTGTTTAAAATTGCAAAGTTAGTTCTCATGATGCATTATTCGTGCGTCTCAAGGTATGAAGAAAACGGGAAGTGCTTCTAATTTGCTCAAGTCATCGAAAGATTCGAAACGGTGGTCGTGAAAAGACTCTTTTGTACCTACGGCTTTTTTTTTGTTTTATAATACTGTAATTCATAATTCCCTCCCTCCCTCCGAGTCCGTTGGCTTCAGTTTGGACTTAATTTTGTTATTTCGTTTGGTTTCAGTTTGTACAAAATTTTGTAAATATACGAATCTCACTAGTCACTATCCTCACGAAGCATGAATTTCTTATTTTTACAATAATGTTATATTATGATATTGATGATGGAAATAACTTCTCATGCAAATACTTTTAATTGTTAATGTAAATTAAGATAACAAGTATAATAGTAAGACTATTACTGTAAGTGGAAACTGGATTCTTATATAATATGTGAGTGAGATTTGAGAGAAGATGATGACATAACAAGTAACAACAGCTAGCTCCACTTTCAAAATATTGGTGGGTACGTAGTCCCCACAGTGTTATTTGCATACTTGAATTTAGCCCAGTTTTTTGGTTCTCTCTCTCTCTCACCAAATTAATGATGTGATCACCAAATCTATTTTTGGAATATTTTTGGGCCCCAATATTTTCATTGCTTATTGTAAACCCCCAATTCTGTCCTCTTCAGCATCTAATATAATATATGACGATCATGAACAATAATATGCTGTTTTCTTTTATTTCAAGATAGCAACAGAAGCATAGTGACTAGTAGTACTTTTACAAAAAAAAAAAAAAAAAATTAGTTCAGGTTCTGTTTGATTAGAGCGGCATGAAACAACTGAAGTTTTTTTAACCATTTTGCATATAATCAAGCATTAGATTAAAATTAAAATAAACATATCACTATAGTTTTTTTAGTTAGATGATAATGGTTATATAATAGTGGATAGACACATTCTCTGACATCTTGCTTTCTTGCCCATTACAAAATATTAATAATCAAAGGAGGAAAACAACAAATAGATCAATGGCCTTATAGGAGACAAAGAAGATATAGTTTTAGATCACCATATAGGGCAATTGCAATAAAATGTATAAAAGACAACGTACAAGATTATACAAAGGAAAAAGCAAAAGTAAAGCATATGTGTAGAAACAAGTATCTTGTACCAAAAATAAGTACAGTATTGTGACCCCTGACTTATATTTTGTTTGATATTCGGATCATAAATTTGTATCTGCAGTTTGTTATAATATTTTTGCACAACACTAAAAACGTTTAAAATTTGAAACCACGCCAAATTTTGATGATTAATTCTAAACACGAGCCTGTTCAGGTTCAAGTATTCCTATTTTATTTCTTTAAAAAAAAAGAGAGAGAGAAAGTAAACATGAAATCCCACTTTGATCATCGTTTCACGTATGGTCCATTTCAAGCTGTCCTTGCTAATTCCTTGGATGCATGCATCTTTTTTTCTTCTTACTTTATTAGTTTTTTTTAGTTCACGCGCGAAGTAGTGAGTAATTAGTTTGCATTTTAGCACTTCATATGTAATTATGTAAAGCCCTAAACCTTCTCCTTCTACATCATCTATACGTTGGAATTTTCTATCGTTGGCGAGTACTTAATTATCCAACTAGAATCAAACAAAATATATATACATTTAAAAAAAAAACATTATTTACTGCATGAAATTCCTGAAACATAATCAAGTATTATGATATCATGGTTTTAATATCCCAACCATTTTGTAAAGATTCATAATATTACACCATACTAATTAATCTCGAGTTATTGTGTAATAGCTTTTTTGGGCTAAATAAATTGTGTAATACTTTACATTAACAAAATAGAACCTACGACGTCAATATCTAATATCTGAAATGAAATACCAAGTTGCAAAGCTGTATTTTATATTTTCTCTTAAAATATCGAAACAAAGTAAAAGACTATTCCATATGGTACAAATTTGAGAAATGTACAACAATGAATTAGCCATTTACATTAGGGAGGGGGGGTTATGATTTTAAGTCCATTCTCTACGTGTATATATATGCATATCTCTGAAACATCAAAGTTCAAACAACTTTTATGTCGTATATATTTAGATGCGCCCTACCATATGGAATAGAATATTGTCCAAAATGTCATATAATTTAAAATATATTATAATGAAGAAACATATAGAATAACAGAGAGACACAAGTGAATTATATATATCTGTATTGTTATCTCAATCATGAAGATTATGGATGGGCAACATCGTCAGATTCTGTGAACCGTCTCTACTGAGATTTTTTTTCCATGACTATGAACAGACAAATAAATAAACAGAAGAGATGTGATAAGAGAGACCACCACAATGGTGAGGAAGAAAGTCTCAAAATTTTGGTTGTTCGTCTGCAAAACACGTCCATTGGCTTCGGATCACAATTTACTGTTTTGTCTTTGTGATTGGTTTGGGAGACACGCATCATTGTCTTAGGAAAGCTACAGATTGTGAAGGGTGTTTTTGTCATTTCCTTCCGACAAAGTCTCTTTGGTTCCATACTTTGCATATTTTTCCGAACCTTTCAAGTTGCAACTTGCTTCTTCCACTTTATCGTATCTGTGACTATGCCTATCTAGCTGTTTGACTTTGGTCAAACCAACTCTTTCCAATTTTATATATTGACACAAGAAGGAAAAAAAGACTTTTTATTTTGTGATTTTCTCTATTATTATTATTTGGTACTTTGTAAGGACCTTTATGAAAATATATAGTCACAATAATTATTTTTCAGCTATTTTGATATTCACTTAATGTTGAAGTCCACCACGAAACCATTTAAAACCTCTTGTATTATCGCCATTTGTACGACTTTGGGTATTCACAAAAACCAAAATATATTTGTTCTTGTCCAAAATCACAAGATAGGGAAGAAAAAAAAGGAGAGAATTGAGATGTAAATATAAGTCACCAAAAAATTTATAATGTCGAAATTACAAATATACAGATTACAAATACTATCCCAAGTTGGGTCGTATGACATATCACATCCAAATGAATATAAGAATAATTTCGAAAGAGTATAAAAATAAGAAAAAGAGAAAACAAAAGTCAAAGGGACCGTGTTGATAAATGGAAGACAGGACTCCCATCTCTTGTTTGTCTCCCCAGCTCCACTGCCTCACGTGCCTTTGCTCTCTGCCAATTGTATTCCATTCAAATTCAATACTTATATGATTGATTACTCAGTAATTAATCACATAAACAAAATAATTGTCACAGCAACTATACGAATTAGACCTGAACCACATATAAGATGCAATAGGCTGGATTGGACTAGACATAGGACTTGTCAAACATTATACTTTCATTGTGGGTTCGTTAGCTGTATGCATGATGATATAATCTAATAAAGTCGAACCTTAAACACTAAAACCTACACTTGAGCAGAGATCTATAGAACCGATTCTATCAAAACATACTAGTCTGGACCCATCGCAACATCTCTAGTAGCTGTATTTTTGTTTATGCTAATTGTTAAAAAGGAAAATTGAAATGTCTTTCTACCTGCATGGAATCAACAGCATCGGTCTCTGAGTTGAAGTCATAAAAGGTGCTTGCTGCGGTAAGTTTCATCGAGAGAAACTGAATTCACATAAAACAAAACAAGAATGAGTAACTCTGCAGCAAGCACATACCAATTAAGAAATTAAAGAATAATTTTTCCTACATAACATTTTCACATTTGGTCTTTCGAAAAGTATCACGACTTATAAACTTACAAATAACACAAAATTTCTTTCTATTTTTTTTTTTCAACTCGATTTGGAAAGCTGCTTAAAAACTTTGGCTGACTTTTATTTAGGGAAGGATTTCCAGCAAAAAAAGACTTGGTTATCTTTTTGTAAGTTTCTTTAATAAAAATAGAGGACACTATTTTTAAAAGTGCCTAATCAAAAATACCACAAAAATCGAAGCTATTAAAATTTCTGGAACCATTTTCTTAAAAAAAAATAAACTTCTACGTACTTAAAAGAAAGTTGTGGTATTTTAAATATTTAATACTATAAAATGGCTTGTATAATCCGGGAACTATATAGACCTCGACTTGATTTTGTAGAGACTGGACATAATTAATAATCTCGTCAAGCATCGTCGCCATCCCCATACTCTGCAGAAACATGTATGTACACTTTCAATCTCTCATTATCACCAAACCAAAAAAAAAAAAGAGAAATCAATATAAAATCACATTGAAATTTTACTCATATTTGTTATATTCGTTAATTACCTTATAACATCCGGGAACCATATCTTGTAGACATCTTAATCTCTCGTTTATTTTCCCTCGCCGAACCTGAAATTTTTAATATTAATGAATACAGAATACACCATGCACGTTTAAATTTTGTCTGAATCGAATAATTAATAGTAGCTAAGCATTTTACCCGTTCTGCTAAGCTGTGGCTATCAGTGGCTTGGCCTCTTCTGGCTCTCACATGAACAACTTCTCTCTCTTTCTCATCTTCCTCTTTCTTCTTCTTCAATCTTTTACCTCTTCTCAAACAACCCTAAATTTGTTTACAGAACAATATTAACTAAATTGAAAGCGCTAATAAAAATTTAAAACAACAAGAGTATGTTAGGGTTTCGAGATCAATTACGGTTTCACTGGTATTAATATTCGCACTATCAGAGACGCCACTATTCTCCGATGAAGACAAAGTCGGTAAAAAAGCTTTTCTCTTCTTAGCCTCTTCGACGTTGGAGTGAACGAAAGTTGAAGCTGAGGAGAAATGATTATAATTATCATCACTGCAGTATGGAGATTTTCCGGGAAAATTAAGTAACTGTTGTTGATGACGATGATGATGATGAAGAAAGAGCGAGTCGAGAGAAGTGGAGAAAGGAGGAAATGATTGAAAAGGAAGGTTGCTGTTGTTGTTGTTTAGATCTGTAACTTGAGCTATGGAAGAATATATATCCATGGCTATTGTCTGAAAATCAGAAGATAGACTCTCGAAATTCGCCATTTAATATATAATGATTGAGAGATGTGAGTTTCTTGGGACTTGGTTTCTTGATACGAAGAAGCTTAAGACTTTTATATTGATCGATTCGACTTTTTTTTTCCTTTCTAATTTTATTTTAATTAATCGAGAAAAAGAAATGTGGGGAAAAATTAGAAAAAAAAAAGAGAGAAATAAAGGGGAGCCACGTGGGCAAGTGAACGTTCTGGGATTTGAGTGTCGGGAAGCTATAGCCGAACAAGGGAAGTGGGACCAGTGTTCTGGTCGCGGGTCCCATGAGGCCTTCTCTCTTTGTTTGCAAGGGGGAAGAACTAAAAACATATATATTTATATATAGTTTGGTGTAAGGTTAAGAAATAAATACTTACTTGTCTATCTTTAAATTAATTATAAATATGGGGAAGAAAATGATATGGATGTAGTCAAACTAAGTTGAAATCAAAGTTTGTTCTAATGGAAACATTTATCGACATTTTTTGCGGAAGGAGGGTTTAATGTAGGCATATAGGGTAAAATATCACATCGATTTGCCAACTTATATATGCTTCCAAATGGCTAATGCCAATTATATATATAAAAATACAATAAAATGTTGTATGTTATATACGCATAGTATATTACCAAAACAACCCATCTGTGGAATAAGAAGTCGAAATTGTCTAATGCTTGAGTAAAACAAAAACACAAAAACGGGTTCTTGTATCTTTATATAAAACAAATTAAGTTGACGACACTCAATGATTCTATAGATTTTCCAGTTAACCAAATTATATATTTAGTGAAGAAATCTTTCACTTTAATCGGCGTACTATATAGTATTTCTTTTGTTATAGTTTTGTCCTTTTGATGATCAAACACGTTAAGTTGATTGAGTTAGGTTGGAACAAAGGTCAATATTTAGTTGGGCCGTTGCTATAGATTATCAATAATGTATGGTGGAGGGATTTGATTCACATGCAATTACATTCATTCAAGACCACTTACGCTCTTACTTGCTCATTAATAGAAGTAGTAAAGCATCTATGCCCTATATTGGTGTGCTTTAATTAGGAAATTTAGGAAACAAAAAGATAGGCTTTGAAACCGTAATATATTTATAGTTTGTGACGTCAACTATACGTACTTCACATAAATATTTCGTATGAAGAAAAATAAACCCCAAATTAAATTGCAGAATCACGAAAAGTGAAAGACATAATAATCACGACCTGAAAAAAACTTCATTTATCTAAACCTAAAAGGTGGTGAATGTGGATTGGTAAAATTAATCATGCGAAATCACCACTGATTTAGTCCAATAATAAGAATGTGAGCCTTAACAGAATAAATTAGTCTTCAGAGCCCAAAATTCAGCTCAGGCCCAATAACGAGGTTAAAGTGGAATCAGAACAAGAGTAAGTTATTTGTTTTTTTTTTTTTTTTTGACTTCAAGAGTAAGTTATTTGTTTATGAAACTCAGATCATATACATTACCAAAAATATCATGTATTACAGAACACGAACACCAAATTCTAACTGTTAGTTAACAATTTAAAACATTTACAAACACATAAAAATGTTAGTGACCGTGTGACTAATTTACTTACTGTCCCATTTCACAATTACACTATCAGGAGACTGTGCAACCAACGGTCCACTCTTACTCACATCTGCAACAACATCCGTTTCCGAACCACACCCATTGTTCTGTATCCTTGTCAGCGTCTCCAGTACGTGCGACATACACGGTCTAAGATCTTTATCCGACTGCAAGCATTGGAACGCCAGCTCAGCTACGGCGATCACCGTCTGTCTCACTCTTGCATCCGTGTCGAAACCGAGTGAAGGATCCACCATTTCGTGGAGTTTGTGGTTCTGGATTTTGACGACTGCCATGTTCGAGAGGTTGATCTCTTGTCGCGGTCTTGTGATGTCGACAGCTGGAAGCGAGGAGATAAGCTCCATCAGCACTACCGCGAAGCTGTACACGTCGCTTTTGTTGGAGAGTTGATAGCATAGGTGGTAATCTGGATCGACATAGCCTGGAGTTCCTTGCGGAGCGGTTGATACGTGTGTTCTATCCATCGGAAACAGCCTCGAGAGTCCGAAATCCGCAACCTAATTGTCGAGGAACAGGCCAAAAAAGATGAAATAAGTATATGATCAGATCAAATCATACATTCATTTTAGTGTGAGGTACTGACCTTGACATTGAAGTTTTGGTCGAGTAGGATGTTATTGGACTTAACATCACGGTGGATGATCTTGGAGGCGTGGAGATACTTCAAGGCACAGGCGGTTTCAACAGCGACTTTGAGCCGAGTGGACCAAGGGAGTGAGCTCGGGTTAGCCTGTTGACCATGTAGATGATCAGCTAACGTGCCGTTTGCAACATACTCGTACACTAGCAGTAAGTCCCGGCTCTGTTTTGAGGAGCAGCCAAAGAGAGCCACGAGGTTCGGATGGCGTAAACCCGTTAAGATCTCAACTTCGTTCCTGAATTGCTCTGCTCTTTTAAAGTTGTTGTCGAACAGCCGTTTCACGGCTACGCTTCGTCCATCTTTAAGCTTACCGTAATAGACAGTGCCAAAGCCTCCATCACCGAGTTCTTTAGATGGGTCGAAGTTATTAGTGGCCTCTTCGAGCTCTTCGTAAGAGAAGAGACGAACTCCGACCAACAACTCCTCTGCTTTCTCAACGTCGGAAGACTTTGAAGATGGATCTGAGGAGAGGTTTCTTGGAAGCAATGCTGAAGAAGTTCTGTAACTTTTGGTTTTTCTACGATGGTACACAAACCAGAAGATGCTCGCTACTGTTAACCCCACGGCTCCAGCGGCAACACCTGTGTGGAATTTTGTAATATGTGAAGACTTGAAACAGATGAAAAACGAAAACAGAAAAGCAGAGCATAGAGGAGCTTATCCTAGCAATTGTAACCAACACGCAGACATTTCCAAAGTACTTTGAATGTTGGTTATTTATCAGAAAGACAGGTAAAAAAAATCGAGGATTTGTGGACCTTTTACCAAAACAGAACCGAGAAAGAATCTTACCTATGGCGATCTTCCGGTTCACATTTGGATCACGACGTAGACCTGGAATGAAGAAACCAAGATGGAGAAAAGCAGTCAGGGAGTTTCGGAGTTAACTATACGCAAGAACATAGAAACCGAGGCATGATTTTACAGTTACTAAACCAATCAGAGTTTGGATCAACCCCAACGCAATGAGTTGATAACAAAACTAAAGCAAAGAAGAAATAAATATTATGTCAGAAGATTAATTAGTCATCAATTCGCAAGTGATTACCATATCTGCAATTATCATGAATGTTAGGTCCATTAGGACACAAGCAAACGAATTCTTTATCGACAGTTCCACATCGCCCGCCGCTGCTATTGCAGCGGAAGCAACTGTGTGCAGTCCAATTCAGAATAAAACCCCTCTTCAAAATCTCGGTATAAGGCATGCCAGCAAACAGATTTACACCAGACTCGCCACTAGCTGAAACAGGAACGTCGACTTGTTTCTGGCACGACCCGGATGCACTTTTATTCTCTTTTCCCAGACTTTCCCTCCCGAAGACCCCAAAAGATCGAAGACTCGCGTTGCCAGAACAAGTAAGAGGGTATGTCGTAAAATCCTCCAACAGGTGGTCGGAGCAATTGTAAAATATGGAGAAATTTATATGAGAAGAGATCACAGAGAAATGAGTCCTATGGAGGGTAAGATTATGCATAGGGCTCGGGCATGGATCACGAGACGCCCTTGAGTTCACGACCTGTAACGACTGTGTCAAATAAGATATGTTGTTGATGACGTAATCCTCACCGGAGATCCCGAGAACAGGGAGCTCTTGTTCATCGTCACAACTGAGCTCGAAACTGGGATAGCCGCAAAAAGATTCTTGCCTTCCTGATAGATAGAATGGAAAGGAGATCTCGGGACCTTTGCCACATGATTGAGGCTCACAAGCCTCAAACTTTGGATCAAGAGAGAAGGTTTCGGTCGCTAATAGTATGAAGTGGAAGATGAAAGTGACGAAGATTTTGTGAAGTGATGTGTAGATGAAACATGGAGGAGTCATTTTAAGGATGCAAACAAGAAAATGAGATAAAGAACAAGAAGAAGAGAACGAAAGAGAGAGAGAGAAGAGCAAACAAACAAACAAGCAAACAAACTAAAAAAGGTTTTCAAAGGAGTGGGTGAGAGTTGGAGTTGTTCAACTAGTGTGTGCAAAGAGTATTAACACTAATTTCTGTGGACAAAGAAAATAAAGGCTGCAAATTGTCCCACTTAAAGACTGAAATGTTTATTTGTCTTTCTAAGGTTGAAGATGACCCACAAAAGCTTTACAAATGATAATTTAGTGCTCTTAATTATTTATTTTCGAAAATTAGAAAAGTCATGTAATGGAAATAATAAATTTTTGGTCAAGAGCGGGTCGGTTTTAGGGTCGGCCTACTTGCAGAAACTTCAAACACAAGGAAAATTATACTTTCATTAAATTCCCCGCTAATATTGTTTAGGACTTTCTTCTTGGACCGACTTTAAAAAAAAAACAAACTGGGCCCATAATAATTAGTGAAGGCCCATTAAAACTCCCAAGACTTAAATTCAGTCTGTCTCGTGCAAAGACAAGCTGTTTATCCTACATTTAATGATGATAGAAAAACAGGACACGTAAAACCATGTTGAAAAAGTCAAGTGGGTATTAAAAAGATGATTTAAAAGGTTGGGTCAAATCACGATTGGTCAAAGTATACGTTCTTGAGTCTATGTGCAGAATCGTTTTGACGAACTTGTGGTGTCAATAATCTGACTAAATGTAATCACATACAACAACAAAATTGGGACTGCAAGAGCTAGACCTTGATTCTAAATGATAAAGGACTAACCTTGGTTATCGTTGATGTTACAGGAGGAATTGTGAGGCCTGTCTGCACACAGACAGCGGAAATCTCCCGACCGTGACTCCGAACCACATATCCCACTGGAACTGGTACAACCCTCGCAGATCTGATCTTCTAATTTGTACCTCAAATCGAACCCTTTTTCCAAGGCCATCTTCAACGCTTGATTCGAGCCATTCGACTGGTGAAGAACGGTCTTATAAGACGCAAGCATCGGAATTTCTCCAACCTTGTCGCAATTCTGGGGAGGATTAGACGATCCAAAGGCGTGATATGTCCTCATGCTTTTGTTGCTTTCTTGGCAAGTAATCGTAGACAACGATTGGACCGAGTAATCGGAAGAGCAAATGAAAAGGTCCATCGTGTCGGTGGTAGGGTTTAAAGAAAACTGATCATCCCCTTTGAAGTTCAAAGTTTTTGGGCAACCACCCTCGAACACACTCTCATCGGCAAGGGTGACTGTCTTGTCGTCCAGATTCGCGGAAATAATTCGAAGACTGAGATTCTCAATCTCCAGAGTTAGGTGATTCTCCTTACAGTAAAGCTCGAACTCTGTTTGGCCGCAGAAATCGGGCTTGCCGATGTTATTGCCCCAAAATGGGTAAGTAATGTTCGGAAACACCTCCGAATTAGATCCGCATCTCAGAGGTGAGAGGCACTGCTCGTACTGTTGATCGGCCGAGAAGCACGACGGGAGGCCAACGACGGAGAAGACGACGAAGCCGATGTGGAGAAGAGAGATGGACATTGGGTTTTGACGATAGACTAACAAAAATAACAACAAATTAAGGCCTTTTGTTTCGTGGATGGGTTTTTGGGGATTTTATGGAGATTGGTCAAAATGATCGGTGACGACTTTTTTATTAACTATGATGGTTAAGATCGTTGACTAGCGATTACACCTAAGCTAATTATATTTGTATATAAGCGGTCAGAGATTCATATGTAGATCTTTAATGGTTATTTGACTTGTTTCATTACAGCACTTTCGTTTTGGCCAGAGTGAAAGCGATGTGATAGTTGTTACTTGTTACTAATAAACAATTGCAATTGTTCTAATGAAGTTTTATAATGACTTTTTTTTTTCTTACGTTTAACTGTATAAAACAACATAGACGGGGAGATTTTTTTAGGTTTTCTCTCCTTCGGTAATTATATTTTTGAGTTGTGACAATATTATTAATTATTCATTTGATTCAATTGATATTTATATAGTATTTCAACTAAAGTTGCTAATATATATATATATATATATATATATATCCAGGCTTGCAGATACTTGGATATTTCTCAGGCCCTTGACTGAAAGACCCACAATTGCAAATTGCAATGGGAGGGAGTTTGTTTCTAATTCTACCTATGGAGCGCGATATGAGGGTGTAAATGTAAAAGTAATTTACTATTTTATTCGCCAAATTCGTAATCCGTGAAACTCTTTAAGAGTGTATAAAAAAATACAATAGAACCGTTTTATTAGAAGTCAATTATTAACAGGACGACAAAATATCATCGTGGTTGTGGGCATCAAAATAAAAGCAAAAGAAAAGGTGGAAACGAAAGCTCAATATCATCTAAATTAACTAAAAAAGTAAACAAATTTCCAAAGTAACAAGTAAGACATAATATTAATCTACTGGTTGACCATTGACCCAAACCGTTGATCAAAAAAATATCTAGACAGAAAATTTTGCGAAAAAATACGAAGAGCGAAAACATCCATATTACTAAAAAAACAATATCCATTTTTAATAGTAAACCCTTTATTAAAAAAAAATGAATTTAAGGCGACACAAAGCAGAAATTAAAAATGTGAGGGTAGCTTTTGAAATTAGACAAAAAAGAAAGCCCCTCAAAAGAAACGTGGAAGGGACTAGCCGTTGGGGTTCGTCAGATTCAAAATCTCTCTCTGCACGCACTTCCGTAAAGACAAAAGAAGCCCAAAATCCGTTCATATCCTTCTTCATCTCTCCCACGAGACTAGAAACCTCTCTCACTATCTCTTCTTTGCTCACATTCTTTTATTCATTTACAGTGTTTCCATCGTCGATCTGAGACGATTCTATATTACACGCCGCCTGGATCTCGTTCTTTGATCCGAGGGTAAATCTCCGATTCCTTGGGTTCAATTTTCTCTGTAAGTGTTTTGACCTCAAAATTAAAGTTTCTGTAAATCTGTTTAGCGAATTGAAGTTTTCTTAGAAAGTTTCGAGTCTGATGAAAAAATCTGAAGAAGCTGGGATTTTCCTTTTATGAGCAAACCTAAGATTACCTTTTATGGATTAGTAGGCTTGGCTCAAACTGAATTTCCTTAGAAGATCCTTAACTAGTGTTGCCTTATATGTGTTTTCCATATATCTGAGTAATATATCTGTAGAATTTCCCGAATTTGGAGAAATTTTTAAGCTATAATTCAGATGATGTATCAGATCTGATGAGACAATCTGGAAACATTTGTAGGGAGATAATAACAATGAGAACTCCTGGAACTCCAGTTTCGAAGATGGACAGAACACAAGCTTTAACACCAGGTGGAGGCTCAAGATCGCGGGAGGAGAAGATCGTTGTGACTGTGAGGTTAAGGCCACTGAACAAGAAGGAACAGTTAGCGAAAGACCAAGTTGTTTGGGAATGTGTAGATGATCACACCATTGTGTCGAAACCACAAGTTCAAGAACGTTCGCATCACCCGTCCTCTTTTACATTCGGTAAAAATTAAGTCGATTATATATCTTTTTGTTCTGTTTCTAACTCTTAATCCCTGAGGTATCTAATGCCTAATGCACCCTTTTGTTTCAGATAAAGTGTTTGGACCAGAGAGTTTCACAGAACATGTGTATGAAGATGGTGTCAAGAATGTTGCCTTGTCTGCTCTGATGGGAATAAACGGTAGTTGCTCTATGACTAAATTCTGATTTCTTGGCTTTTTACTTGGATTGATCGTAGATGACTGATCCTTTTTTAATGTTTCAGCAACAATATTTGCGTATGGACAAACGAGCAGTGGAAAGACATACACCATGAGAGGAGTAACGGAGAAAGCTGTCAATGATATTTACAATCACATAATTCAGGTAAGCATTGCTATGACCAGAGTTGCAAATCAATGTGTTAGTTGTCAATGCAGATCTTTTAACCAGTATCTCTTCTTTGTTGTTTCACTTGTGTGTTACAGACCCCTGAAAGAGATTTTACTATCAAGATTTCTGGTCTAGAAATATATAATGAAAATGTCAGGGATCTGCTGAATTCAGATTCCAGTCGTGCCCTCAAACTCCTCGATGACCCAGAGGTATCACTTATTTACAATTAAAAGGAAATCATTTTCTTGGTTGATGTTATGGCCTTGGCCTTGATTGAATGTACACTGCCATTGATCTAATAACCTCATGATCCGCAATTGCAGAAAGGGACTGTGGTTGAAAAACTGGTAGAAGAAACAGCTAATAACGATCAACACTTGCGGCATCTGATTAGCATTTGTGAAGGTGACTTGTACTTGAACTTGTTGCATCATATTTGGCTTCTTGTAATCAGATTCTCCTAGTTTTTCTTCATGTTCAATATTTCTGACTGCTGGCCTTTTTTTCCTTTTTGATGCCACCATTGTGTTAGCTCAAAGGCAAGTTGGAGAAACTGCTTTGAATGATACCAGCTCGCGGTCACACCAAATAATCCGACTGGTAATGTTCTTGATTCATTATTTCCCTGAAAGAAAATTTCCATATCCCCTGAAAACTGCTAATAATAACAAGTTCTTGATGGCTAAGCAGACGATACAAAGTACCAACCGTGAAAATTCAGAGTGTGTGAGGTCATACATGGCTAGTCTGGTAAAATCAGATCCCTCTCTGTCCATTTTCTCTGTTTTGAGAGTCACCACACCTTTTAACTTTTTGCAAAATGTCTAAAACTTTGGTGTGTGAATGCATCGCAGAACTTTGTGGACTTAGCAGGAAGTGAAAGAGCGTCACAGTCGCAGGCAGATGGAACGAGACTCAGGGAAGGTTGCCATATCAATTTAAGTCTCATGACTCTTACAACTGTCATAAGGAAACTAAGGTAAGGATCTTACATATACGTTGAGAGTGACAATGAAATCACAAATTAATTAAGTAATAAATTGATTTCATCTGACTTTGTGAACACTTCATAGTGTGGGGAAAAAATGCGGCCACATACCTTACAGAGACTCCAAGCTTACTCGGATTTTACAGCATTCACTCGGTGGAAATGCTCGAACAGCCATTATATGTACATTGAGTCCAGCTTCGGCTCATGTTGAACAATCACGAAATACTCTATATTTTGCCAACCGAGCCAAGGAAGTTACAAACAATGCCCAAGTCAACATGGTAATGATCTTTTTCCATGATTTTGGTTCTTCTTAGTGCCCTATCTTGATGAAAAGTGAAAACAAACAAAATATTTACTCGCTGGTACTGTAACATCTACAGGTTGTCTCTGATAAGCAACTAGTGAAACATCTTCAGAAAGAAGTAGCTCGATTGGAGGCAGAGCGTCGTACCCCTGATCCATCAAGAGAAAAGGATTTTAAGATCCAACAGGTTTCTGATCTCTTTGTTTTATCTAAATACCAAAGTTTATATAACGAACCAAAGCTTTGTTGCTTAATTATGGCTGTTTCATGACCTTTTTTAGATGGAGATGGAAATCGAAGAACTTAGGAAACAAAGAGATAATGCACAAATCCAACTTGAAGAGTTGCGCCAAAAGCTTCAAGAAGATCCACAACAAAATAAGGTCCCTTAAGTCTACCTTGGTCCTTTAAGTTTTTTTCTCTCTCATTTCCGTGTTTTCATTACTGGCAGGCTTTTAGGCTGAAGCTTAAACGTTTTGTTTGTCTCTCAGGGCTTAAATCCTTTTGAATCACCAGACCCACCGGTCAGAAAATGTCTTTCCTATTCTGTTGCCGTGACGCCTAGCGCGGAGAACAAAACGCTAAACCGGAATGAGAGAGCAAGAAAGACTACGATACGCCAATCTATGATGCGCCAGTCATCAACAGCTCCTTTCACATTGATGCATGAGATTCGAAAACTTGAACACCTTCAAGAACAGCTTGGGGAGGAAGCAACGAAAGCTCTTGAAGTACTACAAAAGGAAGTAGCTTGCCACAGACTAGGGAACCAAGATGCAGCTCAGACAATCGCTAAGCTTCAAGCAGAGATAAGGGAAATGCGTACTGTGAAATCATCCACAATGCTTAAAGATGTTCTGGATGCTGGAGATGTCATAGCGCCTAACAAGAGTGTAAGTGCCAACCTCAAGGAAGAGATTACAAGGCTCCATTCACAAGGAAGCACTATTGCAAATCTGGAGGAGCAGCTTGAGAGTGTTCAGAAATCAATTGATAAGTTGGTGATGTCTCTTCCAAGCAACATCAATGCTGGAGATGAAAATCCAAAGACAAAGAATCATCATCAATCAAAGAAGAAGAAGCTTCTTCCTCTGACACCAAGCAGCGTTTCCAACCGCCAGAACTTCTTGAAATCTCCATGCTCTCCTCTTTCAGCTTCCAGGCAAGTCTTGGATTGTGATGCTGAGAACAAAGCTCCTCAAGAGAACAGCAATTCCGCAACTCGAGGGACAACGACACCACAAGGGTCTGAGAAAGGGACTCCACAGAAAGGAGAGGAAAGCGGAGATGTCTCGTCAAGGGAAAGCACTCCAGGTTACAGGAGATCGAGCTCAGTGAACATGAAGAAAATGCAGCAAATGTTCCAAAACGCAGCAGAGGAGAACGTGAGAAGCATAAGAGCATACGTAACCGAACTCAAAGAACGGGTAGCTAAACTACAGTACCAGAAACAACTTCTCGTTTGTCAGGTTAGACAAAAGAAAACAATCCCTAATGAACTCTATTTTTCTCCCTCTATAGCTAAATGAAAAGCTCACGAGTTTTTTTTAACTCGTGCAGGTGCTTGAGTTGGAAGCAAATGAAGGAGCTGGATACAGCGTAGAGAACGAGGAGAACACGATAATGGAAGATGAAGAGCAGAGTCAAGTGGCATGGCATATAACTTTCATAGAAGAAAGACAACAGATCATAGAGCTGTGGCATGTATGTCATGTCTCCATCATCCACAGGACACAGTTCTATCTGCTGTTCAAAGGTGATCAAGCCGATCAAATCTACATGGAAGTCGAGCTAAGGCGGTTAACTTGGTTAGAACAACATCTAACAGAAGGAGGTAACGCAACTCCAGCTCAAACTGGCGATGAGTCTGCAGTAGTATCTCTATCATCAAGGTAAATACACACAGACACACACAAGTGAATTTTCAGACAAAAGGCTCCTGAAAATGTAATGTTAATTCCTAATCTGCTTGGTTTATGCAGTATAAAAGCATTGAGAAGAGAGAGGGAGTTTTTGGCGAGAAGAATCAACTCGAGACTGACGCCTGAGGAGAGAGAGGAGTTGTACATGAAATGGGACGTGCCACTGGAAGGGAAACAGAGGAAGCTTCAGTTCGTGAACAAGCTGTGGACTGATCCTTACGACTCGAGGCACGTGCAAGAGAGTGCAGAGATCGTTGCTAAGCTTGTTGGGTTCTGCGAGAGTGGTAACATCTCTAAAGAGATGTTTGAGCTCAATTTCGCTGTGCCTTCAGATAAAAGGCAGTGGAACATTGGCTGGGACAACATCTCTAACCTTCTTCATCTGTGATTTGAGACCTAATCAAAAGCCCTGCGTTTTGTTGAAAACAATTATTTTTTTTGCATTAAGAGATGTAAACAGTATTATGTGCCACATGTCATCTGTATAAGACTCCCCTCGTCCTTTCCGCTGGACAGCAGTATAAATCCAGAGCCCAAAACAAAAAGATTCAAGTTTTTATTCATTTTAATGTTAGTAAAATTGTTCTCTCTCGAATCAGTCCTTCAAAAAAAAAAAATTTAGTTTCCAATTTGCTTCACTGTCTGGTCGATTCTGCTTATCAATTTTTCTTCTTGAGCTCTGTTTTTGATTCATCATCAGAGTAAAGCCCTAAATTTGGTTTTTCTTTTTGCCCATTCAAAGTATCGCATTCCCCTAATTTCAGAGAAGGCGATAAAATATCGTCTTTGGATTCTCTTTGTTTATGATCTGTTCAAGTGAAGGAACGATCGTATTAGCTACTGGATACTCATTTCCCATATCCCCCGTCAAAAGATCGTCCAGATTTTATGTAAGCGAGATCCGAAATCATCTTCCGATCAATGTCACAGCTCGTCGACGATCATCGATGGCGGTGGACGCGATGACAGTGAGATCAAAATTATCACCGATGGTTCTGTTATCAGGAGCCAGCGATCGAGTCAGCGCTGTCTTCTACATACGAGAGATCAGACAGAAGAAGAGGAAAATATGTGACTCGCCGAGGAAGAGGAACATCGGCTGCGGCGTTTCGCCTTTGCCGACGCCGACAACGGCGGTTGATGAGCATGTGGCGGTTAGGCGGGGTTTGGCGGTGAGGCGGGTTTTGGAGGATAACGGTGGCGATGGAAGCTCCGTCAGAGATTTCTCTCTCTTCACTACCAAGAGAGGCGACACCTTGTTCACTCAGTCATGGACACGTGCTGGCTCCGTTAAGAACAGGTCATTTCTCGTATAAATTCTCGCTTCTTTATTAGTTGTTTTGTTTGTTATTGATGATTGGATTGTTTCAATGGAAACTTGGTAGATGAAGATATGAAATTAAAAGATCTTTTAGGCTATGGCCATTATAGTTGAGAAACGCAACAAGAAGAGGTCACTCTGTCTCGAGACTTGTGGTTCTCGAGAATTTGAGCTTCATTACGAGTCGTTGTCGTGGGTATTTCTTGGATTCTTATGTCTTTTTTCTCAGCTGGTCCTAACTGTTAATTACCTTGGATTCGATGATGCCTTATTTTGATTTCATTAGTTCCTTAGGGTGATTACTGTTAGATAAGTGCTGTTACACTAACGTGATTAAGGATGTTAAGATATCTCCAGATTTATGAAGTTGTTTTAGTCGGTTGCATTTCTGGGATTTATTATCCTGTGCTTGTTTGAGACTAGCTGTTTACATTCATGAGAAGAAGATCAAACAAATATCTGAGATAATTTTTTAAAAAGATGATTCTTCTAACTAGTCAAGAGATCTTGAAGATCAATGTAATTTATACACGAAAAGAATTTCTCTTGACCAAGTCTTCAGTGTTTATAATATACATTTATTATCCCATTTTTCCAGTTTTGTATCTTTAATCTCTGGTTTATAGTCCTCTTCTATTATTTCTTGTTTGGTTTTTAGGCCTTAAAGCTGATATCTTTCTGTGAGCTTGCTTGTAGGGGACTTGTTGTTCTGCTACATGGTCTGAACGAACACAGGTTTGTTGTATATAGCCTTAGATTTTGACCATAATCTCTCCTTCCATATAAGAATCCTAACACGAGTTTGTTCAAAACGCACAACAGTGGGAGGTATAGTGATTTTGCAAAGCAGCTAAATTTTAATGGATTCAAGGTCTATGGAATAGACTGGATCGGTAAAACCAACCATTTCGAAACTATGCTCGTGTTAAGCGTTTGCCAGTGTAGAAATTCTCTGTTTCGTTACTCAACAAAGCTTTTATCTTGTTCAAATAGGTCATGGTGGAAGCGATGGACTTCATGCTTATGTTCCTTCTCTTGATTATGCTGTCACTGATTTGGTATAATCTCTTTTTAAGTTTCCAAGACTCGACATTTTATTAAACAATTACATCTCTGAAAACATATATTTTTTTGCAGAACTCGTTTCTTGAGAAGGTAATCGCAGAAAACCCAGGATTGCCTTGTTTCTGCATTGGTCACTCAACAGGAGGAGCCATCATCTTGAAGGTTATAAGATCGTAAAATATGTTACTATCATTGCTCTTGAAACCATATAGTAACAGTATATATGTAAACCATTTTTGCAGGCTATGCTAGATCCAAAGATTGAAGCTCGAGTTTCAGGGATTGTGTTAACTTCACCCGCAGTTGGAGTCCAACCATCTCATCCTATCTTCGGCGTAATTCAAATCTGAGAAACTCAAGAATCTGAACAGTTTTCCACAAACATTTTTTGGGCTTTCATCTTGAAACATTACAACATTTTTCAACAGGTACTTGCACCTTTCCTCGCGTTCCTCATGCCAAGATACCAGTTAAGTGCTGCAAAAAAGAAAGTAATGCCGGTTTCCCGTGACCCGGAAGCTCTCATGGCTAAATACTCTGACCCGTTAGTCTACACCGGGTCTATCCGGGTAAGAACCGGTTACGAGATCCTTAGACTTGCTTCTCACTTGCTGGAGAATTTGAACAGAATCAAGGTCCCGTTTCTTGTGCTACACGGCACATCTGATACTGTTACGGATCCTAAAGCTACTCAGAGACTATACGACGAAGCTTCCTCGTCCGACAAGTCGATCAAGCTGCTCGATGGGTTGTTGCATGATCTGCTCTTTGAACCGGAACGGAGAATTATCGCTGGAGTCATATTGGATTGGCTAAACCGGCGGGTCTAAATTTCTCAAGCCAAATGTAGCAGTTTTATTGTAATGAATAAATTATACGGTTTTGTAATTATGAATATCGTCAGGTTAATTTGGACAATGCAAAGTTTATTTTGTCTTATCATGTAATTAAATCTCAAAGCCGGTCAACTCAGTTGTGAACTGATAATATAAACATTAAAAAATGAGTGCTTAGCAAATAGCAAGCCTATCACTAAGCTAAGCGCATCTTCCAATCTCCAAAAATCCTTGTTATTGATTTAATCAACTGTCAGTTAATATTTTTGGCAAAATCCTTGTTTTTGGTGTGGTAGGTTTACAAAAACAAAATGCACATTTTTCGGTAAAATTCAGTTTGTTTTCTGACGCTTGATTCTAAATCATTCCTATATGTTTTCATAAAAATGAAAAGACTATATAATGAGAATTATGCAAAAACAAAAAAGATATTATATATATAATATTATATAAATTACTAATTTTGATGCATCTATTTTTTATTCAGTATTTAGTATTCTTTTGAAAAAATTATCATAATGAGAATTAGTGTATTATATTGTTTCATAAAAATGAAAAGACTATAATAAAAATTATGCAAAAATAAAAAAGATTTTACATATAAAAATTATATGAATTATTAATTTTGACGCATCAATTTTTTATATAATAAAATTAATGTATTTTATGGTATTTTTAGTATCATAGATAAAAATTTTGAGAATAATTTTCAATCCTACAGTTATGAATAGACAATTAAAGTCAAAAAATTTGGTAAAACATACAATTAATATAATTTAGAACTCTATCTTCAAAATAGAACACTATCTTCAAAATACTTCTCAAGAGAGAAGTAAACAGTTTCGCAGCCTTGAACTTCTAGCATAATTTGTGATACAAAAGTCAATTGCTTAGTAGTAAAGGAAATAATATACAAAAAATTGCTAGAGAAGGATGGGTTGCAGACCAAACAATGGTTACAAATTTGTAGTAGAGATGCTGTCACATTTTATGCATCTCACGTTACTTCTGACACCCTAGAAAAAAATACTCTATTGTTACCTATAAAAGAGAACAAAATCACAACATTTCACCAACACCACTAAAGAGAGAAGAGAAAGAAATATATACCTGCATTTCAACATCATCAAGTTGTTCGAACATGTGATTTATGTACTCGAGCAAATCATGCGATGCATTTAAGGTAAAGCGCCAATCAATGTTTTTAAAAACAATAGTGAGATCGACCACTTTGCTTTGAGAATGCTCCATGTAAGAGAATAACTTTACAATGGCACTTTGTAAGCAATTCTTATCATTTTTCGTAAAAATGGGCAATGAGTAGAGTGCCTACAAAAAGAGATGTTTTCATGTGAGCTAATGAATTGATGAAGATTTAAATAACCTATGAACTTGGGAAAAAGTATATGGAAGATGTTTAAAGCGTGGGATATAGAATAGTGACTGCACACACATCTTGAAGTAACATATCAATTCTTTGTTGATAAGTCCACAATGATTGTTTTTGACATTCATGATCCATTGAAATATCAAATGGCCAATCACACCAGTAACTCTAATGCATTGACTTTTAAAATACCACTAATATAGTGTTTTTAATTAGCTTTTAATTTTGGCGAACGATAAATAGTTTATAAGTTAAGTTTTGATGTCAAATAGTTTTTGTTATTAATTTTCGTTTGTACACTACAACGGTTACACATATCATATCAGAATCTCAAAAGAAACGTCTTTAAAAAAAAATGAGCGAAGCCATCATCTTCATATATATTATAGATATAATCACCATATTTAAGTGAAATATATAATTATTGAATTTCTATCAAAATAAATATATATATATATATTTTTATATGATTTATTTGTATCTGTTATTAATTTTTTTGACTCAAATATTAAAATAACTTTAAGCTGTTAGTATTGTAATAAGGATCATTTAGTTAAATAATAACTTTGAAAAAGTGTAGATTTGAAAAAATTTATAGTTTTCAAAATTAAATATACTTTTAGGATATTTTCCCAATTGAACCTTGTTGCATATGAACAAAAAACTATCAAAAGGCCTTATATTCGTAAAGAAATCTGGGCCTCACCATAGAACCTGAAAGAGTGCCTACTTTGGGCCTGCATCGTAGTTAATTATTGTCGGATCTGATTGGGTATCCAAACCCGTTTAATGGATACCAATTCGAAATTTCCGATTTTTATTTCGTCGGCCATCGAAACGTGTTAAACAGATATCGGAGACGATTTCCCGGCACTGAAATTCTGTCTGGGATTCTGCGAAACTATGGCTTCCGCTGCTTCTAAGCTGTATTCAGGTCTTAAATTCCTCTTTGTTTAGAAACCCTAACATGCTATGTCAATCGTTGAAGTGGAAAACGGCGCTGATTGTTTGGGATTTTTATTTGGTCGCAGACGATGTTAGTCTTCTAGTTTTGTTGCTTGATACGAATCCCTTTTTCTGGAGCTCTACATCGATTACATTCTCTCAATTCCTCTCTCATGTAAGTAAGTATTATTTTTTTTTTGGCGGAGTAAACTGTTTTTTGGTAATGCCTCGTCTGTATTCAGAAATCTGAGTGTTTGCTGTAACGTAGGTGCTTGCGTTTCTGAACGCGGTTTTGGGCTTAAATCAGCTGAACCAAGTTGTAGTGATTGCTACTGGATACAGTTCCTGCGATTACATTTATGATTCGTCTTTGGCGTCGAGTGGGAATATCGAGAGCAGTAGAACTGGAACGCCTGCGCTTTTTGCTTCTTTGCTGGAGAAATTGGAGGACTTTATTGCGAAAGATGAGGAGCTCATCAAGGAGCATGAGCATGAGGATAGAATAGCTTCCTCTCTCTTGTCAGGATCACTCTCCATGGCTCTTTGCTGTATCCTTTTGGAAAAAAATGAGGCTTTGTTCTTATACTGCATAACACCATGCTAAAAGTCTTATAGCTTAGCTTCCTTTGTCTAAAAAATATGAGAAGCGATTGTCTTTCTTAGGTCGATATGTGTGTTCTCGGCTAAACCTATAGCTTCACTTTTTGTTTTGCCTGATTTTCTGGCTATAGATATACAGAGGGTTTTCCGTTCTGGACATCTTCATCCCCAGCCTCGGGTATGTGTTCAGTGTGTCATACGATTCAATAAATTGTCTTGGATAATATTTTCATCTTGATTGATTGCTTTGTAGGAATCTTGAGCTTATAAGTATTATTTCATATTATAGACTTGCATAGCCTATAGATTTATCTGTTCTATTGCATAGCCTATAAGATGTAACTGAATGCTATTGGCATATATATGAAATACAGATTTTATGCTTGCAAGGTTCCCCTGATGGCCCGGAACAGTATGTTCTTCTTCTGTAACTTTTTTTTCTACTTTGCGATAGTTTTGTTTTAAGTGTCTGGACTCATGACAGGGTTTTGTTCCTTTTTTTCCCTCAGATATGTAGCTGTCATGAACTCTATCTTCTCTGCCCAGCGCTTGATGGTACTCTTCTTTTTGATTGGTTCTTTGGGATTTACGTTTCTTTGACGTTTCCCAAAATCTGTACTCAAGTCACTTCGTCAATTGGTTCTCTAGGTTCCCATTGATTCGTGTTACATTGGTACACAGAGCTCGGCATTTTTGCAGCAGGTAATATCATTTCCCCTTTATTCGTTCCATGCAAGTTCCTGGTTCTTATATCATCAAGCTCAACCTATATGCATTGGTTTATTCTATCACCTGGCACATTTGTAGGCATCTTATATAACCGGCGGCGTACATCATACACCTAAACAGTTGGATGGGCTGTTTCAGTATCTAACGGTACGCTCTCTAACTCATGTCCAAAGTTCAAACTTAAACCATTGCTTAGATTTATGTGACTCGTTACATATGATATAAGCACACACACACTCAATGCGTGCTAACTCTCGTTTGTTTTGCTTTGCTCATAAAGACAATCTTTGCAACTGATTTGCACTCCCGCGGTTTTGTGCAACTTCCTAAACCCGTAGGCGTTGATTTTCGCGCATCGTAAGTGATCGAAATCATAGACTCTTCAATGACTCGGGTCTCCTCCTCCGCATATAATAAGAAGAGATGGTTTATGTTAAAAAACTTGCAGGTGCTTTTGCCACAAGAAGACGATCGATATGGGCTACATATGTTCGGTGTGTCTGTCCATTTTCTGTGAGCATCACAAGAAATGTTCTACGTGCGGGTAAGAGATTTGACCCATCAAGTTGTTTCTCGATATATTAAAGGTATCATCAAGTTGTTTGATTCTGATATCCGGAAAACTTTGGAATTTGCAGGTCTGTTTTTGGACAGTCTAAACTTGATGGTGCTTCATCTGTCCCTGATAGGAAGAGAAAAGCTCCCGATACCTAAAATACTGTAATCTTATTTTTATGCTGGAGAAACGGCGAGCGCATTGTCTTTGCGTTGATTTACAAGAATCTATGAACAAATACCATAACATGCAATTTTGAAAAAAAGAAGAAAAAAAAGGGGCTTGATATTAAGTTCGGTATTTTGATTATTCTAAATCAAAATATAACCAATACAAAAATTTTGTATAAAATTGTATTGTTTCCACAAAAATAAAAAGATAAATTGAAATTAATTAACATACAGTTTTGAAGAGAGAAAAAAGGCCTTGTCGTTTGTTCACAAAGAAAACTGGGCCTTGTCTATCCAATTTAAACGAATTTAATCTTTTAGCTGACGTCATATATTGTTGTCGGATCTGATTCGGGTCCAAACCCGTTTGATGCATCCGGCTACAACCGAAATCACTTGAGAGAGAAAGAGGGACGGACGGAGAGAGAGAGATCATCGGTTTGGTGAACCATGGATTCGAAGAAACGTCGAAAGGTGAATGATTCTGAAATATCCTGTATGTTTTAGAGCTTTCGAAATTTCGATTCTAGTTTTGTTCAAAACTTGTTGTGCAGATATTGGAGAAGAAAAGGACGATTCATGACCTTATAAAAAGAGCTTCTTCCATTAGCGATCCTCTTTCGCCCTTTGATTCCTTCCGCCGTTATAGAAAAAATGGTAATTCTTTTCTTCTGCTTTAGTAGATTTTCGCCAGATAGTGAAAATTTGGGTTTTATGTATGCGAATTGATTATCATTTTACGAATAGGGTTTGGCTTTGATTCACATTGATCATCTAAGGTTTTACATTTGCTGATGATATAACATGGTAAGAAACAGATGCACTTTTAGCTCCAATTCATGCTTTTTACTAAACCTTGTATTGATCGGCTTGGAACAATTACATGAGTAATCAATTATAATCTGTGAATCAGTATCCTTTGATTGCTTAGTTATGATCATGTTTGTGAAAAATCTGGTTTCACGGCTTACGTGATTCGTTTTAAGCTCACAGAAAGAGCCTTGATGGTGAGCTAATTCTGTGTGTTGTGTGGTTCTTACGTCTTGTAGACTTATCTGTGTACTTGGAATCTGGTCGTGGAGATAGACTTTCCTCGTCCGTGAAACAACACATTCGAAAGCTTTTGAAGGTAAAAAAGGAAACTGAAGTAGCATCAAATTATCTTAACATACTGTTTGGGGAATTTCGTCTGAATTTTGTTATACATGTGATGTTTTAAAATTCACAGACGAACATGGAAGGGTTCTATGGGTCTAATTGGCCACTTCAAGCGAAGGTGAAGCGTAAGGAGATGTCTTGTGCAGACGCACATTATATATTTGTGTGTGAACTGTGTGATGGTAAAGCCTATGAGACGTCTACTCGAAGAATTTTCACGGAAGGGTGTAATCAGATAGATGGATTCGTTCATTACCGGTTTACTTTAGAGGAAGAGATACCTGTTCTTTATGTGTATGAGATACAGTTGGAATCTCGGATTCAAGGAAAAGGACTGGGGGAGTTTTTAATGCAGTTGATTGAGCTCATTGCTTCAAAGGTTGACTCCAAAATGGGTCTCTCAGATTCCGGTGTTTTCAATATTGATGTCACTTTTTTTCTACTTTCGTATTCATAGTTTGATGATATTATGGTTCTTTTTTCTTCTTTTCAGAATCGGATGAGTGCTATCGTGCTAACTGTGCAAACATCTAATGCATTGGCAATGACTTTCTACATGAGCAAGCTAGGGTAAGAGGTAACCTTTTGGAAGATGATCTTATTCCATGTAACGACGCAGACCATTGGTCTCCTAATATTTCAATCTCTCGCTTATAGTCAGAAATTTTTCTTTCTGTAGTCTTTACTGAAATGGGCTATTCCAAACATCTAAAATCTCATTCATTTTCTTATACAGATACAAAATATCAAGCATTTCACCATCGAAAACTAATATTCCGGTACGAAATCAGTAGTCTTGTTTTGCATATTCTCTATACAAGGCATTCATCAAATGGATTTTACAGCACCCTTCTACTATTTTTTGATTATTTGTTATTTTGCAGACTATCTTGGCGAAGTATGAGATACTTTGCAAAACACTTGATTCTGAAGCTAAATCTGTGTTGGAGGTGTGTTCACTCGCATTTATGGCAAATTACTGATCAAATATAAACAAACATTTTAATGCTTCTTTTGCTTTTTAATCTTGGAATTGTATTTGATTCCGCTATGTTTCCTTTTGTTCCAAGAAGAATGAGGAAGAACCAACCAAAGATTGAGTATCAAGGCATGGGATAGCTCATAACTGTAAGTTTCCGCGTTTATTTACTAGAGATTTATCAGCAATTCTTTATCCCAAAGCTTTCTGAAAAATATTTGCTTGACAGACCACAGAGTCTTGTGATAGGGTACAGTTATAAAAACAGACAAGGTCGGATGAAGACTTGGTTCCTTCGATGGCAGTTCAGACGAGAGACAGAGAGATACAGAACACCTCCAATGCCTAGCGACTGAACAAGTCTATTGAAGTCACTTATGACGTTCTCTGAAACACAAGTCCTCGCAACAAACGAGTCGTTTGCCATCAGCAGAGACTATTATTGGTAAGCTGCGAGTGCTTGTATGGTTTGCTATTAACCTTTAGGAGAGATTGGTACAGTTATAAATTAGGACGTGAACTGATTAGAGTGAGAAACGAATCTTGTAAGGTCTCCATAATTTATGAATCAGAGATGTCATTTTGATAACTTTTTCATTTCAAACTTGCCATAAAAGTTTAATCATGAGGGATTGAACCTTAATTCCTTGTAGACAAATGTGAGATGGAAGATATGATGTGTAGACTGTTGATGTAGATGATCATGGTTCCTTGCGTAACAGAGAAGGAACTTTAGGACCTGAGATGTGTATATATCTTACTAAACCGAGGGAAAAAATCTCTTATATATACTATAAAAGATGGTCAACTCTTTTCATATGAGTGCCACTTCATCATTTTGGTTTATTGTGGAAATGACATGTATCATTTTTTAAAATTTAATGATACAAATTATATAAAATACAGTTAATGCATAAATTTAATGTATTATTAATTATAATACTAAAAATAATACTAAAAAAATATAAAAAATATGAAGAATAAGATAATATATTTCAATAACAATATATACTTAATATCTAAAAATAATTATTGAATATCAATTTTGTGGTAGTTTTTAAAAATCATTAACAAAATTTATGTTTTATATTTAAGAGTGTTTTCTTATTTTTAATTAATATTATAAGATATTATTATAAAAACAATTATACAAATATAAAAATAATAATTATTTGATATTTTGAACCTTAAAAAGTTAGAAAAAAATTTATACAATATTATAATAAACTTTAAAACAATTTCTTTATAAACTAATAATTATTTGATAATTTATTTTATACAAACTTGATCCATTAATAAGTTTAAAATTAATAAAATATCAAAGTCCTAATGTATAAATTTATAAATTATTTAATGAAACTATATAAATTAGAATGATAAATCAATTATTTAAGCTCATAAAAATATAAAACCACAGCATTACTATTGTATAAATCTACGCCGTGAACAAGTACGACCTGTTAAAAAGAATCGTTTCTATCTATGTTGTGTTTGAAGAGTTTCTCTAATTAGTTTTTGTTATATAGTACTTCTCTGATTTGCATATCCATTTAATATATTTTATATATACAAAGTATAATATATTTCATATTTTCTTATCAATAAACCATTGATCACATATATAGTTAATATCCACATAATATGTAAATATGTATTGTATGTTTATTCAAATACACAATATCCTTTATTTTTTTATATATATACGATAAAATAAATTATAACTACATTTTTTAATAAATTATATTGTGAAAAAAAATCTGCGCATCGCGCAGATACTCAAATAGTATGATTAATATTCAGATGGTTGGCTAAATTCAATAAGATATAACAGTTTACATAAAATGATGGAGGGTGGTCTCCTAATTACTGTTAGGCAGTATTCATAGCAGATCACCAATAATATCATGTAACCTATAAAAGTATCCATTTGAAGTATCCAACCAAAAAAACTAATGAATTATGTTGGAGAATTCAATTTATTAATCCTAGCGAATTATTTTAATGTTCCAGCTGTTAGAGGGGAGATGAGCATATTTTTTAAAAAAAATTTCTTTAGCAATAACCTAATCTCATCAAAATTAGGAGGATCGCGCCAATTTAATGAAATAAATGAAACTATTCGAAGATAATAGCAAATTTCCATATAATCAGGGAAAACAATATTTTTATATACAAAATATGAAAACTATCCATAAAAGAGAAAAAGAAAAAGAGCTCGTAGCAATCGATCTCCCAATCTTATAAATAAAAGATATTAAACAGCTTGAAGACTAATTCGGATCACTAGAGAACAAAAGAATAAGATCTAGAGTTCTAAAATTTTTTAGTTTTTGTAATAGATGGAGAAAACAAAATCTGCGAGGGACCAATTCCATTTTTTTTTAACTGATGAAATATATGGAACATAATATAAAAAAAGATTAAAAAAAGAAGAAAGAGGAATGGCCTTATCTGGCCGTATCAAAATTGTGGCTCCTATAGTCTTTGTGATCGATAGAGATATCTTTTGTCACATTCGACCCCATGTGATGTGGCTGATTTGCCCATTATCCCAACGATTTACATATAGTAGTATTTTATAATTTTGTGTGAACTTTAATTTGTCATAAAAATCGTTCGTTTTCAGTAAAGAGTACTATTATTTATAGAATTAAAAATCAATCATTACAAAAACTATATATTTTTCCGTAATTTGTAAACGTCTCCCCACTTTATCCACATAATCTTTTTGTTTTTGGATTGAGAAACACATCGGATTCTCTCTCATGAACGAATCGCGTGGTGTACACAGTCGATGAGCGAGAGTGAGGGATAGGTTAGGTTGGTTCTCAGCCACAAGATATCTGTCGCCTTCTCGAAATTTCCATGGCATTAAAATAAATATAGATATTTGGATCTGACGTGGCATCTCCAGCTATTTAAAATTGGTATAACCTTCTCTTTCTAGTACCTTCTCTTCACTGTCTCCTCTTATCTCTTTCTTCTCACTGTTCATTTGTTTGTTATTTACTCGGAAAATATCTTCCTCTTTCCGGGCATTTGATTTCCCGGGAAAAGCTGAAATACTCTCACTTTATATCTATTCTCTGCAAGGCCGCCAGATATTTCCAAAGTTCCGATTGAGGTTTCTTCTTCTTTCCCCTGATCTGATTGTTTCCGGGACTACAAATCTGATATGTGGATTAACTTTGCTTATTCGTTTTCAGGTTGCAACTGTTTTATCGCTGCAGAAAGAAAGCTTATCAGATACTGTTACATGGCTGCTCCGGTAATTAATTAATCAACTTCTTCTTTGGAAAAACAGATTGTTATATTAAAGAGTAGTTAGTGAAGCTTATCGAGTTTCTAAGAAGTAGACTGTATATGAAATTTCTATTTTTGGAAGAACTTGAAGAAAAAAAAAAAGCTTGCGAATTGATGGGTTTTTTTGTTGTTGCTGTACAAGCCGTTTTGATTCATCGTTTTTCTTTAAACTCTAGGATCGAAGTGAGGAACTAAGCAGCAATGTAGAAGATGGAAGCTGCAATTCAAATGAAGGAACAAATCCAGAAACCAGCAGTAATTGGATTAAAAAAGCTGTTAAGGTATATGTTTTGACGAAAACCTTCATCGTGTGAGAAGGGTTTTATTCATATATCTGACCTCTATTTGTATGTGCATTGTTCTTGAAGGTTAGGAAGCCTTACACAGTAACCAAGCAGAGAGAAAAGTGGAGTGAGGAAGAGCATGATAGATTCCTTGAGGCTGTAAAGCTTTATGGTCGTGCATGGCGTCAAATCGAAGGTAATTATTGAAATTCATGAATGTACAATCAAACAGCTTCTTTAAATAGCTGTGGTTCTGAAGAACTTAAAGAGTCTTGAATTTTCTGCAGACCATATAGGTACGAAAACCGCTGTTCAGATACGAAGCCACGCTCAAAAGTTTTTCTCCAAGGTCTTGTGTATTTCAGATGCTCCAAAACGTTAGTATGAGTGATATATGTAGTTTATTTTGTAATCTGACAGCTTTTGTCTAATCCATTGCAGGTGGCTCGAGATGCTGACAATGTTAGCGATGTCTCGGTTAAAGCTGTTGTGATCCCGCCTCCTCGTCCAAAGAGAAAACCGGCGCATCCTTATCCTCGGAAATCTCCTGTTCCACATCCTCAGTCTCCTTGCTCAAATTTGTCAGCTATGGAGAAAGGATCAAAATCTCCAACCTCAGTGCTCTCAGCATTTGCTTCAGAGTATCAAACTAACAGATGCTCCTCGCCTAACTCCTGTACCAGTGACATCCAATCATCCATTGATAAAAAGAATGACTACGCAACAACATGCAACCGATCCCTCAAGGAGAATGCTGCTATCGGTCCAACACCAATCTCAAGCATTACGCTTTTCGGGAAGGTTGTCCTTGTGGCGGAGGAATCTCACAAACCGTACTCTTACAGAGGTTGTGATGATGATGATGATCTTGAAGCAATGGCATGCAAAACGGGTCAAGAGAGTCACTACGCAGGGCACGTCGAGACTGATTTATCTCTTGGGGTATGGGATACGTCTTGTTTCGGTTCTAATGCGTTTGGCTCGGTCACGGAAGTTTCAGAAAACTTGGAAAAGAGTGCAGGGCTGATGAATTCTCGAGCCTTGTTAGAAAAGGAAGAGTCCTGCTATCCGGCAAATGGGTTTAGGCCATACAAGAGATGCTTGTCAGAAAGAGAAGTGACTTCGTCATTTTCGTTGGTAACTTCAGAAGAAGAGCAAAGCCGGAGAAGGGCTCGTTTATGCTCGTAGCGAAAGCACAATTGTATAGGTTCTACGAAACCACAGTTTGAAGTATTCATTTTGATGATCCGAGAACACTGTTTCGCCTTTGTTGGGGGGGCTCGGAGAACAACAACTCGACGGACCGAAACCCAAATCCAAACGGATAAGTATTTAACTTGTAATGAAGCTTTAATCCACTGTCTCACATTAATTCGACAGTTTACTTTTTTTCCTCATAAACAAGTGTATTTGCTTAGGCACCTAATTGTAACTCTGTTTCAAGATCAAAGGTCTGTCAAAAATTGTGAAGTGATCTTTAACCAGACTAATATGGCAATTTTGTAGATACAAGGCATAAAAATACTTCAAACTACGAAAACTCCAACTTTTGTGAATACAAGATAATGTGAGAACTGTTATATCGGAGCCTGAGTGTAATGAAATCTATGATGAATAATAATGACAATAATTGAACAATGATCAATCATAACAAGCCTCACTTTCTTTCTTCTATGATTTAAAAAGTGTAGTTCTAGTTGCTCTCTCCCTGTGCTCAGGTGATGAACTGTAACAGTACCACAGAAAGGAAGCAGCTTAAAAATTCACAGCAATGGCGTTTGTTAGATATCCTGTTGGTTTATGTATCCCTATCAAAGATCTTCTCTATGGCAACAGAGAAAGCTCCAAAGGCAGCGCAACCAATACACGTAGCTCTTGGCCCACCTGAAATCAAAACCAATCCATCAAAAACCCCAGAAACACAATGTATCATGTAAGCACACTGCAAAGAGGTTTAAATGACTTCAACCAAATAATCTCTTGAAAGAAAACAAAACATGTGAGAAACAAAAAAAATTGAATGAAGAAGTAATTTGCAGAGAAACAAAAGCACTCCTACTAGACTTGAGTTTTGAGAATCAAGCAATTGCAAAATCTCATAACATTTAAAGTCCATACAAAAGAAAACGATAGACAATTACCTCGGACAGCCAATCCACCACCGGTCACACAACCAGCAATAGCTGTGTTTGTTACATCATGCTTCGCTCTTGCCTTTTCTCAGAGAGTAAGTAGTAAATCGGAAAAAGAAGAAAAAGAAAGGTGACAATAAGGTTTTGAAGTTACGATGGAATGTCGTGAGCGTTGTGTGGGTCAGTCAATAACGTATGTACCTTCTCGACAACGCATTCAGCTGCTGAGAAAATCAAACCCATAACCGCAAATGTCTTGCAAGAACTCCAACTCCTTTGCCCCATTTGTTTTGCAGTGAACACAAACTGCTGCCTAGCAGTCATCGTATCGTGCATTATAGGATTATCCAGTGCTCCCAAGAACAAACCCATCATTAGCCCAAGCCCTCCTCCTACATACAATTCACAGAGATTCCAAGTACAAATCAACAGAATATCCTCACATGCCTAAATAAATTATATTACCAACGAGCAAATATTAGTAGCATTTGCCCCTTTGAGAGCATTTATAGAATGTAGAACAGATTCGATTAGATATCTCCACATCAACAGTTAACCTAACCAGCTCAGAAACACATATCAACTATCAGAAAGCTAAACACTTTCTCCAAATCTAAACAAACTTCAGTATCCACACACAAGCCATATGCCTAGAGCTTTTCGTATTGCCACTGAACTACTGAAATGGAATATTTTCCCCCAATTTCTTTGAACAACCAATAGAAATGTTAAAATCTGTGTTCAACCATCAAGTTTATGAACTCCGACTGTCTGCTGAACATGAAGATTCAGAAAAAAAAAAAACAATCATACTGAGCAATGAAGCAATATAGATCGCCAAGGAGAGAGATTGGGAACTGACCCATGGCTCCACTCATAACACTTTTAAAGGCGCAGTTGTTCCAAACCTCTTGGGCTCGGATCTCCTCGACGGTTGGCATCCGGATCGGCTGAATCTTGTTAACGCTCTCACCGGAACCCCCAGAGGCCGGAGAACTACTACCGGCCGCCGGCTCGGCACTCGAATCCGCCATTTTCAAAGGTGTAGATTGCAGAATCCGACAGGAAAAGATGTCATAAAAGCTTAAAAGAAACCAGATCAAGCGCTGGCGATTCGCGCGCCTGAGGGATAAAACAAATCTGGGTTTATCCCGAGGTCCTAGGGTTTAAGCCACAACTACGACCGAAATCTAGCATTCTAGGCCCATTAGTATATATATGGCCTGTATTTAATGTAATTTGGGGCGGTAACCTTCTAATTCTATATATGGCTCTCAAACATCTCCAAGTTAGCGATCAAACATTTAAGAAAGGTTTGTGTTTCCAGAGAAACAAATCAAATCATTGCTTCTTCTACCGTTGTCGCTTCAGATTCCCATTTTTTTTGAAAAAACCAAAGACAGATAACTCACAATAGTCCTCCTATATTACTACAGAACAAGAGCCAATCGAATTACGACGACAAGTAGTAGTGGAAAACTAAAGGAAACTTTTGAGAGCGAAACTCCTCCGCCTCAAGAAATGGCTTCCTCCAGACCTGAGAACGCTCCGTTTCTCTTCCCGAAATGCGAAGACTCTGTTTTACCCGATCCCTCACGTTTCTTCAGCCACAATCTCCTCTCGAGCCCTCTCCCTACAAACTCTTTTTTCCAAAACTTCACTCTTAGGAATGGTGACAAGGCTGAGTATTTTCACCCTTACATCATCAAACCCGCCGTATCCTCTCTCTCGATCTCATACCCTACTCTGCTTCGAAACTCTGCCTTCTTCTACGAGGTTTTCAAAGCTGACATCGTCATCTCCGGTTCACCCGACCCGCATTCCCGGAAAACTCATCAGATCTCTTCATTCAGCGACCTCGGCGTCACTCTAGATTTCCCTTCCTCTAATCTCAGATTCTTCCTCGTCAGGGGAAGCCCTTACATCACATGCTCCGTCTCATGTAACTCGATCACAATCTCAACGAGCCACGAGGTTTTGTCCTTCTCCGGAAATAGCCCATGTACAAAGTACACGGCCAACCTCAGCAACCACCAGAAATGGCTGATTTACGCCTCTTCGCCGGTTACACTAACCAAATGCGGCAGCTCCTCGTTTCATTGCCCTGGTGGGTTTTCGGGTATAATCCGAATCGTTGTGTTACCTTGCTCGAATCCAGACTTCGAATCCATTCTCGACCGATTCAGTTGCTGTTACCCAGTTTCCGGGGACGCTGACTTCACAAAGCCCTTCACTTTGGAGTACAAATGGGAGAAGAGAGGCTTCGGAGATCTGCTGATGCTCGCTCATCCTCTTCATCTCAAGCTTTTGGCAAGCGACAATCGTTCGGTCACCGTACTAGACTCTATCAAATACGAAAGCATCGACGGGGATTTGATAGGAGTCGTCGGAGATTCATGGGTTCTTAAACCGGACCCTGTTCCGGTGACGTGGCACTCTATCAAAGGAGTTAAAGAAAGTTCGTACGAGGAGATCATCTCGGCTCTCGTCAAAGACGTCAACGCCTTGGATTCCTCATCCCCGGTCTCGGGGTGGTCGTATTTCTACGGGAAAGTGATCGCGAGAGCCGCGAGGTTGGCTTTGATCGCCGAAGAAGTTTGCTATCACCATGTGATTCCGGCGATTAGGAGTTATCTGAAGATCATGATCGAGCCGTGGCTAGACGGGAGTTTCGAACCAAACGGGTTTCTGTATGATCCTAAATGGGGAGGTTTGATCACAAAGCAAGGATCGAGAGATTCAAAATCAGACATGGGGTACGGGATTTACAATAATCATCATATTCATCTAGGTTACTTTCTTTTCGCCATTGCTGTGCTCGCCAAGATCGATCCTTTGTGGGGGATGAGATACAGAGCTCAAGCGTACACTCTAATGGCGGATTTCATGACTTTAGGGGGGAAATGGGATCATTCCAATTCGGTTTATACGCGTCTAAGATGCTTTGACCTATTCAAGCTCCACTCTTGGGCTGGAGGGTTAACGGCGTTCGCCGACGGGAGGAATCAGGTGTGCCCGAGCGAGGCTGTAAACGCTTATTACTCAGCTGCTTTATTAGGTTTAGCTTACGGCGACGTACAACTTGTAGCGGCGGCTTCGACGATTATGGCGCTTGAGATCCACGCGGCGAAAATGTGGTGGCAGGTAACGATTTTCAACTTGAGAATTCGTATAATTAAGCAGAACCATACCCAAAAAAAATTAAAAAGAAGACTCGGTTTGAAAATTGATTTGGGTCGTTCCGTTATTATATCTTGAAATCAAATGAAAAATTGAAGAACTTTCTAACATACGTAAAGTCATCCTAAATCGAATCATGCTATAATAGTAACCAAATTTGACTAGCGTTTTTCTTTCTTGGTGTGCAGGTGAAGGAAGATAACGCTATCTACCCGAAAGAATTCACGTCAGAGAATCGTTTGGTCGGGATATTATGGTCGACGAAGAGAGACAGTAGCTTATGGTTCGGGTCCAAGGAGTGGAAAGAGTGTCGGCTTGGTCAGCAGTTATTACCGTTGGTGCCGGTGTCGGAAATTCTCTTCTCCGATGTGAAATTCGTGATGCAGGTCGTGAAATGGACTTTGCCGGCGTTGAGGAGAGACGGCGTTAAAGAAGGCTGGAAAGGGTTTGTCTATGCTCTGGAAAGTGTTTACAACAAAGATGTAGCGATCGAGAAGATCCGGGGATTGGATGAGTTTGACGATGGAAATTCTCTGAGTAATCTACTGTGGTGGGCTCACAGTAGAGACTAGAGACAATGTTGATAACGAAGACGTTGAAGGTGGGTACGTACGGTGGTCACAGCGGCGGCAGGATGGTCATTTGTTCATTGTTACCGTTCAGTTTGAAACCAATTTTTATAATTAAACTTCCTTCATCTTTTAACATTATGTTCTTGATCTTGTTGCTGCTATCTTGCTTCATCTTATAGCATAATGTCCTTGATCTTGCTGCTGCTATGCCACTTCAACTTTCTAACGCAATCAAACAACTCTAGTGATTAATAAAAGCTACGATTATGCAGTATCATCGTATGGACTTAGAACATGATACAAGTATGTGATAGTGTTGGTAAACGTTTTATAAAGGAACGAGTCTAGTATTTTATTCACAATCAAAGAATGAATGAATCATCGTATACAAAAGAATGAATAAAATTAGAAGACTATAGTTGACTTCCATCTTCAAACATATCAAAACTTTTCCACACCTCTCAAGAGACAAGAGAGATGCTGCGACCAGATGAATCCACAGGGAAGCTTCTGATCCATGTGGACGGGTTTCTAAAGTCTAAACCTCCTGATCCACCAACTCTAAACATGGTTTTTTTTCTTCCGAGTACTATTCACTTTCCAGTTTCATTGTCTTCAATCTCCGCCTCCTCGGTGTGACCTTTCAGGTTAATGAATGCTTCAAGAGCTTCTCTCATCCACCAATTCTGACATACTTCTCTTGCTTCGTCCAAGCCTACCCATCTGCGTTGCCTAATTTCTGCCTCGGGCCATCGCTCAAACTCTTGGTCAACAAGCAAAGCAAACATATACCCATCGTGAATTATGCTATGTCTTTTGCTTTTGTATTGCCATTTCCCAAGCTTTTCCTCTAGCTCTCCTGTCACACCCGCTTCTTCGATCGTCTCTCTCAAAGCTGCCTCCTCCATTGATTCATCAGTCTCCCAGCCTCCTTTTGGGAACAACATTCCTTTGCCCTTTTGAGCACTGATTAGGAGAACCTCGATTTCTTTGGATTCAGCTCCATTGACTTGTTGTTTCTTGTATCTGTACGGTACGCATCTGCAGAGATTTGAAACAATTTTTGAATGAGATTCCAGAATGAACTGAGATAAAGACGTCAAATTTGGAAAATTTCAAACACGTTTTGACCACCCGCGATTTAAAAAAACCAAAATTACCGTGGGACAAGAGAGATTAAGACAACTAAGGATGATCTTGTACTGCGCATGAATGATTAAAATTGGTACTTTTTATCCACAAAATTCTCCAATGTTTTTTACCACCAAACAAATATCAAAATAGCTTTAATTCCTAAAACGTAGACCCACAAATCAAAGATAGTTTCGAATTGGGATCGATGAGAAGAAAACTTAGGGTTTCGAGAAACGAAGAGGGGAAAACGACGTACCCGACGACTTGACGATAGCCAGCGTTATCGTAACGCTGCAAATCCCTGCCGGTGCGGGAGACCAAAGAGACAACCTTCTCGATCTGCACCGGGACAACCTTCGACGGGATGGTCTCGAAGATCGGAGACAGATACGAGGCGACATTTGACAAGTTTGAGACGAAAAGAGACACAGAGAAGCCTGTCATTTTAGATCCTTCTTATCAATTTACTTTCCGATGACCTACGAATTAAGAACAGAGAGAGAGTTCGAATCAAATGCTCTGTTCTCGAATTCGAGAGAATCGATTTAAGGAAAAGCCTGAAGGGGAGAGAGAGAGAGAGGAAATGGATAAGCAAGAAGAGAGATATGTTTGCAATTTGTTGAGATGATTAAGGTTTTAGGAGTGTCTTTATATGGAAAATCCCACGATATGTTTAAAATACTCCCACGCGCTTCAGGTGACGACGTTTCGTCCAACCATTTTTTTGGTTTTTGTTTTTTTAATCAACTCGCTCCAATTTTATTCGAACTTAATAATATTTGGCGGGTTATTAACTTGATTTTTCCGGTTAGTGAATCGGTTTCTGTTGGCTAACTGAACCTAGCTTTACTCTGTATTTTGAGATTTGTTGAGTTATTAACGAGACAACAACTCTATGCCACATGAATTAAAATTTCCAACAAAAAATCAGCAGCATTCTAGTATAACAAAAAAAAACTTATTGGTTACAGCAAACCATGAGGTAACTCAGATTAATTTATTAAAGTTCGAAAAAAATCATCGATACAAAAGTCTAAAGAACACAGAAGATTCTAACGTCAACGTTAAAGTTCGTGCAGTGCGTATATTCTCTTATGCAAATTTATCACATGTATTTTGTTGTTCTTCTAGATTTTTATTTGTATTTTTTCGTCAAAGAAAAATCAAAGTTGAAGATATTAAATCAAGTCAACTCGTTAACGACCAAAAAAATAAACCTCAGGCACAGACACGGAGAAGAAAAAACAGAAGAGGGTAAGGGACACGCGCTTCATGAGCGTGTGGAGAAGCTGTGCAAGTGGGTAAACTAAGGTTTGTCTGTTTATGCTTTTGGCTTACAACCAAAAAAACAATACTAAAAGAGTGTGCTCATCCACAAACTCTTCTCTGACGCAAACACGGTATTAGGCGATGCCTTCATTTATTTATTTTTATTATTTTTAATTAACACTTACGGTTATACCACTCACATTTTCTCGTTTCTCCAGTCTCGTGTCTTCTAGAAGCCCAAATATGGATTCAGCCGTAAAGCGTATAAATGGGCCTTGGCCTTATTTTTGGTCGTAGATCATCTCTAAGTAAATTGCTATTTTTTCTTTTAAAATAGAAAAACTCTATAATACAGGTAAATTTTTTTTCTATATATTTCTTTATTTTTTTCTAAAAAAAATTATTATTAGAATATTTTTTTCTAATTTATTAGTTACACAACTTACATTTTTTGTTTCTAAAATTCATAAATTAACCTCATTTATTTTATTTTTTATAAAAAATTTCATAAAATTATAATAATATTAAAATTAAATATTTTTTATACAAAAAATATCACAGTACATCATATAAAACATAATATATTTTAATTTATAAAATTATCTAGAACTAAATTTGAAATAAAAAAATTCATATTTTTAATTATATTATATGTTTTCAAAATTTTATATTATATATTTACTCATATTATACATTCGATAGATGATTGTTCACTAAATGTATATAAATAAGTTATATAAATAATTAATTAAATTTTTATATTTGTTATGCAAATAAAAATAAAAAGATTTAAAAGTTGGAGGGCTAATTTATAAATATAAAAATTAATCTCTATTATAGAAGAAGAAATAGAGTTCCTCTAAATATAGAGGAAAAAATAGCATTCTCTATTTTAGGAAAAAAATAGAGGTGAATTGAAGAGAATTTTCTTCCAAATTCTATTTTTCTTCTAACATAAAGGTAGATTGAAAATGGTCTTAGTAATATATTTCAAAATGCTGCAATGGTACTAGAATAACAGTTTCGTGAAATTCAATATTGGTTTCGATTATGACTCGTAGTCAGGTTTTAGATTTTTTTCAAGGATTTTTATTCGGTTTTTATTTAATTTTTGTTTAGCAAGAATTGGGTCTTCATTTTGCGGACCATAAAAGTTCTTTTAGTTTCTAAATTAGTGGAACACTTATCAAGTGTATTTTCTGTGTATGCTTTATCACGAACTATTTGATATTTAATGCTAAAAGCTTGCTTATATGTATGATGTACAGTACGTATTTCTCAGGTAGGTGTAGACTTTTGGCCTATGACGAAAAAGGTGCGCAGGTCCTTTATATTATCTTTCCTTTAATTATTGGTTCGGCTGGCGATATCTTTTATATTCAGAGTATCTACGAATGGTTCCAATAAAATTCTGATTTCTGAAGCTACATTAATCAAAAACTTCGATATATATAAACGTATACGTACCAAAAGTTGAAAACATATATATATAATTATACATACGTTATACGTAGCGAATACCAAAATAGCTGTACCTAAAATCTGGTTTACCAGAAACCAACGTCTACGTTGACCATATTATCCTTTTCATCAAAACCCACTCATTTATAGCTGGCGGATTAATAACTTCACGTACCGGCTAAATGCCTAAAAAAATATCCAGTCAAAATCAGTTACTTGCATGCGTGGTTATCAACCAGATTCCTAATCGATTCATTTTGCATTTACGTTAGTTTATAATAAAATTCAATGTTTAAACCGTATAATTTTGTTTTGCAAAAGTAAAACTACAAATGCGGGGGAAAAAAACAGATGCATAATCGATTATTCATATTGTTGTAAATATGTAACTGTGGATTCGAAAGACCCTATTATTATGAAAATCCTACATTACTTGTTCGAAAGACCATATATGCTCTACTTCATGCTAGCCTCTATCATTATGAAAAGTGTAATTAACCAATTAATCCAAGTAAAATCTAAATCGTGAACAAAACCATATACAAGCCTCCATTTCTCTTTCTCTTTAAATCTCGGACAAAAAAAACAGGCAAAAAATTAAAGAACAAAAAGTATTCGTCTATGATTGATATATAACATGTAAAAGTATTAAACGATCCTTGAGATTTTATTCATTTAGCTCTCCGCGATCGTCTCCAATCCAGGCCTCCAAGATCCATATTTCGATTCGTATAGTACCTTATCTTCTAGGGTTTCTCTTACTTCCACACCATCATGATCATGGTGATCATCATCATCATTACCCGATAACGAGTTTTTTCTTCTGTCTCCGGTCCCGGGAAACATGCAAACCGGAAATATTCTCTTCAAATGATTATACCTACTTTCATTGAGTATCTCTGCTGCTTTTTCGGAGATGAGAGCGAGTTCTTCTTGTGTTAGGACAGAGAAGAGCATGTCTGTCGGGAGGAGGAGGTAGAGATGTCTTCTCGGCCGCAAAAACTCTTCTGGAGACACGGCGGTGACTCGGTGGCCGATTTGGAGCAACGTTGAGTCGGTGATAAAGTGACCGGAGTTTTGTGAGACGATACCGGAGGTTTTGATGGGTTTAGAGAAAATATCGAGAGTTCCGGCGAATGGAGCCAAGATTTTGACTACTCCTGATGATGAGTTTGATGAGATGATCAATGGTGCGCATGAAGATGTGTTTCCCATTATTGATCAAAGTATAAGAACGAGAGAAGAGAGAGAGAGAGACAGAGACAGAGACAAAGAGAGAAGTTTCGTAGAAAGGTGCTGGCTTTTATAATTATGTGTATATATATAGTTGTATTAGTTTAGGGATTAAGCGAAGATTAAGAATTTAATAATCTTCTAGCTGGTTGTCTACAACTGTGTGTATCTTCTTTCTCCCCGTTTTATAGTTGTCGCTTCTTAACTTTATTGAGGACTTTATCTGAGTATAATTTACGTACTTAAATTGCAAAAACAAAGGTTTCCGTTTCAAATTTCAGCAACATCCATTCATTTATTCATATGGCCGCTACTTAATTAATTGCCCTATAATCAAGTCAAACTCGATATTAACCAGATACAGCCCTTATATATATATAAGACCAGCTTAATTGTTTATTTTTCGTTCTACCAAACACTTAAAATTACTAAATATATATGCTAATGTACTTTTATTTGTGACTTTATGTTGTGACAAAGGGCACTTCTTATTCAGCAAACAGCATGAATCAAGGCCGTAAGACAAAGCAGGAGATACATATATAGGCATGATTTGTACGGTTTTCGACCGTCTAGTAAAATAAGTATACCGTTTTAAATGGTAAGCAAATATAATTTATTTATTTTTGTTTAGCATGGTGTAACTTGTATGAGTTGTCAAAAAAAAGTGTAACTTGTATGAATTGTCTTTTTTAAACACGGTAACTGTATTCACACCCGCTTATCAAATGAATGTACACACTTATCCTCTTTTATTAATGGAATGTATACTTAATTAAGCAGTTAAAGTATTAGTATAAAATTAAATTTATGACTTAACTGTTATCTTTCAGTCTCTACCTATATATTAGTATCTTTTAATTGTTTTCATCCTACACTACGTATATATGTTTACTATTTATGAGAAAACGTAAATTATATATAAGAATTTATTTTTGAAACCACAATAATATTAAAGTTTATATGAAAAATAACTCACACAGCATCATCTTTTATCCACTAGAATAATTCTTACCCATCACTAATCCCCTCAGATATCATAGTACACTTTCGCTAGTAAGCGTTTTCTTTTGTAAGCGTAATTTATTCGAGATCGCATGTTTACTTTCTGGTTGTACACCTGCAGATAGATGTGCTGTGATATATATAATTTTTTTAGAAATGAATATATAATTAGTTGCTTAATACAATAGAGTAGAGTCTGTAGAGAGAAGAAAAAGCACATGGATGAAGGATGGGTGTGATTGAGAGGATGGGTGTGATTGTGAAGAGCTGGGCGATTGGGCTGAGCTCGAGTCACGACGCTACCAAACTCATCATTAGATATGGCTTCTCCCTCCGTTTTGGTTTTGTTTTTTGTTTTTCTTCATTTTTATAATATCAAATTCAGTTCATCTGTCTTTAGAAATTCCAAAAGCCAAAAACAAAGATTACATAAGTCGGTACCATGAAACGAAGTAATTTATCATATACAGCTCATCAGCTTTCTGGATACATCATATATACATGTATAGTTGCCAACAGTTTTATATGATTTTTAATCAGCGTTTTATATTATTAATTAAAACTTTAACTATAATTAAAAAAGCATGCCAAGTGTGATCATGCAATCTGTAGATTTGATTATTCAGATAAATTCATGTGACAACATATGTTTTTATACTTAACCAAATACTTTGTAATGTGGCTGTATGTTTACTTGCGTATATGTGTATTTGTCGCTGTCGGATGTCAGACAGTGGTTCAAATTATGTGATTTTATTTTGAAAGTATACTGGACTTTGGACTATCCTTGTTTTGTTGTTTCTTGCTCGTTTTTTTAATATATTTATGCGTCAATCTTACAATTAAATTAATCCAAATTGATGAACTGTCACAACTCACTAGGTTTATTAAATCAATAATCTTAAAGCACAGAGTCACAAACACCATGGATAACATTAAATTATGTAACACACATTAAAGTGAAAAGGGGATTTCAATTAGCTTGCGTCAACATATATATTTTAAACAGGGAATACTTATTAATTACAGTATCTGGGAGTTGCAATGTCAAAATCTCGACAGGAGCTAGAAAGCTAAATTCCAAAAACGTTAACTATTAAACTCTAGCAAAGTATATCAATTTTAGATACAAACTAGAGTTTGTAAATTATAATTTGAACTAGTAACGTTACGTCACGGCCATCATAAATTCATGCATATTAAGTTGCGGTGATCGATGTACATGTTTGTAAGTTGTATCTAGAAATACTTAGATGGTTAGTTAAATCGTTCCCATTTCGCTCGTTTCCTCCTAATTCATTGAAATTTGAAGATCTGATAACATTAAAAACCCATAATAATGAGATAATTTCATTTTTGGGCATCTAGTGATAGAGAAAATGTTGGCAAAGTTGCTTGGAAATTATTACTATTATTAGAATTTTCATAGTACATATTACGTACTAATCAGTCACCGAACATCTGCTGATTAATTTCCAACATGCATATTAAACCTACCTAATAACGAATAAAGACGCAATGTAACAACGTAGAAGATCAGAAGAAGATTGTTGCCAATGCCACGAAAGCAGATGCGAAGCTAAGTTCGGCGAAGTTGATAGTCGGAGCCGAGTTTGTTGATTTGGCCGTAGAGGAGGAAGCTGAAGCTCCGGTGGATTCGCTTCCTGTTCATGAAACAAAATTTAATACTCCGCAACTTTTATTTTTTCAATTAAAAAGTGAATATCTAAGCGAAAAAAGGAAAAATTCCGTAAAACCAAATTTCATTTGTCATGCTTTGAAATAGAATATAACTTTTACTAACAAAAAAAGAAGTAAGTTTCGACATTTGAAGTCGTAATTTCATACCAGAGGAAGATGCCGGAGGAGTTTTCGGAGTTGCCGGCGACGTCGAAGACGGAGTAGTACCTTCGTCAACACAAAAATTAAAAAGCTTGGGATCAAAAACGTACGGTGTTGTAAGAAATCGGAAACGGTGTAGTAGTACTATAGGTTACTCACCGCCACCGGCGCTGGCTTTGCATTGTGAGACGTCAGCGTCGGCGCCACAAGCTTTAGGGAGAACAAGAGCGTTTTCTTTAGTGAGGTTAAGCGATTTAAGCATGTCGACGTTGTTGAAGACGGAACAAAGACACGTCACGTCGGTCTCGACGATCTCCTTCAACGGCACGCAACACGAAGGCGGCGGGGGCGGAGTCGCCGAGTGAAGATACGGCTGACACGGCATCAGCTTCTGAATACACGGCATTGAGTGCGCGTCTCCTCCTCCGCTCGGCGGTGCAGTTGCGGCGTTAGACGGCGAGACGGAGCAAAGTACTAAAACGACGGCGACGGCGAATCTAACAATCTCCATTTGAACTTTTTTTGAAAGTTTCTTTGTTTTTGTTTAAAACGGTTTCTTTGATCTTGTTTTGAATGTTGTGTGTGAATTTGTAATACATCTCCACGTATATATATATATACACACAAGGTGGTTATAATTTTGTTTTTGAATTTTAATCGATCACATCTGCCTGATATTTCGAGAAACGGTTAATTAAATCTGTTCTGATCCGATCATGACGCATCGGATCGAAGACTAAGCGCTGGATTAGTGACATTCAAATTAGTTAATCCAAATTATCGTCACAAGACAAGAGTTGCCGATTGTAAGAGAAGAGGTGCTGGTCGTTACAGAAAGTAGAATTGTCCGTAATACATAAAAAGATTGTGATTATTATTATTACATAATGGTATCTTGTAGTTTTCACCCATGTTGTCGAATCTCACCTAATAAACAATAATACAAAATTATCCTCATTTAAAAAGTATACATATTTTGTGTGATATTTTTTTGGAAAAAGGTTAGCTTTTGACAGATAAGTTAAGAAAAAGCTATTTGGATATGGATATCCACGTATGAGTCTACGATGTAACGTAACCATCTCGTTACATTTATCTCTAGATTAGTAATAATAATAATATATAGACTGTAGAGAGAGACATGCGTATGAAATTGGCTCGCTGACCAAATATTACAATCGGAGGAAGAAACTGGAGAATTGTAGTTTCGACGGAGAAAATGGGAGTTGATGGTGGTGGCGTCGTTGGGTTTGTTGGTTTGGATTCTTTCAGCTTCGAATTAGCTTCTTCCCTTCTTCGTTCTGGGTTTAAGGTTCAAGCATTCGAGGTTCGTTGCTTTCTTCTTCTTCTACTTCCAATTTTTTTATTTTTTTTTGTTATTTTTTTGGGGATCGGAATGCATGTCTTCCTTCTGGAAAATCAGGTTGATCGGGTTTTCTAAATCCCGTACGAGAAATGTGAAATTTACGGGGGTTCTGAAGAATTTCGAAATTCTCCATCTGTTCAGCTGTTTTACACGTTTATTTCCATTTTTTTCACTCCACAGAGTGTTAAATTCTTTGAGGGACTGCGAAATAATTTTTGATTATTGATTAGTTTGGCAACGATATTCCACAGATAAGTACAGAATTGTTGGAGAAGTTCACTGAATTGGGAGGATACAAATGTGACAGCCCTTCAGATGTTGGGAAAGGTATCAGATTTGATTGTGTGTTGTGTTTATTCGGAGTTACATGGAAATTAGTTCAGATGTCAAGCGAAAAATGCATAATTTTTTTACTATTTATCAAGCATTTGTCATCTAGTAATAGCCAGGCTCTGTACATGCAAACCTTTGTCGTTGTGTTTCTGTTGCTACCTCGTTTCATGCCTCGCTTTCACTTTTTGATGATACTGTCTTGTGTCATGTTCTTTAATTTTTTTTGCCTAATTCTAACTTTATTTCCCTCCTCTCTAAGCAGGTGCAGCAGCCGTGGTGGTTTTACTCTCCCACCCTGACCAAATTCAAGATGTTATTTTTGGCGATGAGGGTGTTCTGAAAGGTTTATCTCGAATTTTCTTTACCTCACAGTCGATGAACTTTTATCTCAGGATTAGTGTGTAGGAGACTGTATGTTTCATTTCTTTTCAGGTCTACAGAAAGGCGCTGTATTGCTTCTGTCTTCGACGATATCGCCTTTGCACCTCCAGACGCTAGAGAAACAACTTACAGGTTGCTACCTTTGAGGAATCGTTTGCACTTCATCTCCGTATTTTGAAATTTGCGCTTTTCAGTTGTGAACTGAAAATGGGATTCCTTTCCAATGCAGAGAGCAAAGAGCAGATTTTTATAGTCGATGCCTATGTTTTAAAAGGAATGTCTGAGCTTCTCCATGGCAAACTAATGGTATGTACTCTCCTATCTTGCTACGCCTGTTATGTCGGTCCGAGTAACACTTTGCTCGTTGATCTCCATTCAATGTTGAAAATAGCATGTCCATTGTACTTTTAGTAACCCGTTTTTAATTTGTAATTTATAAGATCATAGCATCTGGAAGGTCAGATTCGATCACAAGAGCACAACCCTATCTTACTGGTAAAATGTTAACTCAAATTTATAGACCCTCTCAAGATGTAGACTTTCTGAGAATTAAGTTTGTTACTGAAACAATCTCTCTGTTTCATGAAGCAATGTGTCAGAAGCTTTACACCTTTGAGGGAGAAATTGGTGCTGGAAGGTATATAATTTTGCAGGTGATAAATAACCTATTTCCTTGTCATGAGTCATAACAATCATAATGGTCAAGTTGTTGTTTACTGAAATATCATGAAACCTATGGATTTTTCTGGTCATAATAGAACCTTTGACTATTCTAACTGTTTTTATTTTTTCTGAACCAGTAAAGTTAAAATGGTGAATGAGCTGCTTGAGGGCATTCATCTTGTTGCTGCTGTGGAGGCTATATCTTTAGGTTCCCAGGCGGGTGTGCATCCGTGGATACTATATGACATCATTTCCAATGCAGCTGGAAATTCATGGTAGGCGTTTATGCTACAAGTACTTTCCTTTCGTTGCGAGTAATAAAAAATGTATTCCAGTACCAAATTGGAAAGTTTTTTTTATAGTAGGACTGTTATGAATCATAGGGTTGATGACTTTTTTTAGCATGGTTAACTGTTTACTTGAATAGTCTAATTTTGAAAGTTTTGAGAATAGACTACTGCAAGTAAGTTGTGACTAAAGCATGGTTTACTGTTTACCAAATCTAACTGGAAGACAGATATATTTAGTTTAGAGCTCTTCATTTAGGCCCATTGAAGACTTCCCTTAAGGTTTATGCCATATTGACATGTCAATATTTCGACAATAGATGTCACAGCATTTATTCGTCTTGTGTATATATTGTTTTCAGGATTTACAAGAATCATATTCCATTGTTGCTAAAAGGTGATATAGAGGGTCGCTTCCTCGATGTTCTATCTCAGAATCTGGTATGACACACCAATAGTCATTTGATTTTTACACTCTGATTAAATCATGATGTTTAGCAAATGTAACTAATGAAACGCTAACTGACTTTCCGATGGCAAGGGCATTGTTGAAGATAAAGCCAAATCGCTCCCATTTCCTGTCCCACTTTTGGCATTTGCACGTCAACAACTAATCCTCGGTATGATTATATGTCCATAACAATGATAACGACCTCTTTCCAGTTATTTAATTATATGCATAACTTCCCCTTCTCCAGGAATATCACAAATGCATGGAGATGGTACAGCTACTTCATTGGCTAAGGTCCCCAATTCGAAACTTTTGACAAACTTAACCGAATTCAAAAACTTATGTCATAGATTTTGTACATGGCACATGCCTCTCTAATGAAAGGTTCATATAATGATTGAGCAGATCTGGGAAAAAGTACTTGGTGTTGGCATATTAGAAGCAGCCAATAAAGAACTTTACAAGCCAGAGGACTTGGCCAAAGAAATTACTACTCAAGCAAAGCCTGTAAAAAGAATTGGTTTTATTGGTCTCGGAGCAATGGGCTTTGGTATGGCAGCGCACCTGCTGAAATCAAAATTTTCTGTCCGTGGTTACGATGTAAGCCTTTGATTAACTCTCCACTGTGATTACTCTAGGGACTATTGTTTTCATATTCTTCTAGTAGTTTCCTAGTTTATTGAGGCACACGGTTTGCCTCACTCAAAACTTTTGGCTGTAATTCTGGCTGTTACATCGGTGAAGTTTATGTTCTAGGTGCCTTTTTCATATAACTGTAAACTTATCGATGTATACGTGTTAGCTCATTCAGAGTATCATAAATGTAGGATTTGTTAATAGGTTACTTAACTTAAAAAAGATGAGCTGTATATCACCCTTACGCTGTAGAAAATTTACACTGTCGAATGAAATGTTTGATACTGATCTGAATTGCAGGTATATAAGCCAACGCTTGTCAGATTTGAGAGTGTCGGGGGGTTGGCGGCAAATTCTCCGTCTGACGTGACGAAAGGTAGTCCTCAAAATCAAGCCAAGTGGATAGATTGCATTGTAGATTTGTCACGTATCTCTCAGCACTTCTGAGATGAAAATTCTGCTTTTATCCAGTCATTTTCCCTAGATATAATGCTTACTTGTATATGCTCCCGCAGATGTAGATGTTCTTGTAATTATGGTAACAAACGAGGTTCAGGCTGAGGATGTCCTGTATGGACATCTTGGAGCGGTTGAAGGTACGTCTCTGTTATCCTAGCTTTTAGTATTGCCATTGGAGGTTCGAGCTGAATTTCATATGTTTTCTTTCACAATATTACAGCTCTTCCATCTGGAGCAACTGTTGTACTTGCGTCAACAGTCTCTCCCGCTTTTGTTAGCCAACTTGAAAGGCGTCTAGAAAGTAAGTGTTTCCAGTAACCAGCTACAGTAATGCATGTTTGATCCTGCCATCAATTTTTACTTCCATCATGATCTTTTACTGTCACTTGATTGAGTTCTTTTATCCGGTAATCTTACAGATGAGGGAAAGGACCTAAAGCTGGTGGATGCTCCTGTTTCTGGTGGTGTTAAGAGGGCTGCCATGGGGGAACTTACGGTATGAAGTCTATAAACCTATCTACTGTGTCTCTAATGAAGCTGAAGTTTTTCTTTCTTTTCAGATAATGGCTTCAGGTACCGATGAAGCACTTAAGTCTGCGGGAATTGTCTTAGCAGGTGCTGTTTTCATTATCAATTTTTTTTGGTGGAATATTTTCTTCTTCTCATCATAACCTGGATGTGCCTGATTATATATTAATTTTGAGCAGCATTAAGTGAGAAGCTCTACGTGATTAAAGGAGGTTGCGGGGCAGGAAGGTAATTTGTTTTGCTCCATCACGATCCTTTTTTTACTGACATGGGACATCATTCACTTTCTTTGTCACTTGTCTATTTGATGTTACGCAGTGGTGTAAAAATGGTCAATCAATTGCTTGCGGGAGTTCATATTGCATCAGCTGCCGAGGCAATGGCATTTGGAGCTCGCTTAGGTCTGAATACTCGAAAGCTATTTAATGTTATTTCCAACTGCGGTGGAACATCTTGGTATGCTTTACTTAAATCTTCATGGAATCAATTTTTTTTCTTTTTATCTCTGAACAAGTCTGTGTTACCACCATCAACGACATTAGCATTTCTGATGGAAAGTACACCACCCTGATATCTATCTTGACAAGTTTATGAGAAACACGTTTATGTTAGCCTGTTAGGTCATAAATTAAATGGTTCCTATTTTACATATTGCAGGATGTTTGAAAATCGTGTTCCGCATATGCTGGATAATGATTATACACCATACTCTGCTCTTGACATTTTTGTTAAGGATTTGGTAAGATTAGCGACTGTAAACCAATTCGTAAACTTGTTTTGTTTTCTTACCTGATGCAAGAGTTTTTACTGTAGGGGATTGTCACCCGGGACGGTTCATCACGTAAAGTTCCACTCCATATATCAGCAGTGGCACACCAGCTATTCATAGCAGGTAGCCTCTAATCTTTTTTACTGTTCTCAATTCATCTTGCACGTGTATCATTTCGGTCATACCTTTTCAACAATACAATATTATACTTGGGGTTGAATACAGAGTTTCATGTGATTTTCTTTGCTGTGCTTCTTTCTTAAATATTCTGGAGAACGAGAAAAACTTTCTACTTTCACTGAGCTAGGTTCATTTTCCTTTTTTCCCCTTTTAGATGGAGACATGTATACTTATAGATATTTTCATTTATAGGCTCTGCTGCGGGCTGGGGACGGATAGATGACGCTGGAGTGGTCAAGGTATAATTTTCATATATGCAAGGATTCCTAGCACCAAGATTATTGTGGTTCAGTTTAGTTTGAGACAGCTTTGGGCTATTAGTTTCCGTCTTTAAAAACAATAGAAATCTTCTTTTTATTTGAAAGATCTACAGTTCATGAACTATTGGACTCAAGATCACATATAGTGTTAGCTGTCTTTCTTAACAGTATCAAGATTGGTGTCTGTTTGTTGTGCCTCAATTAACCTTTAAGTAACTAAAAACGTTTTATTATATTTATAGGTATATGAAACCCTTGCAGGGATTAAAGTAGAAGCGAGACTTCCTGTGCTGAAGAAACAAGACGTACTGAAATCTCTTCCATCTGAATGGCCCTGCGACCCGACAGATGACATACATAGATTAAATATGGGAAACTCAAAGACGTTGGTCGTTCTTGATGATGATCCAACCGGGACACAAACTGTTCATGACGTAGAGGTTTTAACAGAATGGTTAGTCTTGCATTGTTTCTGTATGAAACTGAATTTATCTTGAATAAACTGTTATTGCTTTTGACAGGAGCGTTGAGTCTATTTCTGAGCAGTTCAGAAAAAAGCCTGCATGCTTCTTCATATTGACAAATTCAAGATCATTAAGCTCTGAGAAGGTCAAGGCATTTCTATCTTGTATGCTACATCAACTTCAGAAATTTTAAGCTCTAACTGCATATCTCTTCAACAGGCTAGTGCGTTGATCAAAGACATCTGTTCCAACCTATGCGCTGCATCAAAAGAAGCTGGCAATGCTGACTACACAATTGTTCTGCGTGGTGATTCAACATTACGTGGTCATTTTCCTCAGGCAAGTTTGGTGACCCTAGCATGATATGACAGACCATCATATCAGTGTTGGATTTGAACTTTCAATTCTGTTTGTATCGTTACTTGATATTGTGATCCATGCAGGAAGCAGATGCTGCTGTCTCAATACTTGGGGAAATGGACGCATGGATTATTTGCCCATTCTTCCTTCAAGGAGGACGTTATACTATTGATGATGTGCATTATGTTGCAGATTCTGATAGGTATATCTTTTTGTGAACGACGTGTGTGTGTGGTTTTTTGTTGTAGTTAAACTTCCTGAATCAGGGCAAAGTTCCCTTCAGAGTATGAAGTTTGATAGTCTTCATCATGAATATTACAGACTGGTTCCTGCTGGAGAGACAGAGTTTGCTAAAGATGCATCCTTTGGATATAAATCCTCAAATCTCCGCGAGGTCAGAATTTCAACTGCAGAACCATCTATATAATTTGACTCGGAAGACAATATTATTAACGAAACAAATTTGATATGATTCCAGTGGGTTGAGGAGAAAACATCTGGAGCCATTCCTGCTAATAGCGTTGAGTCGATCTCAATCCAGCTTATAAGAAAAGGTGGCCCTGATGCAGTGTGTGAGTTCTTATGCAGTTTAAAAAAGGTAATATATCCAGCACATTTTGCTATGGCTATTATGGGATGTTGCTTTAAGTGAATTTAACTTGTCTTCAGAAACTGATGAAATCAGTCAGTCCAAGTTTGGTTGAAAGTCTCAGCTCGGTTTCCCTTTTTCATATGTAAATCAGGGATCCGCATGTATTGTCAACGCAGCTAGTGAAAGAGACATGGCTGTATTTGCAGCGGGGATGATCCAGGTAAGCCTGCCTATTATTCTTTCATTTTTTATTCAATTAGAGGATGCATTTATTTTTCTCTTAAAACTTTTGGTCACTTTTGTTCGATCAAACATAATATTTGGCAGGCAGAACAGAAAGGGAAATCTTTCTTATGCCGTACTGCTGCTAGCTTTGTGTCTGCTCGAATAGGGATTATTCCAAAAGATCTTGTGTTGCCCAAAGATTTTGCATCTGACAAAGAAAGTAGCGGTGCGCTAATAGTTGTAGGCTCATATGTCCCGAAAACAACAAGCCAGGTTAACTCTCTTTACCAACACTACTTTCTCTATTTTAAGATTGAGATAAAGTCAAAAGAGTCCTGTGTCATTTTTTTCAAACTAACAGGTTGAAGAACTTCAGTCACAACATAAGCAGAAGTTAAGGAGCATTGAGGTAAAAACAAGTAGATATGGCTAAGACGGATATTTATGATTTTAATATTTCTCTATGCATGCTATGGTAGCTAAGTTCTAGCCATAATCAACAGATCTCTGTAGAGAAAGTTGCTCTCAATTCTTCCGAAGTGAGAGATGCAGAAATCAGTAGAGCGGTTGAGATGGCCGATGCTTTCCTTACGGCTGGCAGGGAGACTCTAATTATGAGCAGTCGCGAGCTCATCACTGGGAAAAGTTGTTTTTCCATTCACACTCTTTATATATATATTTTAATTCCTTGGTATAAAGTCATGACGGAGGAATATCATCATTAACGGGTCTGCTATTCACTTTGACAGCATCTTCGGAGAGTCTTGATATTAATAGCAAAGTGAGCTCCGCTCTGGTTGAAGTAGTGAGCCTGATAAATACTAGACCCCGTTATATTCTAGCAAAGGTACTTTTTGCAAGCCCTTGTTGCTTCTCTGTTCAGCTTACCATCTCATTAAACTCCTGGCACAATCTGTCAATGCACAGTTGATGATTGCAACTGTTTTATAGATCTGTTTCGAAGTTTTTGACGATGTAACAAACATCCTTGTTTAGGGTGGAATCACGTCATCAGACACAGCAACAAAAGCACTTAAAGCAAGACGTGCACTTGTGGTTGGTCAAGCCCTTGCTGGTGTTCCAGTATGGAAGTTAGGCCCAGAAAGTAGACATCCCGGTGTCCCCTACATTGTTTTCCCGGGTAAATCTTAATTTGTATTAAAAGCATACAGCTAAAGAAAATAAGTTTTCTTAATCTCTTCGTTTTCAAAGACATTCTTTCTACCCTTATGGAACAGGTAATGTTGGCAGCAGCACAGCTCTTGCAGAAGTTGTGAAGTCCTGGTCAGTTGTAGCTGGACGAACTACGAAAGAGCTGCTTCTTGTGAGTATCCACTCTTGTTCTCTAGCATCATTTTTAATTTTTTATTTATTGATGTTGTGTTTCTATGTAAAATAGAACGCAGAAAAGGGTGGATATGCAGTTGGAGCATTTAATGTTTATAACCTAGAAGGAATAGAAGCTGTTGTAGCAGCTGCAGAGGAAGAAAACAGTCCTGCCATATTGCAGGTTAGTGAGAGATATCAGCCAACCAAAGCACAAAATCCTGTTCTGTATACTTCAAAATTAACAAAAAATGAAAGCTGATTTATTTTCGTTCTTATGGCCACGCTTTTAGGTCCATCCAGGTGCCTTCAAGCAAGGAGGCATTCCATTGGTTTCATGTTGCATCTCCGCAGCTGAACAAGCCAGGGTATGTAGCATTTGTGACTGTACTTTGATTCTGCATTTGATGCATATTTTTACTGTGAGAAGTCATGTATCTTGATTTTGCTTTGCTATCTAGTCAACTGAGAAAAAGAAAGAAAGGAAGACTGCAAATTTCGTTTGTGTTATGTTACGGAATAAATATGGAAATCAAAGTTTTAGTTGCTGGTGCCAAGTGCCCCATACATGGGTTAGACACTAACCTACCATGATTAATATGCACAATGTGGCAGGTTCCGATATCCGTACATTTTGACCATGGAACAACAAAGCAGGAGCTATTAGAGGCTCTTGAACTCGTAAGCTGGAGATATAAATCGCCTAATGTTCAATCTCTTTGTCCTCTTGTTTTTAGTTCTATGTCGAAAAGAGAACTTCATACCAATTGATCTCGTGCAGGGATTTGACTCAGTGATGGTAGATGGTTCTCATCTTTCCTTCACAGAGAATGTGTCCTACACTAAATCTATAACAGAGTTGGCCCGTTCCAAAAACATCATGGTGGAAGCTGAACTAGGTAGACTCTCAGGAACAGAGGATGGCTTGACTGTTGAAGATTACGATGCAAAGCTCACCAACGTTCACCAGGTCATTGTCAATTCCAATCTTTCGCTCTAATATATATACATCTCTGCTAAACCAAACTGGAATGAGTTTTTTCTTCAGGCTCAGGAATTTATGGAGACTGGTATAGATGCGCTCGCTGTGTGTATAGGAAATGTCCATGGAAAATACCCAGAGTCCGGCCCAAACCTCAAGCTCGACTTACTAAAGGTTAAAAGCATACTCTTGTGCTGACTGAAATTCGTCAATGTTGCTGAGTTTACGTCATTCTTATTCTAAGTGATCTCCATGTGTATAGGAACTGCGCGATTTAAGCTCGAAGAAAGGCGTCTTTCTTGTTCTTCACGGAGCTTCTGGTTTGCCTGAGAGTCTTATCAAGGTCTGAGTCCATCATTTTCGTAGTTTCTTGTTCGGTAATAGAAAAGAAAAATCAATTTGGCGCGAAAACTTGCTCTTTTGATCGAGATTTTGGTATGGATTTAACCGAATTAACGTCTTTGTGGGCTATATTAATTGTTGTGTGCTATCGTCAGGAATGCATTGAGAACGGGGTGAGGAAGTTTAACGTGAACACAGAAGTAAGAAAGGCTTACATGGATGCTCTTACCTCCGGAAAGAAGACAGACCTTGTCGACGTCATGTCGGCCACAAAATCAGCCATGAAAGCTGTGATCGCCGACAAGATCCGTCTCTTTGGTTCCGCTGGAAAAGCTTGAGTTGTCAATGAACAATGTCCGATCAGTATGTTTACACAGTTGTACATCGCATAATTCACATCCAAAGAAAGAATAACCAACAATCCATTGTATATACAATGAACATTTGTTGGAAATAAAGAATTCATTTTTAGTATTGCTTAACTATTTTATTTTTCTTCCCTAATTTATAGGAAACTCAAACTATAATATATTTTATGGGAACTTATTTTTTTTTTTTGTAAGCGGATAAAATTACTAATTATTCATGGCTATCATTTCGACGGGATATTCAAGGGATTATCTCTATACATACAAATACAATCCTCGCAATCTTCGCCGTTCTCTATCTTCTCGTTCTCCGATCTTAAATCCCTAACTCTCACACACATTCTCTTCATTGGGGATCCAAATTCTTCTTTCTTTTATTAATAACTCTAAGTAGTATTTATCTTTATGATTTGTCGCTTCGTTTCTATCCATTGATGTCTACTTCTCCTACGTAAAATGGAGTTTGCTTCATTTTTGAAGCTTCTGAGTAGAACCGAGGGTTTTGGATGTGGGTTCATCGTTTTTGGCAGTTCCTCTCAGATTATCAATCTCGTCTTCCTCTTTTGCTTGCTTGTGTTGGGACTCAAGTTTCTTCTTCCCAAGGGTCCTTCAGAGAAGATACATCCAATTGCTCCTAAGGTTGAGAGTTGCGATTCCTCCGATCGAGAACATACGGATTGCAAACATGGGTTCGTTTCAAAATCTTACTTGGTTGATGCGTTGGATCAGAAGAAACCAATCATCTTACGCTGGACTTCTGATTCTGCTGATGGGTTGAGCTTGAGTAAGAAGACGAACAGGAGCTGTGAGAACTGCGATCGCCTTCTTCTACCTGATGGGACTGATGATCTCAGCAGCAACAGAGACGCTGCTGCGGCGTTCTCGGAGACAGAGCTCGAAGAGGAAACCGAGGAGGAAGAACCACGGTCCCGGAGCGATGAAGACCAGGTGTTCGACGTTATTACGCTGAGGAAAATGGTGAAGAGAGAGAGGAAACGTGGAGATTGTTTGAAGATGGAGCTGGAGAAGGAGAGAAGAGCGGCTGAATCAGCTGCTGAGGAATCCATGGCTGTGCTTCTGAAGCTACGGATGGAGAAGAGCGTGGTGGAGATGGACGCGGAACATTACAAGAGAGTCGCAGAGCAGAAGCAAGTCTATGATCAAGAAGTGATTCAGTCGTTACAGTGGATGTTGATGAAGCTCGATGACCAAGACAAGATTCAACACTACTCTTGATCCGGATCCTCTGTAGTGTGTACTCTGTAGTCTGTATCTACGCAAATAAATAAAATAAACGATGTTCGTTTTTCGATTAAGCCGAACCATAAATCAACGGTTCGAAATTGAACCATAATAAATTAACGGTTTAATGTTTATAGAGAAGACTACTTACGTGGCGGGTGTCTATTGGATGTATGACAACGATTTGGCGTGGCAAATTATCGACTAGTTGAAATGCCGTTGTTACCCCTTCCATCTTTATTTTATTCTTTCGTCATCCTTCTGAAATCCGATCTGATCACTGAGAAATTACGGCGACGACGAAGAAAGTGGGGGAGGGGTAGAAAATGAGAATCTCAGGTCTCGGGATTGTTGTTCTCTCTGTATTCGTTTTCTATTGCGTCGAACTTAGCGTTCACGCTCGTCCCGTTGTTCTCGTCCTCTCCAATGACGACCTCAATACTGGCGGCGATGATAACGGAGTCGGAGAGTCCTCTGACTTCGATGAGTTTGGGGAATCCGAACCTAAGTCCGAAGAGGAGCTTGATCCCGGTTCGTGGCGACCGATCTTCGAGCCGGAGGACTCCACCGTCCAAGCCGCGTCGCCGCAGTACTACTCCGGCCTCCACAAGATTCTAGCGGCGGCGAGTGAGGGAAATGTGAGATTGATGGAGGAAGCGGTGGAAGAGATAGAGACAGCTTCTTCAGCTGGAGATCCGCACTCGCAGTCATTAATGGGCTTCGTTTACGGGACAGGAATGATGCGGGAGAAGAGCAAAAGCAAGTCGTTTCTTCACCATAATTTCGCAGCTGAGGGTGGGAATATGCAGTCCAAGATGGCGCTTGCGTTCACTTGTCTGCGTCAAGATGTAAGCAAGTTGAACTTTTAAGATGGAACTTATGGAAGTTTCATATGTTTGCTCTTTATGAGTAGGTGAAGTTGCGTTTAGATAATCAACCATTACCTTAACTGAGCTGCATAGGTGGTGTAATTGTCGTTCATTCTGTTCGGCAAAAAGAAGACATCTTTAATTTTTTGTGTTCCTTATCAAAACGTTATCAATTTTCCCTCGCAGATGCACGATAAAGCTGTCCAGTTATATGCTGAACTAGCAGAGACGGCCGTGAATAGTTTTCTGATATCAAAGGATTCGCCTGTGGTCGAACCAACCAGAATCCATAGCGGAACTGAAGAAAACAAAGGTGCTCTGAGGAAATCCCGCGGGGAAGAGGATGAGGATTTCCAGATATTGGAATATCAGGCACAGAAAGGGAATGCTGGGGCGATGTACAAGATTGGACTGTTCTACTACTTTGGTCTACGAGGATTAAGGCGTGATCACACCAAGGCATTGCACTGGTTTTTAAAGGCTGTTGATAAAGGGGAGCCGAGGTCAATGGAACTTCTTGGGGAGATATATGCTCGAGGAGCTGGTGTTGAAAGAAACTATACCAAGGCACTTGAATGGCTTACACTTGCTGCAAAAGAAGGTCTCTATTCAGCATTTAACGGAATTGGCTACCTGTATGTCAAAGGCTATGGCGTAGAGAAGAAAAACTATACTAAGGTATGTCCTCTAAATTCCCAGGCTTTTACTCTTTATCCGACTAGAGGTTTAGCCGTCAAAATATAATAAAGGACTTGATACTAAAGGGGGAAGGATTGTAAACTAAGTAGATTAGTCTAATAATGTTACATTATTATATGGCTTCAAATGCAGGCAAGAGAATATTTTGAGAAGGCTGTTGACAATGAAGATCCCAGCGGGCATTATAACCTTGGAGTTCTGTATCTGAAAGGCATCGGAGTCAAAAGGGATGTGAGGCAAGCAACAAAATACTTCTTTGTAGCTGCAAATGCTGGTCAACCAAAGGCTTTCTATCAACTCGCCAAGATGTTCCATACTGGAGTTGGGCTTAAGAAGAACCTAGAAATGGTAATTACTTGTACTCTGAGTCTTTTTTCTGCCTAATCGTGGATGCTAACTGCAATGGTTCTTCTGCTCAAATTCATATAGTTTAAGGAGAAAGAAACTCTTTAAAAAAATTGGCTGAATGCTCTTATAAACTTCAGAAGAAAAGTGACAATTGTGGCTAGTGATAGCTTATTAGCCGTATGTTTGTATTGTCGAGGTAAGGGGGTGTAATTAGCTATGACGTGTATCCATTAAGGCATCAAAGCGCATTATATTTGTCCCCAGTAAGGCACCCCCTTTTAGGAATATTATTTTGAGCACTTTGGGCGCATTAACTTTGTGTTTTAATTGTTTGTTCACTCTCCTCGCAATGCATACAGGCCACTTCGTTTTATAAACTAGTAGCAGAAAGGGGGCCATGGAGTTCTCTCTCCAGATGGGCTCTTGAAGCTTACTTGAAAGGTGATGTGGGTAAAGCTTTGATCTTGTACTCGAGAATGGCAGAGATGGGCTATGAAATAGCACAAAGTAATGCTGCGTGGATCCTCGATAAATATGGCGAAAGAAGCATGTGCATGGGAGTATCCGGGTTTTGCACTGACAAGGAGAGACATGAGCGAGCACATTCTTTGTGGTGGCGTGCCTCTGAACAAGGCAATGAGCATGCTGCTCTGCTCATTGGAGATGCATATTACTATGGCCGGGTTAGTTTTCCTCATACTATAAGAAAGTAAATCTAGAAACTAAAATAACGTCAAGAGAGGTCACAATGGTTGAATTAGATGTGAATCAGCTATAAAACTTAAAAGTACATTTCGCCTGATTCTCTCTCTCTTTAAACAGGGTACTGAGAGAGATTTTGTGCGTGCGGCGGAAGCATACATGCATGCTAAATCACAGTCAAACGCGCAAGCAATGTTCAACCTGGGATACATGCATGAGCATGGACAAGGACTTCCCTTTGATCTTCATTTGGCCAAACGTTATTATGACCAAGCCCTTGACAGCGACGCGACTGCGAAATTGCCAGTCACACTTGCTCTCGCTAGCTTATGGCTACGTAGAAACTATGCTGATACCGTCCTGGTAAAATTATAAATAAAAGATCCGATTTCTTCTCATTTTTATTTGATGCATTTTAGCAGATCGAATTGACAAAAGAGGATGCTAATTTTTGTTGTTGTAATTGATAGGTGAGAGTTGTGGATTCATTACCAGAAGTGTATCCAAAGGTGGAGACTTGGATTGAGAATGTGGTGTTTGAAGAAGGTAATGCGACAATACTTACACTCTTTGTCTGTCTAATCACAATTCTCTATCTCCGAGAGAGACAACGAAGACAAGTCGTTGTCGCCGATCCAGTTGCTGGGGATGTTGCACAACCCCTCGATGCTGACGTGGCACAACACCTTGCTGCGTTCCCACGGTGATGAGGCGATCATCGTCTTCTTCTTCGTAATAGCAGAGAATAGTCGGGTTTTTTTGGTGCTCTTCTACTGTACAGTTTAAAGTTAAAAAAGTTAAAACTTATTACTTCAAAAAATTGTGATACTGAGTATGTAGAGTCTTGTCGCCGCTTCTTTTTGTAACCTATCATGTTGGGCCAAGGTCTAATAGATGTGGCCTATTACGTTGTACTATTAACCAAATTTAAAGGTCAGCTAAATCTTCTGTGCCTTTGAGTTTAGGATGTTAAAATGTGTTTTTGAATTTGGACTAGCGGGGGAAAGCTAGACTCATCAGATACTTCAACTATGTTTGCTTTTACATGAATTCTTGTATATATAAAATACTTATTAAACAACTTTACAAGGTGCAAAATCCAAATGTAAAATGAATTTTCAAAAAGAATTCAAGGTAGACTTGCATGCAAGTTTATACGTTTCCAACATTGTGTGTATAGAAAATCGGGATATGATGTCAAAAAAACAAAACAAAACAAATCATAATTACGTAATTAGTACTCCCTGTGGTCGATTTGTTTTGAAGAGTGTGAAGAATGACAAGCATTCCAATTAAGAGAATCTATCGGATAAAGGGGAACGTAGGACCCACTTCAAACATCGACGACTAAGTACATTAATTAATTATAATAAATGTGATATATTTCTATATATTTATCTGTAGTTAGTTCAGTAACAAAATTACCCCCTCCATCTTTTCTATAGCCCGTGAGTTCAAATCGGATGCTGCAACAACAGTTCAACAGTTCAATACATACATTTTTGATTTGTGGATGCTATTATTGCCTAAGTGATATATTTTTCGTACGCAAGGGGTTTCTTTTTTATGATTAGACAAAAGTATAAGGGTTTATAAGTTATAATAACCCGACTGACTTATCAGTATCACTTGAAAACGAAAATGAAGAGATGAAAAACTGATGATGAAAGGACAGTTACATTTCTTTGACCGTAAAAGAAAAAGCTATCACGCACTAACTGGTCTGACAGTCTCGAGAAATGTGGTTACATTTCTCATTATTACATTCATTCTCATTTTCTTTTATTGTTGGTAATTTTTCAAAATATTTTGAATTTTTCTTTAGGCAACCTTTTCCTTTAAATTCCATAAAAAGCACTGAGAAGTAAGAAGTTGATTCAGTCTCACTCTAGCGTCATCAATGGCTTCAGTCACCAGCCTCTACCAAATTGCGTCCCTTCTTCTTCTTCTCTCTCACGCTTCAGGTTTTCTTTTCACTATTTTACATTCCTAGCTATAGATCTCTATTACTTTATGGCATTTGCTTCATTTTCGTCGATATAATATATACATATATGTACCTGCATAAATCAGGGTTTAGATTTTGTAGCTTTTTTTTTTAAATCGTGAAAAGATCTGTCTTTGATAAAAAAAAAAATGCACGTTTATTAGATTTGCAGATATCTAATCACATTAGCTTTGTTCTTCGTTGTGACCAGCTTCAACTGTAGTATTCTACAACAAATGCAAACACCCTGTGTGGCCAGGAATCCAACCCAGCGCCGGCCAAAACTTGCTCGCCGGCGGCGGATTTAAGCTTCCGGCGAACAAAGCCCACACCCTTCAACTCCCACCACTATGGTCTGGCCGTTTCTGGGGTCGCCACGGCTGCACCTTCGACAGATCTGGTCGTGGACGCTGCGCCACCGGCGATTGCGGTGGTTCCCTCACCTGCAACGGAGCCGGCGGTTCACCTCCGGCCACTCTCGCTGAAATCACGCTCGGCCAAGAGCTAGACTTCTATGACGTCAGCCTCGTTGATGGGTGTGTAAATATAATTTTTTTCCATTTTTGCTTCCTTTTTCACAAATAATAAAACTCTTTTTCTGAAATTTGGTTGTGTTTGTGTGTAATGACAGTTATAACTTGGCGATGTCGATAATGCCAGTGAAGGGTTCAGGTCAATGTAGCTACGCCGGTTGTGTAAGCGATCTAAACCAGATGTGTCCGGTTGGGTTACAAGTCCGGTCACGTAACGGGAAACGGGTAGTAGCCTGTAAAAGCGCATGCTCTGCCTTCAACTCACCACAGTACTGTTGCACCGGCTCCTTCGGTAACCCGCTCTCCTGCAAGCCAACGGCTTACTCCAAAATCTTCAAGGTCGCTTGCCCTAAAGCTTACTCCTACGCTTACGACGACCCAACCAGCATCGCCACTTGTTCCAAGGCGAACTACATAGTCACCTTTTGCCCTCACCATCGCCGTTAAATTATTACAATCAAGAAAGAAGAGCATTTCTCTATTAGCAACAAATCTTGTTATGTAGTAGTAATTCGGAATCTTTAGTTTCTGTCTCTACATTTGTAACACTCTTGAAATGCAAGCAATGCTATATTAATATCGTTGGAACCCCCCACTTAGTGCTGCGCCTTGTGAGTCTATGACGAGCGTTCGTTTCAACTTTCATAGAGCTCCCTGCTCTGTTAAGAGTGTTCCACTGCACCAATGTGTATATGGCCTGTAGAAATGAACAACAGTTACTGGGCTTTCACAACTGAAGTTCATAGATTGTTTATCACAGAAATAAAAGTAATGAAGAACCATCCTGTTCTGTAACCTATAAGCTCATCCTTCACAAGTCACATCCTTCTCAAGTTATACACTTGTGATGAGCTCAGTTCAAAGTCCATTTAATTTGAAGGCCCAAGTCCATAAACACGAAGAAAAAGAATCCAAGCCCAAGTCATTCAAAATAGAAATTCTATTCGCGGATAGAAAATTCGGTGAAGAATGTAATCACTAGCAAATGAATGTAATCAGGACAATTCCAGCTCAGACAAGCTATATTATAATACTTATTCCAAGCTCAAAAACTTTACTTTTTACACTTTTTCTTTATTCAAAGTATTGCTCCAATTCGGAATTGATGAATTGAATTGATCTAAATAGTGTTCCAATTAGTAATTAACGGTATCTTACGTGAAGTAATAACCAGTCCATTAACAACTAACAGGAATGAAACAGAAATCTAACCCTTGTGGTTTGATTAGGAGAAGGGAATCGACATTTGCAAAGGGTGTAATGTAGAATACATCTAAAGTTTTGGATTAATATGTAATATACAGAATTATTGATAGTTAAAAAAACTGACCCCACTGGTATAATTATCACACCGCGTAAAGGAGAGCGTGTGTACCTCTGACGTGTTCACCGCGTTGGATTAAGACACATTTCTCCTCAGTCACCACGACTCGCGTACCATATTTCGCGTCAACTGCCTCTTCCTACTTTTCTTTTGATGGATTTACAATTATTACTTGTAATTAAATACTGTGTATGATGACTAATATCTTAATTACAATCAATATTTTTACAGTATTTGTTAAAGTCGTATTAGTATTATCAATGATAGTTTTAAGACTCAATCAGCTAATGAATTATATGAAGACTTTGTCTGTTTAACAATAGTTTACTACTATTACTATTATCCTTTTCAAGAAAGAAACAAAAGTTTAGTAGTAGTAGACTATTACTGAAACCCAAAGATTATGATAACTTAATTGCTGGGGTTTTGCCTTTTCGGGAGGTTATCTACTATTTGAATAAAAATTCTTAAACAAATGAAAATCTCATGAAGGCACGTGACACATGGTGGCTTGTTCTCTAAAGTTTAAACCATAGCTCTGTTCGTTTATAATCAGCGGCAAAATGCTATCGCTGCGTTTAAACATTTTAGATGCCAAGAAAAATCAGTGATACGGTTATAATCTGCAGCTGCAGCTGCAGCCTGTGGTTAATTATTATTTATTTTATTACTGTAGGTATTTGCAGTTGCAGCTGCAACTATAATTTGTAACTGTGGTTATGAAACAAATAACAATTTATTGTTGCGGTAGCGGCTGCATCTATAATCTATAGCTACGATTACAAAACGAACAATAATTTGTTATTATGGCAGCGGTAATGGCAACGGCTGCGGCTGCGACTACAAAACAAACAACAATTTACGGTAATATTATTTTGTTGCTGTCACTGCTGCAGCCGCATGCGGCAACCAAACGAACAAAGTTCGTATAACACGTTGAAAGGGTAATTATTTATAATTATCATATATATCTTTTTTATAGCTGACAAAAAGAAAGCTGAAAACAAAAATGAAAATTTCAGCTGATACAATTTGTAAATGGGTTAATCAAAAAAAAATCACGGAGTAATAACAAAATCCGGAGACTAATTTTACTATGAAATGAGAGATTAATTACATAAGATCCGATTCCAATTTTATAGTATAATTGATGGTTACCAAAATACGTGGCTTAGTGGTAGAAGAAAGGCATCTATAAGGTCTATAAAAAGGTCAAACTCAGCAGCTACACCCACAAGCCTCCAACCAAAATTGCTCCAAATCCTTTTCTCTCTCTCTCTCTCTCCCCACCTTTAACGAAAAATGGCAAGTGCTAATCCTGAAGCCGCCAAATCCACGCCTGCATCGGTGGACATGGCGAACCCGGAGGAGCTTAAGAAGGTTTTCGACCAGTTTGATTCCAACGGCGACGGGAAGATCTCGGTGGGTGAGCTCGGTGGCGTTTTTAAGGCCATGGGGACATCGTACACGGAGACGGAACTCAACCGCGTGCTGGAGGAGGTCGATACCGACCGCGACGGCTACATCAACGTCGACGAGTTCTCGACCCTCTGCCGCTCCTCTTCCACGGCATCCGAGATCCGCGACGCCTTCGATCTCTACGATCAGGACAAAAACGGGCTGATCTCCGCCGCCGAGCTGCACCAGGTCCTTAACCGCCTCGGGATGTCCTGCTCCGTCAAAGACTGCACTCGGATGATCGGGCCTGTGGATGCTGACGGCGACGGGAATGTCAACTTCGAAGAGTTTCAGAAGATGATGACGACGTCCTCCCTCATCAGCAGCAACAACGGATCCGCTCCTGCTGCGGCGAACGGAGGTTCGGCCTAGGGTTTTAGATTTGTTCAGTCTTCCGTATCTAAGATTCTCTAAAAACTGGTTTATCCGTGGGAATAATTGCGAGCTATGCTTTAGGGTCTGCTTCTAAATGTGATAAAGCCTAACTTCGATCCATCTCTCTTCTCCACTTAGAGGATGGAGATTTAGGTCTGCTGCATATGGATATATCCTTGCTTTGTTCAAACGATTTTACTTTCCTAATTTTGAATCACTTTCGAATTAATTTTGGCATAGATTAGGTTTTCTGCGTCTAAAATAGTAATCAAACAGGACAATTTTTTTAAAAAAGACTTGATGATATTGATTCGTAAAATAACATTTTAAATTTCGGTTTTCGTGAATTTTTTTTGTTTTCACACTCGTGAATTTACTACACATTAAATTGAAGATCTGGTTTCAATGAATGCTGCACTTATTAAAGGCTTCTATCGAGGCGTAAATTTATAATCGTTTCCTAAGTTGGTATTTTCGCTTCCTTGTTCAGTTGTTCTATTAGATGCCCGTTTTCCGACGTATATATAAAATAACAGTGGTAATAACTAATAAGTACCTTATTTAAAACAAAATATGTGATTGAGAAAGATTCCATTTGGCAAAAAGAAGCAAAATTCCAAAGCTAAACAATTAAAAAGAAAAGAAAAAAAAGATGAACCGTATGGTGTTGGGTACAAAGAAAAAAAGACGTCTACGTCTGCGAATCGTATTCCGCGTTAGTGTCTCAGTCTACTCCGTCGAGTATAAGGAATAAAATGGCATTAAGAACAAACTTGGGCTTGTTTGTGAAAACTCAAGCTCTTGATGCCCATTTTGGGCCCAATTAGTTATTTTGTGTTACAAGTCAAACCTAACGCTGAGTGAGTTTGGTAAAATGTCAAAACTCAAACGTACATGCACATGATTGAGCTTTGTGAATTATTATGACTTGAGAACCTATAAATAAATCTAAGACAATCACAACTTTTAACTTAGTAGCATAACAAGAAGTTAATGTAAATAAAAGGCACTATATTATTATAACTAACAAATAAACAAACGTAGTTGACAAAAATATATGTATGACAAAATTCTTGGATTGTAATATGTCCAATCTCTTTCAAGCCTCTTTTATCTTTGTATACACTATCTCAAAAAATCATTTCGCCCTCGTTTAATATATATATATATATATATATATTGTCGCAATCATATGACACTGATTTTTAAAATCGTACACAAATTCAATAGATATAGGCATATATATGAAATGGAGACTTTCTTGATATATTCTTATACACAACAAAAACCTTTCTCCTTCAGATTTTCATGTCCGATCGTCGATCTTCTTCCTTTTTCTTCGATTAACTTACATAGACCCTAATCAAACCGGAGCAGTACTGTATATAACATGGCAGAGGAATCGTACGACGAAGAGTGCGACTACCTCTTCAAGGCGGTGCTGATAGGAGACTCCGCCGTCGGAAAATCAAACCTCTTGTCGAGGTTCTCGAGAGATGAGTTCCGGTTAGACTCTAAACCGACCATCGGAGTAGACTTTGCTTACCGCAACGTTCGCGTCGGTGATAAGACCATCAAAGCTCAGATATGGGACACTGCCGGCCAAGAAAGGTACCAAAATTCAACCTCGAAGATTTATACATATAAATAGTATGAAAACCGATGCTATAATGGAACTGATGATTAAGATATAATCAGAATTTATCTGTTTAACGTAAGACTATACATCATTGAATCAAGATTTGATGATGAAAAATACTTCTTTTTTTCCCTTTTTATTTTTAGTGTATACTAAATCTAAGAAGACGTCAATTTTGGTTAAGTTCTTCTCGTCGTGTGAGTCTTCATGTTAGGTAAATATGTGAAATACAATAGAAAGATATCGAATTATTAAACAAATATTGGGATAATGATTAGGAAAAGAGATCACGCGCAGAAAAAAAAAAAATGAAAATCTTGATAAGCAATCAATGTCACGCGGACCTAATCTTAGTTATATGTCGCAACCTTTTTTGCATTTTTGTTGTCGTTGTTGTTATGTGAAACGAATTCTGTTTATGTCGACCATTTCTTATCTTCTTTTAAGAATTGAAATATAACTACTTATATTTAACATTCTACGTTTTTTTTTTATGATAATCATTGTTTTTTGTTTGGGGAAACAAGATTTCGAGCAATAACGAGTTCGTATTACCGTGGGGCTTTAGGAGCTTTACTGATCTACGACATCACAAGACGACAAACTTTCAAAAACGTACCAAAATGGTTGTCGGAACTCAGAGACTTCTCGAGTTTCGACACCGTCGTTGTTCTCGTCGGTAACAAATCCGATCTCAGGCAGTCAAGAGAAGTTGAAGAGGAAGAGGGTAAGACTCTAGCTGAACTAGAGGGTCTCTATTTCCTGGAAACATCGGCTTTAGAGAACCAAAACGTTGAAGAAGCGTTTCTCAGCATGATCGGACGGATACATGAGGTTTTGATACAGAAGATCGCTTTAGACAACAAATCTAATGGTGACGGTAATGGTAACAGCACGAGCATTCCCGCCGGTAAAGAAATCGTAAATATTCACGAAGTAACCGCCACTCGACCGTTGAGTACTTCTTTCTCCAATTGTTGTTTCAAGTAAAATATCTATATTTTTGTCCAAGAACTATATATACATTTTTTAGTTTTTGGATATTTGATGATGTAATTTTGTAATTGTTGAAATTTTGACTTGGCTGGATTTATTTCTTTTACTATTCTCATATAATTAATTACATTTTAACGTACGACCACACAAAATGAACCAAAAGACAAATGAATCGAAAACCGGAAAATACAACCGCGAATTCGGTTTGGGTTAGTGTGGAGTCTCTTTCTGGATTTGCTAATTTAGCTACGTCACCGACTCGTCACTGTAACATTTCGCCCTCTTCTTCTTCTTCTTCTTCTTCTTCTTCTTCCTCCTCGTGTTCTCTGATGATGGAGCTGTACACTTTGGGTTTGAAAAGTTGCCGTTTGGATCTTTAACTTGCTCTCTTTGTAAAGGTCAGTGAAGAAAATGGCGAATTGGATCTCGTCAAAGCTCAAAGCCGCCGAAACAATTCTTCAACAGGTGAGATGTCGAATCTCAGTACTCTTTCTATTTGTTTGCATAGTAAACGGAAGGGAATTTCCATGGAATTATCCGATTTCGAAGTCATTGTTCTAGTTAAGTTTCGATCACCATGTTTTGGACGGTTTTCGTCGCGATTCTCTATCTTTCCGTTGATCCCGTATAAAATCTCTCCCTGGAAAATGCGAAAAAGTATTCATATGAAGGTTTCTCTATTGGAAGTAAACAATTTCTTCCTGGATTAGGATCTCTATCTCAAACGAGACGTGATCTAGGCTTGAACTAATTTTAAAAATCAATTGGCAATGTTGTTGTTTGTTACACCATCTGTTTATTGAAATGTCTCGAGAAACAATCACCAGTTTCTGCGTCTACTCTCTCAGAGTCTTACGTTCTTGTTGAATCTGGAGATGAATCAAGCATTCTTGATTTCGTTCCACACTAATCGAGTTTATATGCACCAAGTTTAAATAATGGAACTTAATTGATTTATAGTAACTTGGCTAGGAAAATCATTTTATGCTAATTGGGGATTGTGTAAACGGTGCATTTTCAGATTGATCAGCAGGCAGCAGAGTCTCTTCGAAAGGATGAGAAGTCTGAGACCCATGACGAGGTGTTTGAGACCTCTTCCAAATCTGGAAGTCCGGTTTCTTTGAAAGATCAATTGAGGAAGAAAACATATGAAGGTAGTGATTATGGTGGTGCTTCTCAGAGAAACTCAACAGAGCAAAGACCTAGCTACTCAAGTAGCAGTAAAAATATACGCAAATCAGATCGATCCCAAGAAGGGACTAGTTCGCCTTCACAAAGTTTGACACAAGAAGAACCTGCACTCGCTGACAATGACTGGACGGAGCTTCTGAGTACTCCAAATCATGGGACCAGCACTTCTAAGCCTCGTACTTCCTCTGGAACATCTGTGATTCGGGGACTGAAGAAGGATGTAAAAAGGCAAGGGAGTTTTGGGAAAAATACTTTGGTATCTGATGGAAAGAAGAGTAGTGGTAATGTGGTTGGCTCCAGAGGGAGGCCACAAAGACAGCCCAATAAGGAGCCAAGCGACAAGGAAGTGTCCAGCCCTTCTGATGCTGACATGGAAAATAAGAATGCTTCTCAGGATATATTTGTGAAGTCAACTCACAAAGAGAGTGAGAAGGATGTCAGTCCTGAGCCACCTCCCCTGGATGACTCCACAAGATCGACTAGTGAGACGTTCACTAGGGAAAAGCTATCAGATGTAAGGAAAAAAGATGTTCGTGAGCCCGGAAGAAGTGCTGTATGGGGAAAGCAGGTGAGGGGAGAAGTCCCGCGGAGCGATGTTTCTGATGGTCTAAAGAGGAAGGATTCTTCTTTGTCAAGTGATGAATCTGAATCAGATTATGAGTCTGATTCGAGCACTGACTCTGAGAGGGAGCGTCAGAGGGATGAGCGGAGGAGGAGAAGAGAGAAACTTTTTGCTGAAAAAGTTGCGACAAAAGCTGTAGCGGTCATCAAAGAGCGAGAGAATATGGTAGCAAGACTTGAGGGTGAAAAACAGAGTTTGGAGAAAATAGTCGAGGAACGAGCTAAACAACAGGCACAAGAGGTAACAAATTTAAGATTGCTCTTGGACTTTGTTGTGAGAAAATGGAAGCATGCGTATTACTTGATATACGGCCTGCTTATTATTGTTGACACTAGCACAACACTAATTGTTCTCTTGGGTCTGAACTGTAAAAGATATATGATAGTTGCGACCACCTATAATATGATTTGATATTCGTATTACTGGAGCTAGATGAACTAAATATGCTGTGTTTGTCCTATTTTGCTAGGCTGCGGAATTGCAAACAAACATGATGGAAACACTGGAAGCTGCTGACCTTGAAAAACAGAAGCATAACAATACTAGAATGGAAGTTTTTTCACGCTTGGCAGGATTAGAGGTAACTACAGAATGCAGAATTTGTTTCCCGACAGTTTAAAAATTGATCTTAGTGTTGTCACCTTTAAGTGGAACAAGGTGATTTGATTTTCTGATTTGAACATTAAAAATGGAACATTCTAGGCCGCAAACGCTGAACTTACGAGATCGCTCGCTGCCGGGCAGAAGAAGCTTGAGACTCAGGTATAGAGATTACTTCATTTGATTGAAGAATAATATAGGTTAAGAGGTTCATGATCGTTGTTGTTACTGAAAGATTTAGTTCGTCTGATGCAAAGGAAGCTTGAATCAAGGTTTTAGAACAACCAACTTCTATATCTGCATTTGTTTACTAATGTCTTACGTTTCTGATGTGGCCAGATAGATCAGGTAGCAGTGCTCCGAGAACAAGTTGAGCTTAAAGAGTCTGCTCTTGAAGGTATAGGTTCTTTCTTCGAGATTTATAATAGTTACTAATATGTTTTAAAGACTTACCTCTTATAGATAGCTTCTTCTACTCCAAATAACTCTATTTTGCTGCTCATAGTCATTTGGGGAATAATCATAAATCACTTCTCTATCATAGCTATTTTTCTAAAAAATGCGTTTGTCATGTAGGACTGAAGCGAAAAACTTCTAATATCCGGGGAAGTGGAAATCTTTTAGCTAAGGTGCCTTGATTCTTCCTTTTTTTCTCCTTAATTATTATTCAATTTCATCGTGGACATGTTTCTCTCTTTTTGGTCTGAGAATCATGCTGCTTACATGTGGGCTATGTAGTTAGATGCTTCTAGAGGAGACATATTCGAACACCAGATGCTTGAAGCAGAGATTTCTTTGCTGACTGATAAAATCGGGCGGTTGCAAGATAAGGTTAGCTACCACAGTTGTCTGGCTGTGAAATTTTCCATGTCAATATATGTGATAGAGCTTCTGGGATGGTTTTTCTTCAAGATTTTATCCACTATTCTCTTACGTTTTTGACATTGATTCCTTGTTAAAATCACAGGCAAATAAACTGGAAGTAGACATCAAAACGATGAGGAAAGAACTGGAAGAACCAACGGAAGTGGAAATTGAACTCAAACGAAGACTTGACCAGCTAACTGACCATCTTATTCAAAAACAAACCCAGGTATATCTACATTTGAAATCGAGAAGAACTCAGACAAAACTAATATAAAAACTTGCGTCTCTCTTTGCCAACTTTACCAGGTTGAAGCGCTTTCCTCAGAGAAAGCAACTCTCTCCTTTAGAATCGAGGTACATTGATGAATCCCACCGAATCTGCTCCCAAAACATAAGTTATGTTCTTCACTTACACACACACAACCCAATTTTGACTCTTTGCCAGGCCGTATCAAGGCTTATAGAAGAAAACAAAGGTATGTCTGCGACGGAAGCCTTGTCCCAAGATCTTGAAGCAGGAGAGTGGGAACTCTCAGGATCAAAGTTTAAGCCAGTCTTCCAAGATAAAATCCGGTCAGGCAAGAAACATTTAGGATGGTTAGTGATGCAGCTAAACGCGATATTCGTCTCGGGAACTGTCTTCTTGCGTAGAAACCCGACCGCCAAAATCTGGGCTTTGCTCTATCTTGTTTGCCTTCATCTCTGGGTATTCTACATCTTACTCTCTCATTCCAATGCTTCTTCTTCAAGTGAACTCAAATCTGGTGCTGTGATTTCCTTAGAGAACTTCAGTAATAGTTCCCTTCGATAGCGTTTTTTCGGTAGAGTAAGTAACGGATCAAAGAGATGACCTTTTTGGATCATTTGTAATGTTTTCTTTCCAACATTATTTTAGAGCTTGATTTGAATTATTATTGTATTATCAATAAATGTATCAATCACGTTTCACAATTCTTCAAAGACAAAACAAGAATCTATACAAATAGAGAGTGTGGTCATGAGAGAACACAGCAAATGGGGATAAAAACTGTAACCATCTCTTTCCCTCTCTCTCTCTCAGTCAATGCTTCTCTGGTTCTTCTTCTTTGAGTTTCCTCTATCCCTTGCGCGTGATAAAAATGCCAAAAGCTCATAAGCAAATGTAAACGAAAAGAAGATGAATTCATCATATCTTCAGGAGACTCACCAGACTGTAGTTTCTTGAGGGAGATTACGGCTGTACAATGGAAACTCGAAGAAAAAGACTGTTTTACACCATTTTGGCAAGTACCCATACACTCCTTGCGGTAACAGAATCAGGGGACTGTAACACCAAATATCCACAGATTCAAATTGAAAGACAGAACACTTAGCTCTTACTACACATATCAAAGGCCAGTAACGGTGTTAAAGGAGCTCGTATGATACCTGGTTGTCTTCTTATAGTGTCTATAAGCTCCCAAGTTACCGTATTTTTTGTCCGCCGATGCCTGCATTAATGTACATAATAAGAATGTTGACTTCTGCTCCGTGATTCAGAGAGAGAGAGAGAGAGAGAGAGAGGGAGAGGACCTCGAGTAATGGTATGCCGCTAACGAAGAAAAGCAGCAAAGTGAGAAAGATTGGTCCCAATATGACAAGGTACTCTGCACCTTTAAGAACAGGCAATGAAGCCACATATATGCCCCACCAGACTAACATCTGCAATTCATAAATCACCCCGCATCAATGTTCTTTTCGGATTTCTTCAAAATTCAATGTGTGAATTGATCAAAGTTCTCTACCAGCAAAACACTAACCTCACCAAAGTAGTTTGGATGGCGTGAATACTTCCAGACTCCAACATCGCACCATCTTCCTTTGTTTTCTTGACAATTCTTGAATGAAAGCTTTTGCTGATCAGCTGTAGCTTCAATCAAGAACCCTGCAACCCACATCGTCCAACCTATAACATCCGCGGGCTGAAACAATCTTCCACCGTTGCTTGCATTAACCAAAGTAACTGGTAAACTAACTGTCCAAACCCACACCGCCTAGCAAGGGTAAAAGAAACAAAACCCACATGGATGTTAGTTAGATCATAAGCATCCGACTTCTCTATCTTTTAAAGATGAATATTGAAAAACCAAAGCTTGTGGCTCACCTGAAGAGTCCAAAAGACTACTAGTTTCCCAATATTCCCACGCATTTCATCAAAGCGTCGATCTTCACCCCATTTCAAGATCCTATTCACAGTTAGAATGTCACACACATGACTAGAAAACTCCATTCACTGTTACGTATGAATCATGGCGCACAGCAAATATGATTTAACAAATGATTGGTTATCGAAGTAAGGGTACAGACCTCATTAGGAGGAACAGTCCCAGACGAAGTCCCCATATGACTACTAGCGAAGTCAAGAGAATCTGGGAGAGTAAAAGAATTGAGCCAATATTATACAGAATCAAGCAGAAGAACTCAATGCACAAGCAGAAGAAACAAATTCAAGAGGGATTAGCTCAGAGTGGTGTTGTGAGAAACAAGAGTTTTTAAAAACCTGACGAAAATGCCATGTCCCTTTGAGAACCAGTGTCAATACAGCAAGTATCACGAAATTAGTACTTCCTGAGAACATGGTTGAGTCACATACGTTAGCAAAAGTCCGTCGAAATGAAAAAACTTTACACATTCTCGTAATCACAATCGGAAGAAGAAAATGAGAATTGTTATTTAGATCAGCGTACCGGCAAAGTCCGTAACTTGATCAAATTTGAAGAGAGCTGTGATTACGAAGAATATGAATTGATAACCCACCTGCCAGAAAACGCGAAATTAGGGAAAACCCAATTCGTGATTTCTCCAGAACGAAAAAGAAACGATTGCAGCAAAAGCACAATACTTACGGTGACAATGGCGGTGATGGCCAGGTAGTGGGAATCCATTATTTTCGCCATTCTCTCCGACGATAGCTATCGCCAATGGATTGTTTTGTATTCCTTTGAAGAGAAGCGATTCCAGGGCAACTTAAAGATTTCACAAAGTCGCCGTCTTTTGAAATGCGATTGGGTGAGGTTCTGATGAATTTTATGTGGTTGCGAATCTTACAATGTTTGACGCGCAATTACACATGTTTCACTCAGCAAAGAATCATCCCATGAATTTTTGCCAACGACTTATTCAATAAATGATGACTTCTATAAGATCGATGCCTCATAGATTTCGAAGGGATTGTATGTTTGATCATTTATACACGAAAGACCATTCGTCAAGAGATGATTACCTTGAGATCCTATGCACATCTATATAGCGAAAAGTTTGCAACTTTGAGTACTCTACACTCTTCCCTCCATACTCTCTCGCTCTCATACAAACAATACAACCCATTAAAGGATTTGTTGACAAGAGACCAAAAGCTCTAGAACTCAAGCAGGAGCAATCGAGACTCTATCAATCTCAACTATGTATTCCAGAGAAGCAGAAGGCGGTATCTGCAAACCCGATTCCAGTTCAGCACCGTCTTCTCCAAATCCTAAAGATGGTGGAACAATCACTCTTCTTTTACCTCCAGCCTTCATCGACCGTAGAACATAGTCTACGCCTTCGCATAATCCTTTGCTATATGGTTTTGAACCCACCACAAGGGCCAATGGCTTCTTCTTGTCTTTGCTTCCAAACGTGTCCACAAACACTTGTCCGGTTCCTTGCACTTGTCCCTTTAGTCCAATCACTACCAAATCACCTGTTCTTGGTGTTGCTCCTCCTCCAAGCCGTAGATCATAGTACCTGCAACAATGAGAACCAAGACTTGATTGGAGAGCTGTCTGATATCTTCCCATTGTTACATCAATGGCTTAGAAATGCTATGCACTAAGAAGGGACGCAGAGAAAGCATACAAGGCGAATTGTACCTTATGCCGTTGGGCAGGACAACCTCTTTCTCTTCTTGTACGTCTCTGCAAATCCACCAACAGAAGAAGAATCTTGTGAGAGTGATAACACCTCAGATTGGATCATACGTATGCGCTATAAAATCCAGATCATTATCGTTGGATTGAAAAATTTCCCTTTTTTAAAAAATGTGAGTTTGAAAATGAGAGTGGTGAAACCTTGTGTTAGCTTCTTGCTGAGAAACCTCAATCCGTGTCTTGATCTGCTCGGAGACGACGCCGAAAGCCAAAAAACCGGCCCAGGCAAGACCCGCGCCGATTCCGAACCGCCGCGTCAATGAAGAAGCGACCCAATCCGTCGTTTCGACGCTCTTCTTCCTCTTCTGTTGAGATGCGACGGGTTGCTCCGTCGAGGCCGCGCTTATCGATTGAGACGGAGGAGGAGAAGACTCTGGCGGAGCTGGAGGGTTCTGCTCCGGTGGACTGGAAGAAGAGGCGTAACATAGGTGGTACGGTGCTGTTTTGGCGAAGGGCTGTGAGAGGAAAGGAGCCCTAACAGTGAATAGATTCGCCATTTTCGAGCTCTAATACATAGACGCTATCTTGTTCGTGTGATGTATTTTGAAGACAGAAAAGGCGAACCAAGTATTCGATTGTCTGTTGTCGTCCAATGTCATATAACGAAAAAAATCAAATTAATTATATTTTGTATCAGGAAAAATACATTCGGGTAACGGACGTTTCTATATGCCAAGAAAAAAAAACAGAACAGTGATTAAAATTAAACATGATCGTGTAAAGTTCCCTGGTGGGTCTTTTGTTTCGAAGAAAGCAAGTGATCAATTCTTTTGAATTTCGTATATAAGAGAAATGAAATTTCAATTCTCAATTCTTTTACCACAATTTTCTTTTCCTCATTTTTTTTTTTTTTTACAGTTTGTAAGCAGAGCATGGCGAAATTACACATGAACATCACACCACACAAGACATGCAAAGAATGATCCCACTAATCACCATCACCATAACCATCATTTAGTCATCTTCTCAAATCTATTATTGTTCCTGCTCAGTGATCAGTGAAGAACTGGGAACTGCTCTCTGTATGTTTGGACTCGTTATAGGTTTCTGTAGCTGCTTCAGAGAAGCCATGATCTCTGCAAAACTTGGTCTTAACCTCGGATCCCTGTAAAATTAAGATAATAACCATTACAGATCAGAGCTAATTCCATCAACACAGAAAATAATCGATTCAGAATCATCATTCTACAACAAAGGTGGCTCTTAACACTTACGTCTGCCAACATTTTCTGATGATATCAGCAATTCCAGGATCCACAAAATCAGGGATTTCAAGTCGTCGATGTTGAAACCCAACCGCGCCAACAACTTGCATTGGGTTCATCTTTCCCCATGGCTGCTGTAACGTAAAGAGTTCCCAGAGAATGACTCCGTAGCTGTACACATCACACCTGTTTTACACATTATGGACCTGCTTCTTAAAAGGAGAACGATAAGGTAGAAGCATGTTTATTCGGGTAAAGAGCTTTAAAAAAACTCCTACTTTTCATCCGCGGGTTCGTTTCTAAGCACTTCTGGAGCCATCCATTCAGCCTGCAATAAGCAAACACTAAATCAAACCTAGCCTAGATCAATGAACTGCCAAGTAAGACATCATGTTCTTTCTGATTAAACCACAGGAGAACACAAAATCTATTCCTCCTCCTGATGAACTAGTAAATTTCTTCCAGCAGCTTACCGTGCCTGCTGTTGACTTTGAAGAGAGGTATGTGCTTAGTTTCATTCTAGACAATCCGAAATCGCACACCTGAGAGGTATGTAAGCAGTTAGAGAAACGATAACATAATCTTGGTCGGAGAGAAAACGAAATTGGAAAAGGAAGAAATATACTGACCTTGACAACCCAGTTTTTGTCAACTAGAAGGTTTGGAGATTTGAGATCACGATGGACAATTACCGGATTACAGCTGTGTAAATAGTTCATTCCACGAGCCTACAAAGATTGGATTTTTTTGTTTGTAAGAAACAATCAAAAGGATACAGACAGATTCTGGAGGTAAAAGCAGGAAGAGAAATGAGTAATAATACAGCATCAAGAGCCATCCTCAGACGCTTTCGCTCATCTAATTGGTTATTTGGCCTGTGGATTAACCTATACAAGCTACCTCTGCACAAGCAAAATTTTCTTCAAATTTGAGGCAGGGATAGTTATCATTAATGGATGGGGCAGGGATAGTTATCATTAAAGCCAATCATATAGCGTGAAAACAGTTGAATCACGAAAGGAGCAAATTAATACCTAGGAAGAAATTCTGTAACAATCGAGAGGTTTGGTGGGCGGGTTACAGCTCCCATGAAGAGAACAATGTTAGGGTGTCTGAGCCTTCTCATCATCAGGACCTTGCATCGAATTGAAATGAAATGTTACAAATCTGTCACTTAGCGGTTAACGTTTGAAATTTTGAAAGAGTACAAGAATTTCCAGAAAGGAAAGGCTTGTACCTCACTTCTGAATTCCTCCAGTGCCTCTCCGGTAATATCTTGGTCAATGAACTTCTTGACAGCCACTGCCTACCAAATCAAGAGTTCCATCGTTATTGACATGATAAGAAAATTAACCACTTCTCTATCGCTGTCAGCCAATTAGTAAGTTTGAAGTTATAAACAGAGTTACATTGCTACTGTAATAAGCTAAACAAATAAGAGATACTCACAGTTCCATGCCAATCTCCTCTATACACCTCTCCGTATGATCCTGGATAAAGAAAGGTCAATCTAAAATACTTATTTGGTGTAGCATTAGTTATATTAAATTGTATAGTAGAGCATAAGTCAGTACCCAGTCCGATACGCTCAGCCACAGTAATTTCCTCCCACAAAATCTCGCATTCAGCCACATCATCAATTGCAGCATCAGATTTTGAACTTTCATTGCCAGTAGATCGGTCGGATATTCTTTCTCCTCCTGAATTTGGCCCGTGAAGCCCACCAGAACCAGCATCCCCATTGCTTTGTGAATCTAGTTCAAGCTGCCTGCTCACTGCTGCAGCTGTCGCCACAACTGCAGCAGCAGCTGCTGCAGAAAGTTCTAAGGTGGAGGATTCTGAGTTTGCTGACTTGGCGGCAGCAACAACCATGGAAGATGCAACAACAGCCGCTGCAGCTACGGCAACAGGAACATTTCTGGGATAGTCAGTAGATGCTTCAGAATGCGAGGAATCAGATAAATGACCGAGTCCAGGTCCTGGATGTTCACGTAGGTCATTAGTATTTGCTTTAGCTTGCGGTCTTGGGAGTGGAGGCAAAAACCTCACAGGACCAAGATTGCTCTGGTTTCTCCCTTGTTGAATTGCTCTATAATCTTTCCCTTTCTCATCACTAGATTCAGCCACAGATTTGATATCAACTGTTGCCTCCATTGACTCTGAATAAACTTCCGAAAATAAATTTCGAGGAGCAACAACTCCACTTTCAAGTAACACATCATGAAGCTTCTGAGCTAGCTGTGGATTCTCTTTGGCAGCATCGATCATATATTGTGAAACATCTTTGACTTTCATCCTGCGTCCAGCTGGAGAGCTAACACCTTCAGTCCAAGAAGGTGATCTGGCATGAGTAAAAGGATGAGCAGGCTTGCTGAAAAGATGTTGAACTGGAGCCTTGTGACTTCCCACAACTTCCCTAAAAATATTTGGACGAATCATGAGATCCCCTCCACATTCAGATTGCTTTTCCTCTCGGGAACCCTTGGTCCTAGAGCGATGTTCCGCTGACCAAGATTCTGCGTGCTCTTCAAATGAGCTCTCGACCCCACTGCTGGAAGAAGCTACATGAGATGAATCAACGTCTCTGGGACTAGCACAAAAGACAGAATCATCATAGTCCAATTGTAGTCCAGCTGCATCAGCGGGAATTAGCGTGCCTGGATCTCCCATGAGATCAACAATATACTCCCTGAAGTTCACATTTCCATTCGTTAGGGACAATCTCTTGCAACTGTAGACCGTAATTGTAGGAGAAATAACCACATTACAATCACGAAACACACTTAGTCCTACTTTTAATTCTCAGTGGTAAGTTGCATAGACTAAGAAAGTTCATTGTATCTAGCCACTGCATTACTTTTGACCTTTTGAGAGATGCAAGTTAGCTATATATAACACACACCCAGGTCCTTGTGAACCAATGTTCACTCTTACACATACAAACATTTTCCTCTATTTATAGATACATGACAATTTTATTTTAATTCGAAGGTCACCTGCCATCATCAGTCTTAATGGAGTTCATTGCCACATCATCTGAACCGGTATATTGCTGTCCTTTGACTATTCGACAAGGGACACCGACACTATCACACAAAACCTACAAAGTCTCATAAGAAAGAAGAGACAAAACACCACACTGTATTTTAGAGGTGCAAGAAGCTTTGTATGTGATACGCAAAAAGTCACACAAAAATACAAACAAGGGACTTTTTCATAACATTTAACTGAACATGCACCAAATTAGCAAGAAACTCCAACAGTAACGAGATAAAAAAATAATTTCGCCTCTTGTGCTAATTTTCACACAAAGCAAAAGAGTGAGCAGGGTACATACTTTGAACAACAAGGCACGATGACGAGCCAATCCAATAGTTAGAGAACCCAGGGGCAAAACCATGCTACAGAGGGTTGCTTTCAAACTGTAGCTCAGACTCCACCAAGCTCTTAATGTGCTATCTGGGTCCACAACTGGTCCACCCATGTAATCTCCAACTAAAACCGCCAGTTTCCGTACCAATTCACTGTTCACAAAGCCGGAAGAAGACACTGACTTTGATTTAGCTGCAATGTCAAGAGCCATCTGTTCAAGTCTCAACAGATTAGAATCTTCGATTCTGTTCACTAGAACAGCTTCCCAATTTACACCGTCTGACACAAGTGTCCCCTGAAGATCAACTAAGGGAGGTATTCTTTCTAAGAGAGATTCATTCATTACTCCACACAGGTCATAGAAACCATCCACGATCTTGTCGTCATAGCCAAGACAGTTATAATTCTGCAAGTAAAAATTGGTAGAAAGAGTCCAAATTGTTAGTAGGGACGAGATGTTTCGGGTTAGACTCACACAACAGTGGAAATCTATAGTGAATAATCAACTAATCAGTTCTTGTTTCTAGCACAGCCGATATCACTTTCTAACGGAAACAATACGTTCGGAACAGTTTCCATTTCTACCAATGAGTCCCAAAAAACTCACCCAGTATCTATATGCCATGAGTTCAGCTGGTGAATTCTCGGGAGCAGGAGGGCAAGAACCTAAACTGAACTGCTTCATAGCCTCAATCTGAGCAGCTTCAGGATCCTCCCTAGCACTCAACTCTAGAGCCAACTGTATCTGATACTCTTCTTCAACCTCTGGATCCTTGGAGTTACTAGGACCCATATCTTGCAACACCGATTCTGACCCAACGGGAGCACCATGTTCCATGGCTGCTTCATCCCCTGTGATATTATTAACATTGGAAGAAGATGTTGGACTAGGGCTTTTTCTTTGAGCAACAGAGCTTAGCCAATTCGAGAAACCAGAAAAGGGTTTGAACTCAGGGTTGTTATGGCCATCGTGAGACCTCGCTGAATCTGAAGGAGATGGTTCTGCGTCACTCGACTTATTGCTCCTGTTTGAGATTGACCCTTCGCCGTCTTCTCGTTGTCTCGGCACGATATGCAGCTTTTTTAGAAATTTCTTCATGTTCATCTTCATGCTCCGAATGTTAGAGCAGCGAACACCTTCCCGTAAACTTCTCCATCCAGAGAAACGAGCTAAAACCCTAACACGACCCGAAGATCCGGAACTCCGTCCAGATCAACGGCTCGTCAAAACCTAATAACTGCAGCAGAAGATTCTCGAGAAAGCTTTAATCGGAATCCAAATCAACCAAGACTCCCTACGCCTCGAGAAAGATGAGATTTTCAAATCAAGCAAATGCCCAGAGTACCTTTTTCTCCGGATTTCAAAAGCTGATCAGACCCAGTAGCAGAAACAGATGAAAATTTCGAGCTTTAAGCAAGTAAACAAAGGCCCTTCCTTCGCTCTCTCTTTCTCTCTCCAGACTCTCCGTATTGAGAAAGTCCACAAGACGCCACTTTCTCTCTCTTAAAGTCCGACAAAAATCAACTAAAAAACTAACGTAAAACAGAGGAGTAGATACTAGAGAGTGGAATTTGAGCTGGAGACTTGAATTTTGTTTTGCTTTTTGCTACTCTTGTTGTTACATGCAAACAAAATTATAAAGTGGAAAAACACATTTTTTTTTACCATCGTGTGATTGGTATTGAAGATTTGTGGAAAATAAAACACGATTTTGCTACAAATTTTTTTTTTTCAAGGATTTTTTATTTTTTTGAATTTTGGATTTTTTTTTTGTTACAAAGAAAAATTAGACATCATTTTATTAGATGAATTCTTCTAATTTTCAGTATTTCTCATGCGTTTTGTAGAAGAACACAAATTGTTTTGTTTTGTTTTTTACTTTTTGTTGTTGAAAGCAAAGTACATCCGTAACTAAACTCAATTTTTTTTTTAACTATTCTATTTTGCACGATCAGCCAAACTTTTTGTTTTGTTAAAGCAAATCATATATATTAAAGCAATTTTAAAATTTATCTATTCAAATCGTTTTAACTTTGTTTTTTAATATATATAACTTGTAAACAAAAATAATAAATCGCAGAATTATCTATGATCGTGCTTTCCATATTCAGTATTCCTTCGCGTATTTGGATGACTACTATGTTTGATTGTTTATTTAAATAAAGTTTGAGTTTAGACTATAAAAAATGCTTCGGTCGCCACTTTGTGCATTATCCTTCATGACATATCGTAATGACTCTTTTAAAATTATATTTTATCGGATTATATATATATAGAAGAAGAGGAATCAATAGTCTCTATCCAGTAAAAAATAATACATCTTCCAAATTAATACCAATAATGTTGGGACCTTAAAAATTTATAAAAAAAAATATTAATTTATAATAATTATTAATTAATAAATATATTATTTGACTGATAAACTAATTTTAAAATTAACAAAAAAATATTAATTTATAAAAATTCTACCGTAATTTATAAAGAAAAATTATCCAACTGGATCATGCCATTAAATATTTAAAAACAACCTTTTATGTGGGTGATGCAAAATTGCAAATAGTGCAATAGTGGGCAAGAAGAGGCGGGTTTGACTAATTTGACCAAAGCACGTGGAACAGAAGCGAGACTATGTGCCACGTCACCATTATCCACAGAAAACAAAAAAAAAAGTATATATTAGAAACTCTCTTGCGCTCCAATTGGTTATTAGGCGCCACCCACGCAACTGTAGGGACCATCTATCAACCAATCAGTTTTCTTTCTTCTCACTCCCGCAAAAATGTTTAAAAGCGTTGACATTAAACCAAGTATTTCATGAAGGGACTAAACACAATTATGTATGATTAATAAAAATAAAACTATACGTTGCTCGTTTGTTTTTTATTTGGTTTTTTTTTTCAGTTTTTACTGTTTATCATAGTAAATGGGAGAACAAATCCTGTATAATTTTTAATATTTGGAATCGCTGCTAAGAGCCTATATATCCGTTAATTAACTTGTTTATAAGTTTCAATTAATGTCTCCCTTTGAAACTTAGAGCCATGAAGCAAAGAGTCTGAGTAGAGAAGTGAGATACTTCCTGTTTGCTAAAAGAAATTTACAGGAATTAGTAAAGGGAGAAAGTGGTTAAGATGGTTAAAGATTGAGGCTGGAGTCTTCAAGAGACCAACAACATATGTTATATTCGAGACAATTATATATGATGCGCCTTTGACCTTACATCTTAAGGGGATTGATAATTGTGTTGATTTTGGTCTGGAGACGATCAAAGAAAGCTTTAGTCTATATGCTAATTATTTTTAGTTTTCGTTTTCTTCTTTCTTATCATTTGAAATACATGTTTATACAAGTTTTTGCGTTTCTTTTCTGACTTGTGAGTCCGTACAAGTTTCAAACTGATTCAAAGGCAAAAAAAATTCAGTCAAACACCCAAGACCAAGGCTAAAAAGGGAATCTCAAAAAAGAAGAAAGAGATGGATGGACCAATGGTAAGCGAGGAGGAACGTCCATTTAAAGCTCAACAGCTCTTAACATTCATAAGTTTCTTACCTTAATTGTGTCTCTCTTCTATCTCCAAAAACCTAGCTAGAAAACATCTAGAAAAAAATCTCTGAAAGCTAGCTTCTCAACAATGATGAGGTCCTCATCAGCGACTTCTTTTGCATCAAAGAGGTGTCGAGCTCCGCAAGAGACGATCATACTCAAGATCACGAACCTAGAGGATGGAGCAATAGATATCTACAAGATGGGTGCTCATGTACATCTTAAGAAACTAATGCTTGCTTACTGCCAAAGGAGAAACTTAGACTACAGGACTCTCAGATTCATCTACAACGGTAGCTTTCTCAAACCACGACAGACTCCTGCTCAGCTCTTGATGCAAAATGACGATACCATCGTCACCCTCATGGAACGAGGCACTGCTTAATCTTGAAAGTGGTTTTATTAGTCACTTTTATTTTAATTTTCTACCAGTTTGGCTTGTTATGTTGCATAATTAATAGAAACCTTGTCCACTGATTTTAAATCCGCAACATGATATATCAACTATTTTGGATGGGCAACAAAACTCTTTATTTATTTTTTTTAGTTTCATTACAAATCTTGAGTTGGTTTTCTGACAAAAGCCATAATGGTCTTTTCGGAAATAACATAACACATTTCTTGTATGCGCCACTACGAAGCCCAAATACATTAAATGCAATCCCGCACGGCCACATCACACTATTCACAAACTATGGTTCCGGTTCTGATAAACCGGTTATATCCAAACCGGGTCGTCGAGATATTATCCGTTTTAAATACATACCCATATTGTTCTTCCCCCTCATCTCTCCCTCTCCCTCTCTCTCTCTCTCTCTAATCAATCAGTCAATTAGGGAAAAATATCTGAACATGTAAAAGCATTTTTTTAAAAAAGCAATAATAATTGGAAAAAAAAAAGAACAAATTAGGAGAGAGGGAGAAGAACATGGCCTCCAACTCCGAAGGACAAAATCGAGAGACGCGGCGAGAAATATGCTGATTTGACGATAATTGTTTGGCTGAGAGGAAATTCGGATACCCAATTTCGTAAATTACTAATCTTTTTTTCTAATCTAGTAGTGGTTGATGGGTGGTGGTGGGAATCTCGTCGACGGTGTTCGTCGATGGCTTTTTCAGCGACATCCTTCTCCTTCTCCTTCTCCTTCTTCTTCTTCTTCTTCTTCTTCTTCTTCCTCTTCCAATAACCACGATCCCACCACTATCAATTCCTCTACTTTTCCTACTCCTGATCAATCGGATAACGCTGGAGATTCGAATGAGCTTATTGTTATTGAGGATCTCGATTTTTCTGGGCTAAAGCTTATCAACGTTCCAAAACGAAATCACTTACCCATGGATCCTCACAAGAAGGTACCTTTCTCATCCTGCTTCTTCATCCCTCTTTCTATTTTTGGGTGATGATTGATTCTTTTGTTTGCTAATGCGTTATGGTCTAAGAGATATGAGAGATATGAGAGACTTGTTGTTTTGCTGTCTTAATGCTCTCTGTTCTTACCCTTTCTCCACTAAAGGATGCAATGCGCGCGTTTTTGTGTTCCGTTTGATATATTTCCTATTGTCTAGAATCATCAATTTGAAAATTTCTTCAGGGTGCGCAGGAAACCGACTTCTTCACAGAGTACGGAGAAGCGAACAGGTACCAGATTCAAGAGGTCGTCGGGAAAGGAAGCTATGGTGTTGTGGCTTCTGCGGTAGACTCTCACACGGGAGAGAGAGTTGCGATCAAGAAGATAAACGATGTGTTTGAGCATGTCTCTGATGCAACCAGGATTTTGAGAGAGATCAAGTTGCTACGGTTGCTTCGTCATCCAGATGTCGTGGAGATCAAACACATCATGCTGCCTCCTTCTCGCAGAGAGTTCCGGGACATCTACGTCGTGTTTGAGTTGATGGAATCTGATCTCCATCAAGTGATCAAGGCCAACGATGATTTGACTCCTGAGCATTACCAGTTTTTCTTGTACCAGCTTCTCCGTGGTCTCAAATACGTTCACGCAGGTTAGTTTTCTTGTTTCAACACATTGTTCTCTTTTTTGACCCTTAATGGTCTTTTTTCGATTTTATTGAAAACACTTGAGGGTTTCCTGTTTTCAGCTAATGTGTTTCATCGGGATCTGAAACCAAAGAACATTCTAGCTAATGCTGACTGCAAATTGAAGATCTGTGATTTTGGGCTCGCTCGTGTTTCTTTTAACGACGCCCCGACCGCTATATTTTGGACCGTGAGTCATCTGATTTAAAGAATCTGAAAGCAAAAAAAAAACTGCTCAAGTGCTCACTAGACTTTCTCTAACTCTTGCAGTGTTTTTTGCCTTGTACGTATTTTGTAGGATTATGTAGCTACTCGGTGGTATCGTGCCCCTGAACTCTGTGGATCGTTTTTCTCCAAAGTAAGATTCTTTTTCCCTGAACCCTACTGCTGTTGTAGAATATTGTTTGTGTTGATAAGACCAAACATCACATGCTAAGTTAACTTTTTTGGGGGTCTTATTACAGTACACCCCTGCGATTGATATCTGGAGTGTGGGTTGCATTTTTGCGGAAATGCTTTTGGGTAAGCCTTTGTTTCCCGGGAAAAACGTGGTGCACCAATTGGATCTTATGACTGATTTTCTTGGCACCCCACCACCTGAGTCGATAGCACGGGTTAGTAGTCACTCAAAAATACATACTCTGTAGCAGATTCATGTGTTCCAATTCCATCATTTGAGAGTGAGTGAGTGATGAGTTTTTGCAATGTTGAAAATTTGACAGATTAGAAATGAAAAGGCGAGGAGATATCTTAGCAGCATGAGGAAAAAACAGCAAGTCCCTTTCTCTCATAAGTTCCCTAAAGCTGATCCTTTGGCTCTCCGCCTTCTTGAACGACTTCTTGCCTTTGATCCAAAAGATCGTGCATCAGCTGAAGATGTAAACTTTGCTCTCTCTTTTTTTTTCCAATTTTTTCACACAGACTGATGAAACTCCTATGCTCATTGTTCTGATTTTATTATTTACAGGCACTGGCTGATCCGTACTTTAGCGGTCTGTCAAATTCGGAGCGTGAACCATCAACGCAGCCAATTTCAAAGCTTGAATTTGATTTTGAGAGAAAGAAGCTAACAAAAGATGATGTCAGAGAATTAATTTACCGAGAGGTAACACACAAAAAAAAGCCTTTCTAAAAGTCTTATTGTTCTCTGGATTTGTTTATCTGTTCTTCATTGATTCTAACAATTACTTTTGTTTGGAAAAAAAAAAAAACATTAGATATTGGAATATCATCCTCAGATGTTGGAGGAATACCTTCGCGGTGGTGATCAGCTTAGCTTCATGTACCCTAGGTTAGCTAATCAACCATTCATAAACTACAAATTACGAAACAAAACGTTGTGAATTTAAGATATTTGTTTGTTTTGTTTACGCAGTGGGGTTGATCGATTTAAAAGGCAATTTGCTCACCTTGAAGAAAATCAAGGTAAACCAGGACCAGCAGCAGGAGGAAGAAGTACTGCACTTCACAGACATCATGCTTCCTTGCCAAGGTAATGTCTTTCCCAAAAACTCTCTCTCTGTCTTTCTCTCTCCCATCTCTTTCTCTGAAAGCATTGTGCTTCTCTCTGATTGCGTGTTGCAGAGAGAGAGTTCCTGCTCCGAATGGTGAAACTGCAGAAGAAAGCAGTGATGTTGAAGGAAGAGCAGCAGCTGCTGTGGCTTCAACCTTGGAATCTGAGGAAGCAGACAATGGAGGAGGTTACAGTGCTCGTAACCTCATGAAGAGTGCGAGCATCAGCGCTTCTAAATGCATCGGTGTCCAATCTAAAACCGACATAGAGGTTAGTTAAATAGTAAAGAAAGAAATAAAAAAACTAGAGGGTCTTGAAAGGAATATGAAGATGAGTTTACTTATTGTTGTTATGTTCTCTCTGTTTTGCAGGACACTATAGCCGAGGAAGAAGATGATGAAACAGTTGCAGAGCTTACTGATAAAGTTGCTTCTCTTCATAATTCTTAAAAAAGAAGTTTTAGTTTTTCTCTCTTTTGGCGAAAGTTTTCTGGTGAAAAATTGGTTTCTCCATATTCTTCTCCCTTCTTCCACGTCTAAATTCGTGGTGTGTTTGATTTGTTGTATTTAATAGTTTGGGGGTGAGAATGATAACTTTTAATAAAAACATCGACCTCCATGTAATATTTTTTTGTTTCTCCTTTTTTTATAAACTGATATTTTTTTGAAATTCTTTTTACCGATTCAATTTGCTTCAGTTTGCGATGTGGTTGTTATGATCCGGTTCAGATCAAACCGGGATATTGAGTCTTATTCTTATATGATAAACCGGAAGAGTTTTGCAGACTTAATGCTGTGTTAGTTGGCTTTCGAATGACGAAGACTAAGCTAAAGAATATATTGTATTATATTATTTGTGTAACGATATTATATGATTGGCCTAATCTCGTAACGACAAAGAAAACTAGTATTTGATTAAATCATTGGTCTGAATTAATGGTATGGTCGAGTAAAGTGAGCTCTTAGGAGCTTACCCACCAACCCCAAACCACAGCCTCAATAAGAAACTGCAAAAAGTGAATGGAATTTTCCAGGCCAAAGTCCATATACGCCAAATTAGTTAAGCAATTAGGCTACATTGTATTTTGCATAATTAATTATAAAATACTGATTAAACTTGTAAATGTTCAAAAGTGAAAATATCTAACTTTATACTTTGGATTATGATAAACATGCCGCCATACTTTAGAATTTGACTTCAAATTATGACTACCAGGAAAAATGGTTTCGTGTGTGTCATATCGTAAAGGAAAATGATCACAAAACTCTTGACTTAGTATCAGTCTATTTGTTTAATTTTTTTAATAAACTTTTTCTAAAAGGTTAAAATGTCGTCATAAAATAATATTAAGTTCTTTCGTGTGGTCAGTGATTGAAAAAAAAAATTGTATGTTAAAACTTAAAACTGAAAAAAAAAGCTTCAGATTTATTCATAACTCACAATTTTGGAGTTTGAAACACTATACTTTTGTGTTCATCAGTGTCATTATATGGTTGCATAGCATCTGTTTCGAAATTTTTAAGATTTGTCTTCTGTATTTTAAGGAAAAGGGGGCTTGCAATTGTAGTATGTATAACGTATTATTCAAACAGTTTGCAATATTTGTTGTATTAGATGGCTCGCACCAACCCATTGATCTATCACTTTATCTCGACCATAAAGTTTCAATTAATTTCTTTAAAAAGACTTCTAAAAGTATTTCATCATACGTCCCATTATATATCAGTAATGTGGACTTCGATTTCCATACCCTTTCTTACGAAACTTCTAATTTATAAAATGGCTTTTTATTTTAAATTTATTAATTAACAAAAAATGTTGTGTTTACATAAAAATATACTGAACGTATGACAAAACATTTTTAAATGTCGTCCAGATGAAAATACATTAAAATAATAATTATTATGGTAATCCATTGTACCGAACGACAAGTTGCGTAATTTTTTTCCGATGAATCATGAACCCAAATATACAAAATATATATGCACACGCGCATTTTACATGTGTGAGTTCAATTTTAACCCCACAAATCCTGAATTGATTTCGACTATATTACACATGTGCTTCTTTTTCAGAAGGGTTAATACGTATGTTCCACTCACGAAGTGAAAGATGATATTATAACTAAATCACACAGATTTTTTTTTTTAATGAAAATAATTGTTTATTGTAAAATATGGGCTAGAAACAAAATCATCGATCGATCGTCATGAATAGTAACAATCCAGAATACAAATGAGATTGCAGCTTTCTCTTCTTAAATATTTGGAAGTTTCTATACCGTCGACCGTTTGTAATGTTTTTTATAGATATTGACAAGTAATTAGTAGTTCAAGTGGTCGAATAGTGCCTCCATCAACTCCACGTCCAAGTCTCATTGTACCCTCACTATTGACCTTTTCGTTTTTTTTTTTTGTATATATTTTTATACTAACTTCTATATTTGCTATTTTTACTAGATCGTGCATTATTTTAACGTCGGAAGTTTTTTTTGTTGGCTTATTACAAACTCAACCTAGTTTTTGCTTCTAATTTTAAAAATGTATTTTAGTTAAATTCTTATGTAGGTTTGCTATATTTTTGTTACTTGTTTATTTTTATAAGACTAAAAGAACTTTATAATGTAATGCCAAGAAGTGTTTAGAAATGAGTTTTCAGCAATTTGAAGATAATTAATATCTATAATTAAACATTTAAAATGTACCCGACCAAAAAAAACATATAAAATGTAACATACAACTTTTTGTAAAAAAATATTTATAAGCAATGTTATTATCTCCACGGTATTACTACAGTCAAACCCACTAAAAAGTCAATGAGATGTAAGTCAATAATGATGGTCAGTCCAATTCCTAAAGCGAATATAACAAACAAACGATGGAATATCTGAATCCAAATAAAATGAAGTGACCAACATTAGATATAGCGTTAGTGTTGTCCATCACCCTTATTTCTAAGGTATTAGGGTTCGAGAGAAGCCTATAAATGATCAAAAAAATACTAATGCAAAAAAAGTAGAGCAACAATCCTAGAGAAAATACTTTTTGGATTAGATACGTTAGTGCTATTAGTTTCCGATAAATCAATTTGTTAGTGATATACTTAATACATATTAAAAGAAGACACTGACTAGGATATCAAAACTTAGTCTTCTTATTCAATTATCAAGTAGAGACTCGAATTTGACAAATGGGGGGTATTTAAATAAACGAGCAAGTTGTTGATACGAGTGATATACGTTTACTTTGAGGGAATTTAGGTGAACAAAAGAATGATTGGGTGCTTTATAAAAACTGAGGTAGCTGAGATATGATGAGATTGGCCGAGAAGAGAATTAATAAACAGTTAAAGAAATGAATCACAATATATAAGTACAAAAATTTATTAAACACCAGAGGGAGTTAATTAGCTTTTGTAATATGAATGAGAGAGTATGCATGGTTAATAGGTGATGTTTCAGATCAGTCACGTGGGTTTATGGATGATGGAGAAGATAATTAAATCGTATATAGAAGATATATTCATATTACACTAAAGATATTCGAATATTAAAAAAATAAGTATGACATATTAGAAGATAATATTTTTAGTGACACTAATTTTATTTACAAACGGCTAGTTTATTTTTCATACCATTATATATAATTATATAAATCCGGTTGAGATCGACTCTCTTCAAAATAGATGAGAAAACAGGTTCACTTTTTCGTACATGGGACTCCCTCACCTACCGATCCAATAATATAAGAAAATTCACAGGTAATCATTATTATAAAAAACTATGACCGGTATTATTATATAGAGATCTCTTTATTTATTTCATGCACGGCATTTTTATGGCAAAGAATCATCTAAAAGCATTTACATTGGTGGGTTTTTAAGTTGAGTATCTCACAATATTAAAGAGAAAAAAAATTGGAAAATGAAGAAGGAAAAAGAGAAAAAGAAGTGAGATAGAGAGAAACGCTTCTCATTTGAAAATCGCTTCTAAACTTCTGAGATACCCATTTAATGTATATCAATTTATTATTAGTTTAAATTTCTTCTTCATTTAAAAATTAATATTTTGTTTTTTTTAGATACTTTAAAGGTACCTACATGTTGCTGTGGATGCTCTTATGTGGCTTTTCTGAAAACCTTTAAAAAATACAGGTCCTTTAACAGAATTTCTTATAAAATTAATTTTAAACTATATAGGAAGCCCATTGTGCTCCTATATAAAGGAATCTTCACATTAACAAACTTGATCAAGAAACATAGCTAAAGTGTAAGCTAAGAAAATGGTGAATTTCGGAATTCTAATGATTTCGACCATTTTGGTTCTGTTTGCAACTCTTCTCCCTTATTCTTCGGCTTCAACCACCCGTCGATTTCACTTCAGTGTAAGCAAATTTTACAGAGACTCAGCTTAATTCTAATTACTCATACAGCTTTACTTTTGTGATCATAATAAAATTCGAGAAAAAGCATCTGTAAATGCAGAACATTTATTCCCTTTACACACACAACTTTATCAATCGTATGATTATGCAATATTTTACCGTTATAGTATGTTACACAAAAGTAATAGTAACATTTTAATTCTTTGGACTTTATTTTTTGTGTGGGGTGGGGCTTTTAGGTGGAATGGAAGAAGGTAACTCGACTATGCCACACGAAACAACTTTTAACGGTGAACGGGCAATATCCTGGTCCGGCGGTGGTGGTTCACGAAGGTGACACCGTAGAAATCAAAGTGACTAACCGGATTGCTCACAATACAACTATTCATTGGTATATAACAAATTTCATGCATGCATAATTTAACCATGCACTGTTTTTTATGTGAGTTCACTTATCGGTTTTATTTGGGTTTTGCGAGTAGGCATGGGTTAAGGCAATACCGGACCGGTTGGGCAGATGGACCGGCTTACGTAACGCAGTGTCCAATAAGATCGAAGCAATCATATACATATCGATTCAAAGTGGAGGATCAAAGAGGCACACTCCTTTGGCATGCTCATCACTCATGGCAACGAGCCTCCGTCTACGGCGCCTTCATCATCTATCCACGGCAGTCCTACCCCTTCTCCGGTGTCCACGTCCAATCAGAAATTCCCATTATACTCGGTACAAAAATAAATTAATTTTTTTTATTTATGTTTCCATTTCCGTTCAATTAATTCTACTATTTATGGAAGTCTAATTCAGCTGAATCGATAAAAAAAATTATGGCAAAAAATGGTTTGTTAAAGATCAAAAAATTAAACCTAATAAAAAAAGAAAACAAAAAATGTCTTTTAGTATTAACTTTGGAAAATTATGAAATGGATTATGTATAGGCGAATGGTGGAATGATGACGTGGACAAGGTGGAGAAGGAGATGATGAAAACTGGAGCTGGGGCCAAGGTTTCCGACGCTTACACACTTAACGGCCTTCCAGGCCCACTTTACCCTTGTTCTACCAAAGGTCCAGCCTTTTCTCTTAACCGATGGTTTCGATGGTTTAGTTCCAAATCCGGGTCCAATACGGTTCGTTTCTCACCGTATAAAATTTGAAAACTGTGTGCAGATACTTTTACGGCTAACGTGGACGCGGGAAAAACATACATCCTCCGCATAATCAACGCAGCTCTAAACAACGAGCTCTTCTTCGCCGTATCCAACCACACACTAACCGTAGTCGAGGTCGACGCGGTTTACACCAAACCGGTTCATACCAAAGCTATCATGATCGCTCCCGGTCAAACCACCACCCTCCTCCTCCACACCGATCAGCACACCGGCGGCGAATTTCTCATCGCCGCAACTCCCTACGTCACTTCCGTCTTCCCCTTCAACAACTCCACCACCGTCGGCTTCCTCCGTTACAACGACAAACGCAAATCGGTAAATTACGTTAACAGACGGCGATTAACGACGCTGTCGACACGAGCGGTGCTTCCGGATATGCTGGACACGAAATTCGCGACGAGATTCTCCGACAGCATCAAGAGCCTCGGATCGGAGAAGTATCCGTGTAAGGTCCCTACGGCGATCGACAAGCGCGTGATCACCACGATCAGTCTCAATCTACAGGACTGTCCGTCAAACCGGACCTGCGATGGCTACGACGGGAAAAGATTCTTGGCATCGATGAACAACGTCTCATTCGTCCGACCTCCGATCTCGATCCTGGAGAGCTACTATAATAAACAGAGCAAAGGGGTCTTCACACTCGATTTCCCGGAGAAGCCGCCTAATGGATTCGACTTCACCGGGGTGGATCCGGTGTCGGAAAACATGAACACCGAGTTCGGGACGAAGCTGTTCGAGGTGGAATTCGGAGCGAGGCTGGAGATCGTGTTTCAGGGGACGAGTTTCTTGAACATCGAGAACCATCCGCTACATGTGCACGGGCACAATTTCTTCGTCGTGGGAAGAGGGTTTGGGAATTTCGACCCGGAGAAGGACCCGGCGAGGTACAATCTGGTGGATCCGCCGGAGAGGAACACGATCGCGGTGCCGACGGGAGGATGGGCAGCGATCAGGATCAACGCGGATAATCCAGGAGTTTGGTTTATTCACTGCCATCTCGAGCAACATACCTCGTGGGGATTGGCCATGGGGTTTATCGTTAAAGACGGGCCTCTTCCTTCACAGACTCTGCTTCGTCCTCCTCATGATCTTCCTAGGTGTTAAAAGCGTGTGTTCATCATTTTAGGGTTTTGTTTTCGATATTATTGAGTGATTAAATATTAATCTAGATGCTTGTTTTATTGATGGTCAAATGGTTTGTAAAAGAAAAATCATTCCGTTTAAAAAGAAGAAGATTCAGCGTAACTTTGTCTCGTTACTGCTAATTAGATTGAACTATATAGATTGTATACTAATAATCCTCACAGTCTTCTCTTAATTTTGAAATCTCTAATTACCTGCAGGTACGTATTTTGCTTAAAAATGAATTATGAAATCTCAATGCAATATGCATTCGGGGGTAAGTTCTTCTATGTCCTTTTAAATCAAGAAACACATGAATGCAATATGCATTTGACTTTGTGAACTCTTGCCTGACGTAATAAAATATTCAAATGGTACATGACTATTTCACATAATGCAATGTTTAGTAAAATGCCTTAAAAAAACTAATCAGTTGGCATATATTTACTAATTTGTAAAAAATGTCAAAACAGTATAGTACTTATGTAAATTGGACGCTTTTTCTAATAACTGACATGAAATATATGTTTTATGAACAATTAAAAATAAAATCTGATTAAACGATAGATTCTGCTGACGGAGAACAAGGATCGTCCACGTGTACGGGATGAACCTCGTAACTGACGGCAGGAATGATGTCACGTGGCAGGGCGAACGAAAGGGATCGTGGGTAACAGCTGAGACCAAGATATGGCACGTGTCACAACTCTGGATGAAAAGAAGTATGAAATGGCCTATGCATGGCCTATAGGTTACACTAATCCGACCAAAGCTTCTTTTAACATTTTCCTTTTGTTTCTTCTTTCGCTTATAACCAAGCCAAAACTGTGATTATATAATTCCCCGGAAACATTAGACTAGGTATGAAAAATTATATACTTAAGGCATCTCAACGTTAATTTTGTTGTTTAACGCACTAATTTATTTATGTCTAAGTGTATAACAAAGTGAGTTTTGTTTTGAATTTGATAGTGTTGGTAAGTTTTCACGGTGATACATCATCGATTTTTATGGTTTGCATAATAGTGGTGGATGAATCTGGGCTCGACCATAAATTAGAAGACACGAGTGGATTGTCTGGTGATATTTGTAGTTTATAGTTATACCATTGACGACAAAATAACGCATCAATGGTTTTAATTTTGCTGAGATATTTTATTATATTATTATTATCGGTATTAGTATAAGAATATCAACTCGTTTCCAAAGAAAATATACGAATATATATATATAACGTTTTTTTAAAATGTATTCTCTCCGTTTTAAATTACTTAATAGTTTTAGAATTAATTTTGGTTTATATTGATTGTTGTTTTGGGGTTTGAATGCAAAATTTGACAAAAATAATCTTTATTTAATTTTATTTGTTAGTTTATTAATTAATGATATCCGATAAAATAGTGTATTAGTAAAAAATAAAAGAAACTTTTAATGTTTTATAATAGATGTGTAAATTTTTAAACGATATAATTTATCTTTTAATTGGTGATGGATGATGTTCTATGTTAAATAGATCACATTGTTTAGTACAATATAGAAAATTCATTATATTGGAATTGCATTTACAGTTTTTTTTTTTTGAACTTTAGCATTTACACCTTTCAACAGATATTTTAAAAAATTGAACATAAATACAAGATTTTGTTGCATATAAAACGCAAACACGCAAAGAAAAAAACAATCAAAGTGAATAGTTCAACGGCGAAAAAAATGTATAAAAAAATGAAGTGCATCGTGGTTCAAATTCATTGTATTTGTCGATGGATTTATTAAATATTTGTTTGTTGCAAAAAAAAATCTATATAAACCATTACATAGACGTCCATCCGAATTCGGACATGCGCTAAACAAGACAACGATTCTTAAAAAAAAAAAAAAGAGAATCTCTCTCCACTTTTCTCTCTCTCTATCTCTCTCCCCGTGGATCGATGGCAGCTTCGGTTGATCCTTTGGTGGTGGGAAGAGTGATCGGAGATGTATTGGACATGTTCATCCCCACCGCCAATATGTCTGTCTACTTTGGCCCCAAACACATCACTAACGGCTGCGAGATCAAACCTTCCACCGCAGTCAACCCTCCTAAAGTCAACATCTCCGGCCACTCCGATGAGCTTTACACTCTCGTATGTATATTCATCTTCTCACTTCTAACCATTTATGTGCAATCTCAGTTTACAAACATTTTAGTTTTGTCAACTCTCATTTACAAACATGTCTTTGTATATTCGCACTCATCATGCGTTACATGCTTGATGCTTCCTCATGGTATGATGATTATAATACGAACATGCATGCATACATTACTTTATACACATAGATGTTGACGTATATATAGACATAGGTCAATTTTACAGAGTTTTCAATGCACAATTATATGAGTTAGTGACGGTTTAGCTGAAAAATCGAGTTCAATGATGTTTAATTATTTTGAGCTAGATGTGTTCGATCGATTGGTGCATGAGTTGAAAATTTATTGTAAATATAAATATTGGATGTGCATGCAGGTGATGACTGACCCGGACGCACCTAGCCCGAGCGAGCCGAACATGAGAGAATGGATCCATTGGTGCGTACGAGTGACGCATCGAGTTTTGTTTTCTTTCTAATATCTAATTATATATACAAAAATAAACATAACGTATAAATTATAACACAATTATTTCTTATGTTTTAGGATCGTCGTGGATATACCCGGAGGTACCAACCCCTCGAGAGGTACGAAACCAAAATATTTTAAAAACTAAATTTCCAACTTTTTAATTTGAATTGTTTGGCTTTTCATTAAGTCAATATTCAGTATACTATGCTATTACAACCGTGAATGGATTTTGCTTTTGTAGTTTAATCTGCTTGCTTATTATACATAAAGTGACTCTGTTAGTGTGAAAACCAATACGAAAATATAGTAATGGTTAATTACGTCCATGATGACGTGTTAACATCTAATTGAAAAACCCGGTACACTAACCTCTTTTATTCATTTAAATTTTAAACATAATATCTTTGCAACGTGGTGCTTTTGGTTTGATATGAAATGGATTCCCGTATTGCACGATACTGATTGGTCCCCAAAGAAAATTGCATGACTCTGTAATAGGTTGTTTTTTATTTTTTTTTTGGCAATAGCCGAATACTATATATTTTCATGCATTAACATTTTAGAACGAAATCATCAGTCACGATTTAATTTTGAAGTTATAGAGTTAGGCATATAATAATAGTCACTATTTAATTTTCCTCCGTTTCAAGTTATGCGCCACAGTAACGACGTGTGGTGTCTTCTAAAACCAACATCTCATGTATATCCGTACGTGTACATTGTTGTATATCAACTAAATAACCCACATGTGTCATCTTATAAAAAACCTTAAACACGACAAAACACAATGAATAAAGAACGCCATTTTTGTACAGTACGAAACAAAATTGCAAACTTGTTCTCTAGTGAAACAATTATTGAATTCTTTATTTTAATTTTAGTATCACGAAAAAGGTTTTAAAACAGTATACTTGCATGTTTTATATAATTTACAGGAAAGGAGATACTCGCATATATGGAACCGAGGCCACCGGTGGGGATTCACCGTTACATATTGGTACTTTTCCGGCAGAACTCACCGGTGGGTCTGATGGTGCAGCAGCCGCCTTCGCGAGCCAATTTCAGCACTCGGATGTTCGCTGGTCATCTCGATCTTGGTTTACCTGTGGCCACAGTTTACTTCAACGCCCAAAAAGAGCCAGCTTCACGCAGACGTTGATTCCAAGATACAACAAGAAATAACAGTGAGCCTTGTCCGGGTTTACCTATAAACCGAACTGGAAAAAATGTGGGTTTTATATGTCATTCCATATTTTGTATTAGTCCGGTTATCGCTATATCTATATATATAATTATATATATGTATAGTTTCATATATACAATCATACAAATATGTCTGTGTGTTTGAGTATAATATATGGTTTTCGTTTCTACGAGTAATTATAATTTAGCTTTTAAAATAATCATGTAGTATTAAAGTTACAAAGACGCAAAGATGAGATTACACATAAAATTAAACCAAAAAGAGAAATTGACTACAATCGATGAAAGAAATATAATATACTGCAGCTACTGCTGATCATCGATTATCGCTATATCTATATATGTGTATAGTTCCATATATACACAATCATACAAATATGTCCGTGTGTTTGTGTTACATGAAGTTGTTTGAGTATAATATATGGTTTTCGTTTCGACGAGTAATTATAATTTAGCTTTGAGTAATTATAATTAAGCTTTGAAAATAATCACGTAGTAGTATTAGAGAGTTACAAAGACGCAAAGATGAGAGATTACACATAAAATTAAACCAAAAAGAGAAATTGACTACAATCGATGAAAGAAATCTAATATACTACTTTTCTTATTGTTCTTAGCCTTCTTGTTCTCTGAACCTCTACAGCTTGACTTCACTTTGAAACTCTCGGCTCTAGGTTTTGTTCCACGCACTCTCTTTGTCGTAATGTTCACATGACCGTGAATTTCAACTATATCTTCTTCTGTGGATTCAGTTCTGTCCTTCACTCTGTTCTCCCCAGAGTCTTGTTTGATTCCGGAATCATCAAGCTTGGACAAATCGACTGTAACCTCTTTATCATCCTTTGAACCATCAAGTTCGTTAGAGTCTGGCGAAGAAGAAACATCTATTGCTTCGCTTCTTGTCCCAAAGGAAACCTCGAGTTCTTGCATACCGTACTCTGCGAATTCCATATCGACTTCATCGGTTTTTCTTATCTTGAACGGGTTGTTATCCGGAATCAGTGAGGGATTGCTGGTCCGGATAACCATCTGATCCTTGTTAGGCTGCAAAACTAGTTTGTGTAGATCTGAATCTTGTTTGGAGTACTTTGGCTCCTTCAGATCAGTTTCTGGACCGATCATAGCTTCATCGGCAGTCCTTTTGAGCTCTATTCTTTCCTCACTTTCGGACGAAGAACATACCAAAAATGAGCTTTTCTTTTCCTGTTCCTTGAATGATCGAACAGGCGTCTTCAACTGTCTCCTAGAATCAGAGAAGCGGTTAAAAGCCTCCATGGTTATGGGATCAACATTCCCTTCAGCAACTGCAGCAGCCACAGATGGAGCCAGATCTCTGATGAGTTTTAGGTGTCAAGGTGAACAAAAACTGCAAATAATCATCTGAATGTTATGCCAAAAGTTCAAATCATTGGGGAGAGATTGAAAATAGGATACGGTCCTAGGAACTCAAGTTGTTCAGCTGGTAAATCCAGGAGGTTCTGAGAGAGGGGTTTCAAGTACTTGAGCTTCTTAGCATCAAAGTCATATCTGCAACAGATTGGAATCAAATAAGAACCATAGTAGCAGCACATGACTGAGTCAAGAGTTACTTACACTCGAGCATGCTGGAAAACTGAAACTGCTTCCATAAAAGAGCTGGAGTAATCATCGGGAACTAGGTTTCCCTTTTTGGTCTTGAGAAATGATAAAACCTACAATATTCAAACGTCTTAGGCTTTTGCCGTAGCAAGGAAGAAAGCATTCACCACCAAAGAAAGTAAATGCTTACGCGTTCTACACTCTGGTACTTGGAGATGAATGCATGAGCTCTCGAAATGCCAACACCAGGAACTGAGGGGAGAAAATCACATCCGGCTAATACACACATTGCTGGAAAATAGGCCAAAACAAGAACAATGTACCAATGTATGTTGGGAAAAATAGTCACATCTAACGTTAAGAAAATAGACAATACTAACCAGTGAATAGCTCTTGATCAAAATTGTGGAAAGAAGGCTTTTGATCGACGGCTTGAAAAACATTATCCAGAACCAGTTCCTCTCCTTTACCATACCGGTCCATCTTAAAGATAACCTTTCACCATACAGAAGTTGAGGAAACATATCATACAATGATCTTAAAACTCTTAAAGATAACCATTTTGTTTTATTGTATTTGGGAAAAAAATCTTACAGCTTTACAGCCATATGCAAGTAAATCGCTGTCCTCGGTTATAACAGCAGCAATCCCACCTTGTTCCAGTTCGAGGCTGGATAGGTATGCTAGCTGAGCATCAGCCTCATATGGAGCTACAATAAATTCGACGTTTTCTGATTTAAGAACCTGAGATGTTGTTAGGGCCTAGAGAAAATCCATATATCCCTCAGAACAATTTACTCAATTTCTAAACAATATATACCTGAATCAGTTGATGAGCCATGGATGATGTTACGCTAACTGCTCTCTGCAAATAGTGATGACAATAGGCATGAGCTCACACAATATCCTAGTCTCGACCAAAATCTATTAGCAGAGTATGAAATAAATTATGGCCTAAACACACAAATCTAAGTCACTGAAATGAATGGAAACTAAGCACCTGATAAAGATCGGTAGCTGCTAATAAGTAGTGATAGCTATCTTTATACAACTTATGGATCTAAGCCATTGAAAATGAGAAGAACTAGGCACCTGAAAAAGCTCAGTAGCTGCTCCGACATTCCCTTCTTTAAGCTTCACCATTGCAGCATCAAAGTTTGCTTTTCGCTTCCTGATGATGGCGATTGAAAACACAGACGCTTAGTTAACGTGTTTATTAGGAGCAGAGGAAAAGGAGACAAAAAGTAGAGAGACTTGCCTGTGACGTTCATCTCCAGTGGCAGCCTTGCAGGGCATATGACCACCGTCGAGGACAACAATTGGGATAATCTCATAGTGTTGGAGAAGGTTGATTCTGTGCATGAAGTAATCAATGTACCTCAGCTTCTTCTTCCCATCAGTGTCTAAACACAGCTCCATACTACATGAGTATGCTGTGGAGAAAAATTCCCATCAAGTCATGAAATTGAAATCCACCCAGCAAATAGATTCTCAGCTCGAAAGTGCTTCCATTAATTTCCTATCTCTTTCTTCTAACTTAAAATCTATCCATTGTGGGAGAGAATTCGAAAATAAAGTTTCTTGGTTTGATTGCAGTTTCACTGTTTACTAACAGAATAAAACATTTGCTTCGCCGAAGCTGTGAGTGTTGGAGAAGGGAAGTAGAACGAAATGGATGAGATTTAAGAGAGCACGAAGCTTACCTCCTTTGTGTAGCCATGAATATGCATCGATTCCCACCTGGGAATACAAAATTGCGTAAACCCATTATTAAAAAAACTTGATTTTTATGGAGATTTTACCCAGAACCATTAACGGAAACTAAAATCGATAAGAGGAAGGAAAAAAAAGGCCATTAAGAAAACAAATAGGAGAGGTTACCCGTTTCCCGGCGTATTTCTGGATGTGAATGGGAAGAATGTAAGGCTTCATGAATCTGAGAAGATCCTTGATGCCCATTTCTGCTGTCTTATCTTTTTGCTCTGCCTCTCCTCCTTTTTAGGGTTCTTTCGGATTTGTCCTATCTGTTTTTCTTTTTATAGCTTTCGTTAATTTTTCCGTCCCAGTTCCGAGAGTGAAAAAGAAGGTTAATTAATGAAAAATTTAGGGGAAATCCCAATTATAAAGTGTTTAAGACGAGACCTTGGCGCGAAAAGGAAATGGCGGGAGCTAATTAAACACGACAGCACTAGAAGATGCTGTTCGATTTTTTATCAATCTAATTGGTCGAGAACAGGGCAACTGAAACAATTAATGTAGTGCGGACAGATGATTCCTGAGTATTTGCAAGTTTTAATGTGACATTTTATCTGTTTTTTTTTTTTGTAATTCTAATCAATGGGACTGTAACTTGCAAGTCGATTGGTTTACTTAACTTTCATATGTAAACACAAATTCAAGAGTAATCCTCACTCGACCATTTTGCTAGATTATCAATGGGAATCATATGGCAACAAAATGGAAGAAACTTTAAACCGCAGAATCTCTCACAAATAGGATAAGGAAGCAAACCTAGAATTGACATCAAAACAAAACATTCTTCCAAAATCTCAGGGTACTTTTATGAGTTTGTTGACAAAGCAAAAGTGATAGATAAAAACGAACCAAGGACAGAGACAGCTCAGAGATGAGATCACTAGTAACGCCCAATACCCCAAACTCTAATAACTCCGTCGGTATACCCACTGAACAAAGTGCTTCCATCGGCACTCCAGTTCAGGCTGGTGCAGTAAATGACCTGTCCACACCATAAAACAAAACCAATTACATGGTTAAAACACTTGATACATGTCTAAAACACAATTGCCACACACATTTCACTTAATATATTGATAAAGACTGGTCACCAAGATACTGCATACAACTAGGGAACCAAAATAAGTATATACATGGGACGAAAATGAAACAATGAGAAAGCCATATACATGTATCATTTGTTTGAATTCTAATAGCTCGGTCCATAAGATTCAATTCCATAAACTTTCTACGTTTGCTATAACAAATCTAGATTATGTAATCCTCTAGCTAATAGTTATACTTTTTCACCAGTTGTACCTAACATCGATAGACTACAGGAACATCTATCTTATACAAAGGCGGAAAACAACACCAATTACATGGTTAAAACACTTAATACCTGTCTAAAACACCATTGCTACACAGGTTTCACTTAATATATTGATAAAGACTCGTCAACAGGATACGGCAATCGATGGCAACAAGAAGGGAACTTAAGGTATATACATGGAATGGAAATGAAACAAGGATAGAAAACCATATACATGTATCATTTGTTTGCATTCTAATAAATCAATCCATAAGATTCATTTCAATAAACTTACGTTTGCTAACATCGATAGACTAGATAAACCTCTATCTATACAAAAGGAGGAAACTTTTGATCGAACGCAAAAATATAAGCGAGCCATGAGCTAGTATGTGTGTACCTTTCTTTTGCAGGCAGTGGAACCACTTCCGTCTGACTTCTCGGCCTCGGCCTTGAGATCAACCTTCAAGTCCTCAACGATGCTCTTGCTCTCCAAATCCCAAATCTTAATACCATTTTCGGTTGCAGCACATAGCCAGTACCTATTGGGGCTGAAGCAAAGAGCGTGGATCACAGAGTTCGCCTCCAGAGAGTAAAGCTTCTTCCCCTCGGCCAAATCCCACAGCAAAACAACACCGTCTTTGCCTCCGCTCGCGCAGAGTGAACCATCGGGTGACACAGCCACAGTGCTGACGTATCCGGTGTGACCAGCGAGGGTCGATCTGAGCTTGCAGTTGGAGAGGTTCCACACCTTCACCGTCTTGTCGCACGAGGCTGACACAATCGTCGGCTGGAGAGTGTTGGGGCTGAATCTGACGCAGCTAACCCAATCACGGTGTCCCTCGCCTCCTTCAGAGATGGTGTACTTGCACTCACCCAGAGTGTTCCACAGCTTGATCGAACGGTCACGCGACGCCGAGACGATCTGGCGATTGTCGAGGGAAAATGCAACAGAGAGCACGTCCTTGGTGTGTCCGACGAATCGGCGAGTGGTGGAACCGGTGGCGAGATCCCAAAGGCGAAGCTCGCCGTCCCAGCTTCCGGAGAGCGCGAATTGGCCATCTGAGGAGAGGACAACATCCTCGACGAAGTGGGAGTGACCAGTGAGACGCCTCTGAGCTACACCGTAGGCCTTGTCGTCCTTGGTGAGTTTCCATAGGATGATGGATTTGTCGCGGGAAGCTGTGACAATGATGTCTGCGTTATCGATAGGCGTGGCGATTGCCGTCACCATGTCAGTGTGCGCACGCATGGTGCCCTTCAAAACGAGTCCTTCCGCCATTTTCGGTGTCTGGAGAAGACAATGAAACTAGGGTTTTCGCTTTCACGGGGAGGCGGAGATACAAACGAAAAGGCGAGAAAAAACAGAAGAAGCAATTTATATGAGAGAAAGAAAAAAAGCATGGATTAGGGTTACTTTATTTGGGCCTATATGATACGATTTGTTAGTGGGTCTAATGTTAATGGGTTTCTTTGTTATCAGTCCATATTGTGGAAATCATATCCGAATTAGTTTTTTCTAACTTCATTTTCTGATTTTCTTTGATTCACAAATCTTGTCCTAGCAGCAAGATATGTAAGTAGCACACAAATGTACTTTCAAGTTTGCAATGATTTAAAATAAAACAGCATGTATCACCAAAACAGGACATAGATTGGCTTAGTAATAAAGTTTCCTAGTAATGGTCATTGTGAAGTTGATATGTCAGTTGATTAGCCAGACTTCTCCCCAACTTTCAAACCGGATACAAAAAGTTTGGATTCCTCCTCCACGTGATACGGTTGACGATCTAAATACAAAGAAGGTCGTTGCTGGTTGGATTGTTAGAAAGCAATATAGAACTGCTAATACATTAGGGTTCAATCTCTCGTGGAGAAGCTTCTTCACCTTTATAAGCTGAAGCTAACACACTTAGGTTTATCATTCATGGGCTTTATTTCAGTAGCCTTTGAAGGAGATCGCAAGGTTCGTCACACCAATCTAAATGGCTTCTCAAGGGACTTTGAAGTGGATAACTAATATGTGTGTGTATGCACGGATATCAAGTTGTGGGCATCAAAGTTATAATGATGATACTTCTCTCACTCATCATCACTCATCTTAAACTTTGTTGTAAGTAACCAAGTAGCGCATACAATAATAGCAAAGCATGGTCCTAATAATTTGTCTTTATTTTCAAGCTGTATCCATCTTTCTATATGGTTGTCTCCTTCTTTTTGTATCATGACTTTGTTACTAATCAATTATATTATCTTTTGTTTTCGTCGGAAGACTACCCCATAATAATTTTGTACTGGTTCTTATAACTGATTAACTTCATAAGTATTAGCAGCTTATATAATTTAGCTAGGGTATATATACCAATTTCTAACAGTTTTGTTTACAAATGGCATATGCGATATTAGATCATCTTTGTTTATATGCAAACCACTGTTAAGATAGCAGAAAATCTTGTTAAAAGTGCTGATTGGGATGCATCATCATGGATACTTAAAAAGCAATTAAGATTGCTTAAGGAGAATCAAATCTACAAAACCCCCCAGCACTTTAACATTTCAACCCCCCCCCAAAAAACACCTCGGTCTAATATACTGTTCTCTTGTACTGCAAAGCATTTACAATTGTAGTGGGAAAACAGTTATCGCCATTACAGAATTTATAAGTATAGATTTTCAACCTGAATACAGTAGTTAAATCAATCATGATTGAATGCAATTTGATCGAAAACGGTGTAATTGAATCAGCTATAAATTAAAATAGAAAATTACAGTCCGAACAAAATAAAGAACATACAAAAATTAATAAAGTCGAAGTAGAACTTATAACAAATGTTCACGTTATTACAATTTACAAACTACAAATCTTAAATATACATGTATTGTTATGTATAGTACACAATTTTCCTTTTTCAATTCAGTCAGATCTATCATCCATGCCTATACACCTGCAGCACAGACAAATTATGAAAGAAAAAACAATACTGAATTTTCTAATATTTGAAAAGAGAGAGAGAGATAGATGAAGAGCTCCCTTCAATCCAAAGAAGAGTGAAGCCATTAAAGGGGTAAGTTAAAGCTCCTGAGATATGGAATCCATAAAAAAACATTATCATCAATTATTTTGATATTGATAAGGCTTATGGGATCCATAGCTTAGCAGCTTTACTTCACCCTGCTAAACCTTCCTTTGAACTTCAAGGAGCTCTTCCTCTTCTTCTTTCAAATAATTCCTCAAACTCTTATTTTTATTGTTTTGTTGGCAGTAGTCACATGCATCATCTAACATAGACCTCTGTTTCATATATATATGCAAATATATCTATTATCACAAATAAGAAAAAAAACAAAGGTAGATTAAATTCAAGAATTTGAATCCAACACCAAGCCTTACTTCATTAGAAATCCAGACAAATAACCGAGAGAGAGAGAGAGAATAATGGATTCCTGAGTTCGTACAAAACCCTAACAATAAACTTTAACCATGTTCGAAACAAGAAACATGCACCTAGAATCGGAAGAAAGATGGGAAGATAAAACTGGAATGAAGAAGATTGACCTCTACATAAGACAGATAACCAGAACCTTGAAAAGAAAAGAAGAGGAGAAGAGAACAAGTGAACAAACCATGGATACTTGAAAGGCTTTTAAAGACTAAATCTCTACTCTAGCCCTAATGATAGATAGAGAGAGAGAGAGAGAGAGTAAAAATGGTAATAGATCTTGGAATTTTTATTAGATTATTTTTTAACCCACTTAATAGTAATTGTTACTTTATCAGTATAGAAAACATCAATTTATATGGAAAATGAAGATTATATTATCTGAAAAAATTTAAAATAAAGAAAATAGAATGGTTGGTGGATCAGAAAATGGCTTTGGGGAAATTGACAGCCATTTTAATTTTAATTTTTGTTTGTTCAAATTTGACAGCCATTTTAAACATTTAGATTCCCTTTTTAATAAACACGTCACATGCCTCTTTCTTGGCTTTTGTGCTACCCCACTCCCTCTTTTATCATTCTTAAATCTGATTGCAACATTTATTTTTTTTGTTTGTTTAAAATTTCAAAACAATAGGAAACAAACAACAAAACCAAAAACTTGTGCGGATGGATATAGCAGGTGATGGTTATAACTCGAAAGAGAATCTATGGGTAGATTTCCTACAGAAAAAAACTTTGTCCTGTTACTTATTAGTGTTACAAATATACTGCTCTGTGTTTTGCGTCCAAATTTGCGTTTGGCATTCAACTTTGTTTAACTGAAACAAATTATTAGAAATGGCATATTTTTAAAAAGATAATATTGGTAAAATATTTACATTTACAAACAAATACTTATCTGTTTCTTAAATTACAGAGGTCATTTAAGTTGGTACAATTTATAGATAGACCTTTTATAGAAGTACAGTAAAACTTCTATAAATTAATAATGTTGGAACTCTCAAAATTTATTAATTTATAAAGTTATTAATTAATCGATAAATTAATAATTATTAATTTATTAATAAATTAATAATTATTAATTTATTAATAAATTAATAAAATATTAATTTATAGAGATATTTTTAGTTTGAATTTTTAATATTCATCGAAAAAACAAAATCAATATTTTTAACAATATAAAATTCATTTAAAAAATATCATAATAATGAATTTATAAAATAAATCAAACAAATTTTATAAACTTGAAACAACAATATTATCATAGTTTACTATATTGTATTATTAATATATGCATAAATGTATAATTATTAATTTATATTATTATTGGGACCATATTTTTACATAGAATTTTCAAAAAAATATTATCTTATTATCTTATCGAATTTTGTCAATTTTTACACTGGTTCGATTTGAGACCGGTAAAAATTATTAATTTATAGTAATTATTAATTTATCAAATATTAATTTATGAAGGTTTTACTGTAGATAATTATTCTTGCAAACATTCTTCCCAATTGTGGTGGACTTTGTGTCTTCAAATTACCAGCTGATCTACCAGGCCATAAAGCGAACCAAGGCCCATCTTGAGTAATTATTATTTGGGCTATCACAAACGGGCTTATTCTATTAACGACGCCGTCTTCGGCTAAAACTAGAATTTTAGTATGAGAAAGAAATTTCATCACGTAAGGCCATTATTTTTTTCTTTCTGAAAAATAAAGAGGGAATATATAAGTTCCACCTGGGCAAAAATTACAGCCTCTAGAGGCAGTGGTTTCATTTGGCGGATTCTTAACGCGCTTCTTCTTTTCGCGATAAAACCTAGAAAACTTTCCTTTCCTTCAATCCACCATCCGCCATGGGTAGGGTTTCCGAGCTCCTCTATCTTCGTTTTTCTATGTGGTTCTTCATCTCGATTTCTCGTCTTTTATGCGTGCTAACGGCTTTTGTCGCTCGATCTGATCTTCTGTCCATTTTGGGTGTATGTTTGTCTTACTGTGTTAACTAACATCGATTATGGAGCTGATGGATTCTTTCCCCTCGTATTTAATCTGAAACCGGAAGTTGGATTCTCAGCGTGAGAAGTAGTAATCGGATTTAGGGTTTAGCTGATTGTTTTTTAGTCTAATGTCTTGTATAGAACTGATCCGCGTAATTTATCTCCTATCTAGAAATTGAGTGAGCTTCACTCTCACACAGTGACGGATTGATTGGGTATATTGCGGATTTCTTCGCCAAATTTCTGTACGTTTTGATTGGGGGTGATATTCTTTTTGATTGTGGAACTGCCTGGATCTACTCTCTGGAGGTCAAACTTGAAATCAGAACTATCTAGTTTTGTAACATGGGGATTCGTATCACGTTATGGTTAGCTGCAGGGATGTAGAAGATGGGTTGTAAAAAGCTTAGATGAAACTTGTTTGACCTGATAAACTTTCCCTTCTCATTCTCAGTAATTTTATTCTCTTGGGCGATCTAGTAGTGGTTTGGTACATACATTTTGGGATGGGCGTGCCACCTTAATTTTGTTTAGCTGTTGATTTTGTTTCATCGAATATTGCAATATGTTTTCCATAATTGGGACTTTTGAGTTAATTCTGTCATTTTCTTTTTTCACATTTTATGTCTCTCATATTTGTTATTATCTATGTAGATCTTGAGGCTGAGATCCGCGCATTACAGCTCGATTCGGCAGGTAATTCCTGAAGAAAACAAGCCTAACAATCATTTTATTATTTCAATGGTACTAAATATTGGTTGACACATGCAGATGAAAACAATGGAGTTGTCGTTCCGGAAGATCATAACGCAGATGGAGTTGAGAAAATGGATATAGCAGAAGAAGGTTCACTGTTACATTCTTTGTCACTCTGTTTAAGTTTGGCCATCTGTGGGTCGTTGGTTACTTACTGTTTCACTGTGGCTATTACATTCGTACTATACAATATTAACCTGTGTTTGAGGGAGGGTCCAAGGTTTATGCTGTGATGAGATCGAATGCTAATTCTAATACCGGATAATTATATTTGCTTTACAGAACTGAAAGACGAAGTGCAAGAATCAGTGCCAGGCCCTGATGAGCAACAAGGTTCCTAGATACTTTCTGCTCACTCTCTTTCAATTTATTTTCCTAAAAGTTAGTTAAATTTATATGAGGTATGCCACGTTGTTGATATATCTTCTGCAATTTGGTGGTTTCAGCTTCCGAGGATCATGATCAAGAAGTGCTCCATCCAGTGCATAACCCAGCGAAAGGTTCTTAGATTTTCTTACACTACTCCTGCCTTGTCTTTCTGCAATCTTGTTGTCTGGTTGAAGATTTATATTTCTTTCTTGTATATTCAATCAATTTAGCTAAAGAGAAGGCAGCCCAAGAGAAGGCTGCGAAAGAGGAAGCTGAAGATGAGGCAGAAGCAAACAAAAAGCGACACTTGAATGTGGTGTTCATTGGGCATGTTGGTATGGCTATATCCTTGTTGACTTCTTTTCATCAATTCTACCTTCATAATAGATAAATCTGGTATATTTTCTAAAATCAATTTCGGGGAAGTTTATGATTGTAAGAAAATTGCCTTGTGTAGATGCATGATGTCAAAAGCTTATTTAACTCAGCTTTGAAATTCCTGTCATGAGCTTTCAGTCTGTGTGTGTTTTAAATTTGTTATGGCTGATTCTTGCTTTAATCTTTACACGACCACTTTCGCTAATAGATGCAGGAAAGTCTACAATTGGAGGACAGATTCTCTTCCTTAGTGGTCAGGTAGACGACCGACAAATCCAGAAGTATGAGAAGGAAGCAAAAGAAAAAAGTAGAGAAAGTTGGTGAGTGTTTCTGATTCATTCAAATTGATAAGGAGTGCTCCTGTTCTAGTTTTCTGTTTTCATAAACTTGTTTATTTTTCCTGTATGCTAGGTATATGGCATATATAATGGATACAAACGAAGAAGAGAGGGCCAAGGTACTTCTTTTGTTTTGATTACTAATTCTTCGTTTGCTAGAACTATTTGTCCTAAAAGATAGAATTCACTTGTCTATAGATTTCCCAGCACTGTTAATGGTTGAATCAAACTTATCTAAGTGATATGGGTAACTTGCTACATTTGACAGGGTAAAACGGTCGAAGTTGGGAGGGCTCATTTTGAAACCGAGAGTACTAGATTTACCATTTTGGATGCCCCGGTAAGAGTTCAACCTGAGATAATAGTTTTTGTTTATTTGTCTTTCATGTGGAGTTTTTTTATTCTAATTCTCTTGTGCTTTTATGAATTTGTAGGGTCACAAGAGTTATGTGCCAAATATGATTAGTGGAGCATCTCAGGCGGACATTGGTGTGCTGGTTAGTCAGTAATATGTTAATGCATCTCTGATTCTTTATTGTAGCTAGCGTCTTTGGTTGGAAGCCTATTAATTCCATGTCCACGGCCCTCTGTTGCAGGTCATTTCGGCTCGAAAAGGTGAATTTGAAACAGGATATGAGAGGGGTGGGCAGACACGTGAACATGTTCAACTCGCAAAAACATTGGGCGTGTCGAAGCTGGTCGTTGTTGTGAACAAGATGGATGATCCAACTGTGAACTGGTCGAAAGTGAGGTATTTACATTGACCTTACTAATTCTTGTCACTATTGATTTTCATATCTCTTTCCGTTTATCCCCGTATTTATGTACTCGTATACAGGTACGATGAAATAGAATCAAAAATGGTACCATTTCTGAAATCCTCTGGCTACAACACAAAGAAAGGTATGCACTGAACTATAAACGTTACAGATTAACTATGGTCTAATTGCATGATTAATTTGTTCTTTTACTCTTTTGTTGTGAAGATGTTATCTTCTTGCCTATATCTGGTCTAATGGGGATAAATATGAACAAAAGGATAGATCAAAACGTTTGTCCTTGGTTCAGTGGCCCTAGTTTTTTCGAAGTCCTTGATTCTATTGAAGTTCCGCCACGGGATCCTAATGGCCCATTCAGGTGAACCTTTACTATACCGTTTTTTTCTTTCCGGTTTGTTCTTTGTTATCAAATATTGGTTGATGCATTCATGAAATCCATGACTTGTGCATTCATGTCGGCAATAACATCTATATGCATTCTGCGTCACTTGCAACTACTCCAGCATATGTTTTACCCTGCGTAGTAGGAAATGTCTTCTATAGTTTCTTTTCCATTCTCTTGTGAAACTAGAATTATTGTCTGTTAACCCGAATTGATTTTATGAATTGTAGGATGCCAATTATTGATAAATTCAAAGACATGGGAACTGTTGTTATGGGAAAAGTAGAATCTGGCAGCATTCGGGAGGGTGACTCCTTGATTATTATGCCAAACAAGGTACTTTCTAGATATCTGTTCTCACATTTCATATTTAATTGCCATCTTAGTGCTCCTAATGACTTTCATGCATCACTATAGGAACCCGTAAAAGTTGTTGCTATATATTGCGATGAAGATAAAGTTAAGCGCGCAGGACCGGGTGAAAATTTGAGAGTCCGTATTACTGGCATTGAGGATGAGGATATCCTTTCAGGCTTTGTTTTATCCAGCGCAGGTGAGTATGAAACTTTTCACTTAATTTTTGTCGATATCTGGTATCTTAGCCTTCTTGTTTTCGTAGTTGTACTAATCTGGAGTTTTTCTTTGTTTTCTCTCGCAGTAAAGCCTGTCCCTGCTGTTACTGAGTTCGTTGCCCAACTACAGATCCTTGAGCTGCTTGACAACGTAAGTACATGTTTCTCCTCAAATTTTGAGTATATACAGCTGTGAATAGTCTTGCTTTCTTACCTTATATTCATAAGCGTAATCCCTCGAGCCTTCATTATTTTGCTGGTCCTGTAGGCTATTTTTACAGCTGGTTACAAGGCTATTCTGCACATTCATGCGGTTGTTGAGGAATGTGAGATAATCGAATTGATAAGCCAAATTGATATGAAGACGAGGAAACCCATGAAAAAGAAAGTTCTGTTTGTGAAGAATGGTGCTGCTGTTGTGTGCCGTATACAGGTCTGGTTCCTTCTGATTGCCTTTTCTCTCCCTAAAACTTTATTCACAGCCACAGGTTTTAGCCAATGAAAGAAAAAGCTGAAATATTACTTAAAAACTTGGAAATCCTAATCTCTGCTATCTCTTGCTGTATCTCTGCAGGTTACCAACTCAATCTGTGTTGAAAAGTTCGCAGACTTCCCTCAACTTGGAAGATTCACTCTACGAACTGAAGGTAAAGAAAAGATTTCTGAGACAAAAACAAATGCAATGCAGAATATGATCACTCATCTTAATTTATGTGCATGGTTTAAAAATTCTATCTCGGGTTAAATACAGGGAAAACTGTTGCTGTTGGAAAGGTGACTGCTCTCTCAGGTGCTACCTCAAGCGCTTGATCCAATTTTGTGAGAAGAAAGGTGAGACTTAGTCTTATGATTTCAACTATTTGGAACCACCAAAGGGAAGAGTTATCTTTTAGGAAACAATCCAATCTAAACCGGTTTCTGGTTCTTTGAACTGCAGGAGACGGCTTTCGGGTTACACCAAGATAGGGATTTAGGAAAATGCTGTATTAAGAATGATCGGACGAAGTAAGCTGAGTTCCCTCAACCCAAACCTTAGTTCCTTTCCTCTGGTGCACAATTGAGGTGTGAGATTCACTGCTGCAGAGAGGTGTAACCTTTGACCGTTTTCTGGAAATTTAAATACTAGAAAAGAGTATTATGATGATGAACATAAGTGAGTTTTTTTTCTTGTTAAGCTAAATTTACAATTGTTGCTACCATTACCCTTGTAGCTGAGTCTTTTTCGGCCTTTTGGAGTTTGCTATTTAATAGTTGAGGAAACACTATTTGTTCCTTGATTCTTGTCTTGCTCCGTCTTTTTGCTCCTTGTGACCTGACTGATGCAGTTTTTTGGGGGGGGGTTTGCTCTGCCATTCCACAGCTTCGTGCACCCAAAGTTCATTAGTATATTCAAACCAAATTAGATTGAAACCTCTAGACCTATAATTTTTTTTCCACTTTTTATAAATCAAACCGAAGTGGAATATATGTTAACCCGCCTTGGATTAGACCACAACGAAGAACAAATGTTATTCAAATCTGTTTATTTTTCTTTCACACCAAAATGCCTAACAGAGTCAAGTCGAAAATTTGGCGGATTTAACCGACTTGAACCAGAATCTAGGCGAAACAATTCTAAAAAATTGAATAGCATTCGGATTGGTACGGTAGTGGTGATATGGAGATGTGGTCGAGAAAGATAATTTAATTGAAAGCTTTTCTCAGCCAAATAAAACTGGTGGATCACAATAGAACGACCAGCTCTGGTGTTGTTTTTTTGAGTTTGGTCTGTGTGAAAAATTGATGTGGAAGGAAAAAAGAAGAATGACGAAGAAAGTAAAAGAGTCGGGATCTTCTTTCTAGAGACGAAGATGGCCTCACTAGCTTCTTGGGTTTTGTCTCCATCTTCTTCTTCTCTCGCCTTTAATCGTCGCCGGAGATTACATTTGGCGAAAGCCACGGTCGATGGTATCGTTCCACCGGCACAAAGTCAAATCCCTAACAAAGTACGCTCCTTCTTTATTTCAATGCTTTATTGGTTCAGAGGACTATATATGTAAATGAAACGTCGTTGTAAAGAACTGTGTTTTCTGCAGAGGGATTTAGAGAAACTTTCGTTGATCTTATTGCATGACCATAGAATTTCGTGGAACTAAGGTTTAAGAGCTGTGATATGTTGGTTGGTTAGCAAACAAAACCACGGAAATTAAAAAATAGACTATGAGTTACTACTTATTTCAAATGCAAACTCTCTTATGGGTTGAGAATTTTGAAGCAACTAGTTTTTAATTAATTCTGAAATCTTTTTGTATATGTTACTCACTCCGTATTTGTAGGAGGTAACGGAGAGCGTGAAGCTGTTAAAAACCGCGGCAAAAACTCGAAAAGTTGCAGCGGACGAGATTTTAACTGCCTTCTCCGCCATTGAAAAGGCTAAGATTGATCCATCCACATTCCTCGAAACACTGGGTGGATCCGAGTCCCCTGGACGAACATGGATGCTGATCTTCACTGCCGAGGTCTATTAAAACCTAATTAAGCCCTTCATGTCTTAAAATGTGCTAGTCTTGATTCAAATCACTGACATGGGATCTTATATACCATACAGAAGAAACTGCAGAAAGGTCGTTATTTCCCTCTAACCGCTGTTCAGAGGTTTGATGCTGCGGTAAGTCCATTCTTTATCTTCCAAACTAAAATGGTAGCCTTAAGGCCTGGATTCTCAGTGACATGTGGTTTCAGGCACTTATAACTTAAGTCCTGAAAGCCAGACATTTTCGAAGTAACAGAACAGTTGTTTTTTTTGTTTGAATCTTGGATCAGGGAAAAAGAATAGAGAATGGTGTGTATCTTGGTCCGATAGGAGCTTTGACATTCGAAGGAAGGTTTTCATGGAAGAACCGTATCCTGGCTTTCATCTTCGAACAGATTCGCATCAAGATTGGACCTTTAGATCCTCTAGAGATCGGTTTAGGGAAGAAAGACGCAAAGGAAGAGCCGAGTAACAAAGACCCTTTCTTCATTTGGTTTTACGTTGATGAAGAAATAGCTGTTGCTCGAGGAAGAAGCGGCGGTACAGCTTTCTGGTGTCGTTGTCGCCGCATTGCTTCGTGATGGATGATGAACTCTCTTCTTCTTCTCTGAAAGCTAATCATGTTCTGATGTAAAACCGGATGGTTTCATGTTGTGGTGCTAAAAATGTATCGATTTTCGGTTTGATTAAACCGGGCTTAATAGAAACTGGACTGTGTTTGTTCATTTCGATCGAAAACGTTGTCGTTTAGAGTGACCTTTATGATCTACTGTTAAGCGCACTCGCCCACTTTTCCAGCTAGAGGAGAGTTTTCTCCTTTCCTTTATTCTTTTTTCTTTTTCAATTTTTTTTGTTGGTTTCCCTCGATTTGCCGATTCCGACTGCAAACGCGCCAACGGCTACTTTTTCTCCGGGGCCGGAGCTCCGACGTAGGAAACCCTAAATTTTGCTGAGTCTTCCTCATCGTCGAAAATTTATCGATTTAGAGAGCAATCGAGTTGTAGAGAGGGGTTTTCTGAAAACCAACGTAGACAAGAACAAATATTATTGGTTGTAGCTTGGTGGTTTTAGAATTACCGCAAATGCTGGAAATGGAGCAGCCAAAGAAAGTTGCTGATAGGTATCTCAAGCAAGAGGTTCTTGGGCAAGGTACTTATGGAGTCGTCTTCAAGGCCACTGATACTAAGGTGATTTCTATGCTCGTATCTTCATATTCGTGGCGAGCTCATGAAATTAGGGTTTAGGATTTGTCGATATTATTAAATTTTCTCGTCTTCTGGGTCCAGATATTCGTGTATCTTTAGGGGATTTTGTTGGGTTTTCTCTTTGAGAATCGTGAAGAGTTAGTGCTGAGAATTATTATTTTTTCGTATGATTTTGATTTTCAATATGGATCTTGCAACCTTTTCTGGGTATTTGCATCTCTCTCCCTCACACACACAGATTTTCAGATGAATTTCATATTAGATTTTGAAGTTGTAGTTCCTTTGGAGTATGGGAAGTAATTGTTTTTTTCTTGGGGTATTTGCAGACGGGAGAAACTGTAGCAATCAAGAAGATAAGGATTGGTAAACAAAAGGAAGGTATAAATGTTACGGCTCTCAGGGAAATCAAAATGCTCAAAGAGCTGAAGCATCCACATATCATTCTGCTGATAGATGCATTTCCTCACAAAGAAAACTTGCATCTTGTATTTGAGTTCATGGAGACTGACCTCGAAGGAGTCATTCGCGATTCAAACACATTCCTTTCACCCGCCGACATTAAATCTTACCTCCTAATGACACTAAAAGGACTTGCTTATTGCCACGAGAAATGGGTTTTGCACAGGTACCTTTTTATCCTAAAGAACTTGCTGCTATTTGTCTCTGTAACGTTTGCTTGGTTTACCACTGATTATATTTCGCTTGACGTCAGGGATATGAAGCCAAATAACTTGTTGATAGGACCTGATGGACAGCTTAAACTTGCAGATTTTGGGTTAGCACGTATATTTGGTAGTCCAGATCGTAAATTTACTCACCAGGTTTGGTTTTTGCGCATTGCCATCTATCTTTTGCTTGAAGTATAACTAAATTGATCGGTGAAAAACTAACTTGTAGGAAACTAATCTCAAATGAATTCATTAACGTAGTTTTTACCTGTAGTTATGTCAATGAATGAGGTAGCTTTGAAGTCTCGGAAACTCTTTTGTTTTTTCTTGTTGTATTAATAAGTATGAACTCAAATTACATGGTGGAGCTGTTGCTATTTCATCTCGGTATTATTGATTATCCAAAACCCTGACCTGAGCGATTCCTGCCTATTTTTTCTTTTACTTTGAACACAGTTGGTTACAGTAGATGCGGAACGCACCTTAATTCCTGTTGTTTCTACTTCTTTCATTAACTTTCATATCTTGATATTTCGGATGATGCACAGGTGTTTGCTAGATGGTACAGAGCACCAGAACTTTTGTTTGGTGCAAAACAATATGGTGCTGCAGTTGATGTTTGGGCTGCTGGCTGCATATTCGCCGAACTTCTGTTACGCAGACCATTTCTTCAGGTTAAATCATCTTTACTCATCTCATCATGATTAAAATTATAAATTTAGTCCAACGTTCATCTCTTTGGATCTTATACTGTACTCTCAGTCAGACTACTTCATACTTTTTCTAGTATTATTTGTTTTGTATGCTTACATATTTGGTTTTCCTTCGACGCAGGGAAACAGTGATATTGATCAATTAAGCAAAATATTTGCTGCCTTTGGGACACCGAAAGCGGATCAGTGGCCTGACATGACAAACCTTCCTGATTATGTCGAATACCAATTTGTCGCTGCACCGTCTCTACGTTCTTTATTCCCAGCAGTTAGTGGAGATGCTCTCGACTTGTTGTCCAAAATGTTTACATATGACCCAAAGGCTAGAATTTCCGTTAAGGAGGCTCTAGAACACAGGTGCCTAAAGTTGTCCACCTATTTATAGGCAAAGTATATCAAGTGATCTTCTCACGCCTCTGTCTTTTTCATATTTATAGGTACTTCACTTGTGCACCCGCTCCCACTGACCCTGCGAAGCTCCCAAAGCCACTTCGCAAGCAAGAATCTAAGGCCTCTTACGGTAAACATGATGCAAATAAAGTGGTATCACCACCACGTAAGGTTAGAAGAGTGATGCCTGAGCGTGGGAAGCTTGATTGTTTGAAGTCTCACGTTGAAAAGGATCAACAAGCACCCATGTCATTAGATTTTACTGTCTTAGCTGAGCGGCCTCCAAACCGACCTACCATCACCAGGTAATTTCCCCTACACTCGATTGCTAGTCTCAGATGCTTTTGCAGCCTCAAGGTTAAATGTGTTTTGATGGCTTCTTCTTCTTTCTCATTTTTGTAGTGCCGATAGATCTCATCTGAAGAGGAAACTCGACCTCGACTTCTAGTAGTAATTCTCTTGCCTCGTTGTCTTCTTATCTTCGTTTGCATGCTCTGGTGAGCCAACAACAATGTTCAATTGTCAATTTTTACTGCGGCTGGTGTAAGCTGGCAATTTATTCTTGTTTACAAACTGGAGGAGGAAGCCTAAAATCCACAGTGATAATACTTCATTGTCCTATTTGCTTTATTCATTGTAAACAGATCATCGTGTACTATGATTATAAAGCTCTCTACTTTTGCTTCTGCGAATCTTTTGCACTAAAGAGAGAGCTCCGTTCAATCTTCAAACTCATATTTTTCTTTCAGTGGTGGCCACAACCCCCAAGTGTATAATTAATCCATTAGCTACAAAATCATTGACAGCTAAAGAAGAGTTTACCAACAAAAGGTTTTAAACTTTCACACAAGCCAAGAAAAAAAAACAGATGTCCACAGGTTTTCTTTTTGTCATTCGCGTTTGAAGACAATAACGATGGCTGTGCAGTTGTCCTTGCAATGACGTTCTTTCGCAGCTTCCTTAACAAGACGACGACTTATTGTGCTTACAGACAAGCCCTCCTGCAAAATTACAGCTGTCAGTAAACCCCTCATTCATGTTCTTTATTTTGGTTTCTTTCAATGAAGTTGAGTGTGAAACGGAGGACAAAACGATTTGAACAAGTGGAGTTTCGTACCTTCAAGAGTTTCTGAACAAACCCAACAGCATCGCTTGTTCCAAAAACCTGAAAACGGATGCAGTGTGTAGATTAAATGAGCAAACTTTGAATATAGAAAGACAAATGGGATGTTCTTATAGAGAACTTCATCAAAAGAAACGACGAGCTTACTTCCCACAATCCATCGCAACCAAGAATCATGAAGTTTTCTCTCTCAGTTAATTCAAATGCATGAATGTCTGGAGTTGCAGTGACACCAAACTGGATACAATAACCAGTGTTAGATGCGAATAACTCACATAATTTTAGAATGACTAACAACTTAAAGTCAAGATTAATGCCTGGGGTTGCCAATGAGATGAAGCAAGAGGGTTCACGAAAATGTCGAAAATACCATTACCTTCTTGAATTGACGATCACCAAAAGCCCTAGAAACCTCAAGACGCCCTTGCAACCGTCCATTTGAGCTTACAGCACCACCTGACTGCGAAACTCAAACCAAGTTATTAACAGAACATCATGGCAGAGAAATCTCTGTCTGGCTCATTATAGACAAACCTTTTGAATGCGAGAACGCTCCTGTGGATAAATTGCCTTGTGCTCTCTTGTCAAAACAATTGCTTTGAGAGGATTACATGATGCTTCCGTATGATTTCCCAATTCGCTGGCAGACGAGGATCGTGCCAAAACAGCCTTAGCATCACCAATATTGGCAACAAAAACCTAAAATGCATGAGAGTTTAAGAGTGTGTAATGTATAGTGGAGAATTTTTGTGAACTCCATGTAGAAAAAAAGTCCCACAAATTTTCATCCCCACGGTCATACCTTCTGATCAACTATCCAGACACACACTGCTGTAGCGCCATCTTTCCATCCTCCTGCACACACACAGGGCACAAAGGTCAGGGAGAAGAACAAATTCGAATAAACTCAAGAGCTTTTATGGAGAAGATAATAGCAAAACAATCAACAGCTGAGAGAAAAGTGTAACGTGAATACACAAATCTACCTGAAACACTTTCTTGCAGGAGCAACTCATCGGTTTTCCGGAAACCTGATAGTGAAGTCGTATTATCAGTTCAGAATCTGTGGATTTCAATAGCTAAAAATGGACTGATTTATAAGATAGTAAAGCTGAAAAGACGCATGGAGTGGACTTATAATACCTTCAAGTATGGCTTTTTTAGCAACCTTGACGTCCATCTGAAGCAGCAATCGAACGTTTGGACAAAAAAAAGGACGAGAAAGAAGGTGAAGTGAGAATCTACTGAGAGTGACAGCAAAACAGTCTTGGTTTGCGATAAGAACAACATTATAAAGCTGAACCATTTAGAACAGACCAACTCACGTGGTAACCCAGCTGTAAGAACGTTGAGGTGAAGATGCTTCTTAGCATACTCCGCAGCTAAACGACCACCATGGCCATCATAAATAGCAAAATGCGCACACCTACATTATACAAGTATAACATCAATACAGAAGAGCTTGTAAAAAGAGAGAAAAATATCATTTTGCCAAATCAAGCCTTAGGATTTTCGGAATTCTTAAGTCCCACAACTTTTCTCACAGAATTGTACCAATTATCAAACTTTTAAGTGCAACTGAGAGCTTCCATTTACCTTAGTTTCCCTGGGAAATCCAAAGAAGCGTCGGGCAAAACCACCCAAACATCTTCCATTGTCTGTCTACCTCCTCTGTCTTCAGCAGCAGCAGCTTCAATTAGAAATCCCTTCTTCTCTTCACTTACACAGCTAGAGCTTTCTTCTTCCGCCGCTCTATCACCAACGGCGGCTATGGCTTCTTCTCCGCCGGAAATCTCCTGCTTCTCGTCTTCTGCACCACTGGGGATTTTCGGATCTTCAGTATCACATCCGGCCTCCTCTGACTTCTTGGCCTTCTTCGCCGGCGAGATCAAATCCGAGTCAGCCACGTGTTTGTGGTTCGGTTTCTCCATTGCACCCAAACCAGCTTCCTTCACTCAATTTGTTTCCGGAAAAATAATCTAGCCGCAATCGCCGTCGCGCGAAGGCTTTAAACAAAGTCGCACAATTGTTTTTTACTGTTAGGACCCATAGTATCTGTATATTTCATTTTAACCCCCCAAATAACGTTTTTTACTTCTGTGCTCACAACGATTTTCAAGTTGGCGGCTATTTCACCGTTGCAGTTAGTTGCCATTGCTTAAGGTTTAGTTTTTCAGAGAACGTTCCATCTAACAGAGTGATATTCATAAAGGTCTTTTTTATACATTCAGCGAAGACAGTTTCTGTTCTGCTTGAGGAAATTGTAAGAGACGACGGTATGTACTAAGTTTTTAAAGTAATTGCAAATGTGTTATGGTAATTTGCAGGTCCTTGAGAAGGATGTGAATGGCGTTACACACTATCCTCACGGAAAACCCTGAAGCCAACTTGTATCCTCTGTTGTGTTATGTTCATCTACTAATCAAAGATTCAAAAAAGTTGTGTGGAACACTCCACAGAGGACCTTACTTACCAAACAGTCTCAATGATAGGCATAAAGAAATAGAGAGACCTTTCACTGCTCTCAAATCTTTGTTACTGTCGGATTCATAACCAATCATCAATGTATCTCAACGACAACGTTTAAGATTTGTACTATAAACAGTGTTCTAAATTTCTTCTGTATACTTGCGCTCTAAGCTTTATTACCACTCACATCATCATCACCTTCGTCTTCGTCTTTAACAAACACGTAGACAAGAAGAGCCAGTAAAGGATAACTCACAGTCGTGAGTGACCAGTTCACAATAAGCTGTGACATTAATGGAACCTTACGTGTATCCACTTGCCAAGCTACTGCAGCTCCTGCGCTCTGCACTCCTTTGTAGAATCCACTGTATCTACTCAGAGTCTGCGAGTCGTCAGCGAGTGCTCCGATCAACCAATACACCATACTCTGATACATCGCATCTAAGAGTCCGTAGCTCATATACAGCACGAACGGCCCGGCGAAGTCTCTGCCGGAATCTTTGAAATCAAGTTTCTTCTCCGGTAGATTGTCAAACGAGTAAGCGTGCTGATTCGCTAGCCCTCCTGCCCAAATCACGGTTCCGATCACCGCGACTAAGGATATTCCGGCGAACCCTCTTGCTCTCCGGCTCTTGAAGCTGAAATCCATTATATAGCCGATTGCAATCGATCCGGCCATTTGAGCTCCCCAGTAGAAGACATTGTTGAATCCTCTGGTTCTTAGGTTGAAGAGAAGCCCGTTCACGTTGTTGAACTGGTAGCTGTAGAAGAAATTGCTAGCCCAAGCCGCCGGGACGATGAGGAGCATTTTCCGATCGAGGAATTGTCTGAGCACGGCGGCGAATTCTGTCGACGGCTTCGAGTATTTCACGGCGGAGCATTTAGATCCGTCGTCACGGATCACGGAAGTCGCCGGGAGGATTCCGAGCGAGAGGAGAACGCCGGCGAACATGAAACACATGAACGCGATGTACGTCGCGTCGTTGACCGATGCGGCGGAGCTACGGTGGTAGTTGAGGATAAACGGGATCAATCCGCCGATTACGCCGCCGAGATTGAAGATACTCCAGAACAACGCGATGTAAGTGCCCTTCCGATGCGGCGGAGGGTAAGACGTCATCACCGCTCCTTCTCCGGCCCACAGAAGTCCCGCACCGCAACCCAGCAGAGCTCCGGCGACGATGGCGAAGGCTTGGTGGTGGTGATGGTTGTAGTAGAGGAAAGATCCGGCGTAGAGCACGTAAGTCGAGCAGCCTGCGGCTAACGTGAGCCGTGGACCGAGGACGTTGTAAAACGCGCCGCCTAAAACTCCGAAAACGGTGAAAGCGGTGTAAACGGCCGTGTTAGCGTTGTTAGCGGCGGTGGGATCGACTTGGCCACCGCCTCCCATGCCGGAGAGAGCGTTGAACATGCCTGGACAACAGAAACAGACGAAGCCCATTAAGCTCACTTGAGCTAGAGGAGAATTGAATCGCCATCGTCTTCTCTCCGGCACCGGTGGCTTATTATCCTCTCCGCCGCCGTGATTCTCAGCCGGAGTTTTCTCTTCGTCTCTTACACTCATGATCGGAAACCGTTGAAGATAAACAATTTTCTCTCCTTAACTCAAGAGCACGGATATCTGATGGTAAATTTGTTACTATTCTTCCTTTAATGGCGGAGATCTTCACGGGAACAAGAATATTTTGAAAATATTAATTAATTATTTTCTTAAATGTGTTGAATCTGATACCCCCTAGTACTTAATCTGATCCTAGTATCTAACTGTAATAACTCCAGCGAAAAGAACAAGACGATTACGTACTTTGTTAGAAATTTCAACGAAGGAAAATATCATTTACTAATTTTTTAGAAAAGTAACGAATTCTTGACGTTGACAAAAAAAAACAAAAAGAGTGGATAAGATGATAAAGGGTACAAAAGAATACCCAGTAAAAACTACCGGGTCGGGTTTTTAATTTCTGGAGTCGGATCTAAAAAATCGGGTCAGGTTTAGGAACACGGTTTCTTTCTCGTGGAATATATATAGCTTCCTAAAATCCTTAAATTTATACATTTTATATGTGTGGCCCGAGAGCTTTTTGTCTAAATCCCAGACGAGAAGGGTGAAATTCGTTGCGACCCAAACCTAGAAACTCCCCAGATTATCTATCTCCTCTATTCGATTAGAGATTCTCACGAGATTTCGTCGTCCCCAATTTCCGTTTAGGGAGGAACTTATACTCTTCGCCGGAGAATCAAATCGTCGTGTATTATTTGCCCGAGATCAGCTCCGTCTACCGTATTCAGTCTACAACGATCGCCGGGTGTTCAAAGGCCGAGGCTTTCTGCTCTTCTCTCGATTCAATTCGTTGTATTAACAGTCGCTCGGATTAGGGTTTTAAGGGTTGTTCCCTGAGAAGAGCCCTCCGACTCGTCGGCTACTTTTGTATGATTCCATAGTGTTGTGCTTTATTTTTGCTTTCTTTTAATTTAGCAAAGCCTTCGCTTTTTGTATTCTGTATGATCAACAATTTCTCCATAGTAATCTTCTTCGAGTTTTCGTTTTTTAGCTTTACATTATTCGAATTATTCAGGCAAAGAATCGTTGAGAAAAAAAAAAGGATGAACTTTTTTCTTACACTCGTAGAATCTGGTTGAAACATTGAGAAAAAAAAAGTTCGCAAAGAAAAAATAGTAGAGTGAAAAAAAAAAAAACAGAGAGGATAAGAACAAAGTAAGATCGATGGCTAGTGTCCAGCAAAATGGGCAAAGGTATGGCATTACAGAACCCATCTCTTTGGGAGGACCAACAGAGCTTGATGTGATTAAGACAAGAGAGCTCGAGAAGGTTTTTGCTAATATCTTAAAGCTTGTGTATTGTTGTTATGCTAAATTTTCTTGTTGAACTACTTGTATCTTAGGTCTGTACTGAATTCTACTACGTTGATGTTACTTGGTTGTTCAGCACTTGCAAGATGTTGGATTGTACGAGAGTAAGGAGGAAGCTGTTAAAAGGGAGGAGGTTCTCGGGAGACTAGATCAGGTTTTTTACTGCTTTTGAATCTTTAAGATCTTTTTTTGCTTATGTAGATTTCATATGTGTTTGTAACAAATTCATGATTGTTCTTCGTTGCTTCCGTGTCCAGATTGTAAAAACATGGATCAAAACAATCAGCCGCGCCAAAGGATTGAATGATCAGCTACTTCATGAGGCCAATGCGAAGATATTTACTTTCGGTTCTTATCGTCTAGGGGTAACCATACAGATACATAGAAGATTAACTTTGTTTACTCATTCATTTTGTATTGTGAACGGAAATATAGTGTATTGGTGAAAGCTGTGTTTTTTTCCTACTGTTGTCTTTAGAATTTCCTGTGTAGGAAGTGGCATCACTTGTCCTCACATGCACTTTTGTGTCATTCAAACATATTGAGATCAATTTTATGTCACTTGTATCATCTCTATAAAGTGTTATTTATGATTGCAAATGGTTTTTGAAGAATTTTTCTTTTTCTTAAACTCAGTGTCCTAAGGAATTCCCTTGCAGTTGTGATTGTTTTTAGTAATATCCATATTCGAGCATACTGAGTGTTCCGATAACAGTTTGTTTTGCTTCCTCAAACAGGTACATGGACCTGGTGCTGATATAGACACTTTATGTGTGGGGCCTAGACATGCAACTAGAGATGTACTACAACCTCTTGCATCTATACATTGGCCAGCCTGAATATATCTTCTGTCGATTTATTGTGTTTAACATTCATCTTTATTTTTGCCAACAGGGTGATTTCTTTGGTGAGCTACAAAGAATGCTGTCGGAAGCGCCTGAAGTAACTGAACTGCACCCTGTACCTGATGCTCACGTTCCATTGATGGGATTCAAACTTAATGGAGTTTCTATAGATCTCCTTTATGCACAACTTCCACTCTGGGTTATCCCTGAGGTAATAGTTTGATTAATGAGGATTTTATTTCAGCTATGTTTAGGAAATAGATTCCATTTTGCAGATTATTTTTCTTTTAACTCATTGATATCAACCCAATAAACCCATTCCTACTTATTACAATCAAATTGTTTCACGCTTCATAGTTGTGAATGGATCTATGGGAAAATAGTTAATCTGATACTGTCCCTGTCTGATGTTACTTGTGCAGGACTTAGATATATCGCAGGATTCCATTCTACAGAATGCTGATGAGCAAACTGTTCGAAGCCTCAACGGTTGTAGAGTTACTGACCAGATCTTGCGTCTGGTTCCTAACATTGAGGTTTTGTGCTCACTGAGGATAAATCTCTTTAACTTTTATAAAACTTTTATAACTCATCCGTTTGATTTAATTAGTCTGAATCTATGTTTTTTTCTATGAGCAGAATTTCAGGACAACGTTAAGATGCATGCGGTTTTGGGCCAAGCGACGTGGAGTATACTCTAATGTATGGAGAATTCTTCTCTAGAGCACTTTTACTCCATTTTTTTTTCTATGTGACTATCATGTTGCTTATGTCGGGTCTCTTTTCGACAACTGCTAGGTCTCCGGATTTCTTGGTGGTATAAATTGGGCATTGCTGGTAGCTCGGATATGTCAACTTTATCCTAACGCCCTCCCAAATATGTTAGCGTCACGGTTCTTTAGGGTCTACACTCAATGGCGTTGGCCGAATCCTGTCCTCCTTTGTTCTATGGATGAAGGATCCCTCGGCCTTCAAGTTTGGGATCCTAGAAGAAACCCGAAGGACCGGTTGCACATGATGCCCATCATTACTCCCGCTTATCCTTGTATGAACTCCAGTTATAATGTCTCTGCAAGTACATTGCGGATTATGACAGGAGAGTTTCAGAGAGGCAAAGAAATATGTGAGGTAATGGTTTTGGCTATAATGGTCTTATTAATGGTTTGCGGATTTAGATAGTCCTAATAATGGTTTTGGCTTATATGCAGATTGATACTTATTACAATCGTTTGATGTCTTGCAGGCTATGGAAGCAAACCAAGCAGACTGGGATACCCTTTTTGAGCCATTTGCATTCTTTGAAGCGTACAAAAACTATCTTCAGATTGACATCTCTGCTGCAAATGTCGATGATCTAAGAAAATGGAAAGGATGGGTTGAGTCACGTCTCAGACAGCTCACACTAAAGGTGAAACTCTTGTTTATTCTCTTAGTTGATATTTTTAAAAAAAGTCCGTATATATAACAACACTGACTATTTTACTTGGATATTTACATTGTACTCTTAGATTGAGAGGCATACTTTTGACATGCTTCAATGCCACCCTCATCCACATGATTTCCAAGATGCATCCCGACCACTCCATTGTTCTTACTTCATGGGTCTGCAACGTAATCAAGGAGTTCCAGCAGCAGAAGGCGAGCAATTCGATATCAGAAGAACCGTCGAGGAGTTTAAACACACTGTTAACGGTTACATGTTGTGGATTCCCGGGATGGAGATTAGTGTCAGCCATATCAAGCGAAGAAGCATACCGAGCTTTGTGTTTCCTGGTGGAATTAAACCTTCACATGCCTCTAAAGGAACATGGGACAGCAAACGCCGTTCAGAGCATAGAATCTCTTCTACGGCAAGTGCAGCTACTACTACTACTAATGAAGCGAGTTCTGAAAGTAAAGCTGGTTCTAACAGTCCAGGAGATGGGAGGAAGAGAAAATGGGGAGATGATGAAACTCTCACCGATCAGCTACGGAACTCTAAACACGTTGCTGTTACAGTGCCTGTAGACAATGGTGAAGGCGGGAGCCCGAATCCATCTGTTGGATCCATTTGTTCAAGTCCTCTGAAAGATTATTGTACAAACGGTATATCTGATACCATCAGTAAGGATCCACCAGAGATTGATGTTTCTTTCAGTAGGGACGCACAAGAGAGTCATCCAATAGAGAAGATAAGCACTCCTCTAGCTCCGAGTCAAGAAACAGAGGAGCTTGAAGACAGTTTTGATTTTAGGAATCAAGTGATTGAGCAGATTTCAAATAAAGACGGAATCTCGGTGGGCACTGCAACTATACCACCGTTCGAGGCCAATACTTTAAATGGCTCACCATTCTACAATGAAGCAGTGGAAGAGCTTGAGGTTCCTTTTTTTTTTTTAATCAGTTTCATTACTTAAACTGGTTTCTTGATCTTGTTCTTATCTGAATTTTCTTTTCTCAAAGGTTGTTCCAATGCGGCAGCCCGAGGTGACGCATAGAGCTTCAGTGCAACAGCGAAAACCGATAATCAAGTAAATGGGTTTTTATTTTTATACTTCATTTTTGAATCTGCATATTGGATTTGACAACGTTTGCTAACTTTTGTTGTTGTCGGATTATTCGCAGATTGAGCTTCACGTCTCTAGGCAAAACCAACGGCAAGTAATAATGGGTCTTCCTTACATTTCCAAGAATCTCAGAGCTTATCGAAATTCGAGATATGTTACGTTGAAGGCCTCTTTTTTTGCTTTATTATGTAAAATAAGGATTTTATATGTTGCGACTTTCACTCAATGTAAACTCTTTTTGGATAAGAATGATAATAAGATTTATCTGCAAGAGATTGAGTTTCTTGTTAACAAAAGCTTCGTGTCTTTTTTTTCTTTTCTTGCTACAACTTCTCGTCGTCATTGCAAACTTTTAAATAGAATAACTAAATCTATTACCATAATATAAAAACAAGTTAAGTGACTGTAAAAAAGAAAAAGAAGCTGCAGAATCCGTAGATCACACAAACTCTTGTTCTTACAAGTGCTATTTATATAATATTTCAATCATATAAAAAGACCCAACAAGGGAAAATAAGATCAAGAAAACACATAACTGTAACTGCAAAATCACAAAACAACAAATATGAATCAAGTATCAGATGATTTGGATCTATACAGCAAGAGCCAAAAGGCTTAAATGAAATATCTTGAGATATCAGAAACTAAACAAGACACACATCTCTCAAGGCTTGACGTATGCTGACTTCTTACAGACAGGACAAGCATTCTTCCTCGACAGCCACTGTTTCACGCATTTGACATGGAAGCTGTGTCCACAGTCCAATCTCCCAACCTGACCCTCTCTCTCATACTCATCCTGTCATCAGCAAACATGAACACTACAGTCATGATCTTAAAAGCAATAATCTTTCTTAAGTTTTGAGAAGATGTGGATTGACATACCTGACAGATGCTGCATTTTCTATCAGGAAGAGTATGCGATACAGATGGATTGATTTTCCGAAGACAACGATGTATCTCGTTTTCTTTTAGTCCAGTACTCACATAACCGATTCTATCACCAAGCTCTAGAAGTTGCTGTGTATTTCCAAGCAAAGACACGGAATTAAGTAGAGAAGATGAAATTTGTAATATTTGTCTCATGAGAGTTTGAGAAACATACCTCGTATGACATACTATCAACATCAAGCCTCAAGTTGTGGAAGTGGTCACGTGAATCTGTTATCGTTCCCATTACAAAACCATTCCTGAGCATCATCATCTGCATTGAACAGCATATTTTCAAAATGACTAAACTAGCTGCATGGTTTAGTTATTTTTTTATTTATTTAGTCACTGATTAGCAAAACAGTTTACAGCACCACTGGAGTAATAGTTCACCTAAAAAAGGATTACACTTGAGTATTTGTCTTCCTCTTTATCAGTCACTGGAATATGTAAGAGACAACAGGGCAATCTGAAAAATAGTCCCTAGTTTGATATGTAGCGAGCCTAGTAACTAGTCAAACCTTCAAACATTTACCAGATAGAAGAAAGATACGGCAACTATTACGGCATGAACGTTCTACCTCGGTAAGATCATCAGGGTAAGAGCGTCGAAGATGGCCATGGTATCTACTTGAGAACAACGTTGCTTCAGCGCGTGATGATGACATGAACGTTGAATCAGAGTTGAAGAAAGCGTGAGAATGAGATTCTTGATTGGCAAACCGCCTGTTAAGAACAGAAGAACCCTGCGGAGATTTGTAACATTGTGTGTCATCAAGCAATGTGGTTTCTCGATCAAAACAATCAATAAGAAACTTAATGAACTTGATTCAGTTAACTAATATAATCCAACCATAAGCAAAACCATGGTAACACTCCATCCTCTGACCAAGACAAGACAAAAGGATGGTAAGATTCCATTCTCTTACCGAACTAGAGTTCTCAATTCGGAATTGTTTATTGCTTATCAAACCCAGAGGACCACACATCAAAACAGAAACTAATAATAGAGAATCTCTACCAAAGTAGACCCTTGTGAGTGTCTAAAGAGAATCCAAACCAGAAACTCCAATTTAATAAAACCAACATGGCCCAGCAATAGCATAGGGATGCTACAACGACCATAGCTCCAACCACTCCAAACAGTTTCTGCCTAAACTATACTATTTGCCTAAACAAATTATTAACATTCACATTAATTACTAAATTTACCACCAAAAATACTCAAACATTCAATGGCAATTAGATCATAGAGCCCTCTGGAGTCTGGATTTGCAGATATAAATATACAACATTTACCTCTGTGTGACTAGAACTGTTCTTATCCACATCAATTTTGCGTCGCGACGGCGGAAGGTTCCTTCTTGGAGCCACTGACACGACGGGAGGATCGGCCGATCGACCAACCACCGCATCCGTCGAGAAGCCTAATCCTGGACCGCACCAAACATCTTGAATCGCGACGCAACCGCCGCCGTCAACGTCTCTAGCCTCACTCAAGAACCTAATCGAACCATCGTCGTAGCTTCCCTTGTTCTTCTTCTTCTTCTTCTTTTTCTTCTTGCTGCTTCTAATTCTCGCATCCCAATCCGCGGAGGAGCGAATCACGGAGGGAACAGAAACCTCCTGAGCTGCTGCGGCAGTGCAACCCATCCCCCGAACCCGAAACGACGCCGTCTGAGGGAGACCGAGCTGTTTCTTCCTGGTGGTTTCGTTGGAGGAACTCGGGAGGAGAAAGAAGGAAGACATTGCCGAGTTACAGAAGCGATTAGGTTGGGAAACTGGAAGGACGACGTGGGTCAGCGGCGGATCATCGTCGGCGTCGAGACGACGGATTGATTGGTTCCGCGCTCGTCGGAGTCTGACGTGCTCGCCGATTGTTCTCGAAGACATTCTCAGAGAGCGTAAACTAGTGAAGAAGAGAGAGAGAGAGAGAGTGGAAGGAGAAAATGGAAATGTGGGGAAAGAGAGAATAGACACAGCGCGGGGAGGAAAGATGAGAGAGAGTGATTTCAAGCTGATGATGAGTGATGATGATACAAAAAAAAATATAATTTATATATTTCGTATAATGATTATAGTTTAATATTCACGTGATTTTTTATTTTTCAGATTAACTTTTGTTTTTACATGCAACCGTTGGTATGATTCCAAACAAAATTAGCTCATATCTTGTGAATATGAGGTTTTTTTTAATGTTTTTGCATCTTTTGCTGTTTATTCAAAAAATAAATTAAACACTTTTAAAATTTAAAACTGATGCTTGCTTGTAAAATTGGGAAAGGTCTAATCTCGCTTTTCCTTTTGTCAGATCCTATTTCCACTAGTTTTCTTCAAATAGACTACAGGGAAGACTTCTTGATTCACTGATGACTATTGCCTTCACCTGTTGGCTGTTGAAAGCCCAATAATACTAGGACATATACAAAGCCCACAAAATTTGGTTTTATTTTATTTTTTTGGCGTTACGAAGATGTGTTGTCTGTACTAAAAAAAACTTTAAAGCTTGATCCGCACGTCTGATATAAGTAATTATAGAATATATTTAAAGCTTGATCCCGTGACGAAAATGATTATTTTTTGGGTCAAAATGATGAAAAATAAACACACATACAATAAAAGGGAAGTTAAACTCAAAACGAAAAAAAAAACATACTCGTCCGTAATTTATAGATTGGCTTTGCTCTTATTGTAATTGCAAACTCTAAAATTGATCTTGGTCTTCCTCTGTTTCATCGTTTTCTGCGCTCCTCTCCATCGATGGCGGATAATTATCCCAAGGATGAGGTTTATCTGTCAGCCGTCATCCCAAAGCGTATCAAGCTCTTCAAGGAGTTCCAGGCTAAGCAGCTCGAGCAGCTTCAGTCTCTGCCACACGATCCGATCAAGTAAATACGATGCTGATGATAACTGTTCATAGGGTTGCTTTAGATTGTTTGCATAGCTATGGCCTTTTCATCAGATTCGGTAATTTAAATAAAAGTCTGGCCGTGTGTTGTTTGTTTGTTTGTGTGTATAATTAGGGTTAGGGTTACAACTGGAGATGGTAACAAGGTGAAAGAAGGGAAGAGATGGGAGACCACTCCCAAGGACATGGCCATGCAGGTTTCTAAAGGTTTGGCAGATTCAGCGCTGGTCTCTTCCGTCAACGATGTGTTGTGGGACATGGATAGGCCACTGGAAGGTGATTGTTCACTTGAGTTTTTCGAATTCGATAGCGACAAAGGCCGTGATGCTTTCCGCCATTCTAGCGCCCACATTCTCGGCCAGGTCCTCTACTTATGATCTCATCTAAATTGTGAAAAAAACATTGAGCAACAAAAGTTCACTCGGTAGGATGATCTGTGCAGGTTCTTGAGCAGGAGTATGGGTGTAAGCTATGCATTGGATCCTGCACAACTAGAGAGGAGGTCAGAGAAGCTACTCTGTTTTGGTTCTTGGCTGTAGTGTGCAAATGAAGACAGGTCTCTGATGTTACTAGCGGATTGTTGTTGCAGGGTTTCTATTATGACGCATTCTATGGCGATCTTGGCTTAAACGACAAGCACTTTCCAAACATCGAAGCAGCTGCTGCAAAAGCTGCTCTGCTATCGTTTCCTTACAGTATAACATGTGAATTTATAATGTCACTCAGGTGTTTTATCACATTAGCTACTGCTTCTAAGTCTACATCTCTTCAGGAAGGACACCCATTTGAAAGGATTGAAGTGACTAAGGATCAAGCACTTGACATGTTTTCTGATAATAAGTTCAAGGTGTGTTAAGTAGAGATTTGGTATACGTTAAGCTCCCTTATAATACACATTTGCCTCTCTTCTGTTTGACTTTAATCATCTAAATATATAGGTTGAACACATCAAAGACAAGATCGTTACAGTCTACAGATGTGGCCCCTTGGTTGATTTGTGTAGTGGACCACATATACCAAGTACTTCTTTTCTGAAAGCTTTCAAGTGTTTGAAGGTGAAACCGCTACTCTTGTCTCTAGAAGCTACAACATCACAAATTCGAGTTTGTTTTCTCATGCTTACCAAGTTTATTTCATTTTTTTGTTTCTTTTATTCTCAGGCATCACCAGCTTACTGGCGAGGTAACAGAGAAAGCGAGAGCTTGCAGATAGTTTATGGGATATCTTACCCAGATGATAAGCAACTGAAGGTTTGTTAAAATGTCTTAATTTGGCAGCTACTCTGCCTTCAGATGATGCATGATTTCTATTATCGTGCAGGCTTATCTCGAGTCTATAGAAGAAGCGAAGAAGTATGACCACAGACTATTGGGCCAACAGCACCAACTTTTCTTTTGTCACCCACTCAGGTTCTGTATCAATGCTAATATACAACAATATTATTGTGTTTGCTAGTTCCTCTCTTTATTGTGTTTGCTAATAATATACTGTAAGAAATTCTCAGCCCTGGGAGTTGGTTCTTCCTCCCACATGGCACTCGCGTGTATAACAAGTTAATGGAATTCATTAAGAAAGAATATTGGGAAAGGGGTTACACAGAGGTTTTTCTTTTCACTGTTTAATATACTTGATGAATGTGTGTGTGAAGAGGGTTTGCTAAATTAAGCTTGAATTGGGACAGGTCATTTCACCAAATATGTACAATATGAGTCTCTGGGAAACATCCGGACATGCTGCAAACTACAAGGAAAATATGTTTACATTTGATGTAACACTCTTCTTGACTCTCTGTTACTTTAGCAATTTTCACAGGTGAAATGAAATGACATTCTCTGTATATATTTTCTTCCTTTTGCAGATTGATTAACAAGAGTTCGGGCTCAAACCTATGAATTGCCCTGGTCACTGCTTGATGTTCCAACACAGAGTTCGCTCATATAAAGGTGTCACTTTTTTTGTCTTTATATATCTTACTCATGAAGCTGTAAATTCTATCAATTATCATTGCTGACACCATCCTTTCATCGTATGGTATGTAGAGTTACCCATTAGATTGGCTGATTTTGGAGTGTTACATCGAAATGAGGCAAGTGGAGCCCTTAGTGGGTTGACCGATGTCCGACGGTTCCAACAGGTATAGTGCATTTGGATGTTTCTTGTTTTTTCTTAACACAACATGATCGTGGTGTAGTTAAAACTTGTGTAGGAGCAGAGCGATATCAGAAAATATAACATTAGTTTACATAATTGTTTTCCAGGATGATGCACACATATTCTGTACAGAGAAACAGGTTTGTGATATTTGTTTCTTATCCAGAAACGTTGTATCCTCCCAGATTCTTGTTAGAAGTATTCTGTCTGTTCACAGGTTAGTGGAGAAGTGAAAGGTGCATTGGATTTCGTTGACTTTATTTACACAAATTTTGGGTTTACCTACGAGCTAAAGCTTTCAACGGTATGATATATGGAGATTTCTTGTACCAAATCTGATTCAGTTTTAGAGATATGATCCTGTAACCCATTGTTTGCATGTTCTATTCAATTTCAGAGGCCAGAGAAGTACCTTGGAGATTTGGAAACATGGGATAGAGCTGAAGAAGCTCTTGAAAAGGCGCTAAAGGAATTTGGAAAGCCATTCCTTGTATGTGTACTACTTTCTGATGATGTTTCTACTCAAGTATATATATACACATATGCAATTTATTCTAAAAATGTGATGGATGTTTTGTGCAGCGGAACGAAGGAGACGGGGCATTTTATGGCCCAAAGATAGACATAACAGTTTCTGATGCAATGAAAAGGAGATTCCAGTGTGCTACTTTACAGGTTAAGCTTCTTTTAGTTTTTCTTTATTTCTCTCTCTCTCTCACTCTCTTGCTGTATCTGAACGGTTGTTTGCTTCTTACATATATATATATATCAGCTTGATTTTCAACTTCCTGAACGCTTCTAACTGGAATACACAGCTAAGGATGAAGGGAAGATTGAGAGACCTGTGATGATACATAGAGCGGTGTTGGGGTCTGTTGAGCGTATGTTTGCCATATTGTTGGAGCATTACAAAGGCATATGGCCCTTCTGGCTTAGTCCGCGCCAGGCCATTGTTTGCTCTTTGTCAAACACCAAAGATCATCAGGAATACGCAGAAAAGGTTTTACACTCCCTTATGAGCACCCTGCAGTTACTAGCTAGCAGAGAGTCTTATATCACCTCTTTTTTTCTTTCTGTTTTGTCTGCAATAATTCAAACAGGTGAGAGAACAAATTCACGAAGCTGGGTACTACGTTGATGTTGACACAACGGACAGAGACGTCAGTGAGAAGGTAACTGTTACATGCTTCCGTATTATTACAAGCTCCCTGATCACATAAACAATTGAGGTTGTCATGTTCTGGTATTTTCGGTTAGGTTTGCAATCGGTCGGTCTAAGAGAGGGATTATGCATAGTTTTCTTGCGTAGTACGTTATACATTTTGAGTGAAAGATTGTGGTCTTGTGTTGGTGCGAGAAGCTCAAGTTGCGCAATATAACTACATACTGGTTGTGGGTGATGAAGAGAAAACAACAGGACAGGTCAGAGACTGCTTTTGCTCATTAGTAGTATATGCCTTTATCTGAGCCTCGAGCCTCTCTAAAAAAACAGAGATCTATTGTTTTCAGGTGACTGTTCAACTAGGAGACGAAGACCCTTCAAAATTTCCAGTGATGATGAGCATCGAGACTCTGCTGGATGAGTTCAAGCTCAAGACTGCCAACTTTCTCTGAGACCCATCGGTTTAAAAAAAATCTTTTACATGCATTAATATGTTTTTCTATCTGCACCTCACACACATAAATTGATTCATAACACAAATATAACATTATTATAAACTACTGGACTACTAGCTGTACTAATTTCATGTTAGAATCTTAAATTTTTTCACTTTTTATACTTTTCACCCCAAAAAGTCCATATTGAACAAAAGTTGAAACTTTTCACGCACTTATAAAATTCATATTTTGTGAGATAATATACACATCTAATCAGAAATTTGTACATTTTCCTTGCGGGTGTCTTAATCTTATCCAAATTTGATTGATTTCAACATCTTTGTGCAATAATCAACGTTTCGCATAATTATCCTTCATAATAAAATATGTATATACACAGTTACCTATATTTTTGGGTTGTTCTTTCGTATTGTCTTAAATAAAAGGTGACATACATATTTAACTCAACGAGGAAACCCTAGCAATCATAATGACATCAATTTTGGGAAAACAAAATGAAAAAGGTATAATTCTAATATAAATCTAATTATTTCGAAACGAGAAGTATGGTTATAAGTCGTGTCAAGATGTGTGTTCTTCATCTCCACCTAAATAAAACGAATTATTTTATTCGAGTTATCTAAAGACAAAGGTAGATTTGCTACTTGGATTATATTTCTTGGTGGCTGATAACTACTCCCAACTTAATCATATCTATACTCCAACCTCGATTTCGTCTTTCTGTTATTAACTTATTATTTTTCACAAAAACTAAACTTCATTGAAGCCTAAGGTGCACATATAAAACCATTAGTTACCAATTTTTTTTTTTTTTTTTTTTTGACATCTAGTTACCAAAAAGGTTAGAGGTTCATCATCACAAGTTATAAAATAGTCTGCATATGAAATTATTAATGCAGTCGATCGGGGAAAAAAAAATGAACTTACAAATGCATTAAGGAAGAAGCTACACCTATATAAAGACACAATCTTAGATTTGGTATACAAGTAAAAGTTGGGCTGTCTTAATTAATTTTCACATTTGGCTCAAACAAGAGCTCTACCTGATTAGTAAGTTCTACATAACATATGACCCACCTTATAGTACATGTGGTACGGACTAATTAACATAAACCCTGAGAAGCAGAGTTTCCAACAGACAAAAAGTCGAAAAAGGGAACACAATTCTCGTTGTGATTGCGGTTGCGTTGATCGACATGGACATCTTCTTCTTCATCTTTTCTTGAATTGTTGTCTATCACTTCGGGGTTCTTCGAATCCATTTTGATTTGGAGAAAATTGTAGAACTCCGTCGGTCTTTTGGTTTGGTCTATTTCTCCTGACCATATGATCGATGTCCAAAAGTTAGTTTATAGAAGTTTTACAATTATATAATCGTACCTACAGGCAAGTCTATGAACATCTGCATGTAACTATGATATATCATGTTCGCTTCAAACTAATAAACTATGTAAAGATTCTTGAACAAAGTTATAATAAAAGCTAAATTTAATGTTTCCAAAAAAAAATGATGGATAAAAACATGAGTTCTTGTCCTTGTTTCTAAAATCAGGATACCAAAATGCACCACTACTTGCACATTTTAAAACACGTACGAATATACATGTTAATCATCTAATGGTTATGAATTCGTAATTTGTATATATTCCATATGTATTCATCACTCATAATATATGTGTATATAAATATATTCATGTTTAAGCCATTAATTTGATAAAATTACCTTCATCGATTGGACTATTATTATTCCGAAACCCGATCTTTCCGGTCAAGAACTCTTTGAGGAACTGAAAATGATTGATATGAGAAAATTGATAAGGATAATTGATAGCGGTTGCGGTTGCCAGTCTTCTTTTCTTGTCGCAGTCGTTATAACCAATCATGGAAGTCGCAGCCACCGTACCATCGTGGCCAAGGCCACGTGGATGCATCTTGGAGCGTTCTCGGCCACGACGAGCCATGATGACGTGCCAATGGTTTTTAACGGCGTTATCGGTTCGACCAGGGAAAAATCTAGCAATCACTGACCATCTGTTCCCATGGATCCGATGAGACGCTAGAAGCCTTTCTTCTTCTTCCTCCGTGAAAGGGTTTCGGTTAATTCTAGGATCCAATTGATTAAACCATCTCAACCTACAACTCTTACCTGAGAATCAAATAAACATATAAAAGTCAAAACCAAAGCAAATAAACATAGTATATAATATTTATTGATTTCTTAAGATGGTTTTTTTACCAGATCGACCAGAGAGCTTTTGAGCTATGGCGTTCCAATTATGAGGACCAAATTGTTCGACGAGTTCTCTTAGCTTCTCATCCTCTGCAGGTCTCCAATGGCCTCGACTGCACATCATTCTTTATTTCTTCTCTTTTATCTCTGTGATCTTATATATGTTAATCACAAATACATGTATATATATATGTTGATATATATATAAGAAACCCTAGGTTTGATGTAGGTGAGGGAAGATGGGTATGTAGGAACAAGAAGAAAGCTGAAGAGCAACAGCACCATACATACACATATATATATTCAGATATTATTAAAATTTAATGAATATTATAAGATTCGTTAGAGAGTGAGGGAGAGTTTGGAGGGACGTTTTCACCGGCGATTGATGCCAACGTCTTCCCTAACCAAACACACTCCTTTTAAGTAATCTACCTTTTTTTATTTTATTTTCCACATCTATTTCTTTCTTTTTATTACTTATAATATTTTCCATTATAGATTTCTGTTTATGTGGGATTTTTATTTTATTTTACATGACCGATAATAAAATAAAAAAAGAGATTACACAAAGAGGGGAGAGATTGCTTGGTGGGGTGAATTTCGTTAAACTTTCAACGTCTACTCTTAAATAATTTTTTCTAACCTAAACCCTCTACTTCAGCCACCAACACTTCATCTACGTTTGTATATACTCTTCTGCAAGGATACATACAGATATAATCGTCATGTAACTGTATATATTTATGTATGCAATATTTTATAGTCAGCAGCTTTATATATATGGACAACTTCTAGAACATGATTTAAGATTGGGAGGTACTACTAAAATCTATGGCACAACGATTATACATTTACGTTGCAGACGGTAAAAACTATGGTATGTTTATATGTTAAAATACTATATTTCCATTGTTAGAAATACAATCATTTCTAAAAACATAATAAACGCAACAATCTTTTATTATTTTGATTTTACGTTTTTAGTTTGTAAAAGATGTTTCATAAGAAAAAGCTTAAATGCGTTAGTGTTTTTCTTATATGAAAAAAATATACATGGGGAAATATTTTTCAATTTGATGAAATTCTTACATTACCATAAATCTATATTAAAAAAAAATACAATAGTAGGTCCAAAACACGAGACAATGAGACGTTTGTTAATCCAGGATTTGTGGATATCATCAAACTTGATGAACAGATTCCAACCGTAATACCGTACGCTTTGCCTTCGGTATTAACTAATGGACTATATTACAAGTTATTAACAGATTTTATAATTTCGAAAATATCAATACGTTTTTCACGAATGAAAACTGGTGGAGAAGGAAAGAGTTTGGTAAAGGTGTTGGGGACCTGAGATTTAATTGCAGGTCACGTATAAATTATAATATACAACTTCTAAAATATCTATGGATATGTTTTGTTAACCTTTCAGACCTAACCAAATGTTCATTTTGCTCAAATCGGACCAACGTGGAAACCCTAATAAGACTCTATGCCTTGATGAATTAATTGGTTAACTGATTGATATATCAGTGGCTTTATACTTTACAAAAATGAATGAATTTGACAATTCGTAGCATCTTATTTACTCAGACTGGTCTCGCAGCACATCACTTATAACTTTCTCTCTTGTCTACAGCGATTAGTACTCTCAGCCGGCCCTCTAAAGAGATAGAATAATGTTTCAAAAAATAATTGAAACATGAAAAAGTTGAAAACCTGAAAAAGTGATATATTGTACTTTAGACCTTTCCTTGGGATTGCTTGCAAAACTGTTTATAGGTTGTTTTTAAGGATTGATTGAAATATAGCTTAAAATCTAATCAATTAAATCCCAGGTAAGTCATAATCAATTACTTTACTATGTTTTAGAACTCACTTGCACGTGTGTATAGGAACAAGACCAACATTAATTACTGGTGAAGTTTAGTAGGAAAATAGGTAGAGTTAGCTGGGAAGAAAGTCAATACAATAGATCATATTCATAACTAAAATCTCTTCTATTACCACAAGCAAACCGGATACTGATTACGCTAAACCGTTATAAAGGTCTTTTAACAAATTTTGGTTTATCAAAAAGCAGAAGCAGGCAAAACAAGGATGCTGTGAATTAGAAAGATAATAAATGAGCTAATTGCTAGTTTTATCAATGAAATGTAGCATCATTGTGCTCTAATCAGAAGGAAATAAAAAGAATATATATCCTTTTAACTGACCAATCTTGGAGCATATCTGCGACCGGATTCAACAGCTAATAGGTGTGTCCAAACTATTTTGTTCATCTTTTTTCAACAACTCTTCACCATCCATTAACCATACGGCCCATACCACACTTACACAACTTAATCAAAAGCAGCACGTTACGCAGACCATCCATGAGTCCATGACAAAACCCACAATTCCTCTAGCAAATTTCTGAACTAGGGTTATCTACTTTTCCGAAAAAAATCCTCTATTCGTCGTCTTGATGAAAGATGGACTTATCTACGTTTTGATTGGTTGAAAACGTTAAGAAAAACAAAATTTACTCTTTATCAAAAAAGAATTATATGTTGACCGCCAATAAATGAGTTTGACGAGTTTTCGATGGGCATGGAGTTTTGACGAGATGAACCGGGCCAGATAAAAGAATAACTGTTTTCACATTCTTAACATATCAATCTTCTCAATGCATGCAAAAAGCTCATGCATGTAGACCGAAGTTATAGAGACTAAATCCCATATCTAGTCCTGAGCAAAAAAACCGAACCCGAAAACTCAAACCGGAACCGACCCGGTTATCGGGTTCGGTTATAGGCTATTTACTCGATGGATATTAAATTTAGAAACCGTGGATATTGGATCGGTTCCGATTCCTACTCGATACCCGATCGGTTAACCGAAACAAAATTCTCTTATGTACTTAGAGTTTTGTATAGAGCGATTTTCTGGCGAAGTAGATGAACCCAGAGGTCGATCTACATACCGCTACGTAAGTTTCTGCTATCCAGATCTTATTTTCGTTACTGATTCCGAGTTATCTTCAATCTGGAAATCAGTTTTTAAGTTAACAAAAAATCAGTATTTCAAAAAAAGTTCAGTTGTTTTTCGGGTATTTGATTATATTTCGGATATATGTCAATGATTTCGGGTCTAATCGAGTAAAAAAAACCCGAACTGAACCGAAATTATAAAAAAAAACTATTTTTCCGAATTTTAAACAGTTCTGAGATTTAAAAACCGAACCGACCCGGAACCGTACTAAATCCGAATCGAAATCCTTTCGGTACCTATATGGTATAAAATTTTCAGGTCGGACGCAGAACCGACCCGAATACCCGAATGACAGGACTACACACCGAATACGTCAGGCCAGTTTTGCTTTAACGACGACGTATAGCATCAGTCCAAGCGTTAATTAAACGTCTAATCTCTCGTATATTTTTTCTTGACGTTTCTTTCTCATCACTTTCGTTCTTTTGGGTACGCATCTCCATTTCACATCTGGCAAATGAAAACCCGCCGCCACATAAAAGTTTGAAAAAGTATATTAAAAGGCTCATAAATTAGATTTGATATGTAATAATAATATACTAATTAATCTACTTCTCTAGACTCTAGTGATGTTTGTTGGTTACAAATCACAGAAAAATAAAACTACTCTATAAAAGGAACGAGTTCTAGACGAAAACGAAAAGGCAGAAGATATCTTCAACATAACGGAATGATTGAGGACACGTGTCGTCACCAACCACCTTGCCAGCCTTATAAAGTATTCGGACCGTTGGACGGTGACGGTGAAAGACAGCCGCGATGTTTTGCAACTGCAGCCCTCGACACCTGTCCGGTGGTACCCACGAACAATAATAATGTACTAATTGTTTAGTAATTTTTGTGTTGAGCCCGCCCAAAAAAATAGTAAATCACGTGCCCAACGGGGCTGACACGTGGACAATGACAACAATGGCAGTTTCCTTATATAGCAGAAGCGAAGCCACCGGCGCCTTTATTATGGGACATGTAGACGAACAAGTGTGAATGGACGTGGAGTGGCTATGCACCTTATAACCTTCAGGCCGGTGATATGATTTTGTCCCTCGCTAATTATTATTCTTTTTGTAACAAACAACAAAAATCTAAAATACTTTTTATGATGATTGTCTTTTTTTTAGTTTAATAAGATACTCCCATTTACTAAGTACTACAGCCATCACGTAGTTATATATTCAGTTCCGGTATTTGCCTAAATGTTAACAACGACGTTTTAGATATTTTTATAAAGTAAAAAATGAATTAAGTGTGGACAAAAAGTTCAGTAATGCCATGGATGCCAAGAAAATTAAGGTTAACTTTGGTAGATGTTTTCAGCATACTCTAATATAAAAACATATTCGAAAACATGCAAATAATTAACACTAGAGATATTTTTAATGTAGAAAATAGAATATAAATGTGTGTATTTGAGAGAAAGTGTCTAGATCAGTACAAGACGTCGTAGGAATGAGGCCGATGAACAGCTAATGCCTAATGATGCGAGGCACGTCCAAAATTAATTCATTAAAACATTATAGTCCCATCCACTAGGCGTTATATATGTACCTAGAGGATAATACCATTTACATTTAAAATTTTATATATAAACTGGCTTAACTAATCATCAGTTTGCTTTAAGATATGGTATAAGTTGTTCGTAATGTCAGTCTAAACAGAGTCATTATCATATTAAAACTCCAACAAGGAACAGCAGCTGCCAAGGAAACGAATTAATTTGTTGAATATGATTCATATATAAATTAGTCTTCCACAGTATTTTATAATATTCCCTCTGTTTTATATTATAAATTGTTTTGAAAATGTTTTTTGTTTTAAAAATGTAAGTTGTTTTGGTTAACTAATAATTATAATGGACTAATGATATTTTTCATGTTGGTTACTAGAAACATCTCGAAAAATAGAAAATAATAATAATTAGATTCAAAAGTAGTCCCGGTTTTATATAGCTCAAAAACGATTCGATTATTTATATTACAAAAACATATAGTAATTTTGTTGGTGAGTAAAAAAATTCTTGGAGGATTATTTATGAGAATTGATGATGTTGAATTGTGTGTGTGTGTGTGTACAGTTAGTTATACTGTGACTAGTGAGGTGGTAGCAAGAGCATTATTTTCTTCTCGCGTTGAAATTGAGCTCTTCCAATATTTGTCATCTTCTTCCTTCTCTGTACCATTCTTTTGAACAACCATTCTCTTCGACTTCAACAAAGCGAAATTCTCCTGCAATTCCGAAAACTACTCATCTGTTACAATCTCTCTCTCCTTGCAGCCCAGCAGTATAAAAGACCGGCTTTTTTTTTTTAATATATCTGGTAAGAATCTACTTTATATTATTTCAGATTCATTGTCGATTGAATTCGTTTTCTTTTCTATCCGACACGATTTTGAACGATTCATTGGTGAAACTAGGGCTCTGCGCTTTCTAGTTGTTGGTTTATTCCGAATTTTAAAACCATAAATCATTGCTCAGTCCGATTTGGTAGTCTACTGTTTTTTTTTTCTTTCTGCCGAAAATGTTGCTTAAGGTTTTTCTCTTTTCACGAATTCAAGTTTTTCTTTTGGGCTACGATAAAACATCCCTTTCCATTATTCCTCTTTACATTTTTTAATTTTTTTGTCTTTTTTAGTATAATTCTTGGTGACCCTTTACTCAAAATCTTCCCTTTTCAAGTCAAGTTGCTTCGCAGCCATGGAAAATCCTCGTTTTTCTAATGGGTATTTTGTTTCATACCTATTTCCGGGATTTCGTTTAGTTTTCAAAATCCTTGTTAGTGGAGGAAAAATTATGAGTACAACAGCTTCTTAAAGTTTCTTGCTTTCTCTGTGACTCACATGCTTCTCTTCTGCTCCTCTCTCTCGCAGAAACCAATTGCATTAGATAGCTTACAGCCATTAATCTGATAAAGCTCAAGGTGAGAAAATCAAGCTCTTACCTTTTTTTTGTTGGTAAAATTTCCCCCCAGTTTATCAAACGGCGTCATTGGCTTGTTTGTTTCTGCTTGGACCTTGGTCTTAAAGATGATTACTTTGAAGATTCGTGTAGATATCTAGTCACGTTGAACTAAGAAGGTAGTATAGTGATGGCAGATAGCTCGTGAGCTGGGTTTTACTTTATCCTTATGAATCTAGTGGAGGAGGAAGGAGTTGAGCTGTTTTTCGGTTGGACATTAATTTTGCCAAGTTTCCTCCTTATTGCTGTGGAATCATTCTCTCTTCTCCTCCTTTATCAAAATCTGGCACTTATAGTGTTAGATTTGTGTTTCAGCTTTGTAGATTTCCTTTAAGCTCTGTCAAAAATGGGATGCTTTGCATCGACACCGAAAGACTCTGGTGGGAACAGAAGGAAGCCAACAAGCATCGGTGAGGTTTCAGTATATGTACCCGGTTTAAGGATACCGAGACCCGTGGAGTTTTCTCAGGCACTTGGTGAGCAGCTACCAAAGACTCTAGTTGAACGCTTGACAGCTTTACGAACGCGTATAGTAGTGATGGCTAATCAAGAAGGACCTACAATAACGAGAACTAGGAGAAAGACTCAACATGGTATATATATGTCTGACACGATCTTTTTGTTTGTATCTATCACTGCTCTGCTTTCTAATGTTTAGAACTCTTAATGGCATTTCTTTCTTGGCAGGAGGTTCAACACTCTCAGATCTCCATCAGGCTTTGGTAGATTATCTACCTGTTGTCTTGGGATTAACTAAAGATGGTAATATACTACTACTGTATGTGTTTTATAAAGAAAAGATCTGTTTGGTTCCAGAGATTTATTCTGACCCTGCAGCTATTCTGTTTTTCTTCAGGCACCCATCTACAGTTTAAAGTACAATTTAATTGGGTAAATCAGGAGGATGAGGAAGAGGTGCAGTAGCAATCAAAGCAATTTGTCTACAAGTTTCATCATAAATTCGTAGTATGCGGACCGACTCTTACATATTTACTTCTAACCAGGAAACAGCAATGTCAAACGTTTGGTATGAAGTTTTGTCGGTTTTGCATCTAATGGCGATGCTACAAATGTCACAAGCCAATTTACTGCTTCTTCCTAGAGGTTCTAGTGAAGGCCACAACCATCCGAAAGTATCAGAAGGTTAGGCTTCTTCGAGACTCATCTATTTCATACATTTTGGTGATGTTTTGTCTATGATTGTTTTTCTTCTAAATGTTAATCAAAATGTGATGGTGAGGTCCCTCAGACTAAACACTCGGCTTGTTTCTTTTATTATAGAAAACAGACGAGCTTCCATTGATATCTTCTTAAAGGCTGCTGGGTATCTTGACTGTGCTGTTAAGCATGTTCTACCTCAGTTTTCTGCCGAACAAAGGTTTTAGATGACAAAGTTTCTAATGTCTTTTACTCTTGTTGATAATTCTGAATTGATTCTAATGGCACAATCGTTGTTATTCTTTTTTTTCTGCAGGAGAAGTTTACCGGTTGACCTAGCAGAAGGCGTTCTACGGGCTCTTTGCTTGCAAGCACTAGGCCAGGTAGTACATCTGTTTTAATGGATATGGTTAAGTTCTCCCAAGGGATCGTACTATAGCTCTGAGTATGGTGATGAATACGTGATGTTTCTTTCTATCTTTTATAATCTGACATCTTACAAGTTACTGATTTTAGGGTGTTGATATCCAACTTGGCATGGCGATTGATAGCTCAAAGGCCACTCTTGCAGTAAAACGAAGACTTTCATGTGAAATGGTGAAATATTGGCAGCAGGTAAAATTCCTTATTCTTATCCAATTTGCTTGTTTAAGGCTTCCACTTGTCTTGGATACATCTGAAAATTTCCTAATTGGTGGGCACTGAAACAGGCACAAGATAATTTAATGAATCTTCCGTTAGCAAATGGTTGGGGAGAAAAGCATAGACTCTTTGTTAAGTGGAAGTATGTTGAAGCTAAGGTACTGATTTCTAACCTCTCTCTTGCTATCTTACTCCTTCCATTATGTAAACTTGTCTGCTCCATTTCAGTTCTTGTACTGAGCTACGTCTGCATTTTGTTCTGCCCTTCCTTGTAAAATCTCTGTCTCTATAAAACACATAGCAGTGTCTCTCTCTTGAAATAAAGCTTAAATGAGATAGGCGATTAATTAAGGTCCATTTTGTCTAATTTCTTGTCCTTTTTTGAAAACTTTGGATCAGGCTGCGGCTTACTACTATCACGGTTTGATTCTTGATGAAGGAAACACAGAGAAATCACATGGCATGGCAGTCGCTGCTTTACAAGCTGCAGATGAATGTTTCAAAGAAAGTAAGAAAGCATCCGAAGCATTCAACGCCTCCTCACCTACTTCAAGGTACCTTCTTTCTCGCTTATTCTGAGCTCATTTGGTCACAGATTTAGCAGTTGTTTTAAAAAAAACATCCGTTTTTCTTCTTCTTTTCTGCAGGACACCACCGCTTTTTGGGACAATGAAGTATCTAACAGAGAAAATCCCGAAAGATACTTCGAGTAAAGTCAGGATAAACCGTGATCTATACTCTTATGAAAAGTGAGTTTACTCTGTCTTGTGTTTCTTTTGCTTTAACACATAAAGGTGAGTTTTTTTCTTTCTGATCTGTTAATGCTCTCTGATTAACAGAATCATGGAGACGGCACCTACACTTCCTGATTTTTCTCTGGCATTGAAACCAGACGAGTATCAACTTCCTCTCGTTGAAGCTTCATAGTCTGAAGATTGCCCAAAACACGCTTCAAACCAAGTGAAGAGGAATTGAAGATAGAGAGATGTGTAAAACCTTATAGAGCTAAAGAATCAGTGGTTTCCAGTGGCTGCCTGCAAAATGATGGTATGGCAATAGAATTTACTCGACCGGTTCATATTATCTGCTCTCTGTTGTGTGTGAGATGAAAAAAACTTAACAATTTGGGTTTGGATCAATTTACATGAGAGAGATCTTTGTATGTTAATGTAAACATTGTATTTCTGCAATAAAGTATTCTTTCTTCCACTCTGCCATTTCCAGTATTTGATAATACTTCAAGAGTACCTAAAGTATATATTCAAGAGCGAGCAAATGGTGGGGTTATGATCTGTGTGAGAGTATATCTCTGTTCCTGGTGATTAAGGTTGTTGGAGACGAGGTAAGAGAAGGTTTTTTAACTTGGAGCTGAAGCATCAGACAATTCTTAATCAAGGGGTGATGATGCAGATCTCTTTCAGACACGACCGGCAGATTAGTCTCTGCTTTTGGTCAGAGCTTCGTTTCAAAGAAGTAAATTTTTGCAATTCTTAACAATAATTAATTCGTTTTCATAATAATAAAAGTTAATTACCATTTAACCAAAGGTCCAAAACTAATACTCTTTTGAGTTAAATTTTAATTAATGTGTAAATAATGTTAAAATAAAATGACGAATTTTAGAAATTTTTGTTTTTGTTTTTTACCCTTACCCAAACCGGATTATCCACTCTCTGTCTGGTTTCTCTGCGCCGCGATCTCTCACATTGTCTCAAATTTCTCCGAAGCAACAACCTTCATCGATCTTCCTCGTCTGATTTCGTGTATAAGTCGTAAGCTTTCGTTCTCTTGATATATCTTCTTCTTTCCACTGGTAATTCTGGGTTTTGCCAATTTCAAAGTTAAAGAGATTGATGAACCCTAGTTGTTCCCCTTTCTGTCCTACTGTACCGCTGTGCCTAGATTAATCGTGATTTAGTCTCGTAAAGTTATAGATAAGGAACCCAAATGTGTTATTGTGTTGTTCAGAGATAAACGGAACCTAATTTCGAGTTTCCATTGTCACTTATGAATCAGATAAAACCAACGCATTGCTGACCATGCCCGTCCTTTACGAGCAAGATAAGCACGTGTCTTCTGCTATTTTGACCGGACAGGTAGTAGTAATCGCAAGCTTCAGTTCTACATCTGGAATTGTCTTCTGTCTTATAATCGAACAGCTCGCGATAAATTCTGTTGTTTTTGTCTTTGCAGGAGAGAGGCGTGCTTAGATGCCAGGAACGAACATCATTGCTTCATCACTGGAAGCTCACAAAGGAGCAGATAGAGTTGGTGGAGAAAGCCGGTTTTGGTTGGTTTAGGCTAATAGGATCGATCAGTTTGAACAATTCGCTTATCTCTGCGCTCGTCGAGAGATGGCGGAGAGAAACCAACACGTTTCACTTCCCCTGTGGAGAAATGACAATCACTCTCGACGAGGTGTCGTTGATTCTCGGTCTTGCTGTTGACGGGAAGCCTGTGGTCGGCGTTAAAGAGAAAGACGACGATCCTTCTCAAGTATGCCTCAGGCTCTTGGGGAAACTGCCGAAAGGCGAGCTGAGCGGTAATAGAGTGACTGCAAAATGGCTGAAGGAGAATTTCGCAGAGTGTCCGAAGGGAGCTACGGCGAAAGAGATTGAGTATCACACGCGTGCTTATCTCATATACCTTATCGGGAGCACAATATTCGCAACTACTGATCCCAGCAAGATCTCTGTTGATTACCTTATTCTCTTTGAGGATTTTGAGAAAGCTGGAGAGTACGCTTGGGGTGCTGCAGCGCTGGCTTTCTTGTATAGGCAAATTGGCAATGCCTCACAACGGTCTCAGAGTATCATTGGTGGTTGCTTGACTCTTTTACAGGTTTGTTCTTCTCATTTTGTTTGGAGTTCTCCTTAGCTTTAATGAGTTATATCGTCTCTGTTGTTTCTTTAAGAAAGCCTGAGAAGTTTTGTTAACCATTTGTGTTGCTATCTTTCAGTGCTGGAGTTACTTCCACCTGAATATCGACAGGCCAAAGAGATCCACTCGTCAGTTTCCACTGGCACTTTTGTGGAAAGGAAGGCAACAGAGTCGATCAAAGAATGACTTGTTTAAGTATCGCAAGGCACTTGACGATCTCGATCCATCAAATGTAAGAGCTAAAATCATTGCTTTCTTAGGAGATTCTTTGGTTTTGATCCATTATGAATGTTTTTGTTACTACTTAACTCTCTTTAGGTTAGTTGGTGCCCCTTCGAAGGAGATCTTGACATTGTGCCGCAGAGTTTCAAAGATAATCTACTACTTGGTCGGTCCAGAACAAAACTGATCGGACCAAAAGTAGTTGAATGGCACTTCCCGGATCGATGCATGAAGCAGTTTGGGCTGTGCCAAGTTATCCCTGGAGAAGTTCCCCCTAGGAAAAACGAGAAAAGCCATGACGAGGACTTAGTGGAAGACATGAACACAGCAGACGAAGAATGGATGAAACGAAGGGAAAACATTGTGGAGAATGAAGGAGGCAATGGTGATGAAAATGAATATATGCAGTGGTTCACTAGCATCACAGTCCCAAAGCTTCACAGAGATACAAGTCTCGAAGCTGATATAATGAATGTGGTAAATGCATCATCTTCCTTGTTAATAATGCGTAATCGCCTTGAAATTTGCCCCTTTAAAGCATTGTTGTTTCTTTTGTAGCAAGCTGCTATACTCCAATTTGACGAGGTGGCTTCAACGTTGTCATTAGAGGATCTACATCCAGAGGAGAGAGAAGCAATCGAAGAAGCAGTGATGTCTATGTCCAATGCCTTGAGAGTGGGAGATTGGTACGAGGCTCCAACAACAAACAAACGCAAACGAAGAGAGGAACAAACGGAGTGGAGCGAATGAAACCAAAAGAACAGAGATCCTTTCTTTTGTTCTTCTGGCTGATGAGATAGAAAGAAGATGTAAGTCCCATCATCTCTCGAGTTTATGCTTTAACAAGCATTCGTATACTCTGCTAATTGTTTGACTTTAGCAAGTAGAGAGATCTTAGTTTGGTGTATATTAAGAGTACTAAAGAAGTTACATCTACACCATCTACTCTAATACAGATTTAGATGGCACTCAGCTGCAGATTTTGGGAGATCAATATGTGCAATTAATTTCGTTTCAGCTCAACAAGAGCAGTAGATAATAAACGTTAGTTATTATGTCTGAATTTTTTTTAAGTTGGTGTTCTAAACAGTGTATTTCATCAACAGTGATTACAATTGGATAAAGTAAATACATAACGTGTGTGTGATGTACTGATTGATGTTTCTAAATAACGAGATGCGATAAATATGGTAGTATTGCATAAAGCATCATTTATAAGTACAACTTAACGCATTAATATATTTCTCCCAGGAAGAAAAGACCTGCAGCAATTAGCTGTAGTTTTTTGCAGACAAAATGTTATTTCACTCTGATGATCAACATATAAATTTCCTAAAATAGTAAAATGATAGATGACTCAATTGTATATTATTCCAAAAATTATGCAAGTTTATTTGATTGCATAACGCCCCAAATTATCAGAGAATATTTCCAAATAAAAACGGGAGATGAGGTCAGCAAAATCCCAAAAGAAAAGTTAGATTTTGTCACTACACGTCGTTGACAAAATCCGCCGGAGCAAGTGGATAAACTCGCCGACGACTAAAGTTCACGGCAGCTAATCCCTCCGGCACTTTTAAATGATGGTAGAGAGAGAGGAGAGGGTTGGTTTCAGGCATCTCTCGAATAAGGTGAGAGAGAGTACTTGGCAGTAATGGAGAAAGGAGCAAGAGAATTTAAAACCCATAACCTCTCTCTCTTCTACCTCTGTCAAACGCCATTAAAAACCCATCAGTATCAGTTACGCAATTTCTCTTGAGAGACAGGTAAGGAGAGAGAGAGAGAGAGAGAGAGAGAGAGAGAGAGAGATTTTGGAATCTGTAATGAATGTCAAAGGAGTGAAAGGTGGGAGAGATGAAAGCACTAATGGCGGCTTATGATAGGCTCGAGATGTAAGGCCGAGAGATCAATTACTCTCTCTCTCTCTCTCTCTCTCTCTCTTCACTTGCTTCTGTAGAGCGAGAAGAGACATAATTACGGCTTCGAAATTGATTTGAATTTTGGGGGTTTTATTGGGTACTGCGTTAGAGAAAACCTGGAAATTATCGTCTACCAAATCCAGCCTTTTCTCCTCCCTCCCAATATCTTTTTCTCAGATTCTCTACCGTTTCATTTCTTCTCTTCTTTTTATCCTCCTCTCTCTCTCTCTCTCTCACACACACACACACACACACACACTCACACAAAGTTATGCTCTTAGAGATCTTTTGATTTCTTTTTTGTTGCGGTTCAAAGTTGGTAGCTTTTTCCTCTGGGTTGTGTTAATGGCGACTGTTGTTGTGTGATGGTCCAGACTCCAGAGTTAGCAAGTTTACTGATTTCGTTAAAAGAGTAGCAGGAAAAGACTTTTGTTACTGTTTCTTCGTCCGCATATTACTTACTTTGAATAAAAGATGGAGTTTCTCGGCGACAGCCAAAACCACGACAGCTCTGAAACGGACAAGAAGAAGAAGAAGAAGCGATTTCACCGCCACACACCTCACCAGATCCAACGCCTCGAATCGTATAATCCCTTTCTTCCTCTATCTTTTTGTTTTTGTTTTCTGTTCTGTTCTCTCATGTTTTTTGGTTTTTGTTTGCAGAACTTTCAATGAGTGTCAACATCCTGATGAGAAACAGAGGTTGCAACTTAGCAGAGAACTGGGTTTAGCTCCAAGACAGATCAAGTTTTGGTTTCAGAACAGAAGAACACAAAAGAAGGTTTTTACTTTTATTACTTTCTCTCTCTGTCTTGTTTTGTCTCCATAAAAAGATAACCCAATTTTGCTTCCCATGCGTTGTTTCCCGTTGCAGGCACAACACGAGAGAGCTGATAATTGTGCACTCAAGGAAGAGAATGATAAGATTCGTTGCGAAAACATTGCCATTAGAGAAGCTATCAAACACGCCATTTGCCCCAACTGTGGTGAAACTCCTGTTAATGAAGACTCTTACTTTGATGAACAGAAGCTTCGGATCGAAAATGCACACCTAAGAGAAGAGGTTTTAGTTTTTCTTTTTTTTTAAAACCTTCTGATGCATTGTGGTTGGTTTTAGAGTTCAAACTTCCATTAACATTTTGATGTTTTTGTTTTGTCAGCTTGAAAGGGTTTCAAGCATTACAGCTAAATTCATGGGGAGACCTCTTTCTCATCTCCCACCATTACTAAATCCGATGCACATCCCGCCACTAGAGTTATTCCACAGTGGTCCTTCGCTTGATTTTGATCTTCTTCCAGGAAGTTGTTCTTCAATGGCTGTTCCTAACTTACCACCTCAATCAAACCTGTCTTTATCAGACATGGATAAGTCTCTCATGACCAACATTGCAGTGACCGCTATGGAAGAATTGCTTAGGCTTGCACAAACAAATGAGCCTCTGTGGATCAAAACCGATGGATGCAGAGACGTTCTCAATCTCGATAGCTATGAGAATATATTCCCAAGATCAAGTAGCCGTGGAGGAAAGAACCATAACCTTCGAAAGGAAGCATCTAGATCTTCTGGCGTTGTTTTCACTAATGCTGTGACACTTGTGGACATGCTCATGGACTCTGTAAGCAACTAAACCCAAATTGAAGATTTCATTTTCACATTTGGTTTGTGGCTTTTCTCATGTGGGTTTTCATTTCATTTTGCAGGTCAAATCTGCAGAGCTTTTTCCCTCAATTGTTGCATCATCCAAAACCCTTGCAGTGATTTCATCCGGATTCCGCGGAAGCCGTGGAGATGCATTGCATTTGGTAAAAAGAAAACACACTAATTATTGAAAAAGATGAACTTTCCTTTTTGGTGTGTGTGAAACTTTTGATTAACTCTGCTTTGGCTTGTGTTAGATGCTTGAAGAGCTTCAAGTGCTTTCACCATTGGTACCGACACGTGAGTTCTGCGTGCTAAGATACTGTCAGCAAATCGAACATGGAACATGGGCAATTGTAAATGTCTCCTATGAGTTACCTCAGTTTATATCTCATTCTCGGTCATATCGATTTCCTTCTGGTTGCTTGATTCAAGAAATGTCCAATGGCTATTCCAAGGTGTGTGTGTAACTGTTCTGTTTGTTTCATTTTATCAGCATCTCGAATCATCTGATTGTATCTTTGAATATACATACAACAACAGGTCACTTGGGTTGAACATGTTGATATCGAGGAGCAAGAACCGGTTCATGAGATGTTTAAAGACAATGTCCGTGATGGATTAGCTTTTGGAGCTGAACGTTGGATCGCTACTCTCCAAAGAATGTGCGAGAGGTTCGCGACTCTACTGGAACCCGCAACATCATCCCGTGATCTCAAAGGAGGTAAACACTTTGAAAAGGTTTTATAATCTTAAATCAATCAGCTTAATTAGCCTTCCAAGTAACACAGTTTGAAAAACATAACAGTGGTTCCATCGCCGGAAGGGAAGAGAAGTATAATGAGACTTGCTCAAAGAATGGTAAGCAACTTCTGCTTGAGCGTTGGCACATCGAACAACACTCGATCAACGGTTGTTTCGGGATTGGACGAATTCGGAACCCGCGTGACCTCGTATAAGAGCCAGCATGAACCAAATGGGATGGTTCTATGTGCAGCCACCAGTTTCTGGCTCCCAGTTTCTCCACAGAACGTCTTCAATTTCCTCAAAGATGAAAGAACTCGGCCACAGGTACTAGATGCGTTAACATCACTTTGTGTGATATTTTTCGGTTTTATTTTCTTCAATGTTTCTTTGTTATGGTTTTATAGTGGGACGTTCTTTCGAATGGAAACTCGGTTCAAGAAGTTGCTCATATCGGAAACGGTTCACACACTGGAAACTGCGTTTCAGTTCTTCGCGTAAGCTACTTCATTCGAAACCTTAGACAGATTTTTCTAACCTTGATTCTACTGATTGATAATCTGGTATATCTATTCTTCCTTTTTTCTTGTATAATCAGGGATTTGATGAATCTTCATCACAAAACAACATGCTGATTCTACAAGAAAGCTGCGTAGACTCATCAGGCTCGCTTGTTGTGTACACTCCAGTGGATCTACCAGCACTGAACATGGCAATGAGCGGTCAAGACACATCTTATATTCCCATTTTACCCTCTGGGTTCGCCGTGTTACCAGACGGGACCAGGAATAAGCAAACCACAGAGCAAAAAGTTGAAGGAGGAGGAGGTTCATTGATAACGGTTGGGTTTCAGATAATGGTGAGTAGTTTGCAGTCAGCGAAATTGAATATGGAGTCGATGGAAACAGTTAATAATCTCATCAGCACCACTGTCCACCAAATTAAAACCACTTTGAACTGTCCTTCAACTGCTTGAGGACGCCATTAAAAGCTCATTTCCCCATCTGATTTCTGAGGAGCTCTTCAATGATCAGACAAGTGAAAAGTTATTAAGTAGTACTTCTTTTTGCCTTCAATGCCTGCAAAGAATCATTATTCTTCTAGGTTTCTGTCTCCTCTATTCGCTTTCTTGTTCTTCTTTTTTTTCAAGTTGGTTTTTTTTTTTTTTTTTTCAAGAGGAAACATTTTGTGGGAGTCAAGAACGCACCATGCACAAATGCTCTTCATGTATGGTTCGGGCATTGACTTCTGTTTTGTTTCTTTGTTTGTTTATTTTGTCTAATTACAATTGTTTAAGTTACTTCTTTCTTGGCTAAATTTCTTCAATATTTCGTCTATCCCCATTAATCTATTTCTTACCATGGTCATAAATTTTTTGAGAAGGTCATTAGCGGATTATAGTTGAGATTTTCTTGATAGGTAGAAGAGAAAATTTTCCACTAAATTACTCGAGTAAAAAAAAAAACTTAACTTGGAGTTGAAAACAGGGTTGCCCACCAATTTAAAACCACCTTGTTCAGCTGCTTCAGGACAACATTAAAAGCCCATTTTACCATCTGGCTGCAGACTGTTACTTGTTAAGCAAGCAATCGAGCACGGGTGAGACGTTTAGGGAAAGTTAAAAGTTCCATTAGCTGTTTCCTTGTAGAGCTTTGTGTTGATCTCCCAGTTATCTCCCATTATTATCATCGATGATATCAAACCATTTTCTTTCACCGGAAGTCGGATATGCTCTACTAGGCTAATACTGTTTACTTGAGTCTTCAAAAGGTTTATCATAGCCTATGATTCATAGGTTAGAATCCCAAATATATAAACATCATTGTCCAATGACATTGATCTTCATATTCCAATAAATGACTTGTTTAAGGCTCATGGGCCACAATTGATATCTAATGGGCCACATTCGATTAATTGGAAACAAGAAAAAGGACAAACACTGTGGGCGACACCGATTCAGATCGCCGGCGGAGTTTCAGATCTTCTCCACCTTACATTCTCCGAGGAAAGTAACCTTTAGCTACAAATCTACGCTTTTATGCGTTGACTTCGAAAACTGGTTTGCTATAAGTCAAAATCCATTTCTCTCGAAATTTCTCATTTTTTTGCCAAAAGCCTTTTACGCTCTTGAAACCTCGTTTGAAGAAATAATCTCGACAATGGCGGACGTCACAGGATCTGGTACGTCAATCTTCAATTTTCGCCTATCTCTCCCTATATTTATCTGAGTATAAGCCGTTCATATGCGTATATTCAGATCGGAAGCTATAAGTGAACATGATTGTGGAATTGATTTAGGATTTTCGTGGAGATTTTGTAAAACCCAAGTCTTTTCAATTTCTCGTAATTTTACCTGTGTATGCAGAGATGAAAGTAGGTTCGTTTATGTCAGAAAAATCCGCCAAGGTCTTTGTCGCTGGCCACAGGGGATTGGTCGGATCCGCCATAGTCCGCAAGCTCCAGGATCAGGGTTTCACCAATCTCGTCCTTAGAACCCATTCCGAGCTTGATCTCACCAGCCAATCCGATGTCGAATCCTTCTTCGCTACAGAGAAACCGGTTTATGTGATCCTCGCTGCAGCTAAAGTCGGTGGGATCCATGCCAACAACACATACCCTGCTGATTTCATCGGTGTCAATCTCCAAATCCAGACCAATGTGATCCACTCTGCTTATACGCACGGCGTGAAGAAGCTCCTCTTCCTCGGCTCCTCCTGCATCTACCCCAAATTCGCTCCCCAGCCCATTCCCGAATCAGCTCTTCTCACTGGACCGCTCGAGCCGACCAACGAGTGGTACGCAATCGCCAAGATCGCAGGCATTAAGATGTGTCAAGCTTACCGGATTCAGCATCAGTGGGATGCGATCTCCGGCATGCCCACGAATCTCTACGGTCCCAACGACAACTTCCACCCGGAGAATTCACATGTGCTTCCTGCCCTCATGAGGAGGTTCCATGAAGCTAAAGCCAACAACGCGGAACAGGTTGTGGTCTGGGGAAGCGGAAGCCCGTTGAGGGAGTTCTTGCACGTGGATGATTTGGCTGATGCTTGCGTCTTCTTGATGGATCGATACAGCGGGTTCGAGCATGTTAACGTGGGAAGTGGTGTGGAAGTGACGATCAAAGAGTTGGCTGAGCTGGTGAAGGAAGTGGTTGGGTTTGAAGGAAAGCTTGTCTGGGATTGCACTAAACCGGATGGGACGCCGAGGAAGCTGATGGATAGCTCCAAGCTCGCGTCTTTGGGATGGACACCCAAAGTCTCGGTTAGAGATGGTCTCCGCCAAACTTATGATTGGTATTTGGAGAATGTTGTGCAGAAGAAGCAGTAGAAAGGAATCGTTTTCAGGTAAGTGCAACGCGAATGTTATATGCTTTTGCGTTTTGGTTCTTTATCTCTATCTGCTGTAACTTTGTATTCATGGATTCTTATATACCGAGCAAGTTCAGCAAGCTTTTTTTTGTAATAAAACGAATATTGGAATACCAATAACCATATGTATCCTCTTTTTACTCATTTTTGGTCAACTACCACCCAATCAGTTCATAGATAGCACAATCGTTTCAATGGACCATCGTTTTTAAGTTTCTCTTTGTTACTCCAATGCATCGTCACTCATATTCACCTAATTTGGTGGTAAACCTTTAATATTTAACCTAACTACTCACACACTTATGAGTAGTTGACGAATAGGCCTTTCATTACAAATTTTTGGTCAACTACGAATTCAGATCATTAATAAAACATAACACAATTGTTCCACTGGACCGCGGTAGATATATGACAAAAAAAAGTTATGGTTTGGGCCGATGAGGCCCAATTATACCTCGAATCCAGAACAATAACCTTATAGTTAAAGAGGCAAAACCCTCCTGCGCCGCCCGCGTCTCTCTTCTCTCTCTCTCTTCTTATCTCATTACACTCTTCGAAGAAAACCGAACCCTAATTAGCAAATCTCAAGGTAAATTCATCCCTGCAGTGTCCACTTTGCTCTTGTGGCTTATCGTTTCGGTTTAAAGGTTTCTCTGTTTTTTCTTATTTTTTGGAAATGGGTTTGGATTCGGTGTTTCCATTTTTTTCCACGAATCATTTCGCTACTTTATGGATTTGCGATGAGTTTTGTCGGTGTTTGGACATTTATATGTATGCTTGATCGAAAATCTTATACCAAATCGATTCTTAGGCTAAACTCAAAGTACCACTAGCTCGTCTTCAAACACATCTGAGTTCTTATTGCTTTATGCCCTGCTTTTAGTGTCTTTATTTGTCTTGTGTTGCTTCAAAAGGTTCACTACTCTCTTTCTCATTGATTTCTTGTATATAAAGAAAGGCTTTTGTGAATGTATAATCCATAGTTCTAATACCTATCTGCTAATTTCTATTGAATCTCATAAATGCATATTGGTGTTTTATTAATTTGAATTTGTATGCTTCATACACAGATGAATAGGGAGAAGTTGATGAAGATGGCTACCACTGTCCGTACCGGCGGTAAGGGTACAGTCAGAAGGTAACAATCTTTCTTCTTTCAATCTTTTAGCATTTCATTTACTCCGTTTCTGCTTCTGTTGTGAGAACGATTTGATTTCTCACTGCAGAAAGAAGAAGGCTGTGCACAAGACCAACACAACCGATGACAAGAGGCTCCAAAGCACTCTGAAGAGAATTGGAGTTAATTCCATTCCCGCCATTGAAGAAGTTAACATCTTTAAGGATGATGTTGTTATTCAGTTCATCAGCCCTAAGGGTAAAACTCCCAAATTTAGCTCATTTTTTTTAATTATATATGCTCGGAATTTGTAAACACCTCTTTCTTGTTATTGATCATTATTATGTTACTACAGTTCAAGCTTCAATTGCTGCAAACACATGGGTGGTTAGCGGTTCGCCTCAGACAAAAAGTATGCATCTGATCATCATTCTCATCTCTATTTTCTTGTTTCTTCTTCTCTGATTAACATAAAACTTGTTGCTTTCCTGTAGAATTGCAAGATATCCTTCCCCAGATTTTCAGCCAACTCGGTATGTAACCATGCAACTGTGTACCACTTACATGTTCTTCCTCAAGTCAAAGATCCTTAAAATACTTTGCTTTGATCTATTTGCAGGACCAGACAACATGGACAATCTGAAGAAGCTAGCAGAGCAGTTCCAGAAGCAAGCTCCTGGTGAAGGTAATGCCTCAGCAACCATACAAGAGGATGACGACGATGACGTCCCAGAACTTGTAGTTGGAGAGACATTCGAAGGTGCTGCTGAAGAGAAAGTAGCTGCTGTTTCTTCTTAGAGAGAGCGACACCACCACAACAAAAAAACCGCGCTTTGATTTTTACATATCTTTATAAATGTTTGTTCGCTCTCTTTTTTGTAGTGTGTTTCCGACCAGATTCTTGTTTTCTCCTCGTAATGACTTAAGTTTTTTTTATCCAATTGATTTATGTCTTTTGATTATTTGGCAATGAATCAGGTTCTCTCGTCTCCTTGTTCTTTGTGTGTGGATTGGATTTTGATGTGACACATTTGTCACTTTGGAGTTTGGAGAGCTTATTTGGCACTTGTCCTCAAAGAACCAATCCACCTGTATTGTTTTAAGTCTCTTCTCAAACGTTCCAGACATTTCTTTGTTCTCCCTTCAAATACTTTTTTCAGAGAGATGTTTCGTCTTCGTCACATTCTCGTAAACCATGGCATCACTTTTTGTATCCACTCCCTCTTCATCTTCCTTAACTCTGCAATCATGTCACAGTTCGCTTCTTCGTCGCGGTTGCAAACAGAAACTTCCGATATTTGTGAATACTGAGGTGAATCAGACTACAAGACGGTTAAACCCTTTGAGATTCTCAGCGGAAGATGATCGAGCTCGTGAACCTGCGAGCGATGCTTCGTCTCCGGTGGCAATAGCTGAGGAGCGAAAAGAGGACCACTCGAACGATAATGCGCCGCCTTCTCCGGGAAACAGTGAAGAAGATGAAGAGAAATCGAAGCAGCAAGAGATGGACTGGAAGATGGACGAGGAGTTCAAGAGATTTATGGGGAATCCATCAATCGAAGCTGCGATAAAGCTCGAGAAGACGAGAACTGATCGTAAGCTGAAAGAGCTGAAGAGAGAGAGCAACAGTGAGAATCCGATCATCGGAATTTTCAACCGCTTGGCTCGTGATAGTTTGGCTAGAGAGAAAGAAAGGCTCGAGAAAGCAGAAGAGGCTTTCAAGGCTCTCGACCTCAACAAGGTAACTTAATCAATTAATCATCACACAAATGAATCTTCTCAAAGTGTTTTGGACAGCATATGGTTTTAAAAGTGTTGTGATGTAATAACAGTTAAAGAGCTGTTTTGGTTTCGATACGTTTTTCGCTACCGACGTTCGTCGGTTTGGAGATGGAGGGATCTTCATTGGGAATCTGAGGAAACCCGTTGATGAAGTCACACCTAAGCTTGAAGCAAAGCTATCCGAAGCAGCAGGGCGTGATGTTGTCGTCTGGTTCATGGAAGAAAAGTCCAATGAGATCACAAAACAGGTAAGCCTTCATATTTCTCCAACTTTGATGTTCTTCATCTCTGGATGAATGCTCAACATTTTGGATTGTTCTGTTCTTTGTGATTGTAAAGGTGTGTATGGTGCAACCGAAGGCGGAGATAGATCTACAATTTGAATCAACTAGATTAAGCACTCCCTGGGGATATATTACTGCAATCAGTTTATGTGTTACAACCTTTGGAACCATAGCTCTTATGAGTGGTTTCTTCCTTAAACCCGACGCCACCTTTGATGACTACATTGCTGATGTAGTTCCTCTTTTCGGTGGGTTCCTTTCCATATTAGGCGTCTCAGAGGTAAAGCCTAGAAACATATCAAGAGTGATGATAATAGCTCCACGTTGCTGTGATGTTTAATTGTGTGAACCGTTTGTTTCAGATAGCAACCAGAGTAACAGCTGCGAGACACGGTGTCAAGTTAAGCCCGTCGTTTCTGGTGCCATCGAATTGGACTGGCTGCTTAGGAGTGATGAACAACTACGAGTCTTTGCTTCCTAACAAAAAGGCGTTGTTCGACATCCCAGTGGCGCGTACCGCTAGTGCGTACCTGACTTCGCTGCTTCTTGCAGCTGCTGCGTTTGTATCTGATGGTAGTTTCAATGGAGGAGACAATGCTTTGTATATAAGACCACAGTTCTTGGATAATAACCCGCTGCTTTCGTTTATCCAATTCGTTGTTGGTCCTTACGCGGATGATCTCGGCAACGTGTTGCCTAACGCGGTTGAAGGAGTTGGAGTTCCCGTTGATCCGCTTGCTTTCGCTGGTCTTTTGGGTAAAATTTTATTAACTTCTTTGTGTTCGTTTCGTTTTGTTTAGGTTTCTTCTTATGTTTTTCTAAATCGTAGTTTCCTCTGTTTTTTTCAGGTATGGTGGTGACTTCATTGAACTTGTTACCATGTGGAAGACTCGAAGGAGGTCGAATAGCTCAAGCCATGTTTGGAAGAAGCACAGCTGCGATTCTCTCATTTGCGACGTCTCTGCTTCTTGGCATCGGTGGTCTCAGCGGAAGCGTCTTGTGTTTGGCTTGGGGGCTTTTCGCAACTTTCTTCCGCGGTGGTGAAGAAACGCCCGCAAAAGACGAGATAACCCCTCTCGGCGACGATAGGTTCGCTTGGGGAGTAGTCCTTGGACTCATCTGCTTCCTCACTCTGTTTCCCAATACTGGAGGCACTTTCTCCACTTCCTTCTTCAATGGACCTTTCTTCCGTGGTGATGATCTGATCTGAAGATTGAAACTGGATATGCAGAAACAAGTTGTGTAGATTCTTATTTATTATTGTTGATGGAAGAAAAAAAACATTGTAAATTTGTGGAGTTTGGTTTGTATCTATGCTTTTTTGAACATGACTTTTAATGGAACATCACTTAAAGCAAGTCTTCTCTTTCCATCTTTCACAAACACTCCAATGTCTCCGCACCTGACTTTGCAGAAATTGCAGACAGAAGGACAAAACACGATCTTGTAAGCATCTTCGAATTTGTCGATCTTGAACCAGTTACTAACCGTTTTCTGACCCGGGTTCCCCGAAACGCCACAAGTTGAAATAAACAACTGATTCGGCGTCTCCTCGGAACTGTCTAATTTCCAGATCGTAAATAGAGAGAACTCAAAGTTTAGATCAGTCGAGACACGGATGGTTCTTGATTTGTCATATGGTGTGAAATCTACGGGCAGGCCTTTAGAGTCCTTGGATTGGTCTTGGGTCACAATTCTCGGACAAGTTGTGTTCTCGGATTCGGACACGGTTAGTCCGCCGCCGCGGCCGCGAACTACAGGCAAGATGTAGTAGCTGATGCCTGATTGGAGTCTTTTACCGTAGACGTCGATTACTGGTTCGTTGGCGGCTTCGGTGGTGGCTCCACGGTGGCTGATGAAGACGACGAAGAGGAGGACGAGATATAATGGTGATGACATTGTAGGAACTTTCTTTTTATGGAAACTTTTTAGTGTAAATTGAAAAGAGAGGAGAAAAGAGTTTCTATTTATAGGCCGTAGTTATACTTAATTACTTATCTTATCTGCGTGGAAAAATGTAAGTGTTGAGTAAAATATAATGTGTATTATGTAAAAGTCAAACCATATCGACTTCTGGTCAAATGCGTTGGATATTTAGTGGTAGAGCACATACAATAAGCATAACATCGTAGACCTTGACGGTCAAAGCTTGACGACGTCAGATTTTGATCATCCGTGACGTAATCCCTTTCATTGAATAATCGCTATTGTCAAAATGTAGTTAATGTATTATTATGGCTTGTTTTAACACCGACAGAAATTGAAATCTTTGCATTACATTTTCTTTAGAAATTAATTATTTTAGTAATACAAGGTACGTGCGACTCCGTGCTCGAGTTATGAACCGGGTTTTCTGGTTTTTCATGAAATATAACATGAAAATGGGCTTGTGTTGGGCTTAGGCCTTAGACCAAATAAATCTGATAATTTCAACCCAAAGTTTAAAACAGAGTCTACATTTACTGTGAAGAATGTTGCTCTCTCTTCTCCAACCTGCCAGAAGATAATGAGAGCTTCTCCGGCGATATTCTCACTCTCAGTCTCTTTAACTATCCCTGTAGCTCTTGCTTCAACCAAAAATCGTCTCTCCATCGAAGCTTTTCGATTCAAACAATATGTTTCGAATAATCAGAGTTTCTGGAGACCAGGACGTCTCGTCTCAGAGAAACCTGGCAGAAGATGGACCTTCTGCTGCAAATGCCGACACAGAGAAGGAAATAGGTACGCAGAGTCTGATAACGAAGGAGAAGATTTCATTGTGGTTAACTTCTATCGGTTTGTATCAATCGAAGATCCTTCGGCTGTGATTGCGAAGCACCTCTCTTTCTTAAAGGTCCGTCTGGTTCTGTAATTGAAAATCGTCCAAGTTCGGATTTTTCACTGAAAAACTACAAATTCATAGACTTCTTTTGATTTTCTAAGCTTTTACTTTCAGTCCACAATGTAGATTCACTCGAAAAAAACTTGTTAGCATTCTCTCGGTTCATAATTTGAAGTTTTTTCCTAATGGTTTCTTCGCCGTCCAGGATTTGAATATACGTGGTCGGATATATCTCAATGAACAAGGAATCAACGCGCAGGTACTGTTATCCTTTGAATTACTCTTTCATCAAACTATTTGAGGATGCCTCCATATTATGCGACTATAACAAGCTAGGGACAAATCTTGTGTGTTTACTTCTGTTGTTCTTGTTTTCTGCAGTACAGTGGGCCATCTAAAGACGCCCTTGCGTATGTTGAATGGTTGAAAGAAGATGATAGATTCTCTGGTTTACTTGTCCAGATGTCTCCTGCTATCAATGGGCATGCATTCCCTAAGTTGAAGCTACAGAACAAACCCTCCTTAGTGCAGGCAAGCTACATCCCAAGCATTAGCTGCGTCCTAGTGCAATGCTTTGTTATATATTGTAAGATTACTCAACATTAGTTGCGTGTCTTTTTCTTTTTCTCTAGTACGAGGGGGGAATCTCACACCTTCCCTTACTTGATCCACCGATGCGAGCAAAACCTTTAGAACCATCTGAATGGAAAAAGAAACTGAATGATTTAACCGATGACGGTGAAGAAGAATCACCTTCAAGTAGTGGCAGAAGCTGCATATTATTGGATGTCAGAAACGGTATGTATTTTTTTTCATTCCATTTTTGTCTACAGTAGCAGAACAGTCTTGGTTTCTATTATCATCTAGTATCTACATGACTCATCATTCTTTGCTGATACATTTCTCTAGTTAAACGTAATAGTATTTGGTGGTGATAAACATTTGATTTGAACAGGTTATGAGTGGGATGTTGGTCATTTTCGTGGGGCACGTAGACCTGAAGTTGATTGCTTTCGGAACACTTCTTTTGGGCTATCTGATGAAAAGGTACACTCAATCCTAAGCCGATTGCACCTGTTGATTAAGATAAAGTGCAATCAGCTTCACTCACTACGTGCGTATTCCTTGAGTACATCAATAATTTTGCTTATGCGTCTACACTATAGGAAGCTCCTTCAGACCCTTTGATAGATGTTGACAAGGAAAAGACAGATATACTGATGTACTGTACAGGAGGAATACGTTGCGATGTATATTCAACAGTTTTGAGGTAGCACTGTGGCTTCTACTCCTTCATTCTCTTACTCGCGTCTCCTCAAAACAAGATTTCCCGAATAACTCTCTTATGAGAAGTAAAAAAAAAACATATTTTCAGACAGCGGGGTTTCAAAAACCTGTATACACTAAAGGGCGGGGTTTCCCATTATCTTGAAGAAGAAGGCACAGCTGAATGGGTTGGGAATCTGTTTGTGTTTGACTCTCGTCTCTCTCTCCCACCAGCTGCCTACAATAACAACGTCGTGGATGAAGCCAGAAGAGCTCCAGAAACCACCGTAGATACAGGTTTTGCAAGATGCTATATTTGTGATTCACAAGTTGAGGAACTTAGACATCGGAACTGTGCTAACCTTGACTGCAATCGGCTTTTCTTGTGAGTTGCATTATGGTTTCTGTTTCATCGTTTCATGTCTATAAACAAACAGTGTATGACTTACGACAGTTTGATATTGATGGACATCGATTAGTAGTTTGCCATTGTTTTCCCTAAACTTACCTCTACTTTTGTTCCAGATGCTGTGCAGAATGTGTCGTCGACTTGAAGGGATGTTGCTGTTCAAACTGCATTACTGCTCCCAGGCTTAGACCTGTCTTGCATGGAGTAAAGAGATATGAAAAATGGCATGTATATCGCGATTCGTAAGTGCAAAATGCGCCATTGGTTTTATCTCGTCGATAGATTTTTGGAGGCTAGCACTTGTCACTTTAAATGATGTTCACTGCATCTGCCCCTGCGATTTCTCACGGTGTTAAGAATCACACAACAAAAGCAGAAGAGTGCTGAAGCAGAAGCAATAAATACTAGTCAGTCAATTTTTGAGGTTCTTCGGGTGTGTTACTTGTTGTCAGAACTCAAATTTTCATTTCAACATGTACAATAACAAAGCTTGTAGCAATTCACAACTTAATCTATCTGCTGTAATTGCGGCACAATGCAAACTGTGATGCAACAACATGGTGCTTGTTACTAGTAAAGTAGAAAAATAAATGTAGTAGTGATTATGTTTTGACAAATCCGTGGTTTTTAATATATCTATAACTAACACACTTAGGTTTCTCTGCACTCACAGTACATTGAGATTTGATATTGCAGGCCTAGTGAAATATGGTGGCTTTGCTATGATCAACTTTCTTGAAGTGCCTTCAAACACTGGACAAGCTCAAACTCTACCATCTGCGAGCTCCATTGGTTTGTGTAGCAATATAGTTTCTCAGAGAAGGAGACTGGGTAAGACCATCTGGCGCAACTGTGGTGTTCTGAGTTCCATTCTTCTGCTTCATCCTTCTTCGTGCGATGTAGCCTCTGACCCAAGGAGTTACATCCTCGTTGGTCTTAATCATGATGAAGAAAATGATGCGGTAGATGATAATCATGCTGAGAATCACACTGAGGTTGATCCATTTCGATCGGTGCAAGTCGATCTGGAAGACGTTCTCCAGAACATATTCACCTGAAATCTTGAAAGCACTCGCCTGGCTGTCAAACATCAAGCCTATCAGATCATTCTGGTATTGACCCTGAGGAACAAGCAAAACAAACCAATATTATAGTCACATGATGATGATCAAGCTGAAGCTGATATGAAACGTTTCTTGTGCATTGTTCAACGTCATTACTTGTAACGCCCAGAAGTGGAAGCTGATGTATGACATCGGGTAACGCCAGAAAAGTTTCGGGATGTCATTTGGAAGCCTGAAGAATCCAGAGACCAGCATGAAGATCCCCTGAAACCAAAGTTACAATCGATCAGATTTTTAAGAAGAGCTTCTCTTGGTGCTTTAGAAAAGTGGACAAGAACAACAAAAGCAAAAGCTATGATGAAAGTGAAGGAGGAAGCACCTGAATTCCAGCTCCGATGATGATACCCATGAGGAAGTTAGGAACAATACTAGCAATGGCCATCATCAAGCTCTCCACAACGGTGACACTTGCATAGAGGCAGAGAACAAAGAAGAGGTAGTGAGTGAATCCTGGATGGAGACCCACCATGAAGTAACAGATTGTCCCAGAGATGAAAGTTATCATGATCAGAAACGGCGTTGCAGCTAATGTGTTGGCTATCACAAACGCAGCTACTCCATAGTGCCCGTTTAGCCTCTCTCTTTGGAAGACCTGCAAATCAGTTTCGGTTTAACAAAACCCGTTTTGGTTCATCGGTTTAAGCAAGAAAGCTGCGGGAGGGGATAACTAACCTTCATGTCTTCAACAAACGAAGGAAATCCACCAATTGACATGAATGTTACAAAGCCAAAGACGAAAGACGCACATGAGCCACGTGCCTGGTTTCACAAACAGCAAAAGTATGGACATGGTGAGAGGTAAGATTTAAAAAAACTACAGTTCAAGTTCGAGTCGATCTTTAAAAGATGATATTAGCAAATACCAGAATGGCGCTGTAGCTAGTCCCAACGTTCCAATAGATGGTTCCAATGCAGACAGTGACCAAGATGTAAATAAGAAGTCTGAGCCAGTAATATCCAAAGTCCCTTGACATGTTGATGAAGGATCGCTTGGTTAAAGTGTAGGTCTGCAGAAGGAAACTAGCCTGGCTGCCTCCAGAGTCAAGAATAGTCCCTTTCTGTAGCGTGGAATCAGGTTAAAAAGAGATCAGTGACTCGGTCCCAACATCTAAAAAAAGCTCGAGAAAAGAACAAAGAGTACTTACAAATTGGGATATCTCTTCAACCTTAGCCTTCGCAGCGTAATAATAGTCAGAAGTGTGGTAATAGTCCACCAAGAGTCTAATAGCTTCGGTTGTGGTAATCTTCTCCAATGGATCGTCGCTTGCTTCAAACTGAGAATTAGAACAAGTTCATCAGCAAATGAGAGTTGCAGAGAATTGGGAGCAGTTAAAAAAGGGAAGGACTTTTAGTGTTATTACCCTAAGCTTCATAGAACCTTTCAAAGTGGCTCTAACTTTGTCAAAGTCTGAGTTTATGCATCTCAGGAAATGATCAGAAGGGTTCCTTAAAGCAGGACAGGGAAACCCCGCTTGTGCGAAGAACTGCATCGGTAAGCAAAAGCAACGAGTTAGTTTTCAAGATTGCTTCAGAGAATAATGTTTTCTTTCGGTCAGGTTTCTTGCCTCGTACGCTTCTGAAGCTTGACCAAAGTAAACAGTTTTGCCTCCAGAAAGCAGATACAGCCGATCAAACAACTCGAAAACCTCACTACTCGGTTGATGGATCGATGCAATCACCGTCCTTCCATCTCGTGATAGCGCACGCAATGTCTGAGTCACAAAGAAAGCGGAAGCACTGCACAGAGAGAGAAAAGAAAGAAACTAGGCTTAGCGTGTGTTGTATATACCCTAAATCAGAATTTGTTTGAAACCTTTACCTATCAAGACCACTCGTCGGCTCATCAAGAAAGAGTAAACGAGGTCTCATGAGAATCTCAAGAGCAATACTGACTCTTCTCTTCTCCCCACCACTAATTCCACGCAAATGCCAGTTTCCTATCACAGTATCTGCACAGTCCTGAAGACCCATCTCTATTATTGTCCTCTCCACTAAAGCACGCTTCTCCGACCGCAGCATCTTGTCCGGAAGACGAACTCTCGCTGAATACCAAATCGTCTCTCTCACAGTTAACGTACCAATCAAGTTATCGTCTTGCGTCACATAAGCCTGTAAATAATGGCCAGATTCAGAAAGAACACATGAATCAATATACAAAAAAAAAAAGTTAAAAAGAAAAATAAGATTGTTATTTCCCTTTATTAACACACTATGAATAGCTAAGATCCAAAATCCAAGAACATTCTCTTATTTCATAAGAAGACAAGCTATAACTGAAACCTATGCGTAAGCATGTATATATGTTTTGGAAGATTGTAAACTTTAAAGTTGAAAAATTGGAACTTCTGTTAATAAAGTTGAGATTTTGTTGATTTTTTTTCTATAAAATTGAAAAATTGTAGCTTTGAGGTTGTGCATAAATACTAACAGCTGTTCCAAAGGAGAGTTTGGTTTTGCGGCCGTTAAGAAGAACGGTGCCGGAGAGGAACGCGTTTGCGGCGAGGCGGCTAGCGAGAGCGTCGAGCATAGTGGATTTTCCGGAGCCGGAGGGACCCATGAGAGCCGTGAGAGACCCCGGTTCGGCGTAACCGGTAAGACCTTCTAGAACATTCTGAGTCTCACCATCTCCCATAGTCACCATCACCGTCAGATCTTGCCAAGTAAGCCTCGCCGACGGATCTCCGATGTACTCCGTTGGAGCTTTTTCTCTCCATATAGATTCACTCAACGGACTTAACCCACCCACCGGAAAATTCCCTCCGCCGCCCGAAACCGGTACGGTGGTTTGTTGTCTGCTTGCTTCTATCTCCATTTAGTAACCAAAACAGAGATTTTTTCTCGTAAAAATGCAAAAAGAAGAAAAAAAAAAAAGCTGAATCCGAGAAAACTGAACAAAAAAAAGGGCTTGTCGAGGAAATGGAAAAGGTGTGAACTTGTGAGTTGAAAGAAAAAAAATTATTGAATCAAATTAAGTAGGAGAAAATCAGGAGAAAAGAGCTTCGTGTAACAGAGTCATGAGAATTCTGCATGAACAACAAACTTGGACTCGTTTCTATTCTCATGAACTTCAATGACTGAAACAGACCAAACACTTCTTCTTCTTCTTTTTTGGTTTATTCTCTATTATCTCCAACTTCAAGATAATGCGGGGTTTTATTTATTTGTTTTAAAAACATTGAAAAAAAATTCTTGATTCGAACCAGAAATGAGATAGTTATGAAGACAGCAAGGAGATGGTTGGGAGAAAAATTGAATGAAAATTAAGAAGGAAGTGGGGTCCAATTTTGTTGATGTGGTGAATTTTCCAATTTTCTTTTTGTTGTGGCATTTAATGTGTTCTGGTAGTCGATGGATGGTTGCATTAATAGACCGGTTTCATATAGAGAAGATATTTGATCGAACTTTGGAAAATTTGTTAGTATTTTGTTTTGTAGATGAATTATTATTTTATGTATTGTGCTTAATGGTAATGAAAATGATTAGAAAGAATAGTTATTTAGGAAGCATCTAACAAAAATGTTAAGTGTTATTTTGAAATTTAAGTTTTTGTAGTCAAGTAGAATTCATCACGGTTTTTATACTCCCGCTAAGTTTCGGTGTGAAAGAGTACAAGACACCGCAATGCAAAAAGAAAGAAAAATGGCTTTTGATTATATAACCCATGTATATAAATTAAATGCAGAAAATATTGTTGACAGAAAAGTGCCGAAATAGTAGAAAAGAGTACGAGTCTATTGTTGATTTGTTGGTACTTGTTTTGTTAACAAGGAGTAAGGAGGACCCTTGATGGTATTCTATGTAGGTAAGCGTCATTAATGATAAATTCAATAAAATAACGAACCAACAGCTACTATTGGAAGCTAAATTTATTTTTGTTGAAAAGTTTCTATTTTGTTACTGATTGTTTGCAGTTTGCAGTTTGCACCTTGCTTGGATTTGATTCAATAAGATTGTATATATTCTCACGGGATTCTTTTTTTCCTTTTTTATATAAACCGTGGAAATTTCAGACATTTTTATGGATTTTATCAACTACTAACAAACGTTTTCCAAACATTTATGTTAAAATGGAGATATGTGATGGTTTTGATAAGTAGTTTAAATCTTTAAACATTATTAACATATTATTCTAAGAGAAATTATATTCTTACTTTTTTAAAACATTGATACTTTTATAAATTTTAAAATACATGCATTTATAATAAACAGAAAATAAGATGACAAAAAAAACAGAAAATATAGTTTTTAATGTTAGTTCCCTTTGGAGTAATAATGATGATTTAATTTTATGGGCTAAGAGTTGAACCAAAAGTTGTCTTGGCTACTATGTATAAAAAGTTCTATTGGGTCATCAACTTGTGTCACAAAAATACTGAGCCCTATAAAAAGGAATGTAGAATGGTGATAATGGTGATAATGGTCATCTAACCAATTAGGCCCAGTAACCGAATCCGTCGTGTTTTATTTTCGCTAAATTGAAGAATCCGTGGTTTTCACTGAGAAAGGAAAAGGAAAAAGAATACATACGTAAATACGTGACAAAATAGCTTTTCGTTACCATTTTTCATAAGAAAATAGTTCGTTACGTATAGACATACGAATGTGATATGTCTTAATCCTAAATTTGGAGATCAGAGACTATATTTTGTCATACAAACACAAGTTAATCACCACAAAGACGAGGAAAAGTATTCGTCGCATCGTACGGTTAGAAACATATTTTGGAAAACCCGTACGTAATGAACTACAAAAACTTCAAGAAATGAGGAAAACGACAAGAAGCAACTGAGCACGTGACTCGATCTAAGGAAACCACATCTCCACGTGGAAACTTAATTTGTTTCAGCTCTTTTTAATTATTTTGTTACTAGAAGTAGATCCGGACTCAAACAAAACCCAAACTTATCAAGTATCAAACCTGCAAAAAGCCATATACTTTTCATTTAAAACGTTGTAAACGGGGAATAAAAGAATAACAATTTCGTAGATAGTAGAACTCGAAATTTACCTATTCGAGAAAACCATTTCACAACGCTAGATTTGTGATAATTTGGTGATTGTTAAGAGTTTTTTCTATGCAATTTATTTGAACACTATCAGATTTAAGATTATGATACAACTTAGAATTACTATAAACTAGTTACTGTTCTATATCATCAGAAGTTTTTGTTAAGTTTTTTAAAAAAGTATTTTGCCTTTTATGTTTTACTATAATATAAGATATTTACCCCCTTTTATTATAAAGAAAAAAATATAAGATATTTTGGATACTTACAAATTTTCCATACTTTTATGTATTTAATTTATAGTTTTGTATGATTTGTTAACTTATTTTCATTACATTTAATGATTTTTATAAAAAAAAAATTTGTGATTCTAGAAAAGAACATCTTATATTTTAAAACAAAAGATATTTACAAATTAATAAAAAAAATGCAACACGTCTGATTTGTGTATCTCGAGAATTTTGACCTATTAAAGTAAGCAATAGAAAAGACAAGATAAGGGATGAAACAAAACAGGAAGAGTCAGAGAAGCAAAACGCGATAGATCGACGCAGCTTCTCGGACACGTGGCGTCAACATAGAGCATCACTGTCTTCACTTCCACTACGTGATGTTCACATTTTGCGATGACTCTAGTCTAAAAGCTCACACAACATCACAGTAGATTAAAATATGAAATAATATGAAATTTAAAGAGATTATGATAATGTAACTATTCCGTTAATGGGAGTCTGATAACTGAGCGTGTTCTAATTGGTATGTGCATATATTGGCTTCTAAAATGTAAATAATTTCTCATATTTTGTACAAATAGAATTGTCTTTTGAAATATTTAAAATTCGTATAGATTTTTTTAGATCATATGTATGAATGATAAATTGGATGTGACGAATACTTGTTTTACCCAAGATATACACTACATTCATATGTCTGTGAAATCTGAGTATTATATTAAATTACATTCATTTATATTTTTATTACAATATACAGTATTTTACAAAGAAAATATTGCAATTTTTATCATCTAATTCAGCAAAACCAGTGTTTTAAAATTAACTAAATGCAAGTATATACTTTTGAAAATTTATTTACAAAGAAAAATCTGTCATTTTAATCACATATAAATTGTTTTTTTTTCTAAATTAAGCATCAATTTCTAAGACAATTTTCTGGAAAACACAAAACTTTAATAAATTATGAAGTTTTAAAAAATAATAATTATTTATGCGTGATGCAAAGAAAAGTTAGTTTTTACATTATTTAATTTCTTAACAGTATTTCAACGAAAAATAAATTTATCAAAAAATTGGGACTTAAAAGTTAAAACACAAACTTTGTAATATTAGATTTTACTTAAAAACATGTTCGTTTTGATATATTTAATGGAAAATTAATTGCCTAACAAAAGTAAAAAAGATTAAGGATAAGTTCTTAAATCTTCAGCAAAAAAAGCTTTTGGTAAATAATTACCTACCAAAACAAATAGATCCTCTTTTTTTTTTTGTCAACAAAACAAATAGATCAAGATAAGAAGAGTAAGAGGGTGACAGAGAGAGGAGAGGAGAGAGACGCTTTTGGTCGTGTTGGTTCTTTATAAAAATAAAATATATTATATCTATCATTTTCCATTATATAGAAGCAAATCATACTCCAAAATCCTCATTCAAACTCTGCTGCAGCTTCTTCTTCCCTTTTTTTTCCTAAAGATTCTTCATCTAAAAATTCAGTAAACTCATCTACGCTTTCTCGTTTATCTTTAATTTTTTTAAGATATCATTTTCTTTTTATAAAACCAAGAACCACCAAAAACACAAACCACCCACCTATTTCTGTGGCTAATCTCTGTTTTCTTTTGTTCTTCCTAGGGTCGTCCTCGTGTCGAGCTTTTTTCAAAATGTGGTGGTTATCATCATCGTCGACGAAAGTCCGATCAAATCTTGAGAGGTTTCTTAGAGGAACCACTCCAAAGCCTCCTTCTTTCTCTCTATCACAGGTACAAATTTCTGTTTTCAGTTTCTGTTGGTGTGAATTTCTTATTTTCCAAGAATCAGTGTCAAGCATATTCTCAGAGTAGTGATTTTAGTAGATTTTCTACCTTAAATCTTTTTTATTATTATTAATTGGTAACATTTATCAATAAGGACAAAAAAATATCAGGATTTCGTGAAGTTTTCTTTCACCACGTGGAAACTCGCGACAGCAAATTGTGTATTGAAAAATGATATATACACGAAAACTCAGTACTATTAAAAAAAAAAAAAATCTTTATACAGAAATTGGTTTGAATATTCTAGAATTCTAGTAAGGTATATCCTCTGAACGTGTCTTCTTTCATCTTTACATCATTTGATGACTGTCTCTTTCAGCAATTATTGTAAATAAATGTGTGATTAAAAGCATGTGGTATAATTATTAACATCGGTGTTGAATTACAATGCTTGTGTTAGTGTGTATAAATATAATAATTAGCATTATCACTAAAAACATGGGTTTAAAAGCTAGTAAAAGTTTGATTTTTTGCTTGTGTGTAATTTGCAGAGCTGTGAGAAGGATTTGAATAGTTTGTGGATACAAGAGAGCAAAGATGAGACTGAATATTTCAGGCTTAGTGATCTCTGGGACTGTTTTGATGAGCCAAGCGCGTATGGAATTGGATCAAAGGTCGATTTAAACAACGGCGAATCCGTTATGCAGTACTATGCCCCGTATCTATCCGCCATTCAAATCTATACTAACAAACCTCCAGCCATTTCCAGGTTTGATCACTTGTGTTTGTAATTGGCGAGTTGTTTCTATGTGTTACAAAATGTGAGGAGTGGAATCTATATTATCTATGGTTGGTCGCAGGAACCAGAGTGAGGTTGTTGATTTTGAGAGTGAATGTTGGAGTGATGATAGTGAGACTGAGAAGCTGTCAAGGTCAACGAGCAGTGGTTCTAGCAAAATATTATGGGATTCTTCTTCTGATGATTCGGGTTATGAAATCGATGGCATTGCTTCGTCGTTGCGAGATAAGCTCGGCTACATTGAGTTTCAGTACTTTGAGTCAGCTAAACCGCACTTGCGGGTTCCTCTTACCGCCAAGGTTTTTTCATTCATTTCAGTTATAGAGTGATTCTGTTTTCTTTATCTTGCATAAAGAACCCTAACTAACTTAGAATATTGGCTTATCTTAGGTTAATGAATTGACTGAGAAGTATCCTGGACTTTTGACTCTAAGGAGTGTTGATTTGTCTCCGGCAAGTTGGATGGCCATTGCTTGGTAAGTATACAAAAAGTGTCTGCATGTGTTTTTCGGCCTGAAGATGGTGATGAAGTCTTTTAACTTTTGTTACGGGTTTAGGTATCCGATATACCATATTCCATCTCGGAAGACCGATAAAGACTTAACAACGTGTTTCTTGAGTTATCATACGCTATCTTCGGCCTTCCAAGGTATATATATATATACTTGGATTGTTATAAAATCTCTTAGCTTAAAGACATATCTTGGTACAAACTGTTGAAACATCTACGACCTTTTGTTGTTTCAATTTAATTAGGTAATTTGGCTGAGAGAGACGATGAGAGTAACAAAATCATGGAGGAAGAAACGTTGTGTTGTGATAATGAATCAGTGACCAAGAGACTTCATTTGGATCCTTTTGGTTTAGTTACTTACAAATTGCATGGAGGTTTGTGGGGTAATCAAGAATCTCGTGACCAAGAGCGGTTAGTTTATCTTCGAAGTGCAGCGGATTCATGGCTTAAACAGCTGAATGTTCATAATCACCATGACCATAGCTTCTTCTCTATGAACAAGAGCTTGTAGATCCAAATGACAAAACTCTGTTTCTTTTTGCTCTGTTTTCTTAGGTACATAGCACCAACTCGCTAATGTAAGAGGTCTCTTTTCTTTCTGCTGTAAGGGCCATTGAAAATAATAAATAATATGGGTTTTGTTTATGAGTTTACAGAGTGATGTGACTGATGAGCATTGTTTGTTTTGTGAGAGACTATATCATAAAGGTCTTTGAGCCCTATGAGTGGTGGAAATGAACCTTATTGGTTTGAACATGATTACACCAACTAATAAAATTTAACAATTTGTGATAATCCACAAGAATTTGTATTGATATTATCCAATGCACACAATATATTGTAAAATCATTTAATTAGTTATAAATTAATTCTATCTTAGTTAAAAGAGAAAATGCCAGTTGTAAAATTTCATCCAAATAATGAATGAATAGCTGATTTTATCCCACACATTCCACCATCCTGTATAATTTCTAAGGTTGCCTGAGTTTGAAATCTCAAATCTATAGTAATCTACATATTTTAGTAGTATAATTAGTTTAATTTGACCTTAGTTTAAATTTGTTTTTTTTTTTTGGGCAAAATCTGGTTGGAAGTTGGAATTACGATTCCAGAGATAAATGGCTAATCCCACAGTTTCTCTTTCTCCTTGTATACTGACATGAACAACTATAACGCCACGAATCTTTCTTCTCCTTTTGATTCTTTCACAAGAAAGCCTCACCGCATTGAAGGGCTTGCACCTTCCCGGAGATGTTTTCGCTCGTGGGTTGCGCGTTCCTTTCTGGGGTTTTCCTGGGAATCGTCGCCCTCCTGGCGGCGGAAGCTGCGGGATTCATGTATCTTCTGAAGCGATTGAATCGGAAGAGAGATCATCAGCTTGCGTCAAAATCCGGCTCTGATCCATCTACCGAGGATTCTAACCCTCGCGAATCCACCGATTTCCCTCTCAACAAACAGGTGATCGATCTTAATTCCTCTTTTGAGTTTTCAAGGGTGTTTTTTTTTTGTTCGTATTCTAAAGAGATTATTTATCCTTTTGAAAATTGAATTGTGGGTCTAATTTCGGAATGTGTGCATGTTGCTTTAGCTGCGAGTTTTGAGCTCCTTACATTGGAAATTCAGGTCGAAAGCCGTAGACTTGACATTATATATATATATATATATAGTGGCTCTTAGGGTTGATTGATTGTTGAAGTCAACAAATTCGATTGAGTTTGGATTATAGTCGAAGTTAGAGCCAGACGATTACTGTTTCTGGCATCTGTGGTCATCCTCTTTCTCAATATTTCAGATTTTTAATCTGTAATAGAAGTTTGTAATTCCAGGGAGTGATCTGGATTTTGGAGTTGGATGAAGGTCTAAAGAACTGGATGAAGGAAAAATTAACAAAAGAGCAGAAGAAGAAGAGAGACTTCTTGGAGATTCATCCTCTTCGAAAATTCGCTCGAATCAAAGATCACAAGCTGATCGTGTCAGATGCTGATGGCACTTTGACTACGGTTTCTTTGAAATGTTGCTCTATTGAGGCTGTTTCAGGGTCTGATCTCCCTACAAGAAAATGGTACCAACTCTTTGTATATGACCTCTTATGATTTAGCAATTGAATAGTGAACACTTTGGTGGAATCAGGTCCTTGAATTAAGTATCATTCATAGTTGTACTTCCTGATTTTTGAGCCTATTACGTTCCGCAACTTCCTGATTGTTCGTTTGCTTTCACCATTTCTTTTTGTTTGTTTCTTAGGGCCAAAAGATTTCCTATAAAAGTTGGAAGCAAGATTTCTTCACCCTTATACAAGGGAGGTCAGGTGTTTTACATCTATCTCGAGACGTCCTGGGAAAAGGAATCATGGTGCAAAGCCCTTCGTCTTGCTGCTTGCGAAAATCAGGAAAGGTTTATTTGGTACTCCACCAAATTGCAAGAAGAGTTCCGTAGTTACGTGACGTCTCTTAATGTTGCATACCCTTCTTTCATGAAACCATCGCTTGGGTTTAGTTTTGAGACACTTGACAAAGGGAACAGAACGGATGGCTCTTCCTCAAAGGTGCGCTTGTTCTTGAAGAAATTTTCGAGAAAGCGATCAAATCGTGAAGACAGGAAAACCTCTGCCCGTTCTTATCAAGATTCACAACATGGAAGTAGCTCAGGGAAGAGCATCTCAGGAAAGAAGATGGGTGATCATATCACAGATGAAACTGATGTGCCTATATTTTCACGTTCTGTGAGCCATAGCAGTCATATGTCTGGGGTTTCAGATGGAGACTGTGAAGATAAGTTTGACATGGATGAAGGAACATTGGCGTGGAATATACTTATTTCTAGGCTTTTTTTCGATCTCAAACGGAATACAGGAGTGAAGAATTCTGTGCAAGCACGAATCCAGGTCTGCACTTTCCTTTCCATAATTCTGAAACGTATCGTGAAAGATGAATTGATTTCATTAACCAAATAAAGACGTAACTTTCTGGTTTTGAACAGCGGTTGTTATCCAACATGAGGACTCCGAGCTATATAGGCGAATTAATCTGCTCCGATGTTGACACTGGAAGTCTCCCACCTCATATACATGGTACTCGGGTTCTTCCAATGGAGATGAGTGGTGTGTGGGCATTCGAACTAGATATTGAATACTCTGGTGAAGCGGTGATTGACGTTGAAACACGGGTTGACATCCGTGAGGTGGATCTGCAGAAAGGCATATCCGACACAAGGTTGCAGCCAAGTTCTGCAGGGGAAGTCTCGTCAAATTCCGTTGAAGATTTTGAAAAGCAATTTGTCATCCCTGTGGACACTGTTGATGCAGGACATGTGAAAATTGATGGAGACAATAAAGCAGGCTAGTTCGATGTTTATTTAATATGGATTAATGCAGTTATCTCTCGTTTTACCCACCGAGATCTTGTCATCCTTATTTCTGTTGAAAAATATTGCACAGGATGATACTTTTCGACTGAATTTTCTTACCATTTTTTTGTTGATTGCAGATGAATCTAGGGGCTCAAAAGGAACGAAAGCGTCTCCAAATGGTGTATCCAGGTGGAAGTCTATTCTTAAAAGCATTGCTGAACAAGTTTCCCAGGTTGATTCTTTTGTTTTAAATGTCTACTAGACATTTGTTTTTGTCTTGTTTGTTAAATTTGCTATAACTCTCAGTTCTCTTGAAAACCTTTGATTGGGTTCTTATGTTGTGTTTTCCGGCATGTCTCAGAATGGTATCTTAGAGTGTATCTGTTTCTCAAATGCAGGTGCCCATCTCTTTGTCAATACGGGTGTCCTCTCTTCGAGGGACACTGCGGGTACACATGAAGCCGCCTCCTTCTGATCAATTATGGTTTGGATTCACGAGCATGCCCGATATACAATTTGATCTCGCATCTTCTGTTGGGGAACACAAAATCACCAACAGCCATGTTGCAATGTTCTTGATCAACCGGTTTAAGGTACACTTTCTCGTTTGGGGTGTCCTCTGTTAGGTCTCTAGTGAACTTTGAGCTGACAGAATGAGATAACACTATGATGTTGCAGACGGCAATACGAGAAGCGGTGGTTCTTCCAAACTGTGAAAGCCTAACGATTCCTTGGATGATTGCTGAAAAAGATGATTGGGTTCAACGCAAAGCCGCTCCATTCATGTGGCTTAATCAAGAAAGCGATCACAATAGCTCCCAGGCAACAGACGCGAGATCTAAATCTGACAAGCCACCGACTTCTTCCTCCTGTGTCCAGTCTGAGCAAATGCAGAAAACTGCAAACGCCACCCAGAAGCCGATAATTTCTGAAGCACGGACTCTGTCTTCTTCCTCCTGTGCTCAGTCTGAGAAAGTGCAGGAAGCTGCCGATGCCGTCCCGAAACCGAATACTGAAGCAGAGACTGTGTCTACGCCATTGCCAAATTCTTCAACTGTAACAGTTGAGAGTGACAAATCCTTGGAAGACCTGAGAACTCCCTTACTGCTGCCAAGCAGCAGTGAAAAGCAGGAGACGAACTCAAGAGGCAGTACCGGAGAGATGACGGTTGTTCAATCACCATCTAGGTCGATCCTATCAAGAGAAGAAGATGATTCAAGGGGAAAGAAACTGGGAAGAAGAGCAAGGATGTTTGATCTTGGGAAGAAAATGGGGGAGAAGTTGGAGGAGAAGAGGCGTCACATGGAGGAAAAGAGTAGACAAATTGTTGAAAAGATGAGAGGACCTTCTCAAAACGAGAGGGGAGAAGCTGTTGCAGGTTCCTCGTACAAAAATTGATTTATAGAAACAGAGGAAGTTGGGCATTGTTACATGTACAGCACCTTGACAGAAAGCCATCGATGTCCGCGTTTTTATCCGATATTTGACCAATTTTTGTGTGAAAATGTTTATTGTTTGTTCTAATAGATACAATACAAGAAACCACGTACTGGTCTGGACTCAATTATACATAGGAAGTTGCAGGAAACAAACCAAAGAGAAACACAACAACACAATCAAAACAGAGATTATTGATACATAGAGAGAACCTTGAACATGAAGCTTGGTCCGGTCTAGTAATCTTCCGGAGCCAATGGCTGGTGGGTACTGTGGTGAGGAGCCTCGTTAACGCTGGGGATGACCATGTACTCATAGATGAGTCCGGCCAGTGCACCACCAATGAAGGGCCCAACCCAATAGATCCAATGGTTATGCCACCTCCATCCCACTAATGCTGGACCAAAGGCTCTAGCCGGATTCATTGATGCTCCATCGAATGGTCCTCCTACCAAAATGTTTGCCCCGACTATGAGCCCGATAGCTAGCGGCGCTATGATCCCAATACTCCCTCTCTTTGGATCGATTGCGGTTGAGTAGACCACATAAACCAAGGCAAATGTAAGTATGATCTCCATCAGTAGCCCATGAAGCTCACCAACTCCAGACGCTACATGGAAACCTATTGGTCTCTGCATCACACAGAATCACATTGTCATTCAGGAACATAAAGTTCCACAGTGTCCGGTTTAATCTTAAACTGTAAATCAAACCGATTGGGTAGTATACGATTAGATCTAATAAGTATGTCAAACCGATCATATATGTAATAGTACATAGAGAGTGATGAGAAGTGATATACCAAGCCATTAGTGGTAAGCCTCAACAAGAGACAAGCGAGGATAGCACCAAGAAGCTGAGCAATCCAATAGTAGACTGCTCGGATCACTGAAATCCTGCCTCCAATTAGAGCAGCAAAAGTAACCGCCGGGTTCACGTGCCCACCAGAGATATTGATAGCCGCCGAAACAGCTGCAAACAGGGCCAATGCATGCGCTAACGCCACCAGAACTAACCCTCCGGGCGTGTTTGTCCCCGTGTGAGCCGCCGTGTCCCAATACAACTTGTCTGTCCAATAACAAACATATATAGTTCAAATCACTAATGCATGATGATGCATGGTTCGAACCAAGATTTGGCATATATGTTATATTTTCTTGTTTCTTCTATATATAATCTTTTTACTTATTAAAACTTATATCGCAACACTATTTGGCTGGAAATATGTTTTTTTCTTATTCTTCCTTGCATTTCCAGTGTATACGTAGAAATTACTACGAACCTAGAGCGAGGAATGAGCCTTCTCCAGCAAAGACGAAGACGAAAGTGGAAAGAAACTCGGCCAAAGTGGCTCTAATGGAGTCCGGGTGCGTCGCCTCGTCAGCTCTGCCGAATCCGTATGCTCTTCTAGCAGATGTTGCCATTTAGATCCCTAATTTAAATGACAATAATCAGAGCTCTCGGTGATGGATGAAGAAGAAGAAGAGACCAAGGAAGAAAAGGCAAGAGAAGAAGAATTGAAAGAGGGAGATCTTAAAAGAAGCCAAGCAGAAGTAATCAGGAGACAGATGTGATACGAGAGTGTCTGAAGCTGAACACGTGGATCCTGTTCGTGTCTATCCATTCCTCGATCTTACCTGATCCTCTCAATCTGGACAGTTCCTTAATTATAATAGTATAACAATGGCACTAGTGTATATGTGTATCTATAATTGTCCATGTTGTGACTGCATGTGTGACAAGTGGATTAAGTTACAGTGTATATATTGATCCGGTTTCGGCTTTCCTCGTCACTTTATTTTGTCTTTTTTATTTATGTACACTTTCGAGTTTCGATCATGATTTGTTACTAGTAAGTCTGTCTCGTTAAACTTGCTTTAGAGGGATGCATTATTTTCATTAAAAACTTTTTGGATGATTAGTTCGATACATAAAAAGTTTTGGATGTTTAGTTCTTTAGTTGTGGGGCCAAAGCGTTGACTTCCATCTTCATACCATTAAAACAGTCGACTGGTTTAGATGTTCCGATTACATAGCTACCACTATAAGGAAGCTATGGTAAAAGAGACATTTAATTGGTACATTCCGGTTTGTACCGGTTTGGTATATATATTGTTGGGGACACCTGAGAGAGAGAACTTTATACTTGCCTTTTTCCGTTTTCCCCTTACACATGTGTTTGTTTTCCCTATACTCTCGGGTGCTCAAGCGCGTGAGTTCAAGCGCGTGAGTTTACGCTATTCTGGCGACCCTGCGACTCTCTCACCATTGCTTCCCTAGGGTTTTCGTCTTTGCAAATCCAGAGCGATCTTCATGAACTACGTTTCAACCTAATCGTCCTCTCTTTTTGATTTCACCGACCTTCGATTTGGTGTTCAAAACTCCTCGATCTCGGTGCTCCGAGCTGAAAACACTAGAGAAAACCCTAGATTTTTGTTGTCAGGGGGTAATGTCTTCTGATCATATAGTAGGAGCTTCGAAGACGAAGCATAAGTGGAGCGCGAGCGGAAACCAGAGCCAGAGCCGATCCAAGCCAATGGTGGTCAATAGACAAGAGCGTTCGGTTCCTCTCGTGTATCCGCCTAACTCGTTCGCCTCGGAGGACGGCCGTAATATGTTGAGGGTAAGTCTGAGCTCGATTTCGAAGCTTGAGGTTAGGAACTTGAAGCGGAAACTTACGGCTGAGCTAGATGAGGTCAGGAGCTTGATCAGGCGGTTCGACCCCGAAGGTAACATCGGTGGCCCCATGGCTAAAACCGGTGCCGTAGGGAGGAACAAGAAGCTGAAAACAGGGAATGGAGTTAAGAAGGGTGGTGCGCATGGAGCTGATAAAGCTACGGTTCAGATTTTCAAGAACTGCAACAATCTGCTTACGAAGTTGATGAAGCATAAGGATGGGTATATATTCAACGCGCCAGTGGATGCGAAGGGACTTGGCTTGCACGATTATCACACCATTGTTAAAGAGCCTATGGATTTGGGTACAGTCAAGGCTAAGCTGGGGAAAAGTTTGTATAAGTCACCGTTGGATTTCGCTGAAGATGTGAGACTTACTTTTAACAATGCCATCTTGTATAATCCAATTGGGCATGGTGTGCATAATATGGCTAAGCTTCTGTTGAGCATCTTTGAAGAGAAGTGGGTCTCCATTGAAGTGCAGTATGATAATCTTCACAGGAAGTTGAAACCAACTCGTGATATCGACTTCCCTCGTCCTGCTTCGACATTTGCTCCTGTCGTAGAGCCATTACCAGCTGCTCCTACACCTTCCCCGTCTCCTCCTCCTCCTCCCGCTTCTCACCCTCCGGTGCTTGAAAACAGGAGTTTTGAGAGAGCAGAATCCATGACAACACCAGTGGAGCCTGAAGCTGTCACTACTGCCCCCGAGAAGCCTGAAGAAGAAGAGGAAGAAGCGCCTGTTGATACTACTAGGGACCTGACGAGGGATGAGAAACGGAGACTCAGTGAAGAGCTTCAGGACTTGCCTTATGACAAACTAGAGACAGTTGTTCAGATTATAAAGAAGAGGAATCCAGAGCTCTCTCAGCAAGATGATGAGATCGAGCTGGATATTGATACTGTTGACATGGAAACGCTTTGGGAGCTTTATAGATTTGTGACTGGGTATAAGGAGAGTATGAGCAAGAAAAAGGAAGATCAGGGATTTGGTTCAGAAAGAGATGCTGAATCTGTTCACAATATAATCCAAGAACCGGTACAGATTTCTGTAGCTAAATTGTTACTTCAGAGGTCTTCTGCTCTTACTGTTTCTAACTTATGTCATTCTTTCTTCTTTTGCTTTGACAGACTACTCTAGCAACTGGCACCGAAACGTCGAGAGTTAATGAATCGGGTAAGGTTTTTTGCTCACGAGGTCATAAACTAAATTCGGATGCAATAGCATTTATTTTAAACACACAAAGAAAGACCTGTGGAATAATGAAACGAGTCTTTGTAACCAGGAAAAGCAATTCGCACGTCATCTCCTGTGCGGCAAGAAAACAACGCAAGTGGATCAAGTAGTTCTAACAGCTCTAGTAGTGACTCAGGATCTTCCTCTAGTGGTAATTGTTGAAACTCTGTTTCAGTTCAACTCCTTTTTTTACCTTGTCAGCATCACCACTCGCATAACTTGTCTTTTGATCTTGCAGATTCTAACAGTGACAGCTCCTCAGGACGTGGATCAGATACTGGTAATTAGGCCTACAAGTCGAAAAAGTGTTTAGCTGTAGTAGAGTCAGAGCCGTCATGTTGTGTTATCCACCACATCGTTTTAATAGCAGAGCTAGGTTTTTTTCTCTTAAGTCGATAGCTTTTCCCAATCGGATTTGTTTTCTGTAGTAGGATTCTTTTACTGTACAGGAAAAATGGAACAACTATCCAGATGCTTTGATCTAATCAACATGCTTGTTCCCTGCTTCTTGATTAGAACAAATTTAGTGCTTATGTAAAGGAAACAACTGGAATGGGGAAGAAGAAGAATTTGATTTTTACCATATTTGAACAAGATTAGCTCTTGGTATATTATTATTCAAAGCATCACATGAGAGCCTTACTAAAATATAACAGTTAAGCCTGTAGAGATGGGGTTACAATCTTATCTTTTACAAAAGCTCCCACTCAGAATCTTCTGATGCAAATGGAACATTCGTCTGTGAGCTTTTGGGGTCTAGAGGTGTTGCAGCATGTTCCTTAGTGTTCATCAGATCACAACCCATGTCTGCATCTCCAAACCATATTGCAAGCTGCTCGTATTCCTTCTCTCTTCTTCTTTTCGAAGTTAAAACATCCATTATCTTACTCTGCTAAAATTATGATAAAGAAGAAACATATTAGGAATCAATGCTGAAAGGACGAACAGTACTCAAATCTTATGACAAATAAGATAATGAAAATGTTTTCTTCTTAAATCTATGACGCTTGTTCTGAAACTAGTCATTGCTGTTGAAAGCAAGGTTTTTCATGAGAGAGTAAGATAGAGAGAGGACCTTGAATGATCTGAGCTGCCGCGTCCTGTCGCGTGCTTCATATAGCAAATTGTCATCAAAATCTGAGGGGTCTTCTCGAAATGTCATGTCGTACAAATCAATGGTATCCAATGGAGCAGCATCAAAGTCTTCGATGAAGAACTCATCATCTTGATTAACTACACATTAAAGTTTGCACACGATGAAACTAACAAAGCTGCACAGAGACCAATTCCAAAAAACTTGTAGAAAAATAATGAGCATACACACACACACACACACACAAACCCTTGATAGAGGTGCTGCAAAAGGATCCAATGTTTGCCACTTTGTCATGAGCAGGTACAGCTTGAATCTCTGTAGCAAGTGGGGTTAGATTTGAATCACCCGTAGGAATCCCAGAGGGAGATACAAAAGTATCATCATTACATGCTGTTGCAGTCATAAAGCCTTCAGGGGAGTGGTGAGATGCTTGAGAAGATATTGGATCGTTGCGGCAAAGAGAAGTGGTTGCTTTCTGATTACAATCACTATGCTCTTCTGTAAGTTTGTCTGGTTCATCCCTTACAGAATCGGATCCTGGAGGATCATTTGAACTCAAAGAAACTTTACCCTGCTGTCCAAAACATAAGAACCAAGAGACTTCACTTCCTTTATAGAGAAACCTAGAGAAGAACTCTCAATAGAATTTAGAAACTGTAGCAATAAGTACCTGAGAAGCCAAACTGTCCACCTCCACAAGAATCGTTTCCAATTTACGGTAGATTTTACCATACCATGCTCTTCCTTTAGATTCTGTATTCATAGCTCACACGAGGAGAGTACTACTGTAAAGAAGAACCAAATTCCCAGTAAATACTTTTTGTAAAACAAGATCATCACAATCATAGGCTGATTATGATTCTAAACGCATATATGACAACAGTAAGCTTTTCATATAAAGTTAAAAAGCAAGGTCTCAACTTCGAAATAACTTATGCTTTATCAGACAAAGATGTCGAAAACCTAGGGAAAACATAATGAATCTTAGCAGTTTGATCTGAAAAAGTTTGAATTTTTTATTTTTTACAAAAGACCAGACAAATCTAATCAATTCGTGATCAAAGCTCGACAGCGGGAAAAAAAAAAACAACTCTTACGCGCATCGAATTGCATGAAATGAAAGTGGATTCCCAATGAAAAAGGCCAGAACGAAGAGGAAAGGCACAGAGAAAGGGAAAAAAAAAACCCTAATACCCAAATTAAAAACAGATATTGATGAAACTCGAACAAAGGAAAGACAGAGACCCGAGAAGAAGACTTGACAAAAAAAACGAATCTCAAAATATGAAAAACCGGAGTCTCATTTTTTCTCCTCCGGTCTCACAACTTTAATTCGGGCTTAACTTATTTTGGCATTTTGGCCTATTATAAATGTAAACCAAAATCTAATATATATTAAACAGGAAGCATTAATAGTTTGTTTATCATTATTTCAAAATTTAAAAAATTTTAAATCTTAATAATAATTAAAACTTAAATAATTTATTTTTATAATCAAATAAAAAAATTTCTAATTATTTATTTTTTAGTTACATTTAAATATTTTAAAAATCTACAATTAATATTTAAGTTTTTGTATATAATTTGTAAAAATTTAATTTAAATAAATATGACAAAAATTGAAGTGAATCTTTTTTTAAGTATTTAACATATATTTAACAGATTATATTAGAAAATATTAGTTTAGTCTTTTTTTCAATATGATTTAGTTTTGCGTACAATTCTTATTATCAAACACTTTATTTTAAATTATTTAAAACTAAATCAAATTTAAATCGAATTAATCATAAATAATTTGATAATTTCTTGTTTTAGTAAATTAAATTAATTACCTCATCTATTAATGAAAATAAAAATTATTTATATGTTTTAGATTTACGAGTATTTATTGTTATGCAACAGCTTTGATTCACATATTATACAAACAGAAAAAAAAAATATTTTTCAAAACATCAGATGAAAATAAATGTAAATCTTGCTTTGTATAAGTTTAAATTAAAAACAAAAATAACTAAATTTTTTCAAATCTCGACTAAATATTTTTAGATATCCAGATACTTTTCAAAACTTAATAAATTATAAAATATCTTTTAAATATTTTTACAAATATTATCCCGCATAAACGTACGTGTAGTAACCTAGTAATAGTAATAATGAAAGAGCAAAAAAAGATATAAAATTTAAACCATTTTTATTAATTGTTGACAAAAAAAAACATTTGTATTAATTAATGTTACAAAAAAATACAGAACCACAACAACAACAGTAACAAAAGAAATATAAGTCCAAATCATCCAAAAAAACCTAGACAATTGACCGAACCACAAAGACAAATCTTGTCGTCTTTGAATTGTGTCCCATCTTCTCCTATACAATAAGACCTTCCATAATCATATCTTAATTCCGTCAGCGGAGGAATATGCTTTACCGCAAAAAAACCAATGTGAACACGAGGTTTACGATTCTGTTCATACTCAATAGGCTGGCACATAACATTCGGCGAGCAGCTGTGGTTCATGAACCGGCTAACGTTCCCATGTTTCTTTGCGCTGATCAAAATTTGCGACGGAAACTTAAAAACTTCAGGGACTGGTTCCCAACAATCTTCACCCACGAGCTCAGGCTCGTAGTTCCACTTGAATCTCAGGATATATTCACGAGAACTATCAAACACGTATTCGTCATCCTCTTCTACCTCGTGTTTCAGCTTAACCGTTCCAGCAAACTCGCAGATGAATGTTCCCGCTCGAATCGGCTCACACGTACGTAATCCCCAACCACACTTCTCCGTCTTGAACACCTCCACGCGGATTTTCAAACCAGACTGAGATACTCTGTTCTTGCAGTCGGCAGGACAAGGACAAGAATCGCCGCACTCGTAGATCATTGGTTTACGACATACTAATATGCGATTATGGTACGGAGACTCCCCGCCGTTTCTTTGAACGCAAAGGCACTTTGGACCTTGAGAAGAGCATGACCGGCCTTGGCAATCGCTGCATCCGATAGGTATATGGCTCAGATCAAGCGCCATGTACGAAGAAGTCGTGAGAGTGTTGCTGTACTGAAAATCTTCAGGCATCTTCTTGTCGCTTTCATCGATTTCATTCACGACCGGAACTGGTGATGTCTCGGTTCCATAAGAGATATCGTGATGTACAAAACCTTTTCTTGTATCATTCGAACCGCTCTTCCTCCACTTTTCAGCTACTTTCCAGGTTTCGTAACCGGAAGGCTGGTCTGGTTTCCTCACCAGCTTGAACTTGTACTCTTCGAAACCGGATTTCGCCTTTTCTTTCCAGAGATCAGACACCAAGTAGAGTCCGTCGTAGATGTAGATCTTCTTCTTTTTGTCGTTCGGATCTTCTTCCCCCCTGATCACTCTAACTTCGTTCCCTTTCTTTTTACTTGCTTCCAATGCAAGGTTCCCTCTCTCAAGCTTCTGATCAACAGCTTCGCCGTTCTTATCAGTTCCACCATGTCCGGTATAAACCAAAGTCTGAAGATCCTCTGTTTCATCATTGTAGTGTCCTGATGTTACTACGCTTGTAGCTAAAGGACCTTCTGTTGCGCCATCTTTAACCGACAAGTAGTCAATGCCGGCTATCATCTGCTTGTGAAGCCCAACGAGACACATCTCCCCCCAAAAGTAGAAGATATCCCCTACTTGTACCCCAGGAACCGGACCCACTCTTCTCTTGGTATTGGTCCTAACACCCAAATTCCTACAATTAGTTATTGCAGTTGTAAGCACGCCTTTCACGCACTCTAGTTGGCATAACCGACGTCTAACCGCGTCAAACCGCATCAAAACCGAATCAGCTATCTCTCGGTTTCCACTTTCTCTCTCGGCGTCGGTTAACTCCGAATCGAAATTTGGACAAGATGTAACCACTCTGCTGTTGGGATCATAAACTTTTGGCTTCTTCGTGGACACCTTCGAGTTTTTCGAACCTTTTGGCCGGCCACGTCCTCTTTTGACCAGACCAGTACTTGGACCCGCATCAGCTGCATCAAAAGAGCCTTTGTCGGATTCATCAAATGGTGTAATGCTTTGAAATGGTGAAACCATAAGAGGAGGAGCTGCTGTTGGGCTGTGGCTTCCAAGCGGTAAGACATAGCTAAGTGGTGTGGCCATTAAAGGAGAAGATGGTGTTGTGTTTTGAGTTTCATCGTTATTTGGAGAAGTTGGTGGTGTTGTGTTTTCGGTCTGTCTTTCAACTGGTTTAGCCTCACTTGGACTAGACTTATCCATTGCAACAAAAATATCCTGCATTGTGGATTAAACAAAAAATGATGAAAAATTAATAACCATCAAACTAGCAAAAAAAAAAAATCTCAATTCCAACGCCAACACAAACAACAATGCATAAAATAAACAAAATGTAGAAAAAAGCACAAGTAACTCACAACACGAACATAAGAACGTATAATATATGCATATAAAGCTCAACACGAACTAAATGTAGAATAAGCCTATAGCAAAACACCAAATCAATACGCACCTTTTGGAAAATAAGAAATGAGAACTTCAAAATTGAGCAAGAAGAAAAGTGAAAACAAGAAGCAAGAGAGGAAGATTATGAATATGAAGTGACTGAAGTGATGTTTGGATATTTGGTAGTGAGAAAGAAAGTAAAAATATAAACCTATATTTAAAGGTATTACAGCATGAGGTGGTGTTGAAACAGAAAACTTAATGACCATTAGATCAAGCTTGATTCATCTCCCCCGTCCAAACTTATAAGTTATCAACAGACCTCTAGATTCATGGTAATCTAACTAATATTCATTGTATTTTACTAATACTTTGAATTGGAACTTTTTACCAGTTTTGCTAAATGTAAAGATGAAATATCTTTTTTCTCCATATTTAGATAACATTGTAATCTAACTAATACTATGAAATAAAACCTTTTACCAGTTTTTCCAAATGTATTAATTAGTATAAAGATGAAATATCTTTTTTCTCCATATTTTTATATATATATATATATATATATAACATTGTAATCTAACTAATACTATGAATTAAAACCTTTTACCAGTTTTTCCAAATGTATTAATTAATATAAAGATGAAATATCTTTTTTTCTCCATATTTATATATATATATATATATAGATAACATTGTAATCTAACTAATACTATGAATTGAAACCTTTTACCAGTTTTTCCAAATGTATTAATTTGCATGAAGATGAAAAATCTTTTTTCCCCATATTTAGATTTCTTTTGTTGTTGTACATACCCAATATAGTTTTCATTCAAATTAAGAAAAGGATAGCAAAACTTTGACTGGTTTGAAATTAAAAATACACCCAAAATATCAAATACTGTGACTAATAATATTTGTGTTTGTTTTGAATATTTGATTTTAAACAATTTGTTACTTTCAATATGAACACCCAAAAGCATTTCCTAGTACTGTCTTTCAAGTTATAACTACCAAATTCATCTAAGTGTAAATAACTTGTTACTTGTATTCAAACACTTTGCTACACAAATTATAACGAGAGCGAGACACGGACAAAATAAGAAGAAATTGGATAACACAAACTGTTGTTGAGTAGAGAAGCCAATGTTCATATTGTATGAAAAACACTTCTTACAAGTTAACAAAACCACAAACTACAGTATTTATGTCTGTGTCCCATTACGATAACTTTCACGAGCTTACATGATCTTCCAGTATGAAAAACCTACTCTAAAATTTAGTGTGACAAAAACTTTAAAAAACAAAAAATGACCTATAAGCTCAAAAAACCTACAGCCATTAGATGGGCCCGTCAATTTAGGCCCAAATATACCAATATATTTTGTGATGTTGTATTTATTGTTTAGTTCGGCCCAACCCTCAAGTGAACCGCGGTAAAACAAAAAAAGGCTGCAACTTCGTCTCTGCGTTCTTCGTCTCGGCAATAGGTTATCGCCGGCCACCGTGTTTCGGACATACCCATCGGACGACTGTTAAATTTCTAAAACACAGATTAGGGGTATTTATAGCACCGCCGGGTAAACATCCAAAGGCCTGTTCTTGCGACCTGAGGTACAACGGGTCCTGTTAGGAGGCGAGACTTATGGCATAGAAGCATAAGAAGCTTTGGCTAGACTCGGCGGAGGATTAAACCCTCAAATTAGGGTTTACTTGTATCACCACTGAGTGAATTGAAGGTCTGTTCCTCTGATTAAGTACAACGAGTCGTTTTTGGAGGGTTAAACTTATGGCTGATAAGTACAATATCGAGGAAGCAGAGGCTTTGGCCAGGAGAGCCTTGGTACAACTCTATCCCCGGTTTTATACTTGTTTGATTTCTCCGAATTCTTGAAAATTTTCTGATTTTTTTCGTGAAATTGTTTGCTTCCTTCAGCGCTTGCCAATTGCACAGGCGACGCCGATCTACGAGCAGCTTTTGTCACTTTATCCCACTTCAGTAAGTTCCCAATGGCTTCACGGCCACGTAGTTGTGGTTTTGGAGTTTGATTGTGCTGAAAAGTTTCCTGTTTTCAATTAAGTGAGTATTTGCTTAACTGTGAGCTCCTGTGTAGGCGAGATATTGGAAGCAATATGTGGAAGCACAAATGGCTGTAAACAATGATGATGCTACGAAACAGATATTTAGTCGTTGCTTGTTGACCTGCCTTCAAGTTCCTCTTTGGTATGAAGATGCTTTCCTTTTTTTTTGTTGTTGTTGATAAGAGTCGATACATGATCTTTCCGTCTCACTGTTTCTTGTGTTGGGCCTCTTCCTTAGCTACAATACAAGTCTTTCCATCTCCTTGAATATAACTCAATTATTTTATTCTCTTAGGCAATGTTACATTCGGTTCATCAGAAAGGTCTACGACAAGAAAGGAGCAGAGGGTCAGGAGGAGACCACAAAGGCTTTTGAGTTTATGCTAAATTATATTGGTATCGCTTCTCTTCAGGAATTTGGCTTTATTGTGTGTTCTTTTTTTCTGTTCTTTTTACTCTTATGTACATGTCCGATAAAGATACGGAAATTTTTAGTTTGTGACTTGTGAGTAATGGTAAAAGTTCTGTGTCGTAAAATATATGAGTTGATCAATTTTATACTTAATATAGTTGCTAAAGATGAGTTACTAGAGCTTGTCTACGTTCTAACATTTGTCACGCGCCTTTGTTGTTCTTCTTGACATGATTGTGTACGTAATACTGTTGTAAATTGGTTTCCATTATATTCTCTATTTCGTGCTCTTTTCGTGAACAGGCATGGAAATGATAATTTGGGACAATTGATGACTGTATAAAAGATATGCGTGTTTGCTTTGATTAAGTAGATAGAAGTACGTCATGTCTCGAATTGAGGTGTTCATATTGCTTGAAATACTGGAAATCCTCTAGCTCTATTCAAACTTCTTGTAGGTTCTTATAGCTGGCATTGAGATGTGTTTTGCGTACATGTTCTGCTTTGTTGAATCAATCGTTCTTCATGTACTGTTGAATCCCTTGTTCGTCTTCATTTGTCATGACACTTTAATGTGACATATGAAATGGTTTTGATGCTTCCTATGCATTACTATATATATACTACAGTGAAAGTCCTTGATGGGATTCTCTTTGGCTGATAGTGTGTCAGTCCTTGGAGATATGGTATAGGTACATGCAGATATTAAGGGTATTGCTATCCATTAGCAGTAGCAAGCACATTCTCACGCGTTGCATCCATTTAGATCTTTAGTCTTACGCATTGCATCTATTTAGACGTCTTGTTTCTCTTTCACTTGCCAACACATTAGATAACTCGGGCCTTACTGATGGTCGTTTCTTTGGATATATGGATCACCAGGGACAGACATAGCATCTGGGCCTATATGGACTGAGTACATTACCTTCCTAAAATCTCTTCCGGTTCGTCATATCATTCTAACTTTGTCCTTGATACTACTAATTTGTTATTCAGAGAAACTAATAGATTCTCTTGCAGGCTCTTAACCCCCAGGAAGATTTGCAACGCAAGATTGCTGTCCGGAAAGTGTATCAGAGAGCTATATTAACTCCGACTCACCACGTTGAACAACTTTGGAAAGATTATGAGAACTTCGAAAATTCAGTTAACCGTCAATTGGTAAACTTTTGTTTTAACAAATTGTGTGGTGTCTGATTTTCATGAATTTTTAATGTATTAAAGCAGATATCAACTTATTTCGCTTTGTTTGGTTAATGGATGATGCAATCTATCCTGTGAATAGGCGAAAGGGCTTGTAAATGAGTATCAACCAAAATTTAACAGTGCCAGAGCTGTATATAGGGAGCGCAAGAAGTACATTGAAGAAATTGATTGGAATATGCCTGCTGTACCACCAACAGGTTCTTCCAAGGTAAAATAATCTCTCATCCATTGCTTCGTTTTGGAACTGCTTAATCTAAATCTCTGATATCTTTTTGAATTCGACACTATTGGATATATTGACACTTAAATTGGGTAAAAAGACATTATGAGCAAAAACTCGTCATGAGGAAATACATATTAAGCTATAAGTTCTTTTATTGTTTTTAAATGGATCATCGTTTGCTCACGTTGGCACTTTCTTATGGTTTTCTGCAGGAAGAAGCTCAATGGGTGGCGTGGAAGAAGTTTTTATCCTTTGAAAAGTAAACCCCCAAAATCCACCAAGTGATGATTGGGTCTTATGCATATAATTACTATTCCTCAACTAACCCTTCTATAAATAACAATATTATACTTCTAATACAATTTTAATTTTCAGAGGAAACCCTCAAAGGATTGACACGGCCTTATCAACTAAACGGATTGTATATGTCTATGAACAGGTATGCTAAGAGATAGTGAGATGTCAAAAATGTGTTTCTGTTATAATTTGCTGATTATCAACCTGTTTTTACAGTGTCTGATGTGCTTATATCACTATCCCGATGTATGGTATGACTATGCTGAGTGGCACGTAAAATCTGGTTCCACGGATGCTGCAATCAAAGTATTTCAGCGAGCTCTTAAAGCCATTCCTGGTAAATCTGATATGTCCTTTCTTTCTTTCTTTCTTTATGTTCATGAATTAATTGCTTTTTTGTTGCGAGTCTTTCATATTTCTCTAAGTGTCTACATTGCCCACTCCCTTATGTCAGATTCGGAAATGTTAAAATATGCGTATGCGGAGTTGGAGGAATCTCGTGGAGCAATTCAGGTTTTCATTCTTGCCGCTTTCTTCTCGTTGTCGAGCTTTTTCCACTTTTCTCAAACTCTTTGCTTACAGTTGTGTGCTTTTGCAGTCAGCAAAGAAATTATATGAAAGCATTTTGGGGGTTAGCACGAACTCTTTGGCACATATACAAGTAAGAACACGCAAAGTTCAGAACTTAGGACTACTAAGATTGACATTTTAAAGCATATCTTCTCTGTTCATATTCACATGCTTCTCATAAGATTACTATTGTAGCTTTCCACCATATTCATAATATTTGTTGCTCATCTCCATTTGTTTCTCATGTATAAATTTTTTCACGTCTAGATTTTTTCTTTTGACTGGAATCACTGTGATATGTATTTATATATGCTTTCGCAGTTCCTTCGTTTTCTCCGGCGGGCCGAGGGTGTTGAAGCTGCTCGCAAGTACTTTTTGGATGCTAGAAAATCTCCCAGCTGTACATATCATGTGTATATTGCTTTTGCTACTATAGTCTTTTGTATTGACAAGAATCCAAAGGTTGATTTTCTTACCCACGTTGTGGTCTATGTGCTATTTGGAACTGCTTTTTTTTGTTTGTTTGATCTTGTTAGTATGTGAATAAGTTGATTATTGTAATGGTCGTTCTGTCAAGTTCTTATTTTCCTCATAGTTGCTCAAGTAAACGAGGAAAAATCTATGATAATGAAGTCAAAATGATTTGAATATTTGGGGGTTTTGGTTATTAATAAAAAAATAACCAGATTATGTTTGTATTCTTATGCAGGTTGCTCATAATATCTTTGAGGAGGGATTGAAACGCTATATGAATGAACCCGTTTACATCCTTGAGTGAGGGTCACTGAAGCCTTGCTTAGAGTTCCTTTTTTTTACGATATACTTGAAACTCTTTTCATTGAATATGAGACTTTAGAGCCTTTGCAGATAAAGTATCTTCAGACTACCTGAACCAGAATTTTAATCCTCTGTTTTTTCTTTAAATTCCAGGTATGCAGATTTCTTGACTAGATTGAATGATGATATAAATATCAGAGCTTTGTTTGAACGGGCATTAAGCACACTGCCTGCTGAAGACTCTGCTGAGGTACGCTGATAGTGATGTTTCGTTTCTCAGAACCGTTAAGGAAGGCGGTTTTTGGTCTTAAGCATGAAAAGAGAAAAGAAAATAACCAATCTGCCATCGAAGTAACCGAGAAACTAATATTATTATTAGTTTGACTAGATATGAAATAACCGAGAAACTAATTTCGGCAATTGGATGTATAATCCTGATGCTCATCTGATCCTCATGAACAGTGGTGGGGATGGTAGGCGTTTTAAAACTGAACTAAGATACTAAAACAGTCCAATATTATTGCCTGGTTCACATGAAATACTGTTTTAAATGATAATACAGTAAAGAAGTCGATTTGAGGCAATATGTTATACCCTACTGCTACCTATCTAGGATTAACTTTTTTCTTACCCCATCCTTTTCAGGTGTGGAAAAGATTCATTCTGTTTGAGCAAACATATGGAGATCTTGCTAGTATACTAAAGGTAATGACGTATACTACGAATGCAAATACAATCAGCTTGCTTGTAAGCAACTTTCTAGCTATTTTTAGGTTGATTCCGTTATGATGACAAGTTTAGTCCCAGTTGGTCTATACCATCTGACTGGCTTTAGATTGCATGAAAGATTCTTGAAAATGCTGAGATCATTGTTGTTTATAAATACTAGAACAGAGTGGCACCTCGTAAAGAGGCATTTGAGAACTGTTCGTGGAATTATGAAATTAGATTACGATATGCCCAGTATCAAGTCTGCTGTTTAATGAAAAAGTCCGCTATTCTTTCTAGTATTTGCTCTAAGATATTTTTTTTACTATGACAACCTCGTTCTTAGGTTGAGCAGAGGAGGAAAGAAGCACTTTTTGGAAAAGGGGAAGAGGGATCTTCTGCTCTGGAGAGTTCACTTCAAGATGTTGCTTCTCGGTACAGTTATATGGATCTTTGGCCATGCAATTCCAAGGAGCTTGATTATTTAGCCAGACAAGAGGTATGTCCCATGTAATATATCGCATTTAGTTTGAATAACTATTGATGATGCAATTAGGAAATACTAATTCTAACTGAAGGATGCGTTCACTGTAGTTGCTTGTGAAGAATATGAATAAGAAAGTAGAGAAGACAAATCTAACCCATGGACCTGCAGCTACAGGTCTGTACTTTTTAGTTTTCTCTTGTGAATCGATTATGTTGAACTTTGGTGATGGCATAAGTAAATAAACCACCTTGTGGGCTGACAGGTAGTGTAGCTTCTTCGTCAAAAGTAGTTTATCCAGATACAACGCAGATGGTCGTTTATGACCCGACAATTAAATCAGGTGATTTTCACTTTAAAGTTTGTAGCATCACTTGGAACTGTGAACTAAATCTGAAACGTTCATCATTTGACTGTAGAGTTTGCTAGTTCTGCAAACCCAGTGGCAGCTGCTGCTTCGAACACCTTTCCAAGTAATGTGGCTGCAACTGCAACCTATGGATCAGCCAGCACATTTGACGAGATACCAAAGACTACTCCACCTGCATTGATAGCTTTTTTAGCTAACTTACCCATTGTTGACGGTAAGTCTCTTTAAAAACCAACACCAAAGTTGTGAGCACCTGAATAAGTTTCCACTAACCGACTACTTTGTCATTATCCTCTCAATTCTTTCAGGTCCAACACCCAATGTGGATGTTGTTCTGTCAATATGTTTGCAGAGTGACTTAGCAACAGGTCAAACCTCCAAGCAGAGTTCTGCTGCTAAAGGCAATGTTCAAAGTCAAAATGATCCCTCAGGTTCATCCCGGGGTGGATCTCAAAGATTATCAAGAGACCGAAGAGCTACAAAGAGAAAAGATTCCGATAGTAAGTTCTCTTGGCCCATAGCTATGTTCAAGCATATATAATATTGGTTCATGGAAGTGATCTATGCCTTAAAACAACCATTGTAAATGGTGGTTACCTATCTGTATCTCTATCTCTCTGTTAACAGGGCAAGAAGAAGATGATACTGCAACCATACAAAGCCAGCCTCTACCTACAGATGTATTCAGACTAAGGCAAATGCGTAAGGCTCGAGGGATCGCAACATCATCACAGACACCAACCGGTTCCACATCGTATGGCAGTGCCTTCTCCGGTGAGCTATCTGGTAGCACCGGCTAAAAAATGTAATGAGATAGACAAAATTGTATAAGCCTCTCTTGGTTTTGTAATTTATTACTCTCAACAATTTTGATTTATGCAATAAAAATAAGCCTCCTTGGATATATTTTATACATGTTTCTCAGATCTTCAAGGTTACTTCAATTTTAGTTACAAATATATTAATATTAGTGGTTACAGAGAATTGCTACAATAAACCTGTAAAATCACAAACTACTGAACTGAACCAGAAGTGCTTCTTACAATATCTTTCACATCAGTTAATTCTTTCACCACATCTCTCATGGAGGGTCTGTTCTCTGGCCTCTTGTCCGTACACCTAAGAGCCAAGTCTGTAAGTTGGATTGCTTGTTCCCTACGCTGCGTATCCAAAAGCTCATCCACAAGCGTTGGATCAACGATTGGACCAGCAGTATCATCATCATCATCCCCGTAGCTGCTTAATACAGATCTGACCCAGGTCACGATATCTGTCTCCTCCGGGAAAGATCTGTCCACAGCTCTCTTTCCCGTTACCAGCTCGAGCAAAACAACTCCATAACTATAAACATCTGATTCCTTGCTTCTCACTGTCTTGTAAGCATTTTCTGTTTAATAGCAAAAAGGATAAATAAGCTTAACGTTAAACAAAATATAAAACATGTTATGTTGAGAAAGCAAGTGTACCTGGTGCAATGTAACCAGTGGTGCCTGTGATGGTGGCTGTTGAAACTGTTGAGTCATCTAGAATCCGAGCCAATCCGAAATCTCCAATGTGAGGCTCCATATCCGAGTCCATGAGTATGTTCTCTGGTTTGATGTCACGGTGAATGATTGGTGGATGACAATCATGGTGTAGATACGCTAGCCCGTGTGCGATCCCAAGTGCTACGTTGAACCGTGCAGACCAGTCAAGACCGGTTTCTCCTGGATTACCTCTGTGCAGAACGTCGTGTAGGCTTCCATTGGGCATGTACCTGTACAGCATCAGGCCGTTTTCTTTCCTCATCCAAAATCTTTCCAACCGAATGAGGTTTCTGTGCCTAACAAGCCCGATTGTCTCGATCTCCCTCTTCATATTTTGGTTTGCGCGCACGTGTCCCGCAAAGGTGAGTTTCTTCACGGCGTATTCTTCGCCTAACCCTAGAGAGGCTCTGTAAACAACTCCATGAGCTCCTCGTCCAATGATGTACTTGTCATCTAGATTGTCAGTGGCTGCAAGAACTTTGTGAAGCAACAAGGAAAGACCCTCTTCCTCGTCGACGACATGAGCATCTTCTGTCTTGAATCCTCTTTTGCAGCAGCGGACAACCAAAACGAGACCAAAAAGCAAAGCCGATGCAGATAGAAAGGACCCAGCTGCTATAAGGGCGATCTTCCAGGTGCTAAGTTTGGTCTGACCTTTGCAAGATTTAAACTCTTTACGTGTTACATCACTTACTGAGTAATAAGGTTGAATGCAGAGGTCTGGATTCCCCAAAAACATTGATGGATCCGATATCAGCTTTTCCGGTATTGGACCCTTGAGCTGATTATACGAGACGTCAACTTGTAGTAAGAACCTAAGAGTAAGAGGTTGAAGAACCGATAAAGACCCTGTCAACTTGTTGTTGGATATGTTGAGCCGTTCGAGACTGATAAGAGACCCCAAAGCGGCTGGAATCTCACCGGTGAATCCGTTCCCACTGAGGTCTAAGCCGTAACGCAGGCTCTTCAACAAGCCAACCGTGGAAGGAATCTCACCTCCAAAAGCATTTCGAGCTATCCGCAGATCTGAGAGGCGGTCAAGCTCTGCCAAGAATGGTGGAATCCCTCCTGAAAACTGATTATCGGTGAGAACTAACGTGGACAGGCTTTTCCACCTTCTGAAGCTCGATGGAACAGAGCCGTTCAGTGAGTTGGACCCGACATCAAATCTCAGAATTCCCACACAACCTGATAGCTGAGACGGGAGAGGACCTTCCAGATGATTGTGTGAAAGATTCAAGTGTCCGAGGCTCTGCAGATTTCCCAGCTCTGGAGGTATCATACCCGTGAGTTTGTTTTGAGAAAGGTCGATGGTCAAGAGATTCTTACAGCTTCCCAAGCTTCGAGGGATGGATCCTTCAAAGCTGTTGCCTTTGAGGTCCACATAGGAAAGACTAAGGCTCTCAGGGAATTCAGGAAGAACACCTGAAAGCTTGTTTTCTCCAAGGATGAAACTCTCGAGGGTCTTACACTCACGAACAGATGCTGGTATCTTACCATGTAGCTGATTAGAACCCAAGCTAAAATATCTCAACTTCTGTCCATGGCAGAGATTGGGAGATATCTCCCCTGTAAAATTGTTATTAATAAGATCCACTTCCTCTAGGCTTCGATTCACACCTAGACTCATGGGTATCCCTCCATGAAACCTGTTGTTGAACAGCACAAGCTTCTTAAGGTGCTTCAGCTGAGTTACTTCAACTGGTAGTTCCCCGGTGAGAGTGTTGTTATAAAGGATCATCTGTGTCAGGCTCTGAATCTTCCATACGCCAATAGGGATCTCACCGGACAGCTTATTCACAAAAAGCTCCAAGCTTTGCAGCTTCTTTAACTCACCCAATGCAGGAGGTATCTGGCCTTGGAGCTGGTTATCGTTCAGCTTCAAGGTGTGCAAGCTGCTGCAGTTCCCGAGCTCTTGAGGGATATCCCCAGAGAGACGATTCTCGCCAAGGTTAATACGAGAAACCTTCTTTAACATACCCAAGGATGATGGAATTGTACCTGTCAAGTTGCATTTGATAATGAGTAGAGACTCAAGGCTACTGCAGTTGCCGATTTCAACAGGAACGCCACCTTCAAAGTCATTGTACGACACATCGAAAGTCACCAGCTTCTTGCAGTTGCTAGAACCGAAACGAAGCTGCCCTCCGAGGCTGTTGTTACTGACATACAGCTCGCCAAGATTCTCGAGTAGATTGAGGCTTTCTGGTAAAGAACCAACTAGCTTGTTCTTGTTCAGATACAGATACTCCAGCTTACTGCAGTTCCCAATCCAGTCGGGAATAGTACCAGACAGGTCATTATAAGACAAGGTCAGATCTACAAGTTTCTTCAACCCACCAACGCTTGCAGGAATTGGACCACTAAGATTATTGCGACCAAGATTCAGCGTTTTCAACAAGGGGACCTGAAACAAGGAGTCAGGCAACACACCACTGAAGAAGTTTGAGGTAAGATAAATATGCTTCAACTCCTGCAAGCTACCGAAACTGTCTGGAATTTCTCCGGAGAAGCTATTTTTGGACAAATCCAAATACGCAAGTGAAGTACAGTTTCCTAAACTGGAAGGCAATACACCAGAGAGACTGTTATCACTCAGATCCAGAACCACCAAGCTCTTGAGCTCACCGATTTCAGAACCTAATTGGCCTGAAACCCCAGAAGCAGTGAGCTCGATTTTCGTGACATTACCAGAATCGTCACAGCTGACACCAAACCACTTATTAGTACATGGGGTGGTTTCAGATGTGTTGTTCTTCCACGTCGAAGCTACTTGAGGTGGCACTTTGTCAAAGTGCTTGAGAAGAGAAAGTAAAGCCAAACCATCTGAGTTTAGACAGGAGACGGAATCTATACGGAAAGAGACAAAGAGACAGCAAAGCAGAGTAATTTTGACTACACTCATCTGTGTGATTCAAGCTCTCAAGAGACGGTACCTAGTAACCGATCAGGACTGAAATTTGAAACTCTCGTATCTCACCAACCCTGAATCCAGAATGAGAGAACAAAAGAAGAAGAAGAAGATAAAGCAGAGCTTTGATTTGATGGGTTTCTGAATGTTCATTGATCGGCAGCGTTGGCGTTATTAAAGAAACGATCGATGAGTCTGGTGAGAGAGGAAAGAGCGCGCTTTTTGCTTTACATATTCCGCGACTTCAACGCTGTTTCGTGTTTATTATCTCGCCATTTTCTCTACTCGGAGACTGTCATCTTCGTATTTTCTGTTTGACTTTATTTGTTTTTTGTTTTTCAAGATATTACTTTTTAGTATTTTTTATTTATTTATAAAAATTAATTGTATACCTTCCACGTTTTCCTTTTCCTCGAATATATCTTATTGGGCGTTGGAGTTGGTTTTCTGAATTATCGATGACATTTCGTCCAATATCTAAAGTTGCTTTGTTATGTTCAAATCTTTCAATTGAGAAAAAAAAAACTAAAGGATTCTAATGGAGATATTATTTTCCTCTCGTGATTATGAAAGTGTAATCATTTAAGCGGGTGGTACTGTGCAACATGAATTCTCAACATCCTTTGGAAATACTCAATTATCATCTAAATTAATTTAAAAGTCATTCCACCAACATAACTCAATTATTATTACATGTGCACGATGATATATATCTATCATAATTTAATTCCATTTAGACACATGACAAAAATAAGTCAAAAAGTTCCAACCACGAATGATATTCATTTGTCCAATTTTAAAACACCTCGACTTTAAAGTTGGTTAGTCGTCACGTTTGCGGGCCCCCACCGAATTTAAAGTATATGTTTCCATCACCAAACCCTACTTGCATAATTGTACTACACTCTACACTCTACAGTCGATCTATTTTATAGATTTATAAATTTATAACAAAGAAATTAGAGAGTGGTCCTTGATCTATATAATTCTTCTACTTTTGATTTAATCTTGATTGTGGTCATTCTCGTAAGGATGTTTTTTTCAAAACAAAATTAACTTGAAAAGATTCTCACATTGCATAACAATTGAAAAGATTCTCACATTGCATAACAATAATATATGGTTTGCAAGTTGCGTATATAGTCTGATGTTCACAAGGCCCGTTCTGAGCTGAAAACTCAATCCTAATTGTGACAAATACAAATTCAGTTTCCATTTTCCAAATAACTAATCTAAAATCTTAGCACTGAAAACACATCTTTTTATCTGGTATCAAGAAACAAGATAAAAATGACATTAACTAAAAGCATTACAAATCATAAACAAGAACAAGAACAATGTAAAAGTAGCAAGAGACTCACATTAAATCACAATGCCACACATTTTCTAGAGTAAACTACTACTCGACAGACACTTCAACTCGGGTCGCAATTTATTCTCACTTCAATTCCCATTCTCAAAACTTTATAGTTTGAGAAACACAAACTCTTCAACCGCAGAAACTCCCCCAATCCTCTCAAGTGTTTTCTTGTCTGGTTCTTCATCGACTCCTATCGCCATTATAGCTTGTTTCCTCACGACTTTTCTTCCAACACTCATGAAATTCACATTGACGTTTTGCTCCCCGAGTATGTTACCTACTTGCCCTATCATCCCTGGTTGATCCACCTGCCTGCACAGTATCAGATTCCCTTCGAGGCTCACATCCACATCGAACGATCCAACGCAAGTCAAATGCGGAACCCCGTACTTCACCCTCCCTTCGATACTTATAGCTCCACAACCAGAGACGGCACCAGCAAAGCTCGACTCCACGTTCGAAATCTGGACTTGGATCGAGTCAACAGGGTGCTCTGGTGACGACTCAACCACCACTCGTTCCTCGCTGATCCGGAGACCCTTTTGCTTAGCTACGAAATCGGCATTCACCAGGTTGACATATGAATCTGAGATGGGCTCAATGATTCCCTTTGTGATCATGGCACGGAGGAGTCTAGTGTCCAAGTCATCTCGGTCTCGCGCTGAGCGATACACGACCTTGATGGACTGCACTCCCTTGCCTCCAGATGCTAACTGCACAGCTAACCTACCAAGCTTCTCGGCTAAGACAATGTAAGGAGCCAGTTCAGATAAGACCTCAGGAGCAACCATTGGAGCATTCACTGCAGTAGCTGATAGCTCGCCTTTCAGTGCCCCTGCAACAGCCTCTGCTATCTCGATGGCTACACCTTCCTTAAAATATCAACAACCATTGATCTCAGACTCATAAACTCCAAAAGATGATGAATTGATCAAGTAAAATGTATGTGTACCTGTGCTTCTTTTGTGCTAGCTCCGAGATGAGGTGTCACTGTCACATTTTCATGTTGAATCAATCTGCTGTCTTTCGATGGTGGTTCCACACAGAAGACATCTAACGCTGCCTGTTCAAGTTTTGAAAAATCCCAATCAAAACCTAATTTTTACACGAAACCAATTGAAGAAACCCAGAAATTTTGCTTCACTTGGAATCCAAAAAAAGTATAACGCACCTGAGCGACGATTCCCGAATCGAGAGCCCTAACGAGCGCATCCTCATCGATGACGCCGCCTCTAGCGACGTTGATGAGACGAACGCCCTTCTTCATCTTGGAGAAGGTTTCGTCGTTGAATACCTTCTTTGTGGTTGGGGTTAACGGCATGTGTAGGGAGACGAAATCGGCGGTGGCGATTGCTTGATCGAAGGAGACCAAATCAACGCCGAGGGCTCTGGCTCTGTCAGCTGGAGCGTAAGGGTCGTGCGAGATGACGTTCATGCCTAGACCCTTGGCTCGCCTCGCCACCTCCGTCCCAACTTTTCCGAATCCCATCACTGCTAATGTTTTTCCGACGAGAGATACGCCGACGTATTTGCTCCTTTCCCATTTTCCTGAACAGAAAAATGTAAACTTTCATAAACGATCTAGCATTTTCATTATATTGTATTACTCATTTCAAATTGTATTTTTTGTAATTATTTTTTTTTTTAACTATTTAACGAAAAGAAAAAGTCAATACTGTACTAAGACAATTATTTGATTAATCTTTTACTCGTAAAGCATCAGTATTGTATTTGATCTCTCCATATTCTGTCTTATCGGATATTGATGCTTTGACTGACTATTCCACCGTAACAACAAAATCAAATAATTGAGTTTCTTCAATTATATTTCTTCAACTTACTTTTCAGTTTTCAGTATACACATTACACAATATGGTTGGTGAATGTGTGAGAGAGGTTACTAGTGGACCCAAACGTTTTTAGTTGAGGGCCCAAACTTTATCTTCTGCAATAAACGGCCCCAGACTTAATTACTCTTTGGCACGTTTTTTTTGGCTTCTTGGCAGGTTAAATTTGTTTTACCGGGAGGAAAATACTAGTTTCCCTCTCTATTAGACAAACGGTAAAACAGTCGTATAGAAAAGTCACGGTTGATATTTTATGGTTCTACTTACGTAAACGAATACTATGCTGTTTTCATTACTACTATGACTTTTCTACTATACAACGACAGATTACCGCTTAAATGCTACAGTGGCATTAGCATACTTCCAATTTCAAATGGACCATGGTGTTCAAGATCTGATGACCAATTTTTTTTTTTTTATAACAATTTTCTTTTTATATACTATTATTACTATCGCAATGATTAACGAACCACCAAGACAGAACAAATTTAATTTATCTAAGTAAATCTTGTCTGTATATATGTTGTTTAAATCTAGATCTAGTTAATTATCACCAGTGTTTCGATATCATTTTTAAAAAATTAAAGAAGTAATCGGAATAATCTCTGGAACGTACCGGCTTTAATGGAAGCGTCGGCCTGAGCGACGTTACGTGCCATAGAAGCTAGCAAAGCGATACCGTGTTCGGCTGCAGCCACCGTATTAGCAGTTGGAGCATTAACCACCAAACAGCCGTACTCCGTCGCCGCCTGCAGATCAACATTGTCAATCCCAACCCCGGCTCTTCCCACCACCTTCAATCGCCCTTTCGCCGCCTCAAACACTTCCCTCGTCACTTTCGTTCCGCTTCTCACGATCAAAGCGTCGCTCTCCGCCACTTTCTTCTTCAGATCCTCCGGCGAAAGCTCGTAGGAGCAGTCTACGTCCCCGAATTCCCGGAGGAGATTCACTCCGGCTTCTCCGAGTTTCTCGGCGATGAGAATCCTGGGCTTTGCAAGCGACGCTGTATCTTCTTCGTCAGATCCCTCGGTGGAGAGCTTATAATCCTCCGTTAACGACGTTTGCTCGACGGTTCTCAAGGCGTTAGTTGCCGTTAGTTTGATGTTTGGTGCGTAACGGAGCTCTGGTAAGAGATGTTGACGACGGAGGACGGCGAATTTTGATACTGGTGACGGAGATGGAGATGTCCACCGTGAGTTAACGGCTTTGACGGTTGAACATGAAGACGAAATTGCCATGGCTATGTTTTTTGTTTTTGTTGTCTTCTCTTTTTTTCTCTGTTTGGTATGTGTGTGAGTGTGTGGGCGAAAGGCTTAAGTGGGTATTTAATAGAGAGATTACAAAGAGGTTATGGATAAAATTTTCATCTATTTTTTTTTTTTAACTTTGCGGTCAAGTTTTAAATTAATCAGGACTACCAAAATATATGTATATTCGGCTGTTGAATTGTTTATTTGAAAAAAAAAAAAGTAAAATGAAAATGAGAAGCACATGCACCAAGTATGGCGTTCTTGTCTAGGTGCATCATTGTCTATAAAAAAAAATATAATCATATAAACAATTCGAACTATCATAGCGAAATTAGAGTAGGTGACGAGATTTTTTCTTAAAAAAAAAAACGGGCAGTGTAATCAACTAAATATAACACGTGAAAAAATTACAATTTTAAGAGTAAAATACATTGTCGCCTATATGTTATTGTTATGGTTGATAATCATCTCCATGTGCATCCTTGTTAATAAAATTACATGATTGGCGAACAATCTTTTCTGCAATGATTCTCCACTAAAATTATGGAGTTTGAAAAAGCATCTTTAAACACGAACTTTATATCATTTTTTGCAGTAAAAATAGAATCCAACTTTTCCATTTTTTAAAAACATTAAAATAACAGGAGACACAAAGTTAGTTTCTATACAAGTTCATAGTACTGATTCAACCAACGCCAATCAATGATACATCAAGTTCCAAATCCTCCTCCCACCAAGTTGCTATCCACACTAAACGCACCATCACTTGATCACTGGTGATTGTGTCTGATTGACAAGAAAAAAACCTTAAAGTGATTATTTTCCAGCGAATGACCTACAAAATTTGGTTACAGTATTATTACACCAGGGAGATCATCAAGGTATAAGATATACCAATCTGAAATATTAAAGCAATCAAGAAAAGAAAATTTCATCAAACTGATTCCATCAAAGATGTTTCACAGCAACTGACCTTAAAACATTTATCAGATTTTGAATGTCCTGCTGAGATTTGCGTGGATCTAGAAAGTTCTGGACTTTAGCTTCTCCTACATGCATAAACAGACGATGCTTATACAGGTTGTTGCTAGTCTTGAGATCAATATTCGTCGTGGTATATGGAATTTCTTAAACTTCCAAACTCATATCACTGCTTCTAAAAGCTGTGTTGCGTTAATATGCAACTAGCAGCAACTCTGTGTTTTTTGAAGAAGCTAATTATGCTATGTTTTAGAGTAATAAGCATCTCTAATAATTATGGTAAAAGCACACAATCATGGTTTTATATAAACAAAAAAACTTACTCCAGAGAAGTGAGCAATTTACACAAACGTGCCCATGTTCAGGGAGTAATAGGATCAACGTCTTGATAAAGATGGAGTAGGAAGCACATTTGTCTTTGATAGGGTAATTTAATTATCCTCTGGCTTTAAGCTCGGCGAGTCTCCTGGACAAGTCATCTTCCTCGACTTTCTCTTCGGTCTTGGTAGAAATGGCATGACCAGCAGGCTGAGGTAGTCCAACAGAGACTTCGAGACCATAATCATCTGCTACCTGCTGCATCAAGCTGTTGACTTCTCCTTCTGGAGTCGACAATGAAGTTGAACCCGCCATTGCGTTCTCCATGAACTCAGCTTGGACTTCCATGTTCACAAACTGTTTCTCGAACGAATCCATTGTCTCCGACATCTTCTGCAAGTTGCCTGTCGGAAAGAACAAATTACAAAGATAAGAGAGCCTGCGTTGCTAATCGGTACAATCGACTCAGTCTAATTTCCTAAATCCTACTTATGCACTATCTTTCTCTCCCTCTATACCAAATTTAACGAATGGAGAGCAATGCAATCGGAATCCATCACCGGAAGCTTTTTTTCTGTGTTTCCATGAAACAATCTCTTCCTCTCTACCAAATAAAACCATTAAAATCTAGATTAGCTTAAGATATACTGACATTTGACAAATACGCCCTGAATCATGGTGTTTACTACTTCAATTCTTCCAATATTTCATAAAAACCAAACCCTATTGAATATCAATCAAGCTCAATATTTCCTCAATCAACAAAAGCAACAAGGAGTAGACTTTTTCATCTATATAATGGAGAAACGAAAGATGTCAGTTTAATTGGAGATTGCTGGAAAGTAGGAACGTAAGATACCCGTGGCAAGGGAAGATTCGAGGGATTTCACGATGTTAGTCATCGACTTGGTGATGGTGGCCATCTTGGCTTGTGTATCGAGCCGAGCAACAACAGCGTCCAGGCGAGAGGAGAGACGGAGGTAGTTCATCTGCTCGCTGCGCTTGCGTATGGCGTTCTCGGCATAGATCCGAGCACCATCCATGTTCCCTTTCTCAATGGCTTTCTTCACCTTGAGCTTCTCCGACTTCTCCTCTTTCTCGCACTTCCTCGCCTGCCTCTGCAGAGACTTGGACGTAAACTTCAAATCGAATATTTGGTTCATCAGCTTGTCCGTGTTACCCATATCGATCAGCTAAAACAGAATTCGTTTGTAGATCGATCGGTAGATATCTGCAAATCGGAAAATTAGGTTTTTTTCGGATTTGGGGAAGATCTCTCAAGCGTGTTTCCTCCGCAGATGAGACAAGGAAAGGTTAAACGAGGAAGAAGCTGTTTCTCCCAACTTATTTCCTAAATCGAATTGGACTGACTGGTTCAACTGTTCGGTTATATCCGGTTTATTTTTAATTCGCTAATGTGGTAACTGCTAACTAATTTACTACTAATTCGTTATTACACACACCTTTCAACTTTCACCAATGAAAATCAAATTAATTGATACAAGTCACCGTAACATTTTGAAATTTGTTTGATTACTGGTTTTAGACTAGTTCATTCGCTCTGTAGTGTGTACCGCTTGGGTAATCTCAGGAGTTCAATTACTAACGTAAATAATAAAAATAAATAATGTGGGCAAACGATTTTTCTAATCATTTCATTCCCTTTTACGTATATATTAGCAGGAAGAAAACAATGTGCAATCGACTAATTAAATATGATTATTTCGAGATTAGTACTAATGATATTTATACATTTTACCCATCATATAACAGTGTCAGTGGCAAGCGCACCTCCACAAACGACCAATGATATGCGAAATCATATGTTACCGGCCACTCATATTTACTGGTTAAAGAAGAAATCTCACCGCCTGTAACTCTAACGATACTTTTAGTATCAGGACAAAAACATTATTATAGTATTAGACATTAACTTATACGATTTGTTCCTTCGTTTTGGTTCCGAAGAAAAAAAAAAGAGAGGTTATAATTCCAATTTTGTCCTTTTAGAGAGAGAAAAAGGGGAAGGCGTTTTTTCTTCTCTCGTTCCTCCATTTTCTAGAGAGAGATACCGAAATTTCCATTTTCTACAGAGAGAGAGAGAGAGGGAGGAAATTAATCATCGATCAAGTGCTTCAATCTCGAGAATCGATGAACAAAACTATGGAATGGAATGTGAATCAAGGGATTTTGTTATGGTGATGACGCGATCTTCGATTCGGTGATTAAGATTTGGAAGCTCAGATTTCTATTTCCTCGAAGCTCGGATTTGTAATTTTTGCATCCCTTTGTTGGATTATCTACGCCAAAAGAAGAGAAAAATGAACAGTGGTGACGATGCCGCTTCCTCCGCCGCTAACAGTGGCCCTCCTCCTTCTTTAGAGTGGAGATTCTCTCAGGTCTTCGGCGAGCGAACCGCCGGAGAGGAAGTTCAGGAAGGTAATAATTGCGTTCCGTGTGATAGATTGTGAAATATACTCGAGGTGATGAGTTTGCTTCCCTTTTTCTTTTAGATCCGGAGGGTATTTGATGACTAAGGGTTTGATTTCTGGTTTGGATCTGATTTGGATGATAGGGATTAGTGAGTTGTTTCTCCACTGCTTAGTGAACCATTGATGTATCTCTGTGACTTGGGTTCCGGGTTTTTCGATTGCACTGCTAGTAATGTTTATAAGTTCTTTGAGTGCTGGTATGATAGCTTGGATTGTTTGGGTATGAGTTGTTGTGCAATTGTAAGCTCTCGAATTTTTTATAGTTTACTAAGGTTTTGTTGATTTGATATTTAAGTTGAAATTGGGAGGGTAAGCTAGTTTGAAGCTTCTCTATGTTCAATGCCATAGCCATAGTTACTTTCTCCATTGGTAGAATGCTTTCTGGGCTCTGCAAAACAGCAAAGAAAGCATATGATGAATTGTGTTCTCGAGCGAGAAATTTTTAAGGGTTATTAATGGTTATGCCTCCTTGGTTCATGCATTTAATTGTGAATTTTTAATGAGACTTTCCGGAGTACTTATGGTAACTAGGTGGTTTTCAGATGCTCTTTCAATATGAGAATTTTTTTAATCTACTGTTTCTGAGCATTTCTCATGTTATTGTACGATGTCCTTTTTTTGTTTTTGTTTTACGTTCTCTTTGTTTAAGGTTATAACGAGTTTAGCTCCTACAATTTAGTGATGATAACTATTCTTTTTGCACAATTTTCTTCCGCAGTTGACATCATTTCAGCCATTGAATTTGATAAAAGTGGAGACCATCTTGCAACTGGTGACCGTGGGGGCCGAGTAGTTCTTTTTGAGAGGACGGATACTAAAGATGTGCGTTCCTTTTGCTTCTGCATGATTTGCTTTAAACTTCAAGTAATGTTTTGTGTGGTAATGCATTGTTGTGCAATGTCATTTTCAGCATGGTGGGTCCAGGAGGGATCTTGAGGAGATGGATTATACAGTTAGGCATCCTGAGTTCCGATATAAAACAGAATTTCAGAGTCATGAACCAGAGGTACATTAAGATCTAACACCAGATTTCACTTACAATAATAGTAGTGTTGCTAGTGTTACAAAATAATCTTGCTCTCATATGTCTTTCAGTTTGACTATCTCAAGAGTCTGGAGATAGAGGAGAAAATCAACAAGATCAGATGGTGTCAGCCAGCAAATGGTGCATTGTTTCTGCTTTCCACAAATGATAAAACCATCAAATATTGGAAGGTGCGACATCTGGATGGGCTTTTATCTTGTTTCAATATTTTTTTAGGTGTCACTTGTGAAAGTGGTCTAGAAACTGGTTGTTATGCTTCCAAGAGACCACAAAAGAGATGAATAGTTTTTTGACCCCTTCACCCATTTTTAATCAAACAGGTACAAGAGAAGAAGATCAAGAAAATTAGTGAAATGAATATTGATCGGTCGAAATCTCCAGGAATCAACAGTCCACCAAGCTCAAATAGCCCTAATCGAATAGTTACTAATGGAGTACATGCTGACTACCTGAGCAATGACTTTCCCTTCCCGGCAGGAGGCATTCCATCTCTGCGTTTGCCTGTGGTAGTTGTACTCGATGCGTTTTTTTTTTCTCCTTTTGTGGTGTCAAATGGAGTTTTAGATTCAGAATTATGAAAACTAAATACATATAGATATCCACCCCGTCCACTATATTTTTGGTCATGCCTTTAGTTTCTCTTCAGTAAAAGCAGTTGATTCGGCCATCTATTTGATTGCTTTGTACTTTGAAATTGGAAGTTGGGGGATGTTTTTATCATGTTGATGATCCAACTTCTTGAGTTGTGAAACGTAGAGAATTTACTAGTTGCCCCTGCTTTCTTTTGTTGTACCTAAAGCTCAGTACCAGCTTCTTGACATGCATTAGCCAACTGATACTTTGCTTGGAATAATGGGTCGTTCTGCGTATTTAGGTGACTAGCCAGGAGACCAGCCTTGTGGCTAGATGCCGAAGAGTGTACGCTCATGCTCATGATTACCATATTAATTCAATCTCAAATAGCAGGTATTCTTTTTCCTAAGTTTTCCCACAGGTTACTCTAGATATCTTTTAAACCACGTTTTTACTGTCTTTCTCCTTGATTTTCCCTCCCGAAGCAATGCTAATATCTAAAAATATCTTTGAAGCGATGGAGAAACCTTCATTTCTGCTGATGATCTTCGAGTAAATCTCTGGAATTTGGAAATCAGCAACCAGAGTTTCAATATTGTTGATGTTAAGCCCACAAACATGGAGGACTTAACTGGTATGCTTTCTTCCCTTATTTCATTAGAAGTCACAATTTTGTATTGTCATAACATTGATGCATATGCTATCAACCTCCTTGTTTTGAAGTTCTCTTCTTTTCTCGCTTACTAAATAAAACATTATGCTTGTGGAGCTTGTTTTTGAATACTACATGGTCTCTGCAGAGGTAATTACATCAGCTGAGTTTCATCCAATCCATTGTAATATGCTCGCATATAGCAGTTCAAAAGGCTCCATTCGTTTGATTGATATGCGGCAGTCAGCTCTGTGTGATTCTCATACTAAATTGTAAGTTCTGCTCTGCTCATGCTTTATGGAAAAGGGTATGCAGAGCGAGTTTTTGATACTATGTGTTTAAGTCGGGTGAAATTCTAATTAAGGAAGGGATATGAATTAAGTAGTTTTTTATAAAAATTATAAAAAAAGCTTTTTTAATCTTTCTCGTATCTTGTCACGAATTACTTGGAGGTGAAGATTATTAGGCTAAACTTTCAAACCACTGACCATTGATGTTTCATATTGCAGATTTGAAGAACCAGAAGCACCTGGTACAAGATCTTTTTTCACAGAAATAATTGCCTCAATTTCAGATATTAAATTTTCAAATAATGGGAGATACATACTTAGTCGCGATTACATGACGCTCAAGGTTGGAAATCGTCTGGTTCCCTTGTGATTATTGTCGGCCAAAATATAGGTGTATTCTTCAGTTCTTTTCTGATATCTTCTGCCCTTTCAGCTGTGGGACATAAACATGGATTCTGGTCCAGTTGCATCTTACCAGGTTCATGAACATCTGAGACCCAGGGTGAGAGAGCTTTTGTCTGTGGCATCTCTTATTTGATGTTTCTGTCTTGAAAACTAACCACATTTTTACGCGATCGCAGCTATGCGATCTATATGAAAATGACTCCATCTTTGATAAATTTGAGTGTTGTCTGAGTGGCGATGGTTTGAGGGTAGCAACAGGCTCTTACAGGTTTGCTTGCTTGTCTTCTGGTCAATACAATGCTTTTCTATCTTGAATCAGAGATGAACAAATGACAAATTTATCATGCTTAATTTTCCTGGTGAAACCAGCAATCTATTCCGCGTATTTGGAACGTCTCAAGGAAGTACTGAAGCTGCAACTTTGGAAGCTAGCAAAAACCCCATGAGGTAAATCGGAAAACAGAGAACATTGATATTTAAAAACACAAGTCACAGAAATTTATATTGATCAATTGCAAAACTTTCGCATCAATGGTTTATTATAGGAGGCAAATCCAGACACCTGCAAGACCTGCCAGATCCATGAGCAGTATGACGCGTGGGGTTAGACGAGGTTAGTGGTAGTAGTAGTAGTAAGGCTGTAAGGGTAAAACTCAGTTAAGCTTTTTACTGTTATTCTTGTGGAGTAAAAACTTGTGTTTGGACGGCAGGACCAGAGAGTCCCGGAGCAGAGGCGAATGGGAACGCATACGATTTCACAACTAAGTTGCTGCACATGGCTTGGCACCCAACAGAGAACTCAATTGCTTGTGCAGCAGCAAACAGCTTGTACATGTATTATGCATGAACCTGAGAGAGAGAAGGAAAACCATGGAACCAGCTTGCTCCAAATTAACTTTCCCTTTTCTCCTTTTTCAGACTCTCTTTTCTTTCTTTTTCTCTCTCGCTCCTCTCATTTAACTACCAAAGTGATGATGTAACCAGAAAAGGTGTAGTAGTAACAGAGTTATGCTGTGACCAAGAACAAAGCCTGACCAGTCACTGCGACGCAGTCCACGGAAGAAGCAACAGTATCTTGGGTTGTGAAAGAAAAGAAGAAGAGACCTTTTTTTTACCAGAAGGGTAATTGTCTGAAATATCCGAACCTCTTCCTACTTAGGTTGCCTTTTTTTTTTTGGGTTGCGAATTGATAATTTTTCCTTTTTTTTAGTTTCGATTATATTTACTCTTTTTAAGAAACAGCTTATGGTGTGTGGGATTTTTAGTACGTCACAGACGATGGGGAGGGTTGTGCTTCAAATTTGTTTATTGATTCTTTTGTCATATCTTCTTCTTCTTAAACACATATTATGCTCTGTCTCTTTTTCAATTGTATTTTCAAGACATCCTTTTTGTGATTTTTACCGCTACCCGCAATAAAAAGAAAGTAGTTATATCCTCGTCTATTCAGTTGTACGAAAACATTATTTTTTGGTTCGAGAATGTATTCATTTGATTAACAGAAGATTACAGGGTCTAGTCCATGATACAACATAGCTTTGAACTTTGATTACATACTCATAAGTTTTGTGATGGTTATTTAGCAAGTTGGAAAACAAATTTGCAGAATGAATGTATAAATCCCTTACCTTTACAAGCAGTGTAGAGAGGAACATTAATATGGCCGTGTAATAGACAGTGGGGCGTTATTAATTATATCATCTAAAAGACGTGTGGAAGAGGAAAAAAGAAGCTTGTTTTGATGCGGATCTTCCCATCTTCTGATAACGTCTGATAAATTCCAGATAAATGTATATTTTACAAGATAGAGAAGATATTAACACATACAGTGTTGTGTTGTCATGTTAAGACTTGTTTGGTGATCGACTCAAAAATGTTTTTAATTTTCTAGATCATTATCGAATCAAATAGATTAATATTGAAGGATGAGGCCACCAAAGAAAGCTGATGAATCTTAACCCCAAGAATATTCCTTAATTTTAGATTTGTCACTCAATATTCCTTCCAACTTTCCTCGCTAGTGCCTTCTGATGCAATTCCCATATATTTACTTGATAGATTCAATGTTTTAAGGTTGATCCAACCACGTATGAATTTTGTGGTTTCAACTTTCTCGATAAAGTGTGTGACCTTAAAGCTACTACCCATGCATGTATTTTTCATTCTAATTAAGTTGGTATCATTATCAATACAAAAACAAAATGTAAATAACTGAAACAATTAATCAAAACTAATATATATAAGAACATATGTAAAGTAATCCCTCAATAGTGAAATATATAATCCATACAAAAAGGCATGTTCTCTTTGTTTGGCAAAAACAATATATTCATAATGTTAATATATATATATATATATATATATTCATTGCATTTTTTTCGGTTGAGTACATGAGTTAACAAGAAGAAAACTATTTTTTTTTGGTAAAATAATTTATTTTCCTTTAATAAATAAAAATTGAGAAACGGATTAATAGGAGGAATATGCTTTGATATCATTCCCGTGTCTTCTCAACTGCCTAAAATCCCACAAAAACAAACTTTTAACAAGCCAAACTAAATAACACCCACAAAATAATCCAAGAGCCGTCAACACCGTCGGATCAGCACACCTAGTCAATGTTTGACCTTAGGCGTCATCAGATCCAACGGTTCAAAATACGAACCAAATTGGAGTACGATTTTATTTCTTCTACGCATCGACTCTCAAAGGTAATATTCCAATGGCATCTTCCGAAAAAAATCCATATTCGTCTCTCCTCTCTACTACTCTCTCTTCCACTTATATATATATATATATATATATCACATTTTCTACACATTCCATAATCACACACAAACCTACGAAACTTTGAATCTAGCTCTCCATAGATTCCCATTTTTTTTGTCCTCCGAGAATGGCTAACAATAACAAGAATATTGTCGTCGTCTTCGATTTCGACAAGACGATCATCGATGTAGATAGCGATAATTGGGTCGTCGATGAACTTGGCTTCACTGATTTGTTCGACCAGCTTCTCCCAACAATGCCTTGGAACTCTCTCATGGTTTGTTTCTTTCATCCATCTCTTATAACTCTGCTCTGTTTCGGGTTTTTTCCGTGAAACCTCAAAAACCATACTTGGTCATAACGTAACAGGATCGGATGATGAAGGAGCTTCATGATCATGGTAAAACCATTGAAGAAATCAAACATGTCCTGAGAAGAATCCCAATTCATCCTCGTGTCATCCCAGCCATCAAATCCGCTCATGCTTTAGGGTAGGATACGTTTTTAAATTCCTAAAAATCTTCTCTTTGATTTCTCTGAATCATCCGACGATTATTTACGATTTGGTAATTTTCAGGTGCGAGCTGAGAATAGTGAGCGACGCGAACACGTTCTTCATCGAGACGATCGTCGAACATCTCGGGATCAGTGAGTTTTTCTCCGAGATTAACACAAACCCAGGACTTGTAGATGAACAAGGACGATTAAGAATCTCTCCTTACCACGACTTCACCAAATCCTCCCATGGTTGCTCTCGCTGCCCTCCTAACATGTGCAAGGTACCTAAGTTGTACACTAATTTATTACAATGAACATTTCTCACTGATTCATTAGGTTAAGACCAAACCTCATTTTTGTATAAAATATGTTATCTTTGATTCTTCTATATTCTATGTCATTTGCTGAAACTACAAGTGCTAAATTATCTTAAGTTTTTTTATTTATATAGGGTCTTATAATCGAGAGGATTCAAGCTTCTTTTGCCAAAGAAGGAAAACATACCAAGATGATCTATCTTGGAGACGGTGCTGGTGATTACTGTCCGAGTCTTAAACTCAGAGCTGGAGATTACATGATGCCAAGGAAGAATTTCCCGGTCTGGGATTTGATTAGTCAAAATCCGACCTTGGTTAAGGCTGCGGTTAGAGATTGGACCGATGGAGAAGCGATGGAAAGGATATTAATGGGAATAATAGATGATGTTATATCTTCGGATGAAGAAGAAGAAGAAAAGGAGAAGATTTTGAGCTCTGATCATTGCAAGACATCTGTTGGGATTGTTCATGAACCTTTGTTGCCTCTTGCACTTCAAGTTCCTCTAAATCTTGTCAAGTGATTTTGATGACGAGCAAAAAAAGGATCGTCTACGATTTTTTTTTGTTTCTAATATATGATATTATCTTTCTTGCAATTGAGAAAATGTATAAGATGCCTAATGTTGAAATGGTTCATGCACTTATTGATGATGTAAGCACTTCCTTCGGTAGCAAAGTTGTCATCATAATCATAACTACCATAAAAATAGGAACACGCACAAACATAAACGCCAATTAATAACAATGGTAGTCATAAGATCTCAGTGATGAAAAAATTTGGAAAACCAAAACGCAATTAAACAATCGTAGTCATAAATGTGACATATTCTTCTAGCAAATGAAGATCAATTTTACTTATGGAAGCAAACGACTGGTTTCATCGTCGTTTTGGTACATGTCTTCGGTTTTCCTTACAGCTGCGTGAAACAACACAGCCGCCGCGCCTGCCATGACGGCCACTGCAATATTGAGCTTTGCGTCGGTCAAGAGAAGGATCGAGAGAGTGAGAACGGACATGACGATGAGGACGAGACGGTGGTCGATCTCGCGGTCGAAAACAGTGAGCGGTTCGTCACGGAGGAAGTAGAGGAAGAGCCACGCGCCGATTAGGGAGAGTAGGATTAGGAGGGAGAAGGGGTTCCAGATCAGGCTGAGGAAGACGGTGAAGAGGACGACTATGGTGTAGTTGGTTTGGAAGTAGACGGTGTTGGCTCTGATCCTGGTGATCACGGTGGCTAATTTGCGCGGGAAGTTGAAGGAGTGGAGGTCGAGCATTTGCTTCCACGGGCGGCGCGTGGCGAGGCCGGGTCTTACGTTGTGTTGGTCGTTGGCTCGTGTGATGTACTCGAGTTTGGGTGCTAGGTCGTTAGCCGACGTCGGATTTGTGCCGTATGTTGTCATATGTGATATGTTTTTGCTGCAAGTGTGATGCGTTGTGATGATATGTGAGGAGAAATGCTGAACGATAAAGAGGTTTTATAAAGTTTTGAGCTACTGAAAAAAAAAAAGAGCGTTGATTTTAATTTTAAAATGTGAAATATGGATACATAGGAAAATAGCTTATAATTAATTAGTTATACACACTAATGATACCGCAACATTTTTGTGACCGGTTTTTCGAAACTGATCCAAATGACTGGCTATTTTGATGATTGGCCAAAATTTTATACATTACAGAATTTTAAAGAAATTTATTTCTTTTTTTTTACAAAGAAAATAAATTTATTTCCCAACGTCACATTTGTTCTTCACTTGTTATACATTTTAGATCATGTAATTCGCAAACTGATTTGGTTTTCCGGTCAGCATATTATCGCGACTTTTGTCTACCATTTGTAAATGCAAGTATTGTTATGGCTCGCTAATCATGATTGAAATACGTATTTATAAGATAAAATGACGTAAAAAAAAAAAAGTAAAGCACAATAGAGAGATACATAATACAAGTGTGTCTAGTTACAAAACGACGAGGTGAAAAGTGCCACGGGGTGCAAGAACAGGCCACGTTGGCATTGTCTGAAGTTATAAAGTGAAAAGAGGTGATAGCCAATGAAAACATGCCGCATGGGACTGTAATAAGAATAGAACGAGGAGAAAACTGCAAAAGTCATGAAAGGCCAGGCCAGAAAGAGCTGAGACTTGCCCGAGTTACTATTTCTTTTTGCATTATTGAACAAAATGAACACAAAATGAACATGAACATGGCTCATTTATGCCCACCACTCCTCCAACTTGGAAAACCTTGAATTATGTGTTTTTTTTTTTGTTATTTCAGCAACAATAAACAATTAATTATAATGAAATTGGTATGATGATTGGCTCATGTCCGGTTATCGACGAAAGTGACCCAAACCAAAATATATGTATGGGTTGTGGTTCCAAACCTGATTTTCTTTCGATTGGCTCAGGTCCGGTTATACTCAACCGTGTGCGCAAGTTAGTAAGTAACTCAATAAACCCTAAACCCAAAAGAGTTTTAACGGCGTTAGTTGTTCTTCCGTCGTCCTCTTCGATTCCCCTTCCTGACCAACTGTGATTTCACACCGCCTCTCCTCGAAAACGCTAGAATCATCATCGACATCTTTGAAGCTAAGAAGCGAGGAGGCTCAACATCTACCGTAGTCTCTCTCTCTCTACCACTTAGCTTCCCTGAGATGGCTCCAAACTCTAATGTGGTGTCCAAGAGGCACAGGTCACTGGAGAAATTTGATAAGAAACGAGATACGAAGAAGCATAAACGTGTTGAAAAAGAGGTTGTTTCCAATCCTCCAACAGAGGATCTAGGTATGTTAGCTCTTGATTGTTTCTGCAATTATTAGTTTCATACTGTATGTCCACAACTCAACATAAACTCTTTTGGGCATTGTATTGTAGATTCATCTGAAGAAGAACCTATTGAGGACGAACCGGAAGCAATTGTTCACAGAGAACCGACAACGTACGATAATTTGCTGGCATCTCTCGGTTCATCCAACAAGGTTGTTGCTGATATGAACAAACAAAGGTACTTTTCTACTGAGCTGCTTGTTTGAAGATTGAGGCATTTATATATTCTATTTTCTTTTTCCTCTGTGGAACTTTATGATGTCCTTAAACTGATCTTCTAAGGTTTGTATAGATAAAATGCATTACGTTTCTTGGCATATATTACATTTTACTGGCTACTGAATCTGGGTTTCCAAATCTTTTAACAGGCAGAGAGAGGAGGAAGGCAAAAGCGGCTCAGAAGGAGATGAAGATGAGGAAGAGGAGGAAAACAGTGGGTCTGAGGATCAAAGCTCTACAGATGGAGAGGATGATGAGATTCAGGGTAAGTTTTTCCTTATCTTGTATTGGAAATTATTGGTAGTTTCTATCCTTATGCCCAGTTATGCTGAGACTTTGCATACTCGTGTAAACTTGAATATTGTTTTAACTCATTTGTGCTCATCACTTGCCTATTGGGTTTTAAGTATTCATGCAGCATTTGCATGGTTGTTCAGCCTATTGATCTCTTTATCTTTATCTTTACTAAAGGGGATGATCAGGAAAGTCTCGGAGGTCTTTCTGAGAACACAGAGCAGGAAATCAATGATAATCATAGCGAGGATGAAGATTCTGAGGATTATGAAACGGATGAAGAGCATGAGTTGAGTACCAATGTCCATTCTTCTGTAGATGTCCATTCATCTGCTAGGTAAATTCAATTTGGATTGTGGTTTCTGCAAAAGTTTTCCTACAGTTTGACGAGCTCGTTAAATTCAATGCAATTTTCAAATTCACACGTCTGTTGTTGTTCAGTGCATTTAGTGAGCACCTTAGTCACAAATTATCAAGCGAAGAAGTCGAAACTTTACCAAAAGGCAACCGGAAATTTAAATGGGAAGCACCTGCCATTGACATGCCAAATTGCAGGTGGCAAGGAACAAGACAAAATTTCCTTGATGTATGTGTTCTATAACCTTCTCCACAGAAAACTATTGTTGCGAAATTTGCCTTGCAAACTTAGGAGTTACCAGTAGCACTAAAAACTTAATTTTGCAGGGTGTTCAGAGTGATGCAACTTACGGCCTCAAACCTAAGTTATTTAAGCACTGGCTTCAATTATACGAGAAATCTGGAGGAAAAGATTTTGAGTCATCTAAAAGGCGTAGATTCTTCTCCATTTGTACGTATTAGATTCTGGGAGTCACCAAATTGTGAATTCTTTTTTTATGGCTCTGTCGTTGATTATAGTATTTGATTTTCTAGGCAACAGCTATCTGGATATTTTGCATTCTAACAAGAGGCCCTTCTACAATAGAGGTCCTGAAGAAGACTCAAGTGCCATGGACGCATACCTTATGCATTCTGTGCGTGCTACTTGCATTCCTTTTTCTAAGATCATTTTATGAGGTTTCTGTTGCTTTTCTTTCCACTTAGCATTTCTCCAATATTTATTGAAGTCAGTTTGTCTTATGCAGTTGAATCACATTTTTAGAACTAGAGATCTTGTGAAGAAAAATGAAAGTAAAATTGCCAAGAATCGAGAGACGGCTGAAGAGGAAATTCTTTCTGATGATGGATTTCTGGACCAAGGATTTACTCGTCCAAAGGTGACCCCTTCTCCTTTTCTTCTGCAGATACTTTATGTGTTTAAATCCGTTGCTGCTCGCAGTTGACAATTGGTCTTGCGTTTTTTGTATATCTAGGTACTGATTCTACTACCAATGAGGAGCATTGCCTTTCGCGTTGTGAAGAGGCTCATACAACTAACTCCAGAATCTCAAAGGGTATATAAATCTCTGAAATTCTGTCATTTATTTTTAATTGGCATCTGCTTTGTGATTGTGTCGCCTTGTTCTATGATACCTGACATTTCAAGGATGAGTACTAGTTTGATTATTAGCAAATGATGCAGAAGTAATTGTGTGTGTGTTTCTCTTTAAATATCATTCATTGGTTTCAGGTTAACGTAGAACACCTTGACCGGTTTAATGCTGAGTTTGGATGTGAAGACGATTCTGATGACGGTGATGGGAATTCAAAACCTCAAAAGTCTTCAAAACCTTCTGATTGGCAAGCTCTTTTTGGCGAGAAGAATAGTGATGATGAGTTTATGTTAGGCATTAAGCATACAAGGTATATCTGTAGCCTACATCCTCGTTAACATTGCAGTGCATGCTTCCTGTTTGTAATTAATTTGGTAGTTGGCTGAGACGTGAATTTTCTTGTGCATTCCAGGAAGAGCATTAGGCTGTATGGTGATTTCTATTCCTCGGACATGATTATTGCTTCCCCTCTCAAGTTACATATGGTATGTACCCTTATCTATCTTTTTGTTAGATGATTTAGTTCTGTAAATCTTCTTGATTCAATCGCTTATCAATTTTACCGTTTCTAGGCCATTGGTCAAGCAGAAGATAACAAGGAACGGGATGTTGATTATCTGTCCTCCATTGAGGTAATTTTGTTAATCATTGTTTGAAGAAGATATATATAATAGATAGCTGACGATTGATGCAAATATTTGTTCGGTACATTAGTCTACTATTGTTTTATATTGCTGCATGTAGTTGCAAATATTTGAAGTCGTATTCTGCATCTCGTTGAACTTACTAATAATTCTTTCATTTGCACGTGGATAGGTTTTGGTTATCGATCATGCAGACATAATATCTATGCAGGTAGGTTATGGGTGAATTTATAAAGTTCGCAAGGATGTAGTATTATGACTTCATTTCTTATCTGCTTTATTGTAATGTTTCAGAATTGGTCGTTCCTTGTTACTGTCGTCGAACACTTAAATAGATTGCCCATAAAGCAACATGGTACCAGTGTCATGCGAATCAGGCCGTTGTACGTAATTCTTCTGACTTCAAGTGTTTGTCTCTAATACATTTTATGTGTCCCACAGCCCAATTATTTAGGAATCTAAAAAGGGTCTTATGTTTAGGTATCTGGATGGACATGCACGGTTCTATCGGCAGTCAATAATTCTAGGTTCTTATTTAACTCCAGGTGTTGATCTGCCCACTGGCTTTGTTAATATATGGTTAAATTCCCTCTGTTCTTCGTATTTGCTATATTTCCATAACTCTTGATTATTGTGAAGTTTCCAAAATCTTACTAACCCAAAGAATATTTCATTTCAGAGATCAATGCTTTATTCAATCACCATTGCTTGAACTATAAAGGAAAGGTGGGCATTCGGGTTTTCAGCATATTATCCCTATATATTACATGCATTTTGGGTAATCTTTTTGTTGCTAGTGTTATGAGGATATAAGATGATTGATGTGATGGCTAGGCTAGAGATTACTACTGTGATTTGAACTGAACTATTATGTCTTTTCCAAACCAAGACTGTAGAATATAATTAACTTGTCTTTCAGTATTAGTTTGAATCAAATTTGTCTGTTCACACTTTTAAACGAATCAATGCAGATGAAGCTGGTGTGTGAATACAAAGGAGTTCTTCAGAAAGTGTTGCTCCCTGTCCGGCAGGTATAATTTGTCTTGCTAAACATAAAAGTTCTACACAATGTAGACATCTTATTTTTTTTGGCTGTGTTGCAGATTTATGAAAGATTTGATGCAGACTCCATGGTCCAAGTCGACGATGCACGTCTTGAATATTTTAGCAAAAAGGTTTAGTTTTGATTTGTTTAGTAACTAAATTTTCATGTATAAATATTTTAAGGATGATATTGTGCATTGCCGCATTTCTTTATTCAATTTTTGTTTCTATACCACTGAACCCTAACCAGATTATACTTTTTAATTTATGTTTAGTGCTCAACATTTGCTAATTCTGTTCTTCTTTTGGTACAGATTTTCCCAAAGATTAAAGATTCTGTTCAGGTACTCCCATCACTCAAATCATAGAATGGACAACATCAGAGTTAGTCAGAATAAAGACTTAATTGTTGGCACGTAATTTTAAGAGCTTGATTGTCGCATTTTAATCCTGTTTGTAGGGAGGAGTAATGATATTTATCAATTCTTACTTCGACTTCGTCAGGCTTAGAAACTTTCTGAAGGCGCAGAACGCCTCTTTCTGCCTTCTTGGAGAGTGAGACCATTTTCTTCACTATACTGAAGTTGCTGTTTTTTTGTTATCTGGATTTCTCTCACCGGGATGGTAGTTAATCCTGACTCTTGTTTTCAGCTATACAAAAAATGCAGATATATCCCGTGCACGTGAATGGTTTTTTGTAGGAAGCCGAAAGATCATGCTGTACACTGAGAGAGCATACTTCTATCGGAGATACAAGGTTTTTTATTTTAACATATATCTTTGATCTCTGATTAGGTTGTATGGTACATATAATATTCTGATCAATGTCGACTTATGGGGTATCAGATCCGTGGCATAAAGAACTTAATATTCTATTCTCTCCCGGAGCGGAAGGAGTTTTACCCTCAGGTAAGAGCATCTTAATCGAATTAATTGCGACACAACTCTTTGCAGGAGAAAGACAGTCGGATTCTCATCATTCTAGCTTTATCTGCAGATAATGAACATGCTTGAAGGATCGCATGACATGATGTCCACTGCGCTTTTTTGTCGTTTTGATCGGCTCAAGGTAATTACACAAATCTCAATTTCAATCTTCTGACGGTTTTTACACACTCAGAGCCATACCTAGTCATTTTCTATATTACTACTATTTCCTCAGATATATTTCTAGTTACTCAACTTGAACTAGAAATAAAAAGTGGTATATAACTGTGCTTAATACTTGAACTAGAAATAAAAAGTGGTATATAACTGTGCTTAGAGATCAATCACAGAGGAATATTTGAAGTCTGGCTCTCTCCGTCTTTTCTTAAAATAAAACTCTAATTGGTTTGCTTGCAGTGTCTGACATTTTGATGATGAAACATGTTAATCGTTGTTTACCCTTAATTAGATTACGCTCTCTCAGTAGTCAGTAGCACCAGTGTGATGAGTGAGTTCTAATGGAAGTGATGTTATTTGCAGTTGGAAAGGATCGTTGGGTCTGCTTCCGCAAACAGAATGAACAGTTCTGAGAAGAACATCTTTGCTTTTTGTTAAGGACTTGAAAATGTTCAAGACAAACTGTTGCTATCTGTATTTTGGTGATCTTAATCGCCCAGTTTTGATTGTACTTTTTTCTTTTCTGTGGTCAGATATACATCAACCGGCTCAAACCGATTTATACAAGAGAACCCAATTTTAGACGATATATTAATTTAGTTTTATTTTTTAAAATCTGAATAAACCCCAACTCAAAACGAAGCGGACCATTACATTGAGTTTTACTTTGGATTTTATTTTATTTACAAAAATCCAAAAGGGTCTTAAACCGAACTGAAAATTGTATTGGCAATTATAATCTTAAACTCGAAATAAATTCAGTTAATGAAGTTGAAATTAAACAAGAGCTTTAAGCCAGTGGTATTTAAGATGTCAAAAACAGAAAAAAGACGATGATGATGACATTAATAGTTGGTTGTAGAATTTACAAGTTACAACAACAACAAACGAGACTCAGAAAGTGCAGTGATCCTTTAAGACCTGCCTGGCTAGATCAAACGCTCCACTGTGCTTATAGATCAAATGAAGATTGTGAGCAGCTTCTTTGCGTAGGTCACAATTAACAGGTTTACGCTCTTCGGCAACATTTGGATCTTCGTTAGGGAGTTTCGGCATTGGATACTCTTTCTCGTAAACCTCTAAAACTTTCTCGTAGTATGAAGCCGCAAGAGTCACAAGTCCTACGTGCTGATACGCCCGAGCAACGTTATACAACGCCTCTTGGCTGTTACTGCAGATTCTGAGGTTATTGTATAGAAACGCAAAGCCTTGAGCAAGACACTCATGCCGGTTCTTGAGTCGAAAACCCAAGGCCAAGTTGATTAAAGCAGCTCCTGAAAGAGAGAAGATAGAAAGGTGAAACTTTGTTTTTAATCAATTAGGTAACCTGGGGAAAGCGAAAGAGAACAGTATAGATACATGCTTACCTACACAGAGGTTAATTAAAGGGCTCTCGGGCATTAGTTTATGTGCTTCAAGGTATTCTCTTGCAGCATCTTGGTGCCGGCTTGTCACGGTGAAATGGTGACCAGCAATCAGAATAGGCGGTACGCAATCTCTGTGCTTGCTTCTTAAGTGATGCATGAACTTAGCTTCAGTCGATGCTCTTTTCCCTAGTCTGCATAATAATAATAATAATAATGATATTCATACTGCAAACGAGACCGCGTTTACAAATACTTTCCAAGTGAAACGGCTCCCTGTATACCTTGAAATCACTTTGTAATAGCAGTTCCAGGCATTCAAGCGATATGGATGTTGCTGAATGACAGATCTTACACAGTCAAACCACTGCTTTGGATCCATAGTATCGCACGATATTTCTGTTAACATCAAAAGAACAAAGCGCTATTAACCACAGGTACAATAATCCCAGCAGCAAAAATATAAAAGACGATGGGTTAGGAGATTACTAGCTCCAAGTGACTGAAGCTCCTTTTTTTTCTCAACAGGCAGCATTTTGGCGTCCAATCTTCGAGCCAGATTAACTATCTCCAGAGCTTCCCAATATCTTTGCAGGGAAGCCAAAGCCTTGCACAACTACAAGACGGGCAATTTTAGGAGTCATGACAAACATAAAGGAAGCTGGCAGTAAGGAAGTTATACGGTCATATGCAAGGGAACGGTCAATTACATCCACAAAGAGACGGTGATACTCTTCATCCTTGATAGCTTCTCCCTGAGTAGAAAAGTCAATATAAAAGGTTTTGAGTAAATAAAACATAGAGGACAGAGTAGACAATACTGGTATACAATCCAACAAAAAACCGTCCGGTATATTGTCACCCACAGTAAGTAATCACACTTGGGTAGGTTGAAACACAAAAATCTTGTGAAAGTTTTTTTAATCAGGTAACAGGGGAAGGTACAATTGTGTGCACATTGATAGGTACCTCAGATTCACTGCCGATATCTTCATTATGAGCTTTAATAGCAGCCCGTTCTCTGATTCTTTTTGTTTCATTTAATGTTGCCCTGATTTTTCGCCACTTTTTTGGTCCGCCTCTCAACCTTTCTCAACATGTTTCGGAACAAAAGTTAATGCCCAGACAGTAATGACAAGGCTTAAAGATTATGGTGGATATATTTTATACTCACTGGGAATCTTCAGCATCTCTAGGACGTCCGCGTCTTCTATTTCTTTGAAGCTCCGAAAGAACCGATCGTTTTCTTTTCCCCTTGACCTAAACATTCATGAGGTGTAAGGCCAGCATACAATTATTTTAAAAGAAACTACATTCTGCTGATGTTTAATGAAAGAACCCTAATGAAATGCTGAACGTTCAGTTGGGTCCAAGTACGTTTTTCTTCAAGATACAGTAATTATTTATGTTTACAATGTCTTTAGCATACTTATTATACAAGAAAAGATTCCAAAAGACATGGATATAGGGCTATTACCGTCCGCCGCCAAACCCACTTAAGAACCAACTGCAGTGCTGTGTTGGCAAAGTCCTCAAGCATTCCCTCTGAATAATAGATCTGACAAAGATTCATCCTGATCTTTCTGTTTTTCCACCATGCCTTCTGTTTATCAGTATCAACGTCTACACTTAGAGAAAAGAACCACTGTTAGCAATAATCTTACAACATATGACAAAACACGACAAAACGCCAACAAAGCAGTTGGCATAACTAACATTTGGAAAAAAAAAACAGGGGGTGTATTCGACATTAAAAGGTAATACAATCATCATCGTAACAAATCTGTCAAAGTGCTATTAATAAGTTAATGTAACATGGAGGCCAAATCTTAGGTAAAATATGCACTCGCTCAGACAACACGGCCAATTTTTTTTTTCTCTACTGACCTGGATTTTCCGGAGGAGAAAGCACTAATACAGCTTCATCTCGTTTGCCATCTTCCAGGAGAAGTGAAGCCAGAGTCATGCGAGCATCAACTGGATCACTGAGTTCATTCAAAGCTGAGAAAATTTCAGTCAGCAGTGAATGAAAGCTATTGAGAAACCGAAAATACAATAGTAATAGATGATAACATTTTTTAATTTGCAAGACACAGAAAATCATTAGACACTTAAGTTTGGAGACCTCAAAACATCCCATGCAATTAACTAAAGACAGAACATAGTGAAATTGTATCAATCCCTCTACTGTTGACAAGAGGGGGCTAGAGATAGAACATATGCATCCAGAGCTCTTTCGTTATAGAAAACGCATATACACAACAACTAAATCAACCTCTTGCTAAATGAGATTATGAAAGTACCTTTATAATAGAAAACAATGGCTTGTTCTCGGTTTTCCAATGACATATAACAGCGAGCAACTTTCACAAACAAATAGCCATTCTACAAGGAAAAACACAAAACTAGTTAGCCAAGGGATGAAGCAAAAAATTGTTAGAGAGGAAACAGTGGAGCAAAACTGGTGATCTCCTTACATTTACAGGTTCGCTGATTGCTAGTAAATAATATTTGAGAGCAGAGTGAAAATTCCTGATGTTTGTTAGCTCATCGGCCAAATTGGTAATGAGCTCTGGATGTTCAGATACAGCCTCCTGTGGTAGAATACTTAACACAATCTGCAGATAAGAGAAGTAACATCATTCACAAGTAGAGGTACATCAACTTTTGTAAATTATATAGGCAGGTACAAGATCACGGAAACAGACACCAAACTTTGAAAACAGAAACTTCCTGTACAACAGACCGAATATCATATTAAAGATAATAGCACAAGATAAGGATCAATCATTGGGATAAAATAGTAGCAGGCATATAATATAGACATACAAACCTCTGCCTGCTCCACTTCTTCAAGGCGAACATGACAGATGGCTTGTCTGATTTTCAAGCTGGAAGGCAGTTCTTTTCCTAGATTGTAAATCTGGCGCACGTCATGAATATACTTAAGAGCTCTATCGTACGCATTAATTTGCATGAAAACAGAAGCCAGTAAATCCAAGACATCAGGCCCGACTTCAGATGAATGGGATTTGATATGATCCTCTAAGATGCTTGCTGCCCGTTCACCCTCACCGGATTTTAGGAAATACTGAAAGAACCAAAAAACGAAAATTGGTATAACCATTTGTCCTTTTCTGGGTAGAGAAATTACATAACAAGTATGAGAAGAACTTTCTAGTCATTCAGCTTATATACCTCTATCCCCCATTTGAGTGCTTCAATTCTCTCAGGACACCGACGAAATATTTGCTCATAGGTTTCAGCAGCTTCTTTATATTTTCTAGCATCTAGGCAGAGGTCTGCATATTCATATTTTAAAGGGATATCATCTGGATCAGCTTGTATTGCTTTGGAAGCATAAATCCTCGCTGACAACTTGTCCTCTTGTTCCCTGAAATCAATAGTTTTTTTGTTACTTACCTTGCATTGCCACAGTTAAGAACAAATTCTATACAGAAAACAAAACAGATGAAGCAGATGAGGACTGGCATGCGCAAATAGAACTTACTTGAACCTCTCATAAAGCAACTTCCAAAAAGGTGATTTTGGACCTTTGATATTTGCAGCAATCTTCAATGCTTCAGTAGACGACGATTCGGTCCTACCAAGTTGCTCAGAAACACGTGAAAGGTAATAATATGCTATATCAAAGGCTGGTGCTTGCTTAATAACTTCTAGTAGAATAGGTAAAGCCTGGAAGAAAGTCAAATTACATAAATCTTGATCAGCCATACATATAAATGATATGTAATAAACTAAAAGCAAGAAACCAACAGAACATAAACACTTCAATCATCTGGATTACCTCAATGTCACTGCCATGTGCGTGAAGGTAAAGAGCCTCCCTAAACCTTTTAAGAATGTCAGGTGAGACTTCTTTCTTCGACCCCTGTCTTCTTCCCCTTTTTTTATGCTGCAAAAGTTTAGCAAATGTATTCTTAAAAAGAAGTGGCAGCACTCGCTGGAGTGTAACACGAGTGAATGAACAAGTGAAGCACAGGAAATTACATGCTTTTAATATCAATGAGGGTTCAAGAGCAAACATGCAAATTCAAGAATTGTTTTTTTTTTGAAGAGTTAAAGCCGAATAGTAGATAACAGGTAGCTGCAAGAGAGGGAATAAAGTGACAATGTAATACAAGTTAACTCCTAGGAAAACAACACACCTTCTTAGACCTTCGTCGGCGACCAGAAGTCATGAAGTCCTTGATTCTCTCCTCCATGTCCGAGGTGCTATTCGGGATGTTCGTAGCACCATACTTGGCTCTCTTCTCTGAACCATCACTGCCACATTCACAAACCAATAATCAAAAACTCAAAAAGAAATTGTATTGGCAGCACAAGGCAAAGTTACGGTCCCTGCATCTTGACACATTATACACCAAAAGGATTAGGGAAAAAACGAACCGTTGAGAATCAGCAAGCGCTTTGCGTTTCTTCTCAGCTAGATCTTCATACTTAGGGCGTTCAAATGTGTTTGGAATTTCGATTCCAGCTTCTTCAAATTCATCTCCTTCTTCCGACTCATCATCATCGTCGTCATCATCATCATCATCTACCTGGCCTTCTTCATCATCATCACTACCATCACCAGTAAGTTCTTCCTTGTCACTTTCGATATTGCTTGGACCTCCTTCTTCTAACTCAGAAAACAATTTTTCTTCATCCCCTCCGACCACACCCTTTCCTTTATCTTCCATACTTCCTCCGAAATCACGAAACTGGATCGTTTTCAGAGGAAATCTTAGGAATCTCAAGCTACAGCAGATGTATATCAACGACTGCGATACTAATAAGCATCAATTACGAAAATTATACAAATCTCTAAACTCTTGTCTTCCCCCTGAGAATAAGCTCTTATTCCAATTTTTCCGACTATCTTCCTCTGAATTGAACCGTCAGCCGGCCTGCTCATCTAGAAGGGACGGTTTGTGGTTATTTCCGGTTTAAATGCAGACTCCTTTTAATGTAAAACCCTGAACGAGAACACATTCGAGTCTATAAATTTTTGTTGACTGATTGATCACAACGGTTTCGTGGTGTAGTTGGTTATCACGTCAGTCTAACACACTGAAGGTCTCCGGTTCGAACCCGGGCGAAGCCATTATTATATTTTTCCTTGAATTTCTTGTCAATTTTGACATTTAAAAAATCTACGCCGTTGCCGGGGATCGAACCCGGGTCACCCGCGTGACAGGCGGGAATACTGACCACTATACTACAACGACTGATTTGCGATGTGAGCTGATAAGTTGGAAATTAACATTATTAGTTTACTATTACATAATTATAGACACTAAATTTAGATTATTAAAATATACTCACATTAATTAAATGAAAATTATCCACATTATACAAGTGTTTTTGTTCTCTCTTGTGTGTGTGTGTCAACATCCCAACTTAAAAACACTGTTTCAGTTTAAATGTTGTTTAAAGTTTTTTCATTAAGAGGTTAAATGTTCAATTTTTAATTTTAAAGGCTGAATCATTTTGCCATTTAAAATTGAAATTGCAGCAGAAAGATTCAAACTATTTAAAGCTTAACTATAATCGGATAAATAACATCGTTGATTTCAAAATCAAAGCAATGTGAAAATTAAATTAAAGTCCAAAGTAGTTAAAATCTTTCCATAAAAATATGGTAAGTTACTAAAGAAAAAGAGTTTCGTCGTCGCATTCTCTTTATTTTATTTTTGGTTTTGTTTCCTCTCCCCCTTCCCCTGTGATGTACGAAGCACGTTAATGGCGGCTCCGTATATCGCACAAATCGAAATTATAGCATCTTCACTGAACCCTCTCATGTATTCCATTATCTTCTCATCTCTCCTAACTCTCTCCCTCCTCTCATTCGTCTCTGCTATCTTCTTTCTCCTCCGAGCTTCCCGCCGCAGAGCTGCTGTTTACAGGCAGAAACTCTTATCCAAATCCGAAACCTTAGTCAAACCGGAGTCGTCTCCATCTGAGGTTTCGGGCGTAGCCCAGTACCAACCCGCTGAAAATAACCGGACCCGTTTAGCGAATTCGCGTCTCTACGAGTTACTGCTCTCCGATAAGGAGGAGGAGGAGGAGGAGTCGGATTGGGAGGGAGATCAAGGAGTGTCTGCAAAGAAGAAGAAGAAGAAGAAGAAGAAGAGAGGTAAGAAGAAGAAATCAGAGCTAAGAAAAGGTGGAAATGATGATTCCGGCGGCGAAAAGCGCACTGGTGAAGGAGATGGGTCTGTGTTGAATCCGAGCTCTGACCCGATTTCGGATTCCGAAATCAAACCGGAGTTGGTTTGCTTGTACCCTTTCACCTCGACGAGCAGTGCTACGCAGAGGAAGATTAAGCAGCAATACGACCAGCTTGTCAAATGCAATAGTGCCAAAGGATTGACCCTAGCTCAGGTCAGCTACATTGGAATTGAATATTGAAAATTTGGGAATTACAAGAAGTTGAACACGAAATCAAAGTCAAAATGCCTAAGCTTCTGGGTTTCCTGAAGCAATAGGCTTATATGATTTACTTCGATCTATACTTTGGATGACTAGAATTCAACTCAACTGAATTTTTCAATTCTGATGTTTCTTTGGGTTCTTCACTTCTGCAGGTTGGGGAGTTTGCTAATTGTTTGATAGAAGCTAAGAATGAATTACAGCACAAGTAAGTTTACGCTGCCATAAGAGGATATCATGTTATCCATTTCTGATCCTTGTCCTTTGTTCTTCCTACATTTTGAGGACAAAAGATTGTTTCTTGTACGATTAGAATATTCTTCATTGAGTGTTTACTTTCCCTGGTGCAATCGCCACTTTGGTGAAGATGTTATTGAGAGATTATAGATGTTCATATGCTCTTGACAACTCAATACATGGATTTATATATGCATAACAAATGTAGCTACTTTGTGTTCTATGTTTCTTCCTTAAGTTTACCTTTAATGGTTACATGTTGGTTGTTTAAGTGCCTGCAATTTTCTTCCCTAGTGATGCTAATTTTGAGCGTGATTGTTTTATATTTTAGGTCGGAGGTTATCAAGCGTAAGTTTTCAATAACAAAGGCTCTTCTCTTGAAGGCTGATAGATCTTCCTTTGACCGACTTCGTCAACAGGTGAATGTTTGCTTCATGAGTTTTTGTCTGATTCTTTTTGTTTCTGTCTGTTGCTTTGTGGCAAAACGTGATGTTTGTGTCTCATCAGACCAACAAGCTCGAGATGGAACAAAAAAGAGTAGAAGAAGATGCACTTGTATATAATTGGCTCCAACAACAGCTAAAACTTTCACCTGCATACAAAAAGGTAAAATCAAACTCAACTCACTTTTTTTCTGCAGATTGTCATATGTGTCCAGAACCTTAAATCTGTTAGATAATGTTTCTGATTCTGGATTAGTCTTGTTCATTATTGTTGATGTATGATAAACCAGTAGAGTCTCATCTGTGTTAACTTCTGAATTGGAACCTGTTAGCGTAATTCAAACCTTCCTTTGGGATTCTGGTTTCTTTTTTTTTTGCTCAACTATAGTTATAGCCATCAATATTCAATCTTATACTGTAGGTTCTTGAGATAAGCGCTTCCATGGAACTCAAAGACAAATTGAGTACAGAGTTGGACAGTCCAGATGATGGAGTTTCAGACATCTCCTTCGAAGAGCTATTGGAACAGGAGAAGAAAGACTCCTTTTGGTCAGTTACACACACTCTCTCTCTCCCAAGCTTAGTAGCGAATATAAATTACTTGCACATAGGAATCTTGCCACATCAGGCTTTCATATTAGGAGTGTATTCATTAATCTCGAAGTCATCGTACTCATCTTTTTCAACCATCTTGCTCTCCACTCTTGTGTTGGTTTTCAGGCATAAAAATGGAAGATTGCGAACTTGCAGAACATGATTTGGTGATTGAAATTGTTGTTGCAATGCCGTGAGCTCAGCCGGAGAACTAAATGCTTTTTGGGGTGCTGTGTATAGTCTATAGAGAGAGAGAGAGAGAGTATAAAGACAATCAGTTTCCTCCATACTCCATAGTCATGCGTTTTCTTGAACTCGGACAACATATTACCCGGTTTTCAAATCGATTTTTTCGGTTCGGTTTGAACTAAACTAATTCAGTTTATCTGGATTGAACCAAGTCCAAACGTGCATCTCTTACATTTCCTTCGTCTCTGTCGAGAGGTTTTTCCAAATTGATAATTCGACAAGTAATTAAAAAAAAAAAAACCAATATATTTGATCTAAACCGAACAAAGAATCATTTTGTAATTCATTTTAACTTGGGCCTTACTATTTTTTCGTCTCGTTTTCCTTTCCAACTTCCTTTAATAAATTTCTCCAGTTGATAAAAAAGAAAAAGCCATTTTCCACCTCGAAATGTGAGTTTTTCGGCCACACCTTGGAGCCAAGTTTATAACTTACAAACGCACAAGCAAGCCATTGCATTGGGTGTGCCATTATCTTCTTCAAGAGCCAATGGCTTTGTGCTCCATCTTCTGCCCTCTTATCCCTCTTCGATTCAGATCAAAACCCATTTCCCCTTTCCTCTCAAAACCTCTGTTTTCTCTCTCTTTTAGGGTCTACTCTTCCCAGCAACCTTCTCCCTCCACCAAAGGTAATTTATTGTTTTGGTTTATGCCTTGATAATTATGTTTATATGGGTAGAAATTGTCAATGTATCGCTCTCTTTTTCAGGACGAAACCACAAATCTTTCAAATGCTGGTCTCGAATTTCCCTTTTTGGTTTAGCCTTATCTGAGTAATGGTGATTTGTGTGATAGATGAACTTGGAACTGTTAGCATTGGATTTCTGGGATTGGGAATCATGGGTTCTCCAATGGCACAAAACCTCATCAAAGCTGGGTAATACTTTTTTTGCCCTTTGCATATATATCTTCAGTAAAGGAACAATTTTTTAGACTCCTGGTGGGAGAAAAAAACAAATTTATGTGTTAAACAATACAATTCACTTTCCTACTTTGATCTTTTGGTGCTTGGTTGTTAGCTGTGATGTAACTGTATGGAATCGAACGAAGAGCAAATGTGATCCTCTCATCGGTTTAGGAGCAAAGTAAGAATTATCGATGCTTCGCATAACGAGTGATATGATATATAACAAAGTGAGGTCTTAGAGCTAATGTATATGCAAAACCTCTGAGTAAGCAAGTTCCTCCTGTTTTGTAGGTACAAGTCGTCCCCTGAAGAAGTGACTGCGGCTTGCGATCTCACATTTGCAATGCTTGCTGATCCTGAAAGTGCAGTGCGTATGTTTCGCTTTTGTTTGTTTCTTGTTTGCTTCTCTTCTTCCACTCCATATAAAAGACATAAACTTTTGTTTTGCTTTCTGTCAGATTGATGTTGCGTGTGGGAAGAATGGAGCCGTATCTGGAATTAGTTCAGGAAAAGGGTACTACCTACTCCTTCTTGAGAACAGTATTGGACTTAAAATGTTTCAAGATATCTTAATATTCTTATGTAACTAAAGCAGATTTCACAGTCGTTCTTTTTCCCTTCTCTTCCTTGAATCAATATGATAATTTGGTGGACATTTTGATGGTAAAAAATGGGACTTTGCCTTGCTAATGCAGGTATGTTGATGTCTCAACCGTTGATGCTGCCTCATCGATGTTAATCAGCAAGCAAATAAAGGATACCGGAGCACTGTTTTTGGAGGTAACGACTCTTTATACGTTTGGAATCACAAAGAAAACTGTTAGCAGATCTGGTGGCTTCACTCATCTCCATTGATATTCACAGGCACCAGTTTCGGGTTCCAAAAAGCCTGCCGAAGATGGGCAGTTGATATTCCTCACTGCAGGTTAGTAATAGCTTATTCCTCACTGAGCTTGTATCAACAATATTTATCATCATTCTATACATTTCAAAGTACTTTGCTTTGTGGGTGACCTGGAACGTTCTGGTTGTCCATGTAAAGTCGTGTCTAGTAACATGGTTAAATGTAAAGGAGATCTAAGACTATCTGGCACTTAACAATTTCAGGTGACAAGCTGCTATACGAAAAAGCTGCTCCTTTCTTAGACATCATGGGAAAGGTATCTCTTTTGCTTTCAGTTCTTATTTCTTCTGTTAAAAAACCATTTCATTACTAGTTTCCATCATATGATCCAGTCGAGATTCTATTTGGGTGAAGTTGGTAATGGAGCAGCAATGAAGCTTGTCGTCAACATGATCATGGGAAGGTATGATTTGACCATCCGTGGATTCATTTCTTGGCAAATATCAGACTCTTCTCCCTGATATCTCGTCTCTTACTACAATCTTGCAGTATGATGGCATCATTCGCCGAGGGAATACTTCTAAGCGAGAAAGTAGGGCTCGATCCAAATGTACTGGTCGAGGTAATGTAAACACCATTTATCCAGCAGAATTTTTCCTTCCAAAATCCGGTATTAACCTGTGAAAAAACCTCGTGCAGGTTGTCTCTCAGGGAGCTATCAATGCACCAATGTACTCGCTAAAGGGTCCTTCGATGATCAAGTCAGTGTACCCTACAGCTTTTCCATTGAAGCATCAGCAGAAGGTTTGCAACGTTCTGATATCTCCTCGTTTAGATTCTCACAAAGACTCTCTCAAGTTTGATGATGATTCTCTTATGCGCATGTTAGGACATGAGGCTCGCTCTCGGACTAGCGGAATCCGTTTCGCAATCTACTCCGATTGCAGCTGCTGCAAACGAGCTTTACAAGGTTGCCAAATCTTATGGATTGAGCGATGAAGATTTCTCTGCCGTCATTGAAGCTCTGAAAGCTGCAAAATCGCAAAAAGCATAGCCAAAGAATTGTTCTTTATTTCCTGTTCTATGTGAAAGAGTGTCTTTGTTGTGTGAAACTTTTTTAACTTTATAATAAATGTCTGTCGTCTACTGGTATTTGTTTATGCATAAGAACCAGTTAAAAAGTGTCAATACAGGTCAACCTTTGATCTCCTGATGTTGACAAAGTGAGAAGAAAACTGTTTGACCATAATAATACGGTGTCGTTTTCGAATATTCCGACGATAAGTTGATAACGCCGAATCAATATTATTCTTCTTCAGAAATCCTCAGTGGGGCTAAGTGTGAAAAACTCTCTCGCCTGAGCTTGTTGCCGTTTCTCACTTCAGCCATCTTTGGTTAGGGTTTCTCTTTCAAGTTCTGAATTTTGAATTTTTTTATGCCATCATAACTCTTATTCAAAGAATCGGAGCTGGAGAAAGAATTCTTTTTTTTTTTGTTGGGTTTCACTCGCTTCACTTGAGCTTCACCGGGAGAAGGAGAAATTAAGGGTTTTTCTTTTTGATTCACCTGCAGTGAACGATGGATTATAACTCAGACCGTGGTCATGATGACTCTTATCATCGCCACCTACAAGACGAACAGCTTCCACCGTCGGATTATGAAGTGGAGACTGTTGATGACCGTAGGAACGGTGGCGCAGCCGTCGACACTGGTGGGATGCAGATGAAGCAATCCGTTGAACATCGCCATTCTTCTTCGTCCATGTCCTCTCCTGGGTTAGTGGTATCTTTGGGGTTGTATGGTTTTTTGTTCATATTGATCTCCTTCTCAATCGAAATGGTTTTTTGGGGGCATGAAGCTAAAATTTTGATGGAGAGTTTTGTTGTGTTTAGGAAACTATTCGTTGGTGGAGTTTCCTGGGAAACAACTGAAGGTAAGATGTCTCTGATAGTTTGTTGTTGGTTGAGTCTTTTTGCTTCGTCTTAGCTTTTCATTTCTTAAACTGAACTAGCTGGAGCTGACATGGATGCTTTGTGATTTTGGTTATTTTCTCTGTGTCTTGACTCCGTTGCTTTCACTTGCAGAAACTTTTGCGAATTACTTTGGGAAGTTTGGAGAACTTGTCGACTCTGTAATCATGACAGATAGAATGACAGGAAAGCCAAGGGGGTTTGGGTTTGTAACTTATTCTGATTCAGCTGTTGCAGAGAGAGTTTTGGAGGAAGAACATGTAATAGATGACCGAAAGGTAGAGATATCAAGTCATTGAATTTTTTTTATGTGGTGTATCGTCTGCTCAAATTTTTGGTTTCTCAGTTATATATGTTGGATGCTTTTGTTGATTCCTACTAAATTTTAGGTTGACCTGAAAAGAACAGTGCCTAGAGGGGACAGGGATGCCGATGTTAAACCGGTACCAAAGACGAGAAAAATCTTCGTTGGTGGACTTCCACCGTTTTTGGAAGAAGGTAAAAAGTTTCTCTTAAGGTTTTTCTGTCTGTGTTGTGTTTGTTGCTGTTGGTGATGATAATGCGTCTTTTCGTATTTGTAGATGCGCTGAAGAAGTATTTCTGTGTGTATGGTGAAATAGTTGAGCATCAGATCATGTACGACCACCACTCTGGAAGGTCAAGAGGGTTCGGTTTTGTAACCTTCCTGACTGAAGATTCTGTGGACAGACTTTTCTCCGATGGAAAAGTTCATGAGCTCGGTGACAAACAGGCAAGCCACTTTTTTACTTTTTAAATTAGTTTTTTTTAAAAGCTATAAAGAACTCAGTAGTAATCTCAAGCACTTGCAATGGATCAATAGGTCGAAATAAAAAGGGCTGAACCAAAGAGAACAGGAAGAGATGGCAGCTTTCGAGGCAAGTATGATCAGGAAGATTGTTATGGTGGGAAAGCAAATGATGATTACAATATGTATTCGGGTTATGGTGGATATGGCGGTTATGGAGCCTATGCAGGGAACTCCATGGTTAATGCCGCTGGATTTTATGGTTACGGTGGTGGCTATGGCTATGGTTATGGCTATGGAGGTCAAATGTTTAACGTTGGCTATGGAGCTGGCGGTTATAGCCATATGGGTGGTGGCTATGGTGTTGCCGCAGCTGCTGCTTTTGGAGGTGGAAATGCTCATGGAAACGGTAACAGCGGCTCAAGTAGTGGCAGAGGAAATGGGACTAATGGTTCAGGGCCAGGTCGATACCATCCTTATCAAAAGTGAGAATCTCCGGATGTTGCAGAGACTCTTGTATTGTAGAAAGATGGATTTTTCTTTTTCTTTTTTAGTTTTAAGCTAAGAAATAGATTGGGATACTTCACCAATTCACCACATTTAACTTTTGTGAGCCAGAGTTTGTTTTGTGACAAAGATGTTATTAGGACAAAACAATTATTATTGGTATTGAAATTCTTTACTAAAATTGTATGCATGATTAAGGTTTTAAACTTAAACAATTACAGTAGAATCTCAGGGAGATATCGTTACGCTGATTTGTGTGACCACGAACAGGTTGGTGATTTAGAACATCAAAGATAATGCCATGGACTATCAGAAGCCTGCAACATCATGATAAGCAGCAGCGCTGGTTATGGAGTGTTCTTGCAATGCTTATGATGAATGGGAAGATAAAAAAGATAGTAAAATTAACAAGATAAAGCTTCACAAGTGCTACTTTGGGTTTAACATGACTAAAGCTCTTCTCTCCTGAAGATTCATTTGGCAATTGGTCAATGCTAGTTTGATTGGTCTGAACTCTGAAGCAACTTTACCTGATAGGTTCTTTGAGTTTGTTTTTTTTGTTTTTGTGCATCTTCTCAAGATGTGCGAGATCTACTAATCTCTTACGCTGTCCATAACTCAAGATCATCCTCGTTATTGTTCCCATCGTGTGTAGGGCCTTTCTTCCACATATGACTAATCAAATCCTCAAGAACTGGGTAGATGCTGGCAAAGTCGCTTTCTACTGTTGATCCTGATGAGAACTTACAGACTTTCTTCTTTAATACAATGCAACTGCTTCCAGAAACTTTCTTAAGATCCTTTTTCTTGGCTAAAGCCCTAACCTTTGCAGATTCTTCCCATCTTCCGCTAGCAGAATAAGTGTTAGACAGCAACATATAGCTTCCTGTCATCTCCGGTTCAAGTCTGAAAAGCCGTGATGCTATATCCTCTGCGATGTCCGTGTTCTTGTGCATCCGGCAAGAATTTAACAAAGCTCCTAACACACAGACTGTGGGCTCCATAGGCATGCTCTTCACAATCTCACTAGCTTCTTTCAGAAACCCTACACGGCCAAGGAGGTCAACAATACATGCATAGTGCTCTTGTTGGGGCTCTATTCCAAATTTTTCGCTCATCGAGTTGAAAATCTCGCGTCCCTTATCGACGAGCCCTGCATGACTACAGGCTGAAAGAACAGCTACGAAAGCAATACCATCCAGGTTTAACCCGGATTTTATCATTCGGTCGAACATACTTAGAGCTCTCTCACCAAATCCATGCATACCGTAGCCTTTAATTATCGAGTTCCATGAGATCAAATCCTTATCCCTGATTGATTCAAACACTAGATTCCCTTCACTGAGTGACCCACATTTTGTGTACATATTCACCAATGCATTCTGAACCAGAATGTTACCGCTCATCGAGGTTCGGATCACATGCCCGTGGATTTCTTTTCCCAGGTTCAAAGCTGTAAGCTCTGCACAAATGGATAGTATACAACAAATCGTCACCGAATTAGACAAAACTTTGGAAAACTGCATCCGCCGGAAATATTCAAGTGAATCGTCTCCTCTTCCTTGCACGTTACACCCCTTGATAATGGAGGTCCAAGTGACTACATTAGCCTTGACGTCGCGAAAGCCATTCGTTTCCTCCAACTCAGTAAACAATGAAAGAGCCTCGTCGAGTTTACCAGCGTCCACGAACGACGTTATCAAAGCATTCCAGCTCTCTATACCTTTGTTTCTTATTTGCCTGAACAACTGTGCAGCGTCTTTGACTTTCCCTTGCTTCCCGTACACGTATGTCAACGCGTTCTTCGAGGGCAGACACTCTTCAAACCCACCTTTTACAACATACCCATGAACTTTCTCAGCAGTACTGAACGCTCCTAACTCGGAGCACACAGAGAAGAAAACAGCAAGAGCTTCCCCACTAACTGCGTTTCCACTCACCCTCATAACATCAAAATATTTGATAACATCTTCAAGCTTCCCACATTGAGAATGACAAGATAAGAGTGAAGTCCAAGTCACTTCATCAGGTATAAACTCTTCACGCTGCATCCATTCGAAAACCTTGACAGCGCTTTCACAGTCATACTCTTGAGAAAACCCTGAAATCATGAGATTCCACGACATACGGTTTCTAACAGGCATTTCAACAAACAGATTGTAGGCATCTCTCATCCTCCCCGCCTTCGGATACAGCGTGAGCAACTCGTTCACCACGTAAAGATTCTCCTGTAAACCAATCTGAATAACTTGGCTGTGCATAGCCCCGCACAGACCAAAACGTCCCAAGTACCTACAAGCTCGAAGGATCAAGGGTAAAATAAAGCCGTCCCCTGTGAGACCTCGTTCACGCATTCCCGCGTAGAGCTCAAGAGCGTTCTCGTGTTGCCCATGAGACACATTGGCTTTGAGAATCGAGCTCCACAAATACAGATCCGACCACAAAACAAGCGAAACAGTCTCGAACACGTTACGGGCATCGAGGAGGAATCCTAAACGGGAGTAAGCCGACACCAAACTCGCAGCTAATGACCCAGAACGGTAGATTAAGTCGGATAGAAGTACTTGCGCATGAACTTGCCGGCATTGCTGAGCCGTCAAGCATAATCCGAGGACATGATCGACGTAACGGAAGATGGATTGATCGTTATTAGTCGTAAGGGACCAGCACGAGGAAACTGAAACGATACTCTGAGAAAAAATCGGTGTGTATGGACATGGAGAAGTGTGGAAACAACAAAGATTACGAAGACGATAAGGAATTTCTTGAAGACGAAATCGCCAGAAAGAAGCGTGAACCATCAAGTAGAATAAGAGGGAAAAGAAAGAAACTTCAAGTCTCTAAACATATACTAATATTAGGTTAATCTAATATTTATTTACATATTTACAGTAAGTAAAAGTGAAATTCAATTGCGTGTAACAAAGAGCAAATATTTTCTATATATAGCATGAGGATTTTACCTAGGGGTGTTTGTTAGTGACAAAAAAAGTCAACTTGGACATCTAATAACAGGTAGTGGTCACATGGTTTTTTTTAGTTACGTGACATTATCATTTTGATTCTAAACACTTATTGACCCCATTGACATTAAACTAATTGTAGAAAAAAGATTTCAAATAAACATGTTTTACTTATCACTTAACAGAAGAATCTAACAATTATAATAGTTTGTTGCCCACATATTTTCTTTTTGAAATGAAGTTGCCAACATATATATATATATATTTTGAATTACTAAGAGATTCTAGACCGAAATTTATTACTTGTTTTTATGAACCACTTGTTTCTTTTACTAATATAAGATGATTTGCTATGTGAATTCGTTTTTAGTGTAGTTGAAATAGTATATTCTTAACCGTTTATATACTTAACAAAATTAAAGTAAATTTTATTTTTCGGGTTGAAATAAGAGGATTCTCAACTACTTTATTTGTAGGTTATAATTATTATGTGGAAAACAAACAAATTCCATCATATGTTAGTCGTCGTTGAACACCTAATCTCCTTTTGTTGTTGTTTATAATTACATGAAACTTGTGATTTGAAATGAATCATTGTAGCTTTGCTTTTTCTTGTTAGAGTTGAGACGAATAAAAAATAATATAAACATTTCACCGACACCTTCTAGAGGTCTGGACCTTAAGGGGACGTAACTTCGCACCCACACTTAATTGATGAAACACAAGACCCGAAGAACATGTTGTCATTCGCCAACAGATCCGAAGATAATGCACACCTATTATACTATGTAAGTAAATTCATTGGTTCTTACGATATGTCATGTGTGTATATATTCTCATACACTAATACACACATGGACCACGTGGTAGCTTAATTAGTTGATACAGCTAACCAAAAAAAAAAAAAACTAGCCAGCTTAATTGCCTACTTAAACATTAATTGACCATACCACTTTGCAGTAGTAGTAGTGGTCACCTCCACTTGCATCATTTACCATATTCATTAAATTTAAAGGTCTTTTAATTAAACAATTATAAGTGCGTTTTATTCTCTCCTTCATTTTTCTTTGTTGTGCCCTAGAAAATTGTAATTTTATTTTTAGTACTGATTTAAGATTTTTCATGAATAATCAAGAACGGTAATGCTCAGACCAAACACAAATATATATATGTTCATTTACATTAAAAAAAAAAAAGAGTCGTGCGGGAATCGAAGAACTGTATATGAAATCAAATTAAAAAGAAATGAAAATTGAAACAATGGATTAAACAAACAAAAAATGAAAGATGAAGAAAAACTACGAAAGTAAATTCCATTTTTACCCCCCAAATGTTTAGAAGGTGATTTTCCAGATCTTGAACCTGAGGTCAACCTTACACTTAGCGGCGGAGGTAGTAGCCGTCGTCGCCTTCTTTCCGGTCGGAGCCACCGCTTTAATCCCTTCACAAGTGACCCTTATTCCTGATTTAGGGGTTCTCATAGATCCCATCTTCACTTTCACCTTCGTGCTAAGAACAATCTTAATCGCCACTCCTTTCTTCGCCTTCAAATCTCCCTTAAGGTTACTCGCCGAGAGCTCGTCGAGATCTCCCGGAGGACTTCCGATCGTAGATCTGAGCAGAGTCGTGTTCTTCTTACCGTGGACAAACGACGCGATCGAGCCTTTACCGATGACGACCTCATCATCTCCTGGGGAGATTCTGTAGATTGTGATGTCGGTATCGTCGTAGTTGAACCCGACGTTTTTGTTGGGGTTTTTGGCGATGACGGAGAGGGATATGGCAGTGGCGAGGTGAGTGGCGGAGGTGAAATTGAGAGTCGAGACTTTGAAGGAGGAGACGGTGAAGCTCGGCCGCTGAGGACGGTAGATTAGGTATACGACGGCAGATACGGCGGCGACGATGAGGACTAAGAGGATGACTACGAAAATTGTCCAGCAGCAGCAACGGCAGCAACATCCACGGCTATGGCTACGGCGGCGACCGGCTGGTGGACGATAAGCGGGGCGATTAGCGCTGTAGAGCTGAGCTTTATTCGCCGGGAAAGTAGGATTGGTGGTTGCTCCGCCGCCGACAACGCCGGGAGGTTTCGAAGCTGGGTAGACTCTGTCGTCTGTCATATCAGAGATCTAGAGAGAGAGAGAGGGATGTGAAAAGATCTGATAAAAGGAACAATAAGGGTAAGATTTCGAAGATGTGTGTTTTCTTTATAAGGGAAGAAGTGATGATTGAGATTTACAGTGAAGCTTTAAGCTTCTCTATAAATGGGGGTGATTTGTTTAATAATATTTAATTAATGGGAAGAAAAAGGATTTAATGAAAGTGGTGGTGGTGAGAGGAAGCGAAGAAAAGCGAGGGAGACCGACAAAGAGAGTGACAGCTCAACGCGGGAAGGGAGAGCTTACACGCGTCACACGAGCGCGTATATATCACGCCATGGGATTAAAACGGTGCAAAAAGTCACGAGAGACCCCGTTGTTTATTTGCTAAGCATTTTGGGACCCCCCAAAAAACAAAAAAACACACTCTAATAATGTTAAAAATATTATTGTATTTTTTTTTTGGACATCAAATGTGATTAAATTATGTTCTGTCTATCTGCACCAATATATTGGTATATGATGATAGTGCATATACGTACATTTTCCGATTAACGAAGGAGTGAAAAACTTTTTTTTTTAGGAAATATAGAAACAAAATTGAGATGTATGTAGTTTTTGAGTTGAAACGTGAAATCGTACACCAAACCTAATTTGCTTTGAATTGAAGCAAAGATATACTATAAAATTCCCTCTCAAATAAAAAATTAACTGATGCTTAGTCCCTTTCCATTTTAAATCTGATCTAAAACAGCAAATTTATATAATCAAGCAATGTTTAAAAACAGAGAGTTAGTTGGATTTATAAGTTTTTGGATCTACAATTATATGCAAATACGTGATGAAAAAACCTTTAACCAGAAAAAAAAACAAGAAACAAAATTATTGCAAATTATCTAGCCGCACTAGAGAAAAAGCATTTGTCACAGGAGCAACTAGAATAATAACATTGCATATACATGTGATGTGATTTTATCTCTTCCTTTAATATTACGAAATGTAAGAAAACTTGCATGCCCGTAGGTTGGTTTGAATTTTAATTTATTTTGAAAAAAAAAGAAAATAATGTGTGACTGAGCAACGAAACCCAAAAATTAACGACAAGCCGCGTGAAGCCGGTGGTGGAGCGTGGAGATGGTAACCAAAAAGGTCTAAATTCCTAATCCAACGTGTGTATTTAGGTTACAATATAGTATACATTTTCCTAAATTGGGCTTCTTCATTGCATAATAAACACACAAACAAAAGGGCTTTTAATGTAAGAGAGAGCCCAGGTTCATTATTGGTCAAATAGAGAGAGTTGCACAGCTCAAAATCAAATAAGAAATCGGATCAGATTTGTCAACCCATTTGTTGCTTCTAAGTTATAAGTTTGGTGGTCTTCCCAAGTCTTATGTATACAAGCATTTATAGGCTTTACCTCTTAGCCATTTTTACTTTCTTTTGATCTCGGCTCCCTAATGTTTAACTAAATTTGGCTCCCTAATGTTTGTAGTTTCTTTAATCCAGTTGGAACTGCAAGCCCATAATGTTAACCCAAAGACACAAGCGATTTCAATAATTTGTCAGTCTTATTCAGAAGGGACAAGCCATACTCATGTCTTTAACTCTTACGAATCTCATGTCTGAACCCACTTGGAGCTAAAGCATCATGTTCTTTAGATTTCATAATATAACTTGTTTCATTAGATCTTTTCGCATTCCTTTCAATCTTTGATTGATTCTAGGAGAATTGGTTTAGCAGCGGAATTGTTTTAAATATCCCAACTTTCTTCCCTTCGACCTGACTGCTATGTTGATTGATAGAGAGATATAGACTGACGTCTGCATCATAGGAAAAACAAAATAAGATTACTTGATTATAACTTTTTTATTGATTAGACTACTTGTACATCAAGAAAGTCACAAAAACAGAGCAAAAAATAGTCTGTAAGGCAGCAAGTTATTAATAAAAATAGTCTGAAGTACATAAACCCTCGATTCTTGTACAGCAAGTTATTACACTCTGATCCTCTTTCGAAGAACTAACACTACATGCTAGATTCTAGAAGAGGTGATCACAGACGCACTTAGACAAACACAGAGAATATAACAGGGAGACAGAAAGAAATCTAGTGCCTAGTTATTCATTATTTTAGGACAGAAAAGCTCAAAGACAACAAAAAAAAACAGAGCTCTTCGTGGCTTTGTACATGTATTGTTATTGGATCAACGGTGGAGATTTACCTTTTTCATATACTAGCAAATAAATGAACAATTCCTAAATCGAAGCCACATCTTGCTAAGTCTTAGGTCTTAAGTAGCAAAGAGCGAAAGAGCTCACCTCTATACCATTCCAGGACCAGAAACAGAGTTACCATTCAAGAACATTCAGTCTCCGATATCGACGAAGACAACTCGGAACAAACATAAAGGTCTCTCTCTCTAAAGGCGAATTGACGAAAGAGTTGGCGAACTTCAAAGCATCTTAAGCACTCAACTTCATACACAACCTTTATCCCAAATGAAACAAGAAGTTGTTTGTCTTGTGTAGTTATGATAACTATACTACCAGGACCGAAACAGTTAAAATCTTCTGCAAGAGCATCTAATTGTTCGAGTTTGTCGACGTTGTTAGCCACAAGTAGAACTTTCTGACTCATGAGCCTTGTTCTGATCAACCCAGAGGTCTTCATCGTCGAGTACCCTCCTTGAATCCTTATTAGAAACTCTTCTCTTAGATTCGACATTTGACAATCCTGAGGAACCCCTTTAACGTTTTCGAGAAAACATTTGCTTTGGAACTGCTTAGCGATTTTCTGATACACTAATCTAGCTAGAGCCGATCTTCCACTGCCTCCTCTTGCCCAGATTCCAATCACTCTCACACTCCCATTGGAATTCAAATCCAACAATGGATACAACTCTTTCATGTGTGCATCAATCCCAAATTGGTTATTGATACCACCACTTGGTGGTGTTGCGGAGACTAACAACATGTTGGATATTCTATTGGTAATTTCGTCGAGCAGCTTCGAGTCATCTTCCCTGAAACAGAGAGAAAACGAATTGTGAATTCGAACAAAATCCAGAGATTTCGAGTAGTGATAAAAGCAGGAGATGAAAGTACCAATCACGAGAACAATGGCCGGAGATACTAGCCAAATTGGTCAGTGCTTGCCTCCATGATACAACAGTCTCATAATTTTCCTCTCTCTTGATGTTTCATAAACTGTCGAGCGACTCTTTCGATCTGTCTCCTTACATGAGCAGGCTCAACGTTGTAGAAGATGGGCATAACGATGAGCGAACCCTTTTTCTCGACGTCCATGATCTTCACTAGCTCCTGGAGGCACCAGGGAGACGCTGGATATCTCTTCGAGACAACCACGACGGCGATTTTGGAACCCTCGATGGCGACAAGGAGATCTGAAGAAATCCGACGGCCACTCTTCAGTTCAATGTCGTCTTTGAAAGTTCGAATACTCATTCGCATAAGTTCCTTGTAGAGAAAGCTAATGAAGATCCTGCGAGTGTCCTTGCCTCTGAAACTCAGAAAGACATCGAACTTGTGGGGGGTAGTACAAGAAGACGATGAATACATTTGGATGCGAGCATGCGAGCGAAAAGCGTCGATTAAACAGCTTTTTTTTTGTATGGTTGACCAAAAAGAAAATAACTTGTGGTTCGATCTTTAACAAAAAGAAGAAGAAAATACTGAGAAATTTCCAAGAAAATGTTGAGAGTTTTACCAAGAAAAGAGGTTTTAGAAGTCATGAAACAGAAGGGGTCCAAAGAAGAAGATGTTCCATATCGCTTAACCAATATTGGATTTGGAGGCGGTCCACGTATTGTGTGCTTAATGAGATTGCGTAATGCAAATTCTATTTGTGTAAAATCTTCATATATATATATATATATATATTTGACCACTGGGAAATTTTCTGCCTGGATAATAAAGTGATGTCGAATTATTAAAATCTTTTAGTGATATAAAATCGTGCAATCGTAAGACAATGGCGCGGAATAAAAATGGTCGGTGACGGTTGATGCTCAGCAAACGGAAAAACTGTGGTCAGTGCATAACCCAAAAAAAGACAGTTAATAATTTTATTATGAGCTAGCGTCAATAACGTAGCGGATTTAACAAAAATCGAATTTGACTTTTTCTCTTGATTATTGCAGAGAGTTGAATAAAAAAGTCATAGTTATACTGGTTTTGCGGAAAGACAAGAAGACTAAGAAAGTAAATTAAAAGCGTTACATCTGTTTGGTCACGTTGAGACCAAAAAAAAAAAAAAAAAAGGAAGACGATTCTTTACATTGTGGGTTCTGTGGAAACGAGGTTGACTTTCCCAGATTGTTTGAAAAGCCTATTGAAGGAAGACGATATTATACTTCGTGGTCTAATGATTATATAGGCTAGCCATTATATAGACTTTGACTCAATTCATTTTTAGAATATGGAGTACTGTTGCATGAGTCACATGGACAAGAGAGTTTCATTTGCTAGCTCTGCGGCTTATTCGATTTCACCATACCTTCTTGACAACTGAATCCAATGCTCGCAGTTCTGCTGTGACTGTATCACTGAGTTTGAAGGTGAATGCAAGATCAGAACATGTTTTTAACTCTAAGAAAATCAATTTCCAGGACTCATCTTCAACTCACTCCTCTGGTCAGTCTTCCACAGAAGTCGCAAGTAGCGGAGATGATAACCCCTCGAGACTGACCTCATTTTCAGCACAATCGGGTCAGATTTTGATTCTTACTAGTGTAAAGGCACAAACATCATTCCTAAAAATATTCATTCCAAGCAATGGCCTACAAAAACATGGCCCATCAATTTAATAAATATTTGGTTCACAAACAACAGTTGGAGAAAAGTTTCCTACCCATTTTTACCCTAGAATATAACCAGAAAGCTACTGGCAAAGATAGCCTCTGTACAGGCTCTGTTTTTTAAAGCACAATACTGAGATCTCCTACTCTGAAAATGTCTTAGACATCGATCGGGTAAACACAAGCGACTGCTTCTGTCTGATACTTCAATCTGACCTTTCCAACAAGAACATGAAGCTGCTGTTTTCGCGAATCAGCGGAGGAGGATCGATCTCTGCAACCTCTACGTTTTGCATCGATTTCGATATATCGTCAAGCGAGAATGGGATGCTGCAAAAGAATCACCAACACCAAGAATATATCAAAAGATCAAATCTTTTTAAGTGAATCCTTAGTGTTTGCTTTGTTTTTTTCTTTCTCGAGTTTACCTCGAATCGTCGTCTAGTAAAAACGAACTGCAGATCCTGCTGTTTTCCCCTGATACCGTAACCCGCATGCTTGCCATCACCTTCAATACAGCCATTTTTTGTTGTGTCAAAACGAATTCTAAAGGAACATACTTAGGCTCTTCTGTTTCTATTACAGATTATAAAGTCTCAATATTCTTTGAATTTTCTTAAGACATGGCTCGGAATAAGACTAATGATAACGGTTAGCTCGACCGGGTCTATCAAATTATTCACTTGCCTCTGAAGATACGCTATGTGTGCCGTATTTGTCGTCCCAATACATAGTGCTGATCCTGTACAGTTGCTGGACGCTAAGCACCTGCAGAGAAACAAGAAGTTTCGTTACATTTACATGAGATGAACAGATGAACAAACAGATTCAGAAGACAATTTTAACTTACCGGGCAGAGTTCGGTAGTAATCTCTACTAAGCTTTTCTTAGGCTTCTGATGTATAACCAAGAAGCCAACAGCTTGTCTGATGTGCTTTAGCTCATCCCAAGCCGCACCAGCATACTAGAACACAACCAAGAGCATCTTTTAATTAGCCAACTGTCGAAAAAATCCAGCGAGAGGAGGATTTGAGACATCTATTACCTCCTCAGTTGCATCATGGCACCACTTTTCCAGCTCTGCAAGCCCTGTTTTTACATACTCCCCATTGCTAAACGAGCAGCATTCGCGTCTCAAAAGAAGGCTACACGATTGATCAAAAAGGGAAAAACATAAGTGGACATGTTCTATGTAGAGGCATGACAGTTGCAACTACAGCACATTTACCTGTTAAACAGCTGAACATTGATAAATGAAAATATCTGCCCGAACACCTTAGAAATTAGCAACGAAGGCACCTGCAGTTTTGGAAAGGTTCAAATTTTGTGAGGAAAGAGAGTAAGAAAGGGGAGAACAGACATACTTCAGCTTTGGCTGAAATTTTGATTTTACTCACATAATTGGCCCTCATAGTCCTCAAGTGGCCGTTTAGACATGAGACAATGCTTTGCCAGTGAGCAATCAGCGCTTTTTGAGCAACAAAATTATTTTGTGAACGACCCTTTACCAAACCAGAACGTGGTGCCCTTGGTGCCTGTTTACAGCAAACAGGCAAAACAAAACCAGACTCAGGGGAATAATATAACACAGATTATATAATTTGTGAGAGCAAAGGCAAAGAAACGAAACCAAATGCCTACCTGAATGCAAGAAGCAAGCAGAGGCGCAATCTCTTTCTTCATATGGTCTCGGATCATTCCATATATCTTTTCTAGGTAAGCGGTGAGTTGCTGCTTGAAAAGCAAAGCAGGATATTTAGCTTCCACTTGACGTAGTTCGTCTAGCCCACCACCAGTCGCCCTTCCGTTCATAAATGAGAATGCAGCACTTTGTGGAGAACCTCGGAGACTCTATTTATGCAAAAAATTCCATCAGAAAAAGTGACATTAATGGAAACAAATCATTTTAGAGAGACGCGTGAACACTTCTAAGAACCTGAGATACCCGTCCAAACAAAGATGTAGACATTGCCCGATGTCTCGAAGGAGGAATGCTACCGGCTTTCAGAGTGCGTTGAAGCAACATTAAAAGTGTGGCGGAATTGGATAACCAATAGCATAGTACATCGCTGTTTACTTGCAACTGCAAAGGTGTAAAATTGAGCATGAGACCCCACATGAAGCAGGAAAGAACATTTGCGTTGGTTTTGAAAGAACATCTAAACTACCTCGATCGCGGATGCTATCGTATCGATTATACGGTTAAAGATAGTGGTCCTTTCTACTTCAAAAGATCTCCAGTGTATCAGACACTTGTATATCAGACAGGCAGCAACAGGTTTGCCTTCAGAAAATCCTATATCTTCCGAAATAGACTTTAGTAGTAGCTCTTGATTCTCCTGCAAGATGGAAAAAAACCCCCGCATTTAATGCATAGTGACACAAAAACAGCCCCGCAAATTAAACATGTGACAAGGCTTCAAAGTGACAGCTACCTGCTGTTTCTGATTAAGCGATTTCTGAGGCCTATCATCAGTTTCAGGTTCCTGGAGAAATTCATCATGTATTAAATCTCCATCACTGTAAACGGTAGTTATATAAAGAGACCTTTTTCTATTGACATACCTGAACTTTTGTTTCTCCATTGGAGAAAGTTTTCCTCTCGGGAGTTCTCTGCAATTCCAAGGAAATACGAAAGACATTATATGCACGGTCAAAAAGTTCTATACAAAGACATAACCGGTGTCCACTAGTACCTGAAGTATGATACTTTTTGGTCTCAGGGCCAAAGCTCTGGAAGTTGGTGAGAGGGCAAGAGATTGTTGCCGGATTACCTTATTCTCTGACTCCAAGTTAGAGACCTTTTCTTGGAATCTAATTTGAAGGAAGGAAATACTTTGTTAGATCTCTTACTTTAGAGAAACAAATGAGCACTAAATGCAATAGCTGATACTAATCAAACATCTAAATGCATGAACTGAGAAAATAGAAGTTTATTAACCTTACATTACATGCATATATCAGAGAAACAGTTTCGTCATCAAGAAAAACAGTACAGGGGGGAATATATGTACACGGAAAATCGGTCTCATATGGAGAAACGAATACATCACAGAATCAGTTTTCCTAATGTTAACAAACCTCTGAACAGAATCTTGAAGCTCGTCTATTTTTCTTCCAGCATCGTCAAGTTTCTTACTTAATTCCTCATTTTGGACCAAGGCACTACAATAAGCCTGCTTTGCTTCATCTGCCTTCTGCGCTTCTGATGACAACAGTCCCTGCATCGTTAGGACGACGTCCAGATTTTAGATCAGTGGCATGAACAATTAAATATGGAGACTGACAACATAAAGCATTTACTTCTTAAATACTAAGACATTATTATTTAATTTACGCATCAGCATTCATGGCGCAGAAGCAATTAGGTCTTCAAAATAATTGGATATATATACATGTCAGTTCTTTACCTTTAGCTTCTCAATTTCGTTGCTCAAAGAATCGATCTTCTCTGTATCTTCAACAACAACAGGTTCCTTATTAACTTGACTTGCTTCTTCAATTGCTATTCGAGCCGCCTCCTGTTCCTTCAAGACCATTGCAGTAGCTTCTTTCAATTGTGACTGCATGGTATGCAAAGCCACTTGCAGCTTTGCAACTTCTTGCACCTTTGCCTCCTCAAGATCAGTCTGTTTATCAGTAAAAAGAAAATAATATAATCCAAATTTAGCAACTAATTAAGACTACAAATTAGTTTAACCTAAAGATATTTCCAAAAGAAGAATGGACATTTAAGTTACCCTTAATCGCTTCTCCAGTTGCAAACGCCAGGTAAGCTCTTCCACCCGCTTCTCCAATTTATCCTTAGCATCTTTAAGAGCACCGGTTTCTCTTGCAGCCTAAATAAATATAAGCATGAGAGTAAACAGCTGAATAAGGAAATTCATGCAATGAAATGTTTTAAAAGATAGAATCCAACCATTTTCAGCATTCTAAGCTCTCTTCTAGCAAGTCTGCATCTCCAGGCACATTGAGTGACTATTGCCGCCTTCTGAAGTCTTGTGTAATATGAGTATGCTTGGTGACCACGCCAATGAGCCTGAAAAGGGAAGATATAAGAATCTTTTATGCATCAAAGAGAACAAGTCACCAAAGTTTGCCTATTTCTGTCCTCTGGAAAAGGTTATATAGTTCCCTCTTTGCAATAAGGAAAATGTGATATACCTGAATCAAAATGGCGGATTTTGTTTGCCTTCTCAGCCTGAATTCATTACGTGCAATCATGGCCCTTAAGCCAGTCTGCAACACAATCGCGGATGATCTGATGGTGACAAAATATTTCCTGACGATGTAACGGCGGAAATTCTTCTGGAATCTTAGAGCTGCAGCTTCTATCTTCAGTTTTTTGTGTACACTCTGGGCAATCTCGCCTGCAATTAATATAGTATATACAACAACATTAAAGCTACCAGCCACCACCACCACCAATAACAAAGGAGACGAAATGAGCAAACAGGAAACAAGCAGCTTGTAAAGAAGAAAGGATTTTGCTCCAAATGATGAAAACGAAAGGAGGCAGTGAGAAAACAATGGGCACGCCCCAAAATTCTGAGTGAATAGCCTACACTACACCGTGGCCAAACCTCACTGACGAGCAGAAAATACCTCGTATGAAAGATTGCAATACAATTGCAGCATTGCGGATAGAACGGAATTTCTTTCTGGCGATGCATGTGCGGAATTGCCTCTGAATGACTCTGGCAGCATTTCCAAGCACCTCTGCTCTCCTAGCATCTAGTTCAGCCATCTGACCAGCTCGAAGGAAAATCTTTGTCTTTCCAACCTGGGAACAACATGGTAAAGTTACGTACGTGATCCTTGAACATAATACTGGTAATGTCGATAATAAGAACGATGGAAAGGAGATTTCATTCTTGTAGAAAAGGTTATGATCCCAGAGGATCATGACCACCTGGACAGAAAGAAGCAAGCCAGAATGGAAAAGCATATCACACCTGGTAGTCCTTCAGACCTTTCTTATCAAGAATCATTTCGCAAGCTACTTCATCATCGTAACTGTAAAAGAAGATATAATAGAACTATTTAGTACACTGATATTAATTACAACAAAAATGTTCTCATAGAGATGCGGAAACCTCAGATAGAGACTCACTTTCCGTCCAAAACTTCTGGCGCAAGGAGACCAAAACGCTCAAGAAAGTCATAGAAGGCAAGCCTTGTAGGATAGCCAGCGCAACTGATCCTAATGGCCTCGAGAACACCCTGCAAATGCAGCTAATTGTAATTATATGTGGAAGACATAGCAATTAATGATACTAAGCGTACAAAGAGATATTGTGTTGAACTACGTATGATGATCACATTCATAAAAGAGAATATTAATAAAAAGGACAGTGTATACAAGGCGTAGCAAGAGATGTAAATACACCAAGTAGATTGAGAAGGGACATCCTTACCCCACATCGCAATTGATGAATGACGTTGGAATTCTCGAAGATACCAGGTTTAAGAATATTGTTCGGCTTTATACATCTGATGTAATGAGGTTCTGTACCATTCAGTGTTTCCATCAGCGAGTGAAGTTGTTGCTGCAATATATATATAAGAAGTAAATATCAATAAACTTACTTTTAAAACTGGTAATGCATATTTAATAATTTTACATGTAATACCTTGAACCGCGTCCCAATGGAAGAAAATTTTGATGACCTGGATGAGTCTTCATGAAGCGCATGGAACAAACCCGCCACAAAGGAGCAGTTAGACGCAGCAAATAGCGCTTGATGTTCAGCAACTATATAATCCTTGTTCTTGTCGATAAAATGGTTTGATTGATACGTAACCTTGCAGATGTAGGAAACATATCAATAACACAAAGGTTCAAACTTCAATTTTATTGAGAGAAGGAAAAAATGATGAAGCAATAATGTACCTCTCCTGCATAATGTGATATTGTAAAATCAGTGCGAGAGAGCTTCGGTTTGGAAAATCTCTTGTGATTTTTGAACGTCTGGAACAACTTCTGGGAGAAGGTTTCATGTGTAGACTTGGGAAACATGCTGTGTTGAACCAACCAAGAAACATGAGTGGATAGTACTATGAGAAAGGCATACAATACAAGTCAATCTGAGAAAGATAAATCATACCAGGCTTCATCTAGAAGTGAAATTATCCCTCCTGGTTTCTGATAAAGACACGCAATTTCAACATAAGAAAAGGGAAATCATAACATAACTGTGCAGTAAACAAGATATCTGCTCCTAAACCCTAATATGGTTACCATCAAGCAATCAAATATCACAAACTGAAATGTAAGTCTAGTTATATTAAGGAGGAACATACCTTTTCAATTAAATCAAGAACATCTTGGTTATCAATAAACTCTATGTAGCTCCAATCGATCTCTTCTTTGCTGTACTCTTCCTGCTCCATCTTGAAAACATGCTGCAAAAGAGTGATACCAGAATAAGTACAAGCTACTTATCAAAACGCAAAGGGGCTGACCGATTAGGACGATAAAAAAACGACTAACCTCATTAAAATGCTGCTGCAGTTTTTCATTCGTGAAGTTGATGCAGAATTGCTCAAAGCTGTATTATAAGCCGTACAAGAAATCAACTACAACTTCGATTAAATAAATCTACTAGCTTTCCAGGGTTAGCAGTTTCCTTCCAACATCTTGACACACATTAAATGAAACTATATGTAATACCCACTATCACGAAACTTGACATCTAACTCTTGATTTCCTATTAAATTATAAGATGCAGCAGAAGAAAATATATAATTTTCAGTTGAAATAGCAGAGGATGAGAAAAGATTATCTTTCAAACAAAACAAGGTATTATAATTTTCAAAGCTATCCAAGCATGTCTACATTGATCTTCCCTGCACTCTTTGAGTGAAATGGAGTAAATGTGAAGGCAATAAATGTTCTACATAAAATATTACCTATTGCATTTGAAACTTTCGAACCCATAGATATCCAGAACTCCAATAATAGACTTTGACGTCGGGTCCTGCCCGATGGAAGTATTGATTTTATTCACAATCCTGTAAATGAAAGGATAAAATGAATTATATTTGTATATATAAATGCCAGACTGATATATGAAAGAAAGAATTTGGTTGAATAGCTTTACCAATCGAACAAGTGAGAATATATTGTCTTGGCCAGGGTATCCCTACTCGCAATTGCATTATCGGGATCAAGCGTTCTCGTGATAATCTCTTCAGGTGTAACCATCACACGCCTAATAAGAGCATCTTCTAGGCTCTGGGCGTTACACCTGTCAAAACCAATGCACAATCAGAGAACAGTTTTTACAACCAATAATCCACTGAACCCAAAAAAATAGACACAGAGTTTCAAATATAGTAAGAGAAGAAGGAGCATACATAAGTAGTTCTGCAGCCAAGTTAAGATGAAATCGGGAATTTTCATCCTTGATGACGGAGGAATCAATCTCTTCCCCCTTTCCAAAATCAATGTTACCAAGATGAAGAATCGCAGCAACCACCCTGAAGATTGCCTCCTGAAAAAATTACTTATAAATGTCAGACTCAAACATGAAAGTAGCAGAAAGGAAACATTAACATCTAAGTAACACATCAGTTTGAGGACCTGTTCTTCATTATTGATTCCAACTATATCCATAGCTCTTCTAGTTTCAAGGTATTCACTAGCATCATCAACACCATCCAGTTTATAACAACTTGACTGATTTAGATAATGGAATGACTGTGGGTTTCCCAGCTGGTACTTCTCTCTGTCCTGCAAGATAACCAAGAAAATAGAAAAAAAGAGTGAGTACGATAGGCATGGGATGAACATGCACATAATGTGTCAATTAGGAAAGAAAATTAAAAATGAGATACCTCTGGTGGAGCAGCACAAAGAAGGTAAAAGCAATGGTAGTTTCTTTCGGGATCTGAGATTTGGCAAACACGGGACCTCTCAAGCAGATAAGTCCTAATAGCTGCTCCAGATATCCTTCCATTCTTGTCAAATTGGATTTCAACAAATTTCCCAAAACGACTGCGAGGTGGTGCCATCAAGAAGAATGAAAACAACCAAACAATCATGAGTACAAGCTATATAAGGAACCAAGCATTTAATTTATCAATAAATCCTAGTGGTTAAAAAATTAGTGATGAATGCACCTCGAATTGTTGTTCCGTAAAGTTTTTGCATTGCCAAATGCTTCGAGAACCGGATTGGACTGCAAGATTTCAGTGGGGATATAAGCATTAAGTTGTGTACAGCCATAAATGTAATATTCCTCATAAACAGAAACAAACCTCTAAGACTTGCTGTTCAACTGTCCTTCCTTCTACACCAGACCTCCCTCCCAAAAAGGCAAGGTACCTCATGAGCATCTTTGTCGTCTCGGTTTTACCAGCACCACTTTCTCCACTAACCAAAATCGAGTTGCTTTTTCCTTCATTAATCATTGCCCTAAATATTGTACACCGTTACAAAATCAGCAAAGTATCTCACGAAATAAATAGAAGTATGATGAGAAATCTGGATGTGAACAAGCACAAACCTGTATGCAGCATCCCCGATTGCAAAAACATGAGGACTTAGTTCTCCAAGTGCAACCCTCTTATATTGTTCCATCATATCGGTTTCATAAATAGGCAGCCTTTGGAATGGATTAACTGCAATTAGGATATTCCCTGTATATGTCTGCAGTAGTAACACAAAAGCTTATTAGTATCATAGCTTAATTTAATTGACTACTTTTGCAGCTACTAAAAGTAAGAGATGCTGTAAGAAAAGGTGAAATTTCTTACATAGATTTCATTAAGTTCATATCTCGTCTCAAGGTTTTGTAAGACCCCGGGCTCATGCAAGTATGAGAGCTTTGTCATGTCATCAACACCTCCAGGTGGAGCTTCAGTATCCTTGGGAAAGTATACATTCGTCACAACCTGAAATCCATAGGACATGGGGAATATGTGAGGAGAACCATGGATCTATACTTGATGCTAAAGAACTTATCATGAAAATATGCCGTTGGTAACAGCGTACATAACGACAACTGATAAGCATGAGAAAAAAAACAATTTACTTTAAAGTCTCACACAGCAATTTACCACATTAAGTTGTTTCCCTATCACATGTAACGGTTTACTAGAAACAGCTCTGACAACACATATCAAGATAACTGCCAAATAAAAAGCTTTCAAGCTTTATATACTCCGTTCCATAATTCAACTAAACATGACATTCAATCAATACCTATAACTTCCTTTCTAGGTGCTTTCCTCTATTTAGTATGTTGTTTGGTTTTGATCAGAGGACTTACAGCACAACAACCTAAACCTACTTTCAATGCAGCAGGTAAAAACTAACGATCTAGGGTTATAACGGGACTATGACAGTATTCCATTCCAAATTCAGATGTAACTATTTTCAAAGTGTACAATTCATCAGCTCACTTAGTCCAACTCTATAGACTTCACCCACATGACGAGCTCAATCACACAAGTAACATAAAAGCAAGTCTCTAGAGGTTCAAGGCAATGGAAGCTTACGGTTTTCCCCTTGTTAGTTTGGACATGAACGTTTTCACCATCGATTCGAGTTACTTCTCCATGGATCCATGCTAAATGCGGATCTTCAACCCACACATGTGAGCCCACGATTATAACCGGAGCAGCCTGCGACCAAAGCATTTCATTTTAACAACATCAGCATCATTGCCACCATTTTGCAGCTTTAGGCAAAAGTTTTAAAAACGAGATTTTTGAAAAGATTTGAAAGTCGGAGTAAGAGCATGGCTCTCGAAAGAGAGATCTAGACATGGTCAAACCAAAATCTTCCACAGGTCAAAATTCAAGCGTAGATCGAGAATTGAAAGTTGAAAACAGAAAGAGAAAGGTAACGACATTAACGAAACAAACAAGTAGGGCCTTTTTTTTTGAATTTTCAAATAAACAACGGAAGAGGGAAGAGACCGAGAAAACTCGTTGAAACAAAAACGTGGTAGAGAGAGGTGAATTATTGTGTTGAATTTACCATTTCATAAGTAAATACAGAAAAAAGGGGGAAACCCAGATGAAATTGGAGCAGAATCTCCCTTTGATGTTCTACTTCCCCCAGAGTTTATGGTGTCCTCCTCTCAAGAGACTTGGAGTGTAAAGTACACAACTTTTCTCCGGGAATCTCTCGAAAGGAGAAGCCCTTTTGATTATCCGGGGAGGGAGGGATTATGAATCGGTGTCTGTATCCTCTCTCTCTCTCTCTCTCTCGTACGGTGGAGAGTTTCAAAAGCGTTTCGTTGGAGCTCCGTGTGCTTCAGCAATTTGGGGTTTTTGTATTGTCTGATAAGGATACTAGTGGGTCCCACGGTAGATTAGAAATGGACGGCATCGGTGAATCATACGTTATTCCAGATTAGATTTTAAAAAAAACTGTGAACTCTTGTCAGCTGTAAAAACTCTCCTGATTAAGAGAATTTGCATAAACCTTATCACCATATCACCATTGGTAGATTAAGAAAGAGTAAAATTGGGAGAAAAAAAAAATTCACAGGCTGTAAACGAACATTTCAGTGCTCTGAGTGTATATTAGGGGTAAATACATGTAATATATGGAAGAAGATTAAAAAAGTGGCCCATATGGTTATTACTATATTACTGGTGTGTGAGAAAATATAGAAAAAAATATAGTATAGAATCAGAGATTTTTTTCCTTACAAAGGTGTGGATTACTTTGAGAAATTAGAGCACAAAAAAAAAGGGAAAAACAAAAAGAAGAAAAAAAAACGTGAGCGGCAGGATTCGAACCTGCGCGGGCAAAGCCCACATGATTTCTAGTCATGCCCGATAACCACTCCGGCACGCCCACTTTTGATTACGTAATTGCTTTTTCATTAAATTATCCATATCTAACCACCACACAAACAGGCCCACAAAGTTCTTCTGTGACGAACCCTAAATAATACTTCGGGGATCTGTGAGGTAGCTAAGCACAACTGTGTACACTCTCAGAAGCTGCCCTTAACCATTAAGATCGAAACCAGTTGCAGAAATGGCAGCAGCTTTAGCTTCCAGACTCTCCAGAGGTTTGTATTCATCTCTTACGCCTTCATGTAGCTTAATATGTAAAGCTCAATTCTTCCGTATATCATTAGAATCTATGCGACACTGATTAGGAAAATGAGATTAAATATTTTTCTCCACTCTGGTGAAATCTGCTGCTAAAAAAATTAGATCTTTGAGAATATTAGAAAAGCTCTCAATTATTCTTGCTTTCACTTTCATCACCCACATTGCAATTCCTTCTTCACTTGACAGCTTTGAGTTGTTGTATTTGTACTCGCTTTTGCTGAAAGACTCTTTTTTTATATTATTATTATTGGTTCCGTTGTTTTGATTTGATTTCATCCACAATAGGACGTTCACTGCTTGGAGGTCTTAGCAATGCTTTCTCTGGTTTGATGAATTCCTCCAATGGAAACCTCCTCTCTCAGTCCCAGGTCAAATACTCTTGACGATAAATTATCAGACCTCTTGGTGAAACTTTCTATATTTTTAACATTGTAGAGAGAAATCCTGTGAATTGTGTGTGCGTGTACTGATGATTTCAAATCTGGTAGCAGCAACAAAGGACATTCATCCAAATGGGGACGATTCTCAAAGCCGTGGATAACTCGGGAGCAAAGGAAGTGATGTGCATTCAGTCCCTAAGGGGAAAGAAAGGAGCAAGGCTTGGCGATATCATCATCGGCTCGGTGAAAGATGCGACACCAAAAGGTAAAGTGAAGAAAGGGAAGGTCGTGTACGGTGTGGTTGTGCGCGCTGCGATGCAGAGAGGGCGTGTTGATGGAAGCCAAGTCAGGTTTGATGACAACGCGGTCGTTGTTGTGGGCATTAAGGACAAGAACAACAAGAACCCGGATGGTACCAAGAAAAAAATCGAGTACCACCAACCTATCGGTACCCGAGTGTTTGGTCCTGTCCCGCACGAGATGCGTCTCAGGAAACAGCTCAAGGTCCTTACTTTGGCTCATCACATTGTTTGAGACACTTTCACCACACTGACCCAACTAGTTATTATATCTCTTTAGTATGTATGCCACTTAAGTCCATGTCTATCCATCAGTTAAGGGTTCTGCTTAATTCAAACCATCTTTTGTTAGATTCTTAAGACTTCAGAGATCCCTATGTTTGTTAATTCTACATCTCAGGTTCGTTTTATAAACCAGTTTATATCAATATACCTTTTTCTGTTCAACTATAGCAAAAAGACAATACTACTACAACAAACAAGTGTTTATTATTTATATATATGAAGAAGAAGATAAATTACAGAAAAGTATTTAAGGTTAATGTGACATAAATTTCAATTACACTTGTCCTTAAGCCACATCTCCAATATTACAACATATCCATCTACTTTTCTTATAAGAAAACCCAAAATAAAAATTATAAGGAAAAAAAAAGATGAACATTTCTTCTTCTTCTATTCTTCTTATACATAACAGACATACACATTTAAGTCCATGAGAAAAAGGAATGGACTTTATAGCTATGCATTATCAAGGTCTTAATTCTTCTTCCCCCAGCATTTCATTTTCTTATTTTTTATGTAAGCTTTTGTGGAAATTATAAAAAATAATAAAATTATAATAGTGTAAGAGCTTGAGCGTACACTGTTTCAAGATCTGGTCTTAAACTTTCTTTGAGCTTTCAAGTCGACCACTATGATGGAGATATTGTCTTTGCTTCCCTTTTGAAGAGCGACTTTTGAGAGATAATCAGCCGCGGCTTGGCACGCGGGGTCTTCCCCTACACCTCTTTCAGCTAAAGGCAACGCTCCATTCTTCTTGTGCCACCATAAGATCCGTTTCCTTGCAAACTCGCAAGCATCTTGGTTACTCATTACGTCCCAAAGCCCATCACTGGCCAATATAAGACACTCGTCTTCTCTTGCTCGTGGCATAAACGTCACTTCGGGATCTGGTATTACATATGGCTCCAGATATTCGTCGCCTGATAAAGGTACACAGAAAATCATCTTTCAGGAGATCTGATGTGATTCTGCAGAGACTGTAAAAAGGTAGTAATTTGCTATTTTGACCTACCGATGGACCTGGACATGGCGAGAACACCAGAAACTCGAGCGCCTTGCCATTGTATAACTTTTCCTCCAGCTCTCTCTATTCTTGCATACTCATCCTCTCTATCTGGCTGCAAAAAGAGGGTAGAAAGTCTCATTAGCTCTGTATAATTGAGGAGTAAAGAAACTTTCTCAGATCGTGCTAGAATTAAAACACTACTGAAGGAAGGAAAAAGGAGGATTCTTTACTTTGTGATCAACTGATAAAGGCATGGATTCTTTGCCACGGAGTAGAACGGCTCTTGAATCACCACAGTTTGAGACTATTATATGCGACGAGCAAACCAAAGCAACCACAGCCGTTGATCCAACGGTCTCAGGGGAAACAGCCTCAAGAACCACCTTATCAGAAGAACCAACAACAGGTCTGTTGATTTTCCCTTTAACTTCAGCATCGACCTTGAGGTAACAATCGGCAAAGACTTTCTCCCACTGGACCTGCCTACCCTCACCAGTGTTCCTCTCGCACAACTCTTCTTTAATCCATTCGATTTCTTCAGCCAATGCAGAATGCATTCTATCATGACAATAGTCAGCAACCTGCAAGAATCCCATTTCCACCAAAGCCGTCATATATTACATAACAACCTGCAAAGAATCCCATTTCCAGCAAAACCCATATCATATATACATACAACCTACGACAACAAAACATAACTTCAAGGTCTTTCCCGGGTTCCTAGTGGTCAAACTCTCTACTGCTAAATTCAATGTTGAGTATTTTCGAATTACAGCATACCTGAGCGCCTCCGTGGCCATCGTATACACCGAAGAAGTGACTAGTGAGGTGTGTGAGACTTGGACTCATCCCTTCGTGGTCCCCCATAAGCATTTTAATGGGTATTTTCAGAAATTGAGGTAACGCTCTAACAGCATCCTCCATTTCGGGTCTTTCACCGCAAATTGAAACAGTGCCCCAAAGAGGTATACAATCTAGTTCGTAGACACTCCTGCTTCCTCTTGCTACATTGTGATTTTGTTGAGGCAACCTAATGACAACCTCTGAAGCTGCCACCTCCATATCCACATCGTGATTCAGACTCGTAATAAGGACCTCTGCTGCGGGAACTTGATCTATGGTTGTCTCGTTTAGGATAATCGCCGTAGCAAGAACTCTCCCACTATCTATTTCAGCTGTATCTGGCAAGCTTATTTCAGACCTAGCGTCCACAAGTATCAAGCCCTCGCTTATGATAGTCGCGTCAGATACTAATACCTCATCTTCTTCGGATTCTTGGACAGTTGCGCCAAAATCGCTAGCAGATGACAAGCTTGTCGCTTCGGATAAAGTTTTCTCTTCCGGTTCTTCTGAAACATCTTCCATCATATGTTCAACCACTCCATTGCTATAAATTTGATTCTTCTGATCGCCGAACATGTCAACTGCATCAGTCACATTCTCCAGCTCGGTTATATCCAAAGTCGATGAGATTCCAGATTCACACATCGTGTTGGCTAAACTCAGAGTCAGAGCAACTGCTGGTGATATGTCCTCCATGAGCTCCTACGCTGATTCCGCACCTTAACGGCTACAAATGGAGCAAAACGATTCCGTAATCTTCATCTTCTTCTTCGTCTTCTCTACGTCGTGTCTGATGATCTTCTGTGGTACCACATCCAATTCAGCTCTCCACAGCGACCCAAACGCCTTTTTTCACACTAACTTAGCTAAAAAGTAGTGAATCAAGGAGAAGTGCGTACCTCTTGGTGAACAGATCTGATGGATCTATGCGACGGATCCTCTGTATTTCGTGGAATTTTTTATCACTCCCCTAAGATCCTCTATAACTCTTGATCTCACCGAACCAGAAGGACCAGGCGCTCAATATTTCATCCAAACCCTAATTAGAAACCCCCAAATTTCAGCCTTTTATGCAAAGAGATGGCACAAAGCTCAGAACAAAAACAGAGGGTTCAGGTAAAATTGAAGAGCAAGGAAAACAACAGAGAGGATTTCATCAGCGACATGAATCACACATAAAGAAAACCCAAAAAAGTCGAACCCTTTATCTTTATCTTTCCCAAACGAAACATGGGTTCTCCTGGATCTAATGGTTTACCCAAAATAAAAAGGATAAACAGAATAAAAAGAGAAAATGAATAATTAGTTTTCCACGGAATCCCAAATTCTTTATGTGACAACGACCTTGATATTAACACGTTGATCCAATCAATTATAAAAACTGATTAAACTTTTATTATTTCTCGTTCTTCTATTCAATAATGGCAAGATAGATGCCGCGTGTCCTTTCCTCTAAAAGGTCAAGACTTTGCCAATTATTCCCAAAATCCTTTAATTTCACATATTAAGATAACTTAATCTTTACATAAAACACAGAAGAATTCTTCTGATTATACCACTTACAAGAATTTCGAGATAGAATTTTCCAAAAATACTTTGTAAAGATGGGTGGTCAACAAAAATTAAAAACTCGTCTTTTTTTTATTGCTCATTTAGACTGTTAAGCTGTTGGAAAGCCCCCTAAATTTAGCAAAGTGCAAACACCATTAAAAGTTTTAAATTTTTCCTAACAAACAAAACAGTTAAAATCTGTTTTCTCTCTTCTCCTCTTTTTGTCGTTCCCCATTTCATTTTCATTTGGTCTCCTTTTTTCCTTCCTTCTTAGAGGATAAACGTCTTTCTATGTTTTCTTGAGGAACAAGTTTCAGACATTTATCATCTCTTAAGGAGGAAAGAAGGATGGCTGCAAGAAGAGCTAAAGGAAAAGACAGCAAATCGCTTACCGCCATAGCCATTGATAAAGATAAGAACAGCCAACACGCTTTGAAATGGGCCGTTGAGAATATCGTCGTCGATTCTCCAAACTGTATCCTTCTCCATGTCCAAACTAAATTGAGTAATGCCACCACCATCATCATCATCATCTATATCATCATCATTCATCAAACAATCAATCTAATGAAAAATTCTTGAAACAGGAATTGGTGCAGGGGAGAACTCAGAAGCGCCACATGACAACAAAGAAGAGGCTCATCAGTTCTTCCTTCCCTTCAGAGGATTCTGCGCTCGAAAAGGGGTCAGAGATCAATCTCTCTCTTTCTCTTAATTAACAACAACAATCACACATGAATTATATATACAAGTCTGAGCTCATTATACATATATATGTTTTGATCAGATCATAGCAACGGAGGTTCTTCTTCACGATATTGACATCGCAAGTGCAATTGTTGACTACATCACCAATAACTCCATCGCAAACATAGTCCTTGGAGCCTCTGCGCGAAACTCCTTCCTCAGGTCTCTGTTTTTTTCTCTCATATAACCTAGTTTTTCAATCTCAAAGTTTTACTTCCGTTACAAGAATGCTTAAACTCTCTGTGATGGTCTTAATCAGGAAATTCAAGGGGGCAGATGTTCCAACGACTCTGCTTAAGACAACTCCAGATACATGTGCTGTCTTTATTGTGTCTAAAGGGAAGCTCTTAACAAGCAGATCAGCGAGTAGGACTCAGGCACCTCAACACTATCCTCAGCCTTCAAAACAATCCACACTCTCTACGATTTCTGATCCAGGCCCGACAAGCTCCTCTTCCAGTGAATCCGGAAGGTAATTTAGTTGGCATCCGGTTCGGTCTGGTGAATGATTACCGTTTTCAAAGGAATCATTGGTTTTTTACCATTCATGCAGATCATCTTCTGCATTAACCGGAGAGTTTTCTCCACCTACACCTCATTACAAGCCAAGTTTTAATAGGAGTTCTCCGGGAGAGCTTACCCATGAATTCTCTCCTAGAAGTCACAGTGGTGAATCAAACGCCAGTTTCTACAGCATCCTAGGACGATCCACCTATGGAGGAAGCTCGCAATCTTCCACATCCATGGTTAGTACTTAGTAATTTCTCATCACGTTTCAAATCGACGTTGTTGCCTCCAAGTTGCTTGGCGTTTTGACATTTTCTTTCTAATCTCTAGTCTGAGATAACAGAGGGAGAGGAAGGCTTATCTGGGGGAAATATCACTGAACAACAGGTAAAATAAACGTTTTAGAAACATGGATTTGGTGTTTTCGGGTATGCAGAATGTCAAGTGTAGGGTACTGAGATTTTGTTTTGTGTTCTTTGTGCATGAATATGCTCAGAATCAAAATCTTGAAGCAGAGGTGAGAAGATTAAGACTCGAATTGCAACAGTTCAATGTTTCCATGGGCAGAGAAAGTGTAAGATACTTACTTCCATCTGAACAAACGACGAAGTTTCCCTTTGAAAAACGTTCCAGAGATGTGTGACTAATATATCAGACACTGAATGAATGTTTGTAGGCCCCTCATCCTCAAGGACCTAGAGTTACCGCTGAATCTGAAAAGTTGCTTAGGGCACTGTCTGAGATGGATAACCAGCAATCACAGAGTGCGATCCACGCAACCGAAATGGCACAACGTCTTGCGGAAATGGAGAAGCAGAAGAGAAGACTTGTGGAGATGCAGGCCAGGTTCAATGAACAGACGATGGCCAATAGCGTATCCTACAGACGATACAGCATCAGAGATGTCGAAGGTGCAACCGACGGTTTTTCGGATGCCCTAAAGATTGGGGAAGGAGGGTATGGACCTGTGTATAGAGCCGTTCTTGAAAACACTTCTGTTGCCATCAAAATCTTGAAGTCAGATGTCTCACAAGGCCTTAAGCAGTTCCATCAAGAGGTAATAAGATAACTTTGGCCATCATCCTTATATATTGCATGTTTTCTCCATACTAATTACACTTTCTTTTTCTCCTCACAAGGTTGAGGTTCTGAGTTGCATGAGACACCCTAACATGGTGATCCTCCTCGGTGCTTGTCCCGAGTATGGCTGCCTTGTGTATGAGTATATGGAAAATGGAACACTAGAAGATCGTCTCTTCTGCAAAGACAATACTCCACCATTATCATGGAGAGCACGGTTCAGAATCGCTGCTGAGATTGCCACAGGGCTGCTTTTCCTTCACCAGGCCAAGCCTGAGCCACTAGTACATCGAGATCTGAAGCCAGCAAACATTCTGCTGGACAGACATCTCAATAGCAAAATCAGTGACGTCGGTTTAGCTCGGTTGGTACCTCCCGCTGTTGCTGATAGCTTCACTAACTATCACATGACTGCTGCAGCCGGTAACCTTTAAACCAAGCCAAATCTAAATCTTTCCTTGTCCTTTTGATATGTCCTTACATGGAGCAATTGGTGAAACAGGTACATTTTGTTACATTGACCCCGAGTACCAGCAAACGGGAATGCTTGGAGTGAAGTCTGACTTGTACTCATTCGGTGTGGTGCTTCTGCAAATCCTCACGGCGATGCCAGCAATGGGTTTAAGCCATAGAGTAGAGAAAGCGATTGAGAAAAACAGTCTCGGAGAAGTTTTGGACCCGAAAATATCAGACTGGCCTGAAGAAGAGACGTTGGTGATAGCTCAATTGGCGTTGCAGTGCTGCGAGCTGCGGAAAAAGGACAGACCTGATCTTGCTACCGTTCTGTTGCCTGCACTGAGCAAGTTAAGAGAGGTTGCAGCAGAAGATCATGAAGCACATAACTCGGTTTCTCTTTCCCCAGTATATTCCTCTCAGGTTGGTTTCTTAGAGAACCCGCAATAACAGATTTCTAATCATCATCTGAAAAAAGGAATAATATATATTATCTGCTTATGTAGACAGAGGATGATGCACTGACGAAGTCTTATTGACAAAAAAAAAAATAAAAAAAAATTGGAACTTCGACGTAGATCAAAGCTAAGCGACGTTGGCTATCTCTGAGATCCGCAATGAAGTTGCTCAGTTTAAGCATCCGATGCCATCCCCCATACCTATCAGAAGAAGGCGATCACTGTGATCATAAATTAAGCCAGTGCCAATAAAGTTTTTGTTGATCTTTGAATGATTTGTTTTCCACCTAAAGTTCAATGTTGATCTCCCATAGTGTTGGAGTTCTTGTTTTGTATATGGAACACTTGTATTTTTTTGGTCTCATGAAAAGAAACGCTTTTATTATGGAAGAGCTCTCTCGTCTTTGCAAAATCAAGTCAACGAATAACCGCATATTGAAATTTGAGAGTAGAATCTTCCTTGAATGGGGACGAGATTGTTGGTCAAAATAGTTGCAAAGAAAGAAGATGATGCTAAAGTATTGACACACAAATATCATCTCAAAACCAGACAATAAAGCCTTCGACATTGGTCCCGAACAATCTTGTAGTGTTAACACTCTTATCTATAGACTCTGTTCAAAGATGTTAGGAACGGAGAATGAAAGCCTTTTCACCTTTGAGTCAATCTCTGATAACAACATACACTTTTTTTGGACGAGTGAAAAAGAGGTACGACACTGCAATCTCAGTCTCATGATATAACAAAAGCGAGCATGATTATAAACAAGAACTCATGGAGATTCAAAGATACCAAGCGGTACCATCATCATTATATATATATAAAAAGGTTCACAGGTTAAAATTTATGCTATATGAAATCGAGAATTCTACCCTAGAAACCACTAAAAGCTCTGATTTTTAATGATTCCCATATGGCTGCTTGCCTCTAAAGATCACTGAGGTTCTTCATATGTGAGCATACCGCTTGAAAACCTGCTTCCCCGCCACAACCGCACCAGCCGCTATTCCTCCGAGAGCACCAGCCACAGCCGCAGATCTCACCCCTCTCGCTGCCCTAAAGACAGCTCCGGTTCCGAGACCAGCCACCACGCTCGTCCAGACATCGTCCCTGTCCGTAAGCGCCACAACGCCACTCTCAATCCCTGCGTAGATCAACCCAACAATCCCGATTTTATTTCCCCAGGACCGGCCCGCCTGACCAGACGAATTCAGCATCCTGTTGATTTTCAGCTTGGTCGTGTCTCCATACTCGAAGCTCTTGACACCGGAGAAGATCCCGGCTGCAGCGCCGGCTACAGAGCCACCGAGATAGCCCGTCCCCGTGTAGAACGTGAGGTTCTCTCCCCAACTTCGACGCTGTTTGAGGGACTCTTCCGTGAAGAGGAATTCGGGAGAAGTAGGAAGCTTGTAAAGATACTGAGCTTTGATCGGGAGCTCGTAGTTCTGGTAAGGATTGTAAAGACGCGTGTTTTGGTCGGATCCGTGATCGTCGGAGCTATGATTGGTCGCCATTAGAGGATGACCGAAGGGGTTTCGGGGTGGTGGCGACAGCGAAAGAGACGACGGAGTTGGAGAAAGCTTATGAATTTTTTTTTTTATGATGTGATGCAGAATGGCGAGTTTTGTTAGGGTTCTTAAGATTTTGTGACTAATTCGAATTCGACCCCTGATTTTATTTATTATCATAATTTAACCCAAAAATCTTTTTTTTAAAGTTGGTTCCAATTTAGACACCATAGTTTCCAAACGTTTACACATTGTGCATCTCAAATTGCAAAACTGACCTTAAGAACCACTTTGGAGATTGAGTGAGAGATCTTCACAAAATATATACAAAAATAAAAAAAGATTTTGTTTGGATTTGGAAATAATCTTGGGAGGAAAAAAAGGCAGCAGTTTTCGGCGGAAGAAGGACGGCCGATATATAATTACATCGATTGCGTTTGTACATACACAAACGAAAGGCGATAACAGAAGCGGAGAGATGGGAAACCAGAAGCTTAAATGGACGGCGGAGGAGGAGGACGCGTTGCTCGCCGGTGTTAAGCAGCACGGCCCCGGAAAGTGGAAGAATATCCTCCGCGATCCTAACTTCGCTGATCAGCTCTCTAATCGCTCCAATATCGACCTCAAGGTCTTTATTTTCTTCTTCTCATTTACCTCTCTTTGCTGCTATTGTTCGATCATAGAAAAAATTTGTAGCACAGCGGAAATTAACTGTTGTAACTGGGTGCGTCGAATTAAGTGCGATTTGTTACTTATACTCTCTGGAAATTGACTATTTATGCGTCAATAGTTTAGTGGATTTGTTGATAAGTATTAGTTCCCAGACGAAAGATCAAAGCTTTTCTCGATTTTGAGTATCTTGAGGGTTTTGGACTCTGGTGAGTCAAATCGACAGATTGTCTGCTCTGTTTCTTCAGCAGCATCTGAGATTCAAGAATTGAGTCAAATTATATATTTTGTTGTCTATGCTCGCTTCCTGCTTATTAATCTTTCTGCTGTCCCGAGGGAAGGTATTGATCTTACCAGAGATCGAGCTGGTTGATTCGCTATAATTGCATCTTGTAATCGAGAGAGGAACACAAATTATTAGACCTAAAGAAAGTGTCTTTGAGAGGAGGGAAACTATTGTGTTCTTTTTCTTTCACCTTGTCGGGATTTGAAAATTACTAGTGTCTCCATTATTGCTAACCTATGACCAATCTTAACCATCCGATGTTTCATGTTTTTGTAGGATAAATGGCGTAACTTGAGTGTTGCCCCTGACATTCAAGGCTCAAAGGATAAGACACGGACACCAAAAGTGAAAGCTGCTGCCTTTGAACTGGCTGCCATTGCAGCTGCCGCTACCAATACTTCATCTCCTACTGCTATCTCTTCTCCGGTTGCTCCCATTCTCCGTAGTGTATCTTCTGATGTGAGCAATGATGATAACTGTAACGTTGTGGTTGATGCAAAGAATGCTCCCAGGTTTGTTTCTCTTTTTATCCTTCTTCTTCTCTGAGCAAAGACTTACATCTTTGTTAATTCTTAAGTGCTGGAAATTGCTAGCCTTCTTGCACTGTTTCGCTTCTAATGAGCAACTATTTTATTAAGGTATGATGGGATGATATTCGAAGCTCTTTCAGCGTTGCCGGATGCTAATGGATCTGATGTCAGTGCAATTTTCAACTTCATCGAGGTCAGACATATTTTTCCGTGCTCTTTATCCTGCATTTGTCAATCAAGGAACTTATCTATACCGCGAGCTGCTTAATTCAGTAATGCTGAAAGCAATGAGTAGTATCTATACCAAACTTATCTTGGACTCTGAACAAACTGCCCAATCACTGTACCTTTCAAAAGATGAAAATAAACCATTGGTTTTAGCTACTTTTGCGGATCAAAAGATTTAAATTACTTGACTCAACTCTATTCATCCGTTTCTTCTCACAGCTTTGTTGTTAATTGTATAATCATAGTTATTGCATTCCACTATGATTATCTAAAAGTATTTACCATAGCTCTATTAGGTTCAGTATCCATTATTGTCTTAGCAGCTGACCTGTATGGATCAAGCTCATGATAATGGTCTGGTTTAAATTTACAGCAAAAAAAACATGAAGTGCCACCAAATTTTAGAAGGATCCTGGGTTCAAGACTGAGGAGGCTTGCTGCTCAGGGCAAACTTGAAAAGGTTAGCCAGTTAAAATCAGGAGTAAGTCTTGAAAGCCTTGCTTGAATAAGAGCGCCAAAAAATTTAAGCTTTCTTGATCTGTGTTGTTTCCTCATGCCTGGTTTTTGTATGTTTTGCTAATCTCAACAATGCGACAACAGACGCAGAACTTCTATAAGATGAATGCGAATAGCTTGGTGATAAGAACGCCAGCTGTAGCGAGGCCAAAAGAGGCCAACGTGAAACCCCGGCAGACAAACAGTCCACGGGTCGCGGTTTCTCAGGAGATTTTTGCTGAAGCTTCAATAACCGCAGCTTTTAAGCTCGTGGAGGTAGACGTTTTATCAGATGTGGTGGAAGTAGCTTCAGAAGAGAGAGAAAGAACCATCAGACTGGCAGAAGAAGCTGAGGCTATTCTGGAGCTAGCGAACTGGCTGCACGAAGAATGTAAACAATTAAGAAAAAAACCATGACACTAGTCTCAGTGTTCCATCTCTACACATGTTTAGGACTACTGGTGTCTGATATTTTTCGGACTTGTTTTGTTGCAGGCTGTCAGGGAAAGATTGTGGAATTGGCTTGAGGTTTTGACGGGACAAAAGAAGCAGCACAGGGTCTTTGGAGTTTCACTGTTTCAGTAGACTTGTTCTGGTATATATACTAATAGTAATAGGCTATTAGCTTTTCATTCTCTTGTTTCTTCAGGAATTTGTTTGGACGAAAATAACATTTTTGTTTTTTTTTTCATTCATCATAAAAATAGGTAGCTGAGTAATAATTAATGAAAACTGGAATTTATGGTGTGGTTGGAAAGGACCGTAATATTTTTTGCTCTCATCTTTTTCTTTACTTTTTAACCGTATTTGACAGTCTTACACTTGCAAGTTGCAACTAATGCCGAGAACCACTTGGCATCTGAGAATTAGCAATTTTATACTATTAGTTTTTATTGTAAATGAAGAAAGAAAACTAAAGCTTGGTTAATGGTTTAATGGATTGCATCGAGTTGGTTCGGGTTAACACAGTTTACAATTTCGCATCTGCCATCAAACCGACGGAGTAAATGGTAAGGACAGCATCGGTTTGTAACTCTTGAGCTTCACGCAAATAAAATCATACTAGTACGAAATTATAATTAGATACCCTTATATTTTTACTAATTTCGATAGATAGCACTGAATTTAATATAATAGTTTGGTGAAAATTGGTACAGGTTAAAAATTACGCGGTTAAATTGGATCCGAATAAACAAAAGTGGTAGGGATTAGGGCATAAGAGTATTTTTCATTCAAGAATTTTCTCATAATACGAAGGAGAGAGAGATTGAGAGATTCCATAGTCGTGCTTGTCCATGGCGATCAAAGCGGGAAAGGTTTTGAGAACGGCGACGGCTGCTGCGAGGAAGCTCCAACATAAGCAGTTCTCAGCCGCACAGTCGGCGTCTCCAGCCACAGCGCCGGTGACTCCGTCTTCCGGTGTAGGAACATTTCTGGGTATTCCCGAGCTTCCTCGTTCCAACGTCGATATATTGATCTCCAAGTACATCAGACTCGCCCAGGTAAAAAAAACAACAAATGCACCATAATTTAAGATCGTTAATCGGAATAAAGGATTTTGGTTTGAAGTAGCACACCACCTGTTCGATGAAATTTCTCTGAGAGCAATGAATTGAAATGTCCAAATTGCCTGTTTCTGTAGAATCGGTTGACGAAGAAGGGTGAATTCACAGAGGAGAAGCTAACGACAATGTTGTCTGGTACTGTCGGGATCAATGAGACGGTCCAGTTACTAGAGGGCCGCAAAACTGGCGGAGCTTTTTCTACCAAGTCACCCAACGTTCTATCCATTGCCAAGCCCAAGAAGAAGAAATGATTCCTCTGTTTCATCACGAGTTTGAACCAAGTTTTTGCATTTCTATTTCAACAAGTTTGTGTTTTTATTGGATTTCAACAAGTTTCTGAATACACTGTTGTTGTTATCAACTGTATCAAACATTCTTTGAATCAGAAACAAAAACAATCAATAACCATGGAAAAAGTATGTTTCCGTCACAAACTACCCTTTGGGTTTATGTCAGATCACAGTGAGAAAGATCTAAGAGTGTGGAACAAAGGAAGATTACTTTTTTGGTCCCTATGTATGCACAAAAAAAACCTATGTATAGTTCCCAAACATCAGTCAGCTATTTTCACAAGCTCACACAACAGCACCAAGAGCTGTCTCCATTCCGATTCAAAATCAAGCGCCCACCTCCACTGATGAACCTGATACTGTCTTGTTTCTACAGGTTGAAAAAATCTTCAAGAATAATCAAAAGCCCCTCTGAAGCTACAGTGATCTTGGGGACATTGTATCTTGCGCTGAACACTGTGACATATTTGACTGTTTCTTGTTAAGCTTTGACCGTAGATGTCTGATTTTCGCGTCAACTCTTGCTGTGAACCCGATCTTTGTCTTCTCCCGTGCTTTGGTACGCTCTCGACTCCACATCCTTCTGTCCTCCACATCTCTCTTGTAGTATTTGATCTCTTGAATGATGTGATGATCCAATGGATTTAAGAATCTCTGGAAGGATATGTGGGCAAAGTAAGGCAGAACCGTGGTCACTGTGACCAAGAATGTGGCTACCCAATATATGGGTGCAGGAGCAAGAATCTCAGCTAGAATTTTGTAGATGTTGCCTGAAAGACTCGGAGGCATCATACCGTAGAGCGCAACAAACAGATACCATAAACCAATGCTTCCCCAGATCAAGACGTGTTGGATCCAAGTGAAGTGGCTCATCGTTAAAGCGATTTGCACATTCACTGCCCATACAATGCAAGTGAACATGGTAGTGCCAACAGCATCCATGTCAGCGGTTTCGCCACTGACTCTGAAAGCTTGCTCATAAATGACTCCAATGTTGAGGAAGAATATCACAAGCGAGGAGTACACGCCATTTCCCATCCACCCGAGGATTCTATACCAGTCAAAGAACAGATTTTTCTTCCCTTGTTGGTATAACGCAGGAAACTGCAGAACAGAGAAATATTCAGAGGAGTTTAAGGTTTGATGACATCTCACAGCAGAGAGATTAAACCTTACCTGCAAGCAAATCTCAGAGGAAACATCTTGTTCAAAGACTCCAAGGGCAATCACTGGCAATGAGGTAAGTACGACGTTGAAGAGCAATAGGTAGTAGTCATTATACACCGATTGCCCAGAAAACCCGGTGAAAGCCTCAAAATAGAAGAGTGTGAGACCAAATGCTATGTTTTTGTAGAAGAAATAACAGATCTGGATGCAGAACAATATATCTGTTAGAAACACAAAGCCTGAAAGAGTAGAATAGGATGCATAGAATTAGAGTATAATTACCATTTGAGCTATTCTTTTATAGCACCAGTGTCCATGAACAACGAGTAACCTTTCCAGAAACCGGAACTGAGCAATAGAAAAATCACTTGCCATAACAGCCTGCAGAAGAATTGATAATCAGTAACAACAAAAAAAAAAGACATTTGTTACAAATTTGGACACGAAAATACATTCTACACTAACCTGCATTCCTTCAACCCCACTAATGCCAACACCTATGTCAGCTTCTTGAATCATTCCAACATCATTTGCGCCATCACCTATTGCCAATGTGGTTTTCCCTGTTCCCTCTTTAACCAACCTTGTTACCTTGTTTTGGGAAAAAAAAAACGAATTAGAAACAAACAAAACATTAGAGGCAAAAGAAACTCATAAAGCCGAGATGTTCAGATCAGAGAAGGGGCGAAAATACCAAAGCTTTCTGCTTGGGAGAGACACGACAGCAAATGACTGACGCACAATCGACCGCCAAAGCGAGAAACTGAAACTTCATCTCATCCTCCAATGCATACGTTAGAGTTTTCCCATCGATGATCAAAGCAAAAGCAGCATGTGGATCTTTCTCTAGCTTCACCATTTGTATGGCTTTGGTGATTTGATTCAAAATATTATCCTTCACAGCCTGATTACATCAACAGACATATCAGTTTAAACTTCAAACTGTAGATAAGAGAGAAATCACTCTACAATATTGAGAAATACCTTTGATTCTTGGGATCCTCCTTCAGAATTCATCACAGTTATACATATCTGTTTCATGCCTTGCCGAAGTAAACTACACGAATATCTGCAGTTCAGAACAAAAGAGTAAACTGGTCAAAGAACTTCAAAGATAAATGAATCTAAATCCTATCGTAGTCGTTCTAACCCAATGTTGATTGCTGTTTCCATCTTATCGCCAGTTAAAACCCATAATTTGAGGCCAGCTTGGGCAAGCTTATCTATGCACTGGGGCACCTAAGTCAAATGAAAAATGCAAACTCAATTTTACATAAAACAAGATGGAGGAGAGATGTAACTAAACTGTCTTGTCTGATATATGTATACCCCTTTCTGGAGTTTGTCTTCCACAGCAGTTGCGCCTATAAGAATAAGGTCTTTTTCGATCATATCCGATATCCTCTCAAGCAACTCATCTCTGTCAGATCCTATAGTAGTTTTGGCCTTGTGGAACTCAGCGTTCCAAGCTGAATATTCATCCTCATCAAGCTTTCTGTACGATAGTGCAAGAGTACGGAGCCCGGCTTCTCCATATTCATTTAAATGCTTAGTGGTAGGTACCAAGTATGTTTTTCCATTTTTCGCCAGTCGTTCAAAAATGATACTGCAAACATTTCATAAGAACTGCTTGAAATTTATGTGACGATACAAAAAAATCAAACAGAATGTATAATCCTAGCTTTTCCATCTAACCTGTCAGCTCCTTTGCATAGCAGAAGAACCTGCCCTTCCTCGTCACGTACAACTACTGACATTCGCTTCCGTTTGCTAGTGAAGTCCAACAAATTCAGAACTTTATACTCCCTGCATTGTTTCTGGCACAGATTCAGGATGTGTGCTTAAAACCAATAATCAAAGAATAGGTCTCTCTAAGGAGTCTCACCTTTCAATAGTTTGCCCTGAAGAAGACAACCTTTCATGGACATAAACACTTGATTGGGTTCTCTTATAGAACTCAAAACCAAACTCACTCGCAGCAGTAAGAAAAGAAGCTTCATCTGGTGACTCTGCTTCATACGTGTACTTGCCAGTCTCCTCGTTAAGCTCTGGAATAGCTGTGTGACAGATAGCCAATACGCGAAAGAACATCAATATGTCATTTGTATGTGGCTCTCTCAACCAGTTCCCATTCATCAGCCGAATATCCTCAAAACCAAACCCTTTTATAGGAACTCTAGGATTAACCTCAGCTCCATGGTTACTGCTAGTTTCCACCTCAATCTCATGAGCACGCGCCCTTGGAGTACTTGTCCTACTTGATACTTCTCCGTGATCGTCAAGATCAACAGCCATTTGCTGTGCAGCAGCTACTTCCACTTCGCTGGAACGCACTCCATAAGAAGTGCCAGCGATTGAGCATTTCAGAAAATCCATCTGATTACAAGTCAAAGTTCCCGTTTTATCAGAAAGGATGGTATCAACCTGTCCTAGCTCTTCGTTTAGATTCGATGTGCGCGCGTGTGCTGGAACCCCACTCTCACTGTCATACATCTGTAGATCTTTGTTGATGAAAGTTGCTTGCAGGACTTTGACAACCTCAATAGAGACATAGAGAGAGATTGGTATCAAGTATCCGTAGAGCAAGAGGGCAGTGATCAGATGGACAACTCCGGCATAAACAGGGCTACTGGGATTGGTTAAGGGCTCAGGCTCCTCAGGTGCTAAGTACCACATTTTCGGCATGTGAAACTTTGTCTCCCAAGCAAACCCGGATGAACTTATGCAAGATATCAAAATAAGTAGGACGAGAAGCGTGTAGATGATATAGTCCATCGTCTTCTCGACCCTGCTCCGTTTCGAAGGTGAGCTTGTTGAGTTCTGCATCACTTTAGTATCATGCCCTGTGAATACCACCACTCCGTAGATATAAGGCGTGTTCCTAAGCTTCGAGTCTCTTAACAGAATCTGGCTTGGATCCAGAGGAAATATCTGCCTCTCATACTCAAGATTGCCAACAAACGTGTAGAGGTTCGGGTTTGGATCTTCGCATCTTATCGTCGCCGTGAAATTCTTGAAAGATTCGTCGTCATCAAGCGGCAACGTTGCTTCCAACGACCTTTTCACTTTCAAGTTGGTCTCGCCATCTAGATTCATAGTTTCAACGTAACAAATCCCATCCTCGTAGCTCGAAGACAACAAGAGAAGATCAGCAGGGAAGAACCCGTCTTTCTCCACTTTCACAATATCCCCAACACTAATCTTCTTCCACTTCCTGCGACGAAACTCGCCGTCGCTTTTATGAACGTAAGCTTTCCTTGCATTGATCTTCACGTCTTGCATAAACCTACTCCAGTCTTCGAGAGCCTCTTTTAACATACTGAGCCCGACAACAAACACGAGTGGAGCGATCATGCTCCATTTGTTGAACGGAGAAAGAGGGAACACCGAGAGGATCGCAGCTACCAAGAAGTAGAAATTGGCGGCGCGGTGAAACTGTTCGTAGAGCGATTTGGGGAAGAAAGTGATGAGGTTGTACCTCGTGGTAGAGACATAGTTAGAACGATATCGCAGAGGCTTCTTCTTGTGCATGTGAGGCTGGTTACAGAAGACGGTCCTGCTGAATCCTGGGCCTTGGATTGGATGAGGGTCATGACCCTCGTCTGCACTTGGCCTAAGACATCCAAATGTGTATATATGGCTCAGTCTCAGCTTTGATCTTATCCTACCTCTTGCCATTCCCTCAAGCGACAGATACAGAATCTTTGCTCAACAACTCTTCTTCTTCATCAAGAACCTCAAATGGTGCTCAACGTCTCATGTGCCCTGTAAATGCTGGTCTGTGGAGAAGATTAAACCCAATACACAATTAGATTTTGCATAACATAAAGATTCGATCTTTACATTGATAGAAGAAACATAAAGTCCATACATTTGAAAAGAGAAAACTCGAAAGCGTATGATACAACATTGGGTTGGGTCAGTAATCTCGAATCTGTATGAGGAGTAAAACTAAGTTAGCTCCAGTGTTATCAGATTTAACGGACCAACTGAATCGAGTAACATTTTGAATTGGAAATCTACCAAGAACCCCGGAAAGGAGAACCAAAAAAACTGAAACTTTAATTTCAATCTCATTTGCTTCTTTTTCTTACGAGGAAAGAGAGAATCGATAAATCTCTGAAAATTCCGACAGAGAACGATAGAGCAATATGTGATGAAAAGAAGGAGACGCAGTAATCAGCTGCAAAACAAAACAGAAGCTAGTAAAGATCTTCAAACCGAGCAACAAGTCAAGTACATCATCAGAGAACTGAAGATCTTGGTCGGAGAAAACAGCCAAATCTGAGTAGAGGCAAGGGAATTACCGATGAGAGAGAGACGGAATCCAACTGGTAACAGGACGAATCAACATAAACTCATTTCAGCAAGAAGCTGATTATGAGCCGAGAATTTGACGGCAATGGCAGATCAAGACGCGAGAAAAAATGAAGCAACTTTCTCTCTCTCTCAAATTATTTGAATTTCTCAAAGTTTTCGACAGAGAGACGGTGGGTTTTAGAGAAAGACACAGATTTATTCTCTGAATGATTTTCACTCTCGTTTTCTTTTCTTGCGAAGGGTGAAAACCTGAACCAGTGTAAGGATCTTTCGGGGTTGCTTCTTCTTCTTCCTCTTCTTCTTCTTCTCTCTCTGTGTCTCTTCGACTATGATCTCTCTAATTAACGAGAATTTTTAGTATTTGTTGTTTGACTAATAGTAGTATTATGTTGTAGATACACTACCATTAATCTACCAAAAACCAAAAGGTCACCATTGCACTTATAAAGTAAATAATGATCAACAAATTGTAATTAGCTGAAAAAGATAATACAGTTTGCAGATTGTAAATGCTATAAATCGTGATCAACTGGACTGAATTTGAATACTTATTTGCTTTTTCTTTTTAAAATTAATAATTATATAAAAAAATAAATGTAAATGGACTGGTTGTGTTTTTTTCCATTCAATTAATTGAATCACTCTTTGATTGGTCAAACAATCAAACAGAAAACACTTGTTCCACTCGTTTTTGTGCAAGTAAAAAGTTCTTCTTGATGTATTTTATTTCAGTAAATGCCGACAACTCTTTTTCAATTGGTTCAGAAAGCTTTTGTAGTATTTATTTATTTATCTACAATTCAATAATTAAGAGTTCTTGGCAAAATTATAAGATTGTTTTACCATTTCCTCCTAGAGAAAGAGTGTTGCTTTTAGTTTTGATATTTTAGGTTAATCAATTCACGAATTAGACTAAGTATCAATTTAGCCTTGAAATATGATGACGTGTCAGAAACTCTTTTTCTTTTACGAAGCGAGATCGCGGGGGAGTGGATTGAACCAATCCGCACCGTTTTAATACTTTGAATGGTCACATGGGGCTCATCTGTTAAATCGCGTATATAATAATAATACTATATTAAATCTCTCTTCATTAGTCTAATCTCTCTTAAAAAGATTTCATGAAATATACCATTTATAAGCCTTACAACAGTCTTTAAAAAGCATGTTGTGTACGAATACGATGAGATGTGAGTACAACTATGTCATGCATGATGCATCGGTCGACGTCAGTTCCGGTTCTCTTTAAAGAGTCTACTTCTTAATAAATTTTTTAATAAAATGGAAAACAGATTATATGAATGTCATTTTGTGAACATCAGTAATTACTAATTATACATGATTAATCTCAAATTAGATTACCCGTGGATGTTTCGTTTATTGGTTACATGTTTTTTTTTTTTTTTTTTGAGGGATCAGATTTGGTTACATGTTTATTATACGCATATATATATATATATGGTGTCTTCTTTTTCTGGTCCCAAATCTATATTTTAAAAATACAATTATATGAAAGTATGATGATAGATGGAGACATGACATTGCCTGGTGTGACATCCAAACAAATTGAATGAAGAAATAGTAAAAGACTGCCACTTGGCTCGAAATACCACTATTCCGCATGTTTATACTCTCAATCTTTTGTCTATAATTTTTTCTTCTTATTTTGCTAAAGGCATCTATATATATATATATATATATATAGTAATTTGATCTTTTATCCTTCAATAAAACGTAAGGAGAAAAAAACATATAAGTAAGAAGATGAAAGAAAGGAATTTCGAGATCTATATGATTTCCTTATAACAAATATGTATAATGTTTATACGTCAAAGTGAATGGTAATTTTTAACTTAATTATAAGTTTATAAACTAATGAAGAGTGAGAGGTTCATACAAATATTTGTATATAATATAAGTAAACTTAGGTTGGAAGGATAATCACATGGGATCACTCCCATGATTCCATGGACCTTTATCGAGTTTTTCGCCGGTCCACTTTGTACTTGCTTTCCCCGTGCACCATATTGACCTACTTTGCTCTATTTTACTACTTGTTCGGCCCTACTTTCAAATACTAATATGCTTCTTATAATTATATAACAACCTTTCGTGTAACAAATTAAAATTAGTATCTTCTAAATATGTAACCAAACGAGAAAATAAAATAATCAATACATGGAGAACAATGTAGTAGTAATTGTAAACGAAATATTAGTGTCGCAATGGCGCCGAGAGATTTATAATTAAGGAGATAATTGCTCTTTCACCTATTAACTATCACCTCAGTCGTTGATTTGTTTGACTTTTCAGAGAGATCATTTAGAGTCAACAAAATCGAACGGCCAGATTTAAAAACGTGAGACGAGATGGTAGTGGGACCCACATAGAGGCCTCCCATAACTATTTACCATTTAAGGCATTTGTTTTGTTCAATTTGTAAGTTGGATGTATAATTTTATTTGGATACGTTATATACATTTCAACTTTCATATGGGTGTGTCGCATTGGGATCATAACGTGACAAAACAGAAGGGACATTCATATAATTGAAGATTTGGAGGACTTTTCTATTAGATTTTATTTAACGAAGAATTTATTTGATATGCCATTATAAAATTACTTAACACAGCGCGCCACAAGTAAAAAACAAGGTCGTTAGGTCCAACCTCTATAAATTGCAATGCGGAAATTTAAACTTTATATTCATATGAATTCAAATTTCAGCATTACAACTAATATATAATGTTATAAACTTTCACAATACAGCATATATCGGAGTACTTTTTAGTGCATTTGAAGATCTAATTTAGTTTGTTGGATAGTCAAGTTGGAAAAAAGATCATTGCACACTCGCACTCATCATTATAATTTGGAAGAAAAAAAAGGAGCTTATGGGCCAAATTTCTTTTAGATAAATGTGATAATGGTGACAATTGTTGACTTTGTTTAGTTGATTGTGAGGGGAATGTTCAAATATCCAAAAACACATGCAGAAAGCAAAAAAAAACATCACATTGACATGACAAGAGCATTAAGACAAATCTAACAGAGACAAAAACAAAACAAAAAGATGTGTTTAGTTTTTGGTATTTTGCCATATTAAAAGTCTCTGTGTCACTCTCGTCTCTTTTGCTTTCCAACACCAAAGTTTAAAACGATTGGACGTATTGTTGACTTGAATTATTACGACGTGCTTGCTTTTGGTGTCTGTGTTTTTTCTTTTTTCTTGCTTTAGTCGTGTGTTTTACGTTGGAATTATTACAGTCGATGAAAACTGTAATTAGGATAATGAAGTGTGAAAGTGTCATTATTTTTCTTTTTTCTTTTTTTTGTCAACATTATTTTTCTTTTATTTATCAGTTTATACTTTATACCATACACCTATAGAAAAATATGATAAATAATTTAATCAGATGATACTTTGAAAAAAGGAGATGGGGATTTCCATATTTAATAGGTAAGTTGTAAAGGGAGTGACTAATAGAAAAACAATGAAGTAATCTATTTTACATATAAGTATCAAAAGCTTTCACATCTTGATATTATTAACGATAAACAATGATGTCAAGATTATGACAACATACCAAGAGTCAGGCATATTTAGTGCCTTGGAGGAGTCAAACTTCTACCGGTTCCATAATAAGAAAAAATGTGATTTGACAAATATATTCGACTTCAGTTGATAATGTTAAAAAATGACGTGATTATAATGGCAATCGCACACTTACATTTTCAATATCGGCCCACGAGTTTTTGTGGAATGAGTAACGAACGAGAGTTTACACATGTCTTGCATATGTGATATGTTCCTTCTGAACGTTGGGATCATCACTGACGTCATTTTTGTTGGATCATGTGTGTCAAGACTTCATTAGAGATCATGTGTGTGCGTACGAACATGTCTAATCATTTTTATTTGTAGAGAAGTACAGCAAGATGCGTGAAACTCGATCAAAAGTCTTAAAGTTGTGTGGATTTTTTTTTTTTTTTTAAAATGAAACCTGTTGAAAAGATCAAATGGCAGACACAAAATTCTAACGTACATGTATTTTTTAATATAGTGAATTGATATACAAATATTAGCAAATATCATTGTAGATATAGGTTGGTTACACACTAGCTTGAAAACAATTGGGAATAGCCAAGTCCAAGACCAGGAATGATGAAACAACTTTGGACCAGAAAAGATCGATCTTTCCTGTAAAAATTTCAATAAGAATCACTTTCATCTTGTTCTTCGATTGGCTGCGCGATGGGATTAAGATATTACCGAAAATTCCTCACATTAGTTATTGCAGGAGCATATCAGAAACAGCTTTAATAGTTTTGTCTCAAAGATAATAATAGTTCTGTCAAGAATCATAAAGTCGTGTCTTTATTAAGGAAATGGTTGGTTACATAGTTTGTGTCCGGATCTTAGGGAACAAGACGAGATAAAATGATAGTATGATTTTATTTCACTTGTCAGAACTTTTTCTAGGAGTAACAGCGTCGACAATGGCTTCCATCTCCTCCTTCATACGTTCGATGACACCAGGTCCTTTCACATCATCAACCTTTGTCTTCTCATCAATGTCTTCACTTCTTCCATGAGTCTCTTCTTCATGAAACATTGATTGTTTCTCTTCTTTACTGCTTCCAATCACATTCGTCTTCTCCTCTGGAAAAAAACCAAAAATTCAGAAACGATCAATGAAATTAGAAACAGAGTTCTCTGTATCTCTACATTAACCATCTTTTTACAGAAACCCTAACAACCCATAAGCTTCGTGATTTGGTCACATATAGAGAAACCCTAAATTCGATCAATCCAATAGAAGAAGCTCTACGGGGTTAAATAAGCCAAATCAGATAGCCGATGAAACATAAAAGAAACACTCAATCCGTGAAATTGATGAGATATTTGGTGTTACCAGAAAGAGAGCTTTGTTTTGGTTCCGCCATGGATGATCTTCCTGGTTGCTGCTTTGATCTTCTTTTTGGGTATCTGAATCTATCTAGACCAAATGTATTGGGGGTAAGAGATGAACAGACGTGTACTAGTATGAGCCGTCCGATCTAATAACAGATGAACGAGTAGATCGAACCGATACTTCACGGTTACTGTGGAACCCGTCTCGACCCGACCCGACCTGACACTTGGAAGATACGTGTCCGATAAACTTATGGGGTTGAAATTAAGAGATATAAAGAATATAGGGGTTTTAACAAAACAAAACAAAAAAGAGAAAATATAAAGTTTTACCGTTATTTTAAAGAAATTACTTTCGTTCCCCAAAATTTCAAAATTCAAACGTTCTCCCCCTCCCACCCTTTCTTCTTTTTAACACTGCGAACTTTTGTCCACATCAATCACACAACCAATTCCCAGAAACAAATAGATCCAACTTCCCAATATCCACAGTCCTAAAAGCTTCGAAATTGTGAATCGATAGCTTCTGAAGTTCTGATTTTGGTGGAGTGAACGAACGAAGGTTTCGATTTGAGCAGATGGGTGGGTCAGGAAATTGGCTTAAATCACTTATATCTCACAGAAAACCCGTCGATGATCAGGTGATCTAATAAAAAACCTTGATCTCTTGAATGTTTTGGAATCTCTATTCTCTTTTCTACTCCACCAAACATTTGTGAATCTGAATTGCAGCAGGATAAGTTAAGTGAAAAGAGCAGCAAGAAGAAATGGAAGCTGTGGAGGATTTCATCGGAGAGCTTCACATCTTCTTCCTCCAAGGATAGTTTTCTCAACAGGCGAGGAAGCTATGGACTTTCTTCGTTAGGCTCAGATCCACCGTCCTTCTCCGCCGACGAGGCTTTCACTGTGGCCATGGCCGCTCTCATTCGAGCTCCTCCCAAGGATTTCTTGATTGTTAAGCGAGAATGGGCTTCAACCAGAATCCAGGCTGCTTTTCGTGCTTTCCTGGTATCCCCATTGTTGACTCATTTAGCTGCTGATTGTGATTTAGCCATTTCCAGTCATGTTTTGTCTGATCCTATCAGCTAAAAAAGCTCTCTGCGTTTGATTTCTCTTTCAGGCAAGACAGGCGTTTAGAGCTTTGAAGGCTGTTGTGAGAATTCAGGCAATATTTCGCGGGAGACAAGTTCGAAAACAAGCAGCCGTTACACTCAGGTGTATGCAAGCTCTAGTTCGTGTTCAGTCTCGTGTAAGAGCTCATCGCAGAGCGCCTTCAGAGTCTACTGAACTAAAAGATCCTACAAAGCAGACAGAGGTAAAGATTCAATCGAAAACCGGGAAGACTCGGGAGTTTTGAGTAAGCCTATTGAACACTAATAATATGCGACTCTGGTTGATATATTTTTATAGAAAGGATGGTGTGGTAGCTCCAGGAGTATTAAGGAAGTGAAAACAAAGTTACAAATGAAACAAGAAGGAGCTATTAAGAGGGAAAGAGCTATGGTTTATGCTCTCACACATCAGGTTGGTTTATGTACTTTCAGAACGGAGAGATCTCAAGAATTTTTCGCTGACTATAATAATCTCTGAATGAGTTCGTTTTGGTTGTTTTGGCAGTCGAGGACGTGTCCAAGTCCAAACCCAAACGGAAGAGCAATTAAGCATCATGGTTCGCGCAAGAGCAGTCCTGGTTGGAACTGGTTTGAAGATGTTGGGACATATTCGAGGAAAAGTAGTGAGGGCAGTGTATTGTCTGAACATGACACTGTAAATGTCAGGAAGAACAATCTTACTTCAACTAGAGTTCTTGCTAGACCTCCTCTTCTTCTTCCTCCTGTTTCGTCCGTTACGAGTTCTGATTCTTTACAGGATGAGACATCAACCTCATCAACATCTCAATCACCAGTTGCATTCTCCGGCAGTGTTCTTGAAAGTGGAGGGTACTATCGAAAGCCGAGCTACATGAGCCTGACACAATCTACTCAAGCCAAGCAGAGACAATCAGGATCATCTTGCAATGGAGACGCAAGACGCGGTGCTGGTTCAGACCAATGCACCGATCTATACCCACCGGGGATAGTAACTGGAAGACATGTCTGGGCCAAGAGCCAGCGAAGCTAAAAGAGCGAGCCATGATGAATGATTATTAGCAAGTCATTTTCAACAGCCTGTTGGTCTCTCTTTCTGTCTTGTTTCAGGAACGGTTCCTGTGAAACATATACACGACCTGTAGATACAGAAACAGCTTCTGTGTACCGTTTACATATAAGAACGTTGATAAGAGTTATTTGAGCTTGAAGTGTTTGGCTACTTAGGCCCCACTAAGCAGTAACTTGGAATCTGAGTTGATTTTGTTCCTCCTTGTTTGTTACACCTTCTCTATGAATGCATTTCATTGTTTACTTAAATCTTTCAATAAGTAAAGGCAGACTTGTCAAAAAAAAAAACTCATAATTATGAAAAATGTTAAATAGGAATTTATAATTCGATTTTGTTTTCTTAAGTAAATGGTTCGAAACTTATATTGTGTGAGAAGGCAAAAATGATTCAGATACAACATAGTAAATCTTACTCAGGTCACAGTCATGACTCAGGTCAAGTCATCCATGACTGTGATGGTGAATATGGGTGTATGGGGATCACTCACTGATCAGCTAAGCTTATTGCTTAAGAGGAGCTTTCTTCTCTCGGTCTGCAATTCTAGCAGGGGCGTTTGAGTGTGACTTGAACCGGCCTCTTCCTCCTTCGTCTCTCTCCTAAAGATTCCAGAATCAGCAGTATAAGTTTAGCTAAACTCATCATGGAACGGAGATCAAATCCCATAGATTTGTGCGACTAGTCTATGTTAATTGAAATTATTTCGTTTATGTACCTTTTTCTTGACGACCTGAACAACATCTTCGTCTTCCAAATGTTGGGAAAGACCACAATTCTGAGGATTGTGCCTTGCACTTGTGCCCCACACAAGAGCATACTTCATATCCTTCACTAGAGTCCTGTGGACGTGGTTACAGAAGTCTTCAACTGTGCAGCCACCTCGATCCTGATGAACCACACAAGTTTTTCAAAGATGAATATCATTGGTATATACAACTTTCAAGGGTATCTTGCAATAAGACACACTTACAGAAGAGAGGACAAAAGGCTCATCGAAATCTGGTTGCTGTCCTTGAGGCTTCGAGTAAACTCTCACAAGGGCCATTTCGTCCCACATCCTTGCAAGTAGTCTGTCTAAGTTTAGCTGATTCAAGCAACACAATCATTCACCGTTAGAGCAGCAGTGTATATTAAAAAATCCACAAACGTCATAGAATGCAAAAGGAAACTAGAACGTGACTGAATTATAGTTTTCAGCATTTGATTTCCTTGCAGACCTAAAGATTGATCTTTTCAATGTTATAATGTTATAACTTGCCTTTAGATTGCAGCTAATAACAATGGAATTTGGCTGCCGTGCTAGTCTATCCACATCATCAATTCCAACAACATCTATTTTGTTGTAGACATAAACACACTTAATATATTTGCGGTTGCCTTCAATGACATCGATGAAGTCATCCACTGTGGCATTCTCCCGAAATAGTATCTGCAATACTCACCAGTAAATTCATTTAGACGTCTGTCAGCAAAGCAGAAACTACCATAATAAGACTATTAAACTACTCACAAATATCTGTAATAATTCACAATTCTACTGGTAACACTCGAGTAAGGCAAGAAAAGCCAAGGAAGCTTGTCTGAGGCTGAACAGTTGCAAGATTAAAGTTGGAATCTCATACCTCAGCATTGTGAATCTTGTATTCATGCAGGATTTGATAACAGAGTTTCTCATCAATGTGAGTCAAGGGTGCTGTAGTGTTGAAAGAGATTCCACCAGTCTTTTTCTTTTTAAAGTATATCTGTTGAGCGGAGAACACAAAGAAAGGAAAAAAACAAAATCATCCAGGGGACAAGAAGTCAAGTTTCTTAATGGAGCACATCAAAGTATATCACAAATAATTTAAACGTCTAAGTATGAGATGTTCATCTGTAATTTGACACGGTTGATAAGACGAGCTTAACCTGTGGAGGCTTTTTGTTAAGCCGCAAGCCCACTGCCTCAAGTTCCTTGGTCAGAATTTGCCTGTGGCCTTCACTCTTAACAATTTTTACAAGAGCAATAAATAATAAGATTAATAAATGAGAGCAGCAAGAGAACCAAATAGCAATTCACATGGACAGCAAAACCGTAACTCACCTTTGAGGCATCAAGAACCATCAGTACAAGGTCAGAAGACTTTGCAACAGCAATAACCTGAGAAACAAGTAGTCACAATCAAACTTCGAATCATCCTGGTCATATTTTTCTGACTGGCGAGAAACTTAAGAACTGGACATAAATCTTTTAGCTTGAGCACCCAAAATAAAATCAAGAAAAGCAAGTGATTTGGATTTTCAACCTGCCTTCCTCGCCCCTTTCCTTCCGAAGCACCTTCAATAATCCCAGGAAGATCGAGAAGCTGGATCTTTGTGTCATTGTAGTGAATGACTCCAGGGATGCAGGTAAGTGTTGTAAATTCATACGAGGCTGCTTCAGAATGTGTACCAGTCAACATTGTCAAAAGCGTGGACTTTCCGACACTGCAAAGTACAACAACTTTCATCAGTATCTCCTAACCCAAGCCTGCAAATTCTAAACGAGCAACATATTTTTACAAGATACTCGTAAATGTATCTTTTTGTGAGTATAAGTATCTAAGACATTCGACCTTGGAAATCCAATTAGTGCAACACGTCCATGACCATACTTGGTAACTTCAAAACCTTCCCCGCCTCCACTAGCACCCTGTCAAAGGAATTCGAAAGACGATTACAAACAAAAAGCAGAAATGAGAAAAATATTTGAAAATTCTACTTCAGGTACACGCAGCATACATTTGTAGATATGGTCACATAGAAGGAGATTCCTCAGTAGATTATATCCCTAAATAGAAAAGCTAAGGAGACGACTACACAGTCTATTTCAGCTGTGAACACACAGCAACAGAAGACAAAACTACAACGATATCCCAAGTAAGAAAGGAAAAACCACTGAGATATATATATATATATATATATATATAGAGAGAGAGAGAGAGAGAGAGAGAGAGAATTAAGAGCAAAGGGAAGTGGTTTAGTCTTTTATTAAGGTTTTGCATTACCTTTGGAGGCTCCAACAGTTGTGTCCTGAGCTTTGCAATCTTTGCCTTAAGCTGACCCAGATGATACTCTGTCCATTAGTTAGAACATTATCAATTAGCTTCTGCTTATTTTCGGAAATCAGAAAAGGAGAATAGCAGCAGCAACAGAAACTTAGTATATATCGTTTCAAGAATCTAATTTCAGACTTGTAAGGATGAACCACATGAAACTGATGTTCTATATGTAAAGAAAACCTGTGGCTTTATTCTTCTGGGTCCGAGCCATCTCGGCCTCGATTTCTTTAATCCTTTCGATGATCCCCATTGTGCTTCAGTTTTTATCTGCTACTCTCACTGGAGAGAAGAAGGGACGAAGATTTTGAGTTATAGACTCAGAATCAGAAACATAACGACAGTCTGAGAGTTCACAGATTACAATATATAAACCTAAGCATTTTATCAATAAATCAAAGGGAACAGTTCAGGCTGGCAATTTAGGAGCTAAAACAACCCCAAGAATATCATCCATAGGCATATAAAGCTTTTAGATTGATATTTTGCTCAAATTAGCATAAACAAAATTAATAATTTCATCAAAAAATTGGTTTAAAAGGAGAAATCCCAGCTCTTTACGACAATTGTCTAATCGAGCTAAAACATATGTCGGGACAGCGATTTGGCCACATGAATTCCATCAAACAAGCTTGAAATGCAGGCACACATAGATATATGCGAGTTAAACATAAATAAACAAGCTCGAAGATTTGATGTGCGACTCACAGTGGAATTGGTGAATGCGATCTCCGGAGAAGAGAGAGAGAGAGAGAGAGAGAGAGAGTTAGAAGAGCACGCCCGTACAAAGAGCAATAGGGCGTACAAAAGATTTATGGGCCCATTTTTGTCGTAAAAAGGCCCATTTTCCCGTTTGATCAACGTCCGTATTACTGCTGTCGAGAAAAAAAAACAATTTAATTAACATGTCGATAGAAAAAAACAGTTAATAGTTATGAATTTGTAAAAAATCTTAAGTGAATCACGAATTAAATAAACACATTTTTTGAAATTAATTATGCTAATATCTTAATTAATAAATCTAAATTCTCTAAACGGTTTCTAAAAGATTTGATCTAAAATCACAAATAATTAAAATTTAACACAAAAGATAAGTGGTAAACAAAATTTAGAGATTTTAGATTTTAGATTTAAAATTTCTGATGGTACTCTAATACAAAAATACAAAGACCTTAAAATTAAGAACCACAAAATAGAGAGAGAGAGAGAGAGAGAGAAACTTGCTACAAGAAACCGTTTCTTGATTCCTTCACCCTTCTACCATCGTTTGCCGGTGAAACCAGTGATTGCTTCTGAGCAAGCTCTCTAACCTGCAACAGAACCTGACTAGGAATAACCGTCGACCCGTATTTCTTCAGGCTTCCCTGCAAAAACACAACCATTCTTTCACCGGTTACACCCAAGTTACAGTTACATTCTGTTTGTAGGTTAAAACCATGTGTAAGGTGTTAACCATTCTCTTTGAAGGATTCTGAGAAAAGCTTGCTTTCAGTAGATTTCGCCATTTGTCCTGTCAGAAGAGACACTTGTAAGTTGAAGAAAAAAAATTACAAAGAAGATTAAGAATATAGAAGAAGAGAGAGTTTAATAGTTAAGTTGAAGCAACCTTGAGATCCACTGAGGTACGATACGCGAATGACGAAAATGAAAGCCTTTTGATCTCAGACCATTTCCCAACTCCATATTTGGACACACCTTCCACTAGTTTTATAACTTCAGAGACGGTCCAAGCTCGATGATGCTTCCTTCTACTTACACTTCGCATGACTGGTCGATCAACGCGATCATTATCATCATCCGAGCTATCTCCAGATGAACAGTCTATATGCTCTGCCTCCATGGCGTCTTGAGCCACCTCAGAGAGATTAGGTCTTGCAAAGTCCTTGTCGCTCTGATGATTAATAGCTAACTGCATTTGCGAACCAAGAACGCAATGAGCAACTGTATCATACCAGGAATCAAACCCATTCAATAGATCCAGTATAACTTCAAGAGAGTCCAAGCTCAAAGATGCTTCTTCAAATTTCGAGAATTTTTACGTTGATAGATAGAATCACAATATATGGATTATGTATTGGCAAAGGTCTCTCCATCATAGTTGATGAAGCTATAGAAATTATAAAGTGATCTTACTTCTTTCTGGCCAGGTCCAGGCACAGACTTGACACCTGAAACTCGGTTCACGTCATAGTTCAACTGAGATAGCCTTAGATTCAGCTTACTCTCTTCTGGAGTACCTTTCACCTTCCAAGAACTGGAATGAAATTCCTACAAAATGTTCAGATAATCTGCGTTATCCTCAATTAAATTGACAGCACCAAAGAGAAATTAAAAGATCTTTTCTTGCTTAATTCTATTAAAAGTGTGTGACAATACGAATAGATCTAGCACAGGTTCTATAAGTGGAAAGCTTTTGATAGCTCATAGGAAAGGTATGGAGTTAGTAAGGATATTGAGTAGCAAAGAGAAATACCCCAAGAGCCGTTATGTTTTCCCTCGGACGGCTTCTCCTCACGTGAGAAACATAGGGAACCTGGATTCTGGAACCAGCAAGGGATACCATCCTGGTGACAACAACTCTCCCTCCTGAAGAAACGGCGCTAAGAGACTTATCATCTTTTGAAGGTACCAGTGACTCGTTACTTTGCTGTTTTTCATCGACTTCTGAAACTTCTTCAATATATCTCCTTGTAGGCTTTCTAACTCTCTTCGCAGATTCACCTTCAAAATCTTCATTTCCAGAATAATGGTCCACAAAAATTTCAACAGGACTATCCCCAAAATCATTTGAATGTCCCTTTATGCAATCAGGACTAGATGGTGTATCATTGCAGTTGTTAGCCCTTCCTTCATCAACCGTATCATTGCAAAAAGCACCAATAGTATCATTATTGTTATTTTGGCCTCCACCAATCAGTTTGTTATCATTAACTTCCAGGCTAGTTGCTGGAATAACACAAGAATTAATCAGTCCCATCGTGATCCTTCTTTTGAGCCATCGTTTGTCCTTGCAAGTAGTTTCACGACCAAACGTGGCTCTGAATGTTTCTTGCAACGCTTTAATCGAAAGGTTATTCAAGCATGTTTTGCCTGAGTCTCTAGAAAATCCAGGTTTTGGGGCAGCAGTTGCTTCAGGACTACCTGTAACATTTGAGTATGGTGACGCATCCATAGATTGATCCATACTGCATCCATTTGATGAAGAACGAATAGGTTCCTGCAGCAAAACTTCGGATTGGACTAGTTCCTCGTTCCCAGGCAACTCATTGGAACTTTGATAGTTGGTATCCGGAAGAGTAAAAAGCATCTGAGAACCATACATCAACTCCTCTTTAGACTGCAAAAGTTTCAAAGGTGCGGATTAGAAGGCCATCTGATCACATATAGTAAACAAAGGAGAAACAATATCAGAAAGTTCTGTTTCTAGAATTTGAAGAAAGAGTACATACCTCAAGTCGAGGATTCAATTTTTCTGTATATACTTCTGCAGTTTCCGACTGATACAGGCCTGGATTCAATAACAGAGTTACAACCAAGTGATGATTGCATATTAAGAAACACAATGCAAGTAATTTAATAAATGCTTGGAATGATTGAGACCGAACCTTCTAAACTTTCTAGCTGCAGAAACTGAGAAGGTGACCCTTCATCGGGAGTCTGTCCAGGATCTGGTACAGTAGACGTATCATTCTCGTTGTTCCGAAGCAAGTACTCGACCTCCAACAGTTCTTCATCGGTTGCAGGAACTAGTCTCCCATCTCGTCCAACCTAAATGGATTCACATAACCAACCTCAAATTAAGATACTGAAAGGCTAAAACTTGCAATGGCATTAGTCAGAATTCTCAATCACAAACATTCATGTTTCCTGTTTCCATAACTCTTGTCTTTGACTTGAGATACACATACCCGAACAAGCTTGTACACAACAGGATTTCCAATTTGAGTTGTTGAAGAAAGTGATGCGCCTCCTGTCTGAACAATAGTGTCTTGAAACATCTCTCCACAGTCTTCCACGGAACCAAACATTGTTCCCATAGATTAAATCTACCAAATGCCAACTTCAAACGTACAAACTGAAATCACAAAAGAAAAGTAATTAGCAAATAAACCTACTCTGCTCAGTATATTTTTCAAGCAGATACTCAGAATTCTACTACCTCCCTTAGAAACCTCTAAGAGAGAAACAAAAATAATTAATCTTCAAACTATAAATAAAACAAAAAGATTTCAAATTTGAGCTAACTTTTTTTTCAAATTCCAATGTTGCATCCTCACAGTCAAGCTTTTTGGTAGGTTCTACTCAGTTTAACACGTAATACGATAAATCAAACAACCATAATTCTGAATTTTACGAGAATAGATATATCAAAAACAAGTTACGAGAACAGCAGAGAAATCCAGTGACGAGTACGGCAGAGAGTTACCAGAGCAGTAACGGAGAGAAAGATTAAACTCTCCAGTGAACTCGAATCGTCGGAGACTGAGTCATGGTTTCATTGAGCTACTAGTTTTCGTCGGAGAAGGACTAAGCATAAATGTTTGGAAAATTTGGAAAATTTTGTGTTCTGCTTTTTTTTGGCTCGCTTTCGGCTTTTTGCCCTACCCAGTACAGGTCCGGATTCCAAAGCTTTTTATCAACTCGGTTCTACAATGCCAATTGGGATCCGCATAGTTTTGCGGGAAGCTCCGAGATGCTTCCACGTCAGTAATTAACGAAATATCTGCCGAAAAAGAGCGAACTACGTTCCGTCCCGACTCTCGTGCACTATAACTGCGTGCCGTCTAACACTTCCGGATCTGGATTACGTGGCGTGTTAAAGTTCAAAAGACTGCTGCACCCGTGTAAATTTTACGCATGGTTTTAGAAACATAGGCTATACACAATGATAACAATGGAGAAACCAAAGTGAGAAGAAAAAGTCAAAAACAATCATAAACTGAAATGTGTAAACTTTACATCAAGTTTCTTCAATTTGGTCCAAGAACTGGAGTTTTCAAAGTAAACCAGACAAATAAGTAAGAAAGAGCTCTCTTAATCTGAAAATCATCGTATTTAGCTATCATTTCAACAGAGATATTACAGTAGTAAAAACACTCTCCTCCTTCCTCCTCAATCAATTAGCTCCGAGTCTTGAATATATGATGAATCTAAAGATGATCAACTTTTGGTGGTTCTCGGTTATATACTAACCGGATCTAAATCTCTTCTGGTTAGCTTTCCCATCAGATTTCAGGGTTCCACTGGATTCACCTTCAGATGAAGCATCCATTGATCTCGCGAAAGAGTGAGAGAGATCACCGTAGAGGCTAGCTACTCTTCTGATATTGTTGTTCAGCTCTTTAATCAGACCCACGTTTCGTCCCAAGTTATCGGGTTGTTTCGACTCATGGTTCTGATTGATCTCGTTGATCAATAGCCGGTTCTGGTCTAAAATGTCTTGAACATCCACAAAGCTTTTCTGGAAACTCTGCAGCAATTTCCCGTCCACATTGTGTCTCTCTCCAAATCCTGAAAACACATCCCCTTCCATTCTCGGTTTATCGTCCAAGATGAGAATCTTTTATTCCTGTAAAATGCTACATCAGTACAAAGCATAGAAACAAACTAGGCCAAGAAAAGAATTCAATTTACATGAAAGATGTATCTTTTCGGGAAAACGTTGACCAGATAAGAGTTACACAGTTTATCCTTCATGCGTTGACCTGACTCTCTAACCTCTGATACCACATAAGATTCAATTATTAACGACTTTTCCAGTTAAAATCCAATCTCGAAACCATCAATTTCAGACAAGATCCCAACACGATTCAGTCTGAAAAAGTCATGAATCGAGTATAGTTGGCAAAAAAAAACACAATGTTTTGTTCTTATGAGTCAAGGGGAAAGAGATCTATAAAAGAAGAAGTAAAGGCTGAACCAGAAATAGCCTTAAGCGAGATAAACATAAAAGTAAGAAACAGATTCAGAAAAGATTCGCAACCCACAATAATTCAATAGACCCAGAAAAACCAAGCAAATGCATATCTATAAGCAATACGCCCTAACCAAAGCCAAAATTGAAAAGAGTTCCGATCCAGTTTCCTTACCTTCGGAACCCGAAAGAACAAAAAAAGCTCCGATGACAGATAGCAGCAGACAGAAATTGAGATTATTCTTCTTTACCGATAATTTATAGTGACAACAATTATTGGGTACTGTGAAAATGAAAAAAAAGAAGGAATCTACTTGTTTTTCTGTAGGCAAAACAGTTTGAGACAGAGATATTAGAGCGACCTATTGTTCTATTTTTGACCCCTTTTAAAAAAAAAAATTAATCTTTTCTAGCTTGTACTTACTCTGAATCTCACTTTTGCAGAGATACGGAGGTTAGAGAAGCCAGACATCTGGATCGAACATATTTGACCCGATATATGAAACCCGGTCCGTAAAATATTCGTGCTGTTGTTTGCGTCTAGTTCAGTTGAACAGCATGTCGCTGACAGGGGAATTAAAACGGCACGTAGTTAAACGGGAACAAATGCGTGATATGAACAAACGGGAACAGCATGTCTACTGACTGAGGGCATTATCGTCATTCGTTCTTCTCACCCTAGGGCTAGTATATAAACTTAAAAAAATCACCCCGTAATTATTTTATTGTTCGCAGTCTTTGAGATCGATCCCGTCACCAAGAACTCAAATTGTCTTTTTTTTTTCTTTCTCTCGACCGTCCTCTGATCCCGCCATCATCGCCAAATCTATAAATTCCCAAAAACCTCTCCGGCGAGATTTTCCGTGTCGCCGGTAATTCGGCTGACTATTTTACCGGCGGATGATTTTCCGTTGACCTAACCTACCGGAGTACGGTGAGATGGACTCGATTGTTTGCACAGCACTGGAGGAAATCTGTTGTCAGGGAAATACAGGGATCCCTCTTGTTTCTCTCTGGTCACGGCTCTCTCCTCCTCCTCTCTCTACTTCCGTAAAAGCTCATGTCTGGAGAAATCTGCTATCGATCCCTCAGCTCCAGTTCAAGGCGAAGAACACTGTGTACGGACCATCGGATGCTTCGATTCAACAGCTGGAAGAGGCTCAGGGGCTCGATTTGAGGATCATCGCGAATGAGAAGCTCCGAGGTAACTTCGTTGGCCTGTACGATGCTCAGTCCAATAACACGACTATTTCCGCAGTTCAACTTCGCCTTCTCGAGCGGCTGGCTGTTGCTCGGTAAGTCAATTGTGTGGAAATTTCAGCTTACTCCTTTAATATGTTGCGATTACTGTAACGATACGGTCCTACTGTTGATGCAGAGCCAATGGAGGTGCGCAAAATCTGCTTGCTAAAGAGTTTGGCATCGAAGGGAGGAACTTCTTTTATATAATTAAGCAACTTGAGTCTCGAGGTTTGATTGTTAAGCACCCTGCAATCGTAAGAACCAAGGAAGTTGATGGTGAAGGGGATTCTAAAACCACCTCATGCATCACCACCAACATGATTTACTTAAGCCGTTACGCCAAGCCTTTGGGTTCGCAGCAGAGGTTTGAAATTTGTAAAGAGGACCCTATGCTGGAGACACCGATGAATGAGCATGAGGATACTGCCGCCGGAGATAATCTACAATCTGAGAGTACTAAAGAGGATACGCTCATTAAAGATTTTCTACCAGCAATGCAGGTGATCTGTGATAAGCTTGAAGAAGCTAACGAGAAGGTTACTATATGCAAATCACTTCTTCTTTTTCTTTTTCTTTTTTTATCAAGCTGGATCTTTCTAGCTCTATACTCACTTTTCTTGTTGTGCAGGTTCTAGTCGTCTCAGACATTAAGCAAGACCTTGGTTACCTGGGATCACATTCGAGGCATAGAGCTTGGAGAAGTGTAATATATTTTCTTCTCCCGTCTTCATACTTTTCATAGACTTTGAACTGAAATATTAGGGGAGGAAAAACAGGATTTCCACACTTTGCCAATTCAACTCTTTTTCACATTTCTTCTGTTTACCTTTGAAAACTAAATTCAAGAATATTCTAAATGAATCTTCTTCTGGGGTAACACCAGGTTTGTCGCCGATTGGCAGACTCTCATGTAGTAGAGGAGTTTGATGCTGTGGTGAACAATAAGGTGAACTCATCATCTGTATCTCATGTCGTCATTCGACTACATTTCTCTACATATGCTGGCAATTTGCCGCTATTTAGCATTTCTGTTCTGTTTTTTCATGATTGTCCTTTTTGTAGGTTGAACGATGCATCCGTTTGTTAAAAAGATTTTCAGCCAAAGATTTTAACTATTCTGGGAAAAAGCAACTCCTAAAATTCGGAAGGAGTATACAAAAAACAGAACAAACTTTGGAGCTTCCAATAGATAATCAAATTTATGATATGGTTGATGCTGAAGGATCTAAAGGCATGGTTGTGATGGAGGTATTTCATTTGATGGGTTTGGCTTATGGTTTTTCGAAGAAAGTTACTTACTTTTAAAAGAGTCGTCATCTTTTTTCGTAATCTGTTTGGGTTCCCTTATATCATGACTGAAGTTTTCTGAAAATTAGAAAAATTGGGAGGCTGTATTTATGTGTTAAATTATTGTTTTTACCAGGTATGCGAAAGGCTTGGGATTGATAAGAAGAAGAGCTATTCTCGGCTTCATAGTATTTGTTCAAGAGTCGGGATGCATTTACAGGCAGAAAGCCACAAAAAGACTAGAGTTTTTCGAGTTTGGACTTCTCGTAATGCTGGGTCCGAGTCTTCTGATCTGTTTCCTGAGAAAGCTGAAACCATTAGCAGGGCAGATAACATACCGGTTAATGATTTTGACACATCTCATGGTACTGGTGGATTGTCTCAGACCCTCATCGAACACAGTCTTGCAGTTTTTGATGTTGACTTAGCTACACCTGCAAGGTTAACTGATTCTGAAAGCAACTCAGGAGCTCTCAACTTTGTTACACCTGGAAGGCTAACTGGTTCTGAAAGCAATTCAGGAGTTCTTGATTGTTCTCCATCTAATGCCAAAGGAAGAAATGTGCTTACATGTCGTAACTTGCAAGAATCATTCCATGAGATCGGTGATAAGGTTGTTGATGCTGCAATGGGGTCCCCTGAATTGGCTTTATCAGAAATGAACCATCTCAATCTACCGAAGCTGGGTAAATCAAAAGTGCATCAATCTCATCCGATCACTGTTGAAAACGCTCGAAGAGAGCGGAGAATACTTGAGCGCTTAAATGTACTTACTGTTCACTTTTTTCCACGTTACATGCCATAAGTTTTTCTCTTTTTCTCCTTCTAACTAATTGTATCTTCTTTTTTGGCTGGTCTAAGGAGCAAAAGTTTGTTTTGAGAGCCGAGCTACACAAATGGCTCCTCAGTCTTGAGAAGGACAGGAGCTCCAAGGTGGATAGGAAAACCATTGACAGGATTCTAAACAGGCTTCAACAAGAAGGGCTCTGCAAATGCATGGACCTTGGTGTCCCAAATGTAACTAATTGTGGGCGTAATCGTAGCTCTGTGATAGTTTTGCATCCATCTGTCCAAAGATTGACTCAAGAAGTAGTTGATGAAATTCATGATAGGATTAGGTCTTTTGAACTAGGAGTCCGTGGGCAGAACTTATCGAAGAGGAAAAGCAACGAGCCAATTCCGACATTGAATGACGTTCAGAGAGGTCAAAATAATGTGGATTTGGATACGCGAGCTAGCAAATCAGGAGCCATGCGAGCCAATGGGTTTGTGCTTGCAAAGATGGTTCGTGTGAAGCTCCTACACTGTTTCCTTTGGGACTATTTTAGTTCTTTACCTGGATGGGACAGTGCCTTTTCTTCTACACATGACCATAAATTCGAGAATTTTTTTGCACTTGAAGATGCTTTTAGAGCCATGCCACTCGAACTATTTTTACAAGTTGTTGGATCTACTCAGAAAGCTGATGATATGACGAAGAAATGCAAACAGGGTATGCGTCTTTCTGAGCTTTCTAGCGAAGAGTATAAGCTTCTAATGGATACTCTTGCGACTGCTAGACTATCGATGCTTATTGATATTTTACGCCGGTTAAAGGTAATATAAAATTAAATGGCACCTGAAGTACCATATATTTCATGAGTTCAATAAATGAATAATTATATTCCTTGGGCCTATTTTTGTTTTGTAGTTGATTCAGATGGTAAGTAATAGACTCAGACGCGATGAGATTGAAGAGAAGTATGCAAATTTAACACATGCAATGGAGTTTAAGCCGTATATAGAGGAACCTGTGTTTGTTGCCGCTACACCCAGTGTCATGTCTCTTGATTTTCGTCCACGCATTCGGCATGATTTTATTCTATCAAATAGAGATGCTGTTGATGAATATTGGCAAACTTTAGAATATTGCTATTCTGCTGCTGATCACAGAGCTGCTAAGCAAGCATTTCCGGGATCTGTTGTTCAAGAGGTATATAAGCTTGATCTTTTATAATTTATATATGCAACAATTGAGAGTGTACGTTATTTCCATGAAAAGAAAAATCATTATATCCTACTCAGAATATGTATGCGTGTTACGCATATATCTCTGTCTGCTATCTTCTCCTGTGATAATAACTTTCAGTTGTCTGTTATGTTAGGTATTCAGAAAACTGTTTCTAACTTTCAGTTCTTCTAGGTTTTCCGTTTCCGCTCTTGGGCCTCAGATCGTGTCATGACAGCAGAACAGCGTTCTAAGCTCTTACAATATATTGCAACCGATGAGAAGGAAAAACTCTCATTCAAAGAGTGTGAGAAGATTGCCAAGGATCTGAACCTGACCTTAGAGCAGGTAAATATAAGTTCTGTGTGGTGCTGTATATATTGTTACAATTGTCTAGGTCACCTGCCTAATCATTTAGATAAAAAAAAATACTTGAGACCAGGTGGTAGTTTGGCCAATAGTTTTCGTATTGTTTTTGATCTTAGAGATTATGCCTACTGGGAACCTTGATTTTTTCAATGTTTCTGCTTGAAAACACTCACCATGAAGCTTTCTGAAGTTCGATCTAAAGTTTTCTCATCTCTGGTTCAGGAACAGAGACTGACCTGGATGTTCTCTTTGTTTATCTTATTTTTGGGGTGAGGTATCTTATATTTTTGGTTGCGTACAACAGGTTATGCATGTCTATCAGGCGAAGCATGGAAGACGGGTGAAATCAAAATCAAAAGATAAAAATTGCGCTGTAGAAGATAGCCCTTCTTCATCTTCTGGGAAAAGAAAAAGAGCAACTCCTGTAAAGACTACTGGAAAAGGTGTCAGATCCATAGTAGTAGATGGGCAGAAGGTTCTAAATTCTGATGCCATTGATGCCTCAAATAGTGGGAATTTTCTAAAGTCATTACAAGAAGACCAAATCCCCATTCCGATGCATCAGGAGCACAAGCAACAAGAAAATGCAGAGAGTAGGGATCTGACTGAAGATGAAGGCCAGTGTTCTTCTTTCATCAACCAGTATGCAAGTTCAAAGACCACATCAACTCCTTCACAAAGATTTTCGTGGACAGATGAGGACGACAGGTAAGCTTGACACATTTGGTGAAAGTTCAGTAGTATATCTCTGTGTTTATATGAATTCTGATCGTATAGCAACTCGTTTCTTGTTGTAAACGTCTCTGATCAGGAAATTGTTAAGTCAATATGTTAGACTCCGCGCAGCTCGTGGTGCAAATCTTCCTGGAGTAAGTTGGGCTTCAGTTTCAGTTGAAGAATTGCCTGCTCCTCGTGAATCCTGCAAGCGACGGATTCAAATATTGATGAAGAATGATAAATTTCGGAAGGCGGTCATGAGGCTTTGTAATCTGCTCAGTGAGCGTTATGCAAAACATTTAGAGACGAAACAGAAGTGTTTGCCCGAGAGCAACAGTTCACATGTTCTTGTTAGATATTCATCCCAGGAAATTGGCGGAACGGATTCCGGTTGTGTTGAGCAAGAAAAATGGGATGACTTCAGTGAAAAGAGTATAAGTCAAGCCTTTAATGAGGTTCTTGAGCTAAAGAAGATGGCTAAACTGGTGGCCCCTAAACGGACGAGACCTGCCACTCGGGAATGGTCAAGCAGAGATATAGTTGATGAGGTGCATCCTTATTGCTTACTTTTCTTTTGTTTGAGACCATCTCTACAATTGCTTCACCTCACTTTTATTGTTACAACTCTTTATATATTAATTTTACGGGAACCGTGTGCCATCTCATTCACCCTGATTTGGAAGGTCTTAATTTCAATGGTTCTTTGTTTTTTTTTTGGCAATTTATGTTAAACTAAAATTATGGACTTGCAGGGGAGTGAAATGGTTCCACCTGCATTTCACTCAGAGGACATTGAAAATGTTTTTGTGGATCAAGTCAAGGATACATCTCGACGATCTGGACATTATCGTCTTCATCAACCTTATAAGCTTCTAGATGAAAACGACAATGGTAGTATACAAGTACGGAATTCTCTGGCAGTTTCTACCGCTGTAGAACTGTTAAAGCTTGTCTTTCTGAGCATGCCCACTGCACCTGGTATGCCAAATTTGCTGGAAGATACCTTACGACGATATTCAGAGAGAGACGTGTTTACAGCCTATAGCTACCTCCGAGACAAAAAGTTCCTGGTAAAATGACCTATTTCTCTTCCGTTGCAGGGTTAAAATTGCTGGCTTCTGACTTTTATTATATGCTTCTCGATTTTATGAAGAGGCATATGAGTGTGCATGTGAAGCTCTATTTCAATACCATAGCATGATTAACTTTGAAGTATCATCTTTTCGTCATTTTGTTGGTTCGGTTTTGCTATCAAAACTACATTGCGTGCATGCTTGATGTTTGGATGAGATAGAGAACAAGAAACAGTTTCCTTCACCTCACTTTCAATCAATTTTTTTTACATGTTCGGAATAATTCTATTATAAGAAAACTGAAAGTCAATTTTTTTATGAATACGTTTCAGGTTGGTGGAAATGGTGGACAGCCATTTGTGCTTTCTCAGAACTTCTTGCATAGTATTTCAAAGTCTCCATTCCCGGCTAATACTGGGACAAGAGCAGCCAGGTTCTCCAGGTGGCTTCTCGAACATGAAAGAGACCTAATGGCTGGGGGAGTCGTTCTTACCTCAGATTTGCAATGTGGCGATGTTATGAATTTCTTTTCACTGGTTTCTTCTGGTGAACTCTCTATATCTGTATCCTTGCCGGAAGAAGGTGTTGGGGAGCCTGGAGATCGAAGAGGTTTAAAACGTAGAGCTGATGACATAGAAGAATCTGAAGCTGATAGTGCTAAGAAATTAAAGCTACTCGGCGAAGGTGAAATTAACTTCCGAAAGGAAAAGGGTTTCCCTGGTATAGCAGTATCTGTTCGACGTGTAACTCTACCTACAGCTAACGCAATAGAGTTTTTTAAAAACGATGACTCTCGCACTGGTGAACTTCACTTCAACCCGGGAGAAACAAATAGTGGCTGTGAATCTGAAGATTTGAAGGAACTTTTCAACTCTACAGATGCTACCGTCATACCAGGCAGTCTAGCTGATTCTCCCTGGCAAGCGATGGCCAGTTTTACTAGTTTTATTATGGCCAAGTCTGCAGGCGAGGAAGTGAGTTTATTCAGTCCCAAGTCTTTTGAAACCGTTTCCAATACCCTTCAGAAGGCTGGTGACCAAGGTCTGAGCATTGAAGAAGTCCACCGTCTGATTGATATTCCAGGTAAAGCATCAGGCAAAACTCTTTAAAGGCTGATACTTTTGCTTGTGTTGACTACTTCCTTGGATGTTGTGTATGACTTGTGTTTGTTCATATGCAGGCCAGGAAACTTGTGATTGTATTGTAGATGTACTTCAAACATTTGGGCTAGCTTTGAAGGTTTGTCTTATTATCTCTTATTCTTACAAACACTTTTTGCCTTTATGCAGTGCTTGATTTCCTAGTTTTACTTTCCTGGACTGTGTGAAACCTTTTTCTTGTTGCATCCTTTTAACAAGGAACTTTATTGACAAGACGATGTCTTTACATTCAGGTAAATGGGTATGACAATCCGCGTGTTGTCCATTCTTTCTATCGATCAAAGTACTTCTTGACATTGGAGGAGGGTAAAACTTCCGACAGTAATCTTCAACGGCCTTTCCCAGTGAATTACGTAGAGAGAGATTCTGTGGAACATAGGTCAAACGTTGTCTCTAGCATCTGCACTTCACAAGGCGAGCGCGACCATGTCGCTGGGAACAGCGTTCATAAGGTTACAGTTCTTAACCTTCCTGAAATGGCTCAAGAAAGCGGTTTGCACGGAGCATCTATCAAAGCTCCCTCTATTACTTTTGGAACGGGTATCGAAGGTGAGAGAAAGGAGGGGTCACCTGTGCCCATATTTCCATGGGTAAATGCAGATGGGTCCATAAATAAAGCCGTCTTTGATGGACTTATTCGCCGTGTTCTAGGTATCGTGATGCAAAATCCCGGTATACTAGAGGTAAAAACTTCTCCCTCCCTTTTCCACCAAATAAGCTCGTACATTCTCAGGGATTCGAGCTCTCGGAAAATACTAATCAAAACATTTCATTTGTGGCAGGACGAGATCATTAACATAATGGATGTACTAAATCCTCAGGTAATATACAATCCTTCTGTATCCTTCAGAAACTAAACCTCTTCTCCTATGGTTTTATATACTGAAACTGATCATAATCTCTTAAAAGCTATTGGTCTTGTGTCTGTCCATATGCGAGATGTGTTTACTCTCTCATAACATTATGTAAATGTATTTGCAATCTCAGAGCTGTAGGAGGCTTCTGGAGTTGATGACACTCGACGGGTACATAAAAGTGAGGGAAATGGTGCAAACCAAATTCACCGGTCCTCCGTCTCTGCTAACCAGTCTTCTCTTAACCGGTCCCAGAAAACCGGAGCTCATCCGCCGCAAACACTTCTTTGCTAACTCCAAGGGACTCTTTGCCTTGTAGTTGTACATGTAGTAGTAAGATATTTTCTCTCTCTATGGTTTAGTCTAAAACGCTGTCGTGCTGATGTAATAAGTTGTGCAGCTGTCTGGTTAGTCTGGAAACTCTGTACTGCACTTTGGTGCAGCTGTATGTAGTTTTGATGGTTGGTCTAATGATTAATACTGTTTCTAGATTCATAGGTTTCATAGGTTCCAAAATCTATGTCGATTTTTAAGTTTTTTTATTTTTTTGTTATATATGCTTTAGGATTGTATGTTCAAGTTTACTACTAGTAGAACAGTAGCTCACTGCAATGTTATTAAATAAGTTTGTACAAATGAAGTAAAAAGTAAATGATCAACAGTATAGTTTTCAGTTAATATGGTTTGATTCATTGACTAGTAATCTTGTGGCTTCGTACAAAACCCATAAAAAAAATGTTATATAATCTATTTCTTTTTGTTGTTCAAATATACATGTATCGATTATTGGACTAAAAGTGATGGCAGTTGTGTGAGATAGAGAACTGAGAAGTCTGGAATAATGAAACAGCACAGTACAGTATCTATTCTTATCGATCATCTTCCGTTAAATCTACTGACGTGTACGGTTTAGATTACTTCATTCTCTTTCCCACCGGGAGATTAAAAAAAAAACAAAGAATTAGAGGAAAGACGATATTTTCTCGCTCAAATATTTTCTGGGAAACTTAGGATTTCATGAGAAAAAATCGACAAAACCCGTCAACCGAATACACCTTCACACCTGGTTTCTAATGGCGGAAGCTATTCCTTCATCGTCTTTATCACCGAAATCTCTACAATCGCCTAATCCTATGGAACCTTCCCCTGCATCGTCTGCACCTCCACCGTCATCGCAACAACAACACATGACAGCTCCGATTTCGAATTCTGTCAATTCGGCGGCGTCTCCGGCGATGGCTGCAACGACGAGCGAAGGTGTAATTCAGAACAGTAGCAGTAATTCGCAACCGAACACCAACCCCACTCCGAATCCTGCCGCTGGAGCTCAGATCCCGTCGCCTTCTCCTCTCTCCCACCCGTCTTCTTCGTTGGATCAGCAAACACCGAGTCAGCAACTCGGCCAAACTCAGCAGTTGCAGCAACAGCAGCAGCAGAATCAGCAATTGCCTCAGCAGCAGCAGATTATGCAGCAAATCTCCTCGTCTTCGATTCCGCAACTATCGCAGCAACAGCAGCAGATTCTTCAGCAGCAGCAACAACAGCATATGAGTCCGCAGCAAATTCCAATGTCAAATTACCAGATAGCTCAATCTCTTCAGCGATCCCCTTCTGTTTCTCGGCTGAGCCAAATTCAGCAGCAGCAGCAACAACACCAAGGCCAATACGGCAACGTTCTGAGGCAGCAGGCTGGGCTGTACGGTACGATGAACTTTGGTGGCTCAGGTTCAGTTCAACAGAGCCAGCAGAACCAGCAGATGGGTAACCCTAACATGTCGAGGGCAGCTTTGGTTGGCCAAAGCGGTCACTTGCCAATGCTTAACGGTGCAGCTGGAGCAGCCCAGATGAACATTCAGCCCCAATTATTGGCAGCTTCGGTAATACGTTCTTACTCTACTCTGTTTCCCTTCATTTGATTCAACTTGGGACATGATCATGTTAAAATATGTTTCTTTTTTTGTGCTTCTCGTTTTCTGGTTTCTGTAGAAAACTATGGGAAAGATTCTCAAATTGTAGCTTTTTATGTATTTGCTTGAGATCTTGCTAAGCCGATAACAAGTATTGTCATGGAGATGAGTTCAAATTGTTGTGTGAATAGAGAGTTAAAATACTGCAGCTTCTCCTATTGTGTGAACAAAATCGTTTTTTCTTTATTCTGAGACAAGTGAGCTTTCCGTTGTAGCCGAGGCAGAAAGCTGGCCTGGTTCAAGGTACGCAGTTTCATCCAGGAAGCTCTGGACAACAGTTGCAGGGGATGCAAGCAATGGGGATGATGGGATCACTGAATTTGAGTTCGCAAATGAGAGGTAATCCTGCTCTCTATGCTCAGCAACGAATCAACCCGGGGCAGATGAGACAGCAATTGTCACAGCAAAGCGCTCTTACTTCTCCTCAGGTATGGAGTAGAACAAAAACAAAGTCATTTTTTTATCTCACATTTGTGAACTTACTCATTAGCCTACTTGTTATCATATGGCTCATAAACGCTCGTCACTAAATGGTTTCTCGTGTTGGACCCTTTCACTGCATTTGGCTTATATGTTGGGTAATTTGAAGTATTAATATTGGCTTTTCATAGATTTTTTCCAATATCTCTAATTGGCTAGTGAGATACCTGCATGACGCTAGAATGATTCTTAATTATAGCAGGTTTATGGCGTATTTTAAATTCTGACTTGTATAATACATTTGTGTTGTTGCAGGGTGAAATTCCTAATCCGTTGAATACAGTTTTTGAGCATGTGTTTCTTTTTTAAGTTAAAAGCTGCCTGAGATGTTTTTGTAATCCTCTGTCTAGGTCCAGAACCTCCAGAGAACAAACTCTCTCGCGTTCATGAATCCTCAGCTATCGGGTCTGGCCCAAAATGGACAATCTGGTATGCTGCAAAACTCGTTGACGCATCAGCAATGGCTGAAGCAAATGTCGGGACTAGCCAGCCCCAATTCATCATCATTCCGACTCCAACAGAGTCAAAGGCAGGCTCTACTCATGCAGCAGCAGCAGTTGCCTTCCGCTCAGTTACACCAAAATTCTATGTCCTTGAATCAGCAGCAACTATCACAGATAATTCATCAACATCAGCAGCAATCACAAATAGGCCAGGCTCAGATGAGCCAGTCCCATCAACAGCAACAACTACAACAGATGCAGCAGCAACCACAACAGCAAATGCAGCAGCAGCAGCAGCAGCAGCAGCAGCAGCAGCAGCAGCAGCAGCAGCAGCAGCAGCAACAACAGATGCCAATAAATCAACAACAGCCATCTCCAAGGATATCGAATCATGCAGGACAGAAATCTGTGAGTTTAACGGGTTCACAACCAGATGCTACACAATCGGGTACAACAACACCAGGTGGTAGTTCAAGCCAAGGAACAGAAGCAACAAACCAACTTCTTGGCAAAAGGAAGATACAGGATCTGGTTTCGCAGGTGTTTGTCCTATCGAACTCTTTGGCTTCTTTCCTTATGAAGGTATGTCTCATCCAGTTGTAAATGATATTCAGGTGGATGTACATGCTAAATTGGATCCTGATGTTGAAGACCTCCTTTTGGAGGTAGCCGATGACTTCATTGATTCGGTTAGAAGCTGATGTCAATTGTTTCGCTATTAACTTCCTTTTGTTTTTCAATTTCCACTATTTTATGAAAAACTCTCTCTCTGATCTACCTGTATAACTCTTGATTGCAGGTGACTTCTTTTGCATGTAGCTTGGCTAAGCATCGTAAATCATCCATATTGGAGCCCAAGGATATATTACTCCACCTAGGTTTGTACACCTTGAGCTCTGTTTCGTGTGGATTGTTGCTAGTTGCTATTGTTACTCATTTTGCTGTTTGGTGGGTACGCAGAGAAAAACCTGCACTTGACAATTCCTGGATTCTCAAGTGAGGATAAACTCCAAACAAAAAACGTAAGTGATTTTCATTTTTGAACTCTCCAAAGACATAGAAGTGAATGTTCATAACTACTCGAATGTACACAAGATAAACCACGGGAAATAAAATGAAAGAACATGGGTTTGCCAGATATTGATCTGAAGCTACGAACTTTTGCAGGTACCAACTGATCTCCACAAGAAGCGACTTGCAATGGTAATAAGCCAAACTATACCCATTACCTCTCGTTGTGTACAGTTAAGTTAATCAACCTCTCAAATTTCCTATATGTTTTGGGTCGCCAGGTGCGTGCTTTACTAGAATCCTCAAAACCGGAGACCAACGCAGGCAACTCCAAGGAAACTATTAGACAAGTAATGGTGAACCCAAATGGTCCAAACCATCTCTTAAGGCCATCGCCAAGTTCAGAGCAATTGGTTTCGCAGACATCCGGTCCTCACATATTACAACACATGACACGCTATTGAAGGACTTGATTATAACACCCTGAGCCAGCAGCTCTCACTGGTAAACAGTTTATTCTATACCAAAAAAATTACCATCTTTTTCATAAAAGAAGAAAAGCTCGAGTTTATATGGTAATAGTCCTCACAAGTCTTGCTTTTCTAGGTTTCAGGAGTTTACACATCTATATCAGACATTAAAGGGAGTGGAGGCACAAGGAGTCAAACTGTATGTATTATATATATATAAAAGTTATGATTGAGTCGTATTATATAGGCAAACGAATAAAGAGTTATTTTTTCCATAGTTTTGAAACTCTTAATTGTTTCTTCTTTTTTTATCTTTAGTGATTTTTTGTTTCTCTCTTTGTAATTTTAGTTGTCCTACTTCATTTTAAGCTTGAAGGTTTTATATGACTCAACGATTGATCCTGTTTTTAAATGGCTTTGCTGCATTTTAAATACACTTAAAATCAAGTGCCAATATAGATATTTTGATAGAAGTAGAAATCAAACACTTAAGACAAACGAAGTAATCAAATTATTAAGAGTAGTTGGAGCTTCAACGTTAACAGCGTGTCCAGTTTCTTTTATTATCTCTAATCTTGAACTCTGCAAACGCCTGCCAAAATATATAAATATGATTAAATTCGACAAGCTGATACACCCCATCAATTATAGATTTGAGCTATTGGAGAGATTCGCATGGTGTGGGTTACCTTTGCAACCGATAAGCATGCTCCAATGGAAAGACCTTATCCTTGTCTCCCCAAACGATTAACGTTTTCTGAATTACAATATCAAATTAGTGACCGAGTTTGTGCTTTTTTTTTATTCGTAGATTCGAATAAATAATCTTGATCTATAGTGTGTCTTATATAAACAAATAAAAGTTAAAAGCAATTGTTTCCACTCTCCAGATTATGAATACTTTACTCATAACCAAAGCAGTTTTCATTTATAAAGTATCAGAGTCCCATCATGTCCACTTACTAATACTAACTAATCTTTATGACTACTACTAATATCAAATTTTGATCGACAAGGTGTTGTTGATTCAATGAGAAATTAGTATTACCTGTGGTATTACAGCTAATTCTGGCTCCTCTTCTCTTTCAAGCAAATTCTTAGCTAGCTCAAGAAGCTCCTGCCGATTTTTCTCATACATTACCTAAATATAACAAGTTAATCAAAAACATAAAGATAACTTATTCCTCATTTCAAACCTTTGGTTCATTAGTTAATAAACAAACAATTCACGGGGGCAGATTCGCAAATAAATAGAAAAAATAAACAGAATAGAAACAGAATAGTAGTTAAACTCACCGCAATGAATTGGGACAGGACAAAATCTGGGACCCAATCGACGAACGTTAAACCGGTGTTCATAGAGATCTTTATCAACATCCTTAGATCCATCGGAGTTTTCGGAACAAGAATCTTCGAACAATCTCCGCCGTGTTTTTTCATCTCCGACGTCTTCTGCTGCTGTGTGAATCCCACTCCACTGCTCACAATCACCAGTTTCTCCACCATCTCAGGCCAAATCTCCGCCATCTTATACGCCACGAATCCACCGTAGCTAATCGAGTACACCGAGATCCCTCCTCCGTCGGCGCAACCCAATTTCTTCAATCCTCCAGCGATGCTCCTCGCCTGAATCTCAACGCTCCGGTCTGAATTCCTCGAGTAGGATTTTCCGAAGAAGACCAAATCGGGGATGAATAGATTAAACGATTTCGAGAGATCGGGGACTTGGTGAACGAATTGCCACTTGGAGTTTCCTCCGTACCCGTGGAGCATGACGAGATTCGGCCGGGAGATCCTGCGGTGGCCGGAGATCCAGAAATGGACGGTGGTTTCTCCGTCGTCTAGATCGACGGTTACGGGTCGGAGATCGCAGAAAACCAAGAAATACAGAGATAAGAACGAATCGGCGAGTTTGATCAGTATCGGGAAATCGAAGAAACGCGAAATTAGGCGTTGAAAGAGAGTAAGAGCGATTGAGAGGTAACGACGAAAGAGATGAACGAGCTTCATGGACGCCATTTGTTTAGTGGAGATCGAAGGTGGTGTGGCGAGAGAGAGTGTGTGAGTGTGTGTATGCTTTTAAATATTTGAAACAAGTTTCTACCGGTCAGCAGGTTTAACTCGGTTATGTCCGGTTCGGTTTTTTATAATCGATGTTCTTGCTTCAGACGTGGCAAAGTGCATGTTAAGTGTTTTGACATCTACATTTACAATCATAGGTGCCCTGTTTTCAGTTTTAGTTCTATTCTTTCTTTACTCAGAACAAAATTAACAAACAAATCTGAAAAATATTCCAGATTTATACGTGTGTTGAGATAGTTTGTGACCCAAGTTAGGTTAGAATCCAAGAAGCCATGCCAAAATTTAGGGCCCAACTGAACGTTATATTGAGAGAATTCAATTTTGTTTTTCATCTCAATATTTGAATTTGAAGCTACCGTCGAATTGTTTGATGAAATTCAAATTCACGATGGTATCTAATTTATTACATCGAGAAAATAAAAGTTTTTCTATGAATTAATTCTTCAAAATTTTATATATATATCGATTTCTACATTTTATATTTCCCATTTAAAAAATTGTGTTCTTATATCGATACACTATTAGGCACACCTCTGCACGTGACCCCAGGCTCAGAACTTGGAACCAACAACTCATAAGGCAAAACCCCGGCCCCACACCTATTTCTACGGTCAGGATCACTGTTCCTTTTCTCAATCTCTTTCTCTATCCGTCCGATTTCCGCTGCAAATCCATAAAACGCATCAACGATCTCCGCATCTCCGGTCCAAATCGACGGCTGCTGTCTCTCCCCGATATATTCCTCATCCGGCGAATGAGTCGACAAAGTATCAACCACCGCCATAAACTTCGACGTCTGCAACAAACTCGGCATCGACGAGAAATAAAATCTCTCCGGGTCGGAGATAAAACTCGCGTACTCCGGATCCGACTCGTCGGGGATCAACCTTCGCATCAACGGCGGTCGGTTCGGGACGTAGCCGCCGTAAGGATATTGGCCGAAATTGAGAGCGGCGTGTTGAGCAGAGGCGAGCCAGATTATGGTGGTGATGATCGAGACGAGGTCGTCGACGGTGTTTAACTCCGGCCACCACTCGGCGTCACGGAGATCGGCGTGGCCGACGTTGATTGATTCGGAATACCAGGATTGGAGCTCCGAGTCTGTTTGGATTAGGTTCGGGTTCGGGTAGTAGCGACCCACGTAGGTTCGGACCCAGGTTTGGATCGCGGACCATAGTAAAAGGCCATCGTTGGCGTACGGATAGTCTTCGATTAGGAGTTTAATCCCATGTGGTTGTGTTGCGTCAGGAACTGCCACTCCTCTGAACACAATGATAATAATTGAAATTTAGATTCTATGCAATAAAAACATCTGCTTTGTCTGAAATAACCAAAAGACTAATTAATAACATAATTTGTCTTTAACATATAGTTTAGCAGCTACAATACCTGCGAACGAGATCGGCAGGGAGGCCTTCCATGTCGAAACGCCAGCTGCTTTTATATGCGGCGGCGCTCATTTCCATGCCGTAAGAGCCGGCGGTGAAGCCTCCTTCAATCACACCGTCGGCACTGATCAACGACTGTCTCGCCAATGCATTGATTTCCAACGTGTACCTCATGTGCGGGTCCAGTAGCTTGAATATCGGATGCATACGCTCAGTTGCCTATGCGCAGCTAATATAAACGGTTCCAAGCACGCATGTGTCCGTAACCTTTACAAACAAAAAATTGACAAAACATATTAGTAACTTTCTATATTCACTACTTTGTTATATATATCAATGTCTAAATAGCTTATGTTTTGAGTACTAACCAGTGATTGACAAGTTGGTGGACTCCAGCATCGTTAGAGCTAACGTGGGCTTTAGCGAGCTGCCATACCCAATTGGAGGTTGCATCGACCGGAGGTGTAACCACGCGTTTGGAGCGGTGGTTTTTGCCGTGGGAAGGAAGGCTTAGTTCAATGGCTACGGGCTTGAGTGTTCCCAGGCGAGTCATGAAGAATATGGTTCGAGTAGCATAAGCTTTGCGTCCGTCTAGCGCATTTATCCGGTCTAGGAAAGGTAAGTATATGTCATGGTAATCCAACATATACAATCGATTCTCTTCCAACGCCTGAAAAAAAAACACAAAAAAAAAGATTATTTCTCAAATTTCACATTTAGTTAGATACTATTTAATGAAGTCATGTGGAATTAGTTAAAGGATAACGTACTTGTTGTACGGACATGCCGTCAAGATGTCCGACGATGTGGTCGGAAGTGAGAGCGGAGTGTTGTGGACCGTAGATTTCGGGGTCAAGATTACTGACCGGAGGGAAAGTCTTGACTCTCTCGATGTTTACTGGATTAATTCCAGCTATGGCTTGACGCGCGAACTCGTCGTCTCGTAGCCATGCGTTTTTATCCTCTGCATTTTTTTCCAGAATTAATTAATTAATAACAAATTACTAAGCATGTTACGGTTTGGAATTAAATAAAGGCAAACGCGCTTTTGTTATTCACAAACTAATTCTATAATTGGCACCACGAGGGCTAATAACAATTTAAGAAAAGCACGTGAAACATATGTTCCGTTTCTGTGTACCTTATGTTAGTGGGTTTTGTTTGCTTTTCAGAAAGGGATTTTTAATAATGGGTCCCAATAATCAAAAGATACACATATCGCCAAAAGATGACCAATAAAATAAGGTAAATTAAACATTTGGAAATACTAGGGGATGCTTTAGAGTTTAGAGTCGGGATATATGCATAGTAAGTTCATTAAATGAAATTAAAAAAAAAAGTGTTAAAAGGTCTTATTAATTAAGTATGCTTACTCGATAATATTTTGGGAGTGTCGTACTTGAGGAGTCCTTTACTAGATTCTTGGAGGGTATTAACGACGACCTTAGGCAAAGGGAATTTGTTGAAGATTTCATCTTGAAAACCTAACTTGAGGAGCAAGCCTTCTTTATAGAGAGCATCGATCTCGCCAAAGTCAGCAAAGTCCTCAGCTAAAATGCTGGCTTTGAGCGACGGAACTAGGTGGTGTAAGACCGCCTTCAACCTCCCTGCAGCAAATGTGTCCTGCTTCGTCTCTTCGAATTGCTCGTCCCGTGGTACGTACATCGGTAGTGGCTTCTCCACCCGACTCTCCGCTTCTTTATCTGTCAACCATGCATATAAACATTAGAAACAAAAAAAAAGTATACTATTTCTACTGACAAACAAATACATTGTACTCAGATATATGTTTTATATAGTAAAATTTGTACCGGTTTCAGTTGAATGGCGACCAGTGCGACACCGTCTAGGGTAAGGAATCTTTTTGCCGCCGAGCTTCGGGCGAGATAGTTCCGATGACTTGTCCGGGTTTCCAAGATCGTTATAAACATCAAAGTCATATATCCTGTCTGATAGTTTCCTCACTCCACTCCCATCTCCTCTTAGATTTTTCAACTCTTTCTCCCTTAATTTTCTTAATCCATTAGGTGTCTCATTTGGCAGATATGGCTGCAAACAAATATCACATGACGTTTATTTTTCATAATTTTATATACTACTATATAGTTGGAAGTTGGGTATTAATATAATTATTAATTTAATGGACCCACCATGACATAAATATTGAAGAAGTTTTTGAAACTGATTAGTGTATGTAATCAACTCGTGAGGGATCGAAAATGACGTGTCTTGAATTTTATCATTATAAACTAATAAGATGTAATACCGTGATTAATTAAATTAGTTACCTGATTAGTGAAGAAGATTCTTTTCTCCGGGTGATCTTTTTGGGACTGAACCCAAGAATTGCATGGGAAGTGAACCGGGCCAACTGCGAAACCTTCGATGGTTATGCTCTCCAGGAAAAACTCTTTCTGGTGTTTATTCATGACGGTGATGGCTCCCGGCGAGCCAAACGCTGCGTCCACCGTGAACTCCGCCGTGTAATGAACTCTCTCCGCCTTCGTTTTCGATTTCTTCGACCAATCCTTCAAAACCGCCGCATTGCTCTTCTTCGGCAAATTCGTTTCTGTTTTCAATCAAAGGTTGACCATTTTTTTCTTAGTATATTCGGAAACTAAACCCATCTCAGGTTATTATAAGATTTGAGACCAACGCACGATTTTTAGAAAATTTTCCGTTTTTGTAATGAATATATCAGAATGCTCTGTTTTTCAATCGGCTTAAAACTTTTTTAGAAAAAACTGACTTACTTGGATCAATCTCGGTGCTAATAAGCTCCAAGGCGATGTTTCGACCGATCTTATCAGCAAAAGCATCCAAATGCTTAGCAAGAGTCTCTTTGAAATCCTCCTTGCTTTTGTTCCTGACCGTAACCACAGCTCTCACCTTGAATTTCACCGCCGCTTTCTCCTCCTCCTCGCTCTTTCTGTCGCCGGTGGTTGTGGTCAAACGCAGCGTTTTGACCAAATCTTCGCTGATGGCCGCAACGACGCCGGGTTTGGACATTCTTGATCTCCGATCAAAAGGCTTGGTCGAGAATTGTGCTGTATGCGTCTTCTTCCTGAAATGCGACGCCGGCAAAACAAGTGATGACCTTTCTGAGATCAGAGGATAACCCATTAACTCTTTAGCTAAGGCCATCTCAATGATGTAACCAAATCGATTTTAATGATGTGATTAGTATTGAAACTGAATGAATCTTGAGGTTTTTTTGGTATAGTGTTAGTGAAGAAGAAGTAGAAGAAAGTTGAGTACGTTCTGGTTACTAATAATCGGCAAGTGATATATATATATATAGAGAGAAAGACAGAAGGAACGAAACTCTCCTTGCCGTCCACACGTTTTTGGTAATTGGACTACCGTCTACGCAATAGTCATGTTTTATTTTCTTCCTTTTTAGAAAATGTGAATTCTCAGCACATGTTCACTTAAGCTAAATTTTCTCTCTTATTTTTTGTTGTTGTTGTTGTTGTCAACAAGCTAATTTCAAACTGATTACTCTTATTGTGATGTTAACTTTTTCTTCTTCTTATTATGATACACTTTTCATTATAAGTGTCTTCTTTATGTATTAACGTGATAAAGAACAATACGTTGTATTTACGTGGCGTAGAGTAGTTTATACTACTTGTCCAATCCAAAACATGTCTATTAAAATCTAAAATATGATTGGATATATATATATATATAAGAGTGTTTTAGAATGGTATGATAGTCGAAGAATAAAGTAAATACATCTCTAGTATTTTATATTTTAAAGTGGTATTAATCCAAAAGTATTAACTATTGTATCGTCAAATGAGTGTTTTTATTGTATAAAAGAAGCTTCACTTACTTACTGTCAACATGAGTTTCCCTGACTGCACCGTACTTTCATAGAATATATGGATTAACCACCAAATATGTTTTATTACCAAAAAATATGTTCTTGTTGTTTAAAGCATTTTAGTTGCAATGATAAAATTCAAAGTCTAGTCTACTGATCTCAAAATAAATCATAAAACCACCAGAAATGGGTTTATCAAAAAAAAAAAGTTAAAGAGTATATTGTTGTCAACAAGAGTTATTACGACCATGGTTCTCTTAAGTGTTGTAACTTGCATTATGAACATAGTTGGGGTATGTTTAGTAGACGAAAAAACGTGTGTGTGGAAAAACAATGTCCATAGAAATGATGAAATGAAAAAGGTGGGGTTAATTGAGTCAAACTGGGTTCCGAGTCTGACACGACGCGTAGTAAAAGGCAAGGAAGCAAAGGAGAAACTCCGACCAGAATCTCTTTAACGACTATTTTACCCTCTCGGTTTCCCAAAATTAGCGGTTATACGTTGGGCTATCGTTGGGAGAAAGTTGACCGTGGCCTTTCTTATTATAAAGTAACGAAAGCCACGAGAAGTAAATAAATAATTCGACAACAGGGCCTTTGAAGATCGGTTGGTAATAGTTTTGAGAAAAGAAATAACAAGTGGGTTTGGTTAGTTTTTAATAGTTTTTTTTTTTTGACACTGAAAACTACAAATAAAATTAAACTTCCCATAAATAGATGCGACATAAATGTACTCGATGCTTAAAATTAGTACTATGAACCATTTATCATCAAGACAATGCTATAATTTAATTTATTAATCAATTCAATATGTATATTATTATGAAAAAAAAAAATCATGACCATTTTAGTTTGAACCTCAATATCGTCGGACGGTAGAGCATAACAAATAATTTTAGTCTATTCTCCAACATCAAAACTTCCATTTCGTGGGTTTGAAACGCATCCCCACTTTCTAGTACACCAGTGAGTACATTCAATGGGTTAATCGATTCAATGTCATATCGAGATAGGTTTCCTATAATGGAATTGTCCACCCATATAGTGATCTAGGTTCAGATTATTACTATATATATCGAATGTAATTAGTGTAGCAGTTTTTTTAGTTTAAATTCTTGTCAAATATGAATTTGAAATATACATTATGTTAATTCAACAATGATATATGAATCAACAGAACTATTCAGTGATTTTAAGAATGTAGTTTCGATCGATGGAAAAGCCCAAGACACTTTCATCTGTGAATCAACAGTAATTGTACTTTATCCTAATCATATATATTGGGTGTGACAAAAAGAATCATGGACGACACAACAGATACCGATTAATTCCCATATACATATTTTAATCATTTACACGTGTCTATGTGAATTGTGCAGTGGTCCGGAATCCACGTGAATTATGAAGTGGTTCGGGAATCATAATGAACTTTGCCAACATTTTCTATCTTTTGAATGTTTTGTTTAAGTTGGTATACACGTCGGAATTTCTACTTTTAATTCTTTTCCAGCTTCAGGAACAACAACACGTCAAACTAACTATATTATACTCCAGAATAAACAAAGTCAAATAGATATTCAACTAATTTTAAAATGTATAATTAACTACTAAAAAGTTTGATTTCGTGAGACTCGTTTTGACAAATTATTGAATTGGTCCAACTTTCAAACTGAGCTATAAAAATTGTCCCGAGTCAAGATTTTATGAAATCAATCATCAGGCATGCAAAGATTTTTATATCAGTTTCCATTTTATATATAATTTATTATCAGTTTTTTTGTGGGTCATAATCATATAAAATTTGAATTTTTTGACAAATACAGTAATGGTACCTGAAGCTAGTTAATCTATTGAAAACATCAAAAATAACAACACACTCGATGAAAAAGAGCATTTATTAAAACTGGCACTTGTTTTTCTTTTCTTTTGAGAAACAATCAAACACTGTTTTCACCTAAAATTACATAAACATTTGAATTTATTTATGTTTTTGCTTTATATTTACAATATATAGTCAGAACAATTATTTTAAGAGAAAAAAAAAGAATTAGATTTGATATTTGTTTGTGTCACTTGCAATCACTGCACGACTAAATGGTAAATACTACTATTTGGTTCTGTTGTGTTAATTATAGTCGTAGATCTAAATCCGGTTTTAAAATGGTTACATTAAAAATACCAAAAATGTAAATGTTAGGAGAAAGTAAGGGTGCAAATATAGTTGCTAGATTAGAGGAACAAAATTAAAAGGAAAACATCAGTTACTTTCTATTTCTGTTCCTTTAAATATTCACTATTTCTCATTAAATAATATTCTTTTAAATTATGATGGGTTCAACATAAAAAATAAAAAATAACTCTTGTTCCTCTAAAATTTGGTACTCTACGAAATATAAGAAAAATAAATTGAAAAAAAATAGTGGAACAACAATTCCACTCTTATTTTTTCACTAATTATTATACTTTTACTTACTCTCACTTATAACCATTTGCACCATAAATGTAACATGCATAATGGGAACGATGAGAAAACGGCCTATAAAACTCCTTTATAATTGCCACCGTCCATAAAATTACCGCTTATAAAAAATTAAATTCTTTACTAAATAAGTAAATGTAGAAAAAACAAACAAGAGAATAATAATCTATGAAATTACTGGTTAAAAGATTCATCATAAGTTGAAGATCAATTTTTTTCACTATGAATGTATATGGTTGTCGTCGATCAATATAATTACTTCAATTGCAAAAAATACATCATATTTTTACATATTTTAGAGATTAGACCGGTTTCAGTCCTAAAATTCTTGATTAAAAAAATTATATATTTTTACATTTCAAAACAAAAAAATAGAGAAACCGTCCAAAAAATCAAAGCCAAATGTGCAAAAAGCACACGATCACACTAACCACGGTTCTACATAAGAGTCTGGAACCTATCAGGAGGAGTAGAGACAACTCCCATTTCCACAAAAAGCATCCAAAAATCAACTTGTGGCGCAAGTAACTTTTCACCGAAGTTACGCCTAACCCTAACCCGACACTAATTGCCGCTATCAAAAACCATTATAGAAAGCGGCAAACAACAGAAAATCTCTTCTCCTCTTCAACAACTACTACTTGATTCTCAGCGAAACTATCTAACCGGGATCGGTTCCTCAAGTGTAAGAATCCGAAATCGTCTACTAATGGGTCGGCATTGTTCTCTCTCTATGAGTCGGCATTGTTCTCTCTCTTTGTGTAATAAACGAACACTTCTTTTCGACATATATCTTTTAGCTAGCGATCTTCTTCGTCTTCCCAATTTTGATAAATTTTTAGCTAGCGATCTTCTTCTTCAGAGCTCAAAATTGATATTTTACAGGTGCACTCATTGACCATTAACTTTCAAACTGAATAGTAGATAAGAAAAGTTATATCAGATTCATATTAGCTTTGACTTTGACATTGACCGATAAATTTACTAATATAATTTCATTTATTTATTATCTTTTATTCATCAACCACAATGTTAAATTACTCAAATCTCTAATGAGAGATGATAAAAAAGTAAAAGAACTCAAAACGTTTCCGTAGTTATTAGCCAAGAACAGACCAGAATCGCTTTCTTCATCAGCTGTTGTTTTTTTTTGCTCATATGACCTTGAAAAATATTAGAATACTAAATAAAATTATTATAAATAATAAGCAAAAATATCATAAATAACAAGCAAAAAAAATGTAAATAGTAAACAAAAATATTACAAATAACAAGTAAAAAAAATATAAATACTAAGCAAATATATTATATGTATATTTAACTACTAAAGGGTTTGATTCGTTTTGACAAGTTATTGAGTTGGTTTAATTTTCAATTGAAAAATTGAAAGATATCATAAATATGTACATCTGTTTCTATAGGAATAACAAACTTATTCGGATATCATCATCCTCAAATGTTTTTTCGAAGAGTTTTAAAATCTTTAAAACCTCATCTGTTAGAGATGGATTTCGTACCCCCTCAAATCCCTACATCAATTGAGATAGGCCCATTCCAAAACCCTAAAAAATATTTAGGTCGGCAAGATAAATAGAAATCTTCTATTTATCTGATCAAGTTCCGGAGAAAACGCAAGGTCGGCCTTATCAAGAAGGAAGTTTTCCTATTTCAACAGGAGAAGGTATCTTCAGAAGATCGACCTTGTCGGGCTATAAATAAAGAAGTCATTCACTTCTCAGAACATCGGATAATCATTCAAGAATCTCCACACTTTGAGAAGACCTTATTCTCTCTAGATTTCATCTATCTAACTCC